TGGGTATGTATCAAAAGCCCTTCAAACATAAGTATAAGTTTCTGATAATTTAACAACATCGAGATCGAAAAGTGGTGCTATGGCTGAGCTAACAGGTTGATCATAAGTATTCGCAGTTTCTTCGACATCACTAAATTCGTCATCTTCTAACTCATCATCAAAAAGATCATGGGTTGGTGCAAAAATCGTCATTGCTGAGGAAAAAAATACAAAAGGAAAAACATATTTCAAGGAATGATGTTATATAAATATAGAAATGTTTCTAGAAAATGTGTCGACCGTGTATTATTCCTGTTTGGGATTAATTATACCCCCTTTCTATTTTAGCCGAACCCGGTGTATAATTAAAAAAATATAATTAGATGGTGTACTATTGTCTATTGTCTCAGTGCGAAATGGTTCCAGCCATGTTACCCCAGGTAAACAATATTTCTCCTTTCAGCTTTTCTACGCGTTTTTTTGGGAACCTGCGGCGGGTCTATTCTATAAAAATACGCGAGAATCACTGGTAGCACCCGAAAAAAGATTTTGAAATTTTTACAAGTTAGGCATCCAACCTGTAAAAGGTGTATATTCCAAACTGTAAAGTCAGGTCAATTTTGTATGAGGGTTAACAACTCAAGCTCTTTTACTATGGGAGCGTAACCTGTAAGGGTTAACAACTAGTACATTCGCACCAAAATCCAGGGTTAACAACTCGCGTTCTCAATTAGGCAGGTTGACAACTAAATCGCGAGTCCCACTCCTTAGATCTTTGTAATTTTCTAAAGTTTCCAAAATTATTTCTATCTCTTCAATTTTAGAGATTCTGGCATCGTCCAAGATTCTCTTTTCAATTTCACCAATAAATACTAATCTTCGAGGAACAATTTCCGGAAAATCATTCATGAAGCGTAAAATATTCTTGACACCATAAAATGAAACAAATGGGTTCAGTGTGTAATCATGCATGGTTACATCGACTTGGTCATTCCCGTCCGCTATTTGAAAATGAAGTAACTGAGAGTAGTACTGTTGAACTAGCAACTGATGAATTATATCATTTGGGAAGTATAAAAAGAATCCCTTAATGTACTCTGCATCAAGTAAGTCGAAAATGAAAATGATGGCATGGTCAGGAAGTTTTGGTAAATAATACTCTAAAAATTTTACTACCCATTCAATATTATCACTGTTGTCAATGTTCATACAGTTGGATGGCTATTTCAAGTTGGTATACAAACCTGGTATTATTGAACAATTGTTAGTTTTAGTATAGCTATCACGACTAAACTTTCTGCTCTTTATATAAAAATATGAAAATATGCCAAGATTTTTGTATTATGAAACTTAAATATGCAGAAAACTGCTTCCCTCATTGGATGATTCAAAAAAACCTTGAACGAAATCAGAGAAATAATGCTTCAACATTTTTTAAGTTTACTTAGATAAAGATATTTCAAGTACAAAGATGTAGTAAATAAATTCACAGCTTAATACTATGTTCTATCGCATATATACTTGAATCATAATTAGCAAATTAAATCATAACTAATTAGTAGATTCAAAATACTTGTATTTACTTTCTAATTATAAGTTACGTCATATTCAATGTGGTTCCAGATAAAATTGTATAAATCTTCAAACTCTCAATTTGAACATTTAATTTTCATATTTACAGCGCCAATGCGAAAACAAATCTTCAATTGATAAACTACACACTAATACTTATTAAATATATCTTTCATGGTCATATTCTTGGCTTCTGGTCCTAATTGCATATCCAACAATGAATCTTTGATCCCTTCAAAGTAATCTTTTGTAGCTGCAGAAATTCCAGGGTAAAGCAAATTTGATACTCTTGATGTATGCGAACATCCATTAATTGGTTTTCCTCCTTGGAGTAAACGATCTAACCAGGTCCATGCAGCAGGTCCTCCAACTAATTGTTCACTAAGATGACCATTCAATAAATCTTCAGCAAATTCAAATGAGCCAATTCCCCAATTACACCAGTTGTCATATGTGACATAGACATCTTTGATTGGAACAACCATGTCCAATGTACCATGGTAGACAAATATAGGAATTTCAGGAACATAGCTGGAATTTAAATAAACAAGAGAGTTTGACTCAATTATTGATTTCACTTGACCGTTTGCTAGTAATGAAAAACCAGCAGGAATCATGGGATCTGTTCCAGTAAGAATATGGTCAAAGAAAAAGTAAAATATTGAAGGAATAAGACACTTATTTCCAGCTTCATTAAACTTGGCTAAATGTTGTGGTGCAACGTTTTCTTGAACGAGTACTTTGGCTTGAGGGTATTCATTACTGATTCCAGTCAATGCCACTGGGATTAATCCGGCAAATAATTCTCCATCAACAATTTCTGCAACAGCAGTAATATTGGTAACAAACCCTCCAAGAGAAGCACCAACTAAAGTAGATTTCAATTCAGGGGCATATGATGGTTGAAGTGCAGCAGCCCAACCAGATGCTAATGCACCGCCTGAATATCCCCAAAGTCCTACCTTAGCATCATTGTTTATCCCAGTAAAGTTTCCTGAATTTATTACTGCTCTTACAGAATCAAGCACGGCCTGTCCTGATCTTCTACCTACTGTGAATGCAGAAATAAACCCTTCGTAATCGGGACTAGCAACATAATATCCCTGGTCAAGGGCAGTCACCATAAATGTCATATCATATTGGGTTGCTATTGTGGAAATTGGTGATCCCGATTGTAAACCATATGATGGTGAACAGTTTAAGCTGGCCGAATCTTCCATTGTTTGGTATGAAACAACTTTGGATGGGTCAGCATTAAATGGTTCAATGATAGTTGTAATAAACGCTGTTGGTTGACCAAATGAATCTTCAGATCTCACCACCAATTGCCAAACATTTTTAACATTGACGGGAATGAATAGACTGGAAAGTTGGGCAGGTGCTGGTCGAATTTTCAAAATATCACCAGGAGCTGCTGCTTCGTAACCTTGAGGAAGTGTGTAAAAGTCATCATCTAAAGGACTGCTTAACTGAAGTGGAATTGCAACTGATTGCAAAATATAAAGGAAAAAGAAAATAATAAAAGTCATTGTTGGTTGATTTGAACTTTTCTAAATTCCAAGCTAAATCCCAGCGACATTGGATCTTTAAATAGTGATTCAGTGTTGGGATGATGATATTAGGAAATACCTGGACAACATGATGTATGGTGTGTTTCACAACTGTGTGTCATGCTAAAGAGTGACGGTCACTTACTTATCCACATGATCATGATGATGTAATTCACTACTCGTCTCACATGCCTTCATATAGTCATCTCAATTCAAACATATATGCCAATATATGCATCTCTTATACAGTAAACGTTTCTTTTTATAATGACATATTGCAGAATCTGTACATTTGGCACATTTATGTATGAATAATCAATATGTTGGTCATATTCATCATGTGTTTCAGTGTGTAACCATAAGAGACTGACTCCTGGATGGATCATACTCAAACATCAATCATCGCCCGGTTTTGTTTCTTGTGTAGTTTGATGTTGTCCGATGCAATATCACCTATTGAGTAATGCTGGCACTAAAATGTACTTATATTAGGTAAATATCATATGGTTTGATAAACTCATATCTCAAATGATTCATAGCTTTCACAATTACGTAATTCCTTGAACGTGGCTTCAATATATGGTTTCAATTTCGAGTGATCTATTTTCAAATTTATCTTCTTGATTAGGTCAAGTTTATGCAAGAAAATTGACTACCTTGGATCATAGGTATAGAACATGGGCTGATGGCAGTTGATTCATAGTGGAAGTAAATTTCGTCATTATATAAAATATTCTTGTGGTGATTTTGTTCTAGAGAAGTAGTGTAGAATGGCAAGAAAAATTAAAATGAAATTGTTTTGTCCAACCACACTCCATAGATTTATACAAGTTCTGATAAATCAACTGTTGGTTATATCAATCTATATATACCAATAGATGTATAGGAAATACAAATTTCAAACACTCACATATACCTTTAACGTCTAAAATCAAAAACTTTTCTTGCAACCATGATAACGTGCTAGTTAGTATTATTACAACAGTCCATTTTAAACTTGAAGATCAGTTTATTTGTAAAAACAAATACCTTTACCCAATCAACACAACAATCTATTAACAAAAGCTACTCAAGGTTTTGCTACTCCTAGCATAATGCATTCTAGTAACTTACATACCCTTTCAACATTACCAAGAATCATTATCACACTTACACTCAATTTGCAAAATTTTGTACATTAAGCAATACAAAAATAGTAACATATACAAAAGGGTTAAATTGTTCATTTACAAAACTAACCGATCAACCATAGAAATATAAACGAATGTCCAACAGTAACGTGGAAAAAAGAAAGGAAACAAGAATCAGAAAAAAAAAAACCACCTTGGGAACACCAAGTTAAAATCCTATGGCTGCAAAAACATAATTAGCCACTCTCAAAAAGGAACGAAAAAAAAATAAGTGTCAACTTCTTTTAATTTTGACCATAAAATATATCACAAAAAAGATATGGATCTGATTAAATGAGGTAACCTAATGGGATCAAAGCTAAAGCCAAGAAGGTAGAACCAACACTAGCAGCACCATTTCCGAAAGTGGAAACGACTGCATTGGTAGTGGAACCAGCTGGAGCAACAGTGGCAGCACCTGAGGCACCTGGAGCACCTGGAGTAGAAGCAGTAGCAACAGCAGAACCGGCTGGGGCAGCTGGAGTAGTAGCGGTAGCAACACCTGGAGCAGCTGGCTTGGTAACAGTTTGGGTAACTGGAACAGTAGTGACAACTACGGTGGTGACACCTGCACTAGTGACAGTAGTAAGTGCTGGAGTAGCTGGACAAGTAATAACAGTTTCAGCTTCGGTGATGGTAACGATGAAAGTTGGTACAGCAATTGAGGATTCTGGACAATAAGTGGTCAAAACGGTGACAACTTCATTGACAGTTGTGGTGATGCAAGTTGGCTTAGCTGGAACAGTTGTTGGTTCACAAACAGTCTTTGTACAGGTGACAACGTTAACAACAGTACAAACTTCAGTGGTTATTTCTTCTGTACAAGTAGCTTCATCAACAGGAACAACCTGGAATACATCTGGACCAACCAAAGTACCATCGAGATCCTTGAGAGTTTCTGCAAAATCTGAAGCATCATCTCTCTTTTCAATGACGGTATCTTTCCATAACCTTCTTCTTAAAGCTTCAGTGGAGTTGGAAGCTGGTTCTTTTTGAGCTCTAACTTGGTATAATGGAGCACCTGGGGTGTTAAACAATATCTTGGCTGGAATACTGATAATATTACCGGCATGAACAATGTCATTAAAGTATCTTTCACCAGCAGCAATTGAGTAGTAGAAGATAATATTGTAATCTTGAGGAGAAACAAAGTCAAACAAAATTGGTAATCCTGATGGGATGGTAAATGGACAGATACCAGTATCCAAGTCCACGACAGCAACTCGAACACCTGAAACCAAACAAGCAACATCAAGTGCAATAGCTTGTGTCAATAAAACCGCAGTGGCGATGATTGAAGTAAATCTCATTGTTTATTATAACTGTTAAAAAGCGAGAGTAAAGGTTCAAGACTTAATGATCGAGAAGAACAGAAAAAGGATTCCTCGAGGGGGGGGGTGGAATTGGGTACAAATATATATATACCAATTCACAAAAAAAATATGTATGTACGCGTGGAAAATATTGGATTTGCATCAAAAACAATGGGTATATAGTGACCAGCAAAAAAATTGGATGATTTGAATAAGTATCATAAGGTATTGTCTAAAGTATAATTTGAAACTGCTTACAATTGTGTTATATTTAGTATCTTGAATGATTATCAGACGTATTACCCAATTCTCTATGAAGGTATATAGAACCTTATGGGGGAGTATATTATCACGCCATTACTGGGTTTTTATTTAGAAAGCCTTCTTTCAAATCCGCCTACTGGAAAGACAAATCTCAAGAACGCGGTTTTGAAATCACCTAATTAGTTTAGAAATGCACCTCGATACTGAATGAAATTGATCTGAATTGTAAATATTTTCATCAAATTTAAAATTCGAGGTTGATTCAGACATTTCTCTTGGCGTGAAAAAAATAAAGAAACCCTCGATCAATCTTACGATTATTTTCCAAACATGGAATCAATTGAACTCAATTAGGAACGATGGCCAATAAGAAATTTGCGTTTTCAGTACATAAGCTTATTTATCGTCAGGAGAAGTCCAAATACGACAAGCTATTTCAAGTTGATGGGTCTATCTTCCGAGCCTTAAAGTCTTGGTCTGCGTATCAACGTTATATTTTAGATGTTCCCATTGTTGGTAGTCGTTTGCAATAAAGTTTATTTTTCGGTTGTATTTACAACAGTTGCAAAACCGCATACGGGCTTGGCGTTTCTCAACGAAGATCGTTTTTTTTGTTGTTGAATTTACAACAATAGAACTTTGCAGCACAGAACATACCAACAATCTCCTATCCTAAGGTTCGAATCTACTAAAAGTAGTAATAATTACCAAAACTAATCGATAAGAAAGCAAGAGTATCACACATAAAATTATCATTTGTGTTTTGTTCGCCTCAAAGCGATTTAAGCAATGGTTAATAGTAACCTGATCTGGAAAACCAGCACCCTGTACCCACCTTTGCTTGCATATATTGATAAAATTCTTGGCAAATGATTCCTTGAGTTTTTCCTGCAAAAGAACTCCATAAAGATCAATGTTTTCTTTTTTCTTAGTTTGTCAGTATTAACACTATTGTTCTTTTTTCTCATGAAATAAAGGCGTGCTATTTAGAGGTGTACTACTGGTGGTGATAAAACACAACTGGGATGACTTTTACTTGTTATCCACGGTAATTTGTTCTATAATTAAACCGGCTACTCTGTGAATTTTTGCTGCATTAAATGTTAGAAGTATAGGTCTATTACATACAAAATTGAAAATGGTGCGGCTTCCGTGATAGTCAAATTATTGAAAAAAAAAACCGAATTCATTTCATAGTAATTTCTTATAGTATCACTTATTCCAATGTTATCATCCCTTGGTTGTAATTCTACCTCCATCATTGAATTTATGTTTCCATAGAAGTATTCTTGGATCTACATTGAATGGATAAAAAGAAGCTCTGTTGAAAACAGTGGTTCAACTACTTTAAAATGAAGACCATCTAGTATATACTCCCGCCAATCGCTTTGCATCATGGCTATTAGATATTTACATCTATGTGGAAATTATTATACAGTCTCTACATCATGGAGAAATATATAAGTCTGGGAAACTTGAATTCAAATAAACCAGATGCAATCACTATTCAACTTGTTTAACTATAATCATGAAATATGGGTTCATTCAAGAATGGTACCAGTAAAGAAAAATATACTTGGGAACAACATACTTGTACTCCTTTGGTTGAGTTTAGTATATAGTGTAGGCCAATGAATTCGGAACTAAATTTCTTGATTCCTTGTGATTAAAGAATCTGGAGTTAGAACAGTATTTTTTCTCTCGTAATATTCAGCAACTATAGTTATTCTCGTTACTACTATTGAATCAATAGATTATTATAAATTAGAGTATATTCAATCTGATAAAAAGATATGGCCATCTTATTAATTATTCTATTAATGTTCTAAATTCTTTCACCTTTCAGGGTAGTGCTTCGAATGAAGTGTTATACCCCTGCAGTAACTTCTTCCTCTAGATGCATAACAGGGTTAATTTACAGAGATTTTACAATTACACTACACCATCAGGAGCAAATATTAAAAAAACATTATATCAAGTACTTTGAAATGTGGATGTAATTCAACAGTAATGACTTTAATACCAGATTTATAGTTTGCTCAATCAAGTTTTCAGTAAATTTTTAAAAAAATAACCAAATCTAATCAACATATTCACAAAATTTTGTTCAATTTCTATCAGAATATGTCAACTAATGTAGAAAAATATCTATATATAATAACAAGTAAACCAAAAGACAAATTTCCAAAAAAAAGACCTACTAATACACCACGTTAGATTATCTCTATACCCCTTTCACTGCTATGTTTAATCTATTTGCAGCCTATGTACCATTTAAAACAAAACTTGTTTTCAACACTTATAAAAAATGGTTAGGGTTAAATAGTCACGTGCAAATGTGACTGTTTTTTCTTTTATTCTGTAATACCACTGCAATTATGTATGCAGGACATAAAATTTGTTAGTGCACTAACAAAATTTTCGCGCACAAACACAAGAAGCTATGAACAAACACCTTCCCCTTCTAAATATGCTATGACAATATGCAGTCCCATAGTTAAAATTTTTCTTTTCGATGTTTCGCACTAACAAACTTTTGGCTCGCTTGCACCAAAGCAAAAAAAAACCTATCACCATACAATAATTTCAATCTTTATTTTCAGATTTCTCTTAGTTGAACCGTTATAGAAATATCATCAAAATGGTATGTAAATGACCATATCATGTTAAGCATTTAGATCTAAACAATACAGATTCATGAGTGAAATGCACAATATACAACAGGGAAATACAATAAGTGGAGTTTAATCATTTGAAAAATTTTTTGTGAAGGAGCATTCTACCAAATACCATATCCACAGAGTTTAAACTATTCAACCATCATACCCCAAGTGAAGCACCATAGAATGATGTGGGTCTCATTTATTTCAAGAAGTTCATATTCAACTTATCACTAGATCAAAGTCTAAATTGCCCATTTCAAATTGACAAATATACTAACTAATATTTTAGAGTGACGCTGTTACCATCAGAACTAGAAAGGTTATTTCCAACCCATTATTAGCCAGAAGACAATTTGTCATTGATGTCTTGCACCCAAACAGAGCTAACGTCTCCAAGGACGAATTAAGAGAAAAGTTGGCTGAAATTTACAAGGCTGAAAAGGATGCTGTTTCCGTTTTCGGTTTCAGAACTCAATTTGGTGGAGGTAAGTCTACTGGTTTCGGTTTAATTTACCAATCCGTTGCTGATGCCAAGAAGTTCGAACCAGCCTACAGATTAGTCAGATACGGTTTAGCTACCAAGGTTGAAAAGGCTTCCAGACAACAAAGAAAGCAAAAGAAGAACAGAGACAAGAAGATCTTTGGTACTCAAAAGAGAGCTGCCAAGAGAGCTGCCAGAAGAAACGCCGATTAAGCTTGAAATGTTTATATTATATTACTTTATTTCAATCATGGATATATAATATTTAATTTTGGGTTTAGTTAATAAAAAGAAACCCTCCGAATGTATATTATAAATGGAGTTGTAATTTGTAGATTTGCCAAAAGAAGTTTATAAATTTTGCACTACACTGTAGAATGCGTGGCTATTCACAAAAGTTGTGTTTGCATCCCGTAAGTATTTTTTTTTTAATCATCAACCCACATACCATGTCCGAGAGAAAAGCCATAAATAAGTACTACCCTCCAGATTGGGATCCATCCAAGGTAGTCAAGAAGAAGAAACAAAATGGCAATCAAACAATCAAGATTCGTATGATGGCACCATACTCTATGCGATGTCTTAAATGTAATGAATATATTGCTGAACGAAGATCTTTTAATGCAAGAAAAGAAACTACCAATGAGAAATATCTTAATATTAAAATCATTAGATTCTATATAACTTGTCCCGGGTGTAACAATACCATTACTTTTAAAACAAATCCACAAACTGCAGGTTATACCCCTGAGGAAGGGGCGGTACGAAATTATGAACCAAAGAAAAAGATTTCAAATGCAAAACCTGGTGAATCTGAAGATGATCTATTGAAGCGGCTAGAGAAGGAAGAAGAAGAGAACAAGAAGTTTCAACTTTTAAAAGAAAAGAGAAAGTATGATCCGTTTTGGTCTGAAAAGGAACAGTTGAATAATGGTGGAGATGTCATGCAAAATCTTGAAAAGAGATTGCAAGAACAACAAAAACAACAAGAGATAAATGATCAATTAGAGGAATTGCAAGTTAAACTTGATGATGTGAAAGCAAAAGGCGGAACTGATAAAATAGCTGATATGGCACAAAAGAAAGTCGAATCAGATATACAACTACAAAAGAAAATTCAAGAACAAGCTGATAACCAAGATGAAGCAATTGCAAAGACCGCATTTTCCCGACTGAAAAGACCATTGGAGGCTTCTAAGCTTCCAACCGTCAAACGTACCACAATCCCAAGTAAAATCACACTCAAGAAGAAACCTATATCTACACCTGTTATCAACAATTTGGATTACTCATCTTCTGATGAAGACTAAAAAGAATTATATTTTTCTAAACACGCCTAATTAAATTCAATATTAGCTAATGCAGTTACTATCACCTCTGGTGGTTCAACATTGGCATGGTAGCCCCGTTGTATAGCTTCCAATTCGGGGATCAATTGATTAATTTGAACCTTATCCATATCCTTTCGGCATAAACAAGTAGCACGAACAACATCAACTTTGCAAAAATAAAATGTCGGCAAGATATTCTTTTCCCAGATGTGGGGAATATCATTCATTGGATCAGGACACATTCCAATATCGGCCACAAATTCAAGTGCTCTCAAACTTGTCATGAGATAGTAACCGTCCTTGGCTGTAAATAAGTCTGATAATCCACCAAAGAATACGGCAATATCACGATCCACTGCTTCGGAAAATGATTTATACTTCTTTACTGCAGTTGGATCAATCTTCTTACCATCTCCATGTAAGATATTTTCCAACCCAATTCTAATATAACTGGAAATAAATTTATCCAACAATACATTAAATGTCAACAGGTACATATCGTAAGATGCATAACTTCTCAAATCTTGCATATATTCTTTTATGGTTTGAACAATCAATTGTGCCGAAATAGGATCATTTGAAGTTTGTTGATCTTCTTCATACCATTTCTTGGTAAATAATGTCGATAATGCAGGGTATAGATCATTAATTATAATTTCAACTATTGCAGTGATAATTTGGGCATTTAAATCAGTACTTGGAGTTAAAGTGCTTTCGATTGCTTGTTGGATTCGATCTTGATAATGGGCATGAACATTGTCCTTATATTTAGGCAAGAATTTATCTTGAAGTCTATCGGTATTGATAACAAATGTATTACCTAATGCTGTCAAATACTCGATTAAACCAGGTCGGGAGATTTCATTGATTTCTTCGTCGGTTAAAGCATCGGGGTCAATAATTGCTTGCGAAGGTTTTCTTTTGAATAATCTTTTAACCGCACTTTCTTTGATAAGATATTTTTCCTTATTATATATAGACATGTATCGATCAATTTCATCTTCAAGTATGTTTCGGAAATTTTCAATTCTTTCAAGATAGCATTTGGACCAATTTTCAATAACACCAACCAAAATATTGGAATATCCCGATTCAGCTGCAACATCTGCTTGTTGTTGCAACATCGTTAATGGAGTTGTGAAATCTGGCAATACAAATACATCAGCTTCAAATTGACGTTCAACAGCCATTCCTTGTTCGTCATCAAGGTACAGTTGGAAATAATTATAAGTAGTTGGTTGTTCCAGTCTTTGTCTAAATGATTCAGTCTCTTGTTTCATTAAATTACGGTTCCATTCTCCCATTTTAGACACAATGACCTTGAGATAATCTTCCAAGACAACATTCTTCAAATCTTCGCCAATAATTGAACGTTGGTCTTTTGGTGTTCGTTTACCTTCTTGTAAAGATTCGATAAACTTTCCATATCGTTTATCATACGATAAGATCTTCATTAAATCCTCAGCTGTAGGTTCACTTTCAATAACTTCCATGGTGAACTTATGTAATCTATTAAAATAAACATTCTGAATAAACTCATCAATTTTCCATGTGGGAGGAAAGAACATAATCAAGCTCTTCTTGACAAATATGAGCTCTTCTTCTAACCAACCTAGATTATCATAAACTTGCATCTTTTCAGGATAATATTCAATACAGTTATTAAAAGTCTCATCAAGTGACTCTTCCAATTTATCATAAAAGAACTTCTTGTAGTTTCTTCTAGAACTTCTAAAGTTGGAATAATTGATCATACTATTGTCATGACTTAACTTTAGGCTTTCCATCATGGCAACTTTCATATCTTCTCTAGCTTCAATCTCAATAACTTTAACAACATTAAAAATACACTCATAATTTTCATCCTTGGCCATTTCAATCAAACTTATAATAGCCTCTTTTAACAATTCATCAAATAATACTCTTGTATGTTTCATGGGGCTTACAATTTTCAAAACAAGGGATCTAGAATCATCAGACAAGGACTTGGAATAAGTTTCCATGTAATCTGTAAAGTTCCTCGCTTGAGTATAAGCATAATGAATTTGGAAGATGTTAGGTAATGGGTAAGTCAAAGATTGACGAAGTTGATCATATTCATCCAGTATATTTTGATTCAAAATGTCAAGAAATGCCTTAAAGTCAAAGATATCTCCCTTCAAGTTTGATACTTGAGTCAAAAATGAATTAACTATAGTCATTTTACGTATGGTGTCATAATCCTTGATATCAGTAATTGATTCATCATAAATCTGGTTGATCTTATTCATGTTACCTTTTATTGATTGAAGTCTTTTGGAAGTATTGTTTAATTTGGAAAGGTTGTCCATTATAGCATCAATTTGACGTTGTGTGGTTGCAGAAAGGTTGATATCAAGGGAAGATTTCTCCTTGAGAAATTGTTGACGCAATGAGCTGATTTTAACTAAATCATCTTCCATTTTAATAAGTTCTCCAATCTTGGAGAGTGCAGAGTCACTCATTGGTGAAACAAGTGATATATTGATGAAGCGGATAAATCTGGAGGTTTACAATATAAATCATTTTTTGGTTGTCAAAGTTTGAGGTGTAAACACATGCGGAACATGGTAGCGCGGGCTTGTATTTGTTAACCCAACAACTGACTCTACACATTATCAAGATAAATTACTTTACTTCCTATAATAAAAAAAAAAGAACTACTAACTAACTATGGCCACTTCCGCCACTGGCACCACTGGTACTACCTCCTCCTCGTTTAGAATGGCCACTGTATCTTCTATTACCTCCGCTATGATGATGATTATTATAATTATGTTGTTGTTGTTGGTTTGCACCTCCATATTGACCCATAATAATATTACCATTCACTGGACTACCAGTCGACATGAATCCCGCACCTGGAGGTGGTATAAATCCACCAGGTGGTAAGAACGGTTCTGCTCCAGGATACATTAGTGGCGGTTGTCCCGGCGCAGGAGGTGGTACTGGGAATTGCTGTTGTGCTTGTGGATGTTGTTGTTGGTATAACATGGCTGCATGCATTTGTTGTTGTTGTTGGAATTGGACAGCCATTGCTGCGGCGGCAGCAGCTGCAGCCGCTTGTTGTTGCTGTTGCTGCTGTTGTGGAGTCATGTGGAATTTGTTTGGATATTGACCTGCTGCACCTGCCGGTATTCCTGGTGCACCACCAGCCATCATTGGATTAGGTATGAATGGTGAAGCAACAGGAAGAATCATTCCTGGAGCACCTGGGGCGCCTGTCGCTACCTTGGGTGGAATTTGGGGGAATAATTTTTCGTGAGTTTCATCAATAGTAGAATCCCAAGTTGGTGGGGTTTGGAACGTCTTTTCAAAAACAACTGGACCAGTTCCTTCATGTTTGTCTTTGGTGGTTATGAATAAACTAAATGCAAATTTAAATGCATTGATTTTCTTTTCTTGGGATTCTCTAGTTGGAATTTTATCGTTACCTCCAAAGAATTCTGCTGGGGAAATTTGATGATGTCTTTTAGAAGTACCTTGAGAACTGATGCTTCCGTTTGAAGAATATGGTCTTGATTGTGATGCTCTTGGTGAAGGGTCATTAATTGGTGATCTGAAATTGGTCTTTGGTGGAGAGGTTAATTGTGCGTGTTTTGTAGATGGTGTAAATGCTGCTGCCTTTGGGTTTAATTTAAAAGTCTTGGAAGTTTCTTTCTTCTTTTCAGGTGGAGATACTGATTCTTGAGATGCAGATGGAGTTGCAGCAATAGAACTAGTAGTAGTGGCTGTAGCTGCTGCTACCGCCGCAGCAGCTGCAACTTGCTGTTGCTTCTTTAAAATCTCATCTTGCTTTAATTTATCTTTAGATAATATAGGTAATAAATCTTGTGGCATTTTATGAGGTATTTTAAAGTTTGCGCTAAATTCACGTAATGAGTTAATTTCGCTTTGAGCATTCAATCTAAACGATTCATTATGTTGAGCCAGAACTTGTGGTTTTGGAGGGATCGAATCAGGTTGTGTCTTTTTAGGTGGTGATGGTTTCTTAATGTCAGGAGTGGAGGTAGAAGTGGAAGTGCGACTAATTGGAGTGTCGACTGGAACTGGAGTTGTGGTTTCCTTTGTCGAACTAGCTGCAGCAACAGGAGTTGCTTGAGCTGGAGATTGTGGTTTCTCATCAACTGGTGGGGTTTCAACCTTAGACACGGGTGGAATTTCAGAATTAGGTGGAGGTGATACAACCTTCCTATTGGTTGCAGAACTTGATATTATAGCTGGATCGTTATGATAGTGGGCAGCTCTTTGTCTTGGTGGCACATATTTCCCAGGAGATGACTTGTTCAATGTACTTGGACCTGCTGAAATGGTGGCATTTCTTAATGCTGCCATTAATTCTTCACCACCTCTGGCAACACCAGAATATTTATCTTCTTCATCCATGCCACTATCATCAACCATTACGCCTCTCTCTTCAAGAATATGTCTATCAGTTGTAGTCAGAGTTTCAATATCTCGAGCAATTTGTTCTGCTCGGGCAACACGTTCATGATAATCTGGAGCCGAAGTGTCGATTCTTGTAGTATACAAATGTTCATCATAGGTAGATTCAACACCAAAACGTTCTTGGTTGACTTTGAATTGATCCCATTCTCCAGCATCGTCTTCCAAACTAAATTGTGGGTGATCAATTGATTCATCAGGAACCCATCTTTGTAATTCACGTTCTTTAATTTGAAGTTTTCCGGAAATATCAACATCAGTTTTGAATTTGGAAGGAGAGACTTCCTTGACTACTGGTGGTGGTGGTGGTGGAGTTGTTAAATCAACCGTTTGCACAGGAGTAGGTTCAGGTTGTTGAGCAGTGGTTGATTCCACTTTTTCCGTCAAGTCAAGATCAGTAATTTCCAAATCAATCAAATCCTTAGCTTGAATAATCAAATTTTCAGGCAATTTGCCTACATCAAGGTTATTCTTTTCATTAAGCAAGCTTTTGGAAACTAATTGAGGTTTCAATAATACCACTGACATAGCACTTGTTCCTGTAGGTGACAAATCTGCATTCACCAACAATCCCTGGTACCTTGACCCATCAGTTATGGTGGCAATACATTTCTTGCCAATTGATTTCGAAACTAAATACAACAATCTGTTATTTCCTAAACTATCGTCACCTGAGGTACCATTAGAAGCGTTGGTAGGTGGGGTGGTTGGACTGGTGATATTGGGCGAACCATTGCCGTTGCCATAACGGGACGTACGACGATATCCGTTCTTAGGTGTGGTGGTGGTGGTGGAAGAGGAACTGGAAGTGCTATTGGCACGATTAATCTGACCCTTCATTTGATACTACTCCGATTGACTGATTGAAACAGAAAGAGCTATGTAATTGATTAGGGGTGTATCGTTGAACCACGGTGTTTGAGTTATGATTTTTTTTTTCGCTCCTTGGTTGCTGATACAAGGTTGAACTGTGAGGAATCAGAATCAGACGTGGGTGTATTTGGATATACTGGTTGTGTGTGTGTATATATATATACTCTATGTCTTTCCTCGATAATGGTGGTTAGGACAGATCAAGGAAGAAAAAGGGCAAAAGATAAATGTAGTTGCTTTACCTGTGATTTTCGAAAAGTGGTGGTTCTAATTTTTTTTTTTGTTTGGGTGTTTTTTTTTTATTATTTTTCTTCGGTTGTTGTTTTGAGTTTGTGGTTTCCTTTGTCCGAAACACTCACACACTTAAACGGAATTGCTGGGTGGTTTAAATTTAGACTAAATTTTGTTGTCTTGCGATCGTACAATTAGATCTGCGTAGCAAAGATGACAATGTCATCCAGGGGCAAGTTTATCCGTTTAAACGGGTTTAATGATAACACTACACGGCGGGGCTATACACTTTATTTGCCTTTGATTTCTTTTTATTTTGTTTTTATTTTTTTTTTTTGGATAAATTACTATAAACGATATAACCGTAGCGGGGAGAAGAGTAGCGCGGGTAAACTGTAGAGCACAATTGATGGTTACCTTTTGAACCTGATGCTGATACATGGTCTACTCTGATGTGGACCAATAGTTTAGATAAAGTACTCCTACAAGTGACATCTCTAAGGAGAAGATATTTTATTAGTCTCTGTATATACGGAATGTCTTCTAAATTTGGATATTTTTCTACTTTTCACCCTAACAACATATACTATTGAATCCAATACCAATTTCAACCTCTTCAACCATTTCACCCCAATAAAGAAGAATAAATTCTTTAATAAACTCGATATCCTGTTGAGAATAAGGATCTAATTCCATTTCTACCAAGTCCTGGTATGTAAGTTCTAAAGCTATTTTCCCCGTCAAATGACTCTCTTCATCCTGAACAATCTCCATGACAATCTCATTAATTAAATAAAACCACTTTTTCGTCAACTTATGGAAATATCCAATGATATTTATCAAATCGAGGAAATCAATCTTATCATGGGTTGGAGTTATGGGCACGTCATCATGGACTTCCAATTGTTGTCCCGCAGTAGCAAACCACGAAAACGCCGACCAAATAGATTCTCGCCATGAAATTGGTTCGGTAGCATCAGATTTCCACCATTCTGGTTCCTCAGTACAACCTCTTAATACTGTATCAAAATCTTTAGTACTAGCATTGGTGTTACTGGTTATCGAAGTTAAATCTTCGGTGGACAAATTTCTATTATTGGTAATGTTAAATTTCGAATTCAATGGCAAATCTTGGTACATAAGTTGAAACTTGTGATAATCCTTGGTAGTAGCCTTTATGATATTGTTTTTATCATCCATAGGGAATATAGTTACTTTATCATCAATCATAACTCCAATATCATATACTTTATTCTCAATTAAGATATCATCATTGGTAGTACCAATATAGTTATCAATCTTGACCAAATCTCCAGTTAAATCATTTAAACCAATACTGTAGATCGGTTGGGAATAAGTTTGACTAGCAATTTCTATATCTTGAGGTATAATTGATACCAAGGAAACCAAATAGCAAAATGTCGATAAGTTTAAAAGCAAATCCAGATCTTCATTTGGGAGTAAATCTTCGTCATCATGAAAGATGTGGTGTTGGTTAAAGATTAATATTCGTTTACGTAAAAGTGCCTGTTTGTATAATACAAAAACCAAAGGCCCAAATGTTTTGAAAAGTTGAGGAAGCTTAGTGAGTGGATGATTGGTGACATCAACTGGTTTTGCATTAGGAAGTGGTAAAAGATTTGACGATGGTTTACACAAACTTTCAAATAACTTTTCAAACACCGCAAAATCCTCATACTTTTGCTCCTGCAAGTATTTAAGCAACTCATGGTCCAAGTCACCAATAAACTCCCAGCCATTATTAATAAACTCATTAGGTTTGAATAAACTTTCGCTTGGTTGACATATAATACCCAACGAATAGATCTTGATATTGTTACGATCATGGGTGTCTTCACCAATCAAATGTTGTCGGAACTTGCATATCCCATAATACAACTTGTCCTGACTGGTATGACTTATCAACACTGTTGATTTGCCGTATTCGTGAACACCAGAAGGCATACTTTTGTAATCAAGACCAGTGAAGTCAAAATCAGGTATTGTTGATCTGGACCATACTAGTTTATATCCATTACGTGGATGAAACTCGGTAAGGAATATAGAAACGACGTTTGACGGGGTGTATGACATTGCCACTAGTAATGTGCTGTGGAAAAAGCGGTTGGCCTTTTTTTTTAATAGTTCAGCACATTTAATTTTTCTTGTGGAGGTGGAGACGGGGGTCATACGGTGTTAAAACAAAATACAAATACAAAATTTATATTAAACATGACTATGGGGTGAGTGGGAGTTTCGTGATTATGTTCGTCATAGATGTCTAGACGTGTATGTAATCAAATAAACATTAATATACAAAGAAAAGGCACAATTATGTGAATGCTTTAGCCCCCCAATTCAACTTAAACGGGGCAATGCTCAATGCTTACGCTCTTATTCTTAAAATGAAGTTGACAACAACAGCAACTAACAAGAATGCACACAACATAGTAGGACCGAATCTGTCATCATAAGGACCAGATCCTCTTAATCTGATAGCCTTGGCTCTCCAGTGGTAGGTAATCAATGCGTAAATCATAGTCAACATGGCAATGAATGTGAATAATCCAGCGGAAATTCTACCAACGTAATCACCAAAGTTCAATAACCCAACACCCAAAGATCCTAATATAACTGTGAAATTCAACCAAGAAAGGAAAGTTCTTTCATTGGCAAAGAAAACCTTTGGTTCAACTCTAGCTGGTAATGCAATTCTTTTAGTGGCAGAAGACATATTGAGTGGATGTTTTTATATGGAAATGCTGTAAACTCGAAAAATTGAGATGAGGATGGACGGGTGAATAAAGACAAGGCCAGCTTCTTTATATTTAAATGAAACAACAGGCAATGATTATTTTTTAATATTTTTTTTTGTGCGAAACAGTTCTGTTAAAATTAGGCACACGTGGGGGTGTTGATTAAGTTTTTCTCATAGGGCAGAACCCAGGTTGTTTTTATTACCAGTCACAAAACAATAGAGTTACCCACGTTTTGTGTTCGGATCTAATGTTTCGATTAATTAACACTCGTGTGACAGTTAGTTTGGTGTTTACGAGATGACATGAGCTTAAGGCATCCCTTGTTTTGTACAAGTGTTTGTCGTGACATGCCATCCTTGGACACACCTAATAAGAAATTGTGCAGGTCAAGAAATTTCATTTAGGACATTGAATTTTTTTTTTTTTGTGAAAAGATAAACTAATCTTTAATTAGAGAACAATGCCCAGTTACTGATAGGCTTCGTTTACATGTTTGGTGTTTACTAGTTTTGAAAAAAAAAAAACTATTTCAGTAGCTTCACGATCTTCATTCATGTATTCTATACATTCTAATTGCCTTCTTTACTGTTAGGCTTAAATTTGCAGCTCATCGCAGAACAATTGTTCGTGCATCGCAAAATTATTTTTTTTTTTGACATTTACGAACCACTAATGAGTTCTAGGTTCTAAAATCAACCTTCCCAATGGCACTTTAGAATGCCCTTGTTCAAAACTATAAACTGACTTCCCACGAACAAAAGTTTCAACAACGCGACCCTGCAATTTCATTCCATCATATGCGGTCAACTTATTCTTGAAATGAACATCCTTATTATCAATAGTATATTCTGCATCAGTGTCAAACACCAATAAATCTGCATCGTAGCCTACTTTCAACTTCCCCTTGGTATAACTTAATCCAACTTGCTTGGCCGTGTTGATTGAACACCACTGGTTGATTTCACTCAATGTAACTGGTGGAGTCATCTTTTGTCCCTCGGTGAACAATATAGGTAATCCTAAGCCAACCGAACTTATTCCGCCCCATGCTTCAAAAAAATCACCCGTTTCTAGTTTCTTAAGCTGAGGAGTACACGGGGAATGATCGGATACAACCGTAGTGATTACTCCAGTTCTAAGTCCATCCCAAAGTAATTTCCTATTATTTTCAGTTCTAATTGGAGGACAACATTTGAAATGGGTGGATTTTGATGGGACCGTCTCTGCAGCTAGTGAAAGATAGTGAAAGCACGTCTCGGCTGTGATTGGAAGCTGTTTTTTCTGAGCCACAGCTAATAATGGAATTGCCTGGTGAGAACTGACATGAACTATATGAACTGGTACGGTTGGGAATTCTATTGATGCAGTAATAATCTCTCCAATAGCTTGAGTTTCGAATTCATCTGGTCGAGACTCAAGAAACGTAGAGTATAATGTAGGATCAAGTGAATAATCGACATCCACAGTTGCACCACTATCCATCTCAGCATGAAACATCAACATTGTCTTTTCTTGTTCCACTTCCTTCATTGCTTGTAAGATATGTTGCTTCAGAATAGCAGGAAACTCTTCAACTCCGGAATCAATCAAGAACCCTTTGAATCCTCGAACCCCCATATTAATTAACGGCTTCAAATCATTAACATTATCAGGAACTAAGCCTCCCCAGAACCCCAAATCTACCCAAGCACTATCTTTTGCTGCATCGATCTTAGTTTGAAAGTTGGACACAGTAGTCACGGGAGGTATGGAATTCAATGGCATATCAATTATAGTAGTTACCCCACCGGAAGCAGCAGATTTTGTTCCTGTTTCAAACCCTTCCCAGTGTGTTCTTCCGGGATCGTTCAAGTGAACGTGAGTATCCACTAATCCGGGCATAATTACGTGTGGTGTAACATTTTTGTACTTGGTTACATTGTAGAGTGCAAGTGTAGGATCGGAACTTCCGCGGATTCCTGAAATGATTGCAACTATTTTGCCAGTATCGGGGGAGAAAATAACTGTTGATTCCACCAACTTCGTTCCTATTAACACTCTAGTAGATGACAATGCAGTAGACATGGCTTGACACTGTTTAAAAAGAAAGAGAAGAATATAATTAGAGTTGTCGAGTTTTTACTGATAAGCGTTATCTTGGTGGTCATTGTCATTTCAAAGAAAGAAAAAAAAAAAAGAATAATTTTTTTTTACGATATTATACGATGCCAATATGCAGACTCACATGTCCATAAAACGTAACTACGGGAGGGCATAGGTATACCACTACAGCTGGATTCGGATAAAAAAGTCATGTATAATTTATAATTCTATTTAGTACATACGTGTTTAATAAGTAATCAATTGCTTACCACTCTTGGAATTAGCAACCCCATCTTGATACAACTCATGCAATTGCTTTGAACCATCAAACTTAGTTTCAGTTGAAGGAGCATCCTTTAACTTACCTTCTTCATACCAAGTAATAACTTGATTCAAGGTTTTCAATTTCAATTCCTTGTTATTTTTTAATAATTCAGTAACCCAAAATCCAGTACTGGTGAAATTCTTGAAAATGTGTAAGGAAGTAGGAATGGTGACTGGTTGGAAAGACATACCGCCATAAGTTAACATTAATCCATTGTTGTTTAACTTACGAGCAATACCACTTGAACTCTTACCACCAACACAATTCAAGGCTAATTTAAGTTCACCCCCGGTTTCCTTAACCCAATTTTTAATAACTGGTCCAAATTCCTTAGATCCATTTTGGTCTTCAGTAATGACTTGGGTGGCACCCTTTGATTTCAAATCAGCAATTGTTTCTTCAAGATTTGGTCTGTCTCTAATAACTGAAATTGAATTGAAATCTAATAATTGCCCAATTTGAGTGGCATATTGACCAACAGCAGAAGTACCACCATTTTGAATAAACCAATCCTTACCTGGTGTTAACTTAACATAGTGAGTCAACATAAGCAATGCAGTCAATGGGTTTACACTGATAGTGGCCCCTTGGTTGATTGATAATCCCAAAGGTTTACCATTTTCCTTAGATTGAGCTGGGTTGGGAATTGCAATGAAATCGCTGTCATTACCTAAAGCGTGAGTTCTCCAGGTACCAAAATTGACATTGGCTGGAATAACCCAATCACCAACTTTTAAATCTTCAACATTATCACCAACAGCAATAACTTGGAATAACCCTTCGTTACCACATGGAGCAGCAGGCTCGTCGGTGCCGAATTGAGTAGTCTTTTCAGGCTTAGAAGGGTAAACACCTTGGATTTGATTGATATCAGAAGGGTTGACTGGAGAAGCTAAGGTTTCAACAACAACTTGGTTACCTGATAAGTTCTCATCGTCAATTTGGAACGATTGGGTGAATAAAACGTCCTTTGGTTCACCGTGTTGTTTGTAAAGAACAGCTTGGGCAGTGATCATAGTTCTCAATTGAGTTAATACAGGTGTACGTGTTGTTCTTACTAGAGAAGAAAACATAGTTTGATGAAATTAGATTTGGGGAAGTGTTGATGTGAGCGGGGGTGGTAAATGCTGCTACTTTATAATGATTTTTTTTTTCTTGCTGTGTTTATTGGTCTATATAAAGGAATATATGTTTTTCCACGGCAATTCAAACAACGATAAATACATTGCTTACTAATATTACTCAGACTTTTCTTCTTTATCTAATCTTGCTTGCTTTTGTAACTTCTTCAACTTGATGTTTTGGATCGTACCCAAGACAAACGAAACAGAACTAAAGAAAACAACCCATAATTCTTGCGGAATGTATTTTTGAGCCACAATCAAAGACACAAATGAAGTGACCAATGCAGTCTTCAAAATACCCTTGTAACCACGTTGTAATCCAGTCTTGACGATTCCAACCATCTTGGCTACTTCCTTCTTAAGGTTGAACTCACCTTTGTCGACTTTATAATTGTTAATTAAACTAACCCATGAGACAAAAATACCACATATGGTTGGAGTAACAGTTAACAACGAAGTTAAAAGTTGCAAAATCTTGCCTAGTTTACTTAATTGACCAGTGAAGATCTTGTTGTTGATAATATGGTACATGTAATGACTCACTGGAGTTGAAATTAACCCACCATATATAATCATCTTGATCAATTTAGGACTTAATACGTGGTTAACTTTATATCCTAAGATTTCAGTTGTGGAATAATCAGAAGTGACTGTAGTTGAAATGATTTCATTTAATCCATTGAGGATTGCACCAGTTATAGCTTTGGTTAAAAGTGGATATTTGATAATACTTTCGACGTATTTAGCATTGGCTTGTTTAAGTGACGGCATTATTTTATTTTTGGTGTTACTAGTCGAAAAAAGAGGTTCTCGATGTTTGTAAGTTGAAAAGAAAGTGTGAAAGAAATTTGTTGTCTATATATGTGTAAATGGAAAAAGTTGGGGTATGTTTATCTTCCGCTAATTTATAATCCGGTTCAATTTGGTAATTAAATCCGAGATCTAAGATAAGATTTTATGTTTAGATTTTAACCCATTTTTTAGGTTAGAGATCACTAGATCAAGCGTACATTCCGACTCTCACTACATTATTTTCATAATAACGCGTTCTCTTCCTCTTTGATTATAGATATATCACTGTGTTGGCCCATCCAAGCCGCGGTAACTTGTATTTTTCAAAAGTGGGGGTACTAAAAAGATGTCCCCCGCACAGGAAAAAGGGGTTTTTATGAGGGTCGGTTGTTGGTCCCCGATTGACTGCAAAAAAAATTCTCAGAATTGCAACGGATCTTTTGACTACATTTTTGTCAAACCATATATCACTGGATGGTGTGAATAATCTAATTACAACTATTGGGTTAGTGTTTTAAAATTACAAGATTTCCGGAGAAATTTGTATATTTTTTTACAAATTTCGGGAGAATATTTAATCAGATTTACAAGCATTAGTGGGTTATTATAAAACATACAAAACACTTACATCCCAATTTAAATCCAAGCAAATTCTATAACTAGATATACCAGAGTTGATTGCATAAATGCCATTCTATCAATAACTAGTCCCCTTAATACTTATACTACTTGCGCAATCCAAAAGAGTATTTCCTATTTAGGTAACAATTGCACACGTGATCCCACTTCTCTGATAGTAAACTATGTAATGCACCAGAGAAACTTATAGAAGCAATGATACAGATAAGGACAGTTTATATTAACTGTAGTTTGAGGGTATTAATAAAATTAATCAAGTTATAGCTTCCTTCAAGTGTAATGTTGGGATTTCATTAGCATAAAGATAACAAGTAATTTCTTGATATTATCAACATTCCAACATTCAAAGTTGTACATTCATAAACATTAGAACTATACAAGGGTCAAATGAATTCCAACACACTTCCTTGATTTAACAATATCATATTAAGGTGTCTCCTTAATTCCCCCTCCAAAAAAAAAAGGCCAATTATGTAAACTTTACAAGTAAACCACCATTAATCATGACAAATAGATCCTTTTCTGTAAAAGGCTTATTCAGTTCGCATCCCGTTAATGCCAATTACAAGATCAAAAACCAGCTAAATATCAGTTCATTCAATTAAAGGCACGCTTTTCAAATTCAGGATCCTAGCAACACAGAATAAGAATCAAAAGAGATTCCTAACAACAATCCACATCAAGCCCATGAATTATATCGAGAACAACACTTTATTCCATCAATGTATGATGCCGTGCGGCGACTACTAAAATGGGAACCCGGATAAATTGCATCTGCAACAATGATGTCACCACCAAACTTAGGAATTCCGGAGATAGCCCGGTGATATTCTTCACTTATAGACACTGATAAATGCTTGTAGTTGATCATACTTTATTGAAGTTTAGAAGCAGATGATTATAGTTGGAAAGAACTTATCATTTTCATGGGTTGACTCACAATTCACTTGTATTTTTTTTTGTAGATCAACATCACAGTTGATTAACCAATCAAACCAACATAATGCAAGTGATTTAAAGTCATAAAGGTTCGAATATGATCTGATAACTATCTCATGAAGCTTTATTACCTGAGCCGAGTACTAAGATTAACCTTGTTATCCACAATAGTTTATTTTGGTATTCTTCTGACCATGATTTAGCAACAATTCCCACGAATCAAATCATTTAATAATTCATCTATCAATATAATCTTCTTGGCAACCGTTAAAATCCTACATATAGCAAACATATAGTCGGATAATTTAAATTGAAAGTACGAAATGGAAATTTTCAATAATTGGATCAACTACAAGAGAAAATCTTCAGGTATATCTCCTCAATCGACGGAGAAAAAGTGTCCATGATCCTCTCAACTAACCCCTATTTCTGATTAACCAATTTCAGTATTAGACCCTGCTTGAGAGAACCCCCCCCCTTCCCAAAGACTTAATGTGTAAAATGTGTAAAATCTCATTACGCGAGATTAGACAAATAAAGAGAACAACAAGTTTACGAACCTCAACATTTTTACTATATGTACCCCACTATGTACCCCTCTGGGGAAACAGTACAAATAGAGTGCATACATTTACAATTTGAAATTAGGGTAGATCGGTGAAACAGCATTTCGGGGTTTGTGGGCTAAAATATTTTTTTAGTCTTTGTTTGAATAAGTGGGGATAATGCTACGTCCAACAGAAATAAGAAATTTTCCACCGGCGAAATAGTTCGGAATAACAGTACACTAAAAAAAAGTGCTGTTATGCCGGGCTGGACGCGAAGAGGAGACATTAGTGATAATGATTCCCGCCACTTAATACAGTCAATAGAGCCAAACCAGCCAATTCAATTGAGAAAATTAGGTTTACATACAATTCCAAGAGATACTGTCCAGATTTCCGAAATCTCCAAGTGAAACTCAGTCAATTAATGACCAAAAACTGCATCAGAATTAACTTGTGCAGAAGTCATGCTAAATTCCTACTGTTTCTCATCGGATCGGCGTTGTGTTCTTCCGAACTGCAAAGACGATAGGAAATTATTCTTTCTTTCATCGCGGGGCAGTAATGGGGTAGCGATACCTTTGGTAAAAAATTATTCAGCTGTAACAATAGTTAGTTTCTTTTAGTTTCATATTTCCGGCATGTAGAAATTCAAGAGTGTCGTACCCATTGTTCGGAGGAACTGTCTGTGATGTGCCTAATAAAACCCTGCCCATTTCCGCACAGAACGGAACAACAGTAGTAGAGCCCACACAATGGATTATTTAAAAAAAAGAAATGCAAAGCCTGTAATGTCAAACAATGATTTCTATGCAGGATAAATTAATGGCAGAGCTTAATCTGAATAGTTCTCCAGATTTGTGTGGTGGGAAATGCCACCAATATCCCCTCCCTCCCCCCCCCCCCCCTCCCAAACAAATGTCTTCCCTATTCATTGAATACATTTTGTACTTCACACCTTACTACGTCATACAACATAAATCCAGCATGCATAAGCAATGATGAACAAATCTAAAAATTTGGCAATGCCGCGCGTATGTCATTTACAGATTGCCATTTGCAACCGCGAGAGATTAAGTTTTGTGAACTAAGGTGCTAACACAAACAAAACCCTTTACACATTTATGACGTTAACTGCCACTAGATGTGTTAGTTTTAGTAATTTTTCTTCTCGGAAGAACAGCAGTGGATATTTTTTCCGTTCATTGTATCATTATTTTATGCGCGATTCATCAATTTTTTATTTTTTTTTTATTTTTGACGTAGCAATAAAGAAGGCAGAGGAAAAAGAAAAAAAAAAATATTACTCAGAAACGGCGTTTGTGGATTTTGAGTTATCGAGTTTTGACTCGTGATTGACAGGGAGACATAGGGAAAATAATATGCCACGTCAATCTATACATATACCAATTGCAATTGATATGTATCTATATAATGCTGATCTATAATTCCCCGGTGGCAAATTAGACTGTTACAGTTACTTCTCATCACAGCAATTCACAATATAGCAAATATGTATGTTCGTTTCAGCTACGTACCCAACCTACCTGCATATACCAGAACAATAGATTATTATTTTTAAGTTAAAAATAATATTTTTTAATAATAATTATCCCAACATATACAGGAAATATGGGGGAAGACTTTTAATTTCAACAATACAGATTTGGGGAATCAATAGACTTTAACAGACATTTTATGCACACCTTCAAATGACATCAGCAATCATATAAATATAGATTGAATTTCCATCTCGGAAGTTCAAAAAATTTTTTTTATATCATTATCATCTCATCATCAACATGTCTGGGATTTTAGAAAGTTCTAGTGTATCCGATAATAGCATTCAAAAGGGGAAAGAAATTGACGAGTTAGAATCAGTTAACTCCGAAGTTGAAAGAAGTCAAGGTGAACATGGTAACATTTTAGCTGAATATACCGAAGATCAAGTTATGCAAATGGGTAGACATTATGCTTCTACTCATGGGTTAGATCAAGAATTGTTCGCTAAGGCCGCTGCTATCGCTAGAGCTCCAAGCTCATTCAATTCCATGCCATTCTTATCTGATCTGGAAAAGTCTGGTTTACACTTGGAAGCTACCAAGAAATGGCACATTCCTGCCAAATTAATTGGTGTCATTGCTGTTGGTTCTATGGCTGCCGCTGTGCAAGGTATGGATGAATCCGTTATTAATGGTGCCACCTTGTTTTATCCAAGTGCCTTTGGTATCACTGAAATGAAGAATGCCGATTTATTAGAAGGTTTAGTTAACGGTGCTCCATATCTTTGTTGTTCTGTTATTGCTTGTTGGATGAGTGATTTCTGTAACCATAGATTGGGAAGAAAGTGGACTATTTTCATGACTTGTTGTATTTCTGCCATTACTTGTGTTTGGCAAGGTTTAGTTAATAACTGGTGGCATTTGTTTATTGCCAGATTCTTCCTTGGATTTGGTATTGGTATTAAGTCTGCTACTGTTCCAGCTTATGCTGCTGAATGTACTCCAAAACATATTAGAGGTTCCTTGGTTATGATGTGGCAATTCTTCACTGCTGTTGGTATTATGTTTGGTTATGTTGCTTGTTTGGCCTTTTATTATGTTCCACATTTGAGTTTTGGTACTGGATTGAACTGGAGATTAATGCTTGGTTCTGCTTGTATTCCTGCTTTCCTTGTCTTGTTCCAAATTCCATTTGTTCCTGAATCTCCTCGTTGGTTAATGGGTAAGAACAGACACAAGGAAGCATTTGAATCATTAAAGGCTTTGAGATACGAAGAAATTTCTGCTGCCAGAGATTGTTTCTACCAATACGTTTTGTTGAATGAAGAAGAAGGTAAGTATGATGTTTCCTTCTGGAAGAGATTAGGTGAATTGTTTACCGTCAGAAGAAACAGAAACGGTGCTTTGGGTGCTTGGATTGTTATGTTTATGCAACAATTCTGTGGTATTAACGTTATTGCTTACTATTCTTCATCTATTTTTATCAAGGCTAACTTTAGTGAAATTTCTGCATTATTGGCTTCTTGGGGTTTTGGTATGATTAACTTTACTTTTGCTATTCCAGCTTTCTTCACCATTGATAAATTCGGTAGAAGAGCTTTGTTATTGACTACTTTCCCATTAATGGGTATTTTCTTGTTGATTGCCGGTTTTGGTTTCTTAATCAAGGATCAACAAGGTCAATTAGCCATGGTTATTGTTGGTGTTTACTTGTTCTCTGCTGTCTACTCCTCGGGTGAAGGTCCAGTTCCATTCACTTATTCCGCCGAAGCTTTCCCATTGTATATCAGAGATTTAGGTATGAGTTTTGCTACTGCTACTTGTTGGTTCTTTAACTTTATCTTGGCATTCACTTGGCCAAGATTGCAAAACGCCTTCACTCCAACAGGTGCATTTGGTTTCTACGCTGCTTGGAACATTGTTGGTTTCTTCTTGGTGTTGTGGTTCTTGCCAGAAACTAAGGGATTAACATTGGAAGAATTGGATGACGTTTTCTCTGTCCCAGCTATGGAACATGCTGCTTATCAAACCAAGAGCTTCTGGAATGGTATTCAAAGAATTGTTTTGCACAGAAACGTTGACCCATTACCTCCATTATATCACCATCAAAAGATGGCTCTTATGAATCCTGAATGGAATGAAAAGTCCGAAACTGCTCATGTTGAACAGAAGTAGTTGAAGCTTAAATTTCTTCAAATGTTTAGTTCTTGTTATACACTTTTAGTTTGTTTAGTTTTTTTAGAAATAAGATATTTTTACTGATAATCAAGTAATGTAGGCAGCTTCTTGTAGTACCTTTTTTTTTCTTCCAATAGTTTACTCTACATGTAAGTATAATTTACAATGTGCTTAAACTCGAGATAATATACATGTAACCCCAGCAGAGTAATGTCAATAAACGAAAGCCATGATAGTTTCTCAGAGCATTCCTTTGTCGGCACCATAATATATATGAGTCATTTATATTATCCCCCTCCCCTCCCAGTTTAGCGATATTCGTTATAACTTCAATGATTACGTTTATATTTCAATTGTAAAAGACTATCTCATGAAATCTCTTAAATAAGAACCTAATTTATTAGCACCTTCTTCCAAAGCATCCTTCAAAACATCCAAATCTTGATTAGCATTACCAGAGAATCTTGACGCAAATTCTCGTGCAGATGCTTCTATATCAGCCAATCCACCAGTTCCAGAACGACCACGACCACCTGGTCTACCACCATTTGCTCCTTCTTCCTCACCGAAATACGAAGAGGATGAAATGGATTGGGCACCACTGTAAGCTTGTAATTTCAGCCTAGCTTCATTCTTGGCTTGCTCATCGAATCTAGGACCTCTACCAAAGAATTCATCAGAGGAAATCCCCTTTTGGGTACCATACTTGTTGGACACTTCTCCGGTATATTTAACTTCCTTGTATTGTTTGGATGGTCCGGAACTTACATTGTTTTCACCTTGAACCATACCGAATCCCAATTTTTGGAATTGTTGTGTGGTTTCTTGAATTGGAGCTGGAGTGAGAACAACATCGTCATTGGATTTGCCCAAAGATAAAGATTTCTTGGGTAAAGTGGCAGCTGGGGCCGGGGTAGGAGTGAGGTTTTCATTAGGGTTGTATCCTAACTTGGCGGCTTCTTCAGCTTCTTTTATGGCTTGTTTTTCAAGCTCTTCAAAATCAATATCAGCTGGCTCAGACTTGTTTATTCTCTTGGCAGCCAATCTGGAAGATCTTGGTCCATTACCTTTACTCAATAAGATAGATTTTTTAGCACCACCGACAGCGGAGGATGTAGTCTTTAATCTGGAAGATGTGGTGGTGGTGGTGGTGGTAGATGTACGAGGAGTAGTAGTTATTGGTTTCTTCTTGGTTAAATCGTCGGTGGATACACTTGGAGAAACATTCTTGGACGTAATGGGCGATGGAGTGGAGTTAACCGGTTTGGTCCAGTTGGAAAAGAAATCGTCGGTGGATTCACTAGCGGAATCAGAAATCTCTAAATTATCAGTAGTGTCTTCCAAGGTGACAACATCTGGATGTTTGATGGCATCAGCCATAGCCTTTTGCTTTAATTTTTCCTTATACTTTTGAGCCACGGGAGAGTTATATTTAGCCACGGCATCAACACCATTCTTATTATTTACATATTGAGAACCTCCATGTCTTTGGAAAAACTCTTTAGCATGTTGGTTACCGCCAAATTTAAAATTTCTCAATTGGATTCTTTGCCACGAATCCAAGTTTGTCGATTTCACAAACGAAATATGGACACCCAAATTTCTATGAACCGATGAACATTCAAGACATAATAAAATTCCAAATGGGATTGACGACCAAGTAGGGTTTCTATTGGAACAATCAAAACAGACTTGATTGGCCGGATCTTTTCTTAATCTATCAAAGATCTTGGCTGCTTCTTCTTTCGTAGCAAATGAATCGGACATGTCTAAGATCTTTCAAGCACCAACAAAATTTACTCTGGGTTGAGTATGTGGGAAGATAAATGAATCGAAAAAAAAACAAATGGTGAAATCTGTGACGTGTACCAACGAAAAATAAGAGATTGTGTTTGCACGTGACTCGTGATCTTCTGATCCAGAAAATATAACAATCACGTGCAACGTTAACATACTTGTCATACATTAAATAACAGTCTATACATATATACAATTAAACTAATGGAAAGGTCTTGAAGCACCACGAGCAAATTCAACAATCTTCCATCCTTCGGTAGTCTTGTTTTCAAATTCTTCAGGAACTCGGGTTAAAACCATGGCGTAAGTACTCAATTGAACACTATCTTCAGTACCAGCAGCAATTTCTCCAGTCTTGGCCTTTCTGTAAAGATGGATTTCTTGGGCTCTGCAACTAACAACAATAACTGGGGTTTCATTTGGTTGGATGGTTTTGCAAGTAACAATTTCAATACCTCTGATATCCAAGATCTTTGAATCGGAGAATAATCCTTGTTGGATAAATTGTTTGTTATTGGCTTGCCAAACATTGTATGGGGCTTCACTCAACCATTGTTTTAATACAGCATCTTCATTCTTGATATAAGCATCCAAGATTTCTGGAACAATATAATTGGTCAAAGTCTTTTGGAAGTCGGTTAATCTAAAGTTTGGATCCATCATTCGAAGTTTCTTGATGACTTTAGCTTGTTCGGTTTCGGCAAAGAAACCGGTAACCTTTTCAAATATAGTACGTACTAACGCAATTAATCCATTTTCAGATTCTTCCCATTTTTCTTGTAAATAAGAAATACCACGACCTACCGGAGACTTAAGTTTAAACTTTTCCCACTTTTCATTCAAACCAGGACCAGAGGCCTTGTGTTCAGTGGCAACTAATTCACCTCCAGCTTCTTCGTTTTCTCTAACAGGACCTTTCCATCCCTTTTTGATTCTGTCTTGTAATTCCTTTTGTCTCAAGGCCTCACGTTGTTCCTTAGTAAGGAACCCACCGTATGCAGTTGAAGATCCGTCATCAATAACTTCAGAAACATCCTTGTAAACTTGGGTTTTTCTAACTGGTTCAAATGCCTTGTCGGCAACGTCAGCGGTGACTCTAACGGTAGTTCTAACCCCTTTACCTACAGGAGAGTCCCATGCCTTGACAGCAACATCACCGGCGACATCAGCAGCTTTCAAGACAACTTTCCCAGCAGCAGAAGTACCCAATTGTGCCTTGGCGTAGGCTTCCTTAGCACGCTTAAAAGCTTCAGATTCGGCCATTCTCCCAGACTCATCTTGTAATGCTTTGATGTTTTCCTTTAATTCAGAAGACTTTTGCACTTCTTGCTTGAATGTGTTGAAGAAAACCTTCATCGGCGATTCCCCACTTGGTCTGTCATTGAAGTTAATGCGGGAATAGTGAAATGAACGGGCAGCCAAAGTAGGAACGGCAAATTTGGCAACTGATGCTGCAGCAACGTATTGGTTAGGCTTTACTATGGTTGATCTCAACATAATGGAAAATTTTTCGTAAGTCGTATGAAAGATATTATTATTATTATTATTATTAAAAGGACTTGTGTGTGTGAATGTGTAGTTGATTTGTTTTTACTTTATACAGGACAAACAAGTAGTATCAGAAATGAACCAACTTGATTGAAGGAGGGCGGGGTGGCGTTAACTATGTACAGTGAAGAAGTAAAACTGGCAACACTCCACTCTTCATCCATGAGAATTTTTTTTTCTTATAATTTTTTTTTTTCTTTCGCATTTCTTTTTCCTAATGGCAAATCCGCTCAGGTGCGTATTTCGGTCCCGGCATTTACCACACGAGAGCTACCAGGTGGAGATCCAATCTTTAACTATATCGGTCAGTAAAACGTACGGCTACAACCAGTCTATGTACATAAATATATATTCAAATCATTTCTTATTTAATTTCAGGTATAATTGGAGCAACTTAGTTACAACTCCAACTATAGCTGCACCAGCAACTGCATAGTTGATACCAGTTAACGTCTTTTGTTGTCTTGCTTCAATCTCCACCGCTTCATGATAAGGAATGTCATCACGGAACGAAATCATCGTATATAATGGCAACCATTGGAAGTATTTGCCATTGCAGTACTTGGCCAAGGTATAGTCCAAGTTCTTCTTAATCAAATAGCCAATACTAGTAACCTTTGTTGACATCTCATAGAAATTCTCAAGGGCTAACTTACAAATTGCATCGAGATCCTTCTTTCTGACATCAGAATACTTGATAAATGCCGCTTGTATGTCTTCTGTTTCTTCAATCAACTCCATCAATACTCTCACATCTTCAAACCCACAATTCATACCTTGGCCATAGAAGGGAACCATGGAATGGGCAGCATCTCCAATGAGAATGGCTCTGCCATTGGGACTGTGATATGGGTAGGCACTGACTTGCATCAAGGAACCACGAGGATTCTTTTCATAAGCAGTGGCCAAAGCCTCTTCCCCAATCAAGTCATAGGCATCAGGGAAGTTTTCCTGGAAGAAGGTCAAAAATTCTTCACTGGTCTTCAAAGATTCAATAACTGACCATGGACTGAAAAATGTCGAAGTAAATGACCCATCCTTGTTGGCCAAGGCAATCAACATATAATTGTGTCTGGGCCAGATGTGTAAGTGGTTGGGGTTGATATGGAATCTGCTCACGGCTTCAGGGTCTTCATTAGGAGGAATATAAAGTTCCAAGTATTGCATGTCGACATAATTTTGCGAGTAGTTCAATCTGCTAAATCTCAGCATTTGGTATCTGAATTGAGAATGGGCCCCATCTGCACCAACAATGTAATCAAACTTGAACGTTTTAAATTCGTTATGTTGCTTGGAATCAAGGAAAACCATACTGGGTTTAACTTCAGTGGTTATGTCGTTCAATCTAATCAACTTGTGGTCAAACAATACTCGGACATTTTCCTGCATGTCAAGCTCGTTCAAAAGACATTCATTTAAGAATCCTCGGTCGATAGAGTTTATACATTCTCCGTACAATCCATATAATTGAGATTCTTGCTTGGTTCCGGTAAGATCATGAATCATTCTTCCCTTCATAGGAACAATATATTCCAATACTCGGTCGGTAATTTCCTCGTCAACGTACTTCATGGCACGGATCCCACGATTACTAATAGCCAAATTAATCGATCTCAAGTTCTTTTGCGATCTATCCTTGACGGTTCTTGGGTCCGACCGTAATTCAAATAAGGTCACCAGATAGCCTTTCTTGGCAAATGCGAGTGCGGCAAGACACCCCACCAAACCGGCACCTACAATACCCACAGTTTCCCCCTGACTGGAAGAATCGTGACTATTGACCATAGTAGGAATGTGGTGATTGTTCTCGAGTATAGCTGATGTATTTACAGAGTCCATGATAGTGTTGCTAGGTAAAGAGAATCCAAAAACCAAAAAAAAAGAGAGACAACCGTAAATTTTTATTGTATCAGCTAATTTTTTTCGTCTTATATAAAGAAAGTAGGCGAGGTAAAAATCATGCGATAAAAATTTAGTCTTTTTCCAAAATTGCAAACCGTTCGGAATTTTATGCCGTACAGTACCGTTTCGTGATGGAATCTGTCAAGTTGTCATGCCAATCGTCTCTACTATTAATTTAGTCGACCTAGTTCCAGAATTCGGAACCACCGGGGGGCGAAGAACGATAGTATTACGATGTCGATCGTGTAGAAATGGGGTTTACAGCCGATTAGTCCCACGCGTGTCGACAAGGCGGCAAACGTTTAAGGGGCACAGTAAAATTTATTTCGGTTATGCGGAGTTTAATCTTAATTATACATTCGGTTATCCGAAGCTTAATACCTCGCCTCTGATTGACTCAACCTTAAAGCTATACCAAGAGCTACCATGTGCGTGGTATTATTCGTTAGGCAAATGTGTGTAATTTAGTCTGGCTACTAAGCCGAATTACGAACGTCGGTCAAGATACATGCGTTGTCGATCGACAACACTACTCAAGTGGCTAATTAATATACGACATAAACATCATGCATATGGCTATTGTCTCAGGTTGTTATGACATTCTCGGTGTTTACGAGGGAGGGCGGTGGTGTTTAGCCGGTTACTGTTATTGGGTGCAAAATATATATATAACTATACAATCTATACGAACTATTGTCCCTCCACAGGAACAGGTGAAACTTTGCTGAGTTTGACCTTCATTTCTTCAATCTTCTCCCTAACTTCATCAACTTGCTGTTGTAATTCATTATTCCTTTGATAAAACTCTTTATTGGCTTTGATTGTATTTTGAAGGTTTTCCTTCATGGTCAATTCCTCGTATTTTTGATTCAATTCTTGTTTTTCCTGCGTGAGTTTCTCATTCACTTGTTGAGCAGTGGATAATTGTTCCTTGTATTCTTTACTTTGATTCATAATCTCTTGATGGGTGGTTTGTAACGTGTCTATCTTCTGTTTCAACTCGTTCACCTTAATCATTAAGTCGTCATTGACTTCTCTTAAATTGGTTAATTCATTTCTGTTAGAGTTGAATGAATTGGCGTGAATCAAGTGAAACTCATTTTCATACTTGATTATTTCTGGCTGAATATTCAAAATATCTTGGAAATTAACAGGCCCCGAGAACAACTCCTTTGAATTGATGAATTCAAGCAATTCATCACCGTCGATTTGTAAAATCTTTTCTTTGTTACAGGAAACTGCCCACACAATAAGTCTAAGAATGAAATCAAATCCTTCAAATATCACAAAATCAAGAATTTTCAAATTTATACTGAAATCTTCAAAATACTTATTAAAGAAATTCCCAATAATTTCCTTGTATGTTGAATTCAAGTTGATTCCCTGTAAGGTAATATGTTTAAACACATCAGTCAACTCATCTTCTAAAGTCCGATTAACCTTGTAAAAGAATTCTTCCTTGATCAAGTTCTGATATAACTTGTTCAATTTTAGTAACACATACAACCTTTCTTCTGGTGAAAATTCTTGGATTTGGTTAATCACAGCTGAACTGTTTATAACAAATTTGGTAAGGTTTACCCTGGTATGTTCTGCCTTACTACCAACTTCATTAACCAAGTAGTCCAAAATAATCAACAAATCTTTAGCATTGGAATCTTGAGTCGACTTGTCAATATATTCATAACTGCCATTTGCATGTCTAGCCTTGTTCAATAAACTGGAGAAAGTCTCCTTCAGACTCAACTTATATCTAACTTGTAACGTCTTTAAGTAAACCAAATATCTCACTTCATTAGGAATTCCGCTGATCACCTTCTGTTCAACTTGGTCAATACCTTCATTTCCTTTCAAAAACTGATTACTATAATCTTCAACTATCCCAACCCAATATTGGATATCCTCGTTATCAGACTCGCCTTTCAATACATCAATTTTGGCTCTGATAGTGTCATTTCCCAAGGTGTTGTTGACAAACAAATCTGAGGTCTCATGAAATTGAGGCGATGAATAAATCTCAACTTGTCTGACGGCAGATATCTTGGAGATTCCGTCGGATAAGGTGAAAGAAAGTGGTTGTATAATGTGTGGTGAATCCTTCCGTGGAGGAAGTGGTGGTGGAAGGTCAGAACTGGATACGTTGTTTGGTTGTTCTGAAGCTGTGTCGTCAATTGGGACAGAGGTCAATGAATCTTGAGTATCCTGAGCAACTTGCTCTTGCGGTAGTGGCTGGTCACTCATGCTTGGTGTTGCTTCCTTGTGGTTGTAAATGTATGTGGTAAATTTTATCTGTGTGGTTTTCTGTTATTTTTTTTTTTGTTTGTTTGTTTGACACCGCGCAACAAAATATCTCCGCCACTCCCTAAACAATTATAAATATGTATTAAGAAATATGCTATAAAATGCTACTTTAACCTTCTTCGTTTAGATGGGTTCCGTCGTGGAGTTGTTATTTCTTCTTTCTCTAAATTAACAACTTGCTTAGTAATCTGAACTTCTCCGGAATTACTTCTTTGTACTTGTTTTGGTGGTGAAGTTGACTTCAATGGTGTGCTTGACCTGGACCTCTCTTCGTAACTCGGTATTTCAATAATAGTTCCCTTTGATGCCCACGTATCCAACATCATCAATTTACCTCCTCTAGACCGAGTTCTTGTTCTACGTACTTCCCGTATAGGACTCTCTGTTTCGTGAATAACCACCAGCTCCTGACTATCCCGTTTTTTTGAATCCACCTTGCTCGGAGATATGGGTCTGGTTATAGTGCTAACAGGTCTTATCTTTTCTGACTCTTTGATTGAATTAGATTCAAATTTCGGTGATTTATCTCCAGAGACTTCTAATTCTGGCTCAATCAATTCAATAGAATCAGACTCGATCATAGGCATGTGTGTTCCATTATATTTCAAATCTGGTATCATCTCTTCAACAGGTTCCACCAGGAAGGGAACATCAATTTCAGATAAAGAAGAATCATACTCTGCACTAGTCACTCGTTGAGTTCGAAGCTTCCTGGTCTTGGAATATCCAGACTCCGGTAATTTTCTCGTAGTGTTTAAATTTTCTGATTCCACTTCTTGAGTAGAACCTAACACGATCGGCGAATGTCTTTTACTAACAATAAAGTCATCTATTTTCTTTCTTTTGGGCTCAACTTCTTCCCCAGAATCATGTTTTTTCATTGGTTGAAGTTCTTCGACCGAATCATCACTCATTCTTGAGCTAATCTCAACCGAATCAATAGTAATAGGTCTAGTGTTAGTATTGTCAACTAAATTAACTGAAATAGGTCTCGATCCACTCCCTTCATGCTTTCGTTCCACTTCACGCTTCCCTTCTGACTCGGCTTCAGTTGATTCCACAAAAATCGTTTGAGGTTTGTGTTCTTTAATAATAGCCACATCATTAGATCTTAGTCTTCTAGGAATGACCTTTTTAGTCCTCACTTCAGTAGACTTGGATAGTTTCACATTAGTGTCTGATTTAGAATCCTTAGTACCATGTTTTCGTCTAGCAACGTAAGATCTTGGTTCAACATCCTCAGAGAAATCTAAAAGAGATCTCTGAGAAATGCGGCTATTGGGTTTAGTTTCCTTAGCTGCTTTGTGCTGGACTTCATCTGCAGAATCGACATCAATAGGTTTGTCCTTAATTAATTCGGATTCATCTTCATCAATATCGATAGATTCGGGTATATTCATTTTAGAGTAAGAGTTGTCATTAATTGTTTCGCTGGGATCAGTTTTTCCAACATCTGTAGTTTCCTTTAAATTAGGTTTGAGTTCAGCCGAGTTACTGTTCTGTGAATCGATTATATCATTAACAGAAGCACCAATCTTTCTTGCTTGAGAATCTTGTTCCAATTCGTGAATATAGTTTGTTTTATACTTCAAGGCAGCTAGTGATGGAGTGGATTCAATCTTCTTGATAGTTTCGTCTTTGTCTTGAATCTGTGGTTGTATTTTCTCGATAGACTTGGGTCTCAGAGTATGAGAAATATGTGATGCAGTGGGATCAGTTCTTTCTACTTTGTTTTGCAATCTCGGTGGTAGTTTCTCAAGGGACTTAAATCTCAACCAGTGAGCAGGCTCAGATGAAGGTGGGTCTCTCCGTTCGATGCTTTTGACCCTGTCTTGCAGGACCTCCTCAATTGAATTAGATCTGGATCTGTGTACAGTTTGCGAAGTAATAGTGTCAACATCAAGTTTTTCAGTAGTTGCTTTAAAATTATTAGCTAGACCATTGACAGTAGCTGATCTTGATTCTTGGTTAACCTCGATGTCGGGAAGAAATATTCCACCCGAATTCGGCACCGAGTCATATTGCACAACACTAGGACTAATTGGCTTAACTTCCACAATTGAGTGATCATCATCAGAATCGGCAATTTCATCTTCAGTAACTGTTTCATGTTCACCCTTGTCAACATCAGTCTCTTTTCCTGTTTGACTATTCTCAGATTTCAATGATGCTGTAGTGGATGCTAAATCTTCTGAACTTGATCTGGAACTATATACTAATGGTTCTGTAGGTGGCCAAGCAAATGTAGCTTGGTTATTGCTTCTAGTATTAACTTTTGGTGGTAGTTTTCGTGTAAGAGCAATAGGCTCTGATTGAGGCCATGCTTGCACTTTGTGGGAACTTTCAATGGGTTCTTTAGCTTGATTAATATCTTCCAATCGCAGAACATCAGGCTCTGGTTTTGTTATTTCAGACTTTAGATATTTGAATTCAGATTTGAAAAGTTGATTCGCTTCAATATTTACAAGTTTGGTTGTATGCTCTTGTGAGTGCGGAAATGTAGTGGGGTTTTCAGTATTGTGTTTGGGGATTCCGACTGGTGAACTATCTATTAAAACTGAACGACTTTTAGTAGTGTTGCTGGAATCACCATTTATGGGTTTGGGTGAAAGCTTGGTTAATCCAGTGGTACTTGTGGGACGTTCCAATTTATGTTCGTGCAGATTATTGTAAAAGTATTTACTCAGAATTGTACCTGGTCTAATGATCTCAGGTTGAGTACTAGTTGCTGCCCTGTTTGTATTTGCATCTGTTGAATTGGATGAATTGCCAGATGAACCAGGTTTGTTTGTTTTTGCATTTGCTTCTTCGATTATTTGCTTTGGTCGTTTTAATTTCTGTTTTGATCCTTGAACAAACTTATCTGCATTGAATATGTCAATGACCACTTTTTTTGCTGGTTCTTCACTTACTTTAATATTCTCTTCCTTCGCTTGTTCTTTACTGGGTTTAATTTTCACATTCTTTACTAATTCTTCACTTACTTCAAGTTTATCCATGGTCTTAGGTTTATACCTAGCCTTTGATTCATCCAGGCTTTTAGACTCATCTACATTCACGGGCACATCTTCAATTGGATTTTCCTGAGAGGCAAAAGAATCTTCCACGAGCAAAACATTATCATCCGAATCACTATCTATCAACGTAACCAGGTCCTTGTTTGATTCTTGTGATTCCACCACAGTAGTTTCTTGAGATAAACTAGAACCTTCTTCGTCTTTCTTTGTCATTGGTTGATCCATTGATGAATCAGACTCTATACTCAATTTGAAGACTCCATATGCACTTTTAGAAACTTCATTTGATTCTTGACTCATTTGTACATTGGTCTCTGACTTTTCTTTGTATAAATAAAACGATTTCTTGAATTCTTGAACAATGAGCTCTTGCTTTAGCTCATCAGTCTCCTTCAGTAACGAATCTAGAAACAACTGAACATTCTCAATGATAGTTATAGGTAATGCTGCAAATTGATCCGGAAATAATTCATTTAACATTGTTACACCAATGTTGAGAACCTGCCTTTCACCAAATCGTACATTTAATTCCAGGTTGTGAAAATTTGGCCGATTGGGCCGGTTGGGCTTTTCTTGCACTCTTGGGTCAAGAGTTTTAGGATAATTAGTAGTTACAGTTTGATGTTCAACAGGTTTTTCTTCTGGTTTGGTAGATCTATGTTCAATGAAAATCACATCATCTTCATCCTCCTGGAGCTTTGGAATTTCGGTATGTTGTTCTTGTTTTGCATGCAAATCTAACAATATATTAATCAACTGTTTCCTCATTCCATTTCGCTCTTCGGCTAAAAACAATGTTTTGGAAACCTGGATTTGCGTACTGGAATGCGAAGTTCGCCAAATCTTCTCGCACTCCTGAATATTATTAATCCATTTTCGTATATTATAAATGACATGAATACCACAATCATTGAAATTGTTCTGCTTAGGAACACGAGCATTTACCACCCTAATTTGATTCTTGAGAATATTGAGATTATAAATATCTTTGCAATAATCAATAATGAATCTTTTCAATGGAAGTTTAATATTAGCATGTTTGTGAGATAAAGAATCAAATATAAATATTTCACAAACATATTTCCTCGGCTTATGATCTTGGTCAGGGTGATGGCCTCCACCAGTCGTCTCAGTGTCGGAGTTATTCTCATCTTCTTCATCTGGTTGCGGGGAATGCAATTCGACGGGGTTTTGTGATGTATTTGCTACGGCTTCGGCTTCCTCTTTGGCTACTTTCAACAAATCGGGTAATCCTCTAATTATACATCCATACCAATGGGCGTGTTCATTTATAGGCATAATAACATAGGGATATTCCATTAACTGGATCTTCAGAAGCCATCTCTTAATGTTGGCATAATAATCGGGTGCTTCTTGTGGTGTTGTCTTATGGGTAAGTTTTGTGAAAAAGAATGAATTGAATGCGTAAATATCATTAGAATCTAGTTTGGGGTTTGCTTTTAGTGCTTGGTCAATTTCATATTGGATAAAGAAATCAATCACGGTGTCATTAATCCAATCATTATTATACAATGTTTTAAAATCAGTTGCTGTGATCGTGAATACTTTATTTCCGGGGAACTGATATTTCAAATCTGGTACAAATGGTGCTGGTGTTTCATGTTCTCGGAAATCATCGTCTTGAAATATGTCATCTTCCCACAATCCTCCTGTGGTCAGTGGGACAGAATCATCCTGATCTATAGATATAGGAGAAGCTTCCGTTTCTCCACCCATTTGTTGTCGGGCATTGGATCGGGTTATACGTGTTGGTGTTGTTGTTTTCATATTCTTTAATGGATCAAATATGGAAGATTTAGGTGGTGGGGATGTCGATGCTACGGGGTGAACCTGCTCCGCTCGCTTTACTCGTGATAGGACCAATTCTATATCCTTGATTGTTTTGGTGGCATCCACATTCCATTCATGATGGTTATTGAAGTATTCTCGCAAGTGTTGGTCTTGTCCATAATGGGTGGCCACTATTAATCCCTTTTGGTTTTGTAATTCTATTAGCACCGAATCGTCAGAAAATGCAAGAGATTTAAGTTGAGTTTGTCTATGAATAAGATACTTATCAAGAATCTTACCGTCTTTGGTTATAAATAGGAACTTGTTGTTGGAGGAAACCAGTAATACATAGTTACTCTTGCCGTTATTCTTAACTCTGTTTCCATTGAACAGGAATGATTTTAGTTGTAGAATCACCAACGGTGGTTCAAGCAAGTTATTGAATTTTATGTTGACACCGATATCACAGCAATCCTTGACTTCATGCGAGTATGATGGTTGGATCGGCGGTAAAGTTTGGGGTTTGGTATATTTGTGTCCATCGTTTAATCCAGCTAATCTTTCGCGTATCTGCTTGCTCTTTTCTACAATCAGCTCATGCGTACTCTTAGTAGGGGGCAGATTCGTATACTTTTCTGACGCTGACAGTCGATGTTGGTGTTGTTCTAATGCTTCGCTGTGGTTATTGTCTGATGGGCTTCGTTTGGGAATGGTTAAGGTGTTCATAGGTCTCACCCCGCCTGGTGTTATGCTAGATCCCTTCCGCCTCATAGATATTGACGAGTAGTTCTTCTCTTTTAGACTTGGTCGTTCTGATTGCATTATAGTAGTAGTATCATGTGGAGGATCTAGATAGATTGATTGAGGTTATGATGCTGATTGGCAAGGATAAGACTGGTGTTGCAAGTAAAATGACAGAGATCAATTAGGCAAAACAGTAAAATTCTGTAACAAGAAAAAAAAAATGCTAGTTAAATAGTTTTGTACTCAAGTGACATCTAGAGTTGCTGGAGACAAACAGAGACATTGCGATATGCAAATGTGATTACATGCAATCAGAGCTAGAAGAAACCAGGTTCATTACGCAGGTGTGGGATTATCTTAGAGCTAGCGGTAAAATGTAAAGTGGGATCTATTCGTAGTACAACTGTCAATATGACTTTGCTAGTTGCAAGATTTGCATGACGTCGCAAATTGGTACGATAGACCCTTTCCTTTCAAATTTACGCATGTAAAATAATCTAGCTACTATTGTTAATATAAAATACTCTTTGATTATCGTTTGTTTCGACTCATATACGCTGCCATACACGTCTACTTACGATTCCCTAATTTCTTTGTAGAAACATGTTAAAGAATATTTCTAACCATTATCACGTGACTTGGGTTTTCTGGCTTTGTTTTTTTTTTTTCTGCTCGCTCAGTGTTTTTTTTTTGGCAGCATTCAAAGGGTGGCGATTTGACCAACAATAAACTTACAAGTTAGCAAAGGAATTGATTTCCAACAATTACATTTATACAACTCAATACAAAGCTTAAACAATGGGTCAGGGTCCATCAGGAATGCCTGGCGACAACCTCAACAAGAGGAAGGATGACAAGAAGAAGGAAAAGCCAAAGTACGAACCACCAGTAGAATCCAAGTTTGGTAAAAAGAGAAGAAAAGGACCAGATACCGCCGTCAAATTACCAAGTGTGTACCCAAACACCAGATGTAAATTGAAATTGTTAAAATTGGAAAGAATTAAAGATCACTTGTTATTAGAGGAAGAATTTGTCACTAATCAAGAAGCATTCCAACCTACAGAAGCCAGACAAGCTGAAGAACGAGAAAAGGTTGATGAATTAAGAGGATACCCTATGGCTGTGGGTACTTTGGAAGAAATAATCGACGATGATCATGCAATTGTTTCTAGTACTGCCAGCTCTGAGTTTTATGTATCAATCATGTCCTTTGTTGATAAGGGTTTATTAGAGCCAGGGTGTTCAGTATTGTTGCACCATAAGACAGTTGCCGTTGTCGGTGTTTTACAAGATGATGCCGATCCAATGGTTTCTGTCATGAAGCTTGACAAATCTCCAACTGAATCATATGCCGACATTGGTGGTTTAGAATCACAAATTCAAGAAATTAAAGAATCGGTTGAATTGCCTTTGACTCATCCAGAATTATACGAAGAAATGGGTATAAAACCACCCAAGGGTGTTATATTATATGGTGCACCAGGTACTGGTAAGACCTTATTAGCCAAGGCCGTGGCCAACCAAACCAGTGCAACATTTTTAAGAATCGTCGGTTCTGAATTAATTCAAAAGTATTTGGGTGATGGTCCAAGATTATGTCGTCAAATTTTCCAAATTGCCGCTGAACATGCCCCTTCAATTGTTTTCATTGATGAAATTGATGCCATTGGTACCAAAAGATATGAATCTACTTCTGGTGGTGAACGAGAAATCCAAAGAACCATGTTGGAATTGTTGAATCAATTGGATGGTTTCGACGATAGAGGAGATATTAAAGTCATCATGGCCACCAACAAGATAGAATCTCTTGATCCTGCTTTGATCAGACCAGGTAGAATTGATAGAAAGATTTTATTTGAAAACCCGGATGCAAACACCAAGAGAAAGATTTTGAATATTCACACTTCTAAAATGAGTTTAGCTGATGACGTTAATTTAGATGAATTGGTATCTGCCAAAGATGAATTATCTGGTGCCGATATTAAAGCAATTTGTACCGAAGCAGGTTTATTAGCATTAAGAGAAAGACGTATGCAAGTTAAAGCTGATGATTTTAGACAAGCAAAGGAAAGAGTTCTTAAGAATAAGGTTGAAGAAAATCTCGAAGGTTTATACTTGTAGAATTATTTAGAATAAACATCTAATTTTCAAGTAATCTATTCGTTAACAGTAGCATTTGTTTGCCATAAAGTACCCCTCCAAAAAAAAATGAAGGGTGGCTCTTCACAGGGCGTCCTTTCTATACCTTTGTGGTATCATTCTAAACATAGAATGTGTAAGCTAAAACTAATCGCTTGGTTTGCAAGCACAATGGATGTGCAGCATTGTTAGACGGTGTTCTTTTCTACTTGTAGTTGTCAACAGGAAATGCCCAGATCGCCTGTTCTTCATTACTCTTTCTTTCTCTTCTTAGGGCTTGGTTCATCCAATTTAATATCAGTGACTTTAATCTCATCCTTTTTTGGTTCCTTAGGTGGTAACTCAGGCTTACCAATTCTTTCGCCAACTTTCAATCTTATTAAAATTGTATCCTTGAAAGAAACTTGCTTCCTGCACAACGGACAAAGTCCCTTGCCTCGTCCATTACCACTAACTTGTCCTCGGGCATGAGAACTGGATATACTCTGCTCGATACATTCCAAACAGAAGATATGACCACATGAAGTAGTAGTTGCATTTGTAACATCATCAAAGCAGATCGGGCATTGAACATCAGATAATTTTTTAGTTGTATGGTTTGGTTTCTGACTGGGATGATCGATCAAATCATTTGTGACTTTACGAAATTCGACTATCTCCACGTCTTCTTCGCCTATATCATCTTCTTCATCTGATGATATGTTGATTATGTAGTCTAATGGTGGCATGAACGACAAAACAGCAGTGAAACAAATCGTTATTTTTTTTTTTTGCCTGCGTAGATTTTTATAGTGCGGATTGAGATTTAGAGGGCAATTGCCCCAAATACTAGCAGAATGATTGAAAAGAGCGTTTGCGGATGTCTTTGTTGTTTCGATTGAACTCTAATTAGAGTATTATAGTAAAAATGGATTTAGTAAAAGTCTCAAAGATAGTCACATGCATACTCCGACGCTATATCTGCTCCTTTTCCCCTGCAAGTCAAAAGCCACCATGTATAGTTGCGGCAAGGAGAATAGACAAAGAGTACATCCTATCTTGGGTGGTATTTCCAGCAAACTCTAGAAGTAAACTTGCCCCCTCTTCGTTCCAGAAAAAAAAACAACAAGCTTTATCCCCTTACAAGTACTTGATACCTTGTTGAAAACATGTCTATTCCAATCCCAGAACAAGGCGAACGCGGCGGCAAAGAAAGAATTGCTAGTGATCAGGAGCACGATATCGAAGATAAGCTTGACAAATTAAATGAACTGGTGAAATCTTTAGAATCGAAAGTTGATTGCCAAGGAAAGAAATTAAACAAATTGATTTCTAAAGTTGAAGATTTGGGTGAGGAGAAAGTAATGAAATTCCATGTGCTTGGACTGGGAAATACCAGTCATAACTCCCATATTAGGTGAATGTGATCCAGAATTGTAAAGCATTAAATTACAATTGAATAGCTTTTATTGAAAATATTGGTATTAATTATGAATAAATTTGTACAAATTTTGATAAAATAAAGTAGATTCGTACCCTTATACCTCTTTAACCGAGGTACATATTACAAAATTATCTCCTTTGCCTGAATTACACATAATCGGCACCCTGACTTAAACTTTCAAAGTATTATTCGAACCTAGAGCTGAAATGATCCCGTTTAATAAGCTTTCAGTAATAGATAAATACCAGGAGTGCATAGAACAAAGCATTGAAACTGCATATAATGTTAACAGAATTGACCGTTGTATCACAAAGCTCTATTACATCATAGATATTGTCTTTTCTTAGCTATTATGAAAGTTTGTACAATGGTCGCCATTAGTGGTCAATTCTGGACTTGATAATGACGTAACTACTTTGGGTCGAGAACTACACGTACAATGTTACTAACCTCCTGCCCGTTGAGCAGTATTTGGAATATCGTATAGAATTTTCTAAACATTTCCAGAGGCGGTATAGACACAGGGGGGTAAATACCAAGAAAAATATAATCCAATGCAGTAATGGTTCACGTGGAAGTGTCACGCATGAACTCCCTTATCAATTCATACAACCAGTAGACTTGTTGATATCCGTTCAACATCGGGAGATGCCATAACAAAATAAAAATAAAAAAAGAAATGCGTCATCCATGCAGGATTATTTTTTAAAATTTAGAAAAAATACACAAAAGTGACACATGGAACCTAATTGATCCAGGGTACGTGGTTCTCGTCCTAAATGGTGGCAATAGAGGATTCTATCTTCACAGGAAAGTAGAAGCAACCAGAATATAATAGATACTGCTTACTACTAATACATATTGTATTGCATCAATTGCTCTTTATTGTAATATTGCCAGCAAAAAAAAGAATATAGTAAAACCTGAGTCATCCATCTTTTCTTTTTTTTTAGCTGTTGTTGCATTCCAGACACGAGATCTGCGTGCCCTTTAATTTTTTTTTACGGACTAAATGGGAACTTGTTTTACGATGGTATGATGACGTTTACATAACGGCCGGAAATGTTACTCAGACACATTTTTGTGTTGGGTTGCTTATTTCATACAAATCTATTTTGGGTAAATCTATTATTTTTTAGGGACCTTGCATCATGATATACAGTCGCCTTTTTGCAAAAAAAAAAATAATAATTAAACAATAGTGCTAATCAGAACGAAATATTCCGATGAGTCTCTCTCGTGGTGTGTCTGATAAGGTATAAATAACCCAGTTAATTCGCCCCTCTTTTGTTTTCCCACTCTAAGTTATTATTATTTATTTACATTCCTTACATCCTACAAGGTACTTAATTACTACTTTCAACTTACACACATAATGACAATTGATAAGAAGCCAGCTATTTTTTACATCCACGCCGCTTTATTCGACTGTGATGGTACTTTAGTCAACTCTACTGGTGCCATCTCTGAATTCTGGAGAGAATTTGGTAAGACCAGACCACATGTTAATCCAGAAGAAATTATCAGAACTTCTCATGGATGTCGTACATTCGATGTTATTGCTAAATGGTCCCCCGAAGATGCTATACAGGAACAAGTTACTGAATGGGAAGGTGCCATTCCAGATACTTTTGGTCAATACGCTAAGCCAATTCCAGGTGCTGTTGAATTGGTCAAGTCATTTGACCACTTTTCCAAGAATCATACTGACAATGGTCAACAAAGATGGGCCATTGTTACTTCTGGTACTTTACCATTAGCTTCTAAATGGTTAAAATTATTAACTATTGAAAAGCCAGATGTTTTTATCACCGCTGAAAAAGTCACAAAGGGTAAGCCTCATCCTCAAGGTTACCAGGCTGCCAGAGATACCTTAGGTTACGGACATAACCACAAGAAGGTTGCTGTATTTGAAGATGCTCCTGCTGGTATTTCTGCTGGTAAGGATGCCGGTGCAATGGTTGTTGGTATATGTTCCACTTACGACCCAGAAAAGGTTAGAAAATCAGGTGCTAACATTGTTGTTAAGGATTTATCATCTTTTGTTATTGATTCTTACAACAGGGAAACTGATGAATTTAAGGTTATTGTTCATGACTATTTTTTTGCTGATGAACAATACTTGCAAGAAGCTTAAGCTTGATCTTTGATATTTAGGGTTAATACGGTTATCTATTTCTTTCTCATAGACTTTTTTATAAAATGTATAATAGAATTTATTTTGATAGAAAATCACCAGTGTAGCTGTGGCAAACCATTAGGAAAGTAATGTATAGTTTACATTCAGTAAGCCGATGTTTGACGGAAATACACGCTAGAGAAATCGGATTATCTATTGTTGGTCACATAATTCATGTCAACTGTGGTATCATATATCTAAACTATTTCCCGTCCAAAATTGCCTAAATAGGTATCTATACCGGATTCTTACCAAGATAAGTGTTTAAACTACTACTATTACCATTTATCTTAACAAATACACTTATATCACTTTGAACAGCCCTTGATAGAAATTGTATCAACTGTTAGTTTTTAGAAATATTTTTGGTTTCGGTTCTGGTACATTGCTGTCAAAATTACGGGATTATACGTGTTGCAAAGTGATGACGTGAAAAATGAACACAAAAATATATGGCGTAGGAAGGGATAACATCCACAAGTTTTGATAAGTAAGGATTCCACGTGAGTCAGGATTTACAGCAATGATGAAATTCTATCCACACATTAGTGCTATATCATTGCATTTACATTTGTATTCATTGGTTAATTTCAGACATCGATGTTTGAAATAGTGTTTATCAATCGCATTTCCATTCCCAGCTCAATATTCCAATTAAACGACGTGTCTTTGTAGTAATATTTACTTCACTGGACCATTGAATGTAGAAAGAGAAAGTACATAGTAAAGTTGGACAATTGGATAAATGATTCTCCGGCAATATATGTCCACGATCAATTGATATTATCGGAGAACCACTCGGATTGGCCGGATATTCTTGCCCTTATCTGGTAGTTATTTATTATTGTTAATATATGCAAAGTCTAAGGGTTTAGAGATGTTTACAATTTTAGATGTGTGGATGGCGCAACTTTCAGATCGAAATTGCAAAAATATTGGCACTTGTTAACACGCATTATATATTTAGTTGTCATTAACATGATTTAATTCACCATTATTTGTATGTTTTCCCTCATCGGTTTATTTTAAGTGCACTCAAGGGGGTGTTTCATTGACCACCATTGTAAATTTTTGCATTCGCATCTTTTTGATTTTTTTTTTCTTTGCAAAGTTTTGTCATTTGCAGCCACAGTTAAATCTTCATTACTAATCCACCACAACTTGATACCCCACGATAATGATGCAACACCTATTGTGACATGAAATTCAATTGTTGCAGATCACAATAGATGCCATTTATTTATAGTTCTTCCCTGTTACGTAACCACAACTTTGGAATCATCATGCACTGCGTGGGAATTTATAAATAGCCCCTGACATCATTTTCTTTTGCGGTGGAATTATCTTACAATTTGTTCCACCAGTAATGAAAACACCTTCAATTAAATCCGTAGAAATATCACTTTCGGAAAGCATTGCTGACTCAAGCAAGAAACAATATGGTTCAATAGAAGTCTCCTCAATTCATTCCAACTCCTCAGCAGAGTCTGAGAAGGATCAACTTATAAAAAACCCCTTCCTAGATCCACAAGTTGAAGAGTATTACCATAAAGTATACAGTTCATGTAATTATGAATGTTATTCTGAATTTGATCCACAATTTGAATGGACTGAAGATGAAGAAAAGAAAATTGTCAAAAAGCTTGATTATAGAGTGGCATATGCTGCATGTATTATGTTCATTGGGTTAAATATAGATAGAGGTAATTTAGGGCAAGCAGTCACTGACAATTTCTTAGATGATTTGGGTATGACAACAAACAATTACAACACTGGTAATACTATTTTTAAAGTTGCATTTATTCTCGCAGAAGTTCCCTCACAATTGATTTCAAAGGCACTTGGCCCTGATGTATTCATTCCCTTTCAAATATGTGCATGGAGTCTTGTTGCTATGTCTCAAGTTGCTCTTACAGGCCCAATATCATTCTATGTTACTCGAGGTTTGATAGGTATGTTAGAAGGAGGTTTCATAGCTGATTTGGTATTGTGGTTGAGTTATTTCTTCACTAGTAAAGAGTTGCCAGTAAGATTATCTTGGTTCTGGGGAACCCTGGCCGCAATGGGTATTATCACATCTGTATTGGCATTTGGTATTTTAAGAATGAGAGGTATTGCAGGTTTGGCTGGTTGGAGATGGTTATTCTTACTTGAAGGGTCTGTAACTTTTCTAATTGGCCTTTCCTCGTTCTATATGATGGTACCCTCAGCTGTACAAACCAAGAATTGGTTACATCCAAAAGGTTGGTTTTCCGATCGTGAAGTTAAAATTGTTGTCAATCGTATTCTTAGAGATGATCCTTCCAAAGGCAGTATGCATAATCGTCAAGGCATATCTGCCAAAATGTTATTTGAGTCACTTATAGATTATGATCTTTGGCCGTTATATCTTATAGGAGTTACAGCTTATGTGGGTCTGGGAACATTTGGTGCTTACTTTGGTTTGATTAATAGACGGTTAGGGTTTAACACTTTTGACACAAATTTACTTAATATCCCTCACCAAGTTCTCCATGTCGTCTTCTTATTATCAGTAACGTGGTTTTCTGAACGTGTTAATGAAAAATCATTTGTCTGTATGCTTGCTCCATTATATGCACTTCCATTAATTTCAATTATAAGATGGTGGCCAGGAGCTGGTATAGAGGTATGGCCAACCTGGACATTGAATACTTTATACTTGAGTCAACCATACATTCATGCTATTTGTGTCGCTTGGGTTTCAAGAAATTCCAATTCGGTAAGAACCAGATCTATCGCTTCAGCAGTTTACAACATGTTTGTTCAATTAGGCGGGATTATAGGATCAAATATCTACCGTGAAGATGATTTGCCATTATATCACCGAGGTAATACACAGATATTTTGGTTTACATTTGCATTGATTCCAATTTTGGCATTTACCAAGTTGTACTACTATTCGAGAAATAAATATAAAGCAAGGGTGTGGAATTCAATGACCGAAGAAGAACGGGAATCTTATCGTAAATATAGTACGGATGAAGGTGCTAAAAGATTAGATTTCTTCTTTGTTCACTAGTTTGTATTATTATTTAGAATTAGAGCATCATCTGTATATCAGCATTATAAACTACTTCAGCTATAAACTTGCACATCATCTTTTAATCCAAGTGAGGTAGCACAAACTAATAAGAATATCTCGGCAGAATTAAGCTGCAATCCTAAGGTACAGGTCTGTTTTCTCATTCTTGGATATCTCTATGAAATGACAAATCATTTAGCCGGTAATCTGAAAGTGGAAAATTGTTCGGCCGAAAAAGTCTAAATAGGCATTAGAAGTTACATGAACCTGCTTTGATGTAATTTTAAACCTGTTTCATCTTCTTCTATACCCTAAATTGAATTAGACACAATTTAGCAACTTAAGTAATTCCATCTTTATTACTAATAAAACATGAATTACTAAAACCCGACTCAATCACCGAATCCACAAAACGAGCATATTGGAACTAGTCGGTGCCGACTAAGCCCCGTGTTTTCCCCCTATAAAAAAAAAAATCCCCAATTTCCCTTGCTTTTTTCTATAATTTCTTCATTTCACCAAACAACTACTACAGCACAATGGTTAAAGCTTTAATTGCAGTTACTTCATATCACGGTGAATTTTACCCTAACGGTGGCAAGACCGGGTTATTCGTTTGTGAAGCAATTGAGCCATTTTTAGAATTCCGTAAAAAAGGATATGAAGTTGATTTTGCCTCAGAAACTGGTACTTATGGATTAGATGTTCATTGTACTCATCCAGACTATTTGAATGGTGAAGCCAAGGCTGCTTTTGATGATCCAAAATCTGAATACTCAGTTGCTATTGCCAATATTAAGAAAGCATCTGATGTTAACGTTGATGATTATGATATTGTTTTTGCTAGTGCTGGACATGGTACTTGCTTCGATTACCCTACAGCTGATGGCTTGCATGCAATTGCTCTTTCTACTTATAAGAGAGGTGGTGTTGTTGCTGCTGTTTGCCATGGTCCTTTGTTCTTTGATAACTTCAATGATCCAGCTACTGGTGAACCAATAGTTAAAGGTAAGAAAATTACTGGGTTTACTGATGAAGGAGAAGAATACTTGGGTGTATTTAATATCATGAAGGAAAAGAATTTGGAAACTGTTAATCAAATGGCCCAAAAGTTGGGTGCAACTTATGTTGCTCCAAATGGTCCATGGGATGCCTTTGCAGTTGTTGATGGTAAGATTGTTACTGGTGTTAACCCACAATCTGCTGTTGTTACTGCTGAAAAGACTATTGAAACTTATGAAGCTAAATAGACTTCAATTGATTTGTATAGTTTTATAGCTGAATCATTCGATAAAAAAAATATTTACATCAATAGTCATACTATATAGTTTATTTCCACTCAGATGTATAAATTATCGATAATTTTTTACCTTATCACAATTATTCAGTAACTCTGTTCAAAAAATTTGCTTAGTATAGTTCCTCATTACTAAACTTTTCACATCTCATTTGGCAGCGCAACGTTAATGTACGCGATGCCTTCTCATTGAAAAAAAAAAAAATAAAAAAATTTAATATCGAAGACCATTAATAGTAATCAATCCATCTGTATAGTAGCCATGTCAAAACCTAGTCTATTCAACCAGTATCCTATAACAACCCTTCCAAGGATACCAGATCTTGAATTGTCTCACAAGGTGGTGATTCCTAACATATCTTCCATAGACACTCCTGTTATTGATTTAGGGATTTCCAAATCAACCATTTCGAGTCACATAATAAAACCTACTCCTAAATTAGTATGGTCTTATGCCTTGAGTCCTTCATCTGTTGTTGATTGTATGGATGTGATTAATGATCGATCTGTAAAGTATTATGCTGTGGGTATAACTGAACGTAAGAAGTCTAGATTGTTGATTTTAGAAGTAGCAACAACTGACGGTGTTAACGAAAATACTTCAAGTACATCCAAGGAGATTGAAATGAAGTTGGAAAAGAAAATAGTGGCAATTAAGTTTGTTAATAATTCTGAAAACTTAGTAATTGTTTATGAGAATGGATCTGTTGAGTTAATTAAGTATTCAAATGGAGAATTAACCACCGATGAAAACAAATTAAAGGGAACTAATGCCAAGAGTGAAGTGATTATCTTTTCACATTTCATCCAAGATTTGGAGGATAGTTTGTTATTACTTGTTTCCAAAAAGAAGTCTGAGTTGAATTATAGATTAATTGCTATAAATCCCTCAAGATCTATTTTGGAAGTGTCTTCAGGAACCAAATCTCATACACTGACCAACACTTCCTTCTGTTACAATTCAGGAATATTATATCAATATCAAAGTAAACAAATTCAGTCAATCAACATAGCAAATTTCAATACAATCACCACAGTTTCAGTTGAACTGTTGGTTGAAGATAGTGAAGTATCAATCCAATCACCAGCACCAGATCGTATTCTTTTGGGTCATTCAAACATGCTTCATTTGATTAATTTTAAATATTCCGCATTGCTAGCATCTTTTAAATCATCTGCTAGTTCATCCCACCCTGTTCCTGATAAAGTATTTATAAATCAAGTTGTTCAAGTCAAGGGTAATTCTCAAAACACCAACTTTTCCATGGCTATTTATTTGAATTTGAGAAACAAGAATAACAATGTTTATCTCAATGTCATTGATATCAATGTTGGATTGAACAAGTTGAATGAATGCTTAGGTAAAGGTTTGACTAGACCAAAGACTGAATTACATGATTTGGTTGATTTGATCAATTTGTCGGAAATTAAATCCAATGGAATTACCAAGGATGAAGTGGCTGAGGTTTATCAATACTTGAAAGAAGCCAAGGAAGAACAAGATTTGAATAAATGGGAATCTGTTCTCATTCCATATTTGAAGAAAAAGAAAACTTTGGAAGCTCTTAGAACTATTATTGCCAATAAGGAATGGGAACACCTTCCATCAAGTAAAGTTTACAGATTCAAGGAATTTGATGTTGATCGTGATCATATTGTTGATATTAACTTTGTTGATGCTGTATTAGCATTAATTTTTACCACGGAAGGTGCACAGTTATCCTATGTCAATGAAGATTTTGTTCCGGAATATACTTTGATGTACTTATTAACTAACCCAATCTTCCCCATAAAGTATACTACTGGATTACTACAATTATTTAACAAATCTCAAAATTTCACTTTATTAAGACAAGCAATTAACACTTGTGCTAATATTCCAAGTTTTGATTTGTTAACTCAATTAGTTAACATCAATACTGATAAACTTACCTTGAATGACTTGGTCAACAGACTAATTGGAGAATTTTCCCGTCAGGAAATCACCCAGTGTTTCAAATCAATTCTTGAAACCAACAAACAAGCTACCCAAGTAGAAACAGAAGGTGATGAAGAACACCAACCAATTAACTTAATTCACATTATCAATAGAATGCTTGAATTGAAAGGTCATAACGGATGGTTTATGATTGAAATTATAATTGATGTTGCGGGCTTGTTCAATTGGACAAATGAAAACATCAACGATTTGAATAAGATTATCACCAACAAGATTGAGGCTTTAACAATCAATAGTTACAATTTGACTTTAGTTAATCAAGTGGTTTCTTTGACCCAAAATAAGAGCAGAGCATCAAACAAAAAGTTGTTGCAAACTGACCAACCTACCAATCAATTGGATTCGATTTTGACTATGAGTAATCAAAACAACAACAAGAAGTTAGATGAGACTGCCATTGAAATAGCTCAAAGAATTCCTAACTATTCGATCGAAACCTTGGAAATTTAGTCTTGTATAGGTAGAGTATAGTGTGTATGTTATAGATAACAGTTTTTTTTTACAACCAAAAAAAAAAAATTGTAAGCAGAAACAATGAGAAAAAAAAAAAACTTTTTCAGGTTGAAGTAAATAACAATATCTGACTTTACAACAACGACTAGCAACCAAATACATTTAAACATCCTGTACATAATGTCATCTGCATTAAAAGCATACCGTGAAGCACTTAGGGCGACTAGAGTTGTTTTCCAAAGAGACTTACCAAGACTTATGGCTGCTCGTACTGAAATTAAAACTCAGATCAAAAACAAAGCCAATTTAACAGATGAAACCGAACGTCTTGAAGCTATAAACCATCTTGAAGAAGTTACCAAGTTCTTAAGACATAATATTGTTCAAGGAGAAGTACAAAACAACGGTAACGTCCATTTAAATTTCCGTGAAGAAACTGAGTTGGGTGATAATGAAACTATAAAGCAAGGCAAATCAGAGATGGGATCATTGTCTGGTAAAAAGGGTAATAGAATAAAAAAGAATTAAAGGTTTGCTACCAATTACGTGTAAATATATATTTAAATAGCAATTAAAATCTAGCAATACATGACTCACTGGATTAAACAAATATAAAAAAACTCGATTGACTATCAAATTTTTTTTGTAGCAAAACGTGAGAAAGTAGTGAAGTAGAAATGTCTGCTCCAAGCCCAGCTAAACGTGATGTTCTAATTTCAAAGGCATTGTCATATCTTCTTCGTCATGGAGCCGAAAAGGAAAAATTGGATATTGACGATCAAGGTTATGTTAAGATCTCACAACTTCTAAACCACCAACGCTTGAAAACTAACAAAGTTACTCGAGATGACCTCGTGCATATAGTTCACAGCAACGATAAAAAGAGATTCACCATCAATGAGGAAGGCGATGCTATATGTGCAAACCAAGGACACTCGTTAAAGAAAGTCTCTAATCCTAATCTAGATCCCATGACGCTAGACGAGCTCATTGGATTAAATATTTATCATGGAACATATAAAAATAAATTACCCAAAATGAAAGAAAGTGGAGGATTAAGTCGCATGAATCGAAATCATATCCACTTCACCTGTAGGGCCTATCACACGTTGTCAGGTACACGACATAATGCCAATGTGTTGGTTTACGTTGACGTTGAAAAATGTGTTGCGAACGGTATTCAATTTTTTAAAAGTTTGAACAATGTAATTTTAACAGAGGGCGATTCTAATGGTCAAATTCCCTGGGAGTTTGTTTCAAAGATTGTCGGCATCGACGGAAATGAATTGGACAAGAATGACATATAATTGTATAGAAAAAAATAGAATAACTGTTGTCTTCTAGAACATTCCTGTAGTAGCAATGACGCGAGACGATCAATTATAAAAAACAAATACGATCTAAAAGCTGAATTACATTCTGATTATATTGCTTCTCGTCTGGGCATTTACTCTTGCCTGCAGAAAACAATTGATTATAACTATTTTAAGCAAGTAAAACATGGCAACTGTTGGCATAGACTTTAGTGAAAACAAGATATTTTTTAGATTGAATGAGGCGGGTCCTTTGTTAATGCAGAAGAGGCTAAATGTTTGCGTCGAATATGAATGTTCGATGAGTGACAACAAACATTTCTGGTTGCCACTGATCATGAAGTAATTCTTTACAAGGATCATACGATATATGAACAATAAACCGAGGATTTAATTAACTCAAATGCCCTATTTGTACAGAGAAGAAACAATCTTCTCGTTTGTGGCTCAGCATCAATTCATGTCCCCACTCAACACAAAATTTTTATTGATCTGGACCTCTTGCACCAAGGCAGACAAAAAAAAAAAAGAAACAGGGCTATGGACTTGCGAACTAATAAAAAAAAATATACCACAATTGAAGAAAGCGCAAGGACACAGTGCAATTAACTCGGGCGTCACTGGAAAATAATATTATCATGAGCCATTTACGTAAATGATCAACAAAATATATTTTTGGGGTAACCACGGCCATTGAATAATCGTATTATGATATCAAAACAAATCCTGCAACTCTAGGCAATGATATAATTCACTAATCACCCACAAGGGAGGTAGATGAAGCAATAGATAATATGCTGAAAAGGTTATTTCTTGACTTGAGCAATATATTAGTTGCATAAAAGTCATACTTTACTAAAACTTTCCTTATCTTAAAAGTTTCCTCTATAGTATAATCATCAAATGGTCTCGACCCAAAGCAAACATCCATGCGTCAATAGTGAAAGACTAAAAATACAATTATCCGCAAGTAACTCATTCTAGACCCTTATTTTTTTTTGATCGATGCATAATTTTAAAAAATAATTCTTCTGTACTACATCAACCATATTTTTACACAGCGCAGAGGAACCCCCCTTTCCCCCCAAGTTTCAATTTCCAATTTATTTCCTGGTGCTTTGTACAATAGAACATAAGGAATAGATCCAAGCGCTTAGCATTAACACGGGGACATATTCGTATTGCATTCCAATCTAAGGCTGACGACTCCGAAGAAAATAGCTCGGGTGGGAAGTTTCGGATCGTTATGCAAAGTAAATTGCAAAAAAAGTTCCATAAGCGCCAACTATAAATTAAAAAAAAAAAAAAGAAAACCTAGGCCCGAACTAGAACAATAACAACCCGCACTACATCAAACTAAGTTACGAGAATGAGAAGCAGGGGCAATCACCTTCCCTTTTCTTTTTTGCCGTGATCCATATAAATATATAAAAAACTGCCAAATTATTCATTTTTTAGTTGCTTCGCCTGAGTTCACTTTGTAACCCTTTCCTAATGTTCATATTCTCATTTTAAATATTACTAAATTTCTTCAACTTTCACTGTCATTTACTATTTGCAAAAAAAAAAGATTCAAACTGCATTGCAACTATTTTGTAACAATAGGTTTATTTATTCTTCCATCAAAACTAATCGAGTTCCAATAACTTAATATTTAATAATGATTATGAGAAGCAGTATGACCATCCATTCAATAACATCGGGTACAAATTCACCCATTGATAACACATCGCCCCATTTTGGTGGAAGTTTAAGTGTAATAGGCGCAAAGCCAGATCCAAACCAATACAAAAAAGATAATAGCGATTCCTCCGCTCCGCAATCAAAGCCTGCTAGTTTCTCTCCTGACCCACCCGACTATCCACACAGTTATCATGCATCTAATCCGAGAAGTAGACTGATTAGTACACCTACTCGCATAGCTCTTTCCAGCTCTGAAAATAAAATTTGTCAATGGTACTGTTGTTCGTGCGGTCAGTCATATGGTTCAGTCATTTATAAAGATGCTGATGGACATGTTGAAACTAGGGAAGAGCATGAAAGAAACAACAATACAGATCCAAATACCAATTATATATTAGATAATCTTAAGTACTACAGCCAAGTAGTTTACCGAGATCATTTGCATACTGTTACTAATATCCCACGACCTAACAATGACAATCATTCTATGCGCAAGTCAAAACTGTCGGAACCAATGTATTCAGATTGCATTCAACCGAAGCCAATGATTTTAAATTACACATCTAGTTCTCCTCCAAGTCCAACAATGAATCCTGTAACAACACCATTAATGTCTCCTATAAGTTTAGATTTACAAAATAATAATACTATTAATTATCAGGAGAGAATTATCATATCTGCCCCCACAAGATTTACTTGCCACCGCTGTGACCATATGATGTGTCCATATTGCCCTAAGCTAAGGTTGAAAGACTTGGACCGGTAATATTCGTGGTGGGAGAAAGAGAAAGAAAGAGATAGAGGGGGCCGGGGGGGAGTGATTTGTATGCAGATGTTTATTTTCGCAGCCTTATTTTTTCCAACTCCCCCTGAAATTGTGTGCTCCACCTTACATAGTCACAAAATAATATTATACAGTGGTCAGACATTTTATTGCCAGGAACCGCCTTAGGATTTTCATAAGACGTAGTGTCGAGGCATACTGAACCAAGTGTCCAGGTTGACCGGATTGCTGTAACTTTTTATATACTTCTTATTTATTGAAACTAATTAATTTTCGTCATGATGTTTGAGCCCCATAGATGCTACTGGCTAGCTGAATTATTTACAGCTCAAATACAAGTATTTAGGTAATGCAACTTTAGTCTATTATTCTATAAACTTGAAATTATTGATAATATATGTTTGTATTTCGAAGCTACCCGTGGAAATAACCGTCTCAATCTCGATATTTTTTTAGAAGGTTGGGTCGGAGTTTGACTAAATTTTAAATTACATTGGCCTCTATTTTCTGTTTACTGATTTTCTTTTTAACCACTTATCTCTACTGGCAATAATTTTATTCTCAGATTTAGGAACCACTTCTGATTTCTTTCCAAACTTTTGAACTTGAACATGTACAGGCCCTTTCTTTAATGCCATCTTCTTTTGGAGTTTAATTTTACGTAATTTATCTTCAATCTCTTTCTTTTTGTCTAGTTCAACCTCATCCAACCTTATGTGTTTACCTTTTATTTTTGATTGTGTCTCTTCTGGTTCAGGAGTACTCAATATATCCATTATATCATCGGGTAATAAGTCAGGCAAAGCTTCTTCTTCTATCTTAGTAGCCTTTTTTGATTCTTGTTGTTGTTTGTTACGTAAATCCAATTGTCGTCTTCTTTCACGTTCAGCGTTTTTCTGAGCTTTTTGTTCTTGCTCTCTCTTCTTTTGTTGAGCCAATACTTCTTGCTTGGTTTTGTTTGTGCTTTCTTCTTCTGGAGCTTCATCGTCGGATTCTGATTCTGATTCTGATTCTTCTTCAGACTCAGGTTCCTTGTCTTCTTCCTCTTGTCTTGCTTCGATCTCTACCGATTCTTCCTCATCTTCATTATCTTCAAACACAATCTTTTTTGCCTTATCCTGACTCCTTGTTACAGCCATTGTATGTTTTGATTCTAGTATGTATGTATAATAGCAATGAAGTAGCTTGTTTGTCTATCTCATCGTAATTTTTTTATTTGTATTGAAAATTATAATGGTTTATATACAGGAACTTTTTTTTTTGTTTTTTTGCAGCTTTGAGCTTTTTGTTAGTGAAGCCAACTATTTACTCCATATATACGCCACTTAACTCTATTAATATCGTGAACATATCTTCCTACCATTCCCTTACGTATCATATAGCTCCTGGTATCTTCAGGAATTTCAACACCATGCATCACAAGTACAGCTACGGATAAATGATCAAACATTCGTATTAACCCAACTCCATCCATGCCTGGATTAAAGCTTAAATCAAGGTAGTTCAACTGGGAGGACACCAGTTTCAAATCTATGCCTATTTGCACGACAGAAAATGAATTAATTCCCATTTCATTAAGATATAACAGCGAGAGACCGGGACAATATTTTAAGATGTTGCTTAAGCGAGTAGTTGTCAGGGAATGTGTTTCAAACGACACGTAATTGGATGCACCAATAGATAGACTTGTAAGTGCATTATGTGTGATTTTGAGTAATTTCATAAGGCCAGATAAAGACAAACAGTGTCCATATATATCTAATTTGGAAAGTCTGTGTAGTTGAGGCAAATCATTAATGGAAAAGTCGTTCAATGTCATCGAACCATGTACTTTACTCTCTCTGAATACAAACTCATCAAGGATAAATCTCGGATTGAAGTTTTTCAACATCTGTAGATATTGAAGTAGGTTGATATTTTGATTGTTTTCAAGGTATATTTTTGTGCATTGGGGAATTTGAAGCATAAAGTGTCCAAATTGGGGAAGGGAATTACCAAAGTCGAACGAACAAATGGTTAGCTGTTGTAAATTGGGAAAGTTCTTTTCAAGGAATGGGGGATATGGATTATATGTTTGTGATGAAGGTTGGAAAGTATTGTTTCCTTTCAATAGTTCGGTATGATTTACAAGCACAAGTGATTCTAATGGGTATTGATCTTTTTCTTGGTCTTTTAATCTTTTAAAAATCTTGTCTTGGCTAGGAACTAGCTCTTGATATGAAGAACTTTGCTCTGCAAATACCACAATCAATTCCAATTTCTTTAATTTTTTGAATAGGTTAAGTACAATTTCGCCATTTTTAATACTACAATTCAATCCCATTCTTAAACTATGTAAATTCTGGAAATTATTCATTCTCCAGCCAGCTTTACACAATTTATTATAAAGTAATTGCAAGTTGATATTTTTATCAATTATATCCAATGATTGTATTGACATGTTTGGTTCAGTTATCAACTTCTCGATAATTTTATTCAAATGCTGCAAGTTTAATGCTGAATTAACTCTGACATGCTTGAATAATTGCGAGTGAGTATTGGATACGATGTTCTTGAGTAACTTCACTCCATATGCAAATTCTGATAACGTAATCTGTGATTTGAAATGAACTCTTGAGACATATAATTGGGGGAGACTTGTAAGTGAATAATACCATAATTTTGAAACTAAATGACATCGAAGTACATTCGTGAGTGAGAATTGCTGAAATATTATCTCAACTATATCCAAAGGAAAGTAATATAACGGGTCTAAATTTTTGTTGACTCTCTTTTTGAACCTCTTAACTTCCTCTTGACGTAAACTTAGTTCCTGTTTTCTCTTTTGAGATTTCAAGTCCTGATTCAAATTTCGGTATTGTGCCTTGAGATTTTGGTAAAGCTTTTCAGGAACTTCAACTTGATATTGCTTGACCGTCTTCTCTATTATATATATCCCTTCTTGTAAACATTTGTATGCTTCAATAGTCTTGTCTAATCCTGCCAACAATTTACTCAATCTTAAATATCCTTTACAGCCAATAGGTTCGATCTTGATTAATAATTTTGCATCTTTAATTGCACTTGCAACTTGTCCTAACTTTTCATAGGTAGCTGCTCTCTGATCATATAATGAACCTAGTCGTGGGTGGATTACTGGTCCAATCACTGGCAGTTCGTGAAGGTTGTATTGTTGCCTCCTGATCTTTTTTAGGACCTGTGGAGAAAGTGAGGATAGACTCTCTATCAAAGATGTGTATTCTGATAATGCCTTATCATAGTCTTTTGCTTTAAAGTATAGAATCGCTAGCTTTGTCTTGTTTTCAACTAGCTCAGGATCTAACATTGGCAGTGGTGCTTACTCTTGGTTCAAATTTATTTTATGTTAGTGCGCGTTATTTACATTTTGATCTTGGGCGCCCGCGTTCTTTTTTTTATGGTCTAGAACTTTTTGGGCAGAAGATAAGGTTAAAACAAACTGTGTATCATTACAAAAGTTCGTATATTGGAGAATGATGGCGAGATGATGCTTGAAGTTAGTAAAATATACATAAGGTTAGAAAGGGGTTAGTCCCCGCATTCATGTTACTATTTTTAGTTCTAATATCTCGAGCAAGCCGAGGTAAACAAATACAAACTTGACTACAGTTTATGGAATTTTAGATGCATAAAACTAACTAAATCTTGTATCTAGATCTATTTTTAACATGGATTATTCGATATGTGTTATTTAGCCTTGGAACAGAGTACTTTTTCTCAATGCAGGTTCACTAATAAGACACCCATCCTCTGTATTGTATCTACTCTCCTCATTCTTACCATTCCCTTGGCATTCCTTAATAGAGTTTGATTCACCTTCTGTTTCCTCATTTTCATCTCCAAAGTACACCTCTTCATCGTGTGCCAATGTAGTTTCATTGTCATCATCTAACTTACAATCAACAACACGAATGCTGGGAGTGGATTCTAACTTGTACAATTCATCATCGGTACTATCCATCAGATCCAAGCTGGAATGACTCTTGGTGCAATTTTTAAGAGCACTTCTTGGTCCCTCCATTAACTTGGCAATATCCTGAATACTAGCACTGTTCAAAGTATTATTTGAAGGGTCGCTAGACCGAGATAAATCATTGCCTTTGAGTCTGTTTAACCCAATATAAGAATTGTGCTTGGAGTTTGATCTTGAAACTGAAGGCAAGTTGATTTTCTCCTTTTGCTCTTCACGTTTTTCAGAAAGCCCCAATAGTTCATCACCTCCACCAAAGTCAAAATAGGGATTGTTCTTTAAGAACGGGATTCTTGCTGATTTAAACTTGAGAGATTTATCATTCCCAGGAACAGTAGCTGAAACAGCATCAATTGGAAACCTGAAACTCCCCGTGCTTCCACTTCTCCGGATATTGATAGTAGCTTCTCCCGTTTCAGAATCGCCAAGAAGCAAATTGCTGGAATCTGATGTCAATTGTAATAATGTATAACTTGAAATACCCCGAGTAATCTTTTTCTTGGGAGTATTAGGTGTCGTTGGAGTTGTTGGTGAATTCGAACTTCCTCCACTAATGGAATTATTACGTCTGGTTCGCATGGTGAGTTTCCTTGAAGCATTCAAGTTTCCTGAAGCTGAACTAAATCTATGAAGAGCAGCAGGACGGTTTGCATGTTTCAGTCTTTCTGGTGTTATCTTAATTTCAACAGAATCTGAAGTAGGTAAAATAACATTTGCCTTGGGTAATCCTCTATGAAACAGTCTACTCTTTTTAACCTCATTATTAGGGATATTATATGTGATTCTATTATTCGCGGAAGTGATTAATCTACCACGTAACATTGAGATCGACTTATCCAAGGCAAATTCAACACCACAATTGTTACTAATAATAGGTACTTTGGGCCATGTAGCTCTAGCTCCACGACAGAAATACTCTAATAAAAACTTGGCATCGGGATTAGTTAAAATTTTGATGAGATCAGCAGGCTTATAGTGATGAATAATATTAATATTCCCCGAGTAGTCTTGGGAAAGAATAGAAACAATCTTGTTCGACAAATCCTTGCATATATCTAATTCACTCAACACTTGAAGATAGTGAACAATTTCACAACCAGCAAATTCACAAATACTATTAAAGATGTTTTTGAATTTTGTTCTTGCCTGATGTAATTCTTTACGGACACCACTACCTACTTCCCATAGTGAGCTCTTCATAACTGGAACAACATGCGGATTGACTTGAACTGCGATGATGTGATCAACATTGAACATTTCTGAAAGCCTTGTAATTGGCAAATCATTTTCAACTGACCCATCATAATACTTCATTGAAGAATCGTAATTCCATTCTTGAATTTCATTGGTCTTTGTATTCTTTTCATAAACATTTACGGAAGGAAATATCCCTGGTAAGGAACAACTAGCACAAACAGCAGACCAAATTAAACAATTAGGAGCAGTTAAGTAGTTGAGCAATCTTGTTTGCTCGTGCACTGAAGCTGCTGATACCGTGATATTCAAAATCTTACCAGTTCTATTATATGCTTCTCTAAACGTTAAATCACCGAGGAACGAAATAACGGTTTGTTTCAAACCTTCAATATCAAAAACGGTCCCGTATTTAATCAAATGACCTAAATAATGTAGCACCCTTTTCAAAACAGGAAGATCAGAAATCTCTCCTGAATCAGCAATATCAAAAATATTAAATTCATAGTCAGTGATGGAACTCAATAAATCTATTGTTTCTTCCTGGGTATGGGCACATAAAATACTAGCCATAATAGAACCTGCTGATGACCCACTTATTATTCTAGGTAGTATATTTGCTTCAAACAATGTTGCCAACACACCAATATGAAACACACCAAAGGTACTTCCTCCAGAAAGAACCAACGCTGTTCTTCCGATGTTCTTTCTAGTTTGAATCAACATCCCTAATAAATATCTGTCATCTAAATCAACATCTTTACTGTTAAGCAAATAATCCAAGCAAGTTTTACACTCGTTAATATACTCTTCAATCAATGTTTTGGTACCCACGTAAGAATGTCTATACAAATGGCTATTCCCCATATTACCAATATTTCTCGTCCACTTGGTACGGATAAGGTATAATAGTAATTTGTAGTCATGTGATAACCTGGCATTCTTCATTTCATTCATGTTATTGAAAATTAATTCATAGTCATACATGTCAGATTTTGGGTCGGACTTCCAAGCGTTATTGCCTGATAGCTCATCCAATTTAAAGGAGATATCCCTCCACTGGCTGAATGAAGTAGCACGGTTCCTCTCCTCTAAAAGCTTATCAAACTGGGAACTGTTTTCATTTGCTCCACTTAATATTCTGCCTAAACCAGGTACCGAATTAATCCATGATGGCGAGTCTTCCGAGGTACGATTGTTTTCAGGAACTAATTCAATATACTGTTTAAATATCAGCTGTATAATCTCCTCGCTTTCATTCATGGCAAAGAAGCAACTTTAGAGACAGGTAAACTATAAAGTTTAGTTTATTAAGATAAAAATTCAAGCGGAAATAGCAGGATAGATTGTGTGAATTTTTTTTGGAATGGTTCCATTTATTTGATTTCTTATCCGTGTAGATTTTTGCACATGACAATGGAACTGGTGGGGTATTTTGAACGTTGTGCTTCGAAATCTGCAACGCACTGCGCGACATTCCGCTAAAAAAAATGACATACCCGCTGTCTGCCACGACATTAACTGCAGATCAACTTGCACTGCCTAACCAAGCAACATTTTTGAAAGACTACTACAATTGAATCTCAATTAATTCTGTTGCAGAAGTCACAGACCAGAAAACACAAACCTGGATGCTTTGTAAAAAAAAAAAAATCTGTTGGTTTGTTCGACTATCACCTTGTATGGCTAAACAATGAAAATACTTGTAGTGAAAAAAATCGCGATGCGAATAATAGTTAGTGAATCAGTTTGATGCTAACAAACAACCTGTCAATAACATTCTTATACAAGGCGGTTGAACATTTGTAATTCAATCAAACCAGCTGTATCCACTTTGAAAGCGTTAATTACATTTTCAAAGGGGGCTAAGACAAATTTTCTCCTGAACTATACCATCACCAATCCCGCCACCGTATTAATTTCCATTCGTTCATATCATCCTAGAACTCATATAGGATCATTAAGAAAGTTTAATTCGGAAAAAGCTAGACAAAAATTCTATTTGGGTGAAACTGATAAATATTCAGGTATGTTTAGTGTTACTACCCTTACTCATATTACCGATGATACTTCGCGACCACTAGTTGCATTATCTACCCGAGAAGGTAATCGATACTTCTTTGGAAAAGTCCCTGAAGGAACACAAAGAGTGTTGAACTTCATCAGATGGAGGTTTCCTAAATTGGAAGGGATTTTCATGACTGGTACCATATCTTCATGGGCTGACATTGGTGGACTTCCTGGACTTTTTTTGACAATCAGTGATGCCACCAAGAAAAGTATTACTGTTTTCGGGAATAGTAAAATTCTTTCATATATTATAGCGACTTGGAGATGGTTTGTGTTTAGAAAGGGGATTGAGCTCCGTATAACGGAAGCCCAGGAAAAGTCAATATACGGAGATAAGGAAATTAGTGTAACACCAATTAAAATCTCAAATGACAAACCTCAAGATAATACCCCAGATTCGGCGTTGTTTCCTGCTCTTCGAAAGCTTGCATCATTGATGTTTCCTTTGGACACTAGCAAAGTAAATAGCAGAGATCCTGACTCCTATATGTCAGATCCATCGGAAACTGATCTCCACACTCATGTTCAATTGCCACCATCAACTACATTCTTCCCAGTTCAACAATACTCATATTCATATTCCATCAGATTGTTACCATTACGAGGTAAGTTTGATCCTAAAAAGGCTATTGCGTTAGGTCTTAAACCGGGTCCATTATTCAGAGAATTGAGTGATGGTCGTAGTGTTACTAATGAAGCTGGTGAATTAATTACACCTGACCAAGTTGTTTCTCCTTCAAGGCCATTAAAAAAGGTTTTGATTATAGATATTCCCGATCAGTCATACTATGCAAACACTGTAAATAGCAACGAATGGTTTGTTCAAGATGAAGACCGTGGTTTTGAAGAAATTGGAATCGTATATCATTTCTTAGCAGCAGACATCGAGTTTGATTTGGAAAAGTATAAACTGGATTTCTTGAGCAAATTCCCCCAAGAAACCCAGCATGTTATCAGTCATCCTTCTATTTCAAATAATACCCTTGTGAATAAACGAATTGGATCAGCTACTTTAACTTTGAAGTCACTCATGAATGAAAACTTCAATCTCCCACACCAAGACGAATATGTTAGTGTGCTTACTCAAGATAATATTGTTAGGCTTCATGGATGTCAATCTTATAATATATTACCATCTGGAGTTGAAGTGGACAATTCTGCAATTGAAAATCTTTCCAATCAACAACTTTTTGAAGCTGAAGTTGCTCCATTAAATTTAGGAAAATCATATGATGAGTTGGCCAATGTCAACTTTGATATCACCAAAGAGGGAGATTTGTCACTTAAAGATCGTGTTCATATATGTACATTAGGAACTGGTTCTGCCATTCCTTCCATTCAAAGAAATGTCATTTCCACATTGGTCAGAATTCCTTGGCAAAATACTGATGGATCAATTACTTACAGGGGCATCTTACTAGATGGAGGAGAAAACACAATTGGAAGTCTTTGGAGAACATTTGGTCATTCCAACAAAGCCCATGCAATCCAAATATTACGAGAATTGTCAGTTATTCACTTGAGTCATTTACATGCTGATCATCATTTAGGAATAGTTTCCATGATCAATGAATGGTTCAAACATAATGATGCCGACAAGAAATTGTTCTTGGTGGTTCCTTCAAACTATATCACCTTTCTTCAAGATTGGTACAGTTTAGAAGCAAACTATCATGAACATTTCGATATCAACAGACTTGAATGTTTTAGTTGCGAAGATTTCTTGGCTGAGCGTAGAATACCTGAATCATCTAAAGTCAGTTTGGCAAACTTTGAAATCCAATTTGATCAAGGGAATATTCATCAGAAAATACCAGAAGAACCATTGTCTCCTATAAACTTTCACAGGATCAATGAGTTGTACGACGCGGTTGGGTTACATTCAATTGAGACTGTCCGTGCTATTCACTGTTATCATTCATATTCTTCGATCTTCAGATTTAAACTTGATGCTAATCAAACATTCCAATTATCATATTCGGGAGACACTAGACCTAATCCAAAGTTTGCTGAAGTTGGTTATGATAGTGACTTATTAGTCCATGAAGCATCATTGGAGAATTTCTTAATTGAAGAAGCATTAGCTAAGAAACATTCTACTATGATTGAAGCAGTCTGTACTTCTAAGGTCATGAAATGTCCAAAACTTATCCTTACCCATTTCAGTAGTAGATACGGTAATTCCAACAATTGTGTACCTAAACATGAATTGGAACCACTTGCCAAAAGTCTCGATGAATATTTGATTACCCATAGAGCATACCCAAATATATTTTCCTATGACTCGAGGTCATATATAGATTATAAGGACTTGGATTTGTGTTTTGCTTTTGATTGGATGAATGTAAGGTATGGTGAACTTCATTTGCAGGAGCAGCATTGGGATAAAATAAAGGAACTATTCCAACTGAGTATGTTGAGAGATCCTGATGACGAGAAATTGGAAGAAAAGAGGGCCGCTAAGCGCCTCGAGAGATTGGCAGCAAAGAAGGCTAGTAAAAAACAACGAGTAAATGGAGAAACTGTATAGTTGCTTGTTACTTAGATCTGTACATAGTTAGTAAAGCAAGTACATAGAAAAAAAAAAAAACAACCAAAAATAAAAAAATAAAAAATAGTACCAACCTGTTTTCTTCGACGCCTAGTAACCATCACCCTCTCCCACCCATCCGTAAACTGGTATTCCATTTGAATGAAGCTGGATATACCATTCGTATTTCAAGATAGCTGGATTGCAAATGAGGTAATTAATTCAATTAACCCAAGTAGAACGTATACCAGTCCGTTGGTACGGAAAGATTTCAAATCAACAACATTGAAAATCTCATCAATATTAAGAATATGTCGATTTTTGAAGACCACTCAAAGCAATAACATCACAGCTATACTAGCAGATTCAACTCATAAGATATTGGCATATTTCCCATTTAAACCAACAATTGTTGAGTTTGAGAACCAACATTGTAAGAGAATCACATATGGTACAACAAATAACTTGATTGATGTTAGTAGGGCCAACCTATTATTTGTCAATGGCTCTGAACTTCAACAGGACTATGACCTAACTGGCAGTTGGGATTTTGATTTTGTAGTTTTGGAAGTGCTTGAGTTTAATATCTTCCAACTGGACCAAATAACGTTCACACTTGGTGTTGAAAACAGTTTCAAGTTTGTGTATGATGAACCAATTTACCAACGAGTTTGTAAGAGGAGGGAACCAAGAAACTTGCTTGATTTAATGGAGGTGTAAGAGAAAAGGGGTGGAAATCTAGACAGCATTTTAAATTTTGTTTGTGTACGCGGGTGAAAACGTAAAGTATTGTTTTTGTTTTTTTTTTTTTTTTTGCAACCAGAATTCTCTAAATAAACAATCCCCCTCCCTCCTTACTCTACTATGTTCTTTGGTGAAAACAACATCATGCCTGAAGAAGAAGCGAATGAAAACGAACAACTTCTTGATGAGGAATTAGCAGGTCAATTGGGTGAGTTAACTACCAGTGCAATCTATTATTCCGCTGCCAGGTCTCCTGAGGCAAGTAGACCACATCTGCAGAGAGAAATTGTATTACACCAGAATCAATCAATATGGTCTCGTCCATTTAATTGCCTTAGAAGATTATTTGGTTATTCAAATGGAGAAAGACAGCCTTTGATTCCTATTCACAATGTTCCTTCCAATTCTGGTACCGGTACAGTTCATCTTGATGGTAGTATTGGGTCAATTATATTTCAATTTTTAGAAAGATGGTTACTTGGATCTTTACGGAATGGATATTCTAGTAATTTATCCTTTGCCTTTGCATCACTTATTACGATTTTGTTGATTCTGGTTATAATTATCCTCTTCTCTACTGGAAATTTAGATTTGTTGGTACTTTTAGCCAGAACTTTGCTTTGTCAGTTTATCCATAGTTTACAACCACTGACACTACCTTCGTTTTGTCAGATCTGACACAAACTATTATTTTGCTACTATCTTTTGCTATTTTCTTCTAGAATCGTTTCATTAAATATATATATATACAGGTGAATAAATGAATATAAAATTAAAATTAGTCTCTTCTATCCTTAACCTTATACTTGTTTTCTTTCTTACCCTTTCTAGTCTTGGCGAATTTCAAAGTACCCCACATGGATCTTGGAGTCTTGTTAGACTTGGATTTACCTCTACCACCACCATGAGGATGGTCGTTGGCATTCATGGCCACACCTCTAGTTTGTGGTCTGAACCCTCTATGACGACTCTTACCGGCCTTACCCCAACTGATTAATTTATGTTCTTGGTTGGAAACAGTACCTAAGGTAGCATGACAATCTATGTGGACATAACGTTGTTCTCCGGATGCCAAGGCAATAACAACCTTCTTTTGTTCTGGGAATTTAGATACAAGTTTGGCAAAAGTACCAGCTGCTTTGACCAATTGACCTCTTCCTCCTGGACGTAAACCAATATTGTGAATGATTGAACCTATAGGTATCATGTTCAATGGTAAACAGTTACCTCTTTTCAAGATTCTGGCCGATAATAAGGCATCATCGATTTCTCCATTGTTGGTTTTCTTCATATCTTCAATGAAATCTTCAGGGATACCTTCTCTGAAAGATTCAACAAAATCACCACTTCTTAAACCTTGAGGGGCTAATATGTATGAAAGGTTTTTGGTTTCTTCATGTTCAATTAATGCGATATGGGCAGATCTGTTTGGATCATATTCAATACGAATTACCTTTTGTTTACCCGAAGTCATACGATAACTGTCGACCAATCTTACTCTTTGCTTATGACCACCACCTCTACCACGAACGGTGATTTTACCGGTACTGTTTCTACCAGCAGTTTTCTTTTTATGTACAGTTAATTCACGTACTGGTTTACCCTTGTGTAAGTGTTCATGGACTGGCATTCTACGGTGGGTAGAACCAGGCAATAAGTGGCCTCTGTCGAATGATTTCATGACTGCTCTTTTGGCAAGCAATTCTCTTTGTTGCTTGTATCTGGCATGAGCAGCTTCCAAGTCGAAATCATCAATTTGGTCGTCTGCAAATGAGGAAGTAGACTTTGGTGCACTAGTAGTAGCAGGAGTAGAGTTGAAACGAACAAATCCTTGAACGGCCAATGATTTGCTGAATACCCTTGCTTGATCAGCCAAGCACTTCTTGGCCCATGGTAACATCATCTTGGTGTGGCGGGGAGGTGAGAGAGGATGGGTACTGCTAGTATTTACACTGTATCAAACCATATATTGTGAGCTTATAGTAAGCGCTGAAAAAAAAAATTTTGATACTTCAGGGCGTGTGAAACTCAATCATACCAGTCCATATATTACCGAGTGTAGTAGTAAACGTAGTCATTAAGTTACTTCTCACCAGCCAATTGAAATGCACCAGAAAAAAGAACCCTTAACTATGGCCCTTCACCAATTGCGAAACCTATGCCGATTTTTTCGGTGACTGGCGCACGACCCACATAGTTCACCACTAAAAAAACCTAAGTCAACAAATTTTCAAAGGTAACCATTGAAAAGGGTATACAACAACACCAACATACACATACAATGATGGCTTCTCGTGTTTTCGCCCGTAACTTGGCTACTGCCACCAAGTCTGTCAAGCCACCAATTCAATTATTTGGTCTCGACGGTACTTATGCCAATGCTTTATACTCCGCTACTGTTCAAGAATCATCTGTGGATCAAACCTACAAGTCATTGGGTAAAGTCAATGACGTTATTGCCAAGGACGCACAACTTGCCAATGCCTTAGTCAACCCTTCTTTATCTAAGGAAAACAGAGTTGCTGTTGCTGGTGCCATTTCTTCCAAGTTGGGCTTAGATAAGACCACTGGTAACTTTTTAAAAGTATTGGCTGAAAACAACAGATTAGGAAACTTTGGTTCTATCTACGAAAAGTTTGGATTATTGAACGATGCCCACAACGGTGTTGTTGAAGCCAAGATCACTTCTGCTAAGCCATTGGACTCCAAGGTCTTGAAGAGATTGACTGCTTCTATTGAAAAGTCTTCTTTTGTTGGTCAAGGTAAGTCCTTGAAGATTACCAACCTTATCAACTCTGAAATCTTGGGTGGTTTAGTTGTTGAAGTTGGTGACAAGACTGTTGACTTATCCATCTCTAACAAGGTTGCAAGATTAAACCAAGCTTTAAAGGAAGCTTTATAAGCCTAGAGGATAATTAAAACATAATATCATTACATTTATTTCGGTTCTTTCTTTTTTGATAATGGAGAAGGAACAGTTAATCATAGAGAGTTTGAAGAAAGCGGGGACATTTTTCGTTGATTTTTAGTTAAGAAACAGATTTATGCTTGAATTTACTTATTAAATTTGTTTTCAATAAGTGGGCTTGTGCATTCTCTTCCAACTGAACAATGTCAATGTTCTCTTCTTGATCAGCTTTTTTACCCCTTTTTATACATATATTATCATTATATATTTCAATAAAATCATTCGAATAGTACTAATGTGTAAGTGAATGATAATTGAGTCAACTGCCAATTGAGTCTAAAACTAGCTTAGCAACACATGTATGCATGGCAACCTTCTGCACGCAGTATCATATGCCAAAGGAAGAGCTTGGTATGAAACCACAGCAACCTGCTTGTTGGATGTTTCAGAAAAAATGACAACCAGATTTAATTTCACCCACATTTTTTACGTCACTCGACTCTCTATTCAGTTAGGTACAACTTACAACCATGGCATCAAAGGGGTTCAAAGTATTTGTGGAGTTGATTACGGTAATTGCGTTTGCTATAAACTGTTTTGTTTATTACTATCCTGACATTGTCAATGACACTTCCAAATGTAACTGGCATAAGTTTGATGATACACCCATCGCTTCAAAGTATGATATCCTAAATGAAAAAGTGCCCCCTCATATCCTTGAGAAGTTATTATTGAACTTCCCACAATTACGTGAGCATGCAGATAACCAATCACCCTATGAGAATGACAACATGACCAAGATTAAAGATATTCACATGTTGACCTTTGGTGATCCTCAAATTAACGGCAATTGGCCTCTGACTAAATACATCAAAAGACTAGACAATTTTGGTAATGATTACTATTTGGGTCACATTTACAATGTCATGAAGAGACGATTAAGTCCAAGTCATGTGGCTGTGATGGGAGACTTATTCTCATCGCAATGGATATTGGATTCGGAATTTTATAATAGAACTTATAGATTTGTTGAACGGTTATTTCCTAGACCCTTGGAGTATAAACAGACTGTTATTGACACTTACGAAAAGCATGAGAATTGTGATTGGAATGCATGGTTGGCCCAAGAAATGGCGTTGGATCCAGAAGCAAGATTTACCAGTAGAGACTATAATGATGTTTATGATTGGGTGCATCCGGAAAACAAGTATCCTAATTTTGAAAACCCCTTGTTTATAAATTTGACTGGTAATCACGATATCGGATATAGTGGTGATGCTACTTGGCAACATATGGCCAGATTCCATTTATTATTTGGTCAAAATAACTATGTGATAAATTACAACAAGGGAACTCCTGAAGAATGGAGATTGGTCGTATTGGACTCCTTAACCTTGGAAGGACCTGCATTACAGGAAGAATTTATCGGATTCACTTGGTCATTCTTGCATCATCTTCGTGATCGCGAAAACCCTAACTTTAGCGGTTCCACTGTTTTGCTTACTCATATTCCGTTCTATAAAGTTGCTGGATTATGTCGTGATGGACCAGAACATATCTATTACATCGATAATGAAAGAGAACCTTATAAGAATGGGAATTTAAGATCTCAAAACCATTTATCTTACAACACAACTCAAGAAGTATTGGACATTATTTTCCCAAACAAGGATCAAAATGGGGTGGTTTTAACAGGTCATGATCATGAAGGCTGTGATAGCTGGTATAACAAAGTTAATGGAGAATGGGTTGCATCCAAGGACAAAACCAACACCGAACGGGAATCAATTCGTGAAATTGTCGTTAGATCGATGATGGGCGATTTTGATGGACAAACTGGTGTTTTCACTGGTCATTTCAATTATTTAAAAAACATTTGGGAATTTGAATTCACATATTGTTCATTTGTCGTTCAACATGTATGGTGGGCAAGTAAGATTACTATGTTTGCAGCAATTCTCCTACAATCCATCATCAGATTATTTTAAGCAATAGAATACATTTTTACATATTTAACATATAAACTTTACAAATTCAAACAGATCATTCACTACAATTGTCTTTTTAAGATGTTGGCTCATCAACTTTAGGTTCTTCAACTTTCGACTCTTCAGACTTTGGTTCTTCTACTTTTGGTTCGTCTGAACCATTTTCTGAGACAACAGGTTCTTCTACTTTTGGCTCTTCTACTTTAGGCTCTTCAACCTTGGCTGGTTCTTCCACCTTGGCTGGTTCCTCTACTTTTGCCTCAACTTCATCCTTACCATTGGTACTATCCTTGGAAATAAAATCTTCAATTTCTTGTTTAGCACCATCAATACTTGCTTCGGGGGAAATTTGAACTCTACTGACCTTCAAAACACCATCTACAAATACCCAATGGGATCTTTTGATCCCTGAAGGGCTCTTCTTGGCCCCTAAAGCACCAATCAACTTCTTACTTGGATCGGATAACAAATCATATTGTAAATGTTGTTTAGTTTGGAAATTCTTTTGCGCCTTTGGTGAATCAGCACTTAATCCAAACACAGTGACATTACTCTTGCTGAAAAATGCAAAGTTTCTTTGGAACCCACAGGCTTGTCTCGTGCAACCAGGAGTAGATGCCTTGGGATAAGCAAAAATCACGACGTATTTGGTCTTTTTGGCAACTTCTTGTAAATTAATTTCTTCGTCGTCTTGATTGAGTAGAGAAATGTCGGGAATTTCATCACCGACTTGCAAACCAGATGCTGGGGCGGTAGTACCGGTTGCTGGCTTGGCTGGTTTGGCCTTCTTCTTAGCTGGCTCTTCAATGGTTGGTTCAGGTGCACTGGCAGGTCTAGAGGCAACTCTAGCAGAACGACGTAATTCAGCCATGACTATATCAATTGAGGTAGTATTCTATAAATGAAATTAATCGGTGAATTTTTAAGAGTGAAAATTTTAGAAAAACGGGGTCGAACTTCTTAAACTATTGTGGAGTTTAGAGTAAAAAAGGGGTGGGACGTTTGCAGAGGGGGGGGTTCGCGCAGAGACACTGCCATGGTAGGGGGCAGCTCATTTTTCACTGTAGTTTGTTGCCAACGGGCGAATCGGAATCGAACTCCGAAATAACGGAAACCGACAGTTCCAGAAGGCGAAACAATTGCTAGTGCTCATCTTTGCTTAGCTAGCGGTTGTATAGTGTACGAACGCTGAAATTGATTTGTGGGGAAATTAACCAGAAGAGAATTGTCCATAATCTTTGAGAAATCTTATTTAAATGAACATTGTAGAGTTCGTAGACGTATCGTATTACTTCTGATACTCGTTTGCTTCTATCGTGTATGCTTTCATATGCACTTAGTTTTCATCTATTGGTTCGTCATTTTTCCGTCAATTTCAACTGTACTGTGGCTTTCTTTTTTTTTTTTTTTTGAGGAGGCTCATGTAATATTGATCATTTGAACTTGTGATTGGTCTATAGGTTAGCAAGAGTGATATTTGGATTGCTTCTTAATAGAAAACGTTGTCAGTTCGTCTAATAAATTTTTGTGCATATTTTGTGTATATTTTGTGTATATTTTGTAAAAAATTTGTGAAAATGTTCTAGAAAAAGTTCAACTTATTAGCTGAAGACGGGTTAGCCTCTGGCAGCCTTTTGAAGTTAATACAAAGGAACTATTTAGAATCAGATGAGTTGGATTTTCTATAATTTCCTACTTATGCTATATACCATGAACATATACAGAGAGTAATTTTCACAATCAGGATCTCATTAACAATTTGCAGCCATCCCTTGTTACTCAACCTATTTTAAACACATAAAAAGTCTTTCGACATGAATGATAACCTGTGCCTATTATACACTCACACCAAAAGCAACTAAAAAAAAAGCCAAAAATATACCTTTGATAAATCATTTGTTCAAATTTGAAATATAAATCATGAAAAGAATAATAATTATCATAAACAACACAATCAAAATCATGCGACCATAGCTCTTATAAAAACCCGAGAATTTAGCACCCGAAGATGTTGGCATAACCTTTATTCTATTAATCCAATTCTTTCGAACTGTAACTTCTTGTTGTACAGGCTCTTCAATTTCCAGATCTCTATCAACAACTCGATCTGCTACTATTTCCCCAGTAAAACTCTCTGGAGATACCGTACTTGGCAAGCCACGAACATAAGCCGGTCGCAAGGGTCGTGGGGGATCTGTATGAGCGATACTAGATTTATCTGAAGGCATAAGACTACGAAGTGAAGACTTTACAAATCTTATTCCAGGTGGTTTATTAAGAATAAAGTACCATTGAACAAAACTGAAAATTTGAAACATTCATTTTTATAACCATTTCAGTTCCATGATCAAAGTTGTATCGTCAAGGAGAAGCACGTAACATGCTAGTAAAATCTAACTATTTTTCTCGTTTGCTGGTAATTTAATGAAGTCCCCGAAGTCCCCCCGTGCTTCTAATCTGAATGAAGGCTATGCTAAAGGGATGCAAGCAATACAGTTACATAGTGTTAACTGTGTTGTCAAAGCTCAATTTGGGTTAGTTTTATCATCATGGCCCAATATTCACCTAGTCAAACTGATCACGTGAAAAACGCAAAAAAGTTTTATATAACATTTTTTTTTTTTTCTTTTTGATAAACAGTAATCAACACTATACATCAACAACAATGTCCATAGAACCTAAGCAGGAGACTTCTATCACTCCAAGCACACCCATAACCATAACACCTGATGACGATGTAGTAAAAGTTGAACCTGAAGTCAACTCTAGCTCCTCCAAGTTCACCCTGGATGATGTTCTCATAGGCTGTAAAGTATATGTGATGAAAGATGGAGAACTTCGACTTGCCGAAATCCTTCAACAACACATGAAGAAAGGAAGGAAAGTGTTTTACGTGCACTACCTGGAGTTCAACAAGCGGTTGGATGAATGGATTAGTCCTGATCGGATAGATTTCACCCGGGCCATGATCATGCCTGAGGTAAAGGTTGATGTCAAGGAGACGAAAAAGGATAAAAAGAAGGGAAAGTTGACTGATAAGGTCAAGATGAGTGCTAGTATAAGTGTCGCTAGTGAACAACTGTCCACTCCAGGTACTCCCATGGCTGATGATGAAATGGATTTAGAAAATTTGAATGTTCAAGGGTTGAGAAGACCAGGAGAGGAGATCACTAGAGAGGACGAAATCAAGAAGTTACGTACCGGTGGTAGTATGACACAGAATCATTCTGAAGTTGCCCGTGTGAGAAACTTGTCCACAATTATCTTAGGTGAGCATATTATCGAGCCCTGGTATTTCTCACCTTATCCGATTGAATTAACTGAAGAAGACGAGATATATATTTGTGATTTCACATTGAGTTATTTTGGAAGCAGGAAACAGTTTGAGAGATTTAGACAGAAGTGTTCCATGAAACATCCACCTGGAAATGAAATATATCGAGATTCAAAAGTAAGTTTTTGGGAAATTGATGGCAGGAAACAACGTACTTGGTGTAGAAACCTATGTCTACTTTCGAAATTGTTTCTTGACCATAAGACTTTGTATTATGATGTTGATCCGTTTTTGTTTTATATTATGACCATTAAGTCAGACCAGGGGCATCATGTGGTGGGATACTTTTCGAAGGAAAAAGAAAGTGCCGATGGGTATAATGTCGCTTGTATTTTAACATTACCGTGCTATCAAAAGAAAGGGTATGGGAAATTGCTTATACAGTTTTCATATATGTTATCAAACGTAGAACATAAGGTTGGATCACCGGAAAAGCCCTTGTCAGACTTGGGATTATTATCATACCGTGCCTATTGGACAGATACTTTGATTAAATTATTAGTGGAAAGAAACAGTCCCAGTTTGTATCGAAAGAACAATCCACATCCTGTAGAGGACAGCGATTCAGAATCTTCAAGACATTCAACCCCAGCTGCAGGACGACAAGGAAGTTCCAGTGAGATCACCATAGAAGACATTTCTGCAATTACATGCATGACCACAACCGATATCTTACATACGTTGACGACATTGCAAATATTACGATATTACAAGGGACAGCATATTATTGTTATAACCGATCAAATTATGGCCATGTATGATAGCTTGGTCAAGAAAGTCAAAGACAAGAAGAAACACGAGTTGAATCCTGCATTACTTAAATGGACCCCACCAATGTTCACAGCAAGTCAATTGAGATTTGGGTGGTAGCTAACGACTATGTATTATATAAACCTAATGATATTATTCGCAATGCCATACTCTAATCAGTTTGTTTCCGTGACACGTTATCAATCTTAATCCTGATTGATCAAATGCAGAGGCATAGACTGTAGATGGATTAGGAAAGTATCCGATATGTTCTAACTTGCCCGTAATGTAATTGTAGAATCCAGTTTTACCATCATCATAACCAGCAAATACAGTGTTTGTTACTGGATTTACTGAGAGTGTGTTTATTATCTTGCTTTCATTTTCGGTTGGGTCAAACTGGTTTAAAAGCTCACCCTTGGGTAAGAGCCATTGGTTTATAATTCCGTTTGAATCTCCTGAAATGAAGGTCATTTCTTCAGGATGTAGTTTCATCAGTCGTATAGATTTAGTATGATGTGTTAACGTCACCTGGGTACTTTGTTTACGTAAGTCCCATAATCGGACAGTTCCATCCATTGAACTAGTTATGATTTGAGGGTCAAACGGAAGGGTTTCAATGGAAGTGACATCACTGCGATGTCCTACTAACGTCATTGCTTCTGTTCGGGTACGTATGTCCCATACTCTAACAACTTGATCTTTCCCACCACTTATAAGTAAATCTAGCTCTGGATGGAGACTTGTAGCGTATATTCCACCGACATGACCATGGTATTGTCGAATGAGACAACCTTCTTTTGCATTAGTTCGTTCCAAATCCCAACATCGTAACGTCTTATCTTCAGATCCCAGGAATAAATACGGGAATCGCAGGGATATGGAAAAAGTTCGTACAGCCATGATGTGCCCTGTTAGTGTCGCTAATAATGTATGGGGGTTTGCCACGGTTCTGATCTTGATCGTCGTGTCTGATGATCCAGTTACAAAGAACTTATTCAGATGATCGATGGCTATACTTCGGATCCAACCATTGTGCGCATTGGCTAGTGTTCTTAGTGGTTTCCATTGCACGGATGTTGGTTGTGGTGATGAGATGGGTTCAGCAGATTGACTAGTTATCGTGTTGTTTTGCGCGGGTTCAGGAGGTATATTGTCAGTATTTGCCAAGAGATAATCCAACTTGACGTTGTTATACATCGCCTCTGCCAATTCATCTGACGGTATAAGCTCTGAAGTCATCGTTATTGTTGTTGTTGTTGCTGTCTATTTTAATCTTTGTTTTGAAAAGAAAAAAATATTAGCCTTTTTTATTCTTTCAGATCAATGCTTGCAAAAGAACTTTTCAATATCATTGGTAAATCAACCAAGAAGTATAATATCATCCTGGTCATCCCTGGAGATGGAAAGATCATCACTCATGAAGATGAAAATGTGTTGGAGATCGGAATTCCTAAAAGAACATACTTGAGTATGTTTAAACAGGCACATGATACCTGGCAAGACATGTCTGGGATGAACATTGACGATATCTACTATATGACATTGGGGTATTTGATAACTACCAATGAACACCACACTATTCTTAAGCTTCATCGCAAAGTCACATTCCAATTGATCCAAGAAAGAGGATGGAGTGTGCTCGCACAAGAGTTACAGTATATTACGTCAATCTTAACTTGTCGCATGTCACGAATCAACAAAAGTTCATCACTTTGGCACTGGTTGAAGATGTTGACTGTACTATCTGTTTACATAAACAAGTCTACATCAACATATGAACTTGTGATTGATAGAGCAATCAAGAGCTGTGAATTACACTTTGCAAATTATTATGGATGTAATTTTCTTCGGTGGGTGATTCAGATCAATCGCGTGATTGATGTTCCAGTTGAATTTGATGATGTGTTGAGGAAGTTGGTAATTCTGAGTTGTAGAACAAGCTTGAGTGATTGTGGGTTATGGGGAGTCTTACAGGTTTACTTAAGTACTGGTGATATTGAATGGACAATTAATGATCTACGCAGGATTGTCGACAGTTTACGTCAAGAAGGCTTAGAGTTTACCAGTCCTGTTTTGCAGATAAGAAACACCGACCATGTTGCTTGCGCCATTGAGCAACTTGACTGGTTAATCCTAGTACAATGCCTCGTAGTAACTCCATACAAGTCAGTTGTTCAAGCAATCCCTGAAAAAACTGTGGAGGAAAAGCTCACTAACGCTTCTACCAAAGTGAGACAACTAGCACAAGAAATTTTAACACTGAAAAAAAACTAGTCTTGCCACATAACCATCATACACTAATGTTAAAACTTCGTCAATTAAAAGAAAAGCAAAAGGCCCAAGCAGCAGCGGAAGGCCATAACAATTCATCTACTCCGACAACAAGTATATCTGCTGCCCAACTAAGACTTCAGAAAGACATCACCGAACTTGACTTACCTCATACCATAAAAGTTCAATTTCCAGACCCCAGCAATTTTTTCACCTTCAACTTGACCATAACTCCACAACAAGGCTACTACCGACTGGGCCATTTCCATTTCAAAGTTGATATCAATAACAACTTCCCTATTGATCCTCCTAAAATCAAATGTTTAAATAAAATCTACCACCCAAACATTGATCTCGAAGGGAATATCTGTTTGAATATCCTTAGAGAAGATTGGTCTCCAGTTCTCAGTTTAAGTCAAGTATTGATGGGTTTGAATTTCTTGTTGCTTGAACCTAATGCTAATGATCCATTGAATAAACAAGCAGCAAATGTGTTGGCCAAGGATCCCCGGCAATTTGAACGCAATGTCTATAATTCAATGAGAGGAGGATATATTGATCTGGTGTATTTTGATAACGTCATGAAAAAATAGAATTACATATTATTACATAGAGAAAGTGCCATTCCCGCTTCTATTTATAGTAGTGTAGTTTTCTTCTTCAACTCCATACGCGGACAGAATTATCAACTGCCCCGGTCACGAATATACATCGCATTCTCAGTTGAACATCTTTAAGCAAGTTGTCATAGACGGCTTCCTCGTCTTCTTCTTCTTCCTCCTCCTCCTCCTTTTCTGTTTTTCCATTTTGTACTGCTTCAACCTTGGTTAGTTGTGCAAAATCAATACTATTGATAAATCCATCATGTCCCATTAAACTACCAACTTCGGGATTGTTCAATCTCAGCAAGTCCCAGATCTTCACTGTCTTATCGTCACTGCCACTGAATACAAATCTACCATTTGGATGTATACATAATGACTTGACCCATGAAGAATGTCCCGCGAATTGTGCCACCAACCAAGCTTGTGAATTGTTATACTTACTAGGAAGTGGATGACGATGAGGCACTATAACTGGAGGAGGGAGTAACCATACCTTAATAGTATTATCTCGACTTCCAGTAATACAATACTTGTACCCTAACACCTTGTAGATTGGATCATTGACCAATTCTTGTGGTATGCTAGGGAACAAATCCTCATTTTTGGTGATATATTTGTCAAGAAGGAAGTTTGACAAACTAGGCAAAAATTTACAAGTTTCTACAACATGTGTGTGTCCCACAATTAAACATAACCCTGTTCCTGAACTTGCATGGGACAATCTTGTACTTTGATCGTTGGAACAGGTCAAAATGAAATCTCCATGCTGTGAAACTTGACTGACATCTATATCTCTAACCCATTCACTATGCCCGATGAATGTCTTGATGCAATTTCCTTGAGTTAAATCCCATATTTTAACGGACTTATCTCGAGATACCGAATATAGTATATTACTATCACTATGTGAAAATGCCACTGCGCTTACTGTATGATCATGTCCAGTAAGTGTTCGTATATGCTTATAACTACCACTATCCCATATCTTAATACTCAAATCAGAAGAACATGTAGCAAAAACATACAGTTTCCCCAACACCACTTCGTTTGAAAACGCGAGCAGGTTAATATTTCGAGAATGACCACGAATAATCTTGTCAGGAATCATATCCCCCGTAGCCAAACTCCAAACATACACTGATCCATCGGAACATCCACAATACACGTTTCCCAACACCGGATGAATCTTCACCGATGTCACCAATACATTGTTGGTCAAATAAGTTGTCTTCACCACTTTAGGCAACCAGTTAATCCGATCCTGCCCCAATACCACGGCATTGGCGTTCAGCATATCAATAGCCAGTCGCAAATTGGATACTTCGTGTTCCAAATCTAGGATTTTCTTTTGTAATCGTAGCACGGTGGCCCATTTCTTCTCAAGGTATTGATCAACAATTTCGTCGTCGTTAGTAGTAAGCAAAGGGGTTAATTGGGATAGGAGTTCTGGAGGCGCAATTGGCGTGAGGTATTGAATTATCGCCTTGTCGAGCTCGGCCTGTTGTCGAGCCGTAAGGATTGTTGATTTCATGAGGGGTGGGCGGTGATGCTATGGTGTCTAATGGCAATATGCAAAAAGTGTAAACTAAGTGTTGATACTTTAATATTTTTTTTTTTCCTGCCTATTATGGTTTCAGTATATCAAACAAATTTGAAAACAGCAAATGACGACATGAGTAGACAATACTACACAACAAGAATACGACGAGAGCTGATATAACCAGAGATCAAAAGCATAGCACAAGGACTGTGCATATATAGGAAAGTGGTAGTAGTAGTATACGCTACCATGTGCTTGGTTTCAAGAACATTATGAAAGACCAGACAAGGTTCGGAGCTGCTTGAATTAGGTTGATACCTCATCGCAAATGTATAAACGTGGTTGCTTGAATCTTCTGGTTAGATTCAAGCTCAAGTAATTGCATGAATTCCCTATATTGGCTTAGTAAACAGTTAACGCCAAGGTTTGGGGAAGCCAGCACCGCTTGATTAAAATTGAAATCATACCAATGTCCAGTACAACTATGCTTTAGTACTACGTGTTCATCGTGATATGATAGTTCTAGATAATGGTAATTACTGTGTATGATATGTGTGATCTTAGAATATCTATTACCAGCTGGTAATAGGTGTGTGTTATTTTTTTCAACTCCAAAGTTGTGTGCTAATATAAGTTCTATCCTGCCAAGATAGTAATACAAACGTCCAGTAAAGACGGAGATCCTTGCCAAGTAAACTTCCTAAAACCTTCAACCCCATTCACTCTTTTTAGAACTCGTAAACCTTCCGTAAATCTTATTTGAAAATTATAAAATTTGAAACAAACTTTTTCGCATCCAAGTGGTGTTATAATTCCCAAAACCTAAACAAATATGTGATTGTTAAGCAGAAATTACAATATTATCTGCTATATTAAAGTAATCATGTAGCAAGAAAATAAGTAAAGAAAACTAATTGTTTTCAAGTTTTCAATCAATATGTTTGGTCTTAAGGTCAATATTTAATGCCAGTTTCAGATCCGACAGAATAACATGATGATTTTATTATTTATGAAAAAAAGAGTTAACGTTAATGGAACCAGATAAGCTGCAAACGTAACGTGGATCTCCACAAAAGTAGAGAATAGTATAAGATTATAACGTACATTCTATAAAATTGTATTAACCAGTTCTCAATGCGGCAAATCTTGCCTTTAACGCATCAAACTCGTCTTGTTCTTTAACCTTGGGCTTGGCATCAGCAGCAAGTGGAGCTTCCAACTCTTTAGTACCACCCTCTCCATCATTATCATCATCATCATCATTATCTTCCCCTTCAGACAGTTGCGCAGAATACTCACTCAACTTCGAGTATGGAGCAGAATAAGTTCTGGCAATCTCACACAAGTAAAGATCAACCAACGTTTCTTGAGGTGGCTCCACGCTACATCTCAGGACAATTTTCTCGGGAACAACTTCGTCTTTGTTTTCCAATGCATTGCGGCCAAACTCATGACCATACTTGGCAATCAACCAATCTTTAATCAGAACCACTTCTTTCAATTCGGTATGATTAGCGGCATAAATTACGGAACTTACAGCCTCAAGTAAACTCTTGTCGCATTCATGTTTGGCAGGATCAGTGATCAAATTGATTCTTGCAAGAAGCAATTCGCAGTACAATTCAAGATACTCCAATAATTCAATGTATATGTCGTCGCGAATTATGTTTTCCACCCGGATAGTAGCACTAGACTCCTTACCTTGGCGAAGTAAATCTGCCAATTGTCGACGCTGTTGTTTACACAAGGCCGTTTTCTTTTCCTGAAGAAACTTAAGTTTGGAAAGAGACATCTTAAGAGACGTCTTAAGTCGAAGTGGATTTAATGGCGGTGGTGTGGGCATGGTTAGTCTACAGATGTGTTGAAAGAGAGATATGTGGGGGCAACACAATTTCGATGGTGGTGAAATTTAGTGCGCATGAATCAACGCTACCATACTAGTTGATTATCAATCTATTCTAATTTCTACATTATAGCTGTTAGAAATGCACAAAAAGTATATAAATTAATTCATATCCTGATCTAAATAACTCTATTTAAAATTCAGCTCGCCTTGTTTTTTTTTTGGCAAAGGCTTCACTTTAATTATCCAACACTACAGTATGTTCATGTTCAGGAGTACCCTTTATTAAAAGCTCATCATCATCTTCATCAAAATTAGCACCAATATTATCAGCACTTCTTGCGACTCTCTTTAAAGTACAACATTGAATTTCTTTAATCCAATCATCTTGCATTATTTCCTCCAATGTTGCTCGCTTCTTAGGGTCGACTTGAAGCATCTTGTATATTATTGGACGTGATGCATGAGGCAACAATCTCATTAATCTATAAGGACCATGAATTTGTTTATGTTGTGGTTTCTTCTTTTCATCAGGATTAGCCGCTTGCTTCGCGGCTTGTTTGGTTCGTTCTTCTTCTTCAGCAAGTAATTGAGCGGCATAGGCTGGATCCTTCAGACGCAGATCTATAAATTTCTGTTTCATTTCATTCTTAGTCACTTCGTATTGTTGTAATTTATCATCAATTTCTTTGAGTTGAGCGAGAATTTCTTGGACTTGAGTTTCGGAAAGAATTTCGGTATCGGTTTGCACCGTTTGTATCGAAGGAGTTTTATCTATATCCATTGCTTCTGTTGATTCTTCAGTTGGTTTTTCTGGTTCTTCCGATTCCGGTTTAGGTTCTGGGGTTTCTTCCTCTTGTTCCTGTTCTTGCTCCACTTGCTTCTTCTTTTTGTTCAGCCTGACAATCATATTCTTTAATTTCCTTTGTTGCAACAACAATTTATGGCATTCGTTACTTAAATAATAATCATGCCAGTTGTCATCCTCCATACAATATAATTTGAAGCTGTTATCCTTTTCGGAATTGGGGATCTTCCAAGGAAATCTCTTTAAAGTCATACAACAATAGATAATGGCAATTGACCAAAGATCAACGGGTTGTGGGTTATAAGAGTTTGGTGATTTCAAAACTTCTGGAGCAAGATAAGGATCAGACCCAACAATACCATGGCATGGGTGGATTGCATCTTTGGAACCGTACTGATCATAGGGATACTTGAAGATGACGGCACTTCCAAAATCAATAATCTTCAAAATCCCATCAGTGGTGATTACACAATTATCAAGCTTTAAATCACGATGGGCCAATCCAAGATTATGCAAGTAGTTCACACCCTCGATTATTTGTTTTAAACAACAGTTGATTTCCAATCGAGACATATTCCCACTCATCACGACGGCAAAGAAGTCAATGGGTGCGTATTCCATGATTTCAAAGTATCGGTTGTTTTCATGAATGATATCAATTGTCTTGATAATGTTTGGGTGTTTCAATGTGGACCCAATACAGTACTCGGCCGTACATTTCCTAGTGTAATCTTTTAATGATTCAGTGCTACGTCTAGGTCGGAATTCTTTTACTGCGAAAGTCTTCAAATCCGAAGGACGAGTGATTAACTTCACACTACCACCGGCACCACTTCCTAACTCCTTGCCAATCTTCCCATATCGCTTGACTAAAGGAGAATTATCATCTGTGAATGGATCTCGATTGGAGTTGGTCAGATGAGATGCATTGTGAAGTAATTGTGAAGAAGTTTGGTTAATTAAATTAGCAAGCGATGTGCTTGAATGCTCGCGTGATTGAATCCCTGGAGAGTGAATTTGGTTGGAATAATGTTGAGGGGTGGTGGCTTCCTTACCTCCGGTTCTAGAATTGGACTTCTTGGTAGGCTTAAAGAATCGCTTTAAATCAACCATAGAACTAGGTTTGGCAAACAGGTGATTTGAGTCTTGCTTATCAATCATCAGAACCGTCACTGGTGATGTCACTTGTTGCAGAGTGGTGGGTGATTGCATCAGATTAAGTAGTGTGACCGGGTTGCCGCGATCGTTGGTTACTGTGGGTGACGCAAGCGATTCACCAGATTCCTGCTTCCCAATTGAAAATCCCAAGAATCTTCTTTGTTGGGTTGAGCTGGAGGTGCCGGGAGAAGTTGCTGATGGTGAGGGACTCAACTCTGCATCCTTGTGTTTGCCAAAGAGTTTAAGTTTGTGTTTATCTGGCATATTTGGTTGTGTCTCTATGTGTATGTCTATATGTAAATGCGTATGTATGGATGGACGGATTGATTGATTGATTAATATATATATATATAAGTGATTGCCAGGAGAAGGTGAAAGATGGTGGTCAGATTGGTCAAACTGATTGAGAAAATTCAAGGGTGAGAAAGCGAGACAAAATCAATTTTTGTGTGCACTTTGGAAAAACCACTTGGAAATGGCGTGGGATCAGCAAATAGAATTTGCTCAATGGTCCGTTAAACACCTGACGATGGGCTACTTTTAAGGAGGTAGGCTTGGACTTGGGCTTAGATGTTCCTTATAGGTGGTACAGTTTTACACACCTGGTGTTGTCACTACTACAGACAAACTTGGCCTACGGTTATTCCGGATTTTAGATGTCTGGAATTTTACTTTGCCGACAGAACAAAAAAAAAAATAAAAAATAAAATCAGTCAAATAATTTCATTTTCATTGGACTAACAAAAAAAATAGAAATTTTAGAATGTATAAAATCTACTCACGTGATGCTTCTAAATGGCCTTCCCTCTAATATGCTTTTCTCTTTCAGAGACAAATGGCTTAGAACCTGGCTTACTATGTCTTCTGTCATTATCTTCTCTTCGTTTCAAGCTTTCAATTTCAACTCGTTTAATTTCTTGCGCCTTCTTCACAACAATTGGAACATGACGATGTCTACTAATACGCTTGATCTCAGGCATATGCTTGTATCTTTCCTTCAAGGCATTGTCGTATTCCATCTTAGATCGTTGTCTGGCAGACTTGATATTGGCTCTATCCGAGGCGTTGGCTCTCCACACTCTCACATTAGTATCGTCAGATCCAGACAATATGTACCTTGCGTCACTGCTGTACTTTACACAAAAAATTCTTTGCATACGCTTAGTATGATAAATATCACGCGAATGGCCCAGTCTGGTTTTGAAAATTCTAATGGTCTTGTCGTATGACCCAGTAACCAATTCTTCACCGGTAGGCGAGAAGTCCACATCCATAATACCAGCAACATGGTCTTTATAAACATTCAAGGATCTTCCCAAATTACGCATATCCCAGAGGTATGCATTGTGGTCATCACTTCCGGTTGCGAAATTAAATGCTTCCATAGGGTTCCAACTGATGGAATTTGTACGTAAACTTAAAACAACCTTTTGAATAGCGGTGTTTGTTCTCACATCGTACAACACAACGGAATTATCTGACCCCGCAGATGCAATAATATTAGTTTCAGTCTGGTTAAACTTAACTGTAGTCACGTTATCGGCACCCCATGATAAATCACTGGTGTATTTCGACCTATTCATGTCCCAAAGTTGAATCGTAGCACCACCAGTGACAAAAATAGGGTCGTTGCGGTGACGATCAATCCCCTTGAATGCAGCGTCACCCACAAAGGTCTTGATCAACCCTTGGCTTCCACTATAGATCTCATCATCACCTACTTTCTTATCAAACTCCTCTGAATCAACACTCCATAACTTAATAGTCTTATCATCACCACAACTCAACATTTTGCCTTCTTTACACACGACCAATCCGCTAACCATACCAACGTGGGCTCTGAAGCTGGCAATCTCATCTCGCGAAGTCAAGTTCCAGTACTTGATGACCCCATCACCGGACCCACTGGCAAATTGACTAGTGCTGGAGAAATCCCTCGCCATTACATACACACCATCACGGTGACCATGGCCTAACTGTCCAATAAAGGGTTGGGCAAACATTCGTTCAAGCTTTGTGGCAGTAAGGGCCGTTGTGTATTCACGAGCACGTTCAAACGGATGCAATGCTGGGTTGAGATTACGTGGAAGGGCTGATTCCTGGGTGTTTCGTACTGGCACATAAGTGTCTGATGATCTGCTTATAGTTTTTATCTTCATATTCCTTGGTTATTGTATTGGCTTATGATCGTAGGTTTATATCGATGTATAGAAAACAGTGCATCGCATCTGTAAATTTTTTTTAAGAGTGCGGCGCATTTAGAATCATCATTTTCTGGATGTTGCTTGTACTAGTGGATTCATATTGGCGCAATATGGCTCGGTTTTTATCTCAAGTCTAGGCGTAGACATCCAGAATGATTACCCTCTTGACTATTCTTGTGTTGTACTACAGATTCGTTCAAATTTTTTTGTTTAAACATAACAATTTATTTTTATATAATTTACATAGAGACAAGTTCTTTTCTCTGCTACAGTCGACTCTGCATCCGAGTAGAAGTGGGAATGTTTTCATTTACGTCCTCCCTGATTTCAAAATCGGTGTCTATATTCATATCTTTAATTGCTATTTTCTCAAACTTGGACCTAAACAGTTCAATATCTGAAGTTTAATTAGATTTATCCTTCTAATTTGGCACTGAGACATAAACCTTTAATGGCACTCTGTGTGTGTGTGTGTGATAAAGATAGATTTTGTTACCACATGCGAACGTATTGGGCAGTTCTTGCACTATCTTATTTAATATCGTCATATCCATCAAACTGGAAATATGTCAACACTTGAGTTAATCTATAATACAAATATTATTAGATATACATAGAAAACATGGTTCTCTAGCAAGCTTATAAACTTATATCTAATACCATTCCGACATCATCGACGTTACCGCTGGATAAATCTTTCAATAATGGTAAAAGATCTAATAATTCATTGTCATGAGTATCACTAAACCATGAACTTATAGGAACTGAATGTTGAGGATGGAAAATATAACTAGCAGGAGAATTATCAATTATAATGGTATCAGTCAAAGGACGGCCAACTTGCGATAAATTCTTGATGAAATTACCTTGGTAATTGTAACAAGAATCTCGAAATAATCGATGATGTACCAGATGGTATAAATCCAACTTATCCAATAATGGATCACCATATTTGGCTACCGATGCAGTGAATACAACAACTTCAAACCATTGCCCGACTTTTTGTAGGAACTCATCAACTCCAGGACGCTTAATCACATAAACGTGGTGGATTTGATTATCAATTTCTACAGGAATGACAAAATCGGCCGATCTTAAATATTTGAATGAAGAGTGAACTAATGTTTCATCCAAATCAAGCACAAGACACTTTTTACCATTGAAGTTCTTGTCTTTGTGGCCAAGAAGGAATCCAGTCTCGGGGTTGTATGCTTGACCTTCTTGAAGCTTAGTGAGATCAAGATATGACTCTTCATCTTCTTCCATGACTTCATCTTCCTCTTCCTCATCATCTTCTTCTTCCATTTCTATATCATTGTCGTAATCTTGAAATGTGGATGTTTCTATAGGCTTGTCCGGTGTATTATTAGTGCTTCCATTATGGTTATTGCTGTTTTCTTGTTGTGGTTGTTGAGGTGTGTTGTTTGAATCATTAGTATTTGTAATTGTATCGGTTTCTGAATGCTCATCATCAAGTAAATCTTTCTTCGTTATTTTTGACTTTTTAATGAAAACATCGTCGTCTTCATCTTCGTCATCATCCTCTTCGTCATTTTCTATTATTTCTGGTTCAATACTAGGAACATGCTTAGGGGATACACTACCATTCGATAAAACATCGTTGTTGTTGTTGTTGTTATTATTACTATTTCGTACTTCATCATGTTGCGGCAGGTTGCTAAGTTTCTGTTTAGCAGGAGCAGAAGCACCATTATTATTAGCTGCTAATTCTTGATTCTGGGACGTTGCCGGTCTCAGCTGAATTTTGTCATCACCTTCATCGCGTGAAGAACCAGCACAACAAAAGATTGACATTAGGAAATTACCCATAGTGATGTGCTTGCTGTATCAGGTGTATTAATTCTATATGTGTGGTGTGATGGTTGGATGTGTGTATATTGTATTATGGGCCAAGTGTACGTGTGTGTGTGTGTCAAGCGTGTGTTGTGAGTAAATAATGTGTGTTGCCAATAAAAGAATTTTATCACTACTGTGGTGTTATTTCATCTAGATTTACCACACGCCCGATGCTAGAATGCTGTTTGAAAAAGTGTATGCTTATACCAGGATGTATTTAGTGATGGGTCAACAGTATGACGTATGATGCTATGATTGTTATGACGGGCAACTGTGGTAGTTTGTTTGGGCAAGTGCGAGTGTATCGATATTTAGCGCACAAGGTCCAGTGCGGAAAAAAAAAAAAGAAACAGAGAAAAAAAAAAACTGGAAAAAGGGCGTGTCTGAATCAGGAAAATTGCCAGAAAAGAAAAAGGAAGGAGGATGCTTTCAAGGTGAACGCCCCAAAATAGTGCCAATCCCCTGTTGACCAGATAGAGAACTATGGATATGAATTGTGTTTGCAACAATGATATGGCTAATTATTCATAAGGAGACTATTGTTCCCCTATAATTGAAATTCTCACTTCCATTTGTGGGAGTTTTTTTTACATTTCCATTTTTTTTGCCTATTGTCAAATAAGAAACAAAAAAGAAAAAAAAAATAGAAAAAAAAAATCCAATTACACGAAAACAATGCTAATTGGCTTGTAATTCGAATAATAAAAATGTTTAGTTATTTGATGACAAATGATAGCTAATTAGGAATACACCACTTGAAAGTAGACTACGCCTATGTAACATTTGGTATTGCTATGTGTAACTTCTAGATTTGCTATTGGACGAAGTCTTCTTGGTTCAGCCCCCCTTTATTATAATTGCAACCAAAACAATGGAGGTTTTCTGGAAGTTACAAAAGCAAACTCTTGGTAAAAAAAAAAAATAAAAAAAGGACAAGGAAAATGACTCAAGGGAAGTTGCATTTCCGCTATTGAATCTAAGTTACAGTTCCTGCTTCTGAACTAAATCTATTCCTGGTTTAACACCTTGTGCATATTCAACAATCAAAAAAAAATAAAACTGCTACACTTAATTACCAGGCGCAACGGAAATTTAGTTTAGAATTAGCCACTATCTGCAGAGGTAATTATTACCTAATAACTTCAGGTAATTACTAAGAACTCCATTGGACACAGTGCACTGGCAAAAAAAAAGATTTGCAAAGTTCAAGGTCAAAAAGAATTAACCCGGTTGAGGGAAAATAGACATACTCATGCATGTTAAAGATCTGTAATTGGGATCCAGAAAATCGTATGATCTAACTTCATTGTTTATCCCCACAATATATCTTGAAACAATATCTATTATACCATTCTTATTCACTCACATATCCGTACTGGAACTGATCTCATTTGAGAACACCCATATGCCGAGGTGCATGCAATAAACATTTTAGAAAAAAAATTTCTTATCAGAAGTTTAGCCCTGCTGCGAGAGGCTCAGATTATACCTCGGAAAATCCGGATTCCTCGTGTCATAATTTTCGATTCCAGTTTCAGATAACTCTATTTAAATAGTTACCAGACTCTATAGCCGTGACTGATAATACATAGCTATATAATATGGTAAGTTTCTGTACTTCGTTGAAGTATTTCGGAGTTTAGTAAAATTGGGGGATCCAAATGCTGCAAAAAAAACAACTTCAAACCGAGGCTAAGAAATAATGGAAGTACAAACAAAAATAAAATATCATTGACTCTTTGAAGGAATATGACGAGATATTTCAAAGCTTAATGAGATTATGTTGTGTTTTATTTAAACCTGATTACACCACTGGTATATGAACAACTACAGAGTAAGTACACAATAATCTCTAATTCAACATTTACAAATTTTGTGATGAATTTAACCAATATTATTCATGTAAGTTTCAAACATCTTACTACCAGGTATTATTAACAAACATATTTTCTAATTACCAGTTCTAAAGCTGTTTACATAGTTGCTACCATTGAAATGTAAAACTTATGTGCATCTCTAATAACCAAGCACAAATTTGCAATGCTCCCATTTAGGAAACTTCCGCCGCACACGCACCAAAATATTTTGTCTTTTTTTTTATTAAAAAAAAATGAATATACTGTATCTAATGATTAGTAATTAGGGTTACCAATTATGACCACCAATGACGATGAATATCTAAATACATTCCTAGAATCCTACCTTCCTAGACTCCCTGATGATATAATAACGCAAATCTTTGACTTTCTCACAGTCGATCACCTTATTGATTTCTTTATGTATTTCCCTGATGTCAGTATCCGAACTCTACTAATTCGCCATTACTACTCCAATGAATTACATTTCGTAATCATGCCCACAAAAAGACCCTATGTATCAACGTATCCTATTCATAAACGAGAATTTATTACATTTCACGGTATGGAAATCTTTCGATTCATGGACGATTTCCCTGAGATTGTTCCTAAACGACTACTTCTAGTTAGTGGTGCTAGTAGTTTTCAAGGTATTAAAGAAGTCTTGGAGATGTATCGTGATAGAATTAACCGAGTGGATGAAATAGAAGTGACGTTGGAAAGATGTGAGCTTACCCTTGCTGATTTCCAATTTTTAATATCGTTTGCTAATTTGAGAAAGGTTCACTTTTCAGGAATGAGTTTGAAAATGGTACGACGGGGACTAATTCACAATACCGCATTAATGGAACACCCCAAACTTAACGAGATTGTATTTTTAGGGCATGAAATTAATGATTGGCTGGGGATACAACTTCCTCTGGTGTTGAATAGTCTTGATCTATCATGGAATAATCTGACCGATATCTCCACCTTAATAATTCCTACAAATGTCAACGATGTTTATTTCAACAAGTCTAATATCCACAATCTTGAGATTTTACTGAATAAGATCCCATCTAATTTGACTACCCTTATGTTAACGTATAACGAAATAGAAACGATTGTGATTGACCATTTACCACCCCGATTACGAACATTAGACTTGTCCAGCAACAGAATAAAGTCTATCACAGGAAACACATGGCCTGTGGATTTAGATATACTTTTATTGAATGATAACAAACTAGATGACCGTGCATTGAAGCTCATTAATGACTTCATTGGGTGGCCCGCCAGATTAACAAATCTAGGTATTAGCAATAATGAGCTCACTAAGATTGAAAACTTATCCAATCTTCCGCGATGGTTAGAAATATTGAATATATCAATGAACCCACTAGTATGTGATGACAATCAACAAACCCCCTTTGAATTTCCTCACGGTTTAACCAATTTGAACATGACCGAATGCAAAACAAGTGATTTACACTTTTTGCAATTCCCAACTTCACTTAAGAACTTGACATTGGCAGGGAATAGAATTGTGGATATCTCATCATATGGCCATTGGCAAAAGCTTGTTAATTTGGATACGTTAGAATTATTCCACAACTTGATTGATCACTTGGATGGCTGGATAATCCCTCCCAACCTAACAAAACTAGATCTTCAGGTCAATCCAATAACCGAATTAAATCTGAAGTTTCCATTATTTAACGACAATTACCAGTTCAAACTTTCCGATTTGAATCTTGCCAGATGTCGTATAACCAAGATTGAAGTAGATCACATTCCAGCAAGCTTAAAAAGGCTCAATCTTTCCATGAATAGATTAAATCTGAAGTTTGAATTTCCACCTAGCTTTAAGCAGTTGAGTCATTTGGACTTGTCGGAAAATGAAATAACATCAATAGTGTTTAAAAACGGCGAGCAAAGTCAATTGCAAAGTTTAGATCTTGGGAAAAATTCCATCCTTAGAGGAGTTGCAAGCAGCGGATTAGGTATTGTGGGTATTAATCAATTCTACGATGATTTGGAATTACATTTGGGTAAAGTAAAGAAACGTAAATTTAATATTAACAGTTTACACGTGTTCGAAAGAGGACGTTTATAGATATAGAAATAGAATCCTTTGCAATATAGACTACTTTGCAATGACATTGACTTCCAGCTTGGACATTTCCACGTTAAAATTTCTTGAACATATAGAGCAAGTTTTTTTTTAGAAGATTATAAGGTTGATAATGGAGATACCAGTATCAGAAGAACCAATAGTTAAAAAGTCCTTGATATATTTTAAATAGAACATACAGCTCGAGAAATAAAATCAGAACACGTATATTTTCGTTTATATCTAGTGAATCTGCTGCACACGATTACATGTAAACAAATCAATTAAACTGCTAAACGCCACCAGAGTAGGATATAAAATATAATCATAAACACCTAAATACGAAAAAGATATCTCTCAACTGATATTTATGGAAGGTTAAGAACAATAAGGCAACCAGGAATATCAAATATTTTTTCAACTTAAACTTGTGTTATTTGGGGGAGGTACTCAAAAGAAAGCTAGTGGGTCAGGTAAAAGAGGAAATTCGTGCTTTTATTAATATAGTCTAAATGACCAACTGTCACTTTTGAAGATCGTGCTTTATTACTCGAATATAGTTGGTTTCTGTCTAATACCACTTTGATCACTGCTACTGTTTTTGCTTCTTGTGTCTCATAATTCGTAATGAGCAATTCCGCGTTATTAATTCTATATTTGATAGCTCCTGATTAAGCAAAAGGACATTAGCAATATTCTGACAAGACTCAAAGAGGAACACCACTAAATGGTATAGCCAATCTTCTATGGGAAACTTTTCATTCGAAATGTACATGTGGTCACAAGATAGGTGTGCATACAACTACTTCAAAAATACAAAACCAGGTTCCCTTATTCAAAAAATCCGATACTTGATTATTTGGTTTTTGATACATCTCTATAGTGCTTGAATTTTGCAGACTCGCATTTAAAAGTCACCATCATCCACTTTTATCATAGCATTATAAAATTCCATCTTCCATCCAGAAAATTGAACATTCTAAATAAAAAAAAACTCACGAAACAAAGATTTATCTTTACTGTATATGGTTATTAATTCAAATCCATGGAGATGGAATGATGAAGAAACCTTATTTGAACATATCGTGAACTTGAAAGCGTTGTATATGTCTGATTGTAGAATTAATAACCTATAAAGTTTTTGATTTCCTTCATCGCTCACGAATTTATCATTGTCTCATAATGAGATCGAAGATCTATCATCATATGAGGACTGGAATAGGTTTGTGAATTAGAAAGGTTTAATCTTTTATGACAACTCAATAAATAGTTTGGATAATTGGATCATGCCGCCAAATCTTATTCGTTTAAGTATAGAAAATAACCCACTCACCGAACTAACTCTGAAATTTTCTTTCTTAAATACGAATCATCACTTTGAGCTTGTTATATTGAATATCTTACGGTGTCAAATAAGCAAGGTAGATATAAATTTCATTCCTGCAAGTTTAAAATGGTTATATCTTGAAAAGAATAAATTAGTGGGACAGATTATGTTTCCTACACACTGCAAGCACTTTCAGCGTTTAGATATTACAGGAAACCATACGAGGATAGTGTTTACTCAAAAAAAAGAAGCAGAAGAGTGAAACCCGGACAGCTACAGCAGATAGGTTTGATCTGGAAAATATTTGCAACCTTGATGATATGGGAACAATAGGGCATATACTTCTATGCAGGCCAACCAGCCATTTCCGTAAAACCACATTTCCGCAGCGCAAGTAACGAAGTCGAAAAAAAAATTACAAAAAGGACGTGTTTTTTTGTCCTTACACTTTTACCTCCTTATTCATTAGCTAGTGATTTTCTTTATAAAAAAACATTGATCCATCAAAATGTCATACGTACCTCAGACCCCAGAACGTCCAAGTCGTATATCACGCCATTGTACAACTTCTACACCAATTTCAACTACTCATAATTTGCTAACTCCATGTACTGCCACCAAGAAACCATTTTTAAATGTAGCACCAATCACCACACCATTGGCACATACCAATAAACATCAAATCCCAGTGACTCCAGAATTCACGCCGCAGAAATCACCTGCTCGTAATACTACTGGTAGTGGTACAACTCGACGCAAGAAGATCAATGATTTATTGTTTGAAACCGATGCCGAATTGGGTAAAGAAAGACTTTCATTTGGATTATTGTTGCCTGTGCCTTCAACCGTCGGGTCAGGCAGGAAAAGACGTACTAGTGGCGTCAGTACTACCACTAGCAGTGGAAATATTACATTTAGTCAACCGTTGTGTATGCATGAAGAAGAAGAAGCAATAGAGGATGTCACAGTCACAGCCACACCCAAGGCCCAAGTCATTACTCTGAGCATGGTTGACAATTGGCATGGAAAGAGTTTTAACAATGCATTTTCCGACGAAGAAGACGACGACGAGAAAGAAGTAGAAACAATGACTCTTGGACAATCGAAATTGATCCCGAGAGTGAAATTGGAAAATCCATTTATAGATGGCCCAACCACTCCCAAGACAAAGAAAGAAGACAATCCATTTATAGAAGATTCATCAAAAGTAGATTATGAAACCCATATGGAGTTGGTGAATCATAGGACTGGAGTTAAAAGGATAGTCAAATTAAACAAGAATCAAATGAAGATAAAGCCAAAAAAGTTGAGTTTTATTTAAGTGTATAGTAAATAGGAGACGTAATATATTCAGCTTGACTGGTCAAGTTGGTCAAACTATGAAACAAATTTATGTTGTAGGCTATTGTGGTGTCATGTGTCGTAAACTGAATGTCGCCAACATTTTCGCGACAAGCAAAAATTCTAGCAAAACACCATCTACAGATTTTTCAACAGTAAACATTGTTTAAACCAATAAGCATCGCTTCTTTATACACAAACATGTCAATTCCAGGCTTTGGAACTGATTCTAATGATCCAGTTACATCTACTGCAATTATAAATATCCCTCACAAGTCCGAATGGCGTATTGAAATTCCGTTTAAAACTACCCTCGACTTCACCGTAACTTCAGGTGTGGCAGAAATATTCGGCACAGAGCTCCCACTTAATGTCCACATACATCTCAGTGGGGTAAAATGTGCCATCTATGCGCCCATAGAAGACGTTTCTATCTCATACCATCTTATTGACAACATTGGAGAACTTAGTTCTGAAGATAATGAATTTAGCGAATATATCAGTACTGAATCATGTATGGACAACTATCTTAATCTCCATTTAGCAATTGAGCAAAAACGACAACTGTGCACTGACCACAATATTTTGAACCCGGGAGAACTAATTATGGGACCGAGAGTGTTGGTGTTGGGAGGTGATGCATGTGGTAAAACCAGTTTATGTAAGATATTGAGTGGATATGCTGTGAAAATGGACAGTTGCCCAGTATTAGTTAATCTAAACCCTCGAGATGGTGTATTTGCTCTTCCTGGGTCCATTAGCGCTACTCCAGTTAGTGACTCTTTTGATTTGGAAACCAGTGGTGGATATGGATTTACCACTACAAGTGGTAGTTTAGCACATAACCCCAAACAACCTATTGTTAAGAATTTTGGGTTCAGTTCCATTAGAGAAAACTTGGACTTGTACAAGTACCAAATCTCACAATTGGGTATTACCGTATTGTCGAGATTAGAGCAAGATTTGAGTGTTAGAAATGGAGGTGTCATTATTGACACGCCCCTGCTTGACATTAAGGATTTCAGTGTCATTGAAAATATTGTTAGTGATTTTCAAGTTAATATCTTAGTTGTCATAGGTAATGAGAAGCTTAGTATTGACTTGGGGAAAAAGTTTAAACATAAATCGAATTTAGATATCGTTAAAGTACCTGGTAGTCCCGGGGTGGTTGATGTCAATGAGAGTTTTATAAGACGAGTTCAAGAACAAACAATTAAGGAATATTTTAATGGTACTAATAAAACCAGATTGTCTCCATTCAAAACCGATATTGACTTGCACGATCTTGTCATTTACAAGCCAGTGGTTACCAGGGACTTGATGTCATCATTGTCATTCCTCCCAGTGGGAGATGCAAACACTGCTGAAGAGCTCGATGAAGATAGCAAGAAATCAGAAGACTTATTGGAGAAATACTATGCTATTTTAGAAGAACCAAGCAGTTCTAATCTCGACAATTCCATTATAGCCATTACGCAATTACCCCAAACCAACAAATCACCTAGAGACTTGTTGAATTCGAGCGTATTGGGATATGTGCATGTCTCCAAATTTGATGATGATAAGAAGAAATTAAAAGTATTGTTGCCATTCCCAGGGGTATTTCCTCGAAATGTATTAATAGCTACAAATATAGGATATAACGAATAGATTTATATAGAATGAATATACTAATCAAACGGAATTGGCTTTTGTGATTGTTCCTTTTTAAGTGCTTCACTGGCGGCAATGGCACTGGGAATCTTTATCCCACAACAATCGCCCCAAGTATTCACCAAATCTTTACTATGAATATGCCCACATTCATCTTCATGATGTTCATGAGGGGCACTAACACCTGGGGGACAAGGTATCAATTGACCAAACATAAAATGCTGCATAATCGGTAATTTCCCCAATACTTCGACCTTGTACATTTTAACCATCCCCTCTTTGATCTTGGCCCAACTTTTCGCAGCCGATATATCATCCAACATAGGTGAATGCCAACGGATACTCAATTTTTCTCCGTTTCTGGTGGTTTTGATGTTATTAATAAAGTCAATACATTCCATATACATGTATTTGTTCTTGTACATTTCCACCAACTCTGGGTTATGAATCAGTTTGGGTTTCATGTGAGGGTGGGTCAGCAATTGTGCAGCACCAAAAAGGAATGGTAGGAAATGATAGTCGTCTAATCCCCAGACACCATGAGAACCGGCTGGTTCCAACCAGTACTGCTTTTGTAATCGCCTCATTGTTTTCATATATTTGGTGAAAACATGGAGGAGTAGTCCTGGGTAGTCTTGTGGTGTGATACAGTCGAGTTGCTTAAGACAGAAAAGGACGCAGATGAAGTTGAGTTCGTGACCTGATCCATAATCGATTCTTGTTCGGTCTCCCCACGATTCATTGAAATATGTTGCTATTTCAAGAGTATGTTCCTGATTAGTAAGTAAAGGCGAGAGTAAACTTGGTGACTGTTTGGCCACATTGTCGTAAAAATCACGGAATTCAACTTTACCAAACCTTGAAATGTCTTTCTCCTGGATAACAGGATGATTGTCGATTATAGTGTTGATACTGTCAAGTACTGCTTGAAGCTGAGTGACTATTTGTGATTCTGTAATTGGTTCGTCGTTGGGTTTACCGACTATGGATTCCTGTAAATCGGTAATAAATGAGAGAACTTGATTAAATGTTTGTGAATCTAACCATTTATCTAAATCGTCACGCGTAGTGATTCTCTTAACTGGTGTTGCCATATTTGCTTTGACCAAGAAAAGTGGTTCTATCAAAGGTTTTTAGAAAGAACAGAAGAAAAAAAAAAGAGTAAAGACGAATTTGTTTTCTAGCAACATCAACCATAACCCTTGAAAGAGAGCAAAAAAACAGTCCTAATGAGTGTGTCCAAAGGGGTATCCAGTCCCGCATTGTTCTACAGGTTGCCACCGACAAAAGTTTTACTCGAGAAAGAAATCAAACAATCGCAATTGTTGACTACACTCTACACAAAAAATAACATATCTAATAATGATGATATCAACTGTATAACTTCACTACCATTAGAGGTGAAAGGACGGAAGCATGTATTCCATGAAGTTAAATTGGAGCATCCAGATAAACTGGGAGCAAGCCTTTTCTTCAAACAAGTGTTCAAATACGGAAAGACGTTGTATGGGTTCTATAAAGTTGGGGTTGTCAACATTTGGAACAATAATAAACAAACCAAACAATTAAGAAACCATATATTTAAAATTGGGAACCAATTAGATAATCGTGGTAATGACATTTCCATAAAACTACCACCATTCACCAAGTTAACGGAAATAATGGCCCAGAAATTGTCTCTGGACAGAATAGAATACCGGGCACGTAATCTGCGAGCCACCGGTGATGTCAAACGTAGCACCGGTTTTGACTATGAACAAACTATAACACCTGAATTATTCAACATATCAAGAAGTCAATATCAACTACTCAAACGTACTCCTCATGATGTGATTAGACTTCCATTATTTGCGCTTATTGCATTGATATTCGAAGAGTTAACCCCCTTGATCTGTTATGTCTTCCCCGAAATCACCCCACGTACATGTGTAATTCCACCATTATTGCCCAAAATATGGTCTCTGAAGCCGATCAAGACTTTAACCACGGAAACCATCCACATGAATGAAACTAAATTAGCTGATTTATCCTTGAAAACCGCCTATAATTTAGAGCCTCATCGCGTGAAACTATTAGCACGAGCTTTGGGACTAACTAGTAAAATTGTTCCTACATCCCTTTATCCAATATCTTATTTACGCAACCAGTTACAACACCATTATAATTACTTGCAAGTTGACAATTATTATTTATGTGGGTTCAATTCCCAAGCCAATATCTGGAATCTTACCAACCAAGAATTGTTATTAGCATGCTTGGAAAGAAATTTGATCTTTGATATTAAACTAGATGTAGCCCAGTTTAACGAGTTAATTGACGATGCTTCCAAACAAGCATTTGAAAAGAAATATTTTGATGATTTGCGATATAAGCTTTTGCAATTTTTAATCGACTTTCCAAATGCGAATATCGGGTATTTGTGTATAACCCATTCGATTTCAAATCGAAAGGAACAAACTGACAAACTTGTTGAATTGTTTGAGTGATTTCTTAGCACGCTCCCCCCATATAGACTGTAAATAGTAACATCTTTTATATGAATAGCTACTGTAAATAATGCTAAATATTTATACTATTTGAAGAATTAAAATATGCGTATTTGTCTATAAATTGTCTAGTAAAACATCCCCAGTGAAGGATTCAAAGCGCCTTCACGCAAGACAACATTCTTGAATTGTCTATCACGAGTATCTTGAGGGAAAATATCAACATCTGATTGACTGTCGTCCTCACCTGATTCATTGTGTATTACTACCTTAAACCCAACTTGCTCATCTGATTTATGGTCTTGAAACAAGTACAACGATTGACCACTCGTTAATTTCGCCTTTTTATCTCTTCCAATAATCGTACTATTTATAATGCATGAGTTTGTGCTCATGTCCAACAACCAAATCCCGTCATTCTCACTTTTATGAATCAAACAATGGATTTTCGATAATCGATCGTCATTAAATTCGAAATCACACGCATCACTTCTGCCAATGGAAAACACCGGTTTATTAATAGAAATGGCCCGACCACAAAGCGATCCCGGCAAAGGCTCCAACGTGATAAATGCATCTTCATTAATATTCAGAGTTGCAGACTCTTCTTTGATGTCCAGCAACTCATTATTCTTCAAGTACGAAGGCTCGTGGATACTCAATGCTTCAAACTTGCGTATCTTGGAACGTTTGCCATTTTCAGATGCCAGAGGAGGATGTTCTCGGTCTCGCTTTCCCTTATTTGTGATCTCTTCAATTGGAGAAGCTCGAGGATGAGGAACGGCATGGGGTTGTGATAATGGTACCACCCGCTTAGGCACTTTGAACTCTTGATTATGTTTCTTCTTTTGATCCAACGGACGTAACATTATATCCTCGTCAATTTTACTCATGGAGGTATCTATAGGTATTCCATTGTCGATCTTTCTCGATTGTTGCGACTGTGATTGTGAAAGACTCAATTGCTGTGACTCCTCGGTATATACATCGGCCAACCACTTATGTTTAAGTGCTTCCTCAGCAGTAATTCGAAGACGTGGGTTCACTTGAAGACAACATTCAAGAAAGTCTCGTCCTTCCTGAGACACTTCGTACGAATTCAAAGGTGCCTCATGGAACTCTCCTCGTTTGATCTTGGTGAACATGTTAGCTTGGGTTTTCCCATTGAATGGCAAATGAGATGTCAAGAGAACATACACTAAACATCCTAGCGACCAGATGTCTACCAAACAAGAATAGTTGTTCTTGGGCAGCAGCAGAAGCAGATCTGGAGTTTGTGACAGTCCGTATTTCCCAGTAATCACTTCAGGAGCCACATATGCTAACGTTCCACAAAATGTTTTCATGAATGTAGTGTTGTCACTGAATTTAGCTAATCCAAAATCGGTTATCTTGACCAAAATGGGATCATCCTGTTTGATAAGAATGTTGTCTGGTTTCAAATCACGGTGAGATATTCCCTTTTTATGCACATACGCTATACCTTCCAAGATTTGTTTGGTTATAACTTGGGTAGCATCTTCACCAATAGCACCGTTGGCAGCTACAAAATCCATCAAATCCCCACCTGGGACCAATTCCATCACAATATAATAATTGTCCATATCTTCATAAAAACTCTTCATCTTCACGATATTTGGATGATCTAACTTGCCCAAAATCGACAACTCCCGTTCTACACCAGTCATGGCATCACCACCACCAGTATTCAATGCTTTTCTTCTATTAATAATCTTGACGGCATATGCTTCACCAGTATTTCTCTCCACTGCCTTTTTAACTGTGGCAAATGCCCCCTGGCCTATAGTTTCATTTTTGATTATGAAGTCACGATGAATACCCAGTTGGTCTTCATCACTTATGTTCGAGCTTGCCAGGGTAGTTGGGTTGAATGCATCACTAAACAAGACAATAAACTTTATAACGTCGGTTTCTTTACCCACACCTACACTAATCTCGTCGCCTTGATTCAACATAAATTTTTGCAGCTTAACTAATCGAACGCCATTCAAGTACGTTCCGTTGGTGCTTATATCCGTGATCCACACGCTAGTCTTTCCCACTTCAAGCCATATTCTGAAATGTCTGCTCAGGACACGCATGTGTCCTTGTCCAATGACCAAATCGCAATCGGACCCACGTCCAAAAGTCCACGTCATTTTACTCTTGACGATTGGATGATCAAGCAATAAATCGTAGGGTTGGAGTTGCCCCGTCAGACAGAGAAGACGGCATATTCGGTTGGAGTCGCCGGTCGCGTTTGACAGCGGCTGTGTTAGCGGCGATTGTTGGGTTGGTTGCGTTTGCGGCTGTGTTTCCATTTGATAGATTGGATAGTTCTTAGATTAATTTAGTCATTAGAGATACGCGTTGTTATTTTTTGGTTGCCTATTTCGATTTTTGGTCGTGAAGTTTTTTTTTTTTTGGCGAACGTGCGGCTCAAACTTTTGCCTATTAGAGAATTAGTCTTTATGCAACCATGTAGAATTAGAGTTAAAGAAAGGTTTGTAGAAGATCGTACTGGTTGTTCAAGCAGCCATTTGGCGGTTCAGGATATTTAAATTTATACGATTCTTCAAATGTATCCAATCAACCAACTACTAGTACTCACTTTTAACGGCCATGTACATCAACATGACAATCCACCTTAATCCTATTCGCTACAAAACAATAAAGTTCTGGTCATGTTCAACGCCCAGACGTAGTACTGATGAATCCAATTTGATTGCACATGAGCCATATTTACTCTAGTAAATTCAGTGGTAATTTGACCATGTAATGTTACGTTACATTTTAGCGGAATATTTTCTCGCCTTATTTTTTTATGTGGATGCGAAACCCAAACTAAACTCACAAGACAACTACAAGGAAATAGTTTCAATAACATTAATTTTATTAAAAATCATTCTATATCGTATAAATACATGAACATAAAACATAGGTTTTACCTAACCCAACTGAACTGAAGAAATATGCCTGGAGACAAATATTTGTTTGTGTGTGTGTGTATATGTTTGTGGTATTGTTTAAGCAAGACTCTTGTGGGAGTGAGCGAGGGAAGTGATTGGTTGTAAATCGTGAGGAATGTGTTCATCATCACCATCGTATTCCAAGTTGTTCAATTCTTCTTCCTTCAAGTTGTAGTGCTTGAAACATAACCAGAAGGCAACACCAGCAATGAAACAGGAAATAGCCAAACCAGTGAAAGTCCAGACCATCTTTGGATCTTCGAAAGTGGAGGAGATAGCAATACCCAAAATAGAACCAAAGGCATTGGTAACCAAGAATATAGACATGATGAAGGACTTCATGGAAATTGGAGCCTTGGTGTAAGCGTATTCTAAACCGGTAATAGAAGCCAAGATTTCAGAAATGGCAATGAAGAAATAAGCTGGAGTTTGGAGAGCAACGTGGATGTGGTTTGGAGTGTTGGCGTATTCTGGAGCACAGGCCATTGGCATGTCGTAACATGGACCGGCCTTGTAAATGTAGTGTTGCAAAACAGCAGCGTAAACCATGGCAGCGGTACCGAACATGAAACCCCAGAAAATCTTGGTGACAGCCTTGAATGGAGTGAATCTTCTAATGAATGGGTACACCAATCTTTCAAAGATAGGAATGAAAATAATAATGGTAAGGGAGTCAATAGCTTGCAAGATATCGTTTGGTAATCCGTGCAATTCCATAGTACCGGCAACAGAAACGAAATTGTTCAACATTTGACCGTAAACGACCCAGTAAATTGGGTAGAAAATGAAAACCTTACAAGCGTAAAGAGCTCTTCTGATTTCTTCAACAAAATGGTCGGTCCATGGGTAGTTTCTTTCTGGGTGGACAGATGGCTTACATTCTTCCAAGTCGAACTTGTTAGTAACAGCAATCCAAGCACACTTGAAGGTCTTGTTAATAATCTTTTCACTGACTGGAATCTTAACATATTGGTTTCTACCGAGAATCAAAGCAGCAAGAGCAATGAAGAAGAAACAGAATGGCAACAAGTAAGCGGCCCAGAAACCAATGTGGGCTTCCATTTCAGTAGTAGCAATAACAGACATGGAACCAATGTTAATCATAAGATAGAAGAACATGAAAACGTTTTGAATGGTAATGTTTGGATCTTGGATAACACGTTCACCAGACTTTAAAACCTTGATAACTGGCTTGGTCTTTGGAATTTGATCAGCAATCAATGGGGAAACGTTGGACTTGACACCACCAGTAGCTAAACCAATGATAATAATGGAAACGATATAACCAGCAAGACCGGTGGTTCTGGAAGTGATGGATGGCAAGGAAGTGATGAACAAAATGAAGATACCAATGATATACAAGATACAGAAGTAGAAAATGGTCTTGTACTTACCCCAGTAGGTATCAGCGATCCAACCACCAAGAATTGGAGTAACATAACACCAAAATTGGAAAAAGTAGGATAAAGCAGAAGCACCACTTTGGTTCAAAGCCAACAAACCTGGAGGAGTGTCGTTTGGACCATTTTGCATATAGTTTTGGAATGGAGCAGATAAACCATAGTAAGCGAATCTTTCAGCTAATTCGACAATGGCAACTAACCAACATCTGAATGGAATGGATTCAGAGATGTGTCTCAAGGTCTTCAATTCCAAGTCGGTTGGTTCTCTACCGTCGTCATTTTCGAAATCGCCACCAAGACTGACGTTTTGCTCAACGTTGGACAAGTTCTTGTCTAAGCTTTCTTCAGGAACTTTTTCAACAGACATTGTTTGGTTGGGTATAATGTGTGATAAAACTGAATAAACAAGAAAAAGAGAAAAAAAAGACAAGAAAATTAAACAGCTTTCAATTGGAATTCTTGGCTGCTTTATATATTTGATGGGGTTTGGTTCAAACTGATAAAAAAAAACTGTGTATATTGCAAAATATAATGGAAAATTTTTATTATCTTATTTTGTACTCCACCGGGAAATAATTAAAAAATATTGCGAAATTGAAACCAGATGACGCTTAAAAAGAAATTTGGAGTTCTTATCAACAACAATAGTACAGTCTTATTGGACTTTGACCACCAGAAAAAGTAACACAAATCAAATCAGGTCCGATGTGGAGTGACATATAATAATTGAAAAATATTAATCTACTATGTGAATTACGCTACAAAACGCCCTTTGCTGCTCATCGTCCTAAAAAGAAATAAGCTTTTTAGTTCGTATCAGTGATGTTTGCGTCACTATTAAAACCAGCGCCCCAAAAAGAAATGAGATATTTTTTAGCGCTAAGGATAAATAAACTTCCTGAGATTGTGACGCCCTACCGAACAATGCAAAAAAAATGCGGCATCTGTCGGTATGATGCGTTTAACTTCCGATTAAGGAATGTCAAAATCGTACAAAATTGCTTTTTCGTCCCCTCATGCCGTACCAATCTCATTGTTTCGGAGTGTTCATCTGCATTTAATTGTTCCGGTAGTTCACGTGATTCGTGCCATCTCATCACAAGGATCCAAAAACCCCAATTGAGGTTTAATTAAACAATTGAGCCAGCCCCACTAGCGAGAGCTATTACGAGATTGAGGTGGATGAGTCTTATTGCCGTGGCAGCGATTGCGACATCTCGGCAAGCAATTAGTCACCTCCGCACTGCGCAGTTTCTTGCCTGTAGGAGAACGGCCCCTTACTGAAGGGCATTTGAGTAGTGGAGATTGGATCAGGTCTGGTGGGGGTTTGCCAAGTCTTGCCAAGTCGGGACATTGGGGTAGCAACACAAGGCCTCAAAATAAAAAACTATCAGCCCAATAGAGATAAGATTTACATAGATAATGAAGATGCTAAACAATATGGCAGGAGCCATTGCGTTATCTCGTCAAGGTAGAATTTTTAATTTAAACAAAAAAAACAAAACTAAAAAAAAGGTTTACTGTCCGAAAGGAAGGTCCTTTGTTGACTATGGCGTGGCTGAATGACTTACAGCTTCGTTCTATTGTCTGATGAATCTTGACTCGAAGTCTATCAATTGTCTCAGACGGGCCTGGCATGGTCATTGTTATGCACTAAGGCCATTCAGGTTATCTAAGCAAATTAGTTCATCACCTGTTGAACAAAGTCCTAAATTTTTGCTTTGATAAACTAGTGGCATGACGTAGTGTTTTTTTGCAATCAGTTATCTATATTTTTCACCCAATCGCCAAGCATTTGTTTCCGTTACAGGGTCCGTTACGTATTCCTGTTATCGCACCGTCTTTAATGCCTTGCATGATTTTATTTTTTTTTGACATAATTATTGCGAATCGAAGGAGCCACCCTCAGCACGGCACCAGATTTTTATTTTTTGTCAGATAAAGCAAAACATACGTTGCTCTCTCCACACTTTTGTCATGGCATGGCTCTCACAGATGAATACATGGACTGGTTTACGAGAAATGTAATTCAAACCACACCACAATAGATTTTTTATGGTGTTACTTGTAATTGCAAACTCTATTAAAAACAATCACTTAGACAATGTTCCTGCATACTACCTGTTGCTATAATACTCTATAAGGCAAGTCTATACGTATCTGCAGAAATAGTGCTACACTAACTAACTAACTAACTAACTAAGTTTCCATCCAGGCTTTTTCTTATCAGAAAGATTGCAAAAATTTACTGCAACGGCCAGTATCCAGGGAACAAGAAATGCATCTTTTCTAATAATTCCTTTTTAACTCCGTTAGGATTGGTGCTGACGGCAAATTTCATGGTTCCTTCCAAGTCCTTACCCAACTCAACTGGGTGGGTAGCAATGGCATCGATCAAGTGTGCAGCCAATTTGCAAGCGTTGGTGGAGTTAGCCTTCAAGTTACCAACCACGGTTTCCACAGTCACTGGCTCTTCAGATTCGTTCCAGGAGTCATAGTCGGTAGACATACAAATCATTTGATAGGCAATCTCAGCTTCCCTGGCCAATTTGGCTTCTGGTAACACCGACATGTTGATGACTGAACCTCCCCATGATCTGTACAATCTTGATTCGGCACGAGTGGAGAATGCCGGGCCCTCCATACAGATAATAGTTAAATCTTCGCCATTGTTGGTTTTCTCCTTGGTGTGGAAAACAGGGGTATGGTCATTGCCAAATCCGTCCAAGAATCCGTTGGAATCAACGGCGTCTCTAATCAACTTGTTCAACTGGAGATCAAAAGGCTCGCCAAACATGGCATGGGCGACAAATCCCTTTTCGAAAAAAGTAGATGGTCTGATACCCTTGGTACGGTCGATGACTTGGGTAGGCAAGACAAAGTCCCTAGGTTTGATTTCTGGTTGCAACGACCCCACGGCAGAAAAGGCAATGATGGCCTTGACACCAATGGACTTCAAAGCGGCGATATTGGCGCGACTTGGAACGTCAGAGGGGAGCAAGTCGTGATGTGGGCCGTGACGGGCCAAGAACGCAACAGGGAAGCCCAGTTCGGTGTGGGCGATGGTGATGGCACCTGATGGGAACCCCCATGGTGTGGAAATGGTAAGACGGGCCACGGGGTGGAGGTTGGGCAAATCATAAAGACCAGTGCCTCCAATGACGGCGAGGGTTACTTTACCGTCGTAGTGGTGTGGTAATTGTGAGGCGGGGACGCGTTCAGGTGACATTTTAAGGTTTTTATTAGTATAATAAAACGAGTTATCTATCGAGAATGTGCTTCTAACCTTTCGTACTGCTCTAACTGCTGTTGGCCACATGCTTACTTATTAAAAGAGCAAAAATTTTAAGCCGCGAGCCACAACATGTAAAAGTTCCCAAAGTGCAAAATCTGCCACAGCAAGTCACGTGGATGTTGGTAACCTGCAAACCACACGGAGTAACATGCAAATGTTGTTGAGGTCAAAGATTTTCTTTTTCCTAACAATGTTGTATGTACCTTTTAGTAACGGATACAACTATAGTAATATAATACAATCTAGAGTCATCTTTTGGTATTCTCCTCCATCAATACAATAACCACACATGTTATCTTTCAATATACGCAGGACTGCACCTTTGATGCTGTCTCCGTGTGTGAAATCTTCCATGGTTGGTTTCGCAAGGTACCTATCCAAAGTTCCTGGAGACACACCAGAGATCAAGAAGCCAACTGTTATCACCAAGAGAAAGACTTCCAAGTTGGACGAAGGTTGCAAGATTAAATCTTCATCTGTTGACAAGCACAAGAAGACCAAAAAAGTGGAGTCTTTAGCTGCTGATGCTGCTGCTGCTGCTACTGCTACTGCTATTGCCGCCACTACATCTGCTAGTGTCACACCCAATACTGCGGCTCCGCCACCCACATCTGTCCAACCAACCCATTATAAACAATTACCAAAACTTCCCGAAACCATATCGAACCTTGCAATCTCCGATTTGTACAAATCAGTCGGTCTTGACCCACCAACAACCTCAGTCTCAACGCCATCCCCCACCACCTTCGTAGATTTCAAAATACCCGACAAGTACATAAAATCCCTCCGGGATAAACCCAAAGACGAAAAAGACTTTGACGACAAAGAACGCAATATAGTAACAATACTCGAACTGATTGCCCGTGGAGAAACCAAGGATGAATCAGGAAACCTCCCCATGCTCCTGATTGACATCGATAACGACGTGTTCATTCTTGACCCCAGGCAAAGACCACATCCGTTAAAGTCGAGCATTTCCGGTATGCTTGAGCTCAACCCCGGTTTGAACGACATTGACGATGAGTACTTGTGGGATAATCTTCCTATGGATGGACTTCCACCGTATCAAAAGACTCCTCTTGGGTTTAAAGAGTGGGAACTTGAACAAATTGAAAAGAAAAAGATGGAAAAACTCAAGAGCGAAGAGTATGATCGAAAGTATGCTAAACTCAAGGCCGCTTTGGCCAACCCTAAAGCTTTCTATAAAAAGGTTGGTGGGAGAACCAAAGTCGATAGAAAGTTACTCAAACAATACTTGAAATTGAAAGAGGAAGGAAAGATACCCGAAGAATGGAGAAACAACAATACCTTTTAGCATAATGATTGTGTTTTTTTTATATGTATGATGTAAATAGAAATGTGGATTAAAACACTAAAATAAAAGATTTAAACTGTAATATACTCTCTACTCAACAATATTTAACTGTACATCGCCATAACCAAATCTCTCTTTGTTGTCTTCGAATACCCGTTTCAACTCTTCAACGTATAACTTATGGTAATGATCCAACAATTTCTGAGGAATCTTGGTTCGGATAGGAGCACCAGGTTTAGGGAATAGCTTGCCTAAAATTGGAGTTTGTTTAGGGTGAGATGGTTTTTTGTGATCCGTCAGAATTTCCTTTTCTTCCTCTTCGGGATGTTCTTTCAAGTAATCTTGTAAAGCAGTGGAAGGAATATAGATAGGGCGGCCCATACAAATGTTGATAGGGGTACGGTAAGGTAAAAATCCAAAATCGTAAATGAACACCCCTCGGGCACTAAAAAATGGAATTGTGAATTGAAAAACATCTTTGACAAGCTGTTGGAACTTGTATCCTAATGAACCAGGTTCAGGAACGGTTAAATGATAGATATCTGCTTCTCCAAATGCAAACGTTGGCACAAGACAGATATTCCCGAGTTCAATTGCCACTTTGACGAACCCTTTACGTTTATTCAAGATGAGCTTGACTTCGCGTTTAGGTACTTCAAGCTCAAGTTCTTTGGATGGTACTTGTAGTTTGTTGTCGGTTTTAATGTCTTTCTCTTGTTCGGGTTCTTCTTGTTTAATTACTTTTTCCTTGGGTTCTTGCTTGATTTCCACTTGAGGTTGTTCTTGTTTAACTTCATCCACTTCCTCTTGTGATTCTTTCTTTACTTGCAGATTATCTTCCAACTTGACACCATTGATCTGCTCTGTTTTTTCTTGCTTAACTTCCGCTGGAAGTTCTTCCTTTGCTTGGTCCTTCTCCAGCTTGATTTTACCATTGTCTTTTGCCTCTACAGATTCATTCAATTCAACTGGACTGTCTAATACCTTTTCTTCTTTCTCGGTGTCTTCTTCGGATAGGTCAACTTCCTCAGCTAATTTTTTCAAGTTTGCTTCATCCAAAGCATTATCGGGATGGATCTTTTCAGGAACCTCATCTTCGATATCATCCTCCTCGTCATAATCATCAAAGCTTTCAGTGACGACTTCTTCGACATCCAGCAAATCCTTCTTAAACCCATACCCTACTCTGGTATTCCCAGCCACCATATGATTCAATAAACTTTCCTGGGCCCCACCGACAACAAGACACACTGAATTATCACCATTATTAATCAAACTCTTGATATTCTTGGCCAGGGCAGATGTCAACCCCATACTCAACAAATAGTCTCGGTAAAACGGTATTGTGAACTGGGTAGTAAGTGTCAAGGGGAAGATGTTTCCGATTCCTGGTAAGAGCCGTTCTCCCTTACTTGAATCGTGGAATAACGGTTTGAGAAACTTAAGCGGTGGAGACCAAGGTTCGTTTCTAAGTACATTGGTGACAAACGAGCCAACCACACCCATGGAGATGACTCCATGTGGGTGGTATCCAAAGATATACCGTGGACCTGTGGTTACTTTATGCACTCGTTTCTTGCCATTGGTGGTGGTTGTAGTAGGTGATATAGTTCCATTCTGCTCGTCGTCATTCAATCGCTTCTTCAAGCCGAGAAACTTGAAGATCTTGTCAATTACGGTACGTGAGTTCTCGGAAACCAAGTCCTGCTCATCGTCCTTGGCGAGGTTTTCCTTTTCGACGTTTTCTTCTACGTAGGTGAATGTTGGTTCCAAGTCAACAGTCTTGTGGACACGGATGGGGAAGTAATTGACAAACCAATCCCAGATAATGAGGTTCTTCATCCAGTATCGGACCCGATATGCGGCTTTCCCGTTGGTCGGAGTATGCAAGTCAAAGCCATACCACCAGACAAAGTAGGGTGCAAGAATGCAGAGCCAAACTACCCACCCCACGCTGATTGTAAGCAAAAATAAGCAGATGAAGAAGGGAATACTGAGACAGTGCCACATGATCCCAAGTGTTTCCAACCGGTGTTGTAGTGGCGTGTTCAAGGGGGCAATGTGGAGAAGCGGCTTACTTTTCTTTTTGCGCAAGTGGACATGCTGATGATGATGGTGGTGGTGGTGGTGGCGTGGTTGTTTTGTGTCAAAACTAATCTTGGTAGGTGAATCAAGAATGTTGGAGGAGTTGGTGGAGTTGGTAGAGTTGGTAGAGTTTGTGGAGTTGACAGAGCTGCCTGTGGTGGTGGTGGTGGTGGAACTTGAGGAACTTACAACCGAGGCATTGGAATCTCCCGAAGAAATAGTCAGATCTCTGGACTCCAAGGATCTGTGGGTCATGGGGGTGTCCTGGACACTCAGGGAATCAATGTCGGGGTTTGCAATCTCGACGGTCTGTGGTTTGTTTGAGTCATGGTCTTCTCCTTTTCTATTCCGAAGTAGTGTTGATGTCTCTTCATTCATTGTGATATGTGTATGCGTACGTTTGCTTTGAGTTAAAGACAAGTGTGGTTGTTTGTGTGCACGTTGCTGATCTGTGGATTTTGGTATACAGAAACTTGGTGAAAAGAACAAGCTGAAAATTGAATTGAATTGGGAAAACAAAGTGCCGGACTAGTGTAACTTATATCATTTAGATGGTTAAGGTTGTGGAAAGCTGGGTCAGTGGAAAATGCAAGGTTACGTATAAACCGGAGAGAAGAAAAGAAAATAATAGAAAAAAAAAAAAATGTTAACTTTAGTTACAAAAATAATTAATCAATTTATTTTTTTTTTCTTTTCTTGTTTAAGTTAAATTAATTTCTTTGTTTGCAAGCATGTGGTATTACGTCTTGATCAGACATATTGTCTAATACCATTATTGTAATAACATGATCTGACAGTGTTCTATGAGCCGACAAACATGTTCCTACAGTGTACGAACTAAACTACTCACTCACTCTCTCTCTCTCTCCACCCCCACACCATTCCCTTTTGGGGCAATGTATACTGTCTTAACCCCTGATAAGGAGCGCTGATTTAAAAAAAAAGCTTAAACAGGAAGTCAGTCATATCGTTCCACAAATAGCAATCGTATAAACTTTGTCGGACTCGTATCAATGGGTCCCCGCTAGGCGACGGTTGTCTATTAGTTCAAGTATACGATTTGCGTTTGCGTTTGCATTTGCGTTTGTGGAGCGGAACGTTGCAGTGACATCTCTTTAATCGGCAGTTTAAAATCCGATGGTTTTAGTAAATTCTTGGAATATTTTCCATGGTGAGGTATATCCAATTACTAACCTCCCATCACTCACAACATCTCGGACCAACCAGGAGGAACATCTCCGTTGAGGGGTAGATAGGGTTACCTTTTGCCAAGGATCTTCCAACTATTTCCAGTCAGAATAAGTATGCTTTGGTCAGCTTATGTGTGGGGAACAGCGCAAATAACGTTAAATGCACGGTGAGTTAAATTGGAAATGAACAATTGCAGGCAACTAAATTGTCATTACACCCCTCTGGAACTTCAAGGCGTTTATCGACTTCATCATTCCAGAAGCACGGTTTATTCCACACAATCCATTTCACACACTCCACAACCCCAACAACTCCCCCGCCTGATTTAGTCTAATTTACACTTCGCCTATTTGTGAATGTGAAAATTTAAATAAAAGAAAACCATCCAATAATTACCAGGCACAAACCGTCCTCTCGCCAATTATTTTTTTCGGTTCTAGTAAGATTTGCCTATTTGGGAAAAGAATAAGATTTTTCTTTGTTCCACGTTTGCATTGTTTGTCATGCATCTTACGGAGTTTAGGCTAAATATTGGTTTTTTTTTAAACACATATCGGGGAGTTGGTGCGGGTTGGCCCCTGTTATCACGTGTTGTCAATTTGGGCACCAAGTTTGACAGAATTTTTGGTTGCAATTTATGTACGAGTCATGAGATGAATGTTCCTTAACGTGACCTTGTGTATTGTCAACAATGCTATTTGCAATTATATCTTATTATTTTAAATAGGGTTTTTGGACTAATGGCGACGGAGTTAACTAAATATTTTCGCAAATTTTTTCCCCAAATTTATCATTAAATTGTAATATATCGGTAGTCCACCTCCGGTATATAGATTCTGATTCCAGCAAACCGAACTAATCCCGTCACGGAGATAGAATGAGCCCCCCTATTTATCTGACAGCTTCTTTAACAAAAGCCGAATCTAGCATGGAATGAACGCCGAATTGTACATGCTACCTAGCGCGAGTTGATTGCCTGATTCTAGCTAAGTACAATACAATCACAAAAATACTTTCAATCCAACATTCATTTATGCTTTTCAAAATGAGCCCATGAATAAAAGGTAGTAGTAGTCGAAGAAGAAGAGTAGGAACTAAGTAAGCATTTCGGATTTAAACTTACCATGTCAATAGTCATCACATAGTCTATCTCAAGTTTGCCAGACAAATGTTCCCTTACAATTTCTGTTAGTGAAATTTCAAACGCGCAATGTTTTATACTATGCAATAAAAAAAAAAAAACTCAACCAGATCAGAAAAGTGCTGCCAATTCCCATCCACATCAACACAGTTGAAATGCCACCAAAAAGGAAAAGACAACGACGCCTCCAGGAAGAAGTGGAAGTTGATGTCGACACCGACGAAGTTGGATTGTCCAGTGATGAAGATTCTCCCAGTCCTGAAGTTCAAGATGACAACAACCAAAAAACATTTTACTATCTCACTCCTAAACTAGCACCAATATCAACATCCACCCTGGATCAACTAGGTTTCGCAAGTATATATTCTAAACTTACCAATCTGACAAAAAAACCAAAAATCAGCCCTGTCCCTTTCGTAAGTCTTTTCAATGGGTTGGAAACAAAGTCTAAAGCTCAACAACGATATGACTTGTATAATAAAATTTGGGAACATCAACTAACTAAAATCCAGCTGATCTTGAATAATGCCAATGATGACTTGTATCAAGACTTGATCAAATTCATTAACGGTAACCAAGCTGACAAGTTATCGGTTGCGTTCCTCCAATTGACATCCAATATTGCCAATAATCTACGTACGTTGAATGAATTTAAACAAGTATTGGCAGCAAGCAAAAACAGTACCATATACAAGATAATGAGCATAAATTCCAAGAATTGCACTAATACGAGAGCAGCCCTTCGTGAAATCATCAAACAATTTGAAGATGATTCCCATGAAATACCCGACGAAGAAGGAGATAAGGAAGAGGAAGTCTTCGACGAAGAACCAACGAGAGCCAATTACGATTTGGATATTATAGAAAGCTGGTTCATGTCCTTCAAAAAGACACCAAACATTAAAATGGTACTTATTTTGGAAGATACAAACTCCATCAACAATCATGTATTGAATCAATTGATCAAGATCTTGTCAGCATATTCCACGACATTACCATTCAGAATAATCATGGGGTTGTCTTGTGATAATATAAGCAATTGGGTGAATTCTAATCTCAGCAACGAAATGAGACTTCTTATAGATGGATACAAACTTAAAAGTAACGATAACAAAAGTTTGGGATATATTATCTTGAATAACTTGTTCCTTACTCCCGACTTAACAGATGATAATCCATTACTATTAAATAAAACCACCACCACTATCATTTTAAATCGGTTTGAAAATTCAAATAATTCAATTGACTCATTGATTGCCGAGATCAAATTGTGTTATATGATTTACTTTTACCAACTGCCATTGTCTTTGTTACATGTGGAAACTCCCAAGGAGATTTATATCCAAGGATTAAGAAAATTACCTTCATTCAAAAGACACATTGAATACCAACTACACAAGGGTGAATTAGAAGATATTGAAGAGTTGTTAACCAAGGATGAACCGGTGGTCAACTTGTTTAACCAAGCCAAATTGAAATTTCAAAAGTTTAAATTAATTGCCATGAACGCAATCAATATAATTTACCAATTGCATAACAAACGTGCACCTGTCCGGAAGCAAAAGTTCGAATTGTACAAGTTACTTCTTAGTAACAAGTTGTTGAACTCGAAATATCTCAATGATATCTTGCGAGGTCTTCCTAAATTGAGCGATACCGAGGTAGGATCTATACTTTTGGACTTGACTGACGATTGTCAGGAATCAATTGGGAAAATTGAAGATGAGAAGTTAATAGTGTTGAATAAAGTCATATCTGAAATGGAGAACTTCCAAGAGTTGACTGACAGGTTGAAAGATTACTTCAACAACGACGTCTTATTAACTCCCTTGGATGATGTCGTATTCCATGAGATATTTTCCATGAATGGTGGACTAATCCGAGAAAAATGGAACCGAGAACCATTATTTGAGGAAAACTTTGAGAATCTAATGATTAATCTAGTCAGACCAAATCTCAGAGCAACCATCGAGCTGGGATTAGATAATTACGAGACATACCTTGGCAATTCATTAATTGAACATGAATCAGTCGATAAACTAATTGCTCCTACTTTGAGTCATTTGTTTAAAGTATACAAGGAAGCACCGGTTGCAATCAACATTTATGATTTCTACCAAGCATTCTCGTTGTCATTAAATAGAAACGAAATCCAGAAATCACTCGACAAGGATTTGAGCCAGGATGAATGGGACAAAATGACGTACTCGTGGTTTATCCAGAATTGCTTTGAACTAATGATGATGGGGTTACTCAAGGAGAAACCAAAAGGTGATGTCTTGGAAAAAGCGATATGGAAAGGTGTATAAATTAACTATGTACTATAAAGAAAGAAGAAAAAAAAACCAACCAACTACTGTATGACATCTTTTACTACTTATTTAACCGGATCAGCCGGTAATGTGTCTTTATTTATATCTGGGTTAGCACCCTTTGTGGTTCCTTTTGATTCGGCATCAGGAGCAGCAACAGAGCCTGCCTTTTCGGATTCTTCTAATGCTTCAGCTTCAAGTTTTTTCTCCGCTTCAAGCTCTTCTTCCTCTTCAGCTTCCTTTTCCATTTGGTACTGGGACTTGTCACTACTAAACATGTTACCGCTATTATAGAATTCCGCTAATGAATCACTAGCTTTAGTCTTCATGTTTTTCATATGTTCAACCACCTTTTCATGATGGCCGGAAACTCCTGTAATCACCAACAACACAAAAAAAAACTCAAAATCATCAAGATAATGTATCTTTGCGATCTGAACATCCTATTCGATATATTAGTTGAATTTGCAATCATATTGGAGTATTTTTTGATATAGCAGTTAAAGAGTAAGTATATGTCTTTCTTCCTTTTTTTTTTTTTGTAAATGTGTGTCAAGTGGGGCTTATCTGGACTAGTGTGTTGGTATCTTTGTTGGATCTCTATCCCTTAAATTTGTTTTTTTTCCTTTTTCCATGCGCTTACTGTATGGGGTCGTGTGTGATTGAGAACAATGAGCCAAAGGGGAGATTCAGTCATCCGAATCTAGCCTTAACTAACAGTGTGTCATTTCATATTGGTCTTTGTTAAATGTGGCTAAAACAGTTATGCAAACTAGTGCATAATGCCTAGATTTTACACATTGCACCTTATGCACATCATTTACGAGAAATAGTTTAATTTCCAGTGCATTAAAAAAATACCAATTTTTATTATTTGACAAGTCTTGAGCTACGGACGTAGCTCGGCTGTAAGAAAGTAGACCCCACCCCACGAGGCCAGGTATAGATCTTTTCGTACTTCGTAGATCTGGAACACCCCCCCCTATTGTTCAGATACACTAAGTTCTACTTTCCCCGTATTGTTCGCATCAGTAGTACGATTACATGTGAATCGCCTGTTTAGGAACAGTAACTAGTATGATTTCATGAAATCTCTATATATTCTATCTATGGAAAACTAACTATGTTACTCTCTGACGTATAATTTGCTTGAGCGATACCGATTCTCTTCCTTTCAAGATCAAACGCAAGGTAAGCGTGTCTCATGAAATTCGCCCCCAAAATAAGCATGGTTGGGTTCTGGGTGACTGCGAGCAAACAATCATCCATGAATTGTCCTGTGGTGGAATCGTACGCTCGCGTAACCAAATCAGTGAAGGGGACCTTGATTGAAACCCCAGGAAATTTGAATGTGTAGAATCTGTCGGCTGGTTGGTTGCAATCGACAACGAGCTTGTTGTTGCTGGTTCGCTCTCCTTCAAAGTTGTTAAGGATGTCATTGTAGATGGCTGCATTCACATTGATGAAGGTGGTTCCTGAGTCAATAAGAAATGCTTGGTTGACTTTTACTGAGTTGCCATTGCCAAAGTTAATAGAAGTTACAGTGACACTCAGGAACTTGGAAGAGGCGAATGGCAAAAACACTAATTTTCCATAATACTTTGCTTTATCAATAGCACCAAACAAGATATTCCCTTCGTCAGAATTGTTCAAAAAAATCGAGTAGGCAAGCTTGTTAATCAACCCTGCCTTCTTCAAGGCACAGGGAAAATTGGAATATCCCAGGGCTACATTTGACTGTGTTGTTCTTGAAATCCCCAAAATACCATTGGAAGTAGTAGTGCTGTTAACGATTCCAAATTCAAACCCATCGATCACTTTGGAATCACTTAAATGGACTGCATCTTTAATAACCATCCCGGAACTGTAATGTCCATCAAAGAATCTGGCATTGAAATCTTGGATTCTACCACTGGCAGTTGTTGATCTAGTCAAGTCATATGTACCCATATCAAAACATGAGTTAAAGGCATTATACACCCGGTTATCTATGTAGCATTTAGCATCACTAGAAATAACTAATGTATCGGCACTACCTGTATCTACCAAGAGGTTTACCTCATCCTTATTGGATCCCAACTGGATAGCAGCAGTATACAAGGATCTATCTGCACTAAGTTTAAGCGTTAACTCTAAGTACTTGGAGTCATCTCTTTTTGGGTGAATTGCCTCAAGCACATTTCTTACAAGAGTATCCTCCCCAAAGATTTTCCTAAATTCAGGCCGGTCTATAAATACCGCTTGAACTAAAAGTACAAGAACAATGGAAATCGAGATACGGATCCCAACTTGCATCAAGTTCATCTTCTTTCTCATTTAAAAGCTGATGAGTATCTGTGAAACTAGTAATCTAGAAAAGAGGATGTGAACCAGGGTATATATACTTTTTCTAATCTCTCTGGATTGAGGTTCCTTGCTTTATTCCATTTAATCCGTGACACAGGAAAAGTGATCTGTTTCATAATAAAATTTGGGCACGATTTCTATATTTTTGCAATAATTATTATTTTGCAATTATTTTTTTGGGGTAATTCGGTCCAGGAAACAATCTGGATTTCTTTTTTTTTCTATTTATTTCAAGGGATGAACACGAATCCTCTATGAAAAACCATGCAATTTTACCAATTGCTGGCTTAGAATAAAGAAAAAAACTCAATTGAATAAAGCTGCGAAACAAGTGAAAAATAAAGGACACGTAGGATTGTAGTAATTAGAGCCCAAATGTTTATCCCCGAGTGAACAAAGATTAAATTGATATTGTTGTCAAAATTTTTCTCCCTAAGGCGGTCTCTCATTATTATATAGATGAGCAGCGTCAGCCACACATCTCCTATTCAATTTATATGAGTGGGGTTTGGCATGACAGGTGGCAATCAATATTATCTACGGTATTTTCTTATGCATTATCTGGAAAAAAAAATTATGTGATTGAAATCTAGAACTGCTACCCTGCAGAAATCATAAAATTACGGATGTAGCAACCGATGAATTAATTTAGCAATATATATATATATATATATAATTGTCATATCTAAGGACACGTCAGGCACATTCGGCAGAAGTTTCCCCAAACAATTAGTTTCAAACTATTCCAGATAACAATAAAATAGAAAAGTCTTCCAATTGTAAATCAAACAATAAGGGGTAGATATACGAATGGAAATGTGTCCATGAAATTGCAGTTACATTTTTGATCTCCTGATATCAGTTGAGCAATATTTCCCAAACCGTATATGTTTGGCTTATCTGAAACTCTTCACTTTTTGGCCTGTTGTGAAACTCAAAACCGTGAGAATTTCACCCCCCAAACCCGAGGAATGTATATAATGGCCATTTATTTTTGAGAAATGGGAAATATATTTCCGTATAAGCCTCTCTCCTATTATCATCGATATCAAATAATCACAAAAAGCCTTCTTAAGTAACACACTACTCAAATTCCGGATATGAATTATCCAGAAGTTTCCTTCTTTTTTTTCGTACATTGCAGAATTCGTAAAACGCGGGAATTCGTATTTGGCTTTGTGACAATAAAAACAGAATTTTAGAACAATAAACTACACATACTTAACAACCGCCTTGGATTGTGTCAGATCATATCCCTGATTGTCCACAGTTTCTTGGCAGGAGTGAAAGCACGTTCTGCTATCTCGGGGTGAGGGGTGTACATTTTCGTTTTAATTTCCCTCTCCTGCATTGTCCCTGGTATCTTGCGTGTTTACGAGGCGGATATGCATTAATTGCATAAAAATTATGCTGGTGATCAAAACAACAAATCCTTGCACACATGGCTTACCTACCGAATTTTACCTGCATGCCGCCTGATCTATATTTTCTGTTTATGATAACAAAGACTAATTGTCTGAATTTGTCGATAATATTGGCTTATGTTATCGATAACCTCGGCCAAATTGGTGACAATTAATCGGGACCGACCGGTCTAAACTCGGAGAGAAGAACCAACCAATCAACAACTACCCAGGCATGAAATGGTATTGAACAATCAGGCCACACAGGCCAGCAGAGTGGTAAAAAATGTTTTTGAAGAGGCATGGTGGTTTTCTAATTCCAAATAATAAAGACCATCCGGAATATCGGGATTCGTAGAGAAAATACAGAGAATGCCTATTTTTTTTCCCTAGATACTGTTGTAATTAAAATGTATATTGTATGCTAAGCTTATTGTTGTCCCTCTTGTCTATCGATCTCTTTCTTTTCGTTGGATCGATAATCAAAATCACTCATCCAAATGTCCCCTAACCGTTTAAAATATTCTACTTCTTCAGGCTGATACTCAATAATTGTCCCAACTTCTCCATGGGATTTCCTGGCTTGACCTATAGAACTATATGCACACCAAGTATACCCTGAACAATAACCACGATTATTAACCCAGGCAACATTCGGTTCACCATCAACTTGTTCACCAATGGGAACCGTCAACTTCTCACTGGGTGGGACAATGGCGGCTTTAATGATTAATTTACTTTCAAAAAAGGTTCTGAATTGGTCGAAGTGTTTAAACTTGGTATATCTTTGGTTGCGGGCAAAATCTTCTTCGAAGTTGACAGTGGATGTCTTACTGCAGAATTTGAACCCGGAATTAAACCACAACAAGGTATGGCTGTCTTCGTCATTAATATGAGCAGGGTGATTTGCACAAAGCTCTTTTCCTTTGACTACACCTTTTCTCCCGATATCATTCTCTCGTTCTTCATTGGGTGTGATTTCTCCAATGGCGGCCGCGGGTAAAGTATTAAACTCAAAGCTTTCATCGCCACTAAGCACCAAACTCATCCAAAACAATTCCTTATCTCCGTATAATCTTGATACAAATGGTAAATAAAAATTCATATTGGACATGATTAATGGTTGCCCAAAGTGTTTCTTTCTATTGATCAAGACCAACCCACTTTCCATGACATGGTTTAAATGTTGTTTGAAGAAGGGATTGTTCCAGGTTTTCGAAGTGGCTGGTTTCAAATCAAACAATAAGGTGTCTAATTGGCTGTTCATCAACTTGACAAAGAATCTAATGTCGTTTTCAGTTCTAATTTCAGGCACTGCCCGATCTCGATAGAATAATGCACCAGAGGAGCGATACTTTTTCAATTTGAAAAAAGATTCAGGAGTTTTTGCCAACACGGTGTCAGCATCAATTAGCATCATTTCCTCAAAGGAATTGAACAATGTGGCCACAATCTTATTGGCAAATCCGCCGAATTTGTGCAAGTAGTCCGGGTGGATTGCCGGGGTTACGTCCACAAACGTTATACTCTGTTTGGGTAAATTATGGAAGGGTTGGGTACATGCTTGACGTATTTGATACTTAATTTCACCCGATAAGTCTTGTTCAGTATGGACTATTTGAAGGGGAAGTTTATTATTGAGGAACCTTAATAAGTGAATTAACCTGATGCACTCATCACTGAAAGCATCAGAAATAGTCAACACAATTCCCTTTCCTGAGAGTTTCTTTTGGAATGCTTTCAAGAAACTTCCTTTGAATGAGTTTAATAATGTGTATTCTACATTATTCAGTTCATAGATTGGTGATTTCTGACTCAACCAGGGAAACACCTTTCGTTCTAATTTTTTCACTGATAACCCCCATACTGGCTTTGGTAAGGAATGCTTGGATTTGTACTTGAATCCTCGTAATAACCCCTGTTGGTGGTTTATAGTAGTTTTGTTGTAGTCCTCAAGGTAACATTTGTTGAATACTTTGATGTGGGTCAAGTAGTCATGAAGGATTTGTTCTTCCTCAATTACCTTGAGTTTGAGATTTTCGTAGTCTTGCTTCATTTGGTCTTTTATTTCCTGGGTGATTTCTAATTTCACATTCAGGTTGTTTTCATTTTCTTCTTCAGCTTTCTTTTCACTTTCTTCTTGCAATTTTTTAATCTGTTCTTTTTCAAAATCTTCAAAACTTGGAAGCTTGGTAAAGTCGATATGACGAGTTGGATCAACTATCTGGTCCAACGAATAAACATTGCTAAAATATAACTTACACCTTTCTGGTTGTCCAAGGTGCTGGAGGATATGAAACAAGTTCTCGTTAGTTATATCGGCATCGTTCAGGTCAACCTTCAACAAGTCTTTGTATATCAGGGCATACTTTATCCGGGAATCGGGCTTATACTTTGTGTTTATTAATTCTTTGAACTGCTCATCGGAGAGGGGGACTTGGTTTCTTGACGGTACACCTCTGTAGTATGAATATGTTTTGTGTAGTTTGTTGGATGAGTGTAGCCAGACTATGAGTGTTAGTGTTACTACCAGAAGAGTAACTATTCGTAGTAAATGTCGTGGAAGACGACCATATGCTGTGAATGGAGATATCATAGTGATGTCTTGCGATAAGAGCAAAAGAAAACACAACAAATGCTGTTTACTTCACTCAGCCCTGAGCTTTCATTTTTTTTTGAACAATGAGTGTAAACATGTGGGCCATTGTGTATTGAAGATCTAATTACGGCCACCAAGAAAAAAATAATTGATGCAAAAAGCACTCACAGAAAAAGGGATAAGAAAAAAAAAAAAGTAAAAAAAAAAAAGAAAAAAAAAATTTTATGCTGCCTGCCACAGTGGTTAGATCTTAGTTGACATGAAACACATTTTCGCGCACTGCAGAAGAACAGAACAAACTACACGCTTGACTAATCGCCTTGCAACGATTGGCCATGTGGATTTGACGCTGAGTGGATATGTTGAAAAATCAAGCGTGTTGTATAAATAATATTGCTGAGCCAGGCCCGAAGAAGCCGTTTTTTTTCCTGCTAATTTTAGCATTAGCTGGTACAAAAGCAGAAATCAGACACACAAGGATTCTCCTAACACAATATTTGAAAGATTCTTAATGCAAAGAAGGTAACATTTTAACCGTTGCAATTTTAGAATTGTTGCATTAGGTTTTCGCATTAAATTACTCTACATAAAATTAAAATACCACACACAAGAAAACAGTCCCGCCATTCTGCAAGAAGGCGTTGGCTTTTTTTTTCTCGTCTACATTGCAAATCTCGTGAGTTTCTCAAGAACAAAATTGATCTGGTTATCTGTTGATAGAACAAAGTTTAAAAAAGACTACTTTAATAAAAGTACAAAAAAATTATCGAAAAGGAAATACGCCTGGAATTTAGAGCAACCATATAAAAAAGTAAACACCGAAATCGTAGAAGTTTACGCTGGAAAATGTGGATAAATAGTATGAACAAAAAGATCATATCTCTACAAATGCGAGCTCTTACACTTTAGTTGGCTTTCGAGTATATTGTAGTAGTAGCAGTAGTAGTAGTAATGACTATAAGTAGAGATGTAAACAAAAAAAAAGTAGTGGTAAAAAAAAAATAGTAAAGTATGGTACCAGCCCGCCCCTTGTAATAAATAATTTGGAAAATCCTAATTATGAAGAATTGAATATTTTGTTGGAATATTTAGTTCCAGTGGTGGTTGTAGGAATCAAAAAAACTTGTGGTCCCAACACTCGTTTCGGACTCGCTTAATAACACATTTACTTTTTGCTCTTACGACTAAGATCAGGAAGTGGAATTTCCTTTGGTACAAGGTATGAGTTTTGCTTAGTGGCAATACCAGCATAAGTTTCAAACCAACCAGCAAATGCATTGATAACACCCATGATACCACCGGCCTTCATGACCTTAGGACTACCTGATAAGAAACCAGCAGCAAGAAGAATAATAGTCAAATCTAAGGTCAACACAGTCCAGAAAAATGAAAGGGTGGACTTGAAAAGACAAGCTAACAACATAGTAGTGAAAATGGCCCAACCAACTGAGATCAAACCAATACCTTGGTTCAATTGTTCTGGATCATCAGCATAAGCAGCACCGATACCGAAACCTGGAATAAAGATAGCTCCGAAACTCAACCAGAAAGCACCATAACTAGTGAATGCAGTAGCACCAAGAGTGTTTCCTCCAACCATACACCAGACACCAGCTAAGAATTGAAGTAAACCCCCAACAAATATGAACAACCCAACGGCAGCGTTTGGAATACTACCACCAGTAGCCCCAGCAAAGATCAAACCCAATACAAAAATGTTCATATGAGTTGCAAACAAACCAAGAGCAGGAGCATTGGCAATTTGACGTTTAGGATATGGGGTCAAACCTGAAGTGAAAGTACCACCAAAGGCTTGCATTAATTCATGTCTATAGTATTTGTTATCCCCAATGATAACGAATTCATTCCCTGGACCAGCAATACTACATGTCTTGTGAATCTTTAATTCTTCATCGTGAATTGGAATTGGCTTGGAATATGAATCGTTAGAAACGGTAGAATTAATAGATGCCATTCTTATAAAGGATTTTTTTTGCTCGGCTTTCTAATGCATTAAAATGACAAAGACTTGGCTATTTTGTTTCTATATATATATATTTATTCGTTTCTAAAATCTTCAAACACAATGCTCTCGAGAAGAATGTAACTGTGTGCATAAATCCGCCTGTCCTTTCCACCTTTGTAAAAAAGTTTTGCTGCAAACCCCACTTGTTAATTTTTGGAGTACTCATCCCCAAAAAAATACGCGGAAATGTGTGGTTTTGTCCCCAGAAAACCCGGACTTTACATCAAGTTCTCCACGCTGGGGGAATATCCCATTACCCCTAACCCCAGATACAACATTGACAACTAACAAGTTACAATTCACTAATATAAACCAAGTTAGATCAGTTATCACTTGGATACATTCTTATAACAATGAACTAGTATGGTAGGTGATTCTTGGAAGTTCATTGCATTCACATACATTTTGAGTAATTCCGGTACCTCGTAAATTGAGCGGGGGGGATGGGCGGAAATCCTAAAATAAAAAAATAAAAAAAAAAAGAACTGGTATCGAAGAAAATTAAACACAGAAGAAATTAGTCCCTGGTTAGTTGGAAGTATATCCAATTAAATTGTAAGGATTTGATATAGTTACAAACATCTACTTTTGAAGGAAAAAGCTCATACAGGGAATTATTGTCGAATACAAATGACCTTTCTACGAGAGAAACACTCTAATTGGAACTTTTTGCAAACAGGCCCAATACTGATTTTACCAGTCATTTCTTTTAGAATTCATTCTAGACAAGCATTGCTCCGAGCTACAGCACGCACTTGCAATCTAGCGGATTTATCAATAATTCCCCAATTAAGCGTATAGAATCGGGTCTTAACTTTTTTACAACCGATGCATTTTTGACGCGCGTTTTTGTGTAACTGATTATGCGGAAGTCCCCAGATTAGGAAACTCCGTGAAATTGACAGGTTCCCCGAGGTTCACAAACATACTTCCTGCATTGACTTAGATCATGCTTGTTTCGCAGGTACGAATAGCTATACGTCGCTATTACTTCTGTCTTTACACTTTTGAGTTAGGGGATTGTAGTTTTGCTATGGTATAACTTCATGTAACTAATCTCCTGCTGTTGCGGATTTAAGCACATAATTCTAGAATATTTCATGGGTTTACGAACTCCCCTTCTCCCGGATTGACCAGCACCCTTAATCAGTTTCCAAGACCCGAAAATTTTCAAAATGGGTCCAGAATTGATCAAGTAGGTTAATTCAGACAATGGTAGTTGATTAAGTTGCTTCATCCCTATCCAAACATCATCTGGTTGTCATAGGGGGGAGTTTACCTTGAATTCAAACCAAATTAAAGGTACCCTTGTAGATATTTTCTTTTTCTGTTTTGGCTTTGCATAGAGGTAGTCAGGTCATGCCTTCTGCATAAGTAGTCCCTATCAAATCTGCACTAGGTTGAAGTTAGCCGACTAGTCCAAACCGTTTGTTACTCTCGTATTTAAATGCATAAGGGATGTCTTAAACTCCTGGGTTTTCCTTTAAGTTACTCCCCTCCTATCTTTAACCCAATGACCGACTGGTTGCTTTCAGGGGTATTCTAACTCCGGAGTGTTCGACTTTCTAATCTACGAAGCTTGAAACCTTATAAATATAATGGTGTGGCTCTTAATCCACAATTGCTTCTATGACAAAAGAAGTTCTTGGGGTTCATCTTAAGACCAAGGTTTTGAAATTGAACCAAGTTAGAGGTTATGATATTTGTAATGATTAATATTATAATGGACACTTATTAACTCTGGAACGGAAATTAATATATGTGAATCACTCTATTTAAATATATTATATTTACTGAACTTTTAGCACTAAATTTCAAAGAAAATCTGTCAAATTTACATCTCTTAAAATTTATGATGATGATTTAACACATAGAGAATCATAATTCATATCCAATAAATAATGGAATATTAACATACTAAAACATCCAAGTTGATTCTAGAAACCTACTCCAACTTGTGTAAGACACGGAGGTTAAAATATATTCTTTATTTTAGCCAATCAATATCATGAAAATTCCAAAACAATCAAAGAATTATTGATTTAATTATACAGGTAAGCTACCAACTTACCAAGAACAAACTTTAGGCATAGTGGTATTTTTGCAGCAATTTTGTTAGCGTGTCCAGAGTTTCTTGTCTGATCTGTCGTTTTTCCGCAGACCCCCGCTTTTCTAATTTTCCGGATATTCAATTTCCGCCAAGATTTTTTTAATGGGTATTTCCGGTGAGATACACGAAATTGCCAGTCAACTAGGTCAACAGCCTTAATATACTCCTATTACAGGTCGTGACTAAAGCGAATACTTAAATTAGGATGGTATGAGTAGTGTATTACTGGCCAAGTGGGAAATTTTCGTAGTATTGAATTATTGTGTAGGTAAATTGTGTACGATTCCTTCAGGTTAGGTATGTCCAGGATGAAACACACAACAAGTGGAGTTAATTACTCCACGTTTATATACATATCAAGTAGCTCTTCCCCACAATTACTCTTTGATGTTTGTGAATACGATTTAGCAACTTCGCTAATTTTTTTGTCACAATACGATAAATGCAGCAAAAGCGTTTGGATCATTTATTATTTCCTCAAACAATAATAGTTAAACTATAGATTTTCTACTCACAATCATCGAACTATAAGCTTTACATGCGGCGACGAATTATCAAACACAACTCCTAGATAGTTCATACTACTATATTCATTGATAAGTCCTACCCTTAGATCAGAGAATTTTTGTACAAGCAATCGAACCAGAAAGCTATTACAACTATGATTTTCAAACGTATTAGTATTAAACCTAAATATAAATATAACACATGGCTAAAGTACAAGAATTAAAATGTTAAAAGATGCAGAGAGAGAACCAGTCTAACACCAGAAGTTGTAGACTCTCTTGTAGAAAGGTAAGGAAGCAATGTAAGCCTTTTCTTCGGCAACTTCTTGCTTGACCAAGTCCAAGTCCATTTCTCTTCTACCGGTATCAATATCAATGTCCTTGGCTCTAATGTACAACTTCCAGTTTCTAGAGTAGAGTTTGTGACCAACGTAGAAGATCAAAACAACTGGGACAGTTAAGAAGTTGTTGAAGAAAGTTTCGGCACTTGGAGATCCACCTAATGGCCAGACAGCAATCCAGAATTGTAAACAGACAACAACAATGTTAAGAGTCATACCCCAGTAAGCACCAATGAGACCTGGTTGAGAAGTAAAGGTTAATTCACTAGTATCTCTACCTTGAACAGAAAGAGCTCTTCTGAATCTGATTAAACAAAGGTTAATAGAACCCCAAGTAAAGATGGAAGATAAACCGGACAAAGCCAATAACCAACCAAAGACTTCACCTTCCTTTGGAGAAGCAGCAAGGTAACATAATAAACCAACAACTAATTGAGCGATAATACCGACTAATGGACGACCTTGTCTGTCAATGTAGCCGAAAATCTTTGGGGCTTGGTTAGAAGCAGCTAATGCAGCTAAAGTACGAGATGAACCAAAGACAGAAGAGTTACCAACAGATAAGACAGCAACCATAATAACAACGTTCATAACAGATGGTAAACCCTTGATACCACCATTTTCAATAGCAATGACGAATGGTGAAGCAGTAGCATCGACTGAAGAAGCACCTAATAATCTCTTGTTGTCATAACGAACCAACATACCGATTAAAGTCAAACAAATAACGTAGAATAAAGTGATTCTCCAGAAAACTTGTTTACAAGCCTTTGGTAAACTCTTTCTTGGGTTAGCAGATTCGGCAGCAGCTAAACCACATAATTCAGTACCAGCAAAGGCAAATGCAGCACCGACGAACACGGTAACAACACCCTTGGCACCATTAGGGAATGGAGCACCATCAACATGCCAGTACTTACCACCGAGGTAACCACCTTGAGGACCACCACCAGTGATTAAGACTATACCTAAGATAATAAACCCAATCACAGCAATGACCTTGATAGCGGAGAAAATAAATTCGGCTTCACCATATCCTCTAACACCGAAGAAGTTAATAGCAACAATCAAAACATAGAAAACGGTAACGTATGCTGCTGAATTCGTATTTGGATCCCAATACTTGATAGTTAATGAAGCAGCAACTAATTCCAAGGGTAACACGACTAACCATTGCATAGCATAGTTCCAAGCCATAGCGAAACCCCAAGATGGATCAATAAAACGAGAATTGTAAGTAACGAAAGCACCAGAAACAGGGAAAGTAACAGCTAATTCACCTAAGGATTGAACAGTACAGTAAATCATAGTACCTATTAAACAGTAGGCAATTAATAAACCAGCTGGACCACCAGTACTTAAGTTAGAACCGGAACCAACGAATAAACCAGTACCGATGGAACCACCAATGGCAATCATTTGTAAATGTCTGTTCTTAAGAGAACGAGATAATGGAGAGTTAGCAGTTAAAACACCGATCTTTTCAGCTTCGGTCATGTTTTCATCGATACCCAAGTCTTCAACCTTGGCACGCTTGAAACCATCTTTGAATTTAGCAAAACCAGTTAATTTAGTAGCTGGTTCTTGTTGAGAATAAGATTCAACATAAAGGGCATCACCTTTATCAGAACTATTAGCTTCTCTTGAAGTGATGTAGTGTACGTCTTTTTCAGCAGCCATGATATATGTATGTGTTGCAAACGAAACTGATTATTCGAAAAAACCGAAACGATGAAAACAAGGGAATATGTTTGGATATTTATATCTGAAACAGACATGCTCGTATTCAAGCTCCCGCCTCCCTGTTCTCAAGTAAATTGCAATCTAATTTTGCTATCAATAGGTACAATTCCGGAAGAATAATGGAGGATTCTTATCAATTTTCACACCCATTATTTTTTGATTTTAGTTGCAGTCGAAAAAAATAAATCTGACATTTTTTACAAGTTCTAGCTTAACCTGCACTATTTCGAGGCTTAGTGTCTTACAGATTAGAATTTGTTGGGCGTGTGCGAGTTCAAATCAAGATTGATTAAAAATCGCCGTGCAACTTTGCATAGAATATCTGGAGATTTAGAAACACAATGGCCGGTGCCGCTGTTGCATTCCTTCATGTTAAACTTCGTATCAATAGTGGCAAAATCAGATGTTCGTATCTTATCTATATTAAACAATTGCCTCGTTGTACTTGGTTGCTTTAATTAGCCTATCTATTGAACTATAGATAATCAGGTCATCTCATTTCAACTGGTAATTTATTTCTTTTGTCTGGAACATCTCCGGTGTGCTTCTACTGCGTTTTAACTGTAAAATAGAAAGAAGAAAAAAAAAAAAAAAAGTCAAGATCACTATTCCGAAAAAATAAAAAACAAAAGAAACACCCTATTTTTTGGCGGGTAATTAAGGCGCCGAATATTTTAGTTTTATTTTGCAATGATAACATTATTAGCAAAGCATCGGGTGATACATGAAGATGCGCTAGTTTAATTAGACAGGGACTCTTATCTAATCATAGACTAGTAATGCCGAACGACTAAATGACCTTAGTTTATCAATAGTATACACATACCTGTTTTTGGCGCTGTGCTGGTGGAAATTGTGGAAAGGTTACCGTACACTATGGCTGAGGTATTCGACCTACGTAATTGGGTTAAAAAAAAAGGGACAAGCTTTGTCTCAGAAGCTAAACCAAAACAATAACCGCGGAGGCAGCCCCGTTGATTGCTTCATTGTTACGCGCAGATTTTCTCCTCCCGCTAAATGTAAAAGCTGTGGCGTTTTATGAAGAATCTATAGCTTGGCCCCGTTTTTACATCCTTTTTCGGGGTTACACAAATAGACAATTCTTGGATCAATTTTTATTTTTAAAGGTTGTAAGAAATTCATTGGTTTCAATAGTCGAATGATAATAGACCTGCTAAATCCACAGCCGAAGGTAATTGTTTGGCAATTGTTCTGTCAATTATTGCGTCTGACGAATCTGAGATTCGATGTTTGGTACACCGCCACCACCATCATCACCACCACCACAATTTGTCAAAGAAATCTGCATGTGATTTCAAAGTAGTGACTAGTATTTAAGTGGTTCTGCTAAATCAATTGACCTTGCGTTCATTAAGTTTACGAATCGGACTTGTTTGAACAAATGCAAATTTGTATCATTATTTCATGTACTCCACAAACCCCCACAAAAAGCAATCATTAGCTATGTTTCTAAAATAAATCATTGGCTCGGGAAGGAATTTTCCCAAATGAATCTTAGAGCGCCTATTCGTGATGCCGCATCAAAAAATTCGCCGTAACATTCTTCTTTCTGGGTCTCCGGAATTATTATACCCCACTTATATAATAATCCCCACAAAAAAATAATATTTTTACAGGTTGAGATCTTCCAAAGATCCTGTCAGCAATTCGCTGACGCAACCTTCAGATCAATGAGGGGACAACTGTAATCTGAATTGCAATGAAATTATTGGTTAGTTTATACTGTCAATGTGACAGGGGGGTTGTAATTGACAACAGCCACGGGGACGAATTCGTATTTGTTTAGAGCTGGGCCATTTTATTTGTATGTAATAACCAACAGCAAGAAAATTACTATTGAACTAGTGATGGATTAGATTAGGAGAAATGGGATCTTAATTTAATAAGAATTAACAACTGAGTGAGAAGGATTCAGTCCTACTTTTATAGTTTTCTCTTTACCCTTATGAGTGAACGGCATTAGGTTATGATAGGCGACGCTTTTACTGTTACATTTAGTTTTCTCGGCAATCAACGGCAATTTTAGAAGCTATATGAAAGGCGCTTCGGATAAAAAAAAGAAATTCCTAATATGGAACATATTTGCATTTCCAACAAACTAAGAGGGATTATACCATCGAGTCGTTCTGAAAGATGTGTAGTCCAGAGTCATAAGTGGTGATCATAACGTAATACAATTCGGACTAATTGAATAGATACCAAAATCAAATCAGTACTACTATAGAACTAAATTAAAGCTTATCAAAATAAAATCGAAATGGTGCCAGCTAAATAGTCTAACACCAGAAATGATAGACTCTCATGTAGAAAGGTAATGAAGCAATGTATGCTTTTTCTTCAGCAACTTCTTGTCTAACCAAATCCAAATCCATTTCTCTTCTACCAGTATCAACATCAATATCCTTGGCTCTAATAAAGAATTTCCAATTCTTAGTATATATTTTATGACCAAGGTAAAACAGTAATATAACAGGAACAGTTAGGAAATTCTTGAAAAACACCACAGCTTTGGGGGATTTTCCCAATGGCCATACAGCAATCCAGAACTGTAAACAGATAATGGCAATATTAAGACCAAGACCCCAATAAGCACCATATATACCAGGTTGGGAAGTAAATGCTAATTCACCAGTGTCTCTTCCTTTAACAGCAAGCGCTCTCCGGAATCGAATAAGGGAAAAGTTGATTGAGCCCCAGGTGAATAGCGATGATAATCCAGAAAGGGCCAATAACCAAGTGAATATTTCTTCTTCTTTGGGAGATGCTGCGAGGTAACATAATAATCCAATAATCATTTGTAATACGATCCCAGCTAGCGGGCGTCCTCGTTTATCAATGTATCCCAAAATCTTTGGGGCTTGATTGGTAGCAGCTAATGCAGCTAAAGTACGAGATGAACCAAATACAGAAGAGTTACCAACAGATAAGACAGCAATCATAATAACAAAATTCATTACTGAAGGTAAACCCTTGATACCACCATTTTGAATAGCAATGACGAATGGTGAAGCAGTAGCATCGACTGAAGACGCACCTAATAATCTTTCATTATTGTATGGAACCAACATACCAATTAAAGTTAAGCAGATAACATAAAACAAGGTGATTCTCCAGAAAACTTGTTTGCATGCTTTTGGTAAACTCTTTCTTGGGTTGGCGGATTCAGCAGCAGCTAAACCACATAATTCAGTACCAACAAAAGCAAAGGCAGCACCGACGAACACACTGACGACTCCCTTGAAACCATTAGGAAAAGGTGCTTTTTCAATATACCAGTATTTTGCACCAAGATAACCTCCAACTGGCCCACCACCACAAATTAATACAATTCCTAAAATGATAAATCCAATAATGGCCAAGACTTTGATCAAAGAAAAGACAAATTCCGCTTCACCATAGCCTCGGACTCCAAAGAAATTAATAGAAACAATCAAGATGTAGAACGCAGTAACATACACTGCAGAATTAGTCTTTGAATCCCAATATTTGACTGTTAATGATGCAGCAACTAATTCTAAAGGTAACACAATTAACCATTGCATAGCATAGTTCCAAGCCATAGCGAAACCCCAAGATGGATCAATGAAACGAGAATTGTAAGTAACGAAAGCACCAGAAACAGGGAAAGTAACAGCTAATTCACCTAAGGATTGAACAGTACAGTAAATCATAGTACCTATTAAACAGTAGGCAATTAATAAACCAGCTGGACCACCAGTGTTTAAGTTAGTACCAGAACCAACAAATAAACCTGTACCTATAGAACCACCAATGGCAATCATTTGCAAGTGTCGATTTTTAAGAGAACGAGATAAAGGAGAATTTGCAGTCAATATGGCAATTTTCTCCGAGTCTGAAATATTTGGATCAATACCCAAGTCTTCAACTCTGGCCTGTCTAAAGCCATCTTTGAATTTAGCGAATCCTTTTAATTCAGAAGCGGTTGGTTGATTATTTGATTCGATATAAATGTCATTAGAGCTACTAACTTCTTTAGAAGTCACAAAGTTAATCTCTTTTTCAGCCATAATGTTAGTGTTTATTTACATTTATAATCAGGAAATGAAAGAAGGAAGAACGAATATATATTTATAATCAATGACTAACCTCGGCTCCCCTCTCTTATCTTCCCCCTCTAAGTTGGTTATCTCACGGAATAATTCCATGATAAAGAATAATGAGGTAAGCATTTGATGGTTTACAATTGTTTTATTTCCTGCACTTAGACGCAAATTTTGATCGTCCCAAATTATTTTTTATGTGAACCTGAGTCTGGGGTAAAGACAAATCGCCGTGCAACTATAATACACAATCAGAATAGACAATGGCGTGGTAAGAGTGCAGCAGCTGAAATCTCATGCCATAAGAATATGATAATTATATCCAAATCAAAGAATAAACTTCTTACAATCAGTTGACTAATCTTCATTGCAATTGCAATTACCTTCACTCCACAACTGGTAATTACTACTATCCTGCTGCTGCTGCAAAAAAAAAAAGTTTAAAGGCTGAAACGACGATTAGATTAAAACAGAGATATGCACGACAATTCGCAAATTTCCGTTTTTGGACTTTGCAACAATCGTTAACCCCACTCTACAACCAACTATTCAAGATCAATGTTCTCGAATAGCCGGAATACCATCACCGAGCAGTTTTTTTCTTGCCGATGGGATTTTGCGGCTAATTTGCCCCTCTACTGAGTTAAAAAAATCCAACAGCAACAAAACTCGGCCTTTGGGGGTATATCCCCAACCGTATATGTATAACGCCGTGCTTTTAAAAATTGCCGTAGTCTTTGGTCTTCCCCGACTGTAATGATTGCGCTTTTTCTCATATACTCCAACAAAATAGAAAAGCTATTTGCTGCAAGGAAAGTCTAAACCTTGTTAGACGGTCTTATCTGATCTTAGATGTTGTTATTGGCTGATGTGGCCTTATCAAGAAAAACTTCATCAGTATAATACTCTTGCAGTAAACTTGAGATAAACCAATTGACAAACAGCGGACTTGGTGTTCTTATATAGTCTTTTTACCTATACGGTATGATGTGTACGGCGTTCTCTATCTAGAGTATTTGCCGTCATCTACTTAACCACAAAAGTTTCTCGGTTACAATCGGCCTTTGAAATTGTGAAGGAGTTTTATGAACAATAGTTTACAGAATATTATTACAAGTGCATCACTGTATTAACAGCCATATATATATATATATATAAAGCAAAAAGTCTATCCATCTATTGGGCAACTCTTGACCAGTTCTTGAAAGTTTCATCACCATATTGAATTCCCTTAATCCAATCATTGATTTGTAAAGCCAATTCACCAGAAGATCCAGCAGCAACAGGGACCTTGATATTTTTACCGTTGAATTCAATGTTGTCAATTGGAGAAACAATGGCAGCAGTACCAGTACCAAAAGCTTCCAATAATTCGCCCTTGTCAGCACGTTCCTTAACTTCGTGAATGGTTAATTTACGTTCATTGACAGACCATTCCTTTGGATCTAATTTAGCTCTGGCTAATTCCAAAGTAGAATCTCTAGTGACACCAGGCAAGATCATACCGTCTAATGGAGGAGTGACCAATTCCTTAGTACCGTCTTCATTGACAAAGGCAAAGAAGACGTTCATGGCACCCACTTCGGTGATGTAACCTTCTTCACCAAAAAGCCACAAGTTTTGGGAATGGCCTCTGGTAGCGGCTTGCATTTGTGGTTCGATACATGAGACATAGTTGGCACCTAACTTGTAAGCACCAACACCCTTTGGCCAGGCTCTAACAGCGTAGTCAGTAGCTTCCAATGAGACTGGCTTGAAACCAGCACTGAAATATGGACCAACTGGAGAGGCGATCAAGTATAATAATGCATGATCAGGAGCAGAAACACCTAAACCGACATTGGTACCAATTAAAGTTGGTCTCAAGTAAAGAGAGTATCCGTAACCGGTTGGGACGAATCTTTCTTCAACAGTCAAAAATTTGTCAATTAATTTCATGAACTCTTCACCATCGAAAGTTGGCAAAGCTGCTCTTTTGGCAGATCTGTTCATTCTTTCCATATTCTTATCACCTCTGAAAGTACGGATCTTTCCTTCAGAATCACGATAGGCTTTCATACCTTCAAATAATTCAAAGGAGTAATGTAAACAAGAAGTAGCTGGGTTAAGGGATAAGTTGTGGTATGGAGTGATGGTTGGAACACCCCATCCTTTTTCTTTGGTCCATTCGACTTCTAAGATGTGATCAGTGAAGGATTTACCAAAGACCAATTTTTCCTTTGGTAATAACTCCTTAGGAGTTGTGGTCTTGGTGATTGTTAACTTGCTAGCATCTAATGGAGCTGGAGACATTGTGTTGGTGTTTTATTCTATTAGGAAGAAGAAGTAAGTAAGTAGAAGCCCCATTTATACCTCTGAAAATTTTCAGTGACTAATATTGAAAAGAAAAAATGTGTCTCAAGCCGGTAAAGGCACAAAGTTGCAGCAGACACTTTTTTTTTCGGTTATTGAAGGGAACCCGATCGGGATATAAACAAAGGGCTTTGCTAATCTTAGCTATCTTATAGGTTGTAATGAGTCAGACCACGTTATGCTGTGGAGTCTAAGTATGTTACTTACAATGTAAATTCAAAGATAATACACTTTAGATAAGTATTTTAGTATCCTCCATTACTAAATTTGCCTCTTTTATGCAACAGATAGGCTAAAATAGCACATGTCCGACGGTCAATCGGCTGCATAGTAATGAGTAATCGAGCATGTCAAGTTAATTATGTTTCCTATCGTTTAATATTCACCGGGTTCGGTCTCTATATCTTGTTCAAGGTCGTATATTAAAAGTGTTTTTTTTTACCGTTAGCAAATGTCTCATATTCCGGACTTGGAATCAGATATGTTTCAGATTTCGATCAAGATCTTCTGAAAGACAAGTTAAGGAAACTAGTGAACAGAGAACTTGGTTCTGGAACATTTTTTATTTGTTTTAATTTTTTTTAAAAAAAACTGGTGTTAACCACGACAATTGCTCTATACTACTATTACAATAGATGGACAAGAAATACATCGTCAATAGTTATCTTTATGTTTGGAGCATTTTTGTTAGGTCATGGATTTAATGCTTACATATTATATTGAAACTGTCTTTGAAGAAAACCGGATTGATCCAATTAGTGTAATGTAGATAATAAACTTAGCTTTGTGCTATCTACAACTTCCCCTCAATCTATGTTCTTATTACTATAAATGCCTACTTTTGATACTCATCAGGGTAGAAAATCAATCTTTCAACCCCCTTTTCAGTCAAAATAACCATTCTAATAACCCCACCAGAGGACCCATCCCATTTGATTGCTTCAGAAAGTGCAGTTTTTATAAAATCAACACATTCATCTTTCTGCATTCCCTGCTTGAAATTTTCATTACACCAACCATAAATAAAAGTTGAACCTGATCCAGCAATGGCATAATCTTGTTTATGGATTGACCCACCAATAGGGATGGAATATACACTACCTCCGTTCTTCTTATCATACCCAGCGCAAATTATCCCTGCGGTCAAATTGTCTTTATTGTTGTAACAAATTTCTTGGAAAACATTAGCGGCGATTTCCGTGGTGGGGGTTTCATTAGGTGGTAATTGAGCAGCATATATTTGAAGATAGTACTTGACCATATCAGCCACGGCTTGGGTGTCAGCGGCAGAACCAGAACGGCAACAGTAGATTGTGTCGTGGATTTGAGTTAATTTATCAGTTACTCTGTTGGCAATGTATGATCCGGTGGTGGTACGGGAATCAGCACCTAATATAACCCCATCTTGAAATTTAACGGCCATAATCGATGTGCCTAGATTGACTTCACCTTTCTTAAGATGATTGATATCTACTTTGATTCCGTTCATAATAAGTTTATTATCCTGATGTATATGACAATGCCTTGTAGTTCAATTGAATTGTGCTAGTGCAAATTTGAATGAAGGAACAATTCGATAATCGCCACTGTATGTTGCCTCTGTCTTTTTTTTTATGGCGGTCTGAAAAACAAAAAAAAAAAATAAAAAAAAGTCTGGACACGAAAACCTCTCACGTGACCGAAAAGTCGGGATCATATACGAAAGGATTGTGGGCAACACCCCCCACTTGGAAATAAAACACCCCATGCTCTTTCTTCAATTTTCATTTGGGAGAAATCAAAAAAACTAGCTGGACTAGAACTGTACTGTATCGATAATGAGAGTGACCATCTTACAAACAATATTTATATTTATTTCCATAGCACTATCCGCGGTTATTCCCCCTGAAGAGCAGAACGCGCCCAATGAGTTACTCGTCGGGGAAATTAATCCTGAAGAAGAGCCTGACTTTCTAAGTATTAAAGAGTTGGAGTATTTAAAGGGAGATCCTGACGTTACACATAAAGTTTCATTCACCATATCACAAAGGGTCAGTGACTCCGAATCCAAGAAGTTGGGTAAATTAACCATTGCTTTGTTTGGCAAAACTGTTCCTCTAACCGTGGAGAACTTCTACCAATTATCCACCAGAACATTAAAACACAGTTATCAAGATGTATTATTCCATCGTATCATTAAGGGGTTCATGGTTCAAGGTGGTGAGATTAAGACAGAAAAGGGCGAGTCGTGTAGTATATACGGTGGTAACTTCAAAGATGAGAATTTCGAACTCAAACATGATAAATTAGGAAGAGTAAGTATGGCAAACCTGAGCCCTGATAGAAATGGATGTCAATTTTTCATTCTTAATGTTGGAGAAACTCCTCATTTAGATGGACATCATGTGGTATTTGGACAATTAGTGGACGGCTTTGACACTTTGGAAACTATAAGCAATGTCAATGTCGGCAAACAAAATAAGCCAAAGAATGATATTTATGTTAGTGATATTGAAGCGATTAAACGGTCAGAAGAAATGAAAGAACCCTTGGATGAAATTGAGCAAGCTCACAAAGATCAAACCAATCAAGAGTTTGAGTTTGGTGATGAGAAGAAGGTGGCACAACAAGAACCGCCTGTCAGTGAAGGCTACTCATATTTTATTATAATGCTTTTAGTTGGGGTAATATTAGTTGGGGTGTTGTATTATCAATTGATTCATCGCCGGAAAAAGATTACTGCGATTAGACAAGATAAATTTTTTTAGGTATGATTTAAATAAATAGTTATCTCTACTCTCACATCCCCAGTACCATTAACAATAGTATATCACAATAGCTACACATTAGTATGTCTCGTGAGTTTCCAATAGTTCTAGTCAAGAACTTACCATACAAAGTATCAACCTCATCAATGTATGAATTCTTTGGCCAATTTGGCAACATCAATCAAATTAGAATATCAAATGAAGAATCCACACAAGGAAGTTGTTTTATTATATATTCAAACTTGGCAAATGCCATCAGAGCAGCTAATGAATTGAATGGGGTCAATTTCCAAGGTAGATACCTTGTAACTAGTCTATACCCTGTTGATAAGTCACTCATAAACAAAGAAGAAATGATTTTACGTAAAGAGCAATTGAGTCAATTGAAACAACAGTATAGTATTCAGGATTAACTTTGACACCGTTCAATAATTCATTCAGCGTATAAGATTGATTGGGCTCAACTCGATAGGCTAGTTATTATCTGTGTGCAAGAGATATTGGGAAACTACACTACCGTTGACCTTGAAGATGAATGGAATTCACACAGGCCTGATGACACCTTTTGCCTCGGTAGAATTCTTAAAGTTGAAGTTCAATTCGAGGTATATTCTATTTTTCATAGGAAGCTCCACTGTAAGCACGGTTGTTCTTGGTGCTTTTCATGGCACCTGGTAAAGTCTTTTACTTTTTACGTACACTTAACTAAAATATATATATATATATATATATATATAGTGGTTACACTTAGTCCAATAGTAATATGCTTTTGATTCACTATGTAAATATCTACTTGTCATCCTTGTTGACTTCCTTCTTCTTTTCCTTTTCAATAGAAAGATCAACCAATCCAATCAAATAATAACTAATCAATGCTAAAAAGATCAATCCGGAAATCTTGGCCACCTTTTTATAATAATCCATCAGAGTGTATCTATACTTGACAAACACATCCAATTTATATAAATCATCAATCAAATTCTTGTATCCGATAGTAACTTTGACATGACCCTTGGAAACATCCAAGTAAGACAATTCATTGGAAACTTCCAATGAATCGTAGGCAATTGGCGATGAAACATTCAAAAATTCTGAGTTTTCAGGTAAATAGAATTGCAAGTATACGTTATCGTAACTTGTATCTCTCAAACTGTTCAATAATGGAGCCTTGATTATATATTCATCATTTGAATTGTGAAGCTTATGCAAGAATTTATCCAATTGTTCACTCCATCCCAAGGTGAAGTTATAATTCCAACCTCCAAATAATGGGAATCTTGGCTTTAACACTAAGAAATTCTCGATTAATTTATGGGTAGATACAACTCCGACTTTATCAGTATAGTAATAATCGTCCATGTTTCTATCTTTAGTCAATGGGAATTCTAAATGTGACAAAGCCCAATGGTTTCTTTGCGATTCATATCTTCCTTTGATCCATTCAATTCTACTGAATCCAGTATCCAAATGGGCACCATTGTTAGTTAATTCATAGTATTCTTCAATACTCAATTTGTTAACATCAGAAGCAGGAATCCAGATAGAACGGAATAAATTAGTGACTTTAGCTAATGGACGGTTGTGATCATACTTCAAACCGAGTGGAACAATTGTGAATGGAGAAACTGCACCTTTAAGTGGACCAAATTGAACTAAACCTTGTTCAGCATTGACTTGTGGACCAACGAGTTCTGGGGCACCTTCAGTACTTTCGACATCATGGATGATGTATTCTTCACCCTTAGTTAATCCCTGGAATAAAAGAGTATATTCACCAATAGTATATGGACTCAATGGGAACTTATTGGTCTTGTACAACAAAGTTTGAATCTTGTCCATGGCAATTTCCTTTGGAACAGGGATTAATTGATCAGCATAAACATAGTTAAACTTGAGAGTAAGTTCTGATCCTGAAGCTACTGGAATTGGTAATTTAATCAAGAAGACCTTGTTAGGAACAACTTCAGTGTAGTTCAATTCAACTCGTTGGTTTTCATTCAAGACACCAGCAAATACAGAAAGGTTGCCAACAGAATCGAATCCATCATTCACAAGAAAGTAATATTCATCTTGAGGTTTGGAATCAATGTTCTTAAGAACAACCATATCTGTTTCCTTGACAAATCCCTTGTTTAAGTCAACTGCTCGTTGATATATTGGAATTTCCCATAATGATTGCGCACTAGAAGGAATGGATGATTTGATTGCATCCAACAGGCTAGCAGATACAATGAATAATATTCCTAATAGAATTAACAATGAATTGAGTTTGAACATCTCCAATTGGGGGTTGTATTCTATTAAAATTCAAACTTATTCTAGTTAGAGATCAAACACGGTTAATTATTTTCCGAACAACCTTGGGCAAAAAAAAGACACCTCAATGTTTTTCCCTCACAAAACATTAGCGTTGTTTTACATGCAGGAATATCGGAAGAAACTATCAGACTAACAAGTTTAGCTGTTGCAACTCAAGAGTCAATCTAGAGAGATGAATGTAAGATATAGCCTATAGAAATACCCAGCTGAACTCGGCTGTTACATCTGAGATTTCTTAACTTAAACAGCTCAACATATCAAATATACTGGGGGAAGAATGTATATGGGTCAGCGAGTAGGATGGAAATAATAATCGAATCTTTTATTCCCTGCTACACTCTGTTTCTCTTTTGGATACAGCTCTAATTAGAATGGTCACATTTCAAGAATGTTATCTATTTGGGAACTTTCTATCTCATGTGGTAGCGTTTACTCGAGATACTTGATTGCCGGTGGTTTGCTGAAACGTCCAACTAACATTTGCAATCCGCAAGTAACAGAAGTGACCAGGCATGGGTGTTTGGTATAGATATTGTAGTTGGATACACTCATGTTGGTGTTCAGTTTCTCACATGTCGGCGCATATATCAAGAAGTAAGCCTTGCAATATTACGTATTTTATGCATATTGTCTTAAAATTTTTTTGCCAAGTTACTCTCCTTCGTGGTGTCTATACATTACTCTTCCCGACGACCAGAATTATTGAAATGAATCAAAGTACAACTAAGAATATTGTGATATATTGGCTGATTTTTCACAGAAAAAAAAAAAAAGTATTGCAAAATAGAAATCTCAGGAAAATCGGCCAGAAGTGCCTATAAATCTATGCAAAGATGCTCCGCGTTTGTTTCCACTTTGTACCTGACTAAGTGTTGCTGTGAGTTTCAGAAATAATACGAAACACAAACACTACTAATAGACTTTGCTTTTGTAAACCGGCAAGCAAGGGATCGTAACCTGTTGTTTCAAACTAGTTTACGCGTAATCTATTGGACAATGACAAGAAAAATAAAACACAACAAAGAAAAGGAGTCGTGCAAGTCCGCCTAAATTTTCAAAAAGGAGGCACAACATGCAGTACTGCCATATGGCCCGTAATCTTCCACCCATCGCAAGTATTGAGGGGCGATGGCAAAATTTCAGTCTAAGTTTAGTTTTGCTGGTCAACAACCGGTGGCAATCATGCATATATATTAGCTAAATCTGCCAAGTTTAGATCCATGACTGGTTTACTAACAGATTACTAAAAAGTCGTTACTTAACGTTTCTTATCGTAAGGTGAAGTAGGTTTTGGTTACAGAGAGCATCCTCCCCAGACACGTGATCAAATTTACTCAATTAGGAAGGTGTTGCCATTTTTTCCAATCGCCGCCTGTTTTTCCAATCCAGAAATTTTTTTTCCAACTTTTTTTCTTTTGTATTTACCAATTCGTGGTTTCAACCTACCCCATATAGAAATAACAATAGGGTAAACCAAACAATTCCCAATCGAACCACTGTGCATAGAGATATCACATACCATCCCTCCACCCATATCTTGCATATATATTCATTCATCACAATAGTGGTCAATTCTAAATCTTGTTATTAAAAACGTTTGCCCCCAGATCAAGGTTAAACCTTTTTGACAACCATATTTACATCCGATCATCAACATAAACAAAATAAAAGGAAACAACCAAAAAGTCAACAATGTCGTCTCTTCAAGATCTTATACCTGTGGTTAACAAACTTCAAGATATCATCACCACTACTCAATTGGCCGATATTGATTTACCAATCTTGGCCGTTGTTGGCTCTCAATCTTGTGGAAAATCTTCTGTTTTGGAAAATATCGTTGGCAAGGATTTTTTACCTAGAGGTACTGGGATTGTTACTAGAAGACCTTTGGTTTTACAGTTGATTAATATTAGTGATGAAGAGAATGATTCAAATACTACTGATTTCTATTCTACCCTGGCCCCTGTTTCCGATGAAGATGGCAGTCACCATCACCGCGGCTATGATCGTCAGCATCCCCAAATCCCCAATGGTCATTTCAGTTATTCCACTGATGATGTTGGATCCGTCAATTTGGAAGATCATATTCGCAATATGAGTAACGGCAAAACCACCAGATCATCGCGCGAATGGGGGGAATTTCTTCATGTTCCAAATAAGCGATTTTATGATTTTCATGATATTAGACGAGAAATTGAACATGAAACAATGAGAATTGCTGGACAAAATAAAGGCATTTCCAGACTTCCTATCAACCTCAAGATTTATTCTCCCAATGTTTTAAACTTAACTTTAGTTGATTTGCCTGGTTTGACTAAAATCCCAATTGGTGATCAACCAACTGACATTGAAAAACAAACGAGAAATTTGATTTTAGAATACATCTCAAACCCAAATTGTATCATATTGGCCGTGTCTCCTGCAAATGTTGATTTGGTTAATTCGGAATCTTTGAAGTTAGCGCGTCAAGTTGATCCAATGGGTAAACGAACCGTAGGTATTTTAACTAAATTGGATTTGATGGATCAAGGAACAAATGCTTTGGATATTTTAAAGGGTAACGTGTATCCGTTGAAATTGGGATTTATTGGAATTGTTAACAGATCTCAACAAGATATCCTGGAAAACAAACCTTTGGATGAATCCTTGAATGCAGAACAACGATTCTTTTTGAATCATCCTGCTTACAAGGCCATGGCTAGCAAATGTGGTACCAAATATTTATCAGTTACTTTAAACAAAATCTTAATGGCCCATATCAGAGAAAGATTACCTGACATTAAAGCTAAATTAAACACTTTAAGAGGACAGACTGAACAAGAATTGGCGTCTTATGGCGACGAATTTTCTGAAGGTGAAGGTGAAGCTCGTGGTGCTAAAGTATTGACTTTAATGACCAAATTTGCACAAGCTTTTATAAGCTCAATCGAAGGAACTGCATCTTCTGCTGCGTTTAATGATGTATCAACCAAAGAATTATGCGGTGGTGCTAGAATCTATTATATTTACAATGAAATTTTTGGATCTCAATTAGCGTCTATCAACCCAACTCACAATTTATCAATTCTTGATATTAGAACCGCAATTAGAAACTCTACTGGTCCAAGACCATCCTTGTTTGTTCCAGAATTAGCATTTGATTTATTGGTCAAGCCACAAATTAAATTATTACAAGATCCAAGTCGTCATTGTGTTGAATTGGTTTATGAAGAATTAATGAAGATTGTTCACAATGTTTGTTCAAGTGCAATCATTGGCCCTGAATTGACTAGATATCCTAAATTGCAAAGTAAATTAATTGAAGTTGTCAGTGATTTATTAAGAGAACGTCTTGGTCCAACCATAAAATACGTTGAATCCTTGATTGAAATTCACCGAGCATATATCAACACCAATCATCCAAGTTTCTTGGGTGCTGCCAAAGCCATGAGTATTGTTGTTTCTGAACGTCAAAAGCAAAAACAATTGGAACTGGATAGTAAATTAAGATTGGCCAGTGAACGTATTTTATCCAAGAACATAAAACAGTCTGGTTCTGATGATGAAGAAGAAGAAGAACTGGATGAACCTACTGATATCAACCAAGAAATAAAATCGGTAGATGATGTTATCCCTTCTAAACATAAACATAAGAAATCAGTCAAAGAATTCACTCCTCCTGTCAATAGCAATAATCCTGATTCATATTTAAACTACTTTTTAGGGAAAGATCCAATTGTCCACCAACAACATTTACAACAACAAGCTCAATTACATCCTGTCCCATTCAAGTATCCTGTTCACCAAGAACAAGTCTTGCAATTCAACACCAATTATATCCCATCTCATAACAGTGAGTTTAATTCTAATCAATTATCACCTGATTCCCACCTTTCTGACCAATTCAATTCCAAAATGGTTATGTCTGATTCAATCGACGACGGTTCATTTACCAGTGATGAAACCATTAATGAATTAACTGAACGGGAACAATTAGAGTGTGAGTTAATTAGAAGATTGATTATTTCTTATTTTGGGATTGTGAGAGAAATGATTCAAGATCAAGTTCCTAAATCAATCATGTGTCTTTTAGTCAATTACATTAAACAGCACATCCAAAATAGATTGGTTGTTAAATTATATAATGATAATTTATTTGATGAATTATTGAAAGAGGATGAAGCCATTCAAGCTGAACGTGAGAAATGCTTGGAATTATTGAAAACCTACAAGGAGGCATCAAGAATCATTAGTGATGTTGTTTAACCCTTTTGTTTTATTTTTCCCACCCATCTGTTTGTATATACAATAATAAATATAACTCATATTTTATGGCGTAATTGTATTAACTCCTTGGATGATATCTTTTTCGATATAGCCAAATGATGTTTCGTTAAATCTGAGAATTTAACATTGGTGTATTTCATATCATTATGATAATTGTTGTCGCTACTGAGATAAATATAAATCGATTCCTTATCATGCAAAGCCAACAAACTTGGCTCCAAACACTTTAAAATTGCCAATGTCAAACTTATAAATTTACAACTTCTATCATCGTCATTCATTTCATCATTGGTATCCTCTTGAACTTCCATGATCAACAAATTGTCAAAAATCTTAAACCACGAATCAAGATCCAAGAATTTCAAATCTATAAATAAAGTAAGCCACCAGTTCATGGTGATAAAATCGATATCTAGCCCGCCCAACTTAATCAAATGTTGATTCAATTTAGGAATAAATCTGTCAAGGTAAACTTGTTTTAAAATCACATTATCCTTATGAATTAAACTTATGGAATTGAAAAACAGAAGATTGTTGTATCTAGGAAGGATCTCATTACATAATGCAATCAACAACCAGAATATGTCTTCTTCATCAAGCACACTTAAAAGGAGTGTTCCCACGACTTTATTCATACCTTGAACATACCCTATTTCGGGACAATGCTTGACAAATGCATAAAGGATCCGTTGAAGTTTATAAAAGTTTGGTCCTGGTTTAAGTTCAAGCAAATTATTAAAGAAATAATTGAATGGAAGGGTCCGGTGTAGATCAAGATTGATCTGATTGATGTTTAATTGTACCTCATCGCAAGTGACGGGAGAATCATTTAATTCTTGATAGACACCGTTAATCTTAATATTATTAGCTCCTGAAAGCTCCATCCATAATAATCGCCTATACTTCTGCGGTATCCCGTACTGATGGGTAAGATTTATGAACCAGTTATAAATATCATCATTGCCATCAAGTTTAATCAAGTTAATCCCGAATGTACCTAATTGAACGATAACATCTGAAGCACTGGGATCTAATTTATAACTTTGTAAATTTATAGCTTTCATCAAATTATCCCAATCTCGTTCAACCTTTAAGTTGGTGCTGTCGTGAATTTTCGAAATTTGCTTAAGCTTATCAATATACTGAGCCTTGCCATTGTTACCTATTAAAATGGCATTATTGGTATCTGGTGGTGATGTATTAGAACGCCGACGTTGTCGAGTTGTTGGAAGCAGGATTGTGGAGGATCTAGTAATTCTAACGTTAGATTTATCAGTGAAGAATCCATACTTGTCTATATTTGCATCTTCATTATCAATCAAAGATATTGTCGAGGGTGTTCTACCAAAACTCACCAATTCCACTGGAGCTACCGTAGTCTTCTGGTTCGGTTTAGGAGCAGATGCCAATGTAGATCCAGTTTGAGGCAAGTCTTCGCTAGAACTAAAAAGACTTCTTAACCAGTTTTTCTTGGTTGGAGGTTTAATGGATTCTTGCGAGCTACCCCTTAGCAAGGAAACTCCTAGTACTTTTTGATGCGATTCTGATGATTCTGATTCTGGAGAAGGAGTTTTGGAAACTCCAGGTTTCTTCCCCGTATCTATGTTGTCATTTATGGCCAGCAGGATTAAATTTGATAGTATATCATCCACTTTACTACTATTAATATTCTCGTGATTATGCCTCTCATGACTCAACTTATGATCAATTTCCAAGGTTGACAAGTTTCCAAACTCGTTACAAAGTTTATACAATTTTTGCTCCCGTGTAAAGCTTTCTTGTCGTTGTAAAATCAAATCTCTTTCCTTTTTTGCCAAGTCAAGTGATAACTGTCGAATTAAAAGAATTGGGTCACCATTGTATTTACTATTAATGACTTTGGTGATTTGTGATGATTTGAGATTATGTAAATTGCCACCCAACGCATTAAACACATCCAGAGTTCCAGAAAGTGCTCCTGATGATCCTGATGATGATGACTTTGTCATAGGAATAGAGGAAGTTTCTGAGTCGTTCACTCCAAATAACATACTAGTTCTGTCACCATGGTGATGATCATTAACATGCCGGAAAGTCTGTAGATCGGGGCCATCATCAAATAGCTTCTCCCTATATTTCTCTTTCATATTGTCATATCCCTGATTTCTTGCAATGAGGAGGATATTGCTTGTTTTGAAATTGTACTCGTTTTTTTTTATTTTTTTGCCGTTACAAACAATTTGCAGAAATTGCAGTGTTCAAGTTCGAACCAGTGCTGCGTCCAATTGGATTTACATACCAAAAACAGTAGATGCTACAAATATACAAGCATTCAGAAGAATTACAAAAAAGAGTGTTAAATCTCTATGTAGGGCGTGCCATTTGTATGCAAGAACAATGCCAATCTTCTTTGTAATGTCGAAATTAAGAAATGTCTATAGAAGCGCAACACATTCCAAAATTTTTGATTATTGAGTATGCTTGTATGAACAATGTGGGGGGAGGGGGGTAAGTAATTATATAAATACCAAGAATTCACTTCATATTCCATCGCTTGTTAAGATCATGTAAGTGTGAATGATTCAAAACAAAAAAATAGCATAATTAGACCTGTAGATTAATAGTAATTAGCACTTTAGATTAATATAGATACATTCCAACATTGCGATATACACATTCATTTGAAAACATGTTTCATATCCAGTGTCATGTTTCCAAATCATATTTACGAAGCATCAAGACCTAATTTTATCACAATTTCTTGGCCAAATTAGAGCTAGCATAGACTTACTTAACTCGACACGTCATCCACCTGTATAGTAAAAGCATTACACATTTCCAGATATGTAGCCCTTGCCATCGCTTGCAACAAGGATTTCAGCTGGATGCAATTGGGTGTAATTTACAAACTCCTGAAGTCCAACTGGATAAGACTATCATGCAAAAAAAAAAAATAAAGTTTAGATTGTACTATTTTGAACACCTGGCTATTTCAGTCCAGGGATCCGCTCGAAGGGGCAGCAGCTGGATGGAAAATGTGGAAATAAAAACAATGGTTAATGAGGATACAATGTTGATCTAATTATTTTTTTTTACGTATATACGATATCAACTACGAAAAGGCGGATACTATATCAGAGCATTATAGTAACACGTCTTCAAAAAAAAATAGTAAGGTTAACATTGACATAGCCATGTCAGGCGGTTCTTTTCTTCTAATGAAGAATCTTTAATAATGACATATGAAATAACGTAACCCTAAAATAGCAAGAATATCACAAATATCACAACCAGGAAGCTCAAGGAAATGGTCTCCTTCTCTTTCACCCTTATAATTTTATCCTCTTATGCACGACCTTGTGTTAGTTTAAATAATAATTATTTTTTCCAGTTTCACCTGAATGACAACGCACACTCTTTGACCAACACGTCAAAAAGAAAAGAAAAAAAAAAGAATCCACTTTCCTAACTTTTTTTGAATTCTACTTCCTTTTCTTTATCCTAGTTCTAACCATGATTACATCCACGAGATCCAATGCGCGTCTCGTAAGATTCGGGTTGTTTGCGCTCATCTTGATCGCATGTGGGTATATCCTTACCAGGGGATCATCCTTCCAACCACAACCACTCCCTTCACAAGGAGCGGCCAACCGTAATCCTGCAGCAAACCAACAAGCTCCACCAGCACAACCAGCACAGCCTGCAGCTCCACCTGCTCAACAGGTCCAACAACAGCAACAACAACAGCAACAACAACAAAAACAACCACAGTTGAATCAGCCAGCAGACGCTAATCAAAAATACCGTGGTCCAACTCACAAGTTTTTCAACCGTGACGGTCAATTATCCCCAGTTCCTCAAACTGATGTCGATCCTAACGATAAGCAAAAGATCAAGGCTACCTTTGTCACTTTAGCCCGTAACTCCGATTTGTACACTCTTTCTGATTCTATTAGAATGATTGAAGACAGATTCAACAAGAAGTTCCATTACGATTGGGTTTTCTTGAATGATGACGAGTTTAGTGAAGAATTTAAGGAAGCTACCACCGCTTTAGTTTCTGGTACTACCAAGTATGGTTTAATTCCTAAGGAACACTGGTCCTATCCTGAATGGATTGACCAGGAAAAGGCTGCCCTTGTTAGAGAAGATATGAGAGAACGTAAGATTATTTATGGTCATTCCGAATCATACCGTCATATGTGTAGATTTGAAAGTGGGTTCTTCTGGAGACAAGATATTTTGAAAGACTATGAATATTATTGGAGAGTTGAACCTGATATCAAGTTGTACTGTGACATTGATTATGATGTTTTCAAATGGATGAAACAAAATAACAAGGACTATGGTTTCACTATATCATTACCTGAATATAAGGAAACCATCCCAACTTTATGGCAAACTGTCAAGGAGTTCACTGAAAAGAATCCACAATATCTTGCCAAGAACAACATGTTGGAATGGCTCAGTAACGACGGTGGTAATACTTATAACGGATGTCATTTCTGGTCCAATTTCGAGATTGGTAACTTGAACTTCTTCAGATCTGAAGCTTATCAAAAGTATTTTGAACATTTGGATAAAGCTGGTGGGTTTTTCTATGAAAGATGGGGTGATGCGCCTGTTCATTCTATTGCTGCTGCCTTGTTCTTGCCAAAAGAAAAGATTCACTTTTTCGAAGATGTTGGATACTATCATGTTCCATTCCATAACTGTCCTATTGACAAGGATATTAGATTTGAAAGAAACTGTAACTGTAATCCAAAGGAAGATTTCACTTGGAAGGCATATTCTTGTACTACCAAATATTATAAGGTTAATCAATTCAAGAGACAAAAGGGTTGGGAGAAATTCTCTGGTTGAGTTACTACCAAGTGCTACTTGTTTATTTTTTTGTTGTTTATTTACTACGTGCGTGTTTAGTACTAAATATATATACTTATCTAATCTATCTGCAACACGGACATTCCATGTTTCAATTTACACTTTGCATAAACCAGGTGCGTGTAAACCTGAAACATTTCCTTATGAAGCAAAACTTTGTTTGTTTCTGAGGGTTGCCGTAGCGACATCCGAAAAAAAAGTCGGGGGGTTTTTCCCGCGACACCCACCGGAGAACAAAAAAAAAATAGACGTATAAAAACCTTTCTATGTTTGGCAACTCTACCGGTCAAGAAAGGCACACCACACATTCAAAGTCGTCGTTTTTTTTATCATGAGCTCATCCAAAGAGGAAATATCCGAGGTTAAAGTGTCGGTGCAGACTTCTACACCACCAGAAACAATGGATTCATCTGTCGACATTGCCAACTCCAACGTTAAACGAAAGCGTAAACATAAGCCAGAATCGTTAAAACTTTCAGGCATTGGTAATAATAACGCCGACGTAGCTCTTCGGATTGTGAGTCCAGGATTGCCTTCTCTCAGTGAAGAAATGAATTCAACGGTCCAACTACTGAAACAGATCCAATTACAACAACGTAAGTTGATTGCCGCTCGTCAAACTGTTAATGGCGATTCTCCCGAGATCAAGGATGAAGGTGAGGAAGAAAATGAAGGGGACGATAGTGATAGTATCAAATCGCCGGTTTATGCTTCTGATGATTCAGAATTAACTAGATTATCCCAGGTGAGAAATAAACGACTTAAACGAACAAATCTTCCTGAACCCTTACATATTGATGGAGATACTTCAATAAGACCTACTATCCAATCAGCTCCAATTAGGCAGAGAGCCAGACCGGCACATTCCATGTACCAATATCAACCACCTCGTCCTCAGCAACAGCAGCAGCAGACGCAACAACTGCCACCAGTTCAAGCTTATCCTAATGTGGGGCCATATTATTATGTTGGAGGACCTTATCAACAATATTATCCTGCGCCTATTCCAAGAACTCAGCATCGGTTAGCCAATGCTCAAATCACCTATAGTACATTAAGACCACTCCATTCTTCCTATCCTTATGCACAACCAGCACGAGTAAGGTTTGCACCTTATACTTCGACTGTCGCACATTTTCCACACAGAGCAGCCCAGCAACAGGCCCAACAAACACAACAGGCTCAACAACATCAGCAACAACCACAGCAGCAAGGACAAGCATCCGAGAGAAGAAGAACTATTAGTAATACTGTAACTGATGTGTATCATGGCGATCTTCAACGAGCAGCCCCATTACATTCACAACCATTGTCTTCACAACGAGAATATTTCCAAGGACGTGAGAGAAAAGATGAGGATGAAGATGAAAGTGTGACTGAGGATGAAGTTAGAGAAATGGAACAAAAGTATAAGGAGATCAGTGGCAGGCTCCCACCGGTGCCACAATATGTTAATATTAATCAAGGATATTATTCTAGTCAACAACAGCAACCAACAAGTACTAGTCCTCCAGGCGAGATTTTTGGCAGTATTAATTTAATGAATGTTAGTATTTTTAATTTTAAGATATTTGAGAAGAAGGAAGAGGAAGGAGAGGAAGCTGAAAGTGAGGAAGAAGAAGAAGAAGAAGAGAGGGAAGAAGGCGGAGAAGAAGAAGAAGAAGAAGAAGAAAAAGAGGAAGGACAAGAAGACGAACAGAAGAAAGAGGAGATCGTAGAGAGGTCTGATGTGTCTGAAAAATCTGATAAAGACAATAAAGAAGATAAAGAAGATTCAAAATCAGAAAAGGATGATTTATCAAGGGAAAAGGAAAAGTTTTTAAAGATCTGTGAAACTTGTTGGGATGAATTTATTAAATCAAGAAATGTATAAGATATTTAGAATATTAATTGAGAAACCACCGCATTATGAAATGTACATTTAACGAATGCTTGTAGTTATTAAAGAACTATCAGACAACTTGCAATATGCTTCGATATTAGTTTGAAACACTTTGTTCGTTGTGAAAAGGGTCTAGATCTGTTCCTTAAGGTGCAGATTTTATAATTATATTATAGTTCGTAATAAGCCTCTAATTACAAAGATCTATTTCTTGGATTGTATTATTTCAGCTTTAGTAGCTTCAGCTTGCAGATATTGGTAATCTAAAAGGGTCTAGATCCATTGAATTTAACAAACCCCAATTTTTTTTTCTGTTTAGATCTTCAACTTTGTAACCACTTAAGTTACTCCGGAATAGCTTTATCCCGTTAAACGTCCGTAGTCATCAATGCTCTATACCGTCTGAACGTATTAGACGAAGAACATGTTGCGGACTTCGGGATGCAAATGAACTTCCGCCTGTTTTCACGTGACCAATATTGCTCGCACTGGCAACCAAAACCGAAGCACCCACAAAATTTGAAGAAAAAATCTCAAAGGCAAAAGTTTCACCAAAAGTTCTAGACCATCATCATTTTTACAACCAATCCTTACACATGTTGGTCAACTCATTGCGACTTCTAAGTCGCACATCCATAAGACCAGGTGGGATCATTAAAACCCAGGGGGTTTCACTCCTGAGAAACTTGATCTCCTATCACCGATCGTTCTCCACCGTTTCCCGTGTTGGATTTCAGTACTCTCATGCATTAATGAACCAACAGCGGAAGAATAGCGAAGAAGATCCTAGGAACAAGAATGATAAGAATAGAAAGAAAAAAAACGAAGAGGATGAAGAGTATGATCCTGAAGCAGAAGAACGTCTTCAGAGGATAAAAGACCGTTTGAAGAAGGAACACCCAGATTGGGATGTGAATAAAATCACAATGAAACAAGTCAACTTAAACATCGCTAAATTAATGAGAAACTTGCAGTTTTCATTCTTGGCGTTGTTGTTGTTGACATATTTATTAATGTCCCAGACTGACTCCAACCATGAAGAGTTATCTTTCCAAGACTTTGTCACTAATTACTTGGAACGAGGATTGGTTAGGAAACTTAATGTCATCAACAAGTTCGCCGTCGAAGCTGAACTTGTTTCTGGTGCTGTCAGTTTACATGGCGGCCAACCTGTACCAAAGGTTGTATTTACCATCGGATCTATTGAATATTTCGAAGACGAATTGAATAAAGTTCAAGACAGATTGAACATTCCTTTGAATGAACGTATTCCTGTTGTGTATGAAGAAAGAACATCGTGGTTACTGTACCTTATGCCGATCTTGCCAACCATGCTCTTGATTGGTGGGTTATATTACTTGACCACCAGGAGAGTGCAAGCACCAGGAGGAAGAGGTTCTGGTTCTGGTCCTTTTGGGTTTGGAAAGTCTACAGCCAAGTTATTCAATCAAGAAACTGATGTTAAGATTAAGTTCAAGGATGTTGCTGGATGTGACGAATCTAAGGAAGAAATTATGGAATTTGTCAAATTTTTACAAGACCCCCAGAAGTATGAAAAATTAGGTGCAAAAATCCCCAGAGGGGCTATCTTGTCTGGTCCTCCTGGTACTGGTAAAACTCTTTTAGCCAAGGCCACTGCTGGTGAAGCTGGAGTACCATTCCTTAGTGTCTCCGGTTCTGAGTTTGTGGAAATGTTTGTCGGTGTAGGTGCCTCTCGTGTGCGTGATTTATTCAAGACTGCCCGAGAAATGGCCCCTGCTATTATCTTTGTTGATGAAATCGATGCCATTGGTAAAGAAAGAGGTGGTGGTAAGTTCGGTGGTGGAGGTAACGATGAACGTGAAGCTACATTGAATCAATTATTAGTTGAAATGGATGGGTTCTCAAGTTCGGATCATATTGTTGTTATTGCCGGTACTAATCGTCCTGACGTGTTAGATAAAGCTTTACTTAGACCTGGTAGATTTGATCGTCATATTTCAATTGACGTTCCTGATGTTGAAGGACGTAAAGAGATTTTCAAGGTTCATTTAGCCAAGTTGAAATTGAAAGCAATTGAAGATATCAATATCAATGAAAAGTCAATTGATTTTGACAAGTACCAAGCCATGAAGGACAGCAAGATTGAAAATTTAGCTGGAAGGTTAGCAGCATTGACTCCTGGTTTTGCCGGAGCTGATATTGCCAATGTTTGTAACGAAGGGGCCTTAATTGCCGCAAGAGAAGATTCTCCTTCTGTGGAAACTTATCATTTTGAACAAGCAATTGAAAGAGTCATTGCTGGGTTAGAAAAGAAATCAAGAATGTTGACATTGGAGGAAAAGAAGACCGTGTCTTATCATGAAGCTGGACATGCCATTTGTGGGTGGTACCTTGAATTTGCTGATCCATTAGTTAAGGTATCTATTATACCTCGTGGTCAAGGTGCTTTGGGTTATGCTCAATACTTGCCAAAGGATCAATATTTAACCAGCAAGGAACAATATAACCACCAAATGATTATGGCTTTGGGTGGACGTGTCAGTGAAGAATTACATTTCGATACTGTTACTTCAGGTGCTTCTGATGATTTCAAAAAGGTTACTCAAATGGCCCAACTGATGATTTTGAAATTAGGAATGTCAGAACGTTTGGGTAAGATTAATTATGATGAAGATAGTGAACGTACAATCCATCATTTGTATTCCGAAGAAACTGCCCAAATAATCGATGAAGAAGTGAAGCGTTTGATTGATGAAGCCTACCAAAAGTGTCACGATTTATTATCTTCCAAGCTTGATTTGGTGGATAAAGTAGCCAAGGAATTATACAAAAAGGAAGTGTTAACAAGAGAAGATATGATCAGATTATGTGGTCCACGCCCATTCCCAGATAGGAACGATGCATTTGATAAATATATCAAGGGTGGAGAAGATCCGTTCAAAAAGAGAAAACCAACAGATCAAGTATAAACGTAAGTGTTATGATTATTTGTACATAGAAATATATATTATTACATTGTAAAAGAAAAAAAAATTGCCAATTAATGAGCCTTTGGAGAGTTTGTATGGGATGTCTCAGGCGTGCTTGTTTTCGGGGCTTCATTGTCAGCTGATGGAATGATATCTTCCCAATCAGAGTTGTCACTAAATAACTCATCAAGTTCGGGTATGGGGTCGGGCGGTTTCTGTGTAGTGCGTGTACTTTCCGACACATCTATTATTAAGTTTCGATTTATCTCCTTGGGAACACAATGCATGGACGATATGAAATGTTGTCTCCATTCCAAGTATCCTCCATCAGTCATATATCCACATCCGAGCATAGGACAAAGAAGTACTTGTTTTTTAGCAGAACACAGACATGAAGATTGATGTGTAAGCAAATCTTTTGAATTTAAGAAAAACATCTTGCATGACTCACGACTCACTTGTTTCCCACATATTATAGGTTGCCTCCAAGGTGGGATACTATATCGTGATGGACATTGCATTTGAAGCAGATCTATATCGACTTTAACCTTTCCATGCAATTTCTCATGTGAAGGTACAGGATACCCCAACGTTGCTAGCACCGGAGCATGCTCTTTTAATAGATGCGATTTATATAGTACTTTATTCCCGGTTATGTATTGACATGGTTTTATAGCGCATGGATATAGTTTTTGTGGGGCCTCGAGTGTGGGAAGGAAGTAGTATGGTTCCATTATTATAGAATATTCTTCTTCAAACAGATCATCTTCCTTAGGAATAGGTTTGGCTTTTGGTTTTGTTCTCTGCTTCTTAACAGGAGAAGTGTTGTCATCATAGAAGGGTACTTCTCCTTTAGTTGGACTTAATTCGTCAAAGTCGTCACCTTCCAAAAACGTAGAATTGGCTAAAGGTTCATCGATTTCTTTCCTTCGTTTCAATGGGGCTGGATTCAACAACAAATTATCCTCAACTGGTGGTCCCATAAATTGTAAAGGCGGTGGCGGAGGTAGAGTTGACAATTTCAATTTCCGAGGTTTCCTAGGTTGTTTAGGAGGTGAGATACCATCAGACCATTCATCCTTGACAATTAGATCATTCAACATTCGTCGAGGTCCTCTTTCAGGCAAAGATTTTAAATGGCCATTGTCAATTGTGATTTGGCCTGTGTGCAACAGAATTTCATCACCCTCTTCAGGATCAATTTGGGAGTATTTATCGATTATTTGATTCCATTTAGACCAGAACTTGTCTAAGTTTCTTTTCTGGTGTTTTTGAATTATATTTTGCGTTGGTGATATTTTGGGTGCTGGTGGAAGGGGCGTTGGTTTAAATAATGCCTTTGAATGTGAAATAGTATGTATATAATCCTCTATTGAGTCTTCTGCATCTGTTATACGTTCCAGATGCATGGTTGTAGCATTGGTTGATGTTTTTACTATTGTGGTTAAACGCGTAAATTAAACTTTTTTTTTTTTTCTTAAGCTGGTTTTTTTTTGGGGGGTGGAGTTGCGACTGATCTTGACTAATACCACAATTAAACGGATTACATTTACAAATAATATGAAAAAGGCATTGTTATATTTAGATGTAGAGAATATTGTGTTAAGTTGAATGTTTCATGTTGATTTATATATAATTAGATAACTATATGCTTGAGCTTTTTTCATCTCTAATATATAAGTTAAGCAATCCCTTGTCTTATCTTCCAAATCTCCAAACATATGAAATAATCTCCCCCTTCTTAAGATCAAACCAAATACTTTGTTCCAATTCCTCTAGAAATGTTTGTTTAGCTTGATTCATATTGTCTTTTTCCCTGCTGGTGAATTTATTTTTGATCTGGTCAACATTTTCTTAGAGAGCTTATCGTATTGGTTGAATGTTCTTTTTTTTTCGTTGTCACATTTGCAACCATGTGAGTAATGGTTATCTGGGCAAAGTATCGATCGATTTGACCTACCAATAGCTCCCTAGGATTGTTCTCCACTTGAATTTATGATTTGAATACTGAAGAAAACAATATTCTATTGATTATCCGAAGATTTAATTAAAAACTAGAGAAATATATGAAGTCATTATGAATGCATACCTGCGAACTAAAGATGCAGATTAAATCATGGTAACTAAAGGATTCGGGAAGTATGGAGTTTGAGTTAATGGTATAAAGAAATAATGTCGGAGATGTAGAATAAGTGAATACCTCTGTTTTAAAAGCATAATGTTCAGTTTTTGGAGTGAAATTGTGTAGAATACAGAAAATATTTAGCTGTGGATGTAGTGCTTCACCACAGGATGTCATCAGCTATCTATACTTACAGCAGTGCCTACTGAATAGGTATATGCTCACCATTTAGATAATGATATCAATTAGATTCAATATATATATATAAGAATTAGAATATAATATTTTTGCCATTTCCAAACTGATTCATTTGGATTAAGTAATTCATTATGGTTGATATCATATTCAAGACCATAAGCACCAAGAACATGTAAATAAAATGTGAAATCCTTTGGATTGAATCCAGCATTCAACTTTTCCTTTGCTAGCTTCTTACCTTCTTCCTTAGTAATCTTTTCCTTGATGGTTAATTTGACATTATGTTTAGCTTCATAGATCTCAATTAATTCTTTATAGGAAATCACACCAGACTGAACCTTGACAGTGTTTGGAAGTTTGTCAACCGGTGTGGTGGCAACAGCAGCAACGACACTTCCAATATCTTCTACCCTGGTGAATGATAACTTTGTGTCTAAATCCCCAATTTGAAAGACGGTATTGTCATTTGGATCAATACCAACATGCGTGACATGTTCATACAAGAAAGCACCAGGTTTGGCGAAATAATTAGTGATGACATCCACAGTTTTAAGTCCCAAACTTCTAAGATTTGCTGTGTGTTGAACCTTAAATTGTAAGAACCCAGGAAGGATCTTATTAACCACTTCAAAGTCGGAACCAAATTGTGATGGAATGTATAACTTTGGCTCAACTTTATCAGCAACTTTTTCCAAGGTAGCGAATAACACTGGGTTAGATGCAACTAACTCGGCAATAACATCAACACTAGCTAAAGATTCAGCAATGGAATCGACAGTTTCAGAATTGATTTCGGTTTTGATATATTGGATCTTGTCAGTTGATGGAGTATCCTGTCTGGTAAGTGCCTTTATTGGGAATTTCAATTTATCGTCGAATTTACCAGAGTTGATGGTATCGAGTGTTGGTTAGCCTAATACACCATTAAGACCAATAATTGCAAGTGAGACTGGAAACATTGTTAAGAACTGTTTGTTAGTTTAACGTAATACAAAAGGATGGATTCTTCGGCGTCTTTTGATGATGTATTTATTCTTCATAGAAATATTTGGTTTGTATTTTGCAGCATTTAGTGTATTAATTCGCACATACATTACATGGGTTCCATTAGACAGCGGATTACTAAGCCAATTACAAATTAAGTCACCATAATTAACAATACTTTCGTCTGATCATAATGGAAGTTTGGAGTTATTTCCGTATGTACATAAAGCAGTCGTGAATTACTACTAAATCGTAATGTTCGGAAATAAAGAAAAGAATTCCTAATTAGGTAATACTCATTTATGTCCGAAACACAACGCAAACGAGAGAACTGAAATTCAAACAACTTGTTTACTTATAATTTAGAGATAATAGATGTTCTTCGGAGAAGTATTGCACGATCAGGATGTTTTATACAATCAAGATTTATCACTGGTTGACTCTTTTGTGCTCTGTACGTATGTCCGTACCTGTGGAAGGCGATTACATAATTCTAAGATTAGTTTATTCTGTGGCGTCGCGAAGAAATGAATAGACTGCAATATCTAGTGGCTTGAAATTGTCTGTAAGAGCTCTAATGAGTTGTCACATTTTACCGAGTAAGAGCAATATTTTTAGAAACTTTAGTATTCCCTATTTGAATTTGATATCACCTGAAAAGACAACCGTGACAGTGCTCCGTTGCCCCCCTTAATTATAGCAAGGGATTCATGAAGGGTGAAAATGTTTTTGTTCAACTTTACTTTTGCTTGTCCCTAAAGATAGAGTTTCTTGTTCTGTTAAGATTTGATCTTGTCGATGCACAATTGTTCATTAATTTTTAATATTTACAAGTAATGTCAAAATACACACGGCAACTGTCTAAAAATCCACATTGTCATTATCAACAGTTGAAGTTCGTTGGTTGTTATTATTCTTATCCCAACATTTTCTGAAATCTTCCATTTCCTTAATGCATTGTCTCCAGTCTCCAGTATCAGCATGGCATAATTGCAACTTTAAGTTTTCTTGGTCACATCCAGTCTTTATAATTCGTTGATCCCATTCATCAGGCTCATCATCGTCATCTTCCCCTTCTTGCTCGTGTTCTTCGTCTCCTTTGTCGTCTATTTCTTCTTGATTACTGACAAGTTCTGCTTTTTGAAGTACTAACTGTTCATCTATGTGTTCCACTGACTCTTCCACTTCATGCACAGTCATTATGATTTTTATTTAAGTTTTAGAATGTTTGTAGTATTATATCAACAAGAGTAGCTGCAGTACTGAATTAAATACCACTTAGTCCGGGGTTTGTTGATTAGTGGTGTGGTTACATTTTTTTCCCGTAATATCCCCTCCTGTATACAATTGAGATGTTCAAAAAAAAATGCTGCGAAAAGTGAAGGCCTCGGGCTTAGTGCATCACGAGACTGAATTAGGAAGGCTATTGTCTTTTAATTTGCTCATGGAATTTAATATGCTCATAGGTCTCATCTACTCAAAGGGATATTTGTATGTGTGTGTGTGTCATAGAGCAATATTGATGTTCTTGTTTAATTATCAACGAGGTCTCTTGGCTTTTAGATATGGAAATAATTTGCCAATAATTTGCAATAATTTAAAGCAACATACTACATCCAAAAACAACACTACACTCACAATTACATTACTAGTACAATTAATTTTTCTAAATATGCTAAAAATGACCAATTTAAAAACCAAATCCACCCTTTGAATAAGCCATTGGTTTCATATCAGGATGTTCAACTGCTTCAAATGTCTCAGTAACTAAAGTCCAAGGACAATTTTCATCATCAACTTTTCTATATCCTTCATCATCATGCTTTTCGACATCATAGGTTTGATTTTCCGTAATGTGAATAACAGCCCCCAAGTTACCGGTAGCATCACAATAATTAGGAGCACTAAAAACAGTAATTAATCTTCCGTTATGCTCAGATTCAGCACCATCCATTCTTACTTCATGAGATCTAATAATTTTTCTCAATTTATTATTCAAACAGAAACGTTCAGTGATATCAGGACCGAACTGCATACCAATACCTCTCTTAGAAGGTGATCTTCCGTTCGTGGTTTGTGGGTCAGTCCATAACAATTCCATGGCTAACCCTTCACGAGGTGGTTGGGAGGAACCAGATTTAGGGAATCTATTAATTGCCTTGATATCACTTAATAACACTTGATCATTGGAAAATAAACCCCCATGCATACATAAATAGGATCTGTTTATAAGACATGCTAATGGCAAAGCACCAAATGATTCACTAAATGCTTCAAAGATTTTCTTCAGGTATTTGAATTCACACTCATCAGCAAAGCCATATGTTTTGTTCATATCACTGGTTTCATGATTACCACGATTGATAAACACTTGTTTTGGGAAAATGAGTTTAAGTACATACAAGTATAATGCAACTTCACAAGACCATGAACCACGATCAACGAAATCCCCATTAAATAAGTAAATATGATCTTCTGATACGTGTCCGAATTTCTTGAACAAGTTAAGTACATCGTAAAATTGTCCATGAGTATCACCAACAATCGTTAACTTCTTACCATTTTCCAATATGATTTCGTCGTTTTGTTTTTCACTGTTCAACTTGGTGTGAGGTAACATTATTTCCACCATGGTTTGTTCTTGCTTGAATAATTCGTGACATTTGGCAATTATACCAAACACATGACGTTTAGGAAGAACACCACCCTTTTTAAACAAGTCAATCATATACTTCAAATAGCTCAAATCAACACCGGTTATTTCAACTCCACCGGTCTTCTTCTTGATCACATCAACACTTGGCCCTTGCCAACTTTTTTCAATTTGAATTGCACCATAATCAACCAGATCAATAACACTAACGTGGTCTGCACCAGCAATGGCTCTTTCAAAAGCTTGTCTCTTCAAGTATCCACTACACTGCTTATAATTCTCCAAAGTCAATCTGTCATTTGGCAATTTCGTTAAAATGTACTTAAAGTTAGCTAATGCCTCTTTATGTTTCAAAATAGCCATTTGGGCAACACCCTTACGATAATATGCCTTAAGTAAACTGGGATCAATCTTTAATGCTTCATCACAATCCAAGATGGCCAACCCGTAGTTCTCAAGCTTGATGTGTGCTTGGGCACGATTACTATAAAATATAGCATTGTGAGGGTCAAGTTCAATAGCAATAGTATACTCTTCCACGGCCTTGTCAAGTTCATGGGCTAAAAGGTGGGTATTACCTTTATCCTTATGGGCAATTGCCTCAGTCTTATTAGTGGCTGATGTAGTCATAGTTCAAGTATTGTTTTCTAATCCTTCGGTTCTATAACGTCTCCCTGTGAGTAATTCACCTACTGGTATGTACTAGTTAATGTGATCCTTCAAACGTTTTTCCAGCTTATCTTGAAGATCATGAATTTTTTTTCTTTTTTTTTTTCTTTTCTTTTCTGTTTTCGTAAATTTCTCCAACATTTTCTGTTGAAAAATATTTGACACATGTGGTAGCGGAAAGCTATAATTTTCCAAATGTAACAACTTTGTTATGTAACATGGGGTTACACTATCCCACATTACTTAGTGACTAATGCAGAAGAAGTGGATTATGGTTACATTTGAGTATTATTGGCAAATATTTTTCAAGGAGACTTTTGCATGAATACGCTGTAATATTAATATCTATGTCATAGGCAGAAAGCCTCCTGATATAGTCAGGTTTATGAGTGCAAACTAGTACTCAAAAAGGCAACTGCCGGCAGACTATATCATGCATAATGTTGCCTCTAGTCTTAAATATCACCAAACTAGTTTACACACAAGATAAAATTCAAATTTTATTAAACAACGTATTTATAAAAAGTATAGCGCAATTTAATCAGCTCTAATTCTAAGTCCAGAGGCTGGAACCCCAATAGCACTGACTCCAGTAATACTACACACTCCACCCTTAAATTCAGGCTTATACTTAGCACCAACAATAGCTTCAGAAACACTTGGCTCGCCAGGATAAATTGGAGTGAAAGTACCACTACAAATTTCAAAGTCTGAATATGGATCGAAATCAATCTCCACAGCTTCAGAACCAGCAGTTTCAGCTCTCAACTTGAACAGTTCAGCTTGCACGTAGTTCTTGGACCCGGCAGGACTGATTTTTATTATTTCTCCCGCAAAGTGAGCTGCACTGACATAATTCTTAGCCTTCATACTCTGGGTCAAGGCAACCTTTAATGCATTCACTCGATGATCAGTTTGTAATTGAGTTCTTGTAAAGTATGCTGCAAGCTCCAAGTTACGCTTGATATCACTTGGATCAAGGGCACGACGAGCAAGTTCAATGGAAAGACCCAAAATGTATTCACGACACAAACTAAGGATTTGTCTGCATTTCTCTTCCTCATCTTCATCTTCAACATTGAGGACAATAATGGTGTAGATGATATCACGGAATGTGGAAATGGCATCTTCCAAGTGGTTCAACTTGAAATGTCTAAACCCAATCTTGACCAATTCATCAAGTTGCTCAAATCCCGGAATAAATGGCTTGAACTTCTTTGGATCGTCTTCATCATTTTCAGCACGAATAAATGTCTTGATTCCAGGTAAATCATCAGCACCAGGTAAGTATACTTTGTTAGCACCATAAACAGTAAGGAATCTTTGACGTAATGGAGCAAAGTTAACCACACCCAATTGCTTATTCAATAAGGATGCAGCTTGTTCAAACGCACCAGCAGCAGCATAACTGGCTGGGGTCTTAGCATTACGTAACCACATTCCGATTTCACCTTCAACAACTGGAACAACATCAGGAGATGGTGCACCAGCAGCGGCTTGAGCATTGAATTCATCACCAATATCAAGATCATCGTCAAGATCACCCCAAGCACCACCATCATCTTCATCGTCTTCAAACTCCTCATCATTGAATTCTAATGCTGGAGTAGCAGACTTGGTGAATTGTTGCTGCTGTTGTTGTTGTTGTTGTGGTTGTTGTTGTTGTTCGGGTTCATCTTCCAAAGACAAATTCTCAACTTGTCCAGTAATCAAAGCAGTTTCAAAGAAAGATAATGAGCTTTCCTTTAATGGCCAGTTACCAATTGGTTCTTCAATTGGAGTAGGCAATTGAACAACACCACCCAATTCAGGTAAATCAACATCTTTTTCTTCTAATCCTGCTTCTTGTAAGATTTGTGCAGCCAATTCTACTAATCCATTCGATTTAGCCAAAGTGTAAGCTAATGGCAACATTCCATTTTGAATGTAGACTTGACAACGCTTCTTAACATCATTAGAGTACAAGGTATTTTGAATCAAGGCACTGGTGTCTTCACGATGTTCAGCAATGGTGGTCATCTTATTCAATCTTTCATTATCACCTTTGTACAAGTATAAGAATGAAAGTTTATCGAAATTATGCAATTGTTGATACACGTATTCCACAATTTCCAAATTACCTTGTAATAAAGCTTCTTCACCTAATTTTTCCCAAATTTGTGAATCATTCAAAATCTTAGCTTGTTCAAATGCAACTTGTAAATTGCTACATTCTAAAGCCAAATCAAATCTAGTTTCTGGATCTTGCACGAAATGCAAGGCAACTTCAGGGAATCCTTTCTTTTGCAAGTAAGCAATGATGTTTTGACCAACCAAGGTGGAGTTCTTAATAAGACGCAAGACTTCATGGAAGTTCTTGTTAACCAATGATTTCTTGAATCTGTATTCAGTAGGATCAATAGCAATGACTTCAACAGCACCATCTCTGTTCAAACAGTAAACTTGGTTACCAACAACCTTGGTGATATACAAAGTATTTTCCAAAGTCTTGATGATACCATTATCACCATTCAACAAAGTATACTTGATATGGTTCAAAGTAGAGTATAACAAAACTCCAGTATCGTCCCAAGCAGCACTCTTGATTCTAATAGTCTCATGCATAGAAGTAACCAATTCCAAATCACGGTTAGCAATAGTGATAGTATGCTTAGATAACATAGCAACATAAGTACCATCATTTGACCAACTGACATATTTAACATTGTTGACACTAAGTTCAGCAACCTCCTTACGTTGTTGGACGTCATAGTTGATAACAGAATGAGCTTTAACTAAAAGAATACGTCCTCCTTGACCTGGTAAAACATCATTAACAGAACTGTCTAATTGGATAGTCTTGGTGGTATTGTTGCTCATATCCTTGACGTGTAAGGTCTTGGTAGATTTGATAAAAGTAACAAATCTATTACGAGAAATAAAGGTAGCAAAATTAGCTTCTCCTTGACGAATATCAGTTGGTTCAATAGCTCCAGTGACATGTTTAGGTAAACTGATCAAAGCATAGTTGGAAGAATCTCCTTCACCAAAGACAACCAAAATGGAATTATCAGTTTGATTATAAGAAATGGTTCTCATGAATGACCAAGTCTTTCCAATCTTCTTCAAACTTAACATAGGTAAACTAGTTTCATTTCTGGAATAATCATATGATTGCAATTGTTTTTCTGAATTGATGTAGTACAATTTGTTTTGGAAAATTGTATGAGCTGGTCTTTCTCTTTCCAATTTGAAAACCATCACACCAGAGTCATGGCAGGCACCAAACAAATTCATATTAGGATGAGCACCAATTAACCAGAAACGATCATGATCACGTCTGAATTGCTTGACAGGAACACGTTTGTTCAAATCCCAAACTCTAACGGTCTTATCATCACTGACAGACAAAATCAAATCTTGATGAGGATGGAAAATAGCACAAAGAACATTACCGGTGTGACCACGGAAAGTATCGACTTCCCAAGCCTTGGTATCGCTCATTCTCCACAACTTGACCACACGGTCATCCCCAGAAGAAACAATCAAAGGTAAAGTTGGATGGAAACTAGCATAATTGACACCTTTATCATGACCTTCCAAAACATACTTGACAACAGCATTAATATTACCAAAGATATCTTGTTGAGGTAATTGTTGTCTTTGTAATTGGTCTTCAAAAGAACGGACCGAAGAAGCAGGAGCACTGTGTTTCTTTCTCAATCCAGAAATATCCCAAACTCTTACGGTTTGATCCAAACTGGCACTGACAATTAAATCTTCAGTTGGGTGGAATTGTGCACTCATGACATAATGGTTGTGACCAGTTAAACAAGCAATCTCTTGACGATTTTGCCAATTCCAAATTCTGATGGTTTGATCATCACTACAACTTAAAATCCAAGGTAAATCAGGATGGAAACTTACTTGACGGATATAATCCAAATGGCCGTTCAAAGTGAAAATACATTTTCTAGTAACTAAACTCCAGACCTTGATCAGGTAGTCATCACCACCAGAAACAAATAATGGTTGAGTTGGATGGAAATCAACAGATCTAACAGGACCGACATGATCTTCAAAACGATCAATCAATGTTCCCATTCTATAGTCCCAAAGTTGGATGGTTGACGAGTGAAGGGAAACAAGTACCCAGGGACGCTTTGGGTGGAAAGCAATCCCCTTGGCCCTGGAAGATTTGGATTCAAACTTAGTTAACATCTTCATCTTGGCTTCAATTGGTAAGTATTCACTTTTAGATATATCAATTGAATGAAGAATTGAATGTTTATAGTAGGTTGCTGGAATTGATTGGTTATAAAGAATCAACGAAAAATTGAATTACGTGTGTTGTTTTTTTTGCGTTGGCTTTGTTCAACACTGAAATTTTTTTCTAGTGTTGTGCATAAAAACGTTGTCCTTTGAGTCGGTGCTACCAAATTGCACAGTCTAGAAAGAACATGAGTTTAATCAATTATATTCCAATATAAGTTGATAATCATATAGTATATGTCTTGTTTGGGTAAAGACGTCTATGATAACGCCGTAAGTTGCTCAATTTGTAAGCGTAGTGGAGAACTAACAGATAGTCGTGCACCAACCAAGTAAATGTCAAGCATTTGTTTGCAACCACCATATTGTGCCACTGGTAAGTTAGTAACGGCAGATCACTAGTGAATCACGAATCGGAATACAAGGATACGTAAAATATTCTATTATTACCGCTTTATGGAAATGGATTTTCACGATTCCCTATGCTTGTGCAATGTACTCCATGTATAGTATAGTATTACCAACAACAGCAACACATGTTGTTTCTTACCAACATAATAGCTACTTTCATAGTGGAGCTGATATTATAGAGGCAATCATACAAGGAAGAAAATCTTGAAACCAATACTTTATAACAATGATGAAGTTGTAATATTACAGTTTTATTTCATGGTCTCGATTCAAGTCAACCTTAAATATCTTCAAGGGTAGAGCAAAAATAAAAATAAAATAAAACAAGCATGCTAATAACAAAGATAATTGAATGGCTGTAACTGAATAATTATTTGCCGAAGAATTTCTCCTTTACAAATACACTACCATAACCATAAATACTTTTTTTGCATAAATATTAAAATCAAATCATTTTCTTCTCGGAACTACACACTATATATAGATGACAAACGAGCTTGCCCTTTAACTATAGTATTCATCTTCAATCTTTGATGCTGGCCAAAGTAAAAGATCTGTATGGAGCATCTATTTTCTCTTTGAACATTGGAAACTTAAGGGATAGCTCATCGGATGGATTACGTGATAGGTCCAACCTAACAAGATTCGGAGGTTTTAACCAATTATCCAAACTAGTGATTTTATTACTGGCTAGATCTAACGTGCGCAAATTCACTAATGCCTTCCAGTCACAATATGATGATAATTCGCTGATCTCATTGTTACTAAGGACTAATTTGATAAGTTTAGGAGGACTTTTCCAATTGTTCAAACTAATAATCTTGTTCTGTGATAGGTCTAAAGTATGTAAATGTATAAGTTCACTCCAATCGTCGTAAGATAATATATCGTCGATTCCATTATTTCCCAATCTCAACTTTTTTAGCGACTGTGGTAATTTTAAACAGTTCAAATTGGAAATCCCACATTCAGTCATGTCTAAAACAGTTAAGTTACCTGGAAATCTAAAGGGGGTTTCCTTTATGCAATCCCAGGACAATGGGTTGCTTGAAATATTTAAAATCTCCAAGCTCTCTGGAAGCTGCAACTTACCAATTTGATTGATTTGACTACAAGAAACATCCAATTTGGTAAGTTTCTTGGGCCATCCAATCGAACTATCAAGCTGCTCTAAAAATAAATCATCTATGGTTGAACCCAGCACATTTAATTCGCATAGATCTATTGGCCATGTCTTATTGCTATTATCCAACTCGATAGAAACTTCATTCAGTGCTAGATCCAATGATCGTAATCCAGCAGGCAAATCATCAAGTACTATGCCTTCTAATTCATTGTCACACAAACAAAGACTACTTAAACTCTTGGGTAATATAGTTGCTAGTTCTGCAAAATCATCGATACTACATTTGCTCATACAAATATGTGATACTGACTTGGGAATTTTCACATCACTTATATCAAATGAACAGCTTGTCACTCCAAGCTTTCTTAAAGATTTAGGTAATTTTATATCCAGAAAATCTGCCTCAAACGAAATGATGGCCACATCTTGAAGTTTAGGATGCTTGGTAAACTTTCGACTATCGAGCATACCTTCTCCTATAAACTCGTCCATAATATGTAAACGCGTTAAATTGGGGAAGGATATAATATAATCAAAATAATCGGGATCAATATCGCTTCCATCTATAATAACTTCTAACTCATCAATCTTAGATATTCTGTCATCCTTCAAGATTCCCCCGTCAGACTCGCCAATAAGTAATAATCTACGGGGTACAATTTTCGGAAAATCTTTCATGAAACGTAAGATATTCTTCATACCATAAAATGAAACAACTTCACTCAGTGTGTAATCATACATAAATTCATGATGATGAGCTACTATTTCTCCCATTTGGAAATGAAGCACCTTAGAGAAGTAATGATCAACTAGCAACTGATGTAACTTGTTATCGGGGAAATATAGAAAGAAATCCTTAATATACTCAGGATCGAGTAGGTCAAAGATGAAGATTTGGGCATGATCAGGAAGGCGGGATAGATAAAACGTCAAGAATTTCATTACCCAGTCATTATTATCAGCGGGCATTGTGTTGGTATCGTTAGATTGTTATTCGAAGTGAATTATATGTATTAGACAAAACTATTTCTGGTGAATATCTTAAATGTATCTGGATTATTAAACAAATTTAAGTTCTATTTATACACGAAATACCCCATTCCTAACCTTAAATCTAATGTGCCAAGAAATTTGTTGAATATATCTTAATTTTAAAGTTACACGAGAGTTGCATATGTTATTTTCATTAAAATGTCACGAACTTGTTTATTCTGATTTTTATATGATATAGATATATGTTATGTTAATCAATCATAACTTGTGTTTTCTAAGAACTGCGATTTTTGGCTAGTTTCGTATAATAGTAAAGGTATCACTCTTCTCTGGCGATGTCACCACTTCACTCTACCAATTATACATAGATTAATGATATTATTGATGCAAACAAATCTGTTATAATTGAGTATTTGAAAACAAATCGTAGAACCTTCCTAGTCCTTGAACATATCAAATTTAGATGCAAAAAAAAAATATAAAATTGCAATTCCACCTCTGTGTTCCCTACAAGTACATCTTAAATTTAACACTTATATTATAAATAACTTACAAAACATGCATCTAAAAAAGATAACAATTTTACAATAATAATGAACCACCCAAGATAACACTAAAGAGAATACCCATAACACCAACATTCAAACCACTAGCTGCATTTTTGCCACTGCTTCCATTACCACTACCAGTATCAGCACTGTCAGTGTTACTTGTATCTTGAACAAATCCACCAATACCGGCACTTGGATTGTATCCATTGTCGGAGGTACCAGTCTTTTGAGCAGCTTGTGCTGCATTTACTGGTGGTGCATTGTTGTTGTTGTTGTTGTTGTTGCTCGTCTCACTGCTGGTGGTTACTTCAGTTGTAGTGAAGGTTTTACTTCCACTGGTTTTTACCACAGTCTTGGAATGGGTGGTTGCTTTAACAGATTTTGATGATGAGGACGAGGATGGTTTGACGTCGTTTTGTGGATTAAATCCAACAGCATCTTGGCTTCCTAACCATGTCTTTTTATTAGTGAGGTAGACATTTTCTTGGTTACCTGCAGTAGAATTATAAAGGAATGCATGGTAATCGTTAGAGTTACTGGAACTACCATCAAGTTTAACCCCGTCAATTAAATTGGCAGTTTCAACATGGAATTCCTTAATATAGGCGTAATAATAACCATAGTTTTGAATATCTGGAGTATCCCAATTGATTAACCCACCAGCCCATTCAATAGTACCTAACCCATTAGAAGGATCACCACCTGGCCATAACGAGATTTGAATACGCGATGGGGTTTGTGGGAAATCGAATCTCTTGGTTGTGTCATTCCAGGTATCCAGTCTTTGCAAAGTACGAACTTTTTCACCATCGACATACCAATCAATCTTGGTTTCACTCCAATCAAATTCATACAAGTGGTAGTAATCAAACGTGTCATTAACGGTGGAGTTTTTAGCGTTGTTATAGTTCAAAATACCTTGAGAATAGTAATTGGATTGCGGATTCTTGGTGTCATAACCAACAAATTCATAATCGATTTCATCTTGAACATCACTAAACAAAATAAAGGCTGTAACAACCCCTTGATCGTGAGAAGTTTTAATAGTTGCACCAACCTTACCATACCAGATGTATTTGGTACTTGACAAGACAGTACCGGTTGTATTTTTTGGCATTTGCACTAAAAGGGCATCGTCATGGTAGTCGACCCAACCAGAGAAGACCCAGTCGGCTTCACTGGAATTACCCAAGTATTCATATTGTTGTTCGATCTGTTCGACTTTATCCTTGGAGTCAAATTGATATTGGAAAGAGTCCATTCTTGGCATGGGCATACAACTGGTGAGGTTGAATGAGTATCTGATATCACAACCACCAAGACAGTAAGCCCCGGTACCACAGATACCGAATTGCGAACAACAAGGAGCTGATTCAGGACATTTGGTGGTGGCATCACATGTGATGGTATCATCCGCGTGCACGAAACTCAAGAGCACGGTCAACGCAAACCATAACGTTGTCACGAAGGAGTTCATGGTTGTTTATAAAAGCGAATGAATAAGTTGTGCAAACTTAGTTGATGAATAGGAAAAGAAAAAGGAAGAATTCCGCTAACTTGTTAGATCTTTCAATGATTCATATATTAATAGTAACAAAATGCAAGTGTGCTTTAATTAAAAAAAAAACCGCCCACCTAAAAATTTCATTATGATCTAACGAATAAAAAAAATTCTCGAGAAATTTATTTTTGTGTAAGTATAAAAAAATATTCGCGCATTTTTGTCTCCTTTTAGCTGAATAAAAAAAACGATTTTGTGAAACATGCACCATTGTTTCTATTTATAGATCCAGAAGAAATATGCATGTTGTTTAAGTTTATATTAGATTTTGCAATTAGGAAAAGGTAATGACTATTCACCTGCACCAGACCTAAACAAGATCTTGTAATATCATACTGAAACTAATGCACAGATTTTCAATACGTGCATATAGTACTAGATCTTTTTCTTTTTGCCCTCGGTTAGAATGGTGTCTGAAACAAAAAAAAAGCAACCAAAATGTTGCATAATTGCGCCAGGAGTTTTTCCCAATTTGGAATCTCAACCTAAATATTTTTTTTTCTTGTATTTATTTTCTGATTGTTTTGTAGTTAACTAATGTATTTACTTTAATGTCGTATAACTTACAAATGAATGATACATTTCAAATATGACGTTTAGTGATCAATACATAAATGACAAAAGCCACAAAATATGATTGAGATTTAAACTAACAAGTAGTATGCAATTGCATTTATAAACATCAACACTAACCGAAGTTGTCGATTCAAGAACTATATGTGTTTCAAACAAAATCGTTCTTGCGCGTATTCCTTGGTCAAGCCAATTCTTAAATCTAACAACAAGAAAATTGAATTGCACTTTAGTTTCGTTCATTAATACATAGACATGTGTATAGCATAGCATAGCCCACTTTTTTTTTGTCGTCACCCCGGCATTGGGGCTTGCAAACCAAACAATATTAATTTGAGTGGCTTGCAAATATTCTTTATATTTATTCCGAAGTTGCCACCAAAAAGCAAATCTGGTGTCATAATATATCTGCTCAAGCGGCAAAAAGTTTCTATTTTTATCCTGTGTTATCTCGCTATTTCTTGAGATCTTTAAATAGAGATGTTTGATTCAAGCTACTCTTTATTATCGTTGTTTATAATAAATACGCGTAATCTTCGTAATATTAAGATCAAACTAAAATTTAACTGTTTATTTACATCGCCAAGACGAACTGCCCTGCCCCCCACAATCGTTCACATGTAAATATCACAAAAACCCGGAATTCCGTGCTTTATTTCTTGGAATAAATAACCGGCTACGTGTGAAATGTTTATTGTGAATGTACCCTTTATTCGTCAACTGCAAGATACACGCAACGGTTTTGGTCATTACTACAAATCTCTCTAAATACTAACATTCATTCACTTTATTTAATTCGAAGAGAAGAAGTTATACATGTTCGGATTATAAGTGGATGGTTGATCGTAGATCAAGCTATTGTTACTCTTGTTGGCCTCGTTTTGATTCCATGGTACTTGTCCACTAGGTTGTTGTTGTGGTGGTGGTGGTTGTGCTTGAGATGGTACTTGAGGTGGCACTGGTGGCTTAGGTGCCAGTGGTTGACTATACGATGGTTGCTTAGGAGGTAATTGTGGTGGGCGAGAATATCCTTGTGGTGGTAATGGTGCTTGACCGTACTGCCCAGATTGAATTGGTGGTGTGTAAGTCATAGAGGGGTTTGATTCAAATGTTGATGGTCTATTCAATACAGGGGGTTGTTGTGGTGGTATCTGGTTTTGCCTATGTTGATACCCAAATCCACTAGCATCAGTAGACCCTCTATTGACTAATGGTGGCGGACCTTGATATTGAGGCTGTGGTTGATATTGAGACTGATATTGAGGCGGTTGAGTCTGTGCTTGAGCTGGTTGATATTGTGATGATTGGGATTGTTGCTGAGAAGGATATTGGGCCAGATATGAATCATGCCTATTCACCATTGGTTGGGGTGGAAACTGTTGAGCTGTTGGTGGTTGTTGTTGATATGATGGTCCTGTAGATTGAGGAGACGCATATTGTTGATAATTTTGACCAGTAGACTGAGGAGAAGCATATTGTTGATAATTATGCCCAGAGGATTGAGGTGAGGCTACTTGTTGTCTATAGCCTTCTTGAGATCCTCCAGTAAACTGCTGGTATTGCTGTTGGCCTCCTGTTGGTGCTCCAACATTCAAATTCTTGAATCCTTCATTCATCTTAATTCCCATTTCAATATCGTTCTTGACTTTGGAAGCATGATTCAACAAATCTTGATAAAAATTTCGCCCCTTGGCTAACCCTGCATGATACTTTTTCCAATTTTCATAAAATTCGATAATTCTTCCAGTCAGTTCAGAAACTTTCTTATCTAATGATACTCTATTTTTAGTCATATTCTTAACCTGGGGGTTTGTGACCAAATTGTTCCAATTGGATTTCAAATCATTGATGAATGATTTCTCCTTGGTAACTAACTTATCTAACTCTTCATTGTAAGGGTTAAATTTCTTTAACTCCTCAGGAAAAATCACGGTTCTAATCTCATTACTTGACTTAAGCTTACTATTGAGAATAAGGATATCAGAAATATCATCATTATGGATTTCAGTCTTTAATTTCTCCATCAATTTCATCTTTTGAGACTTGGCCATATGGATATCATGTAAAATATCTTCCAATCTCTTGATGTTTGAGGAAACAACATCCGAATCTTGCTTGCTATCATCTATATCTAGCAAGCTGACTTCTGGCGCCGCTTGTTTGATTTCATCTTGTCCTTCGAAAAGGCCGGTGAATTCAGTTGAATCTGGCCCCTTGGAAAGAATCGAGTAGAGGGAAGGATCAATTAACGAGAATAACTTCTGATCAGAATTAGTAGCATCATATAATACCTTCTTTAACTGAATCAACTCGTCTTTGTTTGAGAACAGACCGGATAATTTGGAATCACAGGCAGAAATGGTTTCCAATATTTGTCTTCTCAAAGACTCGATTGAAGACTTGGTTTGTGCATCTTGATTATAACTAGAAGCTATTTCAGCAACTTTATCTTTAATCTGTGATGGAATTTCAGTTCCTTGTTGAGCAAAGTTGAACATTTCCTTGATCTCAATTAATGATTTGGGTAATTTCAAATATTCTAATACTGATTCAACTTCTTCATTGGAGACATCTACTAAATCCATTTCATTTCTCAAAAATTGAGACTTTTCTTCTGAATAGAAACTAGATAACTCATGAATATTGATTGGAACAACATTTGTCAAGAAATTGTTATAGTTTTGCTCGTTAATTTCTTGAAGAATGGTATGTTGATTAATTGGAATGATCTTGGTACTGTCCATTGGTTTAATATCTGGAATTGTAACCAATGATGGAACTATATCATGATATATCAAATCATTATCTTTATTCAAATCATTCAATTTAATATCTAATGCATCCTTTTGATATTTGTAGTTATCCAAGATTTCATATACATCACCAGTTCCTTTAGAAATTGCTCGGAGTGTAGGACTATGTATTTCCTTAATTATCTCCTTGGATTTGTTAAAGTATGCAATAGCGTCCCCATACTTTCTATTGGTCTCTAAATTCAACCCATGGAAGTAATAAGCTAATGAGTTATAGTATAAATACTTCATGAAAATTGTCGAGATCCAACTATCATCTAAATCAGCAGTAACATATGCATCAACATCATCCTCTTCAGGCTTTTGGGGTTCGGCATAATCATAACTATCAGACTCGTCATCATCATCATCATAATAATCATAACCTTGCTTCTTCCTCTTGCTGATCATGTTGTAACAGTCCTCATAAAAAGTACTGGTGGATTTGCACAACTTTGAGATCAAGGAATTCTTCTTTTGTCCGACATCATTAGTGATCACTTTCAAAGTGAAAACTTCTTGAGATTCAGCTAACATTAACTTGCACAAGAATTTGACAGTCAGCTGAGATAAATCATCACTAGGAGCATGCAAGAAATTTTCATTTATAAATTGATATACCCCAGCTGCCAGTTGCAATAACTGAATAGTTGATTTAGTAGCATCATCTACTCCCTCACTTCCACTATCCTGAATAGATTCGTCATACTTATGCTTGGCAAATCTAGTCAACAAGGCTGCAAGATTGAATAATACATTTGCTTTCTCAAAGGGCAAAGCAGCTTGTTTATTGGCTACAGTTGGACTAAAGGCATCAAACCATTCAAATTCAAGCTTCTTGTGTTTATTCACAGTGGCGAAGGGAATCCGTAAATCCAATAGTTCAAGTTGACTATAGTACTTGTAATAAAGTTTTAATCCTGTGTTGTCAGCGTTAACGCCCCTAATATCTTGACGTAACTTGTTAAAGGAGTTCAAATCATCTTGGTAACTGGAAGTGTTGCCATAAATGGAAACCAAATAGTTGTTCAATGGTTTTACCCAATTGATTTCTTCTGTTTTCTTGCTCGGAACTGTAAGAAGGTGAGTCTTCATGATTCAGAAGTAGCAATTGTTATTATAAGGCTTGATTGATGCAACAAATAAACAAGTGAAATTTGTTGTTAATCGGTGAATCATTTTGTGTGGCAAGTCAATACTGTCTCAAAAAAAAAAACGGGGGCTGGCGGTGGTGTTACCCGGAATGTTTCGGCTATATGTAGAACATCACACAAAAAACAGTAAATGGCTGCAAATTCCAACACAATCAAAGAGGTGATTAAAGTTACACAGGAATGTCTTTAAGCTGCTGATATTATTTCAATCTAATTAAATATCCAATCTTTACATTTATATATGGCCTGTTACCTCAGCAAAGAATTAAATACTGTAAGAAAAACTATATAAATGAGACTATAAATACAACAGGGCTGTTCTACATTCCAGATATGTCTCATTGTACATTGAACTTAAAATTAATTATTTACGCAAATATTCCATATCCAGCACTCTTGAAAGCTCATGATAATGATGATTTTCATTCTTGCCTTTTAATTAGTCAATCCCTATATTGAACTCCATGTAATATATACTAGATATAGAATTTCGAAAAAAAAACAAATAACCAGGAATAATGATATCGCTTCTGGGCCAAATCTTGAGCTACAAATATATTATCAAGGAAAACTTTGCATGATTACATAAACTTCTCGTTGAAAGTGTCTTTCTTTGTTAAAGTTTTATTTAGATAGTGGACCAATTCATTCTGATGAGACAGTTCAGAGACCGTGGAAAATATACTTGAGATGTGAGGTTTGGAAATATTAATACTTTATTCTAATACTTTAATCAACAAACTACTATTTACGTAACTATGATTGAAAATTAAGCCTCATATTAATATTACTCTGCAACGAAAGAATGCAGCTCTAACGTGTGATATGTATTATTACCTAAATAGCTTACATGTCTAATATTTGTAAGAATATTTGCTGCTCTATCAAACAACTTTGGTAGTTTATATCTTTAAGAAATTACTGTTTTTTATCCAACTAAAGACCGACAATCTTGAATTTATATTGGTTTCTAAAATGCCCGTCAATAAGATCTATCAACAAGCGGTATACGTTTAGACACAATTTAGGGAACATTTGCCATGAAACAAACAATATCCTGGCCACGAAACGTAATCAAATTAAGTCTATTGTTAGAACTCACACGACCCATGTATGTTATATATGTTGGGATTATAATAAAGTGAAGTTCTCCTGAATAGTATTCTTGAACAAGCAAATTACAGATATGTTAATTCGTAAAATTCATAAAGAACACCACCAAGTGATCAAAGGTAAGTAAATTAAAGATCCGAATTAATACATCATCAGATAGGCGTGGCAAATGGTTTTTTAGGAATGTTTTTTTTAACCATTGATCGTTACTGGTTGGCATGTTTGTAAGTAAAATTTTTACATTCACGATGAAATCTTGCATTTTCTCAGTTTTGTTGCTTTGGGGGTTTTTTTTTGTTCACCGGTCGCTTAATCCTGAATCTAGAACTACATTTGCAAAACAAATTTAACAGAAACGTAAAAGCAAGGAGTAATAAAGCCGACACCTCAAAAATCACCCTAGAAAGTGTAGACAAGTATATTGTGTGGCTAACTTTATCATCGGGAAACCCTGGAAAGTAACTGTTATGAATGAACCTAGATATTTCTCGTGGCAATTTCTACCGGAAAGTTTGTATGCACTTTTGCCTTCTATTAATTTATATCTATTTCAAATATAAAATCAAGCTAAATTTAAATCATCAGCAAACAAATGGTCGCGTATAATAAGGTTGTTTAACACTGGTGTGTGTAACATAATCTAGCAAATAATAAGTATCACGACAAGGGGGTTATTTTTTTTTATTTTATTTTGTAATGGGTGATGCGGCGTAGTATTTCCCAAATGGGACAAGAAAAAAATGGCTGCAAATCGAATAGCATCAAAAAAAAAGAACAAATTTGATTCAGACTTGTTGATTGGATTCCAGTTTCATTCCGGTAATCTTGAACTTAAATGTGTTTCTAAGTTCGTTGAACTGGGGAGATCTAGTGATTGGGTTATTTTCTACAATCAATTCTCTCAAATTAGGTGGTGGAATCCAATTATCCAAAGTTGTGATTGAATTATCAAAGAGGTCCAATTGACGTAAATTGATAAGCTCGGTCCAGTCCCCATATGGTAATAAATCCTTAATACCATTGTGGGCCAATTGTAACTCCTTGAGGGAAACTGGGAATTTCAAAAGACTTAAGTTATGGACTCTGCAATCGGACATACCTAAATATGTCAAGTTAACCGGGAATTCAACCCGATTTTCTTGATCACGCCAGAGAAATGTGTTCAGGGAAATTTCTAATCTTTTTAAACTCTGGGGTAAATTTGACAAATTTTCAGTATGATCAAAAAAATTTACACTGAGATCTAAAGTAATTAATTGTTCTGGCCAACCAACTCCATTATTTATAACTTTCAATGAATCGTCATCCAAAGCATTATGACTCAAAATCAACAGCTTCAATCCTTTAGGCCATTCCTTGCCGGTAATAGAGAAAATGCTGTTGCGTCTTAAATCCATAGTATGTAATTTCCTTGGTAAATCATCAATCACAATATGTTCCAACATGTTGTCTGTTATTTTAAGTTCGGTTAATTCATTAGTCATTTGTCTTCTCAATGCTTTAATGCTGTAAATTTGGCAGTAAATAAAACTAAGAGAGTGTACCGATTGTGGGAGTATCAAAGTTGAGAAATTTATACGGTGATATGACAAATTAAGTGTTTTTAAGTTTTGGGGAAATCTAACACCCAGCCAATCCGTAATCTCATGTTCACAAAATATAATGTGCTCAAGGGTAGGGTGTTTAATCAATTTAGGATTATCAATTAGTGCAGGTAATAACAACTTGGAATTAAAGTGGAAATATACCCGTTTTATGTTGGGAAAAGACAATAAAAATTGGAAATCATCGGCAGATATCTCAGCTTCAAGTAATGCAAAGTCAATTACCTCGCATTTAACAAGTCTATCATGAAACTTGTCTAATATCTCCCTTGCTTCTTTAAAATCCATGCAAACATCAATCAACAATGTTTTAGGGATTACCTCAGGGAAATCTTCCATGAATTGAGATACAGCCAGATCAACAAAAGTAACTAAGTTCCGTCTTCCAGGTGTAGCCTTAGGTGGAGGAACTGGTGGATTAAAAGCAAACTGAACTCGTGAGCAGTAGTAATATTGGATGAGCAAATCACGGACGTATTTATCAGGGTAATGTTTGCAAAATTCCATCAAGTGATCAAATGGAACAGAGTCAAAGATCTGTGTGATAACACAATCAGGAAGACGACGTAAGTTAGTTCTAAGAAGCATGGTAAACTCTGAGTTAGCAATTGACATGTTTTGCCCCCCTGAACTTAACTCGTGATCCTGGAAGTAAAAGGTGGGTGTTTTTTTTTATATTATTATTTTTTTTGTTTTTGTGTTTATATCTGTAATTAAGGGAGAGGTTGCGAATGGCTGCCTATTGTTATTGCTTGGAAATGCAACCCTGGATCTCACATTCAGATAGGTTACTCATAACTACAATGCTTACATATGTATATTTCTAATATCTGAAATCAGAGTAATTATTATTAAACAGTAATGTTGAACCCGTGCTAGTAAAATATATCCAATATCAATTGTTGTTTTGTCTGAATCTATTGTACCTTTGGTTGTTCTTGGTTACCTTGTAGTGATATCCCAGTTATCGGTAAAAGCTAACTATTTGGCATTCTAATGCAATTTGGAGTTTATATAAGCTATTCCGGTCTAATTGTTTACTCAGAATCTAGATAAATTCCATCTAAGACAATTTGTGACTAATATCGATTCAAACTTAAAGTAATTCAAATGACAAAGGTTGTTCGGTTTTTAGAAAGATAAATTTGCTACAATTTTTCCGGCAAAGAATTTATATCAAAATTAGCAATCTGGTATGGACATACTTTTAAATATAACACTTTGAAACTAAAATTGTATTTGTCATTAATAACTGAAAATTTAGTGACATTGTAGTTATCGGATTGCTTGCCATCGCTATATAAGTTAACAAGATTGAAAGATTTTTCATTTGTCCAAAGCAGCAATTTTGTTGACAGATATTCTCGATGTATACAAATTGATAAGATCGCACCAACTATTGTGTGACAATATGTTGTCAATTACATTTCTACTCAAAAACAACTTCCTACTTGATATTGAGAAATTTAAACAAATTACCATCCTTTTAAATTCATTGGTAGAGGGTGTGAGCCCGGTTAATTTTTTGCGGTCCTGCTTTCTTAATCCCACCATATCTGGGATATTAAAACTTTGAAAGGATAATTGATTAATTGATTTAGGGATGCTCATGTTTGTAATACCATTGCTAGAAGGACAAGTCACCTCAAGTCTTCTCAAATTTTCGGGAAACAGAATTCGCTCCAATTATAACCACAACCAATTCCTAATAGACTCTGCAAACGTGGAGTGGTGTAATAATGTTCGAAGAGTGAATGACAGATATTATCATGGGAAAATACAAAAAAAAATTCACGTACGATCAGTAAATTGAATATCATTATTAAAATTTTGTTAGGAACGTGATTATCCATTCATTTTTTGTTGTTGTTCACGTTTGATTGTCCAAGTAGTTATTGAGTAGGTTGTTGACTTCATTGTTAGGAATTGGAAATCGGATAGTCAATTATTGTCTTGTATGCAGGATGTGATGTTTCCCCACATAATTCCTGATGCTTCGACCAAATAGTGACTGAACATAGCAAAAGAAATGCAGTAGACATTGGATACCACAAAACTATTAGTTGATTATTGAATATACTTGTGCTATCTCTGATGATCTATTGCATCTGTTCCTTGACGAATTCAGGTTTATTTAACAAACATAATATAGTAGCTTCTGAAGTGGACGGAATAAAACCCCACACTAATCTTGCTAAACTTAAGTTAATTTCCAACTTGGGGCTTTGATGCTCTTATGTTGAATATGTATGTCAGTAAACGAAACAGCTTCATGATAAGTTTCAACTTGATTTGGTTGCAAGAAAAAAAAACATAAACCTTGTCTTGTCAGACTTGGTGGTAGCTAGGTTTAAGTAGTACAGATAAGTATATCATAGCAGTATTTATTGAATTACAAAGTGCAATTGAATAAATCTACCTGTTTTGTTTTACTTAAATATACTTTCAGCTGATGGTAGTGGTTGGAATAGGTGGCGTAGTATTTTTTTAGTAAGGAATGGCTATTTTAAAAAGATGCCCACCCCCTGAAAAAAAATAATAGCAAAGATAACAATCTTTTACAAAGACATCACCCATGTCTACTACCATCAAATGGCACATGAAAGGCTGACATTCCAAAAAGCAATTGAAATAACCAATGAATTGAGAAAGTTGATCCCAATTGGAACGTTAAACTTCTACGACCTTCCTTTGAATGACTCTGACCTTGGGGGTCTTTCTGTTGAACAAGATCCTGATTCATTATGGAAATGGTTTGATATTGACTTTTTCATATACATTTGCAAAGGTAAAGTCTGCCAAGTACTAAGCTACCTACAATTCCTTATTGATTTTCAATTTATGAAGGCTACATTTAGAATAGTATCATTCAAAGAAGATTCAAGTGTTAAAATATGTAAGGTCAGACTATATGGGGTTCCCTTGGATATTCAAGGTGGTCGATATATACAAGAATGGAGAGCACTGACACCGAAATCTTATAACATTGATAAGAACTATCAACGATATCTTGATTCCATTTTGCCTTATATCGACTTTAGCAATCGTGGTTGGTTACTTGATGATGGTAAGGTGATTCCATTAGAGCATTTGCTCCCATTGGTGCTCTTGCGCTGTAAGGAGACCATAAAGCAAGAAGATCTTTCCATTGAAGAATTTAATTTCCATGTAGAAAGATGGACCAATAATTCTACAGTTGTTCCTTATAAAGGTCCTTCTTCAAACTCCAGTTCATTTAGTAAAAGGATTAGAGATATTTATAACGAGGTTCCTTCACCAGTTGTTAATCATAATATACAAGTTCACACATCAATAACAGGAGTCACTTCCACTTTGTACCCTTTTCAAGCAAGATCAGTGGCCAAAATGTTGGAAAAGGAAACAATACCAGGTCGAGCATTGGTTCCCAATTTGATCCTGGTGAAATGTCCTGATGGATCTCAAGAGTATTACTTTGATTTGAAAACTAAATGTATATTTGAATCTCCTGAATTGCTTTCATTGCCCCGTGGTGGCATCCTTGCTGAAAATATGGGATTAGGTAAAACCCTAATCTCTTTGAGCTTAATATCGGCTTCTAAATACGAAGTTTCCAAAATACCTCTGGATTTACTTATACATAATAGTGAAGAGTCTGAAATTCCTGAATATGAATTCAAGGGCAATTTTTCCAAGCCTGTAAAAGAGAAGATGAATGTGAAAAGTTTGGTTGAAATATGCTCCGATATTATTGGACAAGACTCTATACCATGGAAACATCATATTAACAATCTACCACAATCAGTAATAGCAACATTAACAAATAATCCAGGATATTTTCGTATACCTTTAGACAATGATGAATTTGTATCTCCTTACTCCCAACGCAAGAGACATCTGCTTAGGAGAGTTGAGCGAGGTGTTTTCAATTTTCGAAAATTGTATCTTTGCAGCACTACCCTTGTTATTGTTCCTGATAACTTGTTCATACAATGGAATGAAGAAACCAATAAGCATTTGGAACCAGGGTATCTCAAGATCTTATTCATATCCAACTATTATAAAATGAAACAACCAGACTCATGCAACACCTACTCCGATTTTATCCCGTTGGAACCTACCATCCTTATACAATATGATCTAATTCTTCTTTCACGTACTATATTTGCTAGGAGCGTTGATAATGACAGCAACCCATTGGTTAATATATATTGGAAGAGGCTCATTATAGACGAATAGCATAGTATGAATTCTAAAACATCCAAGGCATCAAGTTTTTTGGCACGCTCGTTATTCGCAGAACGTAAATGGGCAGTTACAGGGACTCCGACTTCGGGATTAACTCGCTTGTACATGGATGAACTTGAGCAGCATCAGGCAAGAAAGTCGAAATATGTGGTCAAGAACTCTTTTAATGAGAAAGCCGATTTACAGAAATTAGGTATAATAATAGGAAATTTCCTCAAACTTGAACCGTTTGCGAGCCAGCCTAAACTATGGAACTCGCAAATTATTCAACCATTGCTAGCCAATTATTATGGTTCTGAATTGTTATTTTCTAATTTGTTGCACTCAATTATGGTTAGACATAATCCAAGAGATGTGGAACAAGATTTGGAATTGCCACCATTGCATCATGATGCGGTTTTCCTTGAACCATCGTACCACAACATCATGTCTATAAATTTGTTCACGGCTGTGCTAGCTGTTAATGCAGTTACTTCTGAAAGAACAGACGTTGATTATATGTTCCATCCCTCAAATCGACTGCAATTACGTAAGTTAATCACAAATTTACAGAGAGCTACCTTTTATTGGACCGGTTTCAAACAAGAAGATGTGGAAACATTGATCAAAATCTGTTTGTCCTCATTAAAGAAGAAAACTCAATCCGGAATTTCAAAGTATCTGGGTCGAGATACAGAACTACTTGAAAAATCGATTGCTGTTGCCCAGTTAGCATTGAGAAATTTACAGTGGAGAACATCTTCATTATTACATGAAATGAACTATTATGTTTCTAACTTACCAGATATTTTCATGAGAACCTATGGAATTGGAGTAGCCAATGACAAGGTTGGGGTTTATGGAGCTCCTCATCTTACTTCAATCCAAGAATTTTTCTTCAAGAATCGATTCATTGATTATACAAATGTTGAAAGAGTCACAGAATTGTTGGAAGAGAAAAGCAAAGAGTTCTGGAAAAAGTATTGGCAAGAAAATGTTAAACGAAATGCAGAACGGTTTAATAAACAAGATCCTAATCAGGACGTTGAAAGTCGTATCAAGGAAGGTGCAATTGAAAATTCAATGGATATTCCAGATATTGCCTTGTCTACTCCCAAAAAATCTAGACCTAAGAAGGAGTTCAGTTCACCTAAGGAAGAGCTTGAACGAGAAGTTGGCCATTTGAATTATCATAATCATAATGAGACTGTTTCTTATGATAAAATAAGAAGGGCAAAAGTGTTAGGAACAGCTTCGGCCAAACTATCATATTTAGTTTCGAGACTTCTTGACCATCAAGAAACCAAGATAAAGTCTCTAGTGTTTTTTGAATTTGAAGACTCTGCATATTACCTAACTGAAGCACTAGATATTCTTGGTATAAACTATATCCTTTACGCTACATCAATAACACCAGCTCAAAGAGCCAAGAATTTGGTGGAGTTTGCTAATCACGATGTTGAAGTGGACGGAGGGTTAAGTCTAATTATGGATTTGAGGTTAGCTGCACATGGTTTAACCATTCTCTCGGCTACCAGAGTTTACTTCATAAGCCCAGTATGGTCACAATCAATTGAAGCACAAGCAATCAAACGTGCCCACCGTATTGGTCAAACAAAAGACGTTTATGTCGAGACATTGATCTTGAAAGGAACATTAGAAGAAGAAATCTATAAACGAAGAACAAATGATGTTGAGCAGGAACAACTTGGGCCTAACGGAGAGGAAACTAACGAAGAGGAACAGAATGGAAGGGATAAGCGAAGGTTTGTTATTGATGATACTGGAATGCAAGAGTATGTTCTGAGATATGCCTTTCTTGAAGCACAAGATCTGAACTTGAATGAGTACTCCTCTTTCCTGTATCCTATTATGAATCATAATTGGGTTGAACCCAAACAAGAAGAATCGAGTGAATATGCTTTATTAAAACATCAATCTTTTACAAATAGAGGACTAAAACATTATGATATGTATTTGTTCAGTGAGGAAAGTCTTGTTAAGAGTAATAAACTTCAAAGTGAACGGGCACGAACAAGATCTGTAGCAGAGATGACTGAAGTTTCTGATCCTGCTAATCCAAATAAGCGGGTCAAATTAGACAAGATTCCAACTACAAGAAAACAGGTAAGGTTTTCATAAGCTTGTATGTATTGTAATGCATAGATTATAATTCTCTAACTATGACTCGTGAATCAGTAGAACAAGAAACTACAATCTTTTGGTCTGGATGATAATCAACATCCACAACAGCACCTTCATGGCCATTGTACTTGCCGATTATCTCATGCGATCCCAAGTCCCATTCTGTAACATGGGCATCTTCAGAACCTGAAACTATGCGAATATTATCATTACTAAAACATGCTCGAATTAGTAAATTTTCCTTTCCTGAAGGAGCACCAATGTATCCATGTGTGTTTACACGGGGAATGTTGGTAGGGACAATGTCACTGGCATTGTATGTAAGAATTGCACCGTTCATTGACCGACTAAGTAGCATGGTGTCATCTTTACTTATAGCCAAAGAAGTAACGGACGAGTGATTGCCATTCTCTTCCTTCCATAAAGGTTTGTTGAGTACTCGAACATCATATGCCGTAATTGCAGGATCTATTCCACTTGTGTAAACAGTATTTCCCTTGTGGTTAAATACACATGATAACAAGGGATATTTGGTTTGAACATTGGCTACTGGATCTTTAAATCGTATATCCCAAAACAACAATTTCCCGTCATCACCAACAGATACAACATGATCAGAACATGTAGTTACTTGGTTAATCACACCTTCATGCCCAGTACATTTTCTCAACCTTCGTCCTGTAAACACGTCCCAAAATCCAATAGTTGAATCAGCAGATCCACTTACTAAGGTACCATCATCAAACAACCAACTCACAGATATTACTGAACCTTTGTGTCCAAGGAGCTCTAAGTAATTTGGATCAGGATCTTCTGTAGATGTAGGTAGGTTCCACAATTGGATAGTTTTGTCATGTCCACCACTGGCTATTTTGGTGCCTTCATGATTAAATTTAGTACAGTATACAGTTCCCTGGTGCCCGTTTTCAAGCACTACAGTGGAGCTGTACAATATACGTGTTGATTCTTGTATGTTAGGTGCATTTGTATCATCAATGCTTCTTCGTTGTCTCTTTGCCACCGACATTAGTAGTTCGTTGGCCTCCTTAATAGTAATTGAAGAATTATGGTCATCCTGTTATTTTTTTGTGAGCCGCATTTGGTGCTGGGAGTAGACGGGGGGCTTAGACTTTGAGATCTAAAGAATTTCCAGTGCAACTAGCTGTTAGTTGAGCAGCTGTCTCTCAAGGTAGGTTATCTCGTTATTGGACAAAGACTTTAATGACTCATAAATTAGGCTTATCCTGTAAAATCACAAACTAGTTTCAAGAGATGAAATTGAGATTACCATCGGTACCTTCGGAAGTTAGTGCTATCAGATCTGATTTCCTGAAGAGGAGAAGTTTTGCCCTTTGTATTGTTTGAAGAAACTAAACATTGCTCCTGGACCGGTCCATGTGAGTCACCATTTTCAAATAACATAGTCACTACTTGATAATAGAAAAAAAAATTATGGCTCAATGCATATTGAAATACAACGGACTCAAATGAACCCTAATCCGATAAAATGACGAAATCTAAACCACAAATCATACTTAATTAGGTTAAATATAATTACATGGTACATTATTGGTCATAATATTTACAATTATAAACTGCTTGACCACATAAATTTTGAATACACTTCCGCTCTATAATAGTGGCTTTCCCATTCTATTTCTATTAACCGAACCGCCTGGAGAGAGAGTGGCTTACTTGGGAGCGGGCTTGTTTGGGACTAATTTACCAAACCACAAGTTGTAATTAGCAATTTTTAAGTGATTCGTATAAATATGGCTGAAGAAATTAAGGGGTGGGTGAGAATAAGCCACATCCTATTCTCATTATAGTTTTATTTTCCCGGAATACTTGCCAAGTTGACCGAATAATTGTACCCTATTTTGCTAGCTCCATTTTTCCTTTGTTATATTATCCAGATCTTTTTAACAGGTTGTATTTGATTATAATTAGTATATTTACTGGCCCTGGGCTGCTCATAAGAATGTGTGGATCTTGGCGGTTTCTAAGTTTCTGACGTATTTTTTGTCAAATCTTGGCATTTTCCATACCAACAGCCTCACTTTGTTTCACTTCGATTAAACGTTATCAAAATTGGGTTCTATTCCAAATTCCTTGGCAATATCGCAATTATTCCCTAATATTTATCACAATTCACTTTTTGGATCTGATGTTGTCAATGGAATGCCGTTTTCTTTACTCCATTGTAATTTGCAGCCGCACTTTCAAATCTTTGTTTATTTTTCTCGGCATGCTCATTTGTTATTTGCAGCCACAATTAAATCTTTATTAGTCATCCACCACACCTCAACCCCCATAGTTTAGACCTTAATTGTATGGTACTCAATGTACAATGCTGCAGATTAATATGTATTCAATTTACTATAGTACATTCTCTATTATGAAACCATCCCCGTGATTGAACTAAATGTCGGATATGAAAAATTATAAATACCGTTGGGAATAACCTTTGTAAAATAGCAATGTCTTCTTTATATAAGCTGTATACAATGACTCGTAATTCTACTGAAATATATCCTGAAAAGGAAAGGGCTGAAAGCATTGCTGATTCTTCCAAGAAACAATATGACTCGGTGAATATTACTTCTGTTGATTCAAATTCCTCGGATGATTCAGAAAAAAATCAACTTGTTAAAAACCCATTCTTGGATCCCAAAGTTGAAGAATACTATCGTCAGGTATATAGTGAATCTAACTATGAAAGTTACTCCGCTTTTGATCCCCATTTCACTTGGGAAGAAGAAGAAGAAAAGAAACTTGTTAGAAAGCTTAACTATAGAGTCGCCTTATCTGCTTGTCTTATGTTTGTTGGGTTACAAATAGATAGAGGTAACTTACAACAAGCAGTTACTGATAATATGTTGGATGATTTAGGTATGACTACTAATGATTATAACACTGGTAATACTGTTTTCAAAGTTGCTTTCCTTCTTGCCGAAGTTCCTTCGCAATTGATTTCCAAAGCTCTCGGTCCAGATATTTTCATTCCATTCCAAATTTGTGCTTGGAGTATTGTTGCTATGTCCCAGGCTGCTCTTTCGGGTCCTGTTTCATTCTATGTTACTCGTGCTATTATTGGTGCTTTGGAAGGTGGATTTATTGCTGATTTGGTGTTGTGGTTAAGCTATTTCTTTACCAGTAAAGAATTACCAGTAAGGTTGTCCTGGTTCTGGACAACATTGTCATTTGTGGGTATTTTTACTTCACTTTTAGCTTTTGGATTATTAAGAATGAGAGGTATTGCCGGCTGGGCCGGTTGGAGGTGGTTGTTTTTGTTAGAAGGTCTTGTTACTTTACTCATCGGAATTGCCTCTTTCTACATGATGGTACCATCAGCTGTGCAAACTAAGAATTGGATGCATCCTAAGGGTTGGTTTTCTGATCGTGAGGTTAAAATTGTCGTTAATCGTATTCTTAGAGATGATCCATCTAAAGGTACCATGCACAATCGTCAAGGTTTAACACCAAAGATGTTGTTCAAATCCCTTATTGATTTTGATCTTTGGCCATTATACGCTATTGGGGTTATTGCATATATCGGTCAAAACACATTTGGAGCTTATTTCGGGTTAATTAATAAACAGTTGGGATTCAATACTTTTGATACCAATTTGCTCAACATCCCAAATCAAGTTATTCATATTATTTTGTTATTAGCTATAACTTGGTTTTCTGAACGGGTTAGTGAAAGATCATTTGTATGTATGCTTGCTCCATTGTACGCTACACCATTGATGGGTGTTATTAGATGGTGGCCTGGCGCTGGGAAACAAGTATGGCCTACATGGACATTGAACACGTTGTATTTGGGACAACCTTATATTCATGCAATTTGTGTTGCTTGGGTTTCAAGAAATTCCAACTCCGTGAGAACTAGGTCTATCGCTTCCGCTGTCTACAATATGTTTGTTCAATTGGGTGGTGTTGTCGGCTCGAATATTTATAGACAAGATGATTTACCATTGTATCATCGTGGTAATATGCAATTGTTCTGGATTACCTTTGCTTTGATTCCTGTGTTGGGATTGACCAAGTATTACTACTACTGGAGAAACAAGTCCAAGTCAAGAGTATGGAACTCCATGAGTCCCGAAGAACAAGAGATATACCGTAAAACTACCAATGATGAAGGGGCAAGAAGATTGGATTTCATCTTTGTCCATTAAGCTTTAGTGTGTATATTATTTATAACAGAGTATTAACACTAATACAAAAACAGGGCATAATAGCAAAATAATTTATGTCATGTATTCATAACAGTTATCTTCAATTCTCTTGATATATTTTTTTTCAATCAATTGATCAATGACTCGTTTAACATCAAGAGGTTTAGCTCTGAATCTAGATAATGTTTGTGGCATAACTTCATTGATTAAATCATTATGCTTGCATACTTTTCTTGATTTCATGATTCTGACAATACAAGCAGAAAGGAAATTCTTTCTTGCTTCATCTATTTCTTTATTGGCTTCGTCTTCTTCTTGTTTAGGTTCGTTGGTCTTGATATTACTGATGAAATTAACCTTTAATTTCTTGGATTTATATTCTTCAACAATAGTGAGAACGGTATCATCATTGAAACCAGCATTTGGGCCGCTGGATGGTGGAGATTGATCCATTAATTTATATTTAGTAAATGGTAATAAATGAGCTTCAAAAATGTTTCTCGATGTACCAACAATTCCATGTAATTCTTTAAATGTGTAACTATTCTTCTTATTGAATGCAATTAAAATCATCAATTGAACATTGGATACGGTAAATAAGAAAGGCGGTTTACCCTTTCTTGACAAGTTAGCCTTCAATTCAGCTCTTCCGTGGTTCCATAACCACTTCAATTGTCTTCCACTATGTTTACTGCCATAGATTTCAATGACTTTTTCAAATGGTGCTTGTAATTCACTAGGAACATTCAAATTATAATCATCAAGATACTTGAATGGCCACATACTTTGAGCTAAAATTAATGGGTTGAATTCCTTAACCAAGTTTTCACCAACATGATTTCTAACATCTGCCTTCAAGTCTTCTGATGCTTTCATATCAGAAAACATCTTAGTCATTTTCGAGGTGTACTCAATGGAGTTTTCCTCTTGTAAACGATGGATTATACTTTCTTCCAATTCGTCAGATTTACAAGTACCGTTGATCAACCGCTTGGCTAACAGACGACGGTAGTGTTCTTCAAATGCATCTTTATCGTTGATAAACTTGAAAACAATCATTAAATTGTCAGCATTCATGTCAAGAATGTCTGCTTCTTTACTAGTGCTTTTCAAGAATCCATCAGCATATTTGGCCAATAATTCTGGTGTTTTACAATTAGATCTAGTAGTTGGAGTAGCGATTGGATTCTTGTTAACAAAGTGTCGACAAGCATTATCCAAAGATCTAATAAATCGAGTATCTTTGCTAAACGCCTTGATCACAACATCATTGAATTGGTTGTAGATGGCAATCAAAGTATTGATGTAGGTTTTATAATCAATAGCCACCCCGCTACCGGCGGATCTTCTTGATCTAGTAGGTGCACCATTGACACCAGGAGTACCCTCTGTAGAAGCAGCAGTAGCAGCTTGAGATTCGGCTTGTACTTTAATTTCTTCCAAAGTTTTACCAGCTTCTCTCTTGATATATTCTTCCAATGTATCAGCTAGATGTACTAAAGTGTCTGGCACTTTATACAACAACTTATACATTCTTTGAATATGTTCAATTTGATTCTGTTCCAACAATATCAAGAATTGATCATACATTTCCTGGGCATGATTCTTAATCAATGCATTGTTTAAAGTATCCAATAAGGGATTCTTGGTGTGTTCTTCCAAGTAATTGTTTGATCTTGAAATTTCTTGAGATAATCTTGCTTCGCATTTCTTCATATAATCTACCACGTTATGTTCTGCCAAAAATTTACTTGACTCACGGGAATAATACTCCTCAGTGGCTTTCAAAAATGGCTTTTCAAATGAGTTGACATAGATGACCAAATTTGGTTTCTTCAAATCGTTAGCATCAATACTTAAAAACACTAATGATTTGATGGCGGTGGAAATCAAACTTGTGTCAACAATCATATTATTTCTTTGCTTTTCAATCAAATCTAAAATTTCCTTAATTAAAACATCGGAATTTGGTTGAAACATTTCATTTCTCCATTTAATTAAACTCAAAGTATTGACATCATATATATCTCTTCTACCATCGGATCTTTCCTTTTGAACCCAGTATCTATTCATATAGTCAAACACGTTATTCATATAGACAGCACCAATGGTGAATCGAGTCCACTTACGTACATAAAATTCCAATAAAGATTCATGAGGTTCCTTCTTTAATCCTTTAATGAATTGAGTCAAGTAAGTTTCCAATTTACTATAAATTTCTGCCCCAGCCAAGGAATAACTATTATTGTCAGCATTAGGAGCATAACTGGATGCAAGTGAAGAGCCTGCATCACTCTTTCTTGATTTGTTAACACAGTAGTTATAGACTGCAGTGTAACAATGCATGTACATCTTGGAGGTGACGCCTTGGTCTCCTTGAGCACCAAGAATAAACTCTAATCCTGGTTGAATAAAATTCCAAGTAGAATTCAAATCAGAGTAAGCAGGAAGACTCATGGTGGGAAGGGGAAGTTCTTGTGTATGTAATGGCTTAGTGGTTAGTAAGATGGATTGATTGGAGGTATTGCTTACTTTGTATTTTGAGTTGCTGCCACTTTGCTATTGTACTATGTTTGAATACCGTGGAGTGTTGTACAGAAAAATCAAATTTGAAGGCAACAAAAACAACATTCCTGTTTTGGTATGCAGTTTTTTCTTTTTTGTTGTTTTTTTTTCTACCTGTCTGTATTTAGGGTTCCCCCATTACAAAAACTATACTAGATCTAATGTTACAGTTATAATTTATTAGTGTTAATTGTATTAAATGTATGTAAAGCTATGTTTCTCTATTCTACTCTTCCAGGAGATGCCACTCTATCTACCACTCTTAGTAAACTGACGGTAAATGTAATCACCCATAATACCAACACCACCATTAAAAATGAGGCCAATGCTCGCTGCCTTCGACACACACTGTCCACAGTCAAGGTTAATAACCCACCATTGTTCTCTATTGGAAGTACCTTGGTTCGAGACAAGACGCAAACCCATTCATCGTCATATAAAGTGTTAAAAGTTAACGACAAATTTGCTGATGAAAATATTATAAACAACAAATCAAGCATAATTAACCTCATTTTACTTATAGGGTCTCTTAACCCAAGTGGTTTCCCGTGATACTCATCATATGCAATTCCAATAACATAGACGATCCCCACAGTTTCCACCACAACTGCCATTACAGTACTTGCTTGTTGGCCAAACTGCACTCCTTGATATTCGCTAGCTGCAAATTTGAAAATTGAGGCAGCTATTCCTAACGAAATGGCTAAAAACATTAATGTTAAAATTCTTAATAATAATGGAACTAAAGGATTAAACAAAAAGAACTTTCTTATAATAGGAAATAATTGATTTCTATTCTCCCCCATCCAATACCCCGCGGTTGATCTAACTCTAGGATTATTCTCGTCATCGTCAGGTTGTTTCCTAGTTCGAAACAATCTTGAGAACCAATGCTTGGAAATTTCCGATGTATCCTCGCCCTTTTCCATGAAATCACCCACGTAGGCTGATTTTAATCGTTTAGCTCCTCCCCATGGCGATTCCAAGTCATATTCTTTTAAAAATGAGTCATCGTATCGTATCTTGTCGCTAGTATATGCATTCTGTTGTCTAATTGACCGGATAAATTTGAACCAATTCCCATCCATGGCTCTAACATAAGGATCATTGGCAAAACTCAAGTATTGTTCTTCGTCATATAATGTAGATAATGTTCTTTCACTTTGTATTCTTCTAAGCAGCGGTTGACGCTGATGGATAATATTAGTCGGACTTACATTAGTACTTCCAGGATTGGAATTACCACCACTGGTATTATGGGCAGTAGTATTTTCTAAATCCCGATGGTGTGATCTTGCAATGGTGTCCATGACATAAGGGGGGATTCTATTAGGAATATGATTATAAGTATTGATTTGGACATTCTCCAATGCTTGTCTAATAGCATCAGTGTCTACGTCGGTGATTTTAGTATTTAAACTGCCACTTATGCTTGTGTTGGGTTGATGTCTATTGTCGTGGCGGTTCTGTTGTTGTGGATGATATTGCGGTTGTGACGGTTCTGACGGTTCTGACGGCTGAGACGGTTGTGTTATATTAGCACTACTACCTAAGGGAGATTCTCGATTGCTCTTGATACCAGGAGGAGCTAATCCATTGGGAACTTCACTCATGATTTTATATGTGGTTTTTAAAGCTGATTAACATATGTACAAATAAAAAGAATATACAAGATAGTGAAATTATAATTAAAATAGGAGTAAAAACATATCGTCATACACAAAAGTCATTTTATGGGACAGCAACTACGCCTGAGAGGTGCGGCATTTAAATCACGTGCGCTTTCCATTTTTTTTGTTGTCAATTGCTGAGATGCCCCTGACATAACATAACATATAACCTTGCTTGACTCTGTTTGGACCTTCTAAGGGTCTATTCTTATTGAATAAGGGGGTATTTAACATGTCCTTGATTAGTTGTTGGATTTAATGTTATAATTCTAGTCAACTGTATATATAATGTGCTGAATTTTTGTAAAATTTCCTATAAAATGAGAGTATTGAATCAAGCTACTACCACGATTGCTCTGAAGCAATGTAATTCGTTGTATAACAAAATGTCAAGTTCGATTACAAGCTCATAATCCCTGTTAGGTTGCTGCTAGAGAAAATTGTCTCCTACTCACCACATCTCTAACCATGACAACTGATTGGTTGCGAAAAACAAGATGACGACACATTTCTATACGACAGTCAAACTTACACGATATTACAACGTCACATATGTACAAATTAAACCCTTCTACTAAAATACATCTACTGCTATCTTATTTGATCATTCACAAGCGATGTCCTCTAATTTTATTGTTTTGGTAGAGTGTCTTAATTTTACATGTCTACTTTCGGTCATTCCACACGACCAATCTCCGAAATTGCTCCATTTTTGTGATTTGGTTTAGAATCTTTTGCCATTCATAATGAAACGAGGCAGTGGGATTGACACAGTGAACACCTAACATTTAGTCTTTCTATAATCGCAAAGTGATCATTTTGATTTAGTCATAATTGCCACTATTCCAAGCAAAATCTATCAAATATTTCCAGACCAAGTGGCCTTCCTTCTCTTTCCCTCATGCTAATCCCCACAAGATCTAGTAGATATGCCAATCTAGGCATAAACTATGCCAGAAGATTTCAATCAAATGTTGCTGCTGGTGCTGCTGCTGCTGCAGACAAGAAAATCCTCAAGAAGAACTCGATCTTTGTTATTTCTATCCCCATCACCACCTCAAAATCCTACATATATTGCAATCACCGTCCTGGGAAAATGTTGGCAGAGTCGCAATTGAAAACCATACCCCCACTTATCAAACTAGAACACAAGTTAATTAAACTTGCAATTAAAGGATGGACCAAGTTATCCACTTCTGAGAAATCCATCAATGTCAAAATCACAAACTTGGTTAAACAATTAATGAGAACCATTGCATACGAGGAGAATTGTTTGCGTAGTTTTCCTAACCAGAAAGCCATGATTAGAGAAATCAACGAAGAATTAATAGAAAGCAAACATCCAAACTTGGTTCAATCGGAGATTGAAAAATTAGATATTTCCCATGATCAGTTGAAACCTATTCCCTTGTATCATCCTGATTTCCAAAATCCAACCACGATATTGAATCAAATATACGATTTCAGAAAAGATAATCAAATTAAACATAAGAAGTATGCTATCTTATGTGCTATTGGTATTCCCTTGAGTTTACCATTTGCATTAGTGCCCATCATCCCTAATGTTCCTGGATTTTATATAGCATTCAGATTATATTGCCATATAAAGGCATTAATGGGTATAAAACACTTAGACTACTTGTTGGAAACTACTCCGAGTCAAGTTAGAACTATTCAAAGAGAACAAGAAAAGCACGATGATGAGGAAATGGATGAAGTTAAATTAGCTGATGAATCGACCGTAGTAGAAACCAAGCATTTGCGATTCCAATCAGTAGCTGAAATGGACCAAATATATGCCGAACATAATGAAAAAAGACATTTAAATGAATTGGTTCAAGAAGATGAATGTATTCTCATCAATGAATCCATAATAAACCTGTTGGTTGACCAATTGGATTTAGAACATTTAAGAGAAGATTTGTTGAAGGCATTAGAACAAGAAACCAAACGATTAAACAAAGATATTAGAGTTGGCGATGCTGTTGAATAATTCAAATGTAAATAGATTCAATGTATTGTATATCGTCAAACAATACCGAGCTTGTGAGGTAGAAAAGTTGTAGTAAAGCACATGCAAACTTTATGTTGCCTTGTATATATCACTAGGGCTGCTTAACCCTAATAGTTTGCACGTGAGCAATACTAACCCTATAGAAAAAAAATAATAAGAGTGCACTGCGGGTAACTAATTCTGGTCACGAGTTTTTTTTTTTCCGTCGCTCACTGAAACTGCAGATTCTCCACGCATAAAAAAACTTTTCGTCATTTGTTTTATTCTTTCTCTTCTTTCCTTCTTCTTTTCTTCTATATACACTAATTATCGTTCAATATGAGAGATAAGTGGAGAAAAAAGAGAGTTAGAAGACTTAAGAGAAAGAGACGGAAGGTCAGAGCTAGATCCAAGTAATCGGACATCAAAGAACAACTTCGCATAACCAAAACATAATTAGTTCAATTTGAAATAGTAATTGACTAGTTAATTTTACGAATTATTTGGATGGAAAATGGTTAGTCTCTGAAGTAGACAATTGGTTTATTTATTAATGTCAAAATCTAACGAAGAAAATATCCCTTTTTTTATGTATTTATGAAATACAATTGGCTGGTTAATTGTTATGACAGGCTGAATTGGTTATGATGTGTTGATGATCTTTGAGTTTTTTTTCTAGTTCGCTATAAAACCAAAGCAGTGTTACACGTAGCATTGCTTTAGTCCGTATAATTAACAAGAATGAATATTCATTTTTATTATAATATTATGTTGTAGTTGTAGAAATCACTTCTCTTTTAATTGCTTTGCTATTGGTAGGGTAGTGCATATTAAGCGCACTCCTTGTTCTCTTTTATTTTTGCTTGGAGACATTTTGTTTGCAGCTAACCTTTTTTTTTTGCACCCTTTATTACCCGCCACATATAACAAAGCTCTTTCAACCACGTTTTACATGGCAACTTTGCAATGTTGCAACGTCCAGTGGTAGAAGAACTAACCCAGCCTTGCTCTAAACCACAACCTCCACCTGAACCACGTCAATCTCAAGAAAACATTGAACCAGAAATTAGAACAATTACAATTCCATCAACATCACCAATTCAGCGTCAGGAAAACCAATTAAACCAAGATCATACAATTCCAGTTTCTACTGATAATGTACATTGTCATACTGCACCAGTATTTAAACCAGCTCAATTTCCTTTGTTAGGTCGAATTCGTGAACCTATCAATAATCCAATCCAAATTAATCAAGTGAGCACAAATAATGGAACATCAAATATTTCTCCAGGGTTCACAAACTCGTCGAGTTCATTCTTTGACATTGAGACTCTGGCTAGTCAAGAAACTCAAATTCCATATTCTGACATTGAATTATCAATTCTTTCTCCTCATCAACCACCATATGAACCAATCAATCACCCACTGGGTTCTTCTGATCCTGCAATGAGGGCAAGATTAGATAGATTAGAACAACGCAGGTCAATGTTCCCTCATGTGGATATGTTTGTTGAGTATACTGAAGAAAGATATCGTCGATTTCGTCCTAGTGATTCGCAACATAATAATGAGGCAATAATTACAGGAAATCATCCTTATCAACTGGACAAGTATGAATCTGGTACTAAACCAGAATCCCTGTTTTTCTATCGTTTTACATCATGGAGAAAGAAGCCTGAACAGCAGCAGCATCAAACTCCAGATCTTGAAAACCAAATCAGTCCAGTGTTGGAAGGTTCATCTACACAACCTCATGTTAAGCATCTCAATTTGAAACCTAATACTTCAAGATCAATTATTATACCTTCACCTAGCACAATCACGACCGAACCTGGTTTAACTTCTGCTCCTGTGTACACACCTAAAGCAATTCCTATAAACGAATATCCATTGAATTTTGAAAAGTTACCTGGAGATGATGATCTCAGAAGAACTCAAATCATAAACTCATTAGATGACGAAGTCAGAGATTTGATTGATGGTGTAGATAATTTCATTGTTGAATGTTTTGCAGGAATTTGGTCTGTCATGACAGCTATTGGAGATTTCTTTGTAACTCTTTATTAGAAAAAAAAAACGTATATAAAATCAACAAAACAGAGACACGTATATAATTGTATTTAAACACTCTTTATTCAGAAGCTTCAGCAAATCTTTCACTGATTTTGGTCAACAAATTACCAAATTCAGCTTCACCTTCTTTAACCCCTCTTGAAGGTTCAAAGAACTTGGCGGAACTGACTGCATGCTTGACATCACTGGTGGCTTCAGATAATTTCGACCATTGGGCACCATTGGCAACTGCCTTTTGGGCTTCATCATAATAACTAATGAATGCTCTCATCATATCAAAGGTCTTCCAAATTGGACAGAAGGCATCATAAGAAGAGTAACCGTTTTGTTGCAAGAAATCTTCCTTGATTAAGGTGGCAACATCCAAAGTAATCTTATCGGAATCCGATAAAGCAGATTTACCAACCAATTGAACAACTTGTTCTAATTCTTCAGCATTGGACAAAATTTCTCTGATTTTATCACGCAATTGTGGGAATTCAGGATAGTTGGAATCGTAATATTTGTTTAAAACATTGGTGTATTTGGAATAAGATACACTGGTGTTAATAGATGGGAAATGCTTTCTTTGGGCCAATTTCTTATCCAAACCCCAGAAAACTTGGGTAATACCTAATGTAGAAGTAGTAACTGGATCGGAGAAATCACCACCGGCTGGGGAAACAGCAGCAACAATAGAAACAGAACCGATTCTTTCTGGAGAACCCAAGGCAATAGATTTACCAGCACGTTCATAGAAAGAAGCTAATTTAGCACCCAAATAAGCTGGGAAACCTTGATCAGCAGGCATTTCACCCAATCTACCAGAAATTTCTCTCAAGGCTTCGGCCCAACGAGATGAGGAATCAGCAATCATAGAAACATTCTTACCTTGATCTCTGAAATATTCAGCCAAGGTAATACCAGTATAAATGGAAGCTTCTCTAGCAGCGACAGGCATGTTGGAAGTATTGGCAACCAAAGTAGTACGCTTCATAATTGGCTCTTTTCTTCCAGAAACTTCAGTGAATAATTCAGGGAATTCCATCAAAACTTCTGCCATTTCATTACCTCTTTCACCACAACCAACGTAAATAATAACATCCGAATTGGAGAACTTAGATAAGGATTGGGAAATAACAGTCTTACCACAACCGAAAGCCCCTGGAATACAGGTAGTACCACCTTGAACACATGGGAACAAAGAATCTAAAACTCTTTGACCGGTTAATAATGGATAATCAGCAGTTAATTTTTCGGCAACTGGTCTTGGAACTCTGACTGGCCAAGTATGCATCATGGAGTATTTATGCTTTACACCATCGAATTCTACTTCTAAAACGGTATCTTCAACATTGTAAGAGCCTGATTCAGCAATAGAAGTGATAGTACCTCTAGCTCTTGGTGGCAATAAAATCTTATGGTCGTCTAATAAAGAATTTTCGTAAATGGAACCAAAAATGTCACCACCAGTAATATGGTCACCAACTCTTAATTTACCAGGAGTGAAATCATATTGAACAGTTCTAGATAATGCAGGAGCATCAATACCTCTTGGGATATAAATAGATTGAGATTGTTCCTTAATGGCCTTTAAAGGTCTTTGAATACCATCATAAATGGTTTCCATTAAACCAGGACCCAATTCAACAGATAATGGTTTTCCAGTTCTCAAAACTGGATCACCAACAGTGACACCGGCAGTTTCTTCATAAACTTGAATGGTGGCCTTATCACCATTGATTCTAATGACTTCCCCGACTAAGTTATCATGACCAACTTTAACCAATTCGTACATGGCACATCCAATCATGTTTTCAGCAATCACAACAGGACCGGAAACTGAGTAAATTTGCCCATATTGGGATTCGTCGGCGTCAAGAGAAAGACGTTTGATTTCTTTTCTTGCGTTTTCTAAAGCACCAGCCTATCAGATGAGTTAGTATATACTTCTTCTTAGTGAGGAGTGGGACACCAATTGAATTGAATCAGTTCAGTTAACAATCAATTGAAGCAATTGCAACGTGTGACAACAACATACCATTGTTTGATTTATCTGGTTTGTGTGTAGATGTAGGGTGATTAGTAAGTAATCTGTACGGCCAATCCCTTTTGTATTGTAGGTGAACGTTTTCGCTATGAAAATTAAACCGACTCGTGGTCGTGCATTTTGGCATGAAATTGTGGCGAAACAAAAAATTAGGGTTACCCGGAGAGATATTTTCGCAGTCACTTGGCTAATGCAAAGCACTATATGTATAACGAACGGAAAGTAGAAACTACTAGTTGTTATTATAATAGGTTTAAATGTTTATTTGAGAAGGAAAAGGAAGAAAGAATAACAACTATACATATAATAAGGGCGGATTCAAATATAAGTGCCTTCTATTTCTATAAACGTGTGTATATTGTACAGATAAAAGTCTTCAATCACTACAAATCCAATTGTTACAACCTTCGATAGTTTTATCATCAATAGATGTTTATACTCCACCCAAATTTTTTGCTCTATCCAAAGCAATATCACACATTGCATCAAAAGCTAAACGCTTTTCTAAATCAATATCACTACTAGCAATGCGTTGTTTCATATCTTGCATAACAACATCTCTTGATCTACCATTGACAAACACAACATATCTTAATCCTGGAAAAGTCTGTTCATACAACTCATTCAATTTTTTCAATTTCTCCCTCTCGGTTTCCCCACCTAGAGACTTTTGCTCGTTGGTTGAATGGGTCAGTGTAGTTGAATCACCAAGTCGAGGATGTGCTGATATTATTGCATTGATAGCATCATTGTCTAATGTTTTCAATGATTGGATAAGTTCAGTTCGAACTAACTCGATGAACTGGCTGTATGTGTGGTACTTTTCCTTGTGAGGAATAACTGATGTTGCTATGAGTTGTTCAAGTGTTTCACATGGTTCAAAGAGATGTCCAAGTGTGGTTGAAATTTCTTCTCTTGAAAGGCTAGATAAATACTCTATAGGAAGAAGCGTATAAGTCATTTGATTGCTTGCTCAAATTATCTTGTCTTGTTGTTGATCCCTTCAGCAACGTTTCATGCTTATCGCAATTTTTTTTTCGCAACTCGAAATAGATAAGCTTCAATAAACTTTACGTTTACACGACCACCATGTAAAGTGTAAGAATGATGACTGCAATGACTTAATTGTCATATGCTACTCTACATACAATTGATATTAACATGGTTCTTTTGAATTACTTTTCTTACTGAAAAATGAAAAGAAAAATCTTGATATACAACTAAATGCAAAAAAATATAGAAAAACTAAGTCAATCGAATAAATACATAACATCCCAAGTCCTATGGAGTAATTGGTGATTCATATTCTCTCAACTTAGCCAATTCCTTTGGTGTTGGGGCACCCTTTTCGGAAATCAATGGATGTCTCCATTGCTTAACATATGAGAAGATAACATCGGCCAAAACGGTAGTATCGTGAATACCCAAGTCAGCAAAAGTTTTGGCTGAGAAATCAATTTGTTGGTCAATCAAATGTCTTTGAATTTGATCTGGGTTAGTTTGTTTCCAAAATACAACTTGCTTCAACTCAGCAATGAACTTGGCCAATTGAAGTGGAATTACATGGTCTCCAAATCTATAGGTGTATGGACCAACTTCAGAATAATCTTCGGTTATTCCATGGATTAATTGTCTGATTTCAGCAAAGGAAAGTTGTTCTGGGTGGTATAACTCAAAAGTTTTACCGGCGGTGGAATCATCAAATGTCATGGCTTCAATACCACGAGCAACATCCAATACATGAGTTGGGTAAACCAACTTAGCATTACGGTTTGGAGTCCACATTTTTATCTTAGGACCTAAATAGTTCAATAAATTATCTTCACGACCATACATTGGTGCTGGTCTTACAATTGTGGCTTCTGGGTAAATAGATTTGACAACTTGTTCACCGATACCCTTGGTGGCATAGAATACGGATTCAGATTTAGGGTTGGCATTATATGAAGAAACGTGAATCAAACGTGGAACATTTGCGTCTTTGGTAGCTTGGGTGATTCTTTCAGCAATAGCTATGTTAACATCAGCCATACTGAAATTCTTGGTGTTGTAGTCAGCTCCAATACAGTTGATGACAACGTCGGAATGAGCCACGGAATCTTGAACAGATTGCAAGTTACGGGAGTCAAATTCAACAAAGTTAACTACTCCTAAATCACCTTGCACTTTTAAAAATCTCTTTTTCATATCATTTCTGAATGGAACAACAGTAGTAGTACCATGTCTGGCTAATTTTGAAGTAACATATCTTCCCAAGAATCCAGCAGCACCGAAAACAGTGACAGTGTATCCGTTACGGGATGATCTTCCACCAGTACCAACTGAGAGATTAACCTTCCCGTTCTTGGTGATATTAATATCAGATTCCAAGACAGTGGTATATATGCTTCTTACTGCCCCAATACGACTGGCAATTGGTTTTGAATATCTCAACATTGTCCGTTGTTGTTTTATTGGAACTGTTTCTTTACTTCTTGTTGAAGTTTTTTCAAATGTATAATGGTAAAGTGCGCATTTGAATTTTCCTGCCTCTGGTTGGTTAAATAATTTTTGTCGGGAAAAAAAAATCAAGTGTGTCGCGACCAAACTTGGTATGGTAGCGATATTTAATATAAACTATATCTAAACTGCTAGATCCAATTGGGTATTGTCACCAGACTTTCCTATCTGGTGCCTTCAGGGTATTTCCTCTAATATAGAAGAAAAAACAGTTCTATAACCATAGTTTTATTATTTAGTTGTATATAATCTAAGTAACACTTATTGTTACGAAATGACTCTGACCGCAACCTTAAACAAACCCAATATTAAAATGATTGGCATCATTCCTTGCATCTTCTTCTTCTTCTTCTGTTAGTACTTCATAGTTGGCTTTAGTTATTGTATGATAATTTTATCATTGTACACAATGGATGATTTTATGTTGTAACTCAAGTTTAATGAAAAAGAGTGGTTGGAACTTGGATGTATTACAATCTCCTGCTCTAATTGATTCCCGCAAAGCGATGATTTTACTAAGCTGGATAGGATGTAGTCTATTTTGAACTTGCTTACTTTATAATGTGCTAATAGCAAATATCGAATCCTGAAATTATATTTCTCATTAAACAACGAGAACTTCACAGTAAAATTGCAAATTGGATTTTGTTTTAAAATCAACACAGTGGCATTATGTGGGGTGATCCAATAATCTAACCTGATATTCCAGTTATCAAATAGGTCCAGGTATTACAAATTTGCAAGCAAATTCCAATACCTGTGCGATACAACATCTTCAATAAGATTTGAATGCCATATGGATAAAAATGTCGTTTCACCAGGAACTCTGGTACTAAGTACTTCCTTATCAAGCAGAAATTGGTGCTGTAATAGAACAAATGTCTATAGACTGTGCGGTAGTTTGTTTATATTCACCAAAATATGTGAATGTATTGTATGCAATATATAGAATGGCTAAATTTGAGAAAGACATAGAAAGTAGGGTGTTAAGAAAACGGTTATCCATTCTTCATTTCCTGGATTCATATTTTACTATAGTGGTTGTGATAATCGGCAATTATAGTTAAGTTAAGGACTATATACCTAATTATCAGTTATTGAAGAGGGATAATTCGATATACAGGATTGGGTATTCATTTTGGTAACTACAAGAATATTTAGTTGCTCTTCTAAGTTAATTACATCACAGGATGAATGTTACATTTTAATACATTAGAAACTCGTATATGTATTATAAAGACAGCAAAAAAGACTATAAAGACAAAAAAAAGGCAGGGAGTATATGTATATATATATATATATAATAATAAAAAAAAGACACAGAAATAACCGTTAACAATAATAATTCAACATTTCCAACAATTAATTTATAGTATAATGGGCAATAATAAAATGAAGGATTTCAAATAAAACATAAAGCAGTAAAAATGAGTGAATTGCAGTAGGTATGTAGGCACACATGAGATCATAAGAAATAATCGGGAGTTTTCCGAGTAACAGTAGGTTCGCCCGGTCTTTGACTAGGATCATATTGTAAGAATTGTCTATTATGTTGTTCGTCAACTTCCATGATTGCTGCTTGATTACCACATCTATAACAATAATTAGGAGCTGAGAATATGGTAACCACTGATTCTTGATGTGACCAACTAAACCCTTCCATGACCAATTGATGGGCACGAGCAATAAGACTCAAATCATTGGTGTGGTTAAATTGTTCTGAGATATCTTGACCAAAAGTGAAACCGGCACCTCTTGGAGAAATCCCCCATCCACCTCTATCATCAGGATCCGACCATAACAAATCACACATTGGACCTTCATGAGGAACTTCTTGGATTCTATTTAATTCTCGGACTTGATCAATGGTTTCGATCATTGGCGATAACCCACCATGTAAACAAAAGACCTTATTGTCAACTAATGCAGTTATAGGGAAGTAATCAAATAAATCTGTAAATAATTTCCAGACATTTGCAGATCCGTATTTTCTTAAACATTCATCGTAAAACCCATAAACTTGAGTGATTTGTCTTGATTCATGATTACCTCTCAATATAGTGATTCTATTTGGATATCTCACCTTCATACATACCAAGTATGATACAGTTTCCACCGAATAGTAACCACGATCAACATAATCCCCCATAAATAAGTAATTAGTGTCAGGGCAAGGACCACCAATCTTGAACAACTCCATCAAGTCGTGGAATTGACCATGGACATCCCCACATATAGTAACTGGGACTTGTACTGGTTGGACATTTTCTTCGAATTGCAACACTTCAATGGCCATATCACAAAGTTTCTTGACGTCGGCTTCAGCAAGTGGTTCACATTGAGATAATTTGTCAATCCATTGGTCCAATTGATTTACTGATGATACATTGAGGTCGGCCTTTTTAGCGGCTGCTGCAGCATCCGATACACTGGCATCCCCGCCTATGCTTGTTATTCCTGTTGGTTGTTTACCGGATGTACTAGATGAGGTGGCACTGGTAGATACTTGTTTTAAGTCTTCGACATCTTCCATTGGTACGTCGGTGTCTAATTCCATAGTTGTACAAAGTGTTTGATTAAATTGGTACCCAGGGAAATATTTCTATCTGTGCAGTCTGAAAAGTGGAGGATTGATTGGCAATGGTGAAGATGATTGAATGCTAATGCCTGCTGTGGGTGGTATAGTGTTCTTGTATCTTCAACAGTTTAACTTTGCTGGGTTTGAGATTATAAACCTATTGATCTGATAATTAAAGGGTGAGGGGAAAAAAACGGATTAATTGAGTAGAGAATATGTTAGATGATGGATCCACTAGTTCAATTAAGGTACGTGTTTGTAATTGCGGTTGTAAAGAGTAGAAAATAATGAGGTTAAATTTGAATTTCGTTCAACGTTGTTTTTTCAGTGTTGCCTGGTTAATTTTTAAAGTGCCAATTTTGGGTCGTCATATTTTTTTTTTTCTGTGTGGGCAAAAAAAAAAATGATGAAATTCTCTTTACTCCCTGATTTGTAAGTGGTCATGTGATGTAAGTCACGTTATGTCAGGTAATTGGTTCATCTTTGCAACAATGTTTTACAAAGAATTACTATAGTTGTCTTTTAGCAATCACATCTATTAATATATACTCACTCTCGTGAACTCTCTACATTACTTAACTGATACAAATTGAAAAAACTATTATTACCCGGTGCACTACTCGACCCATTACCAAGATTACCTCCTGAACTTGCCCCTGGTGCTCCACCGCTAGTGTTATTCATTGCTTCTTCGAAATTAGTAGCTGCAAACAAAGAAAGAAAGTTCTTGGTACTTGCAGTGAAATGAAGTGATGCTGGTGTATCGACATCATTGCCTGGTGTCATCTGCGGTTGTTGAGTGGCTGATTGGGTTTGTTGTACCGGTGGTGGAAGTGCGAGCTTAGGACCATGTTGCTTTTTGGGCACAATCGAAAAGAATTCCTCTTCTTCGTCTTCCTCATCCTCGGCCCGGTGTTGTGGCTGGGCATTTTCGTACTCTTCCGGAGTTTGGTCTTGTGAAACACGGTTTGATGAGTTGTTGGAGCGGATATTCGAGTCGTGGAAGTCCTTAAGGAGTTCGGCAAGATCAACATCTTGGTCTTTTAATGATCCTGATGAATGTAAAGAAGGAAGCAATGGAGGAGGATGAGGTGACATGCCAAACAAAGCCGGTTGCTGTGGTGCTGGTCGAGCAGTGGCCACAGGCATTGCAATATCTTGCTGCTGCTGCTGCTGTTGTTGTTGTTGTCGTTGTTGCTTCTGTTGATCAGCAAGTAATTGCTCTCTTTCGCTTACTCTTTTTCTATATTCACTCAAGTTAAGGAACCAATTGTTCAAAATCTTGTGTGCTCTAACCAACTTGTTGATATTGTTAAAGAATGGGAAATGCTTAATAAGATTATCACTATACCTAATCAAGATATTCTGGTCTTCTTGATCTCGCGTATCCTGAGAATTCTCTCTCGTTTCCTTCTGCTTCATCTCCAAGAAGATCTTCAACAAATGAAGTAACGGTTGACAAACTTGATGGTTTGACATTTGAACCTTAAACACATCAGAATCAGCTTGTTCTAACACCGTATTCAAAACAGAAACTAAGGTAACCACAACCTCCTTGCATTGTTGGAAATCACCAGGGAAAATCAACAACAACTTGAATAATAGAATACTCTTGACAATTTCGTGGATTGGTTCATGCACGGGAATCGAGCTGATTAATCCTTGCACTTCGGTAAACTTGGCAAAATTCATGCTGGTACTATCATAACTTAACAACACATTGAAGTTCGATCTATGGCACAACTCATCAATCAATCTATAATCATTAACCACTTTTGTCAATGCAAACACATAGTCATGTTCAAGGTCGTTCCCAGGAAGACTAATAAATGCCCTCATTCTTTGTGAGTCCAACCTTAACACAATATCGTTGTTCCGAGTAAGGTTCAAGTTGTAATTATGGGACGAGTAGATCACATAATAACGTTCAGCAATATACAAAGCAGCAAACAATTCGGCAACTGGTCCTAAGGGTTCATTGTTTCTGACATTGATCAATTGGAAGTAGGTGATTGCTCGGTTAATATACAAGATCTTCTCGTGCTCTTGCGCTTCATTGCCGTAATTGTACACTTGGCCTGAATTGGTGGTGTTTAATGTGTTTGTCAAGTTTAAAATGTGAAAGTAATTACACATGTGGAAACTAGACACTGCCAAATTGTAATAAATTTGATATTGGTTTAAATGTTGGAATTGGTGTTGGGATTGGTTACCGACTGATCTTGGTGGAATGACAGGTGGAACAATAAAACTCATTTCGACAAGGGTGTATATTTCCAATACTTTGAAATGACAAAGGTTTCTATAATTCTTGAATGCTCGGTACATCAACTTCTTTTTGGAGTATTGAAGGAAATCTTTAAACTTTTGCTTCTTCAATTTGATCATAAATTCAGAAATAAGGAGGTTGATAGTAAGAATGATTAGTAAGGTTGATAAAAACAACGGATCATTGTGGTGGTGGATAAGATTGATTTCCAGATGGAATGGATTATAAGGAGAATTCTTCACATTGGGGTAGTTGGATACCAAGAACTCCACTAGTTTAGAATAGTTTGTAGTTAATGATTTTAAAGTTAATGGTTTTAATAATTCGAAAATAGCTGGTTCTTCACCAATAAGATTAAGGTTTTCAACAAGATGATGTGGAGTCACGATATATTCTTGGGCCAGGTTGGTGCTATTTGCAGTTTCCAGTTTCAGCATTGGTGGAGACGCCAAGGTGGAGGATTGCGCCAGGGAAGGTTCATCTTGTTTTATTGCTGTTCCAGTTGGTAATGGGATTGAAGCTGAATATGGATTTGGCATAGGTAGTACCGGACCAGTTGTAGATTCAGGCATTTGTGGTTGTGTTGAAGCTGCAAGTGATGAAACATTTGACATAAAGGCAGCCGCCTGTTGGGCTGACACACTTGATGGGGTACTATTTGCACTGGTAATTTCCATAGCTGAGGGATCATTTGAACCTTCATTCGAATCTTCCTTAGACAACACATTGGACACGGAAGAAGAAGCCAGTAAAGCAGGACGTGCAGGTGTATATGCACCGTTAGTAGCACCGCCATTGGCGCTTGTGCTCCTCAGTGGTTGATTAATTTCTATGACTTCGCTTAAACTGTTGATTGAGTCCAACGTCTTTCTATGCAAGTTCTTGGGACCTGATTTCTTACGTTCTCTCAACAGAGTACATTTTAAGTTGTTGGCAACACAATGAGAACAAGGCCTAGTGGCTTCACATTTAACTTTTCGAATTGCACATCCATCACAAGCCCTGATGTTTGATTTCTTTTTCTTGGCGGGTTTATTAGTAGGGTGGATGATGGTATGCTTGTTTGTGAGTTTAGTAACCAGGGAATTTATGGTGTTTGCTCCTCCAGTGGTGAAGAAATTTGAGATCACGGATTCCGGAGAATTGTTGGAATCAACTGATGACGCGGCTGGGTCGTGGGCATTTGGCGGTTGTAAGTTGTTAGTAGTGGACACTGATAGTAGTTGTGGGTGGGGCCAGTAGTAGGAAGTAGGTAGTGAAGGTGGGGTTGTATTGGATGAGCCGTTTGAATCGGACTTGAACCCTGTGGGCATCAAGTATGGGTTAGGCATGGTGTGAATAAGTCACTTTTTGGTTTGTAGCTCCAAGTTTAAGGTTTGAAATAAAAACAGGAAAAAAATATCCATAAAACGCAACGACAGTGGTAACTATGTAAGATCTAGCCACTTGTCCAGTTTCAATAAAGATCCGTCGGGATTTTGATAGGGTAGTTTAAAGTATTGGTCAGCAGCAGCACAAAAAAAAAGCAAAAGAAAAAAAAAGGCTCGGAAAGGGAAGAAAACAATCAAAACCTTAAAGTTGGATGACAGGTTGTATTTTGATTTACAAGAAGGGCAGAAAAAGACAAAGCATGGAGTATAAAGTTTTGAGGTTTTCGGGTTTGTTTTTCGTATTATGTGAAATTTCTAATTGTAGGAGAGATTAATGTGTGCCTTTCCCATTGTTATTGTAATTAATTCCCACCCTTTTTGCGACGAAGAATTTCCAAAGTGGGGGGGGTTGTACTTTTTTAAGGCCATTCTTGTTCTATTTTGTTTTTTTTTTTCTGTGGAGAATTAAATTATTTTCTGTTGTAAAAATTTTTGCATTTTTGCGAAACGCCTTAACAGGGGGACAAACAGTGGGGAAGCATAGAAGATGAGTAGCTTCTGTTAGGATGGAAAGTTCGATGAATCATTATTTCATCGAATCGTCCCAGATATGTTAATCTTATGATCTGAAAAGCGGTTTCAGTTGCTTTACGATTACTTCTATATATACTCAGCAGACCAAGCTTTTCTTCTTCCTTGGGTACTCTCTTAACTATAAACTACTTAAAAATTCTAACTTCTGTATTAGGTTAGTTCTGTGTTAGCTTCTAAATCATGCATGGTCTATATTATTATTCACTAATTAACCCCGAACCCCCGTATTGTTCTAACGACGTTTTATTACTACAAAAATCGTCAACACGGGGTTAATATCCATGCGGGGAGAACCAACCTTTGTTCCGTTCCTTCCGTATAAAAGATGGTAGATATGTCCCAATGTATTGATTCGTAGAAGATAGCCTCGATACTACAATTTCAACTATCCTGCATTCAATACTGAGGGAATTAAAGGTGCAATGCAAGGACTTTAATCAAAGGTGAGCTTGGTAGAATCTCCAACTGCGATTGGATTTAGTTTCTCTACTCCCTGTCCTTGCGGGCCAGTCTGAGTAAACCACTTCTATACTAACTCCGTTATTTACGAGAATACGGATATATCAAACTATAAACAAATCTAGAAAAGACTGTTCTTTTTCTTTTTTTTGTGAGAGTTTTCCTTGGTTGCAAATCCAACATTTATAGTTGCTTTTAGGGAGAGACTTTCAGGGAAAATACCACCTTCCTAGTTCTTCTGGGTCAAGATTAATCATGCAACTAATCTTAACGATAAATTATCTTTGGAAGCATTTATTAGCTTATTTCTACAAACTAAGGATTTGATACTACAGTGATTATCCGACTAAAAGTGATATATAATAGGTATCATATACATCTAATTACAGATAAAAACTCCAAAGATAAGGTTACATAACGAAACAAATTTATACTTTTGAAAAGACAGGCTAATACAGTGAGTCTAATGTTTAGTAACCAATAGATGCAACTGATCCAGATTCTTGAACCCATCCATTGACAACATCAGCAGATAAACCAGCAGAAAAGTCGGTAGAATCATCGACTTGAACAATGTGGATGTCAGAACCGGTAAATACAACAGCAGCCTTTAAGGAACCAGAAGTTGGACGGACAAAGTAATCTTGAGAACCACCACCACCGTTGTTGGTGTCTTGGGAAGCACCTTGACCACTGTGTAAGTGAGAAATCAACTTGTTAGAACCAGATGAAAGAATTTCAAACAAATCTAATTCACCACATCCGGTCTTCCAACAGGAACAGGAAGCATCACCGTATTGTAAAGTACGTGGGATCTTGGCGTTTAATAACCAAATAGCTGGCATATCACCGTTGAATCCACTTGATCCATCAGATGGCATTTCAAATTCAAAAACAAAGATCTTGGAAGCACCACCGAAACCGTGGTGGGCAACAGAACCTGGACGGTAGTAACCACATCCGCTACCTTGGCTACAGTCATCACCAGCCATGATAACATATTCAGAATTGGAACCAATGGTAACATCACCCAAGGCTACAGGAGAAGAAGAACCACCGGAGTTGTCGGAGTTGGCATAAGAAAGGGAGTTACCGAAAGCAGATGACCAAACACCAGAACCAGCACCACCGTGGTAGTTTAAGAAGACACAGTTGTCAGCGCTTCCTGGGGTATAGTAGGAGCTTCTAACCCATGCGGAGTCAGATGGAGCTTCTGATGGAGCAGCTGATGGGGAGGAGGATGAACTTGGAGAAGGAGCAGCACTGGTGCTTGGTTGAGGTGGTTGACTTTCAGTTTGTCCTTCGTTATTATTGGAATATGTGGTTGGTAAAGTACCTTCGACGGTGGTGGCTTGTGTGGTTGATTGAGTGATGGTGTTACCTTGGGCATCGACCAAGACGGTTTCGGTAACCTCTACGATTTCGACACCTCTCTTGTGTTTGTGGTGGATGTGTCTAGTGGTGCAGTCTTCTTGTTCTCTCTTTTGGTTGTTGGATCCAGATGGGTAGTAGACACCAAATTGTAATAATTTCAAAGGACCTCTGCAGTGGACAGATAATTCTTCGTCTAGTGGGGATAAGTTACCGGAGAAGGAGTATGGTTGTTGGGAACAAGTTCCAGTGGTGTCGTCCATGTTGGTGACATCTTGGTAGGTACCTTGGAAACCGACACCTTTATAAACAACCTTCTTGGTTGCGGAACAATAGTAGTTACCTCCAACGTTTTCACAGTCTGCCAGGACGGCGACTATCGAAGACAATATAGTTAACAACGTTGTATATGAGAATTTCATTGTGGGTATATATATGTTTTGTGGGTATGTGGGTGGGGGTATTGAAGTTTAAAGGAGTGTAGGATAAATAAAAGGAATGACTAAAGGTTAAGTTGGTAATAAGACTTGGATGAGCCAAGTTATATATCTATCAATGTGAAAAAGGGGGGGAGATTGTCGTGGTTGTTTAGAACAATACAATAAAAATTTTGAAAGGAGCAAACTAGAAAAACAGAATACAAAAAAAAATCGTGGTTATGTGGTTTTATATATTATTGAAGCTTTTTCTCTCCGCCCGGGTAGTGAGTTTGTCCTTTGTGCTTTTCTCTGTATTTGTTTTGGTTTGATAGAAAAGTGGTAAGGGTTATTTTTCTTCTTGTCCATTTTTTACAGCCAGGTACATTGTTTTTGTGTTTTTGTTTTGTTTTACTTAAAAAATATTCAAGAAAAAAATAAATAAAAAAATTTTCACGCGAAACACCTCGTGTAACAAGATCGGAATTTTCTTTGTTTTACATTTGCAAATCACGTGGCTCGCACAATTACATTCCTCCCGGAATATTTCCGACTGAAATTATTTTTTCGCCTCGAGAAGACACGCTTTTACAAATTCCGCAAGTTATGCACGCCTTGTTTGCTGGTTATTTCCGTTTTGGGAGAAATATACCTAATCTGTCATTTTTTCCAAGAGTCAAACGAACAATCATAGGATGAGGTCACTTCATTGATGCCCTGATGGGCTATTGTGCCAGCAAGGGTAACACATGGGATCAGGATCAAATCAGCTGGCCAAGGCTAATAACGGTAATTCATTGTGATATTTACTAATAAGAATCTTAGCAAATGAAATTGACGAGTAAAGTTGACGAAATAAAAAAAAAAAACAAGAAATAGGTCTATACTAACATCGAACAATTCTCTTGTCGAAAGATAGCCGAACTGCGGAATGGACGGTTTAAATTACAGTTTGTAAAGGATCCATTTCTTGGTAAATTCCAGATGATTAAATTTATCAACGTACGATCAAGTAAATTGGAACAAGTATATCTATGTCAAATAGTTAGTCCCGATCCTATACCACTGTGAGTAAAGAGGCGCACCACTGTCTTGTTGTTAATGAATGTGATGAGGTAAATCTCAACGGTTCGGAACTCGGTTATTATCTACATAATATTTGTAGTCTTAAGGTTTCAGATCTAGACTCCTGCTGTTGACTCTGCGACCAAATAATGCGCCAAATCTAATAATTTTTCATATATTAGATGCGATGGGTTGCGATATTGGTTCGTCTCTCTTTTGTGTCAAGTTTGTTGTCTTCTCTACGCCCCCCAACTAACTATTTTTGAGCTCCTTCCCTGTTTCAGATCTGCTCGAAATTATTGTGTTATCATCCATAATACCACATACATATCCCCGTTCGCCCACTTTTAGGAGAGTGTGCATATCCGCTTGGATCTGTGATGGACTTAATGATTTGCAAAATGAGAAAAGTAATTACAACTCCGAATTAGGATATTTATTGGAAAAAGAAACGACGATATTCTATTAGGTTAATTTTTTTTAGCTGCACTAATAAATTAGCCTACGTCATGATCTCCACCGAAAAAAAAAAATATTTCAAAATATTATTAATATTGTTTGTTCAAGTCCCTTACATTCGGACCGAACTTACGAGATACCTCACAAAAGCAAGACCAGAAGAGGATATATACCATTTGCGGAGTTCCGGATCAACGGCGTAGTTTTACACAAATTAAAGGGAATGAGAAACAATGAATTAATCATCTACTGTGCATATTTTGGATCAAGAAATCCTATACCCCGCCCATGCAATAATAGGCGTAATAGTGTACCTGGTTTGAATTATTTCATAATTCGTACTATTTTCTTCGTGCCAAGCGTTAACAGCATTAATAACGTGACATAACAACTTTGGCAAAGCAACTTTATAATTGCTTTAAGTGTATGTTGATAAGATTGTAGCTTTCTTGATCAAACTTTAGTAGATAATGTATGTCCTATATCTTTCCACGGTTTACTGGACTTTCATTCTAGCAATAGCTTAGGAAGTTCTCAAAATTACTGATTCTGCAAATGTTATTGTTAAATTTTTAACATTTTAGTGGTAAAACTTGATGATATTTAATTACTAAACAGGTTCCTATAAAAGTCTTGATTTTCACTTTTGTTGTTATTTACAAAATAGTCTCACATGTATATGTAATCATATTCTAAACTATGCATTGGATTGCATTAAAGCCTATTACTATCATTATCATTATCATTAAACCATTTTGATCACATGACTTTCTATACTTTTTTTGTTAGCAAAACGTAGAACATCCAAACATACACGCATTAGGTTTGCTACTTTATATTACACTAAATTTTCAAAATAAAACTCGCGATGAGGCTGTTTTTGCACGTTTGATTCTCATCAATAGCATCACCATCAATTGGAACACAACCCCGATCTAATGTCAGAACGTAAACGGCAAAGACGAAATTCATTAGCTGAGCAGGTTGCAGAAGCTGCCGAGCTTTCACTCCGCCTCCACCCTCGTCCAGAAACACCCAACGAGTTGGTTCACCATGATGCTGGAGAATTCCGTGATCTTATCCGTCATAAAACCACCGCTGCTCAAGCTGAAGCTCTTGAAACCGGTAAGGTTAATCCATTCACGGGCGAACCTTTCAGTCAACAATATGTCAAAATTTTAGAAGTAAGACGAGACTTGCCTGTACATGCTCAAAGAGACCAATTTTTGGAGACATTCCATTCCAGTCAAATCATGGTTTTTGTTGGGGAAACTGGGAGTGGTAAAACCACCCAAATTCCTCAGTTCGTGTTGTACGATGAAATGCCACATTTGACCGGTATGCAAGTTGCATGTACCCAACCTAGAAGGGTTGCTGCCATGAGTGTGGCTGCAAGAGTTGCAGATGAAATGGATGTCAAATTGGGTGAAGAAGTTGGTTATTCTATCAGATTTGAAAACCGTACCAGTAACAAGACCATCTTGAAGTATATGACCGATGGTATGCTACTCAGAGAAGCAATGGAAGACCACAATATGAGCAGATACTCCTGTATTATTTTGGATGAAGCGCATGAAAGAACTTTAGCTACTGATATATTGATGGGTTTACTTAAACAAGTCAGTGTAAGAAGACCAGATTTAAAGATTATTATTATGTCTGCTACCTTGGATGCTGAAAAGTTCCAGAAATATTTCAACAATGCCCCATTATTAGCCGTCCCAGGGAGAACCCACCCGGTTGAGATTTACTATACTCCAGAATTCCAACGTGATTATGTTGATGCTGCCATCCGTACTGTTCTTCAAATCCATGCTACGGAAGAAACTGAAGGTGATATTCTTCTTTTCCTTACCGGTGAAGAAGAAATTGAAGATGCATGCAGGAAAATCTCGCTTGAAGGTGATGAGCTTATTCGTGAACAAAACTGTGGTCCATTGAAGGTTTATCCACTTTACGGTTCTTTACCACCACACCAACAACAAAGAATCTTTGAACCAGCCCCAGTTAACCCAAATCCTAAGGGCCGTCCAGGACGTAAAGTCATTGTTTCTACCAACATCGCCGAAACTTCCTTAACCATTGATGGTATCGTATATGTTGTTGACCCTGGTTTTTCCAAACAAAAGGTTTACAACCCTAGGGTACGTGTGGAATCACTTCTTGTTTCGCCAATCTCCAAAGCCAGTGCCCAACAAAGAGCTGGTCGTGCCGGTCGTACTCGTCCAGGTAAATGTTTCAGATTATACACCGAAGAAGCTTTCAAGAAGGAATTAATTGAGCAATCCTACCCAGAAATCCTTCGTTCTAATCTTGCATCCACCGTTCTTGAATTAAAGAAACTTGGAATCGACGATTTGGTTCATTTTGATTTCATGGATCCCCCAGCACCAGAAACCATGATGCGTGCCCTTGAAGAACTTAACTATCTCGAATGTCTTTCCGACGAAGGTGATCTCACTGCCTTGGGTAGAATGGCTTCCCAATTCCCCCTTGATCCTATGCTTGCCGTGATGTTAATTGGTAGTCCTGCATTCAAGTGTTCAGAAGAGATTCTTACCATTGTCGCCATGCTTTCTGTTCCTAATGTGTTTGTGAGACCCGCCAGTGCTAGAAAGAGGGCCGACGAAGCCAAAATGCATTTTGCTCATCAAGATGGGGATCATTTGTCGTTGGTTAATGTTTATGAAGCATTCATCTCCCCACATACTGCCGAAATTGGAGCCCACCAATGGTGCAGAGATAACTTCTTGAGTTACCGTTCCCTTCAACTGGCCAAGAATGTCAGAAGTCAACTTAAACGTATTATGGAAAAACACGATTTAGAAATAATTAGCGTTTATGAGCAAGTTCCAGAGGTTGAGTACTGGGATAACATACGTAAGGCATTAACCGCCGGTTTCTTTATGCAAGTAGCCAAGAAGAAGAGTGGTACTAAGGGATATCTTACAGTTAAGGACAACCAAGATGTTTTGATACACCCTTCAACTGTGTTGAGTAAAGAAGGGGAATGGTTGATTTATAATGAATTTGTGTTGACTAGTAAGAATTATGTTAGAACCGTCACTACCGTTAAAGCCGATTGGTTAGTGGAGATTGCACCAAAGTACTATAATTTGGATCATTTTGCCAAGGGTGATGTTAGATTGAGTTTGGAAAGAATTATTGATAGAGTAGAAAAGAGTAGAAAGTAAATTATATAGGAATAAACCCAATACTTGAACCAAAAAAAAAAATGTAACATACATTGACTATAATAAATAGACTAATACATTAGCTAAACGCCTACTCTCTAACTAACACACTGGCGGCACCCATACCAGTACCAATACACATTGAGGTGACACCAATTTCTCCTGGTTTCATTATTCTCAATATAGTAGCATATTGTCTTGCACCAGTGCAACCCAATGGATGACCCATAGCGATAGCACCTCCATTCAAGTTTACCTTCTTTCTATCAATACCGACAGTGTCTATGGAATACAAACATTGACCTGCAAAAGCTTCATTGATTTCATAAATGTCGATATCACTAACAGATAATCCGGTTGTTTTAAGAACTTTGGGAATAGCCACGGCTGGACCAATACCCATAATTTCAGGTGGGACACCAGCAACAGAACAGTTGACAAACTTGGCTTGTGGCTTGAAACCGTGCTTTTCGGCAAAGCTACGCTTCATTAAAAGGACAAGGGCTACCCCATCGGTAACTTGAGAGGAGTTACCTGCGTGGGAAACACCATCATCTTTGAAAGCTGGCTTGATCTTTGCGAGTTTTTCCTTGGTAACGCCTGGTCTTATACCTTCATCTTTGTCGACGGTGATTTCCTTCATCTTTGGAGGTTTGTCTTCGTCATCGTCTTCATCATCGTCATCATCATCATCTTCAATTTGGACCTTGAGTGGTAAGATTTCATCCTTAAATTTACCTTCACGTTGAGCCTTTTCGGCCTTTGCATAACTTTGAGCGGCAAATTCATCTTGGTAATCACGAGAAATGTTGAACTTTGCAGCAATATTTTCGTTAGTGATACCCATGGAAGTACCATTTTTGATGAATTCTGGGTCATTTTCTAAAGAAGGGTCAATACGAGGAATGGCTTGAGGACCGTAATCCTTACTCATGCTTTCAACACCACCGGCTAATCCACATTCAATTTCACCACATTTGATACGGTTAGCAATCAAACTGATGGCCATCAAACCAGAAGAACATTGACGGTTCAAAGCGACGAATGGAACAGTATGTGGCAAACCACCAGCCATAAGGGCACCACGGTGTTCGAAATCACCAGCACGGTGTTTTAAAACATTTCCAATGGCAGAATCTTGGATGATGCTTGGGTCGACTTTGGTCTTCTTGAGGAATTCCTCGGTGAAGGTCTTTAAAAGAACTTCAGTGGTTGTATCCTTGAACGAACCTTTACCACCCTTGGCTAATGCTGAACGGTAAGCAGCGACGATAACGACGTCGTCTGGGTTCTTTTGTAAGTGTTGTGCCTTGGTCATAGTTTATTAGATGTAATGTGAGATTAAAGAAATTAAGAAATTGAAAAAAAACCCAGATATGGAGAAATTATTGGATTATAAATACAGTTGGCATTTGCCTATGATTTTTTAAACTTCTGTGGGGAAGTGGAAAATGAAAAGTCGAAAACGGAGAAAAATTATCCAGAGATTATAAAGAGCCGCGGAAAATATTGAGCAATGTCATGTGGGTATAAAATGAATAGAAATAGATCGAAAAAAAGGCAACCTGGAACGTTACTCGGTTACTCCGAGGATATTTCATAAGTAAAAATCTAATTATATTATGTATAAGGGTACTGCCGATTTCAGAATATAACTAAATCACATACATTGTCAGTGACCGAGGCACCGGTTTTTATTTTTTTTTCTTCGGTTGCGATTTTGCTTGTGATATTTTTCCGTACTTTTGGGGTAACTCCGGACCAGACTAAGACCGATGGCAGGTAACATAAATACTTGTCTGTATAAACAATCTGGACACGATTTATAATTTCTATTAGTTTATCATACTCTAGTTACCACGACAATTCAATCCATCGAAACGATTGCTCTTGTGTGTGCCGCTACTCGTATTCCTGATAAGCAAATCTAAGCCAGGGGCTTTCAGAGATCCCTTATCAATATATGTATCAGTTTTTTTTTGAGCTTTAATAAAATGTTATATTGGGCTAAAGGATAAAGATTTTGGTTTTTCTAGTACATCTAATTCAAGCAAGAGATTCATCGATCAATTTGAGCTGGCTCTGATAGTTCAAGATTTGGTTGCATTACTTCTTATGCAATATTACACAAAAAAAAGCTTGGTTCTTCAGCATTAGAAACAGTATGCTTTTCTACAATAGTTTCATAAAATATTAGAGATCATTTTACAACCACAGTCAATAGAATTAATCAAGTGTGTCCCTCTTTGTTGTACGCTTCTAGGATTTTCCCGATGCAGAGCATCTTGTTTTCTGGTAGCGCCAATTTCAAATGGACTAAAGCTGCGAAGAACTTCATCACGTGAATTCCAGATTCCAAGAATTTAATCTCCCGATAAAGTTGCTCCGCTCGACATCTCACTCACAACCTATTCTTTCCTTGTTTGGAGTTATTATTCGACTATGATACTGTGTAATTCTTCTTGCTCATCGTTATGTTCATTACTGGATAGTGAGCTTGAAGTGACTGCCCTACCAAAGTCTGCATTGAAAACTACATCTACTTCTCTTTACGTGATACGAGTGAGAAAGTCTGTTCGTTTCGCTAGATCTTTAACCAAAGTGAAAATGTTTGATATCTTAGAGAGCCCCAGTAGTGTAGGAATGACTATGTGTTGTCAGCTAAACGGGGAAGTGTGTTAGCCATGAATATCCTGGAAACTAATAATATGCCATATTATTGATCTTTGACAACAACTATTGTTGGTGTCCAATTTGATTGGCCACGGTGTCTTTTTGCTTGTTGTTGTTGTTGTTGCCCGCTGCTGTTAAAAGCCCACTGTTCTCCTTATCATCGTCTATTTTCAAAAGAACTGCGACTCTTGGCGCGCCCAATGATAACGTTCCCCAATTCCGGTTCACCACCACCACCACCGCCGCCGCTTTAGCGAAAGGGAACAAAAAAATATCTTGGGTTTTGTGTTCACTTTTTTGAAACCAATATACGCGTCAAAAGTGGTAACCAATAACTACCAAGATCATCTCGAAGAAGGTGATGCATTGGCAAATGGAATAAAATTACATTTCCTCATTTGGAAATACACATTCACTATTTTACGATTGTATCTCGTACATATGAAATGAACCGTCGTATTCACTAGCGTGTTACTTGAGTTAGTTGATCTTTAATCATTTAACAATCGTAAGAGGTTTTTGGCTGCCTGTTTTTATATGCAATTTTTTCCAACAAAATTTATCGTTAAAAAAAAATGGTAAACTTTAATTTGACTAAATAGCGTTATATCAGGTTGTGGCTTAGTTAGTTACGCGTATAATCAATAATAAATTTGTAGTTAGGTGGGTTGTGAACCCTACACCAAAAGACATGCATTATGTCCCCTTTCTACAATGGGTCCATCTTTCTTTCTGTTTAGTACACACTGGAATCTTGCTTTGTGTAAGTAGTACATTCTCAATTGTTAGCCAAAGTTGAGGAGGACAAATTTCAATTTAGCCGAATTTAGACAACCAAAAAATTAAACGACATATTTTCAAAATAATATCAACATTTGATTTGGAAATTCATCATACACATTAAATAGCTATATATTATGGGTTCCTTAGTTGTAAGTATATTCTCAAAATAAACACATTCCAAATGAGCTAGATATTAACAAACTGCCAGTCCAAACTTTTTAAGAATCGAGAAATGAGAATCTTGATGCTTGGTCTTGACAACGCAGGTAAGACCACTGTGTTGTACAAGCTTAAGCTTGGTAAGACCCTGCAGACCGTCCCTACTGTAGGTTTCAATGTCGAAACCGTCAAACACAAGAATGTCAGTTTTGCAGTATGGGATTGTGGTGGACAAGAACGTATCCGTCCGCTTTGGAGACACTACTTTACTGGAACCAATGCGTTGATTTATGTGGTTGATTCCAATGACAGGGATAGATTAGAAGAAAGTAAGAAAGAGTTGTATAGAGTGATCACAGATAAAGAACTAGCAAATTGTTTGCTTGTTGTTTTGGCAAACAAGCAGGATTATGACGGGGCAATAAAACCAAAGGACTTGATTGAATTATTTGAGTTGAAGGAATTAAGTGGGAAACATACATGGAGTGTCATTCCTACTATCGCTACAGACGGAACAGGATTGGTAGAAATGTTGAATTGGATTAGCTCTCACAGTAAATGAGCACACTAAAGTTTTCTACTTTCCGGATAGGTATATTCTACTTTTTCACTTCTTCGTTCATATACTTTAATTACAAATACATACCATTTTTCAGATACCTTTGTAAAATTTACTTAGTCCAAGTACTAACTTCCCCGTTTTCTTCACCAAAGTATGCCTTTTGAGCCAAATCAGTAAACAACCCGGTTTCAACAACACCAACAAGAGCCTTGATTTCATCATGCAACTTCTTTGCATCCTTGACATCACCGAAATCAGCGTCAAGTAAGAAGTTATGGTTGTCAGTAATGACAGGTCCAGCCTTAGCCTTACCTCCTGATCTCAAGTCTACCTTCTTAGCTCCCAATTTCTTCAAGTCATTGATAACCTTGGCATAAGCATTAGGAACAATTTCAATTGGGATACCTTGAGTCCATTGTCTGCCCAAAACTTCAGACTTCTTACGATAATCGGCAACAACGATAAATTTGTCAGCTGCAGCAGCCACTAATTTCTCTTGGAACAAACATGCACCACCACCTTTAATACAATCCAAATTTGGGGCAACTTCATCAGCACCATCAAATGCAATGTCAATGTGTGGGAATTGCTCAATGGTTCCCAATCTCAATCCATTGTCGATGATCAATTGTTGTGATTGGAATCCGGTAGGAATACAAACAAAGTCAGACTTGTTGTCAAGTTGTCCGATACGTTCCGCAACATAAATGACAGTGGATCCTGACCCGATACCAACAACTTTGGCAGCAGGTGGGAAGTTTTCGTCAACGGCACGGTAGGCGGCCAATTTCTTAGCTGATTCAACAGAGGACATAATGATAGAGGGTTTGGTTGAAGCTAGGGAGACAAATCTTCTTAGCATCCAGATTTTTGGACTTGCTTTGAAATTATATCCGGACCGTGTGGGTATTTAATTTGTGTGTATGTATGGATGCGCAACCACCTTCCATGGGGTCAAAGTCAGCAAGTCTGGGGGGGGTCGAGCGGATCGCAGATGATGACTATTTCAGGTCTAAACCCTAACCAATACCATTCGACACGTGATTTGAAGACAGAATTAAATTTGAAATTTCTCATTTTGGTCCACACACTACTTTCACAAAATCCAGGAAATTTTTTTTCGGTCAAGTGAGTGCAACCCATAATGTAATAAGGAACACCATGCAGTTTACAGGTTATCTCATCAAACTGTAAAATTATCCAATTTGTATAGCGAATTTTTTTCACCTTCAAAAAACAGAAAAAACAGTCTACTTTTCAAAGGTAATCTCTTTCCTGATAGTGTACATATTCCATAGTTGTCCATAATGTCTGCAGTTAACAAGATCTTAGCTGAAAAGCCAACTGAATTAGAATTGAAAGTCGCCCAAGCTTTCGTTGACTTGGAAGCCCAAGCTGACCTCAAGGCTGACTTGAGACCATTACAATTCAAGTCCATCAAGGAAATTGATGTTAACGGTGGTAAGAAGGCTCTCGCTGTTTTCGTTCCTCCACCTTCATTACAAGCTTACAGAAAGGTCCAAACCCGTTTGACTAGAGAATTGGAAAAGAAGTTCCCAGACAGACACGTTGTTTTCTTGGCTGAACGTAGAATCTTGCCAAAGCCATCCCGTAAGGCTAGAAAGCAACAAAAGAGACCAAGATCTAGAACTTTAACTGCTGTTCACGACAAGATCTTAGAAGACTTGGTTTTCCCAACTGAAATCATTGGTAAGAGAGTTAGATACTTAGTTGGTGGTAACAAGATCCAAAAGGTTTTATTAGACTCCAAGGACTCCACTGCTGTTGACTACAAATTGGACTCTTTCCAACAATTATACTCTAAGTTGACTGGTAAGCAAGTTGTTTTCGAAATCCCAGGTGAAACTTATTAAATTGTATATTAGTTGTCCATCCATCCTACACAGAATCATCCACCATAACAATTCCAATTTATAGCACAGTTTGGTACTAGGTATCGAATAAAAGGTTAATACAGAAATTTAAAACATTGTAGTTTCGTTACTTTTAAAATCTATTACTCTGAGAATATTTTCCTATAGAAAAAAAAACAAGACAGGGAGTATGAATGTTTTCGCGACATGACATTAATAGCAAAACTAATGCCGTCGTTGTCTTGACTATATCTTCTTGACATAACTTGTTGGGAACACTCCTTTATTCCCATTAAGCTCGCCTTCGGTCCATCCACTACCATCAGTGTCTTCTTGGGTAACCACTATTTTATCCCCAGCATGAATAGTAATCTCATCATCACCATCAGCGGAATAGTCATATAACGCTTGAACATAACTGACTTTCTTTGCTCCACGTCGTGGAGCAACTGATGGACCTTGCTTCTTGGGTTTTTGCAACGACGACATGGATACATTATCAGATTGGGTAATTTCAAGGTACGATGTAGGCACCAAACCCTTACCTGCAGCTGCTTGGATAAGAGTCCATCCTCCTTCATCTGGTTCAAGAACTGTCACTTGTTCTCCTGGTGTAATACTTGTTTCATCGTTTCCAGCAGCTTGGTATGCATATAGAGCTTTTGCGTTACCACTTGAGTCACCATTTGTAGAAGTTACTGTTTTGTTTCTCCGAAGGTTGAATATTCCTGTGCCGACGTGAGAAAGAGTAGTATTTGTTCGTGTGGTGGATAATGAATGAGTACTTGAGTCGTCCAGGGCTACTCCTCCTGTTTCCTTGTCCTTCTTCTTAAACAACGAACCAAATTTAGATTTCTTACGCTCAATCGGGGCAATATAAGTAAGATCCTGATCACCAGCAAAATTTTGGATGATTTCAATCTCAACTTCATTACGTACACGTTGTGTATCTTCTTTGATGAACTTTTCCAATACCGAAAGCGAACCAAGAAGAGAAGCGTCGAATTTAAGCGTGAGGTTGTCGCCCTCTTTCTTTCTATCCGCTGTCAACTCTTCGAGTTTTTGTTTGATATCAAGGCAAGACTGTTCGTATTTGGAGTATTGACCCAGTGCTACATTTAGTCTCTTTTTCAAAACTGTAAGTTCTGGTTCTTTGATGATCAAACTCTCGTCATCGTGCCAGATACTTGAAGGGATAAAGTAGAAATCAGCAGGCTCTTTCCAATCTAGTTGGTTATGCTTTATAAACATTGCCACGTCTAAATGAGGTTTATTCTGATCAACTGTTTGGTCTATATTGTGTAACTTCTCTTTAACTTTATCATTGGCATTACGTTCAATGATACTGGCATTCTTGAGAAGCTTATTGACAAGAGTAACTCTATCTTGGTTCAATTCCTGCAAGTAGTCCAATAATTCAGGTATATCTTGATAATAATACTTATCCTTGAGTCGATTGGCAGTATTGATCTTGATCAAGTATTCATTCTTACCATTATTCATTTCCACTTCTTTTTCCTCTAACCTTTTGGCATACTTGTCAGAACCACTATTCCTCTCTTGTTTCTCTCTAGCAGATTCTGTAGCTTGACACAACAAATCGTATGCTTTCTTAGCCTTGGTTACTTCATCCTCGACCCCTTTCTTTTCTTTCGTCAAAAATTCGTTTATCGAGTCAGTACTTCTGACAATACGTTCACATTTGCCCTTCAATGACATTAAATTACTCCCGATCATAGTCGAGAATTCAGTACCTAACTTGGAACGTTCACTGGCAATAGCTTCTGTCTGGGACAATAACTCCGTCCATAATACCAAACTAGCACTTTCCAAACTTCCTGGAGTGACAGCAGGTTCGTCACCAACAGATAAACTGGCACTGAGCTTGGATTTCTTATCAAAGTGTCGTTTGCATAGTTCCTTTAATTTATTGGAGTACTCCTTTTCAATGTTTGCCCGTTCGCGATAGAATTCGTCCACATCAGCAAGGAAATTGATGTTGTTGTTTATCCACTTGATCGTAGGCTTGTATGCATCTTTAAGCTCGTTTCCTATTGATAGCTCTGCCATTGTGTTCTCTTATATCGTTGTGTAGTTACAGGAAAAAGTTGTTGGTGTGTGTAGAATGTGTTGTACAAATAGGAGAGACAATATGAGATCGGCGGTGGGGGGAGAGGACCGCGCGGGTTCCAGGGCACTAATTCCGGTAGTTCGATTGGTAGCGTAGTTACTTTTCTGGACTGCTGTGGAGATGTTGGTAGAAACGTAGTGGACGTAAACGAGTTATGACAGCAGATCTTATCTGCAACTTCTAGTTAGTATTTTGATTGGTTATAATATGCTGATCGCCAAATTTTGAGTGCCTAGTTCTTAGAAATAACTGGTCCAGAAATTTTGGCAGCACTGTTGTTTCTAAAGCAAATTGGATTTAAATCAATTCCTCAACTTCATTCCGGAGATGAACAAACATTGCAATGTGTGTATTTACATACCTGTAATGTATATATATATATATATCGCTCTTTGCTAACTTGGATGGATTGGATTCCTGTGGGTTATTTGCCGTGGTTGGTGGTTTAATGGTCGCGCTGTTCCAGAAATTATCACAAAATTACGTCCAATTTCTGCGCAGGAAATTTGCCAAGAGGATCGTTCCCAGTTACAACCACAATTTATTAACACCCGTAAGTTTAATAACATCATTGTCGCATTGAACCTGACACGCCTGCCTTCCTGACTTACTCAATTAGCTGCATTTGTTTTTTCCCCCTCTCTCTATTCCCCCCACCTTTTCATTCAAAGTATCATTCACGTTGGCCGGTGGTAGGAAAAACAAGCTTATTCAAATCGCAGCGGCGTCATTATCCAAGCGATTATATCCATTCAACCAACATCCATCAAACACTTCCATCTCATTTACCCCTAGTACTACTCCAGTTCCAATTAAACGCAGGTCCAGAGTCAATTTACTCTGGGATTTATACAAGGACTATCGGTCCCTTAAAAAGGTTCACCTACCCCTGGAAATCGTACACTACCGCTATATTCGGTACCCGGGCCTATCTACTCGTTTAAAACGTCGTAAAATGGAACAGCAACAACGCACACCATCCCCTGCCTCCCCAGATGAACCAATTCCTACTTCCAGGAGGCAAAGATTGCTTGGTCTAGCGAGAGCCACTAGAGACACCTACATTCCCAGATTATCCAATTCTGTAAGCTCGTTAGCTTCCGGATATTCTCGTACATTAAATAATAACCCGACTGATGTATACGACGAAGAAGGAAGATTGATCTTGCCTAGTGGAACTACTATTCACCTTTTCCCTTCATACACGCGTTATCAGAATGGCACCTACTACATTGATGTAAAAGGATGGGTGTCGTGCCCCGGTTTAATGACTAGAAAGAATAGATTGATCCTATCATTAGCCAGACAAATCACCAAGTACAATAATAACAACAGCACCCAAGCTTTGAATCAATGGCAAAGTGAGCTGATCAAGCAAGATATCTTGAATCCCGAAAATGGTTCCGACACTGAATCCGTCAACCTGGAAAGTAGCAGTGCTGAGCTACAAGCTTCCAGCCCGCTGTCGAATGGTTCCAATACTGAGGATTTGATTAAGGAAAGATTGGCATGCTTTATAGCAAGATCTATCCCTAATACCGAGATTGAAATTGTGGTTGGGTCCCAAGAGAGTATTGATATTGTAGATATTGTCACTCAAACAGTCTTTACTGACAATAATGGCCATTTTGAAACCACTCTCGAAGTCAACTATAAACCATCGGTAATTCAAGCCAGATCAGCTAATACTGAAACTATTTTTGCATTTCAAGATATCCTCCTTATGCCCAATGGTGGTGTGGGTATAATATCTGATATTGACGATACGATCAAACTCACGGGTGTCATTGGTGATAAGCGAGAACTTATGACCAATCTCCTTTTGAACGAAGTTAGTTCATGGAGTATACCGAGTATTATTGAATGGTATCATCAGATGTACAAACATTCTCAGATAAGTTTCCACTATGTATCCAATTCACCATGGCAACTTTTCTCCACAATCAGGCAATACTTTAAAGCAGTAGACCTACCACCAGGTTCAGTTCATCTCAAGCAATATACCGGGAATATTATATCCAGTCTTATGGAACCTAGTAGCTCACGGAAGAAACGAGCATTGTATAAGATTTTGAATGATTTCCCTGAGAAAAGGTTTATATGTATCGGAGATTCTGGTGAGTATGATCTTGAGGCATACGTAGATCTTGCAAAGTCATATCTGGGAAAAGTTATAAGCATTAACATACGATATGTTGTTGATTCATTGTCTGATGTGGATGATAAGAAGATTTTTGATGAGTTGACGAGATTATTAAAGAGCAATACCAAGCATGGAGTAGCATTTATAGATCCTGCTGCTGCTGCTGCTACCGTCAAACTTGCATCGCCAGCTCCTGTTCAGCCTAGCTCCGGTCCAATTATTATGGAAGACTTGATTGACTTGTCTGATGACGTTGTTGAAGCACCAAAGAAGCTTCCACCCCTCATTCCTAAGAAGCCAAACTCACTTAAAGGAAATACGCTCCAAAAGAAACCCCCATTACCCAGTCGTCCTCTCCAACATGCCCAAACAGACTCGCTACTTGTGATTCATCTGCCTTCACCTCCCTCTTCATCCAGCATTGGCTCAGATGGCAATTCCTTGGATTTATCAGACGATGCTCCCCCTCTTCCTCGACGACCCGTACATGCCCGTACCGAAGGAAACTGTTTTGAAGACACCAATGACGTCAACAGTATTATAGAATCACCAAGTTTCTATGAATTGGAAGAAATGGATAGGAAAGGTGCTACTTGGATTAGACGTATCATTACTGCCATGCAAGAGCTAGAGGGAACAGGTACAAGAATTAACTTGTTTGTTGATGACGATATCCTGTTTTTTGAAAAGAGTAATTTGGATTTGGTTGAAATACTTAGGAGTATACATTAATATGTGTAAAGAAAGAAAATAGATTATATATGATTGTCTAATTATACATATATATATATATCTATTTGTGTTTCATGGATCTATGCGATTGTAAAAGATTCTAATTGGGCTGATCCAAACCGAAATGAAAATTATGAAGTCGTTCCTTCTGTTGTGACTATAGTTGCGGTACCGTTGGGTTCGGGTATCGCTTCAGCGGCGGCTTCTGGGGCATCAACAGTTGATTTTTCTGGCTGTGATTCAGCTACTGCTTCTTGCTGATAAAATTCTTGAGCATTGGTTCCATCACCGTAATCCTTGATGTTTTCATCATCAGTTTCTGGCAAGTTCTGTTTAAATTGAGATAAATCCCAGGTGTCGCCACCTTCGTCTTCTTCAGTATAGTATTGGTCACTGAACTTCTGCAAGATGATTTCCCTCCCTGTCAATGGCCTCTTTGCCTTCTTTTCGTCTTCTTTTCTTTGTAAATCTCGCTTCTTTCTTTGTTCTTGCTTCCACTTTTGGAAAGTTTCAGCTGTGATAGGAGTGAACTTCGACCTGTCCAATTTGCTTCTTTCCAACTCTAAGAATTCTTCTAAGGTAATCTTTGGTTCTGCTTCGGCCGCTAGTCTTTCTAATCTCTTTTGTTCTTTGGTCTTTAATACGAATCCTGGAGGCAAAGAATGTCTATATTTACACTCATTCCCACCATTAGGACAGACCCAGAACCAACCATACTTCCCATTCTCCACGGCATCAATGAAATATTTACAGACGATATCGGTGGTTGTCTTGGGGTTACCGTGTTTGGATGAAATGACTTTTCTCAACTTTTCTTCATCCCAGTTATCCATGGTATCGTTTTCCTTATCATCCTCTGCATTTCTTGAATCAGTGTACAAATCCTTTTTGGCAACTTTTCTCCCTACATCTGGATCATGACTGAATTTACACTTGTTACCCTTGGTACACACACCTTGCTTGAAGAACTCACACAAAATACTCTTGGGATCAACCCCAAATGGGACTTTTTGTGGTTGGATTCCAAACAAAGCGGCCGCTTCCTTCTTTGCCTGTTCAGCGGCCTTCAACTCTTCGGCCTTCCTCTTAGCTTCAGCTTCCTTCTTCTTGGCGAGACCTCCATCTATCCCAGCTTTGATTTGAGAAATTTGTTGTTGCACCCTTTTAGACTTGTTCTTGTTCTTCATACCGAATGTTTTGTCTTCGGCGGACTTGGCCTTGGACTTGGCCTTATTCTTATCACTTACCTGTGGTTGTTTCTTCTTTGGTGGCATATCTGGTGCTTGGTTTTGGTAGTAGTAAGATTGCTTCTACTAGTGTTGTAAATTTTAAAATTTTTTTTTTCATTTTCATCACGGGTCGTGTGATTTGATCAAAATTGTACTTGGTAGCGATTTGCATAATACACGAAGGTATCGCTGTACTCTTGAAAGTCGGTAACTTGTGCAGGAAAATGCTCTATGTAGTAGGTTTCTCGGCACCCTTGTTAACCACGTTCATTGCAATTATAATCCAAGGTTGCTTAGCCGCAGTTGGGGTATACATTATCTGGATCTACCTATAATGTTGTATTGTATGCAGGAATATAGATCTGGTGCAACACGCCAGCCGCACGAACCAATAAGCTAATGGATGGTAACAGAATACACCCAATGTGTTTATAATATAATCCAAAATAGTCCGAATACTTACAAATATCCATTTAATAAACTCATTATAGTCATTACAAAATGTATCTATCTAAACTTCTGTGATACTCTACGTCTATCCTTGGGTGTATCACCTCCATTTGTAGGACTACTTCTAGGTACTGTCCCAGTTGCATTCTTATAATTCCGTTTCATCTCGGGTGAGCTTGCTGGTGCAGCAATTGGGTTATTATTTATCGACGTATTTGAGTTTTCCTTGCTGATTGCTCTCCGTGATCGTTTCTTTCCACCAAGCAATCCTTCAAACATGCCATTCTCCATAGTAGTCGCGCTGGTGTTCGTGTTCGTGTTCATGTTCATGTTCATGTTCATGTTCATGTTAGCTTCGCTGTTGGCATTAGCGGCGCTTAATCCTGTAAATATGGCTTGGTTAGACAGGATAGTTGGTGTTTGGAAATCCAGTGGGGTCTGTGGGAAGTTCGGAGGAATGCCTATCACTGGAGTAGTAAAGGTCTTTGGTGTGTTACGATTACTTCTGAACGGAATGTATGATCTCTTTCCTATAATCGATTGTGGGGTATTGGCGACGTTGGATCCAATTGAATCAGCCAAAGTTGTTTTGAAAGATGTGGTAGATTGTGTTCTCGCAAGGCTTCGGTTAAGAATTAATGATACCTTCTTATCATAAACGTTGGGTGGAGAGTCCATTGGTAACAGAAAGTCACTGGAATTGGTATCAACCGACGCAGAGTGTAAATGATGGCTTGCGGTTTGGGCATGTGTATGTGCTAACATAGTATGAGCAGGAACATGATGATGGTGGCCATTTGGTTCTTGATTGTCCTTTGTAAAAAATGAATCAAAATCATCCAATGCAGCCCAGACATTACTTAATGATGCCTCGGGCTCATCTGCGACCGAAACAGATACTGCATCTCCAAAATCAACACCACCTCCAGCAACATTTTGTGTCATATGTGAATAGTAATCTTCCATATGAAACTGAATTGTTTCTTCGCTTTTGGCCAATGTTTCTTCATCTTCGTCGTCAACAACTGTGGTGCCCAGACCGCCGCATGTTGAAAACACTGCATGGACATTGTTTCTTGTACTAGCTGCAGTGACCGCTGGCATGGGAATTGACCAACCACTATCATCAGGTATACCGAATAGTGTAGCTGTATTTTCATATTCTTTCTTCATTGAGGTGTTACCCAAACTCATTCTTAATACATCACGATCTAATTGGGATCCCAGAATAATCACCGCTTCATCTAATACTTCCAATGCTGGTTCTGCAAAATCGGTCAACAATAACCTCAACAATGGTGAAATCAAATCAGCACCAACACCAACAAATTCATCACGTTGCAAATCAACCAACGGAAAAACATGCTTCAATATACTCATGGTCTCTAATTTAACCCACGCAATCTTATTTGATAACATTCCCAACAACATAACTAAAGCTTGGGCCTCATACTCGGGGAAAAACGAGTTTTTAATTGTAGAAACTGTCTGTACCAAGAAATCCTTCTTTGATAGGAATCTATTCTTCAGTAAACTAACCAATATCTTAGAAAGAGACACCTTGCCTGCTTGATCAGCCAATTTACTAATAGCAATTGCTGTGTTTTCAACTTCCAGTGGGATCAGTTTCTGGTCTAATGCGTGCAAGAACCTGGGGAAGTTTGCCAATACTGACATTAGAATTCGGGAATCGCCTTTGCCAATAATTTCACTGTCTTTTAATGTAATTAACTTGTCAAGAAACTTCAAACTTGGTTCCCATGAAGTTGACGAACGTAATCCAACCATCACAATCTGTTGTAAACCTTCAAACTTTCCTTCCCATTTTGGTGGGAACGTCGATATCAAACATGATACGGTGTCAGGAGCATCTAAATCAATCTTGGATACAAACTTGCTCATCGTAGACAACACTTCAATAAATTCTTGTTCGTGAATCGTACTCAAACAGGCAACACTTGACCAAAATAACTGTGGGAAATCAATCAACTTCTCAGAATCCAACTCGGCAGTGATTGCATTCAATGTCATGAGAATCTGCATAGCAAATCCCTGGATATCAACAATTTCATCTGAGATTGTGTTGGACAATCTATGCAACATATCCTTCAACATTCCTTGATCCAAAAATGACAACAACGATCTGAATAATTGGAAAGACCTGCAGGCAATGTGTCTTACTGCACAAGTGGTGGCCCATTTCAACGATACTCTACTCCAATCATCTTGAATATTTGGAGCTACTTGTACAAATACTTGCAATACGTTCCTAACTAATATATCCATATTCTTAGGGGTACGTGCTCCTTTCTTGTCATTATTTAAATCGTCATAGACCCAAAGATGTTTAATATGGTCCTTCTGTCTTAATGTTTCAATGCATTGAGTGGCACCTGGAGCATCAAATGCAAGAGCATGGATCAAATGCACCAAAAGCGATTTTGCCAGTTCTTGAACAACTACCAAGTAATGATCCAATAATGAAAACCCGATATGAAGTAACAATGGTAATTTCTCAATCATAATGTCATTCTTAACCGTGAACAAATCAACCAAAAATATAAGTGACAATTGACCTAATGAGAACACGGCATCCTTTTCATTCCGAGGAACTACCTTACTTAAATCGGCAACATATGGGAATGAATTATCTCCTCTTAATCTTATAGGATCTTCCATTGTTGTTTGTGATTGTGGAGGAACCATCATCTTGGGTTGTAAATTGTTGATAAATTTTTCAATAACATACAATGGGTCAGCTCGGGAATAGGTCAAGTAATCTATAATCTGGCGAGAATACTGAACAAACAATGGATTTTTCCTCTGTAAACAATTTGACATTACAAACTCAATAATCTTATCAAAGTTTAAAGCATTGTTCCCTAATGACACCCACAATGCTTCAACTTCGTTGGAAATTTTAGAACTAAACTTGACAGTAATTTCAAATAGATTATTCAAAACCATTATACTGGCATCATCCAATTTCGATGGAGCTGAATTGTTGTTTAAATCATCTCCTTCATTTGTTTCCTCGTATTTCAACACAATATCTTGAACCCATGGTAACAAACATGACAATATATCTCTTCTTGATGCACTTCCCACCAGATTAAAATATTTGGTCATATAACTGGTTCTCTGGAATATGGTTTCTGGGTTCAATAACTTTAAATGGGTACTTATATCAAATAAGGCTCGTTTATAAACCACTTGAGTCTTGCTACTAACTGCTTCGGTAAACTTATCTAAGGTGTTTGATTTAAAGTGGGTTTGTTCGACAAATTTCAATAGCATCATTGCCGATCTCCGTACTTCAATACTTTCATGCCCAACCAAAAATGCAGCAAGACAAACCAAATCATAAGGAATCTGATCTTCACCCAGGCTAACCACATGTTTCTTAATAAATACATCAACAAAAATACAGAAATAACTCTTGGTTATCCTAGCATTATCCTCGCTCAGGAAACATTGTTTGATAACTTCATCATACACCTCAGTATTATCGAAATTCCTTTCCAATATATTGTTCAAAGCAGTCTTACCAATCTCATTGATGCGATCCCCATCTGAATCAAACAATGCACGAATCCAATTCATAATTCCTGGAATATCAAATGTAACCACGGCCAAATTCCCAGGAACTTCAATTTTTTGTTTAATCTCACCCGAGCACAAGACCGCCATACAACTCAATGCAGCAGTCTGAAGTCGTTTCCGTTCAAGTTCCAAAATTGCCACTGCTGACGCTTTATCTTTTGACATTTGTTGGTTAATATTGCTAAGTATGAGGTTATATCTATCTTCAGTGATCCCGCTTGATTGGCCATACCCGCTCCATTCTTTCAAATAGTTGAAACACCCGATTCTTGCTTCAAATGGAAGCCATTTGTTGACATCAGAAACCAGCAAACACCCCGTGTATACATTCTCTAAAAACCCGCAAAAATACCTTCTTAGTCTCTGGAATTCAAAATCGGTCTGGATGGAACCTGCACTTAGGAAATTCTTAACATTCTTAACTATGGAAACCAATTTAGTCATGATCAATTTATTATGGTAAATCAATGTACTGTTAGCAAATCTCTCCGTCAAATTCATCAATATGTGAATAACTTCAATGTTTAACCTGTCTTGTCCTACATCACGCTTCTTTGGATCTGGATTCCAATCATTCTGAGGAATATTTTCAAGGAATGTATCAAAAATATTGATATTGATATGGCTTAACCCCGAAATTACGGCATCACGAACCATGGACTGTGGTGATTTAAGTAGTGGAAGCACCATTCTGAATACCGATTTGGCGCTGGTGATCTTTTGATGTTGGATATATATCTGCAACGATTTCTTACGACCATGGGTTGGTTGGCTTGGAAATGAGATTTTTTGATCATTGGTCGAAGTTAATGAACAACATGCAAATATCAAATATAATTTCCATTGGTAGACCAACAATTCAGGCAGGATGCTGTTGGGGCTCGGCTTTCCAAATAATGAACTTGTATAACCACGATAACTTTCTGAATATTCCAAAATCAGTTCATGCATCTGTACTAAACTGACACAGACAATATTACGACAAACAGCCACGGGCATGGGACATTTCTCAAAAAATATATCTAGAAGTTTTGGGTACAATCTAAACCATATAGTCGAGTCAATACCATAGTCAGATTCAGCCAATCTAATTAATATATTTTTCTTGTTTTTGATCTTGGTTAAACGGGTACGTTCGGGTAAACTCAATTCTTTTCTATATGGCTTAATCAATTCTAAGAAATCAGCATTTTCCAAAACATGTATCAATCTTGTGCCAACATCAGCAGCAAACTTGGATGAACTTCTTGAATGTAACTTCTTGGCCCCTATTAATAATGATGATGATGAGGCTGCTGCTGCTACAACATTGGCAGCTGGTTCATCCATAATGGTATAGATCGCCTGGTCAAACAGTTCCATCAATTTCAAAATAGAGATGGCATAATACCTAATCTTGGGCTCTTGGGAACAAAGGAAAAACAATCCATGTCCCTCAACTTCTTCAATCAAGGCAATAATAGTCTGCCATTCCAACTCGTCACTAACCAGCAGTGGTTTAGGTGCAATTGGTAATTCCTCAGTTTTGTGGTTGATCTGGTATAAATCATTCAACACGTCTTTATTCATTAATTCGTCATCTTGAGCAAGTGGGTTTTTGTGGAGCTTATTGTTTTCTCGTTGACTGATTTGAAACAGTTTCAACCAACATGCCAACAATTCAACATACAATTTCAACAATCTTATGTATTCATTTGAATTCAAATATGCTGGATCATAAGGTACACCACCGCCAATCTTTTCACTAAATTGGAATGCATGTTGAGCATAAATAGTCAATAATCTTCTGGTTGGGTTTCTTCTTGATGCCAATTTCTTCAATGCCACAATTGCTGCTCTCAGAACTTTATGATTGGAATGCACGGCACTTCTAGTCAAAATATCAACAATATGTTTGAATGGTATGCCACATGTATTAGAATCAGTCATGGTCCATGGAATAGCTTCAATAACAGATGCAAATAATTCTATATTGAGTGCTTTGGTGTTTGCTTGAGTAGTTGAGTCTAAATTGAAATGGAAACTAAATGATGATTGCGACTTGGCTGAAAGAAGGGGTGGAGCCAGTTCACTTGAAGTTGAACTAATACTGTTAAGATTGGTAGTTCCTGTTCCCCATACATCTGCTCCAAATTGATTATCCAATAATTTCAACAAGTTACCCAAATTACGGCAAATCTCTTCATGAGATGCCAGATTGGTGCTATTCTTGGCAATAAATGTAAATTCATTTAATCTATTCATTTCATCCTCATTGTTATTGTTATCGTTGTTATTCTTATTGTTGCTATCATCGTCATTAAATCCACTATTGAATATTTCATCAGTTGGGAAAGCTGGTTTTTCACCTAGTTCATAATTTCTCAAAATTGCCAAATAACTCTTGATTACTAATACCACCTTCTCAGGCATTAGATTATCCAAAGTAGTTCCATTAAAACTAAGCTTCAAAAGACGGATCAATACATTATCCAACGTGTAATTTAAATGGGTATATCCCACAATTCTAACCAATTCCACAAGTGAGCTAATCAAGAACTTGTCATTGGTTATCCATTGATTCTTCTTGGATGTGGCTACACTGTTGAATAGCAACATTTCAAAAAATCCATCTAGACGCTTTATAGTGTTGTTTAAAGAATCTGGTAATCTGTTAATATAAACCCACAATAATCGTGATATACAAATGATATAAGTCGTTTTATCTTCAACTTCTACCTTAGGCTTGAGTTTAAAATTATTATCTTCAATTACTCGATACCATACATCTGAGAATAATTCCTTGCGGGAGACCGAAAGTGCTGATGTAACAAGATATAATGAGTACGCCCAGCCATTATTTGTTATTTCAATGGTAGTTGATTGCAAAGTTGGCCATGATATTGAAGAAGAGGAGGAGGACGAGGAGGATGTTGGTGTAGTGGAAGTAGCAGTTCCTGTATTTCCTCTAGTTACATGCCTCCAAATCCTATAAGCTTTGGCATAAATTCGCTCTATTCCTTCGACCCATGTTGGATGGTTTGCCTCTGCAGTAAGGATATTTGCCAATGGTAACAATAATTTACTCAATACTTCACAATACGCATACAAGATGGTTTCGTTGGTTGATTGATCAAAGAACTTGGCCAATGATTTGACAAACTCGGCCGACTCTTCAAATACTTCCAAGGGGTAATTCGTCAATTTCAAGTATCTCATACCATTAATTAATAAATGCAATTTAGGCTCATCTTCGTGTTTAATCAGTTTGGGGATCTTTTCCAAATCGGCAATGAAGCGATCACTGACACTTAAGAATCTACGTTCAGACATGAATCCTAATAATTCGGCAAACAAATTCCAATTAGCTGCTCGCACAAATGATTGACTTGTGGTTATTGGATCGGTAGTTTTCAATTGGGTATACACTATCTCTTCAAGTTTATCGCCGAGGTCTTCGCCCATGACTTCAAATGAGGTTTGTTTTACCACTTCTATGAGCACTCGACAAAGGATATAGATGGAAGCAAGTGATTTCCTATCGGCTTGAATAGCCGTTTCTCTAGCTTGATTGATTTGTTCATCATAGAAATATTTCTGTTTCATGAATTCATTATCTGCTTCAGTGGGTAACTGTGGTTGTTTCGGAGGAGCCAGAGATGCCGATTGGTTTCGACGGTGACTTAACTTAGAAAGGCTTTTGGTTCTCATGAGTGATAAGCTTCTTTTGGACCGCCCAGCATTATTTCCATTCTTGACAATTCCTGGATTTTCTGGACTTACCACACTACTGCTAGTTGCTGATTTCACTTTGATTAAATTAGCTTTGGCAATAGCCAAGGTTCGTTCAACTTCATTAGCTGCCATGGTAGCCACCTCATTCTTACTCTTTCTCCAAAACATAACACTATCAATGACGGGTTTAGGTTTGCGTCGAGCAATGTATCCTAACGAGGCAACAATCTTGTCAAACTGTGGGTCTACTCCTTCTGCTATCAAGTCTAGTATTGGCGGTTCTTCCATTATAGGATATTCAAGACACAAATTCAATTTCCTTTCGGCATGACGAACAAATTGGGTGAACACAATATGTAAAGTGTATTCTGCAGGGGTTTTGGCATCAGTTGCTAGTTCTCTTCTTATTGATCCAAACTCTTCGCCATTATTCAAGGTTAGTTTCTGCAAGGATGAAGATGATAATGGTGGTGGTAATTGTGGTGAAGGTTCAGTGTGATCTCGAATTGGGAGTATCGATATAGGTGATGCTAATTGTTGTGAAAGGGAGAGTGATGCGGTAGCGTTATTTGAATGGGGCATGTAAGTACGGGTAGTCATTGTTGGTGTTTCCCCTAGCTGACCTAATTGATCTTGAGTTTCGCCCTCGTGATCTGATTTCACTTCGACCATTTGATGCGATATTACTGGGGGAGCTTCAAAATTGAACAATTGTTTAGTTGGAACCGGTGGGTTCTGGAGCTTAAATGTAGTTGTGTGTTCCTGGATATTGTCAGGTAGAAAGGATAACCCAGTTGGGGCTACCGGAGTGTCTGTGATGATTATTTGGTTGCCCATATGGTCATATTCTGATTCTGTGGCGGTAGTGTTTGTGTCGTTGTTGGTTTCATAGTCGATTTCATGTTCGATTCGTTCCATAGTAACCTCATGCATTTCTGGTGCTTGATCTAGATCTTTAGGGAGGTTAGTTAAATTTTGGTTGTAAGTGTGAGGCGGGGTTGGTGACATTTGTGTCGTGTTCGATATCGAGTGGTCGGCTAGTGATGTGGATGAGTGTGCTAAAGGATGGTCATCTTCTGAGAATGAGATGACTCGATTCATCAGGAATGGTTGGATTATATGGGCATCATCTAAATTTGATGAATCGAGCGATAGCTGATCCAAATCAGGAATCTCAATCATTGTAAATAAACAGTAGACTTACCGAGCCAAAATATATTAGGCTATCTGATTGTTAGTGGGAGGGGATCAACTGTCTTTACTGTTGATTGATGGTTTGTTATTGATGTATGTAAGGTAATTTCTTGTCCTGTGGTGTGATAAACCAGGAATAATAGGGGGGGAAGGGAAAGTATGTACTAACGCAAAATAGTTTGTTTAGCTTTTGATTTATGGTTTAGTGCTGAGGCTTTTTTTTTTTTGTGCGTGTGTGTGTGTTGTTCCAAAAACAATCGTGCTAGAATTTATTTTTTTCTCGGCATGGAATGGCACGATGGGTTCTCTAGGGCGAACGGTGCTGCGAATTTTTACTACGATCGTCGTAAATTCTGTGCCAGGTTTCGCGGTAGAGCTTTTATTTTTGTTGTTGTTGTTGTTGTGAGAAAGTTTCCATAACACAACATCTTTGTTTCATTGCAAGTATTGACTTTACTTCGCTATAATTGTAATCTACAGGCTTCATCGTCTCTTCCGTACTTGGTTCTACTCTCGATGCGTTGGCCAACTACTATAACTACATACCAATCAGGAACATTTAACCTCCATTCATCTGGTAGCATTCTCTATGGAGGAGGGGGGTGGATCAGTTATTCCTGCCGTAAATTACACGATGTTGAATCAGGTTCTAAGCTGGTTGTTTATATAACATTTACACTTTGTGCAAACAAGCTATGGAGAGTTTGATTTCACAAAGTGAACGAGTTGCACTGGGACGCCGGACGGCCCATCATTGTCATTTCACTCAGGGTATCCGATTTCGCATATGCATTTCAAATATGCACATCAACTTAAATTTGCACAAACCAGATTGACATAAAATTTCACATAAACAACCAACGGCGTCATGCTCTTGATAGTGAGCTTTTCTTATTCGCGCGGAATTGCTCAAGGTGACTTGATGTTTGCTGAAGATTTTAGACTCTACCAACATCTTGCAAACCCGCTCAGCAAATATAGGTGCTACCATGTGTTTCATTCGAATCAACCAGATGGTGTAATTGCTTTTGCTTGTGACATTATACTGTCGATTACATAGTAATAGCAGAACTTGTCTATAGAAATGGCGATGGTTTATGTGTGTAAAATCTGTGTTGCTCAGCTCAAAATTTTGGCAACACTTTTTCAATCAATTTTTTCAACACACACCCAAATCGATAAGCTGACTAAGACCCAAAGCAAACACCCACGACCATGTCACAGTCAATCCATGACATACCAACCCTTATAAACCAATACATAGCCACGTCTTCACCCTCAGACGACACATCCGATGATGCATCGTCGGTTTTCATAGCCGAATTAGTCAACCTTATCACCAGTGATGAAATCACGCTTCTTCAATTCATCTCCAGTTTAGGAAAGACCCTTACTTCTGATACAGACATGATTAGGAGCAAAGCCATACTGTGTCTTTCGCGAGTGTTTGCTGATCTTCCTATAAACAAGTTGAGTCGTCAGGATGTCGGTGTTATGGTTGATTTCATGGTGGTTAAGTTGGACGATAAATTGAGTTTGACATATGTATTACAAGCGTTGAACTCGTTAGTCAAGATGAACAATTTCAATTCGATCGACAAAGTATTGAAATCGTTGTTGGATAGCTATCTGCCTAAAAAGAATTTGGCCAAGATCAGATATGAAACGTTCTTGATTCTTGGCGGATTACTTGAAAGTAAAGGCCAATACATCAGCACCCATACTGAACTTGCAGATCTCTATGTTAAGGCATTCGTTCATATTGCTTCCGGAGAGAAAGATCCACGAAACTTGATCAATTCATTTTCATTAAACACCAAGATAAACAGCTTGTTCACATTCGATGCAAACAACAACTTGCATCAACAACTAATCGATGACTTGTTTGATGTATGTTTCTGTTATTTCCCCATAACATTCACTCCACCACCCAATGATCCATACAAAATCACCAGTAATGATTTGAAACTGGCCCTTAGGGAAACTATTGCCCTGCAATCGTTATTCGCCACGGATGCAATTGCCAATCTCATTGAGAAACTCACCTCGACCAATCCAGCAATTAGAAATGACGTGTTGACAACTTTGAACTTGTGTGTGCAGACATACGCTCCCGAAACGGTGGATCAACATTGGGTCACTATTTGGAACGCCGTCAAGTTTGAAGTGTTGCACAATACCAACGAATTGCCAGTAAGTGCAAGCAAGACTATTATTCCCCAAGATTATGAGGCCATTGATGACAATGATGATATCAAAGCCGTAGTTTTGACATTGGTTATTGTTAGAAACCTCTTGGAAAGAGCGACTGATCCACAACTGATGTTGGAGATGATCTTGCATGAATTGACGCAAAATTTAACTACAATCACCAACAAAACTAAATTAGCTGCTATTATACTAGGTGTTATGGCAGAAACATCACTTGATAGATTCAACTATATTGTTGAGCAATTGTTTAGTCATTCCGTCTGGGGAAAATACCTTAATGTTGAGCAAACTGAAGCTAACGAAGAACAAGAAGAAGAAGAAGACATAGTTTTGAATATCGAAAGACAGGGTCAGTTAGTGGATAACCTTGAGTATATCTTCTTGGCTTATTATACACTTGCTCCTGAACAACCCACAAAATTATCCCAATATAAAGACCATATCTTGATATTCCTTGGCCAATTACTCAAATCAAACGTTGATACCAGTTTACCAAAGAAAGTAATCGCCCAGTTTGTCAACATGATTGGAATGGCTAACTTCCTTACTACTCAAGAACTCGAATTAATCATGAACCATTTCCAACAAATCTTGTTGAATGAATCGACTTCGGAAACTGTGGTTGATGCATGTGTTTCTGGACTTATTGGACCATTGTCGGAACCAAGAATTACCAAATTGGCAATTGAGTTGATAATCACGCCATTACTTGCTACTCTTGATGATACCTCGGAAATTGTTGAAGTTGAAACCAGGCTTGCTGTGATTGGAAAGCTCTGTGTTAATTATGCAATTTTGGAAGTGATTTCCATCAAGTCATTGGCTAGACTTTCTTCATTCAACAACTTAGACTTGGCACACGAAGATAAAATCAAATTATTCCATGTAGTGATTGACACTTTGATCAAGTTGATTAATCAAGTTACTGAACGGCATCAATTCTTGACCGATTCATGGTATGGTCACTTTGTTCCACCATTCTTGAATAACATTTTCAAGTTATTAGGTGAAGACACTCGTGATTATGCATTGATTGAATCTAGTTCTCGATTGGTTGGATTAATCATTAGGTATATTGAAAAACTGAAACATCAAGCGGTGTTGAATGATTTTATTGAGGTGTTTACTACGGAAAAGTCATCCAAGATCAAATTGGAAGGCAATTTAATTGGTCAACCATCAGGATATATTGTCATGTTTAACAAGATTGTAGCTTCCATTGATAAAGAATGTCAATTTGAAAACTTGAACGTGATAACTGAGTCAATGGTTGGAATTGTCAAACTGGTGAATAATGAATATCTTCGTATTCAATATTTGGAAGGAATATCCCTCCTCGTTAACAAATTTACTACTGATGTGACATCGTTGGTTGACATGTCCCTCACTGATCCAATCAGTTATGAAATCTACATTTGGATACTAAAGGGATTGATTCTCAAGCTTGATCCAGTTGGACTTGATAAATTGCAACAACTAGTCAACCAATTTACGTCGGGTAGCTCCGGAATCACACCAAAGTCATTCCGAGTATTGTTCATCGATATCGACATCTTCACAGAAACAACAAGCAAGCATATCTCAGGCGTGCGTAACTTGAACGTCCGTTTATTGTACAAGCAACGTATTTTCCAAATTGTCGTTCCTGAATTGCTCCCCCATGTAGACAATCACAATTGTCTTGTGGCGTTAGCGTTGATTATTGAGAATGTGTCCACCTCGATCTTGATTAGGTACTTGCTGACTTTGGGTCCGGTTATCATGGCATGTGTTAATGAAACTACCAATGCTGTAGTGCTTAAGCTGGGATTGCTGATGATTAATGTTGTTCTTGAAGAGGATGACACGATATTAGACCCATATGTTACTCAGCTTGTGCCTGTATTGTTGCAAATTGCCACGACAAAGATTGTATCGGGCAAAAAGAGAATAAACGATGAAAGCATCCGTGTTTTGGCATTACGGAATTTAACCATCTTGTTCAAGAAAGGACATGGTGATAAAACCCAAGCATTAAACCAGTTACGTTTGTGTTTGGATGATAAGAAGAGACTGGTTAGAAAGTTGGCAATCGATTTATGTCAGCTGCTCTATGAATTAAAATAAACCTTATAAATCTATAGACAATATATACTATTCTGAATCACTCTCGTTGTAATCCACGGGAGCCAAACCCGGTGTTAACCCAGGCACGGAAATCATGCCTCGTTTAACCTTGCTATCGAAATCGTCAAACTTCTTGTTCTTATTGTTCACTAGTCTCTTTTTTCGTAATCTGCCGTGCAGCTTATCTGTTATTTCTGCTAATACTTGTGCCTTGACTTCTTTTAGTTCATCTTCGACCATTTCGTCCACTTTAACCAGTTGTAATTGTGCAATATTCCTCTTGGCTAACTTGGTCAAGTATTTCTTTTCCTCAGGGGTGTGGTCCTTCTTGTTTTTTATAATGGTGTATTTGACAAACTTGGAGAATTTCTTTTCCTTATCGACATTCTTGGCTATTTTCTTGTTCAGTTTCAGGTTCAGTTTCTTTTTGGAGGCGGTTGCTGTATGATTGAACTGGTTGGCAAGGATCTGGGTGGTGGAAAGATTAGACGTTCTCGACTCCTCGCTAGGTGTTGTTGTGTTTAGTATGGAGGAGAAAAGTTTGGACACTGTTGACTCAGCTTGGTATTTAGAAGCCTCGGATTTGAACGACATGGTAATTACTGTGTTATACCCAATAGATCTAAGCGATGCTCTTCCTCTGATATTGATCAAAAAAAAAAAAAAATTGCAAGGCAAAATTAAAGGAAATCACGTGACTGTGTTCATGTGATTAGGTGATGTGGTTGTGGTAATAGATTGCCCCACTCTAAGAAGTATGATTTCATATGTCATTATGCGTGTGTTATCAGGCGAATCGATACGAACGTTGCCATGAAATTATCATTGGCGAAATGCTGATGGCATTGAGGAGTGGGGAGAGTATACTTATATGGGGGTTTTGTTGTTTTGTGACCGAGGGCTTCTAGTGATTACCCCATGCTTATGGTTAGTAAACACCACGGACTATTTTCGATAAGAACCCCCAGATGAAACTTTCACAGCGGTTTCTGTAAAAAGGGGTAATTGTTAGATCTCCACATTAACGGATAAATATGCGGACAGTAACCGAGACACACGAGAATGGGTAGGGTTATGTAATTGTACCAAACCTTATCCGAGGTCATTACCGAAAAAAAAACCTCCAAAGGGAATATTGAAAATTGCCCGATTGGGATAAACCTCCACTAAAAATGAAACGTAGATTGAATTGTTTTTAGCTAAAAACAATTCACATGTCACAGGCACAGCAACGTACATAATATCCAACAAATCTAATGATGTCACAATACTGCCAGTCTAAATTTTCTTTGTTGGATTGAATTTCCTCATGGCAAAGAAAAATCACTGGTGAGCCAAAAAACAAAAATGTCTAGTGTAACATTTCATATGCAAATTCATATGCAATAATTTGGCTTTTTACCCCAAATTATCCAAATTATAAAAAGCATACAATCTTCCCCCAGACTTTTTGTTTTTTTTCATTTACTCCTTTCAATATCACTATATATTATCTCAAGTAAACAATTATTAACAATGTCTTCAGTCGCCGCCGATGGATTTAACGCTTCCGAATTATGGGAATTATTAGAAGCCGCTCTTCACGACAAAGAAATTGCTGAAACCGCCATCAAGAACGTCAAGGCCATTCTTGTCATTACATTGAAGAACAAGGAAGGTAAAGAACTCTCTTGGGTGTTGGACTTGAAGAATGAAGGTACTCTTAAGAAGGTTGAAGGTCCTCCACCAAAGGGTGATGTCCAATTAATCTTGAAGGATGCTGATTTCGTTAAGTTAGCCAACGGTAAGGCCAACGGTCAAAAGTTGTTTATGAACGGTAAATTAAAGATCAGAGGTAACATGATGAAGGCTACTGCTTTAGAAGGTGTCTTTAAGTCTATGGACCCAAGACCAAAGGCTAAGTTGTAAGTTAGTTTTATAGTAAATGTGAATATTTATGATTGAAACCAGTGTAGAGTTGAATGCGACGAGTGTAGGAGTATGGTCGGTTCAGAGGGTTGTTGAGCTGTGAACTGTGCATCGGGAACCGTAAACCGTGAACCGTGAACCGTGGAATTGGTATTAATAATCTGCTCGGAATTAGGGTTATTCCCGGTCGATCCAAGGCGCGATCCAGTCCTTTGTGTCTGCGTATTTAATTATAAATTACGTAATACATATATTATTTGTAATTGATAGGCTGAGACATAGTCCTGTAACCTTTTTCTCTGTTTACTTACTGTCTGCCTGCCATTTTGTGCTGTAAAAACTGAGTAGATTTGCTAGTGCAACCCCCCCAGTGATTGGAAAACCTACACGTCAATATCAATTAAAAATTTCCGCGCAAACAAAACCACCACCACCGTTTTACACCCTCTCCACTAGCAACTACACCAGCATGTCACAACAAGATGATACAATCGAAGAGTCATTGACTATGTTCTTTGATAATGACTTCAACCCACCTGCATACATCGACAAACTAGTCCAATCCATCACAGTCCCTACATCAGCACTACCCACCTCACCAAACTTGTCTTCTACTACTACTACAACTACAACAACAGCCACACCGATATCAGCTTACTCCAAGAATTCACTTTCTAAATTATCCAATGATATATCGCAGTTGATTATACATTTAGATTACTACACCAATGAACTATCAAATAATAATTTAAAACACAAATTGGACGCATTAAACAAATCAAACACATTGATATACAGCAGGGATGACGAGTCGACAGGGTCAACAACTAGATTACAATACCATATTAACGTTCTCAATAACTCAATACTTTCGTTACAGGCAGAATTGAACGGCATTAACGAAAAATTAGATATAAATCACGGTAAAAATGAAGCCATTAATGACTTAATCCAATTGAAACAAGTCAAGGCAAACCTAACTAAAGTGTTGACTATCTTTGAACTAGTGAATAATTCACTTCTCAGGCATGATTCATATAGTGTGGAACAATTTCAAGAGGCTTTGAATGAGTTATTTGACTCCATCAAGCAACAGTTGGATCTGAATGTTGATCAAGAGAAACTACTTGCCCACATTAACAAGCTCATCGACTTGAGTTCTGTATTTTCCAACTTGGCAAAGTTCAACCCGATATTCAAAAAGTTTATTAGTCAACTTACAGCTGAGCGAGACCAGTTTTTAAAGCATTAATATTTTTTGTTCATACAGACTTTTATATATATATATATATACAAGGATTTATATATGTGTGCGCTTTAACGCAACTCTCCGCTTAATCTCAAACGTTCTTGCTCTTCCTTCAACTGTCTCTGCTTAGACAAGTTTCTATTCAAAATATCCAACTTTTTCATTTCTTCATGAGCATCGAAATCTCCACTGGATAAATGATCATATACATCATCATATTTACCTGTAGACATAGGGGCGTTCCCTCTCATACGTTTTCTCATATCGAAAAACCCATGTCTGCATTCCATATACGCCATGAAGTTATGCACACATAACTCGGGTAATTCTTTCTTTAGTTCGGGATCAGTAAGACATTTCTTGGGAGTGTTTCGTTCTATTAGAACACAGGGGGATCTTTGAAGACATATAGCGAGCGCTTTCTTTTGGTCTTTACAACTGCGCTGGTGTTAGTAAGACTGGTGTCCCTGACTTCTTGTCACGGCGAAGATAACTTTACATACCTAGCACCCATGTTTTGTACGTTTGTAGCAGTTAGGTTTGGTTAACTAAACCGTTTACTACATGTCTCGGGGTTTTAAAATTATTTCTTTTTCAACTAGGGAGTGTGTGCTACCATGTGTGTTGAGTCACGTGATGGTTGTAAAAACTTTTTGGGGTCAACTCCCTAAGGACAGGTTTCAACAACCAATATCAGCAAGATGCAACAACCTCCTTGCGTATATCAAGGCAGATAAACTGCGATCGTCTCAACTTGATCCCTCGTGTACGCTCCTGGAATGTTGACTGGTTTAGGTTAGTATGTTTCCTGCATGTGGCATTGGGTTGTGTCACGTGATTGTTGTCACTTATCGCAGGGTGAAATTACACCAGTAAAAGTTACAACCAATATCATCTCATTCAATTCCGTTACATCCAATCACAGTCCATACGAACTTCACTGCGTCTCCCTTAATGACGATCACATTTGTTCCTGGAGAAGTCAACAAATCGGCCCATTCGGTAGCACAGGGCAATTGGAAAAACCACCATATCTTAGTCTATGGGTCCGGTAACAATTTAATCATAACGGGGGCCACGCTCTCACCAGGAAATAAAAAACCAAACCCCAGCAACATTGAAAAGAACTTGCAAACCATATATCTTGATCGAGATCCCCAGGCCATTGATATTGATTCGCAAAATGGGAGAATTGTCATTGCTGTGGGCTCAACTATAATTGTGTATGCTCCTGTTAACGAGTATATGAAGATTCCGAAATGGCTGCAATGTCTTGAGTTTAAAGTGGACGAGACTGTCAATTGTGTCAAGTGGGCTTGCTGTGAAGATGAAATTGTCGTTGGTACTGGCCTTAATCTAATGTTGTTTCATATTTATAACGAATATGGGGATTTGAAAATTACCAAGAGGTGGTGCTCACCACAACTGAATCCAATCTCGGATTTAATAATAACTTCTTACGGAAGTAAGATCTTGACTACGAGCGGGCACTACGACCGCATGGTTAAGGTATGGTCGAGAATAAACTATTCCGATGACAACACCTTGTTTGAAGTTTCATATCTACAACATCCCAGGGGAACATATGTTTCGGCATATCATTGCCGAGTGCACCATGATGAATCACATCAAGAACACCAACCAAGAAGAAGAATAACCGATCCTTCAATGGCAAATATAAAGAATATTAGAGGTTATATAGACAATGCTAATCAAGATAATGGTGATATCATATATACATTCACAAATGATTATCAATTACGAGTGTGGGCTTCATATGAATATAGTGGTCATAACCATATACAATGTTGGGCTAATTTGGATTTATCTACTAGTTTTACCCTGATTTGTTCCATTCTAATTATTGAAAATTATTATATGAATCAGGGGGTCATTACATTATTAAAGAAACTAACTCACGACTTTGCAAGTGATGATTCAGATTTACTATTGGTGATTTCCGATCTAGGTGAATTCAAATTGTTTGCTATAACAAACATATCACAATGTCCTCCCAATAATATTCATTTCATACCTATAAATCCAGATAAATCATACAGGTTTACTGAAAATTCATTCCCAGTGGATACCAAGAAACAATCGCCTGCCATAACACTCAACCTGATTCAATCTGAAGAATTCATAACATCCATCCTCAATCCAATTTTAGTCAAAGATATAGCATTCCTTAATAATGACCCCCACATCCATCATCTTTCTTTTGCAATCCATGACAGAATCAAAAATACCATTCGATACGATATTCTCGATTTGTACAAACTCCTTGACCCTCACACCGACAGTTCAGGAATATCTCTCGTGAGTAAATTCCAGGGCCATACCAAATCAATCCGAAAAATAGTTAAATCAAATTCGTTGTTTTCCAAACATAACATTCTTCTTTCAATTCTGAACTTTCCAGAACACAATTATATTTGGGAGCCAATCATATTGAGCGAAGATCAATTTAATATCATGTCAGTGACAAAGAGATTTCAAATCAATGTAAGCCATGCCGATGATTCTAAATGTGCCGGAATTTGTGATGCTGTAATTATAAATGACGTAGAACCGCCTGTGGGGTTGCGAAGAAGACACATTGTCGTGTCGATTGAGAGGGACGGACATATTAGTGTTTGGGATTGCAACCAAGATGACCAACCAGCGGAATTGATTACAAGGCACAACTTGACGTTTAAGCAACCACCGCGAGCTTTCATCTTGACCCAGTGGCCCAGTGAAGATCATATAGAAAGCCAGGTTAAACAGTACTGTATACTTGCAATATTTGAACAAGATTTAGTTCATGCTTGGAGGTTGACATTGAGCTATACTGAAGATCATAAAATTACCGAGATTAGGTTTGTGGATCAACCTATTTCAAGCATACCGCAAGAAGAAGAAATATATCAGATTGGTACTGTAGATGCTTTTATTCAACAGCATACTGGTAGTGTGCTCTCCGTGATTGACACTGAAGGATTACTCAAAACATACTCGCTCGACTTTACTGGAAATGCATTATCTTGGAAACTTACCAACACATTAGTAACTAATATCAAAAGAGCAAGCAAAATCCATGGACTGACTATAATTAATAAGTTCGCCGTGGTTGATGAAACGGGCACTGTGCTCACAATATGGGATATCATGCAAGGAGTGCTTGAATATGAAGAACAGTTCCCTATTGAAAATGGGGCGGTCAAAGATCTAGATTGGACATTCATAAGCGAAGAACTGACATCCAATGCCATCCTCTCAATTGGGTTCTCTCGGTTTGTCTTGTTATACACGCAATTACGTTATGATTATACGAATAAGATTCCCACCTTTGCTACATTGAAGAAAATTGATATTTCCGATTATACCAGCCATGAAATCGGAGATCTGATTTGGTTAGATGGCGGATACTTGATTATTGGTAGTGGTAATCAGTTTTTCATTGACGATCGGTGGGTCAAATTAGGATCAAGCACTATTGATTCGATGATTCGACAATTGATGAGTGGGTACCACCGCAATGAAAAGTCCGAGTTTACTGAAATTTACGAAAGCGACGAGGAAGAAGGGGAGGATGAAACAGAAGATGAACCGGTAGAAGAAGATCTGGTTTATGATATCGCTCATTTGGTTCGGGTTCTCAACGGTCCGTTGCCCATTTATCATCCACAATTCCTTGTACAAGCGTTATTCATGAGTCAAGTTAATTCTGTCATGAAAATCCTTGTAAAATTGTTTCAAGTGTTGAGAAATGGGGATCGAATCGCCTGGGATTTGAATTTGGATATTGAACAAGAAATTTATCAGACTCAAGGGATAACCGTGTCTGTGAAGGAAGACCAACCGAAACAAATTGGGGTATTGCAACGAAGAATGTCGTCAATTTTCTCCATTGATGTGTTTACCAAATTCAATGATGAGTTGGCGGATTTGTTGACTGAGAAATTGATGAAAATTTCTATGCCTTTGCTAACCAGACATCAACAAAGCACGTTGATTTCTATTATTGCCATTGTCAAGGAATTGAATAAACATTTGTTATCCCTCGATGACAACGGGATTAGATTCATGATTGGATTTAAATTGTTTCAATTGTCTACTAAACAGCATAAATTGTCCATGCGTGATATTAACTGGGCATTGCATTCTGATAACAAGGAATTACTTTTGAATGCAGTGGAAGATTATTACAAGAGCAGGTTGAAATGGGAAAACATTAAAGCCACGGGGTTAGTATATTGGATAAAAACCAAGAGATTTATTAAACTTATTGAAACGGCAGCCAGAAATGAATTTAGTGAAACTAGAGATCCATCAGGCCGTGTATCCTTATTCTATCTTGCTCTTCGCAAGAAACAAATCTTGATTGGATTATGGAGAACTGTAAACCATCCTGAACAACAGAAAATGTTAAAGTTTTTGAATAACGATTTCACCCAGGATAGATGGAGATCAGCTGCTCTCAAAAATGCCTTTGTTCTTTTAGGTAAACATCGATTCATGGATGCCGCTTATTTCTTCTTGCTTGGTGATGCATGTGATGATTGCTGTAGTACGATTGCTACTAAACTTGGAGACATCCCGTTGGCAATTGCTATTGCTAAAGTATACAATGGCAGCGATAGTGTGACTAATGAAAACGACAATTCCAGTTTGTTCAAAGTTATTGAGAATTATGTGTTACCGCGGGCGGTTATTAATGGGGACCGTTGGACTACAAGTTGGATCTTTTGGCAATTGGGTTATAAGGAATTATCTATTCAAGCATTGATTAAATCTCCAATAACTATGGCGTTAGATAACAGGGATAAATTTGTAGCTGGTCGTGGAGTTCAAAAAGACGAATTTGTTGTGTCTACTAAAGGGCAAAGTTTCTTGCGGGATGATCCGGTGTTGATTTTGTTATTTAATGATTTAAGACACAAGAAGATTAACTATTTGAAAGGATCACTTAATATTACCAAACAAGAAGAGTTTCAATTTATTATTAAAGTGTGTATGATATATACCCGTATGGGATGTGATTATCTTGCCTTGTTACTATTGAGAAATTGGACATTTAATGAACAAGAACTACAAAAGACTTTTGAATGGGGATCTCCACCTCGTACCCTGGTGCTTAATAATAAACCAAGTCAAATCAAGATGCTTGAATCAGAACATGGATCAAGTGGTGGAGATGTACCTAATTTATTGAGTTCGTTTGCAAATGGAGATTCCGAGGCTCCTCGAAAGCCATTGGTTAATAAGTCACCACCACCGTTACAGGCATTTGAAGAGCCAGATATGAGTTCATTTTCATTTGGGTATTGATATATATATATAGGTCTAGAAAACATTATTTGTCGTACGTAATACTATTTGTAATTTATTTGCTACAACTGCCCATGGTTTACTCACGGCAAGTATGGTACTAAAGATAAAGTATAGCCACATTTTTGAAACAACCAACCTTTTAATAGTATACAAAGTGATTGAATTCATTATCGCAAGTACTATCTCTAATGTTTCTAGCCATTTCTCCCAAATTTTTTCATCACTAATATCTTTACTGCCGAGATATAATGCTAACCATTTCATCCAAGATGTTTGCAACGTGTATAATATACATCTATCCCATTGAGCAATAAGATAATACCTATAATATACCATATCATAGTATTTGAAATATTTACAAAGAATCTTGTCTCCAGTCATTGCACACTCATTGGGCCGTGATTCACAAAATGGTTGTGAAAATAATTGAACTTGGAAATTTTGCAGCAACAGCTCTAAAGAATCGGGATTGATGAATTTTGTAACCAAGTAAACAAAACTGAGCGTAGGTGCTATAACATAGCAAATATATTTTATATTGTCAATGACAACATATAGCAGATGGAAATGCATTGTTCTAGTTTGACGTGATAATGATAATAATAATACGTCTAAATTTAGATCTCTTTGTTTTTTTTTTCTTCCTTCGAGGTTGATCTGTGGGGTAAACAATAGCCGTATCTAGATGGAATATCCCGAAGCGCACCGAATATCCTGATACTTATTGCAAAGCTTATAATAAGTATATAGTTGACATAATACAATAACACAAGTGCTACTTCTCCAAAAAAAAAGACTATCATCCTGTTCGTGGGGCGTTTGTTATAAATTAACAGTACATGCATTAAATACCACCTACGGAAAAAAAAAAAACTCAGAGTTTCTCACACAAGAAAAACTAAAACTACCCTATTCCACGCGAATGTAACTACTAAGAAATTACTGAAATAAGGTAATCTATTTAAATCCTAGGTAAACAATTTCCCAAAAAAAAATACTATAGTTATACCCTAGAACCCTACCCGGGACTCGAACCCGGAGTCTTCCGCTTAGGAGGCGGATGCCTTAACCGTTTGGCCAGCAGGGCTATATGCACAATCGATTTTTTCTGCTGGTTTTCCACATGAGCTTTGTCTCACGTGACTTTTGAAGTTTTAAACATTGCAATAACTGGCTTTAAGATAAGTATTGATGGAATTTGATAGGCTTGAAAGGTATATATGATGCCTATGGTATGTTTTTGGTGTTTTCAAGAGGTTTAATAATCTATTGGTTGAATTATTTAAGTTCTAAAAATGAGACAATTTTTGCAATTTTTTGCAAAATTATTCTATAAAATATAAATCACCTGCATGGCCTTCCGTATACAAAAACCTATGTTTATATATAATCATTGAGAATTAGGCTCTTGATTCATCTATCCATGTATCATCTGTCAATATAAAATACTTTTGGATGAACCAAGATCCATTATCAGTAGTCTGATGGATGTGAAAGCAACCGCAGTTTAAAGAGAAGGACAAAGTCTGAAATATCTCACATTACGGGTTTGCAGGGCGTTCTATTTGACTGATTTATAATACTGGGTAACTAAGAATAATTTTTGACATGTTGCAATATAAAAATTGAATGTAGTATAATGTTAAGGATGTATTGATCCAACCCTTTCTAATGATTTAATAGCTCTTGCAACTCTCTATTAACCGGTTGAACAAATGTAAAATTATTAGGAACCAGTTTATTTGTCTTGGGACACTTATTTTAATTGATGATTTGTAGCTCATAATAAATATGCAGAACTAAAAGGTTTGAAACATAATTTGTAAGTCTGCTTCACTATTAGGCCTTAGAAAATTCTACTGTGGCTACGGAAATCAATATTAGCAATTTATTCCTATATAGTAAAGGTATTTATCGTACTTCAGTCGCATAGATAGCTTGCTCTCTATGCTCTAAATCTCGGACAATACATTTGTTGTTTTCTCGAAGGTGTATGGTAAACTCTCTCAAGGTGTTGAATGTTTCCCGACATCTTGGACAAGCAAATGGGGAAGTCACGTTATGATTTGCAACAATGTGGTTTTCCACGGCCTCTCTACTTGGAAATGATGTCTGAGTCTGTCTGCAGTTGGCAACAGTACAAAGAAAAACTCCGTTTTGTTCTTCAAAGTAATGTTCCATAAGTCTTGTCCCATATATGATCCTGATCGGACCAAAGGTATCTAAGTGATCAATAATATGATCCCTTATTGAAACTTCTTGTCGACTTTTTCTTCTACACCAACTGTATGCACAATTAAAAATATTTCCAATGCGGTAGTATCTTAGTTCCAAGCTTGAATTTAACAAGTCAATTATAGAACTAGCTCTCGGGAGCTTGTGGCAAAGTTGATGTGCTGCTGCATGTTTCTCCTCATTCAAAACTTTTGGACACAGTTCACAGACCCATACCTGTCTCGTTGCGTGATAGTGAACATACCTAGCCCCAGTTCTGTCCATTGATGTTTCTTGTAAATTTAGGTTACGGAAAAGATGAATAATATTATAAATGGAATTTTAGAAGGAGAAACCCAAAAGGAGCGTTTAGTTGCACTTATTTAAAATTGTGCATATCAAAAAATAGAAAATTAATATGGATGGTTATTTCCATGTTTTTAGTGAATAATGACACAGAATACAGTTCCTACGATCATATGTAACACAAAAATCTCAACAGTTTATAAAAATTAGACTATGTATACAATAACTAGTACGTTGAAAAAGATGAACCAAGAATACTATCTGTAAGCACACACCTAAATGACCAGACACAGGAATAATAAACAGCTAGTTAGACATAAACAAAAACATAAATAGAATCAATATTTAAACTTACATTTAACTTTTTTTGGCAAAATTAATCGATGAAAGTGTTTAGATGTTGTGGGAAGCACAATGGTACCACACAATTGTTCATTCAAAGTAAGATCTAATTTTCTTAGTCTGGTAGGAATGTAATCAAGATCAATCTTGGTTATTTTACAATCTGATAAATCCAAACTGAATAGTTTGAAGTTATAATTTCTGTTAAATATAGGCGACTTCAGGGTTAACTCAGAAATCTTAGTTCGACTCAAGTTTAATCGAACAAGGTTTGGAGGAATTATCCAATCATCCAAGCTTGAAATATAGGTTAGCAGAAGGTCCAATATGTTCAAATGGACAAGTTTACTCCAATCATAACTTAATAAATCCAAGTTCCAATTAGATGATAAACTCAACTTTCTAAGCAGCAATGGAAAATAACAATTGTGTACATTTTGAATGTTACTAGAAATCATATATAAATATGTCAATTCCTCTAAAGATTGGAAAAATGTTTGTTGACCATCCCATATCCATTCGTGTTGTGCAATACCCAAATTCTGTAAACTCTGTGGTAGATTACTTAGATTGTTAAGATCACGACAATTCAACCCGTAAAGTTCCAAATAAGTTAAACTTGATGGCCATCCTATGGTTTCATTGATTAATTCCAATGAATAATCGCCGAGTTCATTACTAACCAATTCTAAGCTGAAAAGATTTGGGGGCCAAGATTTCCCCTGAATGATTCTGCAATTGCATGAATTAATACTTAAACACTCTAATGTTGTTGGCAAATCCTCAAGTGAAATAACTTCCAATTGAATAAGACACAAGTTAAGACAAGTCAATCCTAATGGTAATTGGTCTCGCAAATGGGACAAACTAATTAGTTTGCAATGAGCAAGGGTAAGCTCGGAAATTGATTCAGGAAAATTGATTGTAGAAATATCTATGGACCTCCTGAATGTCATGTAAAGGGATTTCAAAGATTGAGGAAATATAATTCCCAGCCAGTCATCAATATTGGATTCTTTTAAGGACATTTCTAGAAGATTGGTATGTTCTATTAACAGCGGGTTATTAACTAAACTTTTCTGGATCATCTTCAAATCAATTTTTACTAACTCTAGCTTAACAAGATTCTTAAATGATAATATATAATTGAGATCAGTAGCTGTGATTTTGCAGCTATCCAAATATATTGTGAAATTGCACCATTTTCCAAGCTTACTCCATTTCTCTAAAAAGCGTTTTACTTCGTGGAATTGAGGAGCCCCATGTACAATATCCAAGTGTGTTGGAGTGACATCGGGTAATTTTTTCAAAAAGCGATTAATCGCAGTCTTTCCAATCAAATAATCAGGAGGAGGTGTGTAAGGGTAGCGACTGATAGTTTCCGCTCGTGTTAGTTCAACCTCAAGATGACGGAAATAATGGTCACGTACAATTGAGTAAGTATGAGGAAAATTGATAAAGAATCCAATTATATATTTCCATGGCAATAAATCTAAAAGGAGGACAATGATATCCCGAGGGAGTTTTGGAAGGGAGGATGTTAAGAACTTTATTAGCTTTTTGCTGACGGCCATGATCTTTTATGGTTGATCAGTGAATAACTAATTAAAAGAGCTGGTTGAAATAGAAGCAAAAAGACAATGACTAGCAGATATATATATATACCTTATAGTTTACAACTCACTTCCCACATAGTTTCGACATAACAAAAAAAAAAATCTTGGGAAAGACTACAGTATCTATCTTTCATTGAGAAATGAAAGAGAGTTATGCATAGAGGGAAGTTTGAAATAAAAGAAACCAAGGAACGACGGGTTTGAAGAAGCTCTTTTCACAAGTACTAAAAAAACATCAATATCGAATTAAATTTTATATTGTAGCAATTAAAAACATTTAATCATTAAATGTGTGTTTACATTGATTGTGAGTACATGTAAACTTTTACCTTCAATTTATTGAGGGATTTAACTTTTATTGATGTCTAACTAATTCGCACAAAAAACTGGGATGAATTCGTTAGATGCTGTGGGTCTGATTCTTACATATGCACTTGGTCTAATGGTATGTAGTTAAATTTCGCTTTCCTTGATAATATACACTGAACAATCTACAAATCTACATATGTATATGAATTCTGCACTAGGTTGTATCTTTTAGACAAGTCTAGTTGAGTGGATACGGTAGCAGCATGGCAATTATCATATAGTTTTGTCATTTTGTAAATTTCACAAGTCAGCCACTGTGTTATATCAGGGTTGGTTTCTTACCTATTTCAATCTATACCCACTTCAACCTGTGTTTGCTTTGGTCTCAGGAAAATGTTGGATAAGACGTAGAGAAAATTTCAGAGAGAGAGAGACGGTCTTTGCCCTGTTTTTGTATTTTTTTGTTTTCTGCATTTGCATAACATTAATTTTGAAGTGCTGGTAGAGATATTAGATTACCTCCTTGGTTTTGCTGTTTTACTATAGAAGAACTATAATTATATATTATTGTAGCAACCATACAGAAACTGAAGGTCTGTAAATGGGGACAATACTTGAAAAAAAAATTAATAGTGTAGCCCAGGACAAATGACTAATCTGCAATACCCCACCGATCGAGCATAATCTATAACTTCTGTATCACTTGCATCGTATTGCAGATATTTGGATTCCGGTTAAACCTGCAAATATCAGAGCCAATTAAAAAGCCCTCTACAAGCCACAAACTAAATCAACCGACAGCATAAAATTGATACGAATTATTCTAATTAAACCGAAGGCGGGTTTTTTCCAAGCCTTGCGAGATTTTATTCATACTTGGCATGTTTCTAGGGCTGTACCCATTGCCCTATGAACGCCTCCTAGCGTATCCTGCGGTACGTTCCAAATAATAAAAATTTTTCTTTGGTTTTGTATTTTTCGCAGCAATTTAATTTATCTAATTTGGGTAAAAAAAAAAAAGCGTGGCACTAAAAGTCGCCCACAAGGCTAAGCCTAGTTGACGTATTCATTAACACAACAATAGAGCATTACGTATTGCACTTGAAATCAGGGACAAACGAACAAAGAGCGCACGATAAGAGGGGGTAGGATTAATTGATGAAACAAATAATGTAATAAAACAAACAGAGGGAAAAAAAAAGAGCCGTAGCCATGAAAGTATGCGGCAATAAAGAAACAGGTCATATAACAAAGGAATAAAAATGTGGGTATTCTTTAGTTTTTGAGTGCATACGTTGCACATGGACAATAGTGGCGGAGTCAGAAACACACTTGAGATAAGGTGGAGGGTGTTTTTTTAGTTGCTTGAGGAGTAAATATGAGATTGGGGGAAGCTAAATACGGTGTGGGATAATTTCAGGATCCTCAATATTTTAGCTTGGCGGAAATAATACACGATTGCAACAGCAATGTAGTGAGTAGATTTTTTTTTACGCTTATACACACAGCCCGTGTAACCACCACCACCCCCCCTCCTCTCTCCCGACTTTGGGGATGACACTCTTGAGAGATGCCAGGAAGTCAACGTTGCCATCACGAAAATACCCGCGAAAAAGAAATAAAAAGCGCAATGGTACCGGAATTAAACAACTTGCAAAATGAACGAGGAAAAAAAAAAACCCGCCCACTCCTGCAAAAATTACCGCTTCGCGGAATTTTTTTTTCACCAAACACGTAAATTGCCAGGGGAAAATTATCTTTGTTTCCTATCAGCAGAAGTAACACAATATCGCAGTTGCGAAATTGTCCAAGCATGAATGCTAATTTTTGACGGTATCAGAATAAAGGCAATTTAACTTTGACAACTTTAATGTTTTTGCGAACATGAAACGCATGATTGTGGTTCGGAACGAGCAGCCACATATGAAAAAGAAACCACGTCGTACGTTTAATTAGTGGGAGAGGGAGTGAGAGTGAGGGAGAGGGAGGGAGTGAGTGAGTGAGAGAGAAGAAGAGAGAGAGAAAGAAAGAGAGTGTGTGCCACAACCGTACATTGCTGTCACCTTTCAGCAACACTATCGTCAGGGCATCGACATGTGCTCCTTCTCTAATCTTTCTCTGCAGCCACGATTTACAATAGCTGTCTTACAAATGATGACTAAATCTTGTGCACGGAGTGGAAATGTAAAATTCGTAAAAAAAAAAAAAAACAAAAAAAAGAAAATCGTTAAAAAATACAGCACAGCCTCGATCTGCCATATCCTGCATAGAGAATTATGGGGGTAGAAATTTCCAGCTCACGTTTTTTTATATAAAGAAAAAGTCGGGCTTATCAAAACCCACCATCATTAGTTTTTTCACAATTTGACCAAAATTCAGGCACAGCTTTTTGACAACAATCACAAGCATCACACCCGCGGAGATATATCCCCATCCCGAAATAGCTACCTATTGTCATTTGCTAATCCTTCTAGTACTACTGTTACGTTAAACTGTGCCTTTTTCTAGCACTATTTTTTTGCAAAATTTGAATGATCAGATAACCTCTCAGTTTTACAACCAAAAAATATAGACACTGTATATGAACTCACTTCAGCTCATATCCTTTCCAAGAAACTTTTCATATTTATTTATTTACTTACTAATTCACTGCATTTAACCTTATTTTTTTGCATTCAAAATAACCTTTAGCATATCTACAACATAAGACACAGTCATGGGATCAGACAAAGATTGGTTAAACGACTCCTTACCCCCAATCACTGTTAACGGAAACACTCCTACTATAGTGGAAGATGCAGACACAACGAGTCCATCTTCACACCAAGCAACCGGCAGTACCACCCTTGGTGGGAACTCCTTGCAACTACCATCCAGACCTTCCTACGAGGAAGCATCATCCACATCTTCCGTCACACCGTTAAACAAACACCTTCACGATGACGACGACTTCAATATAGAAACCACAAACATCCCAGCACCTACTACTCGCAAAGCTGGCGGCGGCGGCGGCGGCGGCGGCGGCGGCGGCAGTGGCAGCGGTGGCCCCATTAGACGCACCACCACCGGAGCTTCTTTCCCTGCATTCCACAAACTCACCACCATCCTCACATCCCAGTCCATTAAGTATCCACCATGGTTGACATCTCCAGAAGAATTGACAACCTTACACGACCCAAAATCACTTCGACTGCTTTATGAAATGGGTGGATTTGCCAAGTTGTGTGAAATGTTGAAAACTTCCGAATCCGGGTTAGACGAAAAGAATGAAACTGACTTAGGCGGACGACGTCATTACTTTGGTGTGAACAGATTACCGGAACGTTCCCTGAGAGGATTCTTTAGATTATGTTGGGAAGCCATGAAGGACAAGGTATTGATCATCTTGTCCATTGCTGCCGTGGTGTCACTTGCCCTTGGTCTTTACGAAACTTTTGGTGCAGGCACAGAATACGACGATGAAGGTAATCCCTTGCCGAAGGTTGACTGGGTTGAAGGGGTGGCGATTTTAGTTGCTGTATGCATTGTCGTTATTGTCGGTGCAGCCAATGATTATCAAAAGGAACGTCAGTTTGCCAAATTGAATGCCAAGAAGGAAGACCGTGAGTTGATTGTGATACGAAATGGTGAACAAAAGATGATTTCAATCTACGACTTATTAGTTGGGGATGTTATAAACTTACAAACTGGGGATGTTGTACCTGCAGATTCCATCTTGTTTGACGGTGACGTCGAATGTGATGAATCGGCATTAACTGGTGAATCAAACACTATCAAGAAAGTCCCTGTGAAACAAGCAATGGAAATTTATCAAGCTAATTTACCGACTAATGAAGATATCGGCAGTCATGTCATCCAATTACGTGATCCTTTCCTTATTTCTGGTGCCAAAGTAATGTCCGGTTTAGGTAACGCTCTCGTTACTGCTGTGGGTGAACATTCCATCCATGGAAGAACCATGATGAGTTTATCGCACGAACCAGAAACCACTCCTATGCAGGTAAAATTAGATGATCTTGCCGAGGGGATTTCCAAATATGGGTTCCTTGCTGCCATTGTCCTTTTCGTAGTGTTGTTTATTCGTTTCTGTGTTGAAATTGCTCCTGGTGGGAGTTACAGAGAACATTTACCACTGGAAAAGGGGAAAATGTTTATTGATATCATCATCACTGCCGTCACTATTGTTGTCGTTGCCATTCCTGAAGGTTTACCCTTGGCCGTCACTCTTGCCTTGGCCTTTGCTACTACCAGAATGGCACAAAATGGGAATTTGGTCAGAGTATTGAAATCTTGTGAAACTATGGGTGGAGCCACGGCAATTTGTTCAGATAAGACTGGTACTTTGACTGAAAACAAGATGAGAATTGTCAGGGGATTCTTTGGATTAGACCAACAACAAAATTTACTTGAATTTAATGATACTGTGGTTCAATCACAACAAGGAACTTCGCTTGAAGTTATTGATCAGATTGCCAATGATTTGAAAGTTTTCCTTTGTACTAATATCACTTTGAATTCCACTGCCTTTGAAAATGTTGAATACGATGAAGAAAAAGCCAGATTGGCCCATGAACGTCCTCATTCACAATCATTATTATCGAAATTATTTTCAAGAAACAAACAACCGGAGCATTATATGGAATTGGGTATTGTTGATTCTCCATACTTGGGAAACAAGACCGAGTCAGCATTGTTAATCTTGGCCAAGGAGAAATTCCACATGTTTGATGATAATTCACTTGATCATATCCGTAGTGAAGCCCATTCTGAAGTTGTCCAAATCATTCCTTTTGAAAGTTCAAGAAAGTGGTCTGGGATCGTATTGAAAATCCACAATGGCTATAGAATTTATGTCAAAGGTGCCGCGGAAATTGTATTCAAAAACTGTGGATATCAAATGAACAATGCTGGTCAAGTCATTCCAATCAACCATACTCAACGTGATACCGTTCTTGCCAAGATTGATGAGTATGCCAATGATGCATTGCGTACCATTGCTCTTGGCCATTGCGATTTTGTTGGTGAAAATATCTGGCCTCCTAATCAAGTGGCATCTAGTGAAAACCCACAAGAAGCCGATGCCAATTTATTGCTCGATGCAACTGCTAATCAAATTTCCAATAAAGAGTATGTCCTTGATGCATTGGTTGGTATCCAAGATCCATTGAAAAAGGGTGTTCCCGAGGCCGTGTTGCAATGTAAACGCGCTGGTGTTGTCGTTAGAATGGTTACCGGTGATAATTTAAATACTGCCAAAGCAATTAGTAAAAGTTGTCACATCCTTACTCCTGAAGATTTATCCAACGAGTATGCATACATGGAAGGTCCCACATTCAGAAAGTTATCACTTTCTCAACGGAACAAGATTGTTCCTCAGTTGAGAGTGCTTGCCAGATCATCTCCTGAAGATAAGCGTATTTTAGTGGATACTTTGAGAAAATCAGGAGATGTTGTCGCAGTTACTGGTGATGGTACTAATGATGCACCAGCGTTGAAGTTGGCTGATGTTGGGTTCTCCATGGGTATTGCTGGTACTGAAGTTGCCCGTGAGGCTTCTGATATTATCTTGATGACTGATGATTTCACCGATATCGTTCAAGCTATTAAATGGGGGAGAACTGTTTCGATCTCGATTAAAAAGTTTATTCAGTTCCAGTTGACTGTGAACATCACCGCTTGTGTGTTGACATTTGTTTCTGCCGTGGCCTCATCTGAGAATAAATCCGTGTTGACTGCAGTTCAATTATTATGGGTTAATTTAATCATGGATACTCTTGCTGCATTAGCATTAGCCACTGATAAACCGGACGATTCATTCTTGAATAGAAAGCCTGCTGGACGTACTGCTCCTTTGATTTCTACATCCATGTGGAAAATGATTTTGGGTCAATCTACTACTCAATTGGTGATCACATTTGTGCTTCATTTTGCCGGTAAGATTTTGTTTTTTGGTAAGAATGCAAATATTAACAATCATCAACTGCAACAGTTAAACGCCATGACATTCAATGCTTTTGTTTGGTTGCAAATTTGGAAATTGTTTGTCACGAGAAAGTTGGATGAAGCTGATGAGATCACCACTGTTCGTGGAAGAATCACTATGGAAAACTTAAACTTTTTCAGTCATTTGTTTAGAAACTGGTACTTTATCATCATTGCCTTGTTGATTTCCGGTTGTCAGATCTTGATTATGTTTGTTGGTGGTGCTTCGTTCAGTATTGCCAAGCAGACTCCAGGGATGTGGGCCACCGCTATATTGTGTGGTTTTATAAGTATTCCTATGGGGTTGATTATTAGAATCATACCGAATGTTTGGGTGGAGAGAATCTTCCCTACTCGTGCATTCAATAAATTGCTCTATATTTTGAGTTTCGGATGGCTTAGAAGAAAGAAGAGAAGTGATATCGAATTGGAAGAAGGAGATAGCGATTAGTACGTATTTATAATAAAATGATAGACTTACTTTTGATGTAGATGCAGTGCCAATTGTAGTTAGAAAACAAAATTAATTATAACTGAAGATCTCATATTGAAGCTGTAATTGTAAATTGAATAACTTGTGACTCGTTAGATAAGGGGGAACTACAAATATAATTAGATAAAGTGGATTACACTGGGAGATACAATAGTAAATGCAATGATATTTATTCCTATAAACTAAGCTTGATAAGCAGGTGGAGCCACCTTTTCGCTGGTCCAACCATTATCCTCACTGACCTTTTCCATGGGGACCCACCGTTTTACACGTTCACACTTTGGTGGAACTGGAGGAGGCAAGCCATGAACCAAGCGATACTGCTGTCTTTCTTCGTGTACGTTTTGATAGTGCTGGTGTAAACTGGGGTGCCTTTCTGCGGAAGGGCGAGGTGGTTTTGGAGGAGGGGCGGAGGTACCATGACCAGCATGATGAGGATGAGCGAAATAGTTTGCGTCGTGTTGTTGCTCGTATGAGAACACTTGTGGATGTGGAGTTGGTGGACGGGAGTTTGGACTATGATGGACGTGGTCATAGTGGTACTGTGAGTGGTATCCTTGGTATGGTTCTTGGTAGTATGTGTGGTGAGGGTGGGGTTGTTGTTGAGCGGGTGGTTGGTGATAGTGTTGTGGAGCGGGTTGTTGGTGATAGTGTTGTGGAGCTGGTGGTTGTGAATGATGTTGTGGTTGGTGGTGGTGGTGGTGGTGTTGTTGTTGTTGTTGTGGTGGTGGTTGTTGCTGTTGTACTGGCTGAGATTGGGCTTGTGCTGGTTGACGTTTATTCATGATGGCATTAGCAGCCATTGCACCTAAGGCGACACCGCCGACACCCATGAGCATTCCTCTTCTTCTTCTGCGATTGAACATTTTATTTGTGTGTTTGTTATTGTATGATTATGATGATGATGATGGACAAAGATAGGGAAGGACTACAGGATTCAAGTAGTATTTATACTTGGTGAACTTCTTTTATGACATCATGGATAACTACTAGAAAATATGATCTCATCAGCCACGCAGGATCATGACAGGAAATTATTTTTTGCAGCTGGGGACAATGGAGGTCATTGCGCGGAAAAATGTTTCCACATTGTTATTTTTCCATGACGTCGTGAATTGCGCAGGGCAGAATCACGTCTTGTTTCAGTTACGACATTACTGAGGTCAATAGAGCTGCATGTTTATTATGGGGTGGTGCAGATAAGGTTGAGTCATGGTTTTAGCGAACGGGAGGTCTCGGGAGGGCAAGGATCACTTTGTTTTCCCGATTACTAATCGGATATGATATGATCGTTTTAGGTAACAATAGGCCAGTTACGATGAGTATTTATTTTGTCATTACTTTTTACTGCATGTTTTGTATAGGTATACATTCCTATGCTTATGCAGGGGAATTGATCGTTAGGACTTTTAGACACGGACCGGTTTGTGATGGTATTATCGGATGCATCAAACCCCGACACTATCTTTACCCAACAAAAAAAAACTGCTTAGTCCAATCGATTATAAGGCACAATTAATTGAATCTGACCATGTCAAAGGCCAATTGATTAGGACACAACTAGATCTAACTAAACTTCCGTAAGAAGGCACAACTGCGCCCAAAGCCCATTGGTGTAGCACCTGAAACAAAGTGCGCAGCATTCCGATCGTTTCCTATCAAGAACTACGCCTCCCGCCTCAACCTAATATTTCATGCCTTATTTCCGAGCTGGGCCTCCCCAAAAAAAAAAAACAAACTGTGGTAACCGCGGCATGCACCCTATACTATTATTTTGCGTCATAGACGATGCATAGTCCGTGCTTTGCGCGCAGTACACTATAAAAAAAAAATTATGACAAAGACTTTTCATTGCTATATATGGTGACATCAACCATGACACAAGCTAGCATCAGTAGTGACTTGGAGTCACGCAGGGTCGAAGAGCTCGACCGTCTCCTTACTTTGCTCAAGCCGCGGATTCTCCAGTATGTCGAATCAGCTGATCCGCAATCGGCAAACTACAATCCAACATCGCTTGGGACATATCATGAACCCGAGTTTCTCAAACAGAAGATTTTGAATGGCGATGATTTGGCCGAGAAGTGCAGCGAGGATGAGTTGTTTAATGTTATTGATAAAGTGTTGGAGTACTCTGTCAACACTTGGAACCCGGGGTTCTTGGACAAGTTGTATGCGCTGAACAACCCCATTGGTGTGGTCTCGGATATCATCTTATCCATGCTCAACACCAACTCTCACGTGTACACTGTATCACCTGTGTTATCAGTGATTGAAAATTACATTGGAAGAAAGTATGCGCGGTTGTTTTACACTAAGGACCAGGAAACGTGTGGTGGGTTGACGTTTGCTGGGGGATCCTGGTCGAACGTTACCAGTTTGCAAATTGCCAGATCGATGAGATTCCCAGATACTAAAGTCAAAGGGAACCAAGGGTACAAATTTGCCATTTACACTAGTAAGCACAGTCATTATTCCGTGGAGAAAGCTGCCATTTTACTTGGATTGGGGTCTGAGAATGTGTTCAAGATTGATGTGAATGCTGTAGGAACCATGGATGTTGCTAAATTGAGAGAGACCATTGCAACCACCAAGTCACAAGGGTACACTCCGTTGTACATCAATGCAACGGCAGGTACCACTGTATTTGGTTCGTTTGATCCATTCACAGAAATTGCAGCTGTGGCCAAGGAGTTTGGGGTCCATTTCCACATTGATGGGTCCTGGGGAGGCAATGTCATATTCTCGTCAAAATACCGTGGCCGTCTTGCCGGATGTGAATTAGCTGATTCCATCACCGTCAACCCACACAAAATGCTCGGTATCCCCAACACCTGTTCATTTTTGTTGCTTCCACATGTAGCTCACTTCCAAACCGCCATGTCGTTGCAAGCACCGTATTTATTCCATGGCCGTGAGTCAGGTGAGGAAAACTATGATTTGGCCGATGGAACCATGGGATGTGGAAGACGTAGTGACGCGTTCAAGTTCTACATGGGCTGGCTCTACTACGGGACCGCGGGCTTTGAAGCTAGAGTCAACCATGCATTCACCATCATGGAATATTTCGTGGCTCGAATCAGTGCCGATTCTCGATTTGAGTTGGTTGGAAGCAGCAAGGAAAACCTTCCCCAATGTCTCCAAGTTTGCTTTTATTACCATCCAAGCTGTGGGTGTGACAATACGAAAGTGACGCGATTCATTTCCAGAGAGTTGCACAAGATGGGGAAATATCTTGTTGATTTCAGTCCCAACGCCGACGGATCAGATAAGGGGGAGTTTTTCCGGGTGGTGTTCAATTCTCCGATCTTGACGAATGACGTGATTGACGATTTGATTGACTCAATTGTGAAGGTGGGAGAACGGTGTGTGTAAAAATGAAAAGAATTCCCACGTTTTGTACATAGTTGATAGATAAGAGACGTTGATAGGCACGTTACATTATAGAAATAGATAAGCCATTGTTATTATCGGTATGTACGGCTGGCAAGCATATATTTGAGTTATTAACTCGAGATAAATAAACTATTAGCTCGAGATAAACCATTATGTGATTAATCCAAGATAACCTCGAGATAACCAGTAGATTTCGAAGTAACATACACCAGTACGTACAGTTGCAAATTGATTTTATGCAAGCATTTGCAAAATGCAACATCGATTTCAATACGACCAGAAAAAAAATTTTTTTTTCTCGGTGCAACATAATTGAATGTTACATTGGATACGGATGCACTGGTACCCTGGAGAGGACAACGCAACCTAGCCTCAAACAGGCAATTAATCTTGACGTGGTTGACTAAAGTGGGGTTGTGGGGTTTTACGAAGTTAGCCAAGACCGAACGCGTGTCCACCTAAAACAAACCTTAAATCATGATTATCATCAAATCGTAAAATCATGAAATCGCGAATCATTTGACAATGATGATACAGCCCCGCCTGGGAGGAGGAGGGAGTTGCGATACCAGGGAGAATATCACCAGGTGATTCTCTTTCTAGAATAAACTACAATGGGGTTACTGTATAGGCGGGTTCAATTACGACAGGTTGTTCCCGGAACTAGATCAATTAAAAATCAAAAAAGCAATCTTGTAAAATAAGCCCGGTTTTGTGGTAATTGCATGAGTAATCAAGAAAAATTTTCTACTACTACTACTACTACTACTACTACTACCAAGGAATGGGTATGGGTTCTGCCGCGGGGGCTCGTTTAAATGAGCTTTTTTATATCGTGTAATTTCACATTGTAGATGATACAACCTTGGTGTATAATTGCACGCTTTGTTTTGGCCAAGGGTGAAATATTTTTTTGGCATTTGTGAATTAGTTTGATTTGGTAATATCGCTAAGTTTTTCCCTGGCTAATTTATCCGTATTGCAGGTGGAATTGATCCTTTGAAGCATGCCTAACTTGTGCCGAAAGTAAACTCTAGCAACAGAAGAGCTGTCCCTCATCGCACTGAGATTGTACTGATATTGTACTCTTTTCACTTACTAATACGAGACGGCTCATTGCAACTAAAAATAACTAGGGCAACAAATAACATGAGGCAAAAAAGGAATTAGCAATAGACAAATAAAACCTTTTGTGCATGTAAGCCCAAACATTAAAAAAAAAAAATATTTTTTCGGGGTCTCAAAATCAAGTACAACCATGTTACATTGAGATCGTTTGGTTTAAGGTTACCTCGCCAAAATTAAGCAACACTGGCCACAAACTCTATGTAAAGCGCAAATAAGGGTAGTTTAAACTGGGGAGGTCTTGGCTGGCTGGTGGGCCGGGCCGTTGTATCAGATTGCATGGTTTGTGTCCCTGGACATCGCCTGTGCCTGAGCACAGTTCATTTGCAGATTACGCACATAGTTATTCCGTGCCATTTTTTTAAAAAAAAATAGCAAAACAAAACAAAAACGCGCCATATACTAAATTGACATCATCTGACATATCTTTGCAAGATGTGTGCAATAGCGAGACATATGACTGCAAAACATAAAGTTTATTTTTAGCTTATCTTAGGCTCATGGATTACCATGATATCATGTAAATACGTAAAGTATAGTACATGCAATGGTTTTTTTCTTTTTATTATTTTTTTCACTATGTGAGGTGTTTGAAGTGTTCTTTAAAAAATATTTTATTTTTTTATGCAATAATTTAAAAATGTTTTTTTTTAATGTGCCACTGGAATTTTAAAAATGGAACATCTGAGTAAAACCCTTTTGTTATCTTTAATTTGGGGCTAAAAGGTGGAGACAAAGATACAGAACTCGATCGCTTGACAATGAATCACAAGAGCGAACTTGCACAACATAAATAGGTTATTGATTTTCCACAAATTTGCATTAAAACTTTTTTCCTTCTTATCATCAAACAAACACACATACATATTCACTATGGACGAAAAGTCTCCAAAGATTGACGTGAACTCTAACTCTTCCTACGATTCACCATCTCAGGATTTAGAACACCAACATGAACATCTTGAATTGAAGCACCACACTTCTGCTGAAATCGAAGCCGATGGCCACTGGTACAACAAGAAGATCAGCTTCTTCGGCACTGGGTTCAGATACTCTTCCGCCATGACCCAGATCGTCATGCTTGCCTTTGTCGTTTTCATGACCCCAGGTATGTTCAACGCTCTTACTGGTATCGGTGCTTCTATTGACGACAAGCACACTGCTGATAACGCCAATGTGGCTCTTTACTCTACTTTTGCTACTATTGGGTTCTTTGGTGGTACCATCTGTAACATCATCGGTGTCAGAGCTTCTCTTATGCTTGGTGGTACTGGTTATGCTCTTTACGCTGGTTCCTTATTGGCTTTCAACCACACTAGAAACAAGGGTTTTGTTATTTTCGCTGGTGCTTACTTGGGTCTTTGTGCTGCTGTCTTGTGGGCTGCTCAAGGTACCATCATCATGTCTTATCCTACTGAATCCACCAAAGGTAGAGCCATTATGGTTTTCTGGGTTATTTTCAACTTGGGTGCCGTTATTGGTTCCGTGATTCCATTAGCTGACAATATCGAAAACAAGGGCAGTGCTGCTAACGACGGTACTTTTATTGCCTTTATCATTTTGATGTGCTTGGGTTCTATTATTGCTTTCTTTATGTTGCCAATGTCCAAGGTTTTCAAGTCCGATGGTACTAAGGTCATGGGTCAAAAACACCCATACTGGAAGGACGAATTGATTGGCTTGGGTAAGTTGTTGCTTAACGAACCAAGAATCTTGCTCATGTTCCCAATGTTCTTCTCTTCTAACTGGTTCTACACCTATCAATTCAACAACTTCAACTACGGTAAGTTCAACCTTAGAACCAGATCCTTGAACTCGTTGCTTTACTGGTTGGCCCAAATGGTTGGTGCTGTGTGTATTGGTTTCGTTCTCGATTGGCAAAAGTTCAGACGTAGTATCCGTGCCAGAATTGGTTTTGTTATTATTTTCATTGCTGGTTTAGCCATCTGGGGTGGAGGTCTCAAGTTCCAATTGGGATTCACTAGAGAACAAGCCGAATCTGTCCCACCAAAGTTCACTCCATTGGACTATACTGATGGTGGATACATTGGTCCTATGTTCCTTTACATCTTCTATGGTATGTTTGATGCCATTTTCCAATCGTACATTTTCTGGATCTTGGGGGCCTTGTCCAACAACCCCAAGAAGACCGCCTTGTATGCTGGTTTTTACAAGGGGATCCAATCTGCTGGTGCCGCTATCGCATGGAGATTGGACGCTATTGGTGTCAGTTACATGGCCTTATTTGCATCTTCATGGGCCATGATCCAGGTCAGTATGTTGATTGCTGCTCCTTTGATCTTTTGGTACATCAAGGACCACACCTCTGCTGACGAAGACCACATGGATGAAGTTGTTGGTGAAGAAGAAGTCACCAAGGAATTTGATGTTCAACATGAAGAACAGTAATTGTTGATTAATTAATAGAATATGTTTCGTATTTAATATAATGTTTATGTAACACACCAGCAGCTTTGTAGTATTGTGTGCTAGCAGCATCAGCAGCATCAGCAGCAGCATAAGCACCACCACTACCTTAGAACGACCTCGGTAAATTTACCGGGAGACTCGCAGTAATTCTACCGCGAGGAATTTCGTGTGGACCCGCCCTAAACTCTTCATCGCACTAAAAAAAACAAACCACCACCACCACCACCACCACCACAAAGGTCTCACACCAATTGATAACCAACACCCACTAATGTCCGACTCACTCCATCTATACAACCTTACCCTAAAGGACTCATCCCACTATACTCACACTCTACTAGGACAGTTCCATCCCAAGGATCCCGCCACACAATTCCTTGTCCTCATCTCACCCACCCACATCGACCTAGTCCAACCAAACCCTGACACCGGCAAGCTTCAACTCATCCACCATCAAAAGGTTATTGGCGTAATCAACCAAGCCAGTGTCATCCGCGTCGAAGAACTCGATCATGTAGTGGTTACAAGTGATTCCGGAAACTTATCAGTGCTAAAGTTCGACGGAACCAAATTCGTTCCCGCGATGAACATCGGGATGACCAAGAATGGATGGGGTAGAACATACCCCGGTGAATTTCTCGCCGTTGACCCGTCTAACCGGTGTGTATTCACAAGTGCCGTGGAAAAGAACAAGTTGATATATAAAGTCGACTCCGAGTTGAGCTCCCCGCTCGAAGCCCACTTCAATGGTGTTTGTCTTGGAGTGTGTGCCTTGGATACCGTTTACGAAAACCCCTGTTTTGCTGTGTTGGAAATGGAAGACCAAGTAGCGTTGAACTATTATCACTTGGATCTCGGATTGAACCATATCATCAAGTCGAAAAGTGACCCAATCCCCCAGGATGTGAACTATGTCATTGGGTTGCCTGGTCATATTGGCGGTGTTCTCGTTCTGGGAACCAATTGGATGTGCATTGACCGCAAGAACGAAAGGAAATTCTTTCCCTTACCGAGAAGGAAAGGCCAGGATACGATGATCACCAGCCATGTGTTGCACAGATTGAAAAAGAACGAGTTTTTCATCTTAATTCAGAGCAGTTTGGGGGACTTGTACAAGGTTGTCGTTGAGTATGATAATGATCGAGAAGTTGTCAAAGATGTCATTGTTAGTTATTTCGATACGATTCCTCCATGTATAAGTTTAAATATTTTCAAAAGTGGGTTCCTATTTGCTAATGTATTGAATAATGACAAATTGCTTTACCAATTTGAAAAATTAGGAGACGAATCGACCACAGTTATCAAATCCTCTCAATACCCAGACCATACCGAAGAGGTTAACATCACATTGAAAGCTCTTGATAATCTTGCCCTTATAGATATCCATGAAAGCCTCAGTCCAATCCTTGATGCAAAACAAACACCTTCCAACATGCTTGTGCTTTCATCACACTACCTCAAACAAGTCACACGAGGTATACCGACTACAGAAATTGTGTCTACCCCATTACCATTCACGCCTACGTCTGTATACACCACAAAGCTCACCCAAGCATCCGTTCACGACTCCTACCTCGTGGTTACATCCTCACTTGCCTCACAAACCCTTGTTCTTTCCATTGGTGAAGTAGTCGAGGAAGTGCCCGACTCGAAGCTCGTGACTGACCAACACACACTTTCCATCCAGCAGATGGGAAAATCCAGTCTTGTACAAGTGTACACCAACGGAATAAGACAAATAGGACACAAAGTGACCGACTGGTTCCTGCCTGCCGGTATTACCGTGACCCACGCCTCCACCAATGCCAACCAAGTAATCATCGCCATGTCCAATTGTGAAGTGGTGTATTTTGAGATTGACGTGGATGACCAATTGATTGAGTATCAACAACGACTCGAGCTTACATCGTCGATAACTTCCCTTGCAATCAGTGATACCAGAAGTGACGTGGCTGTGATTGGGTGTGCCGATGAGACGATCCAGGTTGTGTCACTAGCCGAGTCTGATTGTCTTGATGTCAAGTCCTTGCAGGCACTTAGTGCTAATGCTTCTAGTTTGGTCATGATTGAAAACACAGTGCATATCGGGATGGAAAACGGGGTGTATGCTCGGACAAAGCTCGATATTAAACAGCTCAAAGACACAAGAGTGCAGTATCTTGGATCAAGACCGGTGCTGATGTCAAGAATAAGCGTCGGTGACACTGCTGGTGTGTTGGCGATATCTAGTAGTGCATGGATTGGATACACTCATGACACATGGAGGATCATGCCATTGTTAGATATTGACATCTCTAGCGCTGCTTCATTCAATTCCGAAGATATTGAAGGGATAGTAGGGATCCACGGGAATGAACTTGTGATATTCTCGCTTGGCACTGAAGACGGGTTTGACCCGAGTCATGAATGGACCATCAAGAAGCTGAGATTGAGATATACTCCCAGAAGAATGGTGGTTGATGGTGAGAAGGTTTACGTTATTGAATCTGAGTATGGGATTAAAAGTCCCTACCATACTCAAGACACCGATCAGGACTACTATGATGCATTTGGATATGAACGAGGTGGACCCGGTGCGTCCTGCATTCAAGTGGTTATCAATGAGGAGGTAACACAGAGTATAGAGTTGGAACACACGGCGATATCCATGACGAAAGTGACGTTCAAGAATCAACCATGTTTGGTGGTGGGTGTGACTACAAAACAAACCTATCTTCCAACATCACACGACGAGTGCTTCTTGTACACTTACAAGATCGGTGATACTCTTGAACTACTCCATCGTACTAAATTGACCATCCGCCCAACGGTATTGATTGCATTTAATAATCGAGTTCTAGTCGCTTCTGGAAATCACATCTTGCTATATGAGCTTGGACAAAGTCAGCTCCTTAGAAAGTCAGCCAGTGTGCTTGCCTATCTTGCCCAAATCAACAATGTCATACATATAGAATCTAGTCGTATTGTCATCACTGATGCCCATTCAAGCAGCATCTCCTATGCAAAGTTCGACACGGGGTTGAATCAATTTGTCGGGTTTGCCGATGATGTAATCAAGCGACAAGTCACTGCGATTGTTTCAGTCGATTACGACACCGTGATATCGGGGGATAAGTTTGGGAATATCCGCGTGAGCCGAGTCGACGAGGAGGTTTCCAAACAGACTGACGAGCATTGGAGCTTTATCAAACAGAGTGATGGATTGTTTAATTCCACAGGGTCAAAGTTGAAGAGTCTAGCGTCGATCTACGTCCATGACACACCTATAAAAATGATGAAACTGAAGGATTGTATCGTGTGGACGGGTCTCATGGGGACCATAGGCAGTTTCATTCCATTGTTGACCACTTCTGAGGTTGACTGGTTGCGAAAGTTGGAGCTTGCCATGCGCAACCAAGTGGTTAACTTGCTCGAGAAGGATCACTTGAAGTCGAGAAGTTATTATGATCCAGTCAAGTGTGTGATCGACGGTGACTTGCTTGAAATGTACTATAGTCTCTCTATGGATGTGAAGTTATCCATTGCCCGCCAAGTGAATCGGTCACCACTGGAAATTGAAAAGAAACTTGAGAATTTACGCAACAGAGTAACTTAAAACATGTATAATAAAAAAGCTATTTATACTAAAACGTTATCTTTCTTAGTAGGCGAATCATCTTGTTTAAATCCATTATTCTTTCTATTCAAAGTAGGACTTCCCGGTTCGTCCTTGCGCAAGGGACTCTGTCCGTTGGGAGTGCTGAACTGAACAAAGTTCCAAAATGCAGGCAGGGATTGGTTGGTCCCATTGTTAATCACTCCTCCTGCTCCTCCTCTAGCCTTGGAACCTCTTTCCGGGGTGTATGCTTCGAGCGCCGAAATCTTCTTGGGACTGGTGAAATTAAGACTCAATTCACTGGGGGCACTCGATTGTTCTGGTTTACTCAGAAGGTCAGTGGAATTAGCAGTCGTTCCGTAAGAATTAGATCTTGAGTGTGCAGCAGGTGCTGATGAGAGGTTGGTGGTGGGTGCAGGAGGTGGTGGGAGCGAGTACATCGCTGGTCCGGCAGATGCACTAACGCCCACTTTAGGCAACTTTGGTTGGTCAATGCTTGGTTGTTGTAGTTGGACTTGTTGTCTTAACGGAGATGCTAGTTCTTTACTGTTGACCATGGAGTATTGCTGCTGTGGTTGTTGTTGTTGTTGTTGTGGTTGTTGTGATGGCGGTGGTGGTGGTGGTGGTGGTTGCGCGTACATGATTGGTTGATTATTATAGTAGCGTTGCGCCAGTTGTTGTGCAGGGGGTGGGGGTGCTTGTTGAGGTTGTTGCTGTGGTGGGATTGGTTGGTACATTGGCTGTCCCGTCATTCCCGACATATACGACAAAGGATTAGATTGCATTGGGTTTGTAGGGACGTATTGTGGTGGAATTTGTTGTTGTTGTTGTTGTTGAGGGGGTACCTGTTGTTGTATTATCGATTGTCTTGGAGGCAATTGCTGGTGTTGTTGTTGCTGCTGTTGTATGTTTTCATAGTACCGTGGCTCGGGTAAATGTTTATGAGTGGCTAAATGTAAATGTAATTGTCTCGATACCGAACTGCCTCTTCTCGCCTTGGAAATCGTACCGTCGTTGATCTTATTCAAAAAATCCTGTTTGTAGCTTTGACTGATTTGCCATTTCATCCCCTTCCCAGGTTCATTGGGCCTTCGAGGAACCTTCTCAAATGCTTTGTTCAACGACAAGTTGTGTCTAATGGAGTTTTGCCAGCCTGCCTTGGAATACTTGTAATATGCATAGTGGGAAGCAATCCAGTTGTAGATTTCCGACAACGACATTATCCCCTCGGGGTTGGAAAGGATTGCTTGCGTGATCATGGTGGCGTATGAATAAGGAGGCTTGATATCCTTGGATTCCTCCTTGGACAAGTCCTGATCAAGGTTAGTTTGCAACGAGGTTGCTGACACCGACGAGGGAGATTGGGTAAGACTGACCTTGTCAAACATCTGGAAGTTTTTAATGCTAACGGATTTCTTATGGGGCTGCACCAGCTGCATCTCCTTGTACTTGGCCAACCCACGTTCCAACATCTTGGGTGCTATAACAGCCGGCGAATCCGGCAAGATGAACATCATCTGGGTACCACCAATGTCCAAAATTGCACCCAGATGTAAACCGTGGTCGGTGTTGGGGTTGATCTTGTTGCCGTCGATCTTGGCCCCGTTTCGACCCAACACTTTTAATTGCCAGCACTGTAAGTCCAAGTTGTAAGTGATGGTGGCGTGTTGTCTAGACACTACTTTAGCGGGGCCCAAGTCGATATCAACATAGCTGGTGTTGCTATTACTAGTGGCAGAAGCAGCAGCAGCGGCTGCCACCACATCGGTATTTCTGCCGATAGAGATTGCCAATGACTTGACGTAGTATGTCCAGTCGGCACCGGCAATCTTGGCGTACGCCTGCACTTCTGTGGCCAAGTTCTTGTCGTTGGCGTAGGTGTCAGCGACATTTGTTCTTTCCGCAGGGATGGTCAATGCTGATATTATCGCATTTATGGTGTCCTGGGGGTCGTCTATTATGTCAGGCTCGTGGGACCGTTTTCTAACTTGAGGCGACGTAGACGACATGGGATATTATGCAGGTATTTATATAATCGCAATATTTATTTATATGTATGCAGTGAACACCAGTTGCTGTGTTTGGGTTGGGCTGACTTTTGTTTATGTTTTTTTTTTTTGTCAGAAAAAGTCGTTGATGGTTTGTTTTTGTTTATCCAAGATTTCGGGGGAGAGACACAATTTTCACAAGGGACAAACAATATGCAGTATGTGTGTGGTGAATTACAACGGTGCTGCTTTTTTATGTAGAACTATGCACTGGTATCTGAGCACTGTTTTACTGGTGGGGGTGTAGTGTGTTGTGGGTACAAGAACAAATCAAAAACAGACAGACACAAGAATTCGTTCTATTTGTCAATAGAAGGAAAATCAGAGACCAAAAAAAAAAAAAAATTTTTTTTTCCTACATTACTATAATATTATGAAATTTGCTCCCGGTTCGTAATTAGTTACGTAGTGTGCGTGCGGACCTAAAAAAAAATTACATGATCATTACTACACAAATGTCACAGGAAATCATGATCTAAAAAAATGAGATCTGCATAAATCCGGAGAAAAGATCTCATGATGCGTGGTTATTATATAAATCCGGCAATTACGTAACTTCTCATACCTATTCTATTTCTGTCTATACTCTATATCTCTATCCATACTAGCCGGGCTACTCATATGCTATCGGGATTATAAATCCTTTTCTCCTTATATCAAACCCTCTAGCATCAACTAAGTCTCCATTGACAACATCAACATTAAAATCCTCCTCCTCGAGCCGTTTCTTTGTCAATTCGTTATCATCAATAATATCAAATTCGTCTTCCCCTTCGATATACTCTATATTTTCTTCAATCTCTACAAAATCAGGCGCTAAAGCCGACCATTTCTGCGGAAACACCACCAGCCAGAGATATATAGCCCCACTATCCAACCCAATTGATCCAATCGTACACCGAGAGTAGTTCCACTTGACATCAATCAATTCTTCGTTGGCCCCTTCTAAAATCTTGATCAACGACCCCATGGACGTCTCCCACACGTACAAATCATGTGACGATTGCCCGTAAGTCGACGCCACCAAAAATTCCCCATTATGATTGTAACTCATAGAGTTCCATTGCAATCGATTAACCACATCTTGATACTTGTGGTCAATTTCAAACTCCCAATCATTAGCATCGGAAATGTTGATAAGATCAGGGAGATTGACTTGGCGAATAATACGATCGGACGAATTGACTGCTAGCTTGCGTCCGTTGGATGATATAACTAAATGCTTGATGTTGGAATTTGCAATTTTGATCAGTCGTTTGATAGTGAGAGTTTTTGTTTCAAAAATATTCACCCACCCCTTTGATGTACCAGTAAAGATGTATCCACCATCATTGGGTGTAAATGTAGTCACAAGCGTCATATGCCTATCTTTTCGCTTGGTCTTTTTCGGTTCGTCATCATCCATATCCACATCTTCTCCAAGTGCATCTTGATTTTCGAGCGGGGTTGTGGTAAGGCGGGTGACTTTAGCAACTTCCTCGTGCATATCAACATGCACAGGTGAATCGTCAAACAAACTAGCCACAAACACGTATGGATCATCTGGATGTAAACTAGCACCCCAAATTGGGCCATCGAACTTGACTTGGCGAATAACGGGGTCTTCCTCTGAGTTGTTCACCTTCAGGAAATCCCACAATTTAACATACCAATCCTGCGAACTACTCAACAAGTATCGCCCACAACTACTCCAATTGAGCGAAGTGATTGGACGTACATGACATCCAGTATCTAGATGTACTATCGGTGCAGAACTGATCATGTCGTAAATGATGATTGATCCATCGGCCAATCCCAGGGCAAGATAGTCGCCTCTATCAGTGAATTGTAGTATCACGCTATGTCCATATTGTAGAGTATGGGTCAAACCTTCCGGATACTCTTTAGCGACACTAAACGGGTCCTGTAGTGAAAGATTCATAGGGTAATCGGAAATGTAAACAAGATTTTAGTCATCTGTTTTGTTCACTAGTTCGCTTTTTTTTTTTATTTATTTATTTTATTTTTTTTATTTTTTTCTCTCTGTCTGTCTGTGGTAGTATTTAAGCACCCTCCCCCCACTATCCCCCACCACTATGTAGCTCCGCATTCTCATAAGCGAAATCAGTTATTTCGCGGTTGCATCAGAAAGACAATTAATTTCCTATTTTCTACAATACAACTGTTACCATATCAACTGAAACTACATCTACTCAGACGCAGACACACAACTACACAGACAGACACAGATAGGAACAGGCAGTGGTGGAAGATGCTTATGTTACTTTTTTTGCTTCCATTAACGCAAGCGCTTATATACTTCTACTCCCCAAAGGGTACAAGACGATGCTTCTACATGGATTTACACAAAGACACAATCTTGATTGGGCGGTACAAGATGGAGATCACCACCGATGCAACTAATGCCGGCGACAGTTACACGTCATATTCATACCACACTCCGTTAGACAAAAAGGAAATTGGGGTTGTTATTGATGTTGAGGAAGTATTTGACAACAACCATCGGGTAGTTAGACAGCGCGGGTTTGCCGTTGGACAGTTCAGTTTTAACACCTTAGATTCTGGCCAGCATAGAATATGTCTTACTCCCAAATCGTTCTTGCGACAAGCGTGGTTTAGAAATAACGTCGATTCGTACATTGTTAAAGATCTGAAGTTTGCTATGGCGAGAATTGGCATTGAATTGGCGATTGGTGATACTACGCTACTTGATCTGAAACGATCAAGGGATGTCCAAACAATAAAGGAACAAGTATACGGATTGAACAATAAGCTTCTGTTGATCCGCAGAGAACAATTATTTATTAGAGAGAAGGAGGCCCATTTTAGAGACTTGAGTGAACGCACTTGTGAAACCGTGGTCAATTGGGTCATGATACAATTGGGTGCGATGGTTATCCTATTTATTTATCAAGCTATACGAATTCTGAAGATATTTGAAAAACGGAAAATAGATTAAAAAGTTTGGGAAGTTTCTATTTATAGGCGGTTAATATGATATTTACTTGGTACTATCTCTTGTTACTCCTACTCTTGTGTATTGTGTATTGTGCTAGCATTTTTGTTGTCCTGCATACAACACATGGGCTCTCCTCCCAACTTAATCTCACAGTTTTTACAACCAACTTTTACAACCAACCACCCTTGTTCAGCCTAGACAACAATGACCAGCCAATCATCGGCCAATTCATCGTCAAATAGTCTACTATCAGACACAACCAAGTCAATAACATCACCTCTACGCAAACAAAGATTCGATGATAGATCTCTAACCAAAACAAGTTTGGCATTGATGTCATACCAATCCATGACCTCTTTACAATCACCTTCTCCAATAGCAGACAACAACCAATCAGACCAGATTACCAACATATTCAAATGGCTGGAAATGAATCATTTATCACAGTTGCTTCCGCTGGACTCTCCGTCCCATCTATTGGAAGCAACATCAATCTACATTGCCTTATCCACACCCCAAGGTATTGCAATATTCACCTACGACCAAAAACTAGAGTGTATGCTAACCACACATGAATCAATACCAGCTAGTAATATCACCTGCATGACTTTCTCGTCGGATTCTACATTTCTTGCAGCTGGGTTTACATCTGGCCATATAATACTATGGGACATGAATGGAGACAGAATACCGAGTAATAGCCATCAAACGATCCTGCCATACTACACAATCAATCCAATAACACTCTCATCACGATTCACAAAAAACATTCACGGTCATATAATAAACACGAAAGTCACGTCTCTCTCATTCATTTCCAACCTGATATCGCGACTAATATCGGTAGACGACTCTGGATTAGTGTTTTATCACAATGGTGTTAAGAAGTTCATGAATGTTCATTTCACATGTCAGAAGATACTTGGCCGGAACGATGCAAATATAAGCGATGAGAAATTCAAGATCTTACAGTGTGAAATGTTACCCTGGGGTAATTCCCAACAAATCACCGATCAAATGGGGGTAGTTGCATTGATGACACATACGCTCGTGTTGATTATTTCCACGAGCAGTTTAAATTCAAAAATTCCTAAAGTTAAACAGCATTTCAAGATTGGCAAGTCCAATTTAGTGGGCGATTCTCCCGAATTACATACCACCCTCAGTTGGTTTCCATGCATGGAAGTGGACGGTAAAGTGAACAATGCTAGATTGGCCTATAGTTATAATAACGTGTTGACTATACTCGAACTTGACAATTCATCATTTCCTGACAACTTTCTCAAGGTGGTCAACGATTTGAAAGACAAGGACAAAGCGATTCAACAATTGCCATTTAGAAAACAATGTCGATGGATAAACCAGGGAGTTGTAAGTTTCATGAAATGGGTATCAAAAGACATACTTTGTGTGGTAACTGCAAATACTTTGGTATCATTATATTATAATGGTAAATCACTTAAGCCCGTTAGCGTTGACAATCTTGACTTCACAATAAGAAATATGATACAATTCAAGAATAGACTATTGGTATCAACCAGTTTGATTAAATTATTCATGGGGAAACCGTTAACTTGGGCAGATATTCTCCTAGAAAAACTAGCAAAGGGGGACTACCATCAAGCATTAACATTAGCTAACAATTACTACAATTCTACAAACAATGGCAAATTAGTATTAGTTGGATTACCGAAAGATCAAACTCAACGAGCACTACTTATTCAACCATACCTTGAACGAATAATGAAAGAGTCGTTGCCCTATTTATTCAAAGAAGAAGACCACAGTTATTTAACTGTGTATTTCAATATCATTGCGTATATCGGAGGTTATGACATCCTCGAAAACTTATATGAGGTTGTACCAGACGCTGAATTCTTTAATACACTAGAACCATTCATCCAATCAGGTTCAATAATTTCATTACCCCCATTAGTGCTCAAACGATTAGTGGAACATTATGTGGCTATAGAGAAAGGAGACATACTTACTGAATTGATATGTACACTTGATATTAGGACCTTGGATATTGATTTAACAATCCTGTTGTGTAAGCAATTTGAATTGCGAGATTGTTTGGTTTATGTGTGGAATTTTATACTACATGACTATGAGACTCCCTTGATTGAATTCATACTTGATTTCTCTAGTTTACTGCGAGATGATCAATTGAGTGCATACACCTATATGTCATACATACTTACTGGAAGACAATACCCTACGGATAGGTTTATACCAATAGAGTCTGCCACTAGAGCAAAACAGTCAATATGTGATATATTATTTTCAAGTACATTAGTCACACGACAAGATAACTTGATTGAGACAGATAATGATTCAAGTTTCCCATATTTGTATACGTTCCTCAAGGCCAACTCATTTGAAATGCTTTCCACAATGAATGAATTCTTTGAAGATCCTTACCTTAATGAAAGCACACTAACGAGACAATATTTAACCGAGGCATTGCTAGACGTATATGAGATGAATGATGAACTTACAACCTGGGATAATATCCAGCTTGCAATTTTCATTGGACGAAACTACCCCAAGTATTCTCAATTTCTTCGACTTTCTGAATCAACCATTACTGATATGTTTGATGTGCTTTGTTCAGCTGATGATGTGAGCATTCGACAAGATTGTGAATTGGCGTTGGCCAGTTTATTACCGTTTGTGCCTGATGATGGGCTCATTATTGATAAAATTCGCGTGGCTAAGTATTTCACGGTGTTAATAAACGTATATAAATCCAAAGGGGAATATTCGAAAGCGTTGGAAGTATGGTTGGACAAAGAGCATGACGATGATAACGAGTCTGTGGCACAGCTTATCGAGAATGGATTCATGTTGAGCAAGAATGCCCATGATCGAGTAAACTTGATTCGATTGTTGCGACAGGAGTTTGTCCGGTTTGTCGCCATGGACTTGATTATGTTTTGTAATGTAGTGGAGATTTACTGTCCTCTGGTTCATAACGAAGTGTTGAATATCAAGGATGATGCATTAGCTTACAATTACTTGAAGGTGTTGTTTGAAAAGAGAAGTGATTTAGAGTATGAGTATGTGGTGAGATATCTTGAATTAATATGTTTGTTTAATCGCGATCATGTGTTTGAATATGTCAACGAGTACAAGAAAACCATGAATGATCATCGTGAACAATGCATGGAGATTCTTAAGGATCATGTTGATGGACAAGCTTTGTTAATGGTTAGTCGAGGTGAGTATACTCAGGCTGAAGAGATATTACTACAGCAAATGGCAAAGATAACACCATCACTTGAATCTGATGAATCAGTACGGAGCGAATTTAATCATTTATTACAGTATATCATCAAGATATGCGATGATGCACATGACAATGAAGAACTTTGGCTTGAATTATTACATCAATTGGTTGATATGTCGAATTCAGAGTCTACTTATATTCACGACTTTATTAACACTTGTATTCACGATTGTTTCCGTTACATCAGTGATAATAGCAAATCCAAACAACAACAGCTTGTTATATTTAATCGGTTCCTCGAGCAGTACTCGTCAACTGATAAGATTGCCACATTGTCAAACATTAGAGGAGTATTACAGCAAGTCTTTATATCTTACAGTTATGAGAGCGAAATGTTAAACATATCACTAAAGATGATCAATGGCGACATTTACAAGAATTCTCAAATCATCAAAGCTAACAAATTAAAAGGGTGGAATATTATTTGCAAAAATTGTAGCAGCTGTGGTAAAGTTATGTGGGGTAGTGGAGGCTACAATTTAGACGATCATATCTTAGCATGGGAAGCTCGACAATGGAGTAAAGCCCATGATATCGAATTAGAGGATAAAGAGAAGTTTCATCATTGTGAACTTATTTTTTTCAAATGTGAACATGGTTATCATATGAAATGTTTAGAGAATCTTGGGGCAAATGATGAGAAATATTGTGTAATTTGTGAGTAAGAGGTTTTAATAATCTGTTGGTACAGGTTTGAACAGTGGGTGCGTTGTGCAGGCTTCCCAATTTTTTTTTAAAAAAAATAAAACCTAATAGTTTAAATATTAAAGTTCAACGCTGCATATAAAACTAGCGCAATACGTGCTAGTTTGGATGTTTGGATTTATCGGGGGGTTTAACGTTTGTAATAATCTCGTCTAGTAGACAATACCTTATCTGATTCTGTGTCACAATCTACGTGTGTGTGTGTGTGTAGGTAACCCCTTGCAGTAGCGGGACATTACATTCTCCCGTGAGCCCACCTGGAACAATCACGTGATCAAAGGCGTAACTGAATTAACAAAGACAGAGAATAAAAAAAATGTATCTAAAATTAGATTACCCAATTTAGGAGGAGTTGCAAATCACCTTTCCGAATTTGGCAATAATGTAAACAAATCCTAGTCTGCGAGATGCAGTGGACACAACCCAGTTATTAATTAAGAAAACCAAGAGCTATGATAGTTGCCCCGATATAACCTTGTCAAATAGCCTATAGTGATGAACTAACCATATGTATATTAGGGTATCCAGCTAGTGTCGGATACTGTGACATTTTCTTGATAGATCTTACGTCTGTTGTCGATCCAATTATTTTTTTTTTTCCAGGAATGTTTCATTTATTATTATTATTTTTTTTTTTTTAGACTAAAAATTTTTGATCCTGAGCCTCCGTCAGTAACTGGGTGGGAATTTTAAGGAGGTTGTCGCTTTTCCAATATAAATATAGAAAATTGGTTTTCTTCTGTTTTATCTTTTCTCTCAACTCAACACATCTTTCCCTACAGCATGTCCAAGTTGTCTCCTTCTCAAATGGACATCTTGTCTGATGTTGACGACGAACTCTTTGATAACGACTTTAGCCCACCTGGGCCAGGCGGTGCTGTGCCACCACCATTATACCCCTCAGCAGCCACCACTACCTCCCTCACCAATACCAACAGATTAAACTCTCGCAGATCCTCATACAACAATATAAGTTTCTACAATACCCCTTCCCACTCACACTCACAGCTGAACCCCTTCAACAGTCCCCCTGGTGGCTTCAGTCGCTCGCACCACCAACATACTCCAAGTTACAACGAGTTCGACGAGTACTCATACAACTATGAATACTTCAACCAAGATCCACCACCACCTTCCACCGCTAACTCCCTGCAAAACCAATCACAGCCTAAAAGAACTAAAACCGTTGCTTTCAGGGACGTGGAACCAGAATACCCTCCAATCGCTTACAGCCCCAGCAAAGTCCAATATGAAGAACACGACTTTGATTTGGAAGATCAAGCGGTACCGTTGCTGAATCTCCGCCGATCAATGACATTTACCGGTGGTGACTATATGATCAACCCCTTGCAGGATGCTGATGACGACGACGATTTGGATCCGTTCGGTGATGACGAATCTTTGTTCTCCGACACCGGGGAGGAAATCGTTAGACGAGGAAACACAATTAAAAGAGCAGGCACTCTTCGAAGAAAAAACACGTTGAAATCAAAAACTTCGCACTTGGCCGATTCCGATGACGAAGATGATGATTTCAAACCAAAGTTGACCTACACCAAGACCATTAAGAAAGCCAGGTTGGTCAACGGGAACTACGTTATTGATGCTCCTATCCCCCAGGCTTTGCTTGACACTTATGGTAAGAAAATCGACGATGGTGGTAGAGAAATGTCGTTTATGAGATATACTGCTGCTACTTGTGGTCCTTCAAATTTCACTGCCTTCAACTACAATCTTAGACAAGCAATGTACGATCCACCAAGAGAAACGGAAATTATGGTTTGTATCACCATGTATAACGAAGATGAAATATTGCTTGCTCGTACCCTTTATGGTGTTTTCCAAAACATCAAGAATTTGTCAAGAAGATCCGACCCAACTTGGGGTGACGATTCCTGGAAAAAAGTCGTGGTTTGTATTGTCAACGATGGTCGTTTGGAATTAAACAAAAGAACCGAAACTCTTTTACGTGCCCTTGGACTTTTCCAAGACGGATATGCTAAATCCAATATTAACGATAAATCAGTAAAGGCTCATATTTACGAATATACTTCCACTGTTGGTATTGATGTTGTCAATGATCACGTCCATTTAGGTCCAAACTCGCAACCAGTGCAATTTATTTTCTGTTTAAAGGAAAAGAACAGCAGAAAGATTAATTCTCATAGATGGTGTTTCCAGGCATTTGCGCCAATTTTGAACCCTAGAGTCATTATGTTATTGGATTGTGGTACCAAACCTTCCAAAGACGCTTTTTACTATTTATGGCGGGCATTTAGAGATCCTAATGTCGCTGGTGCGTGTGGGGAAATGAGAGCTTCTCTTGGTCCAAACAAGAAATTGTTGGCAAATCCATTAGTTGCAGCACAAAATTTCGAGTATAAGATTTCCAATGTGTTGGATAAACCCATGGAATCGGTATTTGGGTTTATTTCTGTGTTGCCAGGTGCGTTTTCAGCATATAGATATGAAGCTTTGTTGAATGTTAATGGTCAAGGTCCATTGGAAAAGTATTTCAAGGGGGAATACTTGCATCAAAATACCCAAGTCAACGAAGATGAAGAAGATGACGAAAGAGATATCAAAGAACGTAATTTCCAAGAAGCCGGTATTTTCACATCAAATATGTACTTGGCCGAAGATAGAATTTTGTGTTTCGAATTAGTGGCTAAAAGAGATCATAATTATGTTTTGAGATATGTTAATGAAGCCAAGGCAGAAACTGATGTTCCTGAAAGAATTGATGAATTTGTCTTGCAAAGAAGAAGATGGCTTAATGGTTCCTTATTTGCGGCCGCATATGCTGTGTTCCATTGGACTAAGATTTGGAAATCTGATCATTCGTTATTCAGAAAATTGTTCCTTCAATTAGAATTTTATTATCAGTTGATTACAATTTTAGTCTCGTGGTTTTCCTTAGCTTCTTTCTTTTTGGTGTTTAGAATCTTGACTGCTAACTTGGGTTCAGATGAAATGGGATTCCCCGTAGGTAAATATCTTGCCGTGATTTTCCTATGGTTCTACGTTGGTTGTGTTATTGTTACGTTTGTTTTGGCCTTTGGTAATACCCCTCGTGGTACGCGGAAGTTCTATCTTGTAATTGCTATATTTTTTGCAGTGTTGATGGCATATATGATGTTTGCCGCCATTTTCCTTGCCGTTCATACTGCTCAAATGATTGTTAATCTGCATAAAGATGATTTTAATATAACGATGATTTTCACCAATGGTAAATTCCGAGATTTGGTGGTGTCCGTGGTGTCTACTTATATCTTATATTTTGCTGGTGCATTCATGTTTGGAGAACCAAGTTTCATGTTCACTTCATTTGCCCAATATGTCCTTCTTTCACCAACCTATATCAACGTCCTTAACATTTACGCCTTCTGTAACATTCATGATGTTTCTTGGGGTACTAAGGGTAATGTTCAAGCTAAAGATTTGGGTTCCGCCAAATCTGTGGGTCAAGGTAGTGATGAATTAGTTATGATTGCACCTGGGGTCGTGGCTGAATTGAATGAATCTTACTTGGAAACTCTTGAGAATTTAAGAACCATGGAACCAGAACCATTACCAGTCAACAAAAAGAAATTAAAGGACGATGCATACTATGCATTTATTAGAACCATGACTGTGTTAATCTGGATGTTGACTAACGGTATTTTGATTATGATTGTTTTGGAAACGGCTGGGGTCGATACATTTACTGGTGATAGTCAAATTTCTGCTGATGGATCCATTCAAGGTAATTCGAGAACTTTCTTGACCATTATCTTGTGGATTGTCGCGGGGTTGGCAATGTTTAGATTTATTGGGGCATTCTTGTTCTTGGTGTTTAAAGGATTTAGACCATTAAAATGGAAGTGGAGAGCTAGAAAGGAGATTAAAAAGGCTCACAAGAATGGTTAAATAGTGTATTTCAGTTTGTTTATATATTTATCGTGTAAAGTTCGTTATTTGGACGTTATGAACTATGTAGATGCTATTAACCAGGGCAGAAGTAGTTTTCTATCGTGATAGAGCATCTCTGAGGGACCAACTTTTCGAAGTTCTTTGAGCAATTTGGAATTACCAAAATAAGCACTATACTAATATGGTAGATTTCCCCAATCATCATTGTTGCTGATGCTATAACTCATTAAAGACTGACTGACAGTTTTAATCGGAGAAAACAATTAGCTTTAACCTCCTTTAACTAAGGATACCACCAGCAACACTGAGAGGGGAAATCATAATCTAACTATATCGACGTCTCATTTCAGCAACAACAAATTCTTTCCAGAGGTAGTATTCAATATAAACCCAATTAGGCAGCATAAATGGTGCTATAGGAAAATAACAGCTGCTATTTTGATACATGCGATCTGACATCTAGTCTGAGATTAGCATTCGTTTGCTTTTAACATGAAGTGGTGATCATTTTCAATTAACGTGAGTCTAATATCAGCAAAAAGAAAAAGATAGCGATATAGATTTGAAAAGTTTCTGGGGAAATTTGGAGCTCTTTTATAGTTTGAAATTTGCCGCAACTAGAATCTTGGCCCCAGCCACAAACACCGACAGAAATGGTTCTCCGATTATCGCAACAATGGTGCATAATATAAGGCACAAACTCAGAAATGGTACATAAACCCGGTTTATAAGAATATTCAATAAGTTAATAATTAGTTGTTCTTGCTGACGATCTGACGATCAGATCAGATCCAATTTTCTTGTTCCCAATCCGTATTCTCTTTGATAAATTTTATTATGTGCTTGAAGAACTAGAGATATTAGTTTTGAAGAATTCCAAAATTCATTGCCCTACCAAGAAACCTAATTCATGTCTCTTTATATTAATATTGGATTACATGATGAACCTAGTTGATTTTGAAACTTATATGGTGATCGTTATCACAAAATTTCATTCATCCTAGCTGTAAAACAGTATTTTTTGCAGCCTTTTCAGAAAATTTAGAGAAAATTTCATGTTATTTTTACTCAACAGAATTCCTTCCGAAACAGTAACTACAAACACCCGCCAAGTAATCTCATCTGGAAGAACAAATGAATTAGATCCTTCACTCTTGTAACTAGTGGAGCTATTCCATACTTGAATGCACATTACGTCGCATTTTAAGCGGAGATACAGATTTAGTTCTCAAGTAGAATTAGGGGTTAATAATAAACACGTCATGTGTCAGGTGATTGCATGTCGCTGGCTTTCGATTTACTCCTATTCTATATTGCCAGATTCGTAGAATTAAGGGGTAATACGAGATTGATCTGCAAGTAACTACGATACAGAAATTTGCCTTACAGCTCAATTCTACAAAAGGCACCCGCTCGGCTATCCTTTCCAGAACATCTACTCGCAATAACTTGTCGATTGTCTCAATTATTGTCCAGTTCTTTAGCTTGCTAAAGTTTGCATCGATTGAGAATGTTAGTACTAACTTCACAAAGCCGTTGCAAAAATTTTTTTTGTCTGATTTATAATGTAATATTGGACAAAGATAACGAAATGCGAGCGGATACCTTAATTGGGAGATAGAGGGTGCGGGATTAAACATTTTGTCCAGCAATTTGTTACCACACAGAATTTCTTTTTTTCGTAAAACAATAAATTAAAAAAAGTGCTCAAAAATTTTTTTGCACCAATACAAAAACGAAACCAGCAACTCATTGGATCGATTGTCGGGTGCCACGGAAATCGTGGAGAGGGTATTGTGTTCAATTGAATGTGGTGGTGGGGTAACTCCTGGAAGTCGTCGATATTAGATTGTACACATTCTTCTATATACACACACACACACCGGCACAATCTTCAAGTAGAAGAGAGAAAATTTTTCAAATCTTGAAAAAAAAATAACGGTTTAACCCCATGAGCAGGAAGTTCAAACCGCCAAGACAATCGTCATAATAGTGGGGTTGGTGGAGGACATAGACACATTCCCTCTGGCGAAAATAAAAACTGTGGGTTTTATTACAAAAACCACCACATATAGGACAATAACAACCGTTCAGACAGAAAAAAAACGCATACAAAAAGGACCCCTCAATTGCTTGCATTACACCTAAAAAAATGCCTTACATGAAAAATATTATATGCAAGCAAACCGTTTTATTTTTTAATTCTATTCTTTGTTCTGATGAACCAATTACGTTTTAAGATTTTGTAGTGATACTGAACTTACTCAAAATCAAAATACCGCAGGGCTGTAATTGTATGGCGTTTTTTTTATGCGTTGAATTATAAACAGAGGATGCAAGAGGATTTCACTCTTGTATACGCCATAACCAAGTTCCTGCTTTCAGGATCAAACAATTCGGTAAAGTCGGTAACATACAAGCTCATAACCTCTTATCATTTTCTCCAACTCTAACTAAAACTGAATGTGGGTGAACAAAAGTTTAATTTTGAAAATTTTGAAAAATTAATGCGCTATTTTTTTTTAGGCGCCGGAGTTATGACAGAGTACGAAACGAAGCAAAACGAAGAAAAAAAAATGCACTCGGATAAATCGATAGTAATATTATTTACACAAAGCTGCAGGACCAGAAAAAAAAAAGTTTTTTTTTTTTTTTGGAAAAGTGTCTGAAAAAAATAACAAATCTCAACCTCACTGATTTTTAAGAGGTGTCACCTTATATTTGTTGATATGATGATAAAAAAGAAATGTGAAATGGGCTGAGATTATCACCCATTGATCCTTTTATACGAGCGAACTATTCCAGTCATTATCTAAACTGTCTAAAGTTTCAATCCTAATGCACTTAATTTAACTCTACAGAAGGTAACAGTTGTGTACTTGCTCTCAACCATAAACAAGTTTTGTGCTAAAGCGAGCTCGGATATAATTTCTCTCACTTTTTTGCAATAATCTATACAAAACTTCAAGTTCGTACATCTCTGTAAAGAATAGTTACGCTTTATGTATGAATAATAAACAAAAGAAATATGCCAACTTAAGCCGTGTTTGAATGACCCAAGGCTGGAAAATAGTTTCCATCAAGGAAGATCATATTAAACGAATATGTAAACATCGTATCTTAACCTAAAATGGAAACTTCTAGCCTGACAAAACCGACCTTAAACCCCTGCAAAATGTTCTACGTCATATCAAATATTAAACGAGTTGGTATCAGGTGATTTTATCAGGCACCGACATTTTCATACAAATCGACAGAAATAACAATACAATGGTAGAACTTGAAGTATTATTTGTTGCTCCAACCATATTACAATAGACAGCGATCGGGTAGTATGGATATGGATCGGTATCTATTCTACGTATCATGAAGCATGTAATTTCTTTTGCATTTGGAACTGATTGAACGGCCCGAGTGAATCCGGCAATAAAATTCACTCACGATCACGGCTAAATTTTCGATTCGGTGCCGAACTTTCAACTATTTCGGGAACAACTTCAAAACAACCACAAACCAGTTATATCCGGCTGAATAGTAGTAGCGGCTTATTAGATGCTGGCCAGGTCCATAGGGCCCTACCGAGAACTATTGTGACACAGGATTGGCCTAGAAGTATTTTTAGTCAAGAAATTTTGGTGCAATTTTTTTTTTTATTGTGTAGTGGAGTCAAATTTGTGGTTATTACCTATAAGCCAGATTTGTGTCTGTAATTGTTTTGTCATTAGCTCTGACTTCATAGCGATAGATTTATACAGACACTCGTGGGCTTCATTTAGACAAGATTTACCATTTAATCAGTCAACGTGTTTCCAAGCTATATCCTGCAGTTAAATAATAGAACTTTTTCCACATGGAGATGGTTATTGTTTCTAGAATGGACTGCAAGTTTTGCTTCTACGATTACAGATCTGTTATCTACTCTATTTATTCAATTCAATTAATTTGTTTTCGATTTACTGCAAAATCGAAGATCAAGTTGCAAAGTCTAGTGCGACAGATTCGAAGGGCCCACGTTGCCTCTCCCCCCCCCCCCCCCCAAGCCAATTTAACGGAATTTGTGGGAGGACAAGAAAACATGACTTGAAATTATGATATTATTATACGAAATTAGTACACGACCTCATCTCGAAATTTGTGTTCCCCTGCCTGAAAAAAAAAGACTGGTCACCCCAAAAGCTTGCTGTAAATTTCATATTTTCTCCTCCTCATCGCGCATCTCTATAGCGTCAACCCCCTTGTACAAAAAATATCGGTGACCAAAGTGAAAAATAATCCAAAATCATTCCATGTACGAAAAACTTGAATGACTAGACTTGGTGTCAAAATGATGTTTTTTGTCATGACTTGGACAGAAATCTATATAAATGGGTAGTTTAGGTAGGACAATTGCTGGCCAGTGCTTGCGCGCCCAAACCAGAATTTAGTTTGGCTCACCTGCAGGAGAAATATCTTCTATTTTTTTAATATCTATCACCGAAACGTAAACATTTATGCATGAACATTTTTGTAAGTTACTCCGAGACCACCGAGAACAATCCCCCCAGTAATTTAGGGTTTCGTTCCCAACTTCATCTACGGCGCACCCCCACTACTTGGTTACACTCCCACATACATCCATGCTAAAACTCTGTCCTATACCGGTGTTCGGCTAAACAGCATAAATTCTAACTTGAACACCATTTGTTTATCATTTGACAATGAAAACAGTTTAATTAAACCGATAGATTCAGTCAGACACTTTTGCTGAGGTAAGGTCATTCATTGTTCCTGTCATATTTGTATATCCACTTGCCTAATCAGGACTGTGTGTCACATGACATACGTCATTTATGCAGGTCGCATAACCCAATTTGGTAGAAATCTATACCAAAACACAGAATTTATTTGTTTCTTTTTTATCCAATGTCAGGAAGAAAAAAAAGAGGATAAATCCCTCAGACATTTTTTTCTCATTTTGTTCATGCATGAAATATTATTTAGTCAAATCAAATCAAAAATAATTAATGATAACCACCCCCCAAAATTATTTCCCGCACAATTTTAAATTTCACTCACTGTTATTTACACACTTTTTTTTTTGTATTTATTTATTTTTTTTTATTTTCTACCAGCCGTATTTTAAAATATAATTTCGAACAGACAAAAAAAAATGGTCAATGGTTTCCACTAAATTAATTTCCATCGCTGTAGTTTTTCCTTTTTTTATAAATTCAAGATAAATTCCTGAAATCTCGTTGAATCTTTCACCCTTCTTTCTTTTCTTTCCTTCTTTAGTTTTCACTCTCTTTATTTATAATCCTTATTTATTATGAGTGCTACTGAACCAACCAAAGAAAAGGTTGCTAAGAACCTTTCTGACGATGAAGATGAAGACATCGATCAATTAGTTTTGGATTTGCAATCCAACCCAGCTGCCTTGGACGACGATGAAGAAGCCCAAGATGAAGGTACCTTCAAGGCTGTCCCAGAAGAATTATTACAAACTGACCCAGCCACCGGTTTATCCGATGACGAAGTCTTAAAGAGAAGAAAGAGATTCGGTCTCAATCAAATGGCTGAAGAACAAGAAAACTTGGTCTTGAAGTTCATTATGTTCTTCGTTGGTCCAATTCAATTCGTTATGGAAGCCGCTGCCGTTTTAGCTGCCGGTTTAGAAGATTGGGTCGATTTCGGTGTTATCTGTGCTTTGTTAATGTTGAACGCTTTCGTCGGTTTCATCCAAGAATACCAAGCCGGTTCTATTGTCGATGAATTAAAGAAGACTTTAGCTAATGTTGCCCTTGTCGTTAGAAACGGTCAATTGATCGAAATCCCAGCTAACGAAGTTGTTCCAGGTGATATCTTACAATTAGAAGATGGTACTGTTATCCCAACCGATGGTAGAATTGTTTCTGAAGACTGTTTGTTACAAGTTGATCAATCCGCTATTACTGGTGAATCCTTGGCTGTTGACAAGAAGCACGGTGACTCTTGTTACTCTTCTTCCACTGTTAAGACCGGTGAAGCTTTCATGGTTGTTACTGCTACTGGTGACTCTACTTTCGTCGGTAGAGCTGCTTCTTTAGTTAACAAGGCTTCTGCTGGTACTGGTCATTTCACTGAAGTTTTGAACGGTATTGGTACTACCTTATTGGTTTTCGTCATTGTTACTTTGTTAGTTGTCTGGGTTGCTTGTTTCTACAGAACCGTTAGAATTGTTCCAATCTTGAGATACACTTTAGCTATTACCATTATCGGTGTTCCAGTTGGTTTACCAGCTGTCGTTACCACCACCATGGCTGTCGGTGCTGCTTACTTGGCTAAGAAGCAAGCTATTGTCCAAAAGTTGTCTGCTATTGAATCTCTTGCTGGTGTTGAAATCTTGTGTTCCGATAAGACCGGTACTTTAACCAAGAACAAGTTATCTTTACACGAACCATACACTGTTGAAGGTGTTGAAGCTGATGACTTGATGTTGACTGCTTGTTTAGCTGCTTCCAGAAAGAAGAAGGGTTTAGATGCTATTGATAAGGCTTTCTTGAAATCTTTGATTAACTACCCAAGAGCTAAGGCTGCTTTGACTAAGTACAAGGTTTTGGAATTCCAACCATTCGACCCTGTCTCCAAGAAGGTTACTGCTATTGTTGAATCACCAGAAGGTGAAAGAATTGTTTGTGTTAAGGGTGCTCCATTATTCGTCTTAAAGACTGTTGAAGATGACCACCCAATCCCAGAAGATGTCCACGAAAACTACCAAAACACTGTTGCTGAATTTGCTTCTAGAGGTTTCAGATCTTTAGGTGTTGCCAGAAAGAGAGGTGAAGGTCACTGGGAAATCTTAGGTATTATGCCATGTATGGATCCTCCAAGAGATGATACTGCTGCTACTGTTAACGAAGCTAGAAGATTAGGTTTAAGAGTTAAGATGTTAACTGGTGATGCCGTCGGTATTGCTAAGGAAACTTGTCGTCAATTAGGTTTAGGTACTAACATTTACGATGCTGACAGATTAGGTTTATCCGGTGGTGGTGACATGGCCGGTTCTGAAATTGCTGATTTCGTTGAAAATGCTGATGGTTTTGCTGAAGTTTTCCCACAACACAAGTATAATGCTGTTGAAATCTTACAATCTAGAGGTTACTTAGTTGCCATGACTGGTGATGGTGTTAACGATGCTCCATCTTTGAAGAAGGCTGATACCGGTATTGCTGTCGAAGGTGCTACTGATGCTGCCCGTTCTGCTGCTGATATTGTTTTCTTGGCTCCAGGTTTATCTGCTATTATTGATGCTTTAAAGACTTCCAGACAAATTTTCCACAGAATGTACTCTTATGTTGTCTACCGTATCGCTTTGTCCTTGCACTTGGAAATCTTCTTAGGTTTATGGATTGCTATCTTGAACAGATCCTTAAACATTGATTTAGTTGTCTTCATTGCTATCTTCGCTGATGTTGCTACCTTAGCCATTGCTTATGATAACGCTCCATACGATCCAAACCCAGTTAAGTGGAACACTCCAAGATTATGGGGTATGTCTATTATCTTGGGTATAATTTTAGCTATCGGTACTTGGATTACTTTAACCACCATGTTGTTACCAAAGGGTGGTATTATCCAAAACTTCGGTGGTATTGATGGTATTTTGTTCTTGCAAATTTCCTTGACTGAAAACTGGTTGATTTTCATCACCAGAGCTCAAGGTCCATTCTGGTCATCTATTCCATCTTGGCAATTATCTGGTGCTGTCTTGATTGTTGATATCATTGCTACTTGTTTCACCTTATTCGGATGGTGGTCTCAAAACTGGACTGATATTGTTACTGTTGTTAGAACCTGGATTTGGTCTTTCGGTGTCTTCTGTGTTATGGGTGGTGCTTACTACTTGATGTCTACCTCTGAAGGTTTCGACAGAGTCTGTAACGGTAAGCCAAGAAAGCAACAAACCGACAGAAGATCTCTCGAAGATTTCCTTGTTTCTATGCAAAGAGTTTCTACTCAACACGAAAAGTCTACTTAGATTTAAAGTTGTTGGGTGTTTTCTCATTTGTATCACATAATAATATATTTACATTTTTGCATTCATTTCATTCGTTGTTGATGATTAACTTTTAAATTGGTTTTTGAAATCAGATATGGAATAATAAATATAATTTTAATAAGTTTTTAACCATCATTGTTCACACATCCTTGTATACCTTGAGATTCATATTGGATATTATTTCATTTCTCCCCAAAATGAAATTGACTTGTGGGTTTTGCTTTTAAGTTTACATTTGATGGTTTTGTTATTTGTTGGTGTTTGTTTATTTTTTTTCATATTTGCTATGCTTTGGTGAAATTTGTTTGAATTTGAAGATTATTCCCCAAATTTTCAAGTTTAAATTTGTTAAAGGTTAATCTGTTTTGGTGATGTTGTTTTAACTTTCATGGTTTTATTCCCCCCCTAACTCCCCCTTACTACCCCCCTTACGTTTCATAATATTTAATTTCGTATTATAGTTTTATTCTCTTTTTTATATCTTTTTTGTTATAATAGATGATAATATTAAAATTTAGACTTTGTAGAATTAAAAAGGTCAACCTGGATATAGTTGTGATGACTGCATAAACGAAATGTTAATTTACTACTTTGACAGAGAAGTAGAGAATAGAATAGATTAATCAGGTTGATATTTGCTAATATGCATGTGCACATTTGCTGGTTTGCACTTTGATGTATTAGGTATATTTGTAGATCTTGCCTAAACACACCTTCTTTAAACAGTCATTAATAAGATTTACCAAGAAAAAGAGAATCACATAAAAAAAAAAAGCTGAGAACATGACACACATGTAAACGAGCTTGACGTATCATCTGACACATTCAAAGTTTATGTTCATATCTTCTACATGTTTATCGCCCCATTATTCTAACTTACTATCTAGATATTTAAAAGTTACGCCATACTATGCATTCTGTTCTTTGAACCTAATTTTACTATATTTATTTATTTTTTTTTTTATTTTTACTTAAAGTTTTTTTTGTTCTAGCTCTTTCTTTTATTTGGTTTTGATTTTTCAAGGTTTCTAAAAACTCCCATTTCTATACTACAAGAAGTCCCACCTGATTTAGCCGTTGCTGTAAAAGTTAGTCCATATAAAGTGAGAAGAAGCAACAGCAGATCGTATCCCACCACCCAACTGCCGCTTCCCCCGTCACCGCCACCACCACTATACCCACTAACCCTTATTTTGTATATTAGACCACAGTGGTGCACATTTTTTTTTACAACACACTTTTACTATGTCTGGTTCTAGGTCGGTATCCTTGTCCAACTCCATAGAGGACAAGTTCTCTGCATCCAAAACAGGATTAAGATCAGCTTCAATTGGATCCAGTTTTTTCCATAGAGACAAATTTTTTGCTGACATTACTAACACGTCAATTTCAAGTGATGAAGATGGTGTTGTACCTGTCCCTGCCGCTGCCGCTGCTGCCACCACCACCACTTCCCAACCGGATTCTGCAGTGGCTACTGCTACTGCTGCTGCTGCAGTTGCTAATTCGTCGTCCTCATCTGGCTCCTTGGAAGTTCTGACTCCTATTGTTTCCGCCACTACTGAACTTGATATAGTAGGTGCTATAGGTAACCTTGATTTAGATGACGTGGATGATCCTACAATCACCCAGCCTTCTCAACAACAGCAACCGTTCTTGAATAACTACAATCGTCCATTCTATCCTCCTTATCAAGGTTCTTTAACTCCTCAAGCATTATCTATGAAGAAACCAAGTACTGTTAGTACCAACCCTAACAATACCACTCCTTCAACCTGGAATCCTAATTACATACCTAATTCCGCACCTCCTTTGGTTGCATACACTGAAAACGACTTGCCAATGTTTGTTAAACCGTTTGAATTACCAGAAACCAAAGAAGATGCTCAAAATAAGCAACAAAACGGGTTAAAGTTGTTTAATCCTACAACCAATACTGTCAATAACCCTATCCCTGACAAGAACATAATGTCTACATTCATTCCTCAAAGCATCAACCAACAACAGTTACCACCGCCGCAAGGACCTCACTTCCCACCACCACCTCCACCCCATCATACTATTCTTGGTCCATATCCGGGAACTTATCCACCCCCAGTGCCTACTCCACCTGAGTTCCGTCAATTTGATAATTCTCCTATGAATCCACCAATGATACCAGGAGCTCCAAATGCCAACATGTGGACTTCCCAAATCATGACACCACCTCCTGGTGCCAATATGAGAAACAGCAATTATATCGACCATACTTTGATGCACCAACCAATGATGAACAATACCAACCATGGCGGCAACCGCTATAACACCCATCGTTATCCTCACCGGGGCAATTTCGACGGTATGAACACTCATCGTAAGAACAATGGTAAGCCTCGTCGAGGTGATGATGCGTCCAAGTATGCCAATGCTAAATTGAGTGATTTTGTTGGTGATATATTGAATCTTTGTAAGGATCAACATGGTTGTCGATTCTTGCAACGTCAATTAGAGTTGGATGAAGGTGCAGCCACGATAATCTTCCAAGAGATTTACTTCAAGATTGTCGAATTAATGATTGATCCCTTTGGAAACTACTTGATTCAAAAGTTATTTGAACATATTACTGTAGAGCAACGAATTGTCCTTGTTAAGAATGCCTCAGGTGAATTCATGAAGATATCCATGGATCCTCATGGTACCAGAGCCTTACAGAAATTGATTGAATGCATTTCTACCGCTGAAGAATCAAAATTAATCATTGAAGCATTACAGCCTCATATTGTAATATTATCCCGAGACTTAAATGGGAACCATGTTGTGCAAAAATGCTTGCAAAATTTGAAAACATCTGATAATCAGTTCATATTTGATGCTGTTTGTGCCAATTGTCTTGCCATTGCTACTCATCGTCACGGATGTTGTGTATTGCAGAGATGTTTGGATCACGGCGATCCACTACAACGTCAACAATTATCCTTGAAAATCGCAGAAAACGCCACCAAGCTTGCAATCGACCCATTTGGAAACTATGTCGTTCAGTACGTGTTGAGCCATGGTGATGATAAATCAATTGAAATTATCTTGAATCATATTAAATCAAATACAATCGCATTATCATTGCATAAATTTGGATCAAATGTGATTGAAAAGTCATTGAGAATTAATAAATTATCCAATCAATTGATTGAGGTTTTATTATTGAATGAATCAAGATTTGAAGAGTTGCTAAATGATGGGTTTGGTAATTATGTATTACAAACAAGTTTAGATGTTGCTAGTCCAACCGACTTGGCAAGATTATCCCAATCTTTAATCCCTTTATTGCCAAACATCAAAAATACACCTCATGGAAGAAGAATTATGAATAAACTTCAATCAATGGAATAATTAGACATTTACCTATATATATTCACTATCTTTTGTATATTAACCTGAATATTAATTAATAAATATTATACTAAACTTTGAGTACAATATCCGAGGATAGTCAGTTCATTTGGGAAGATGACGCTCTACTCTAATTTTTTCCTGTATGTGTCTCAGATTGCCTTTGTCCGTAAAAGATAATGTCTACATTGGATAAGTTCATGTACAAAAACTGGGCTATTTGAATTTTCTTCTAGTAAACCGGCAGTTATTTGGTCAATAGATTAGATTCCTTTAGTCCTGTTTCATTTTTAGCCTTTAAGGGATTTGAATTTTCAATAGGCTTGCAACTTTTTATAACACTACCAAAATGAACTATATGAACAAAGAAGTCATTGAACCCAATACCAAGGTAACCCATTTAAGTTAGAACTTGTGTTTTGTAGACAGATTTCTCGAAAGAGAAGAGAACTAACCAGGAAAGCTAAAAAAATTCATCGCCAAAACAATTGAGTATCCTTAATATGCCAATCCAGAATAAGATCAACCATATTATCTATAAAGAAAAACACGACATTGAGGATACACCCTTCAAGAATGTGTGGGTAAATCTAATTGATTAAGGATATATGTATTATACTATCACATTTGGAGACCCTGTGGCACCCAAAAGGGAATAAACAATAATCCATATAGAGAATGTTATGTAGAACCTTTAGTACCTCTGTCTAGATTGTAACTTCCCCGGAAATACTAGCCCTGTCAAGTCAGACTATGTTGCAAACCCCCCTCCCCACCAGGATTTAGGGCAAAAAAACATGAGCGCGCTTGGAGGTTAATCCTTGTAAAACTGGTAGCACCACCCAGTACACGGGGTTTGCAAGAGCTTCTCAGTGTACTTTCCTGCTATAGATTGACCTCCAACTCTTTCGTTCCCCAGCGAGATTAACCCAACTATAAAGACTTTATGAGAAGTACAGGGTCATTATATAGATACGTGAGAAGTTGTAATAAATTTACTTTCGATAGATAGATTTTAGTGATTAGATTTGTAAGAGCCTATTGTCGGGGCAACGAAGGGGGGGGGGGGGGGGAGGGCAACCTGAAATTGATATCCGTCCATGTTGATTATGAATCAGTCTGCTACTAGACAGATCCAACTGATTTGAAACTTTATAGAACTTGCAATGTTTATACAAATATAAACTAAAATACCATTAAATAACCACCCTGTACTATTCTTAGTGTGTCAGAATAATTCTCCCTCTATTTCTGATAAATGTGGGAATTGGAGTTTCCTAGACTAATCTTCCCTTTGAAGAAGGAAAGTTCATTCTCCGAACTACTCCACCGTGCAAAGCACGGCCCAACTACTACTGTGAATGTCTTCGGACATAAGAACATTGCCCCTCAACAGTCGGTAATGGGGGGCATACCTCGACAACGGCAACAAAACTTGAAACATCATGATATAATCTATTTGATCTATTTCCGTGCTTTGTTGTGCCGATCCATCGGCATTATCTTGACATATTTTTTGCGGGGTATTTCCGTTGATCTCCGGAGGAAGATTATAAATAAATTTCTAATTTTCCTCGAAAACTTTTTGTCGACATATACTTCAAAGCTCAAAATCAGCTATGATACCTCTTCAAATTCAACGAGTCTTGGCTTTGAAAGCCATGACTAGACCACCAGTTAGGTCAATCTCCAACCTTGTCCCCAATATTATATCTGGGAAGGAAGTTGCTTCTGCAAAATTACAAATCCCCGTACTTTCCCCCAATGCTCCGTATGAAACCTTGCACCATTATACCAGTTTCCCAGTCTCACCAGAGCTGATTTCAGAATTGTCATCCATTGTTCAATCAGGGTTCAAAACATGGTCTAACACTAGCGAAACTGAACGGATAAAGATTTTTACGAGGGCCATTGAATTACTTCAACAACGTCGCCATGAACTTATCGAGTCACAATTAGAAATTGGAATGCCCATGTGGTTTGCTGGGTTCAACGTTGATGGGTTCATTGGTCAAGTTCAAGAATACATCAATATGCTCGGTAATTCCTCGAGCACCTCGATTATCCCCTCAGCGGAAACTGATTTGGCCATGGCAGTCAGATCCCCCATTGGGCCCGTCCTTTCAATTTCTCCTTGGAATGCCCCAGTCCTTCTTGCTGGACGTAGTATTATGGCTCCATTAGCTGCTGGATGTTCTGTGATTGTTAAACCTGCCGAGAAATCACCAAAGTGTGCATATTTATTAGTTAAATGTTTCCTTGATGCTGGAGTTCCTGGCAATGTCCTTCAGTTGGTCAATGTCAAACCTCAAGAGAATGCTGTTTTTATTGATAAGTTGTTGGGTACTGGCGTTATTAGAAAGTTAAACTTCACTGGTTCCACTCTTGTGGGGAAGAGCATCGCTGCCACTGCTGGATCTCATTTAGTTCCATGTTTGTTGGAACTCGGAGGTAAGAATGCTAGTATTGTTTGTCCAGATGCTGATATTGATCAAGCTGTGGGGAAAATCACCTGGAGTGGTTGGTCACATAAAGGACAAATCTGTATGAGTACTGATGTTGCTTATATTCATGAGTCTGTATATGACGAATTTAAGAGCAAATTGGTCACTGTTGCCCGTGAGATCGCTCAAGACCCAGATTATTTGATTCCTCAGCGTGATCTCGTAGGCACAACAAAAGTGGTTAATTTAATTGAAGATGCATTAAACAAAGGAGCATCACTTACATTTGGTGAATTCTCCAAGCAAGAAATTGAATCTTCTGGTATTATTAAGCCAATTATTTTGGAAAATGTTATTAAGGGAATGGAATTGTACGATCAAGAACTGTTTGGTCCCGTTTTCCTGATTGAAAAATACTCTAATATTAACCAAGTAATTGATAAAATTAACCATAGCCCATATGGATTGAAATCAGCCATTTGGTCAAGAAATGTATTTGAAGCAATTAAGTTAGCCAAGCAAATTGAAACCGGTGGTGTTCATATTAACAATTCTACAGTTCATGATGAGCCAACTGTTCCTCATGGTGGTTTGAAATCAAGTGGTATTGGAAGATTTAATTCTCGCTGGGGTATTGACGATTTTACTGTAGTTAAATCTATCACTGTGAACCAATAGAGCATGATATATATATATACGAATAGAATGATATTTTTGTTGAAAATTGGGGCATTTGTAGTAAGATCTCTCTTTTCTTATACTTGGCAGTCTTGATAGTCTCCATACCAGCTGTAAATAAGGGTTGTAAGGTTTGAAAGGAATTGCACTATGTAATTTATATATTTTTTTCAGGATACGACTAGTTTGCAATAGTTTCATTAATATCAAAATCTGAAAAATCCCCGTGCAATTGCTTCTGGATCTCAAACATCAACAACCAATTACCTATTACCAGGGAATTCTGGATCTTGACTCCATATTGGTACAAATTGTATTTTAACTGTATGAGTTTATAAGAACCAAGTTACATGAAACCTACTTCTAGTCAAATCTTAAACGATGATAACTACTGGACCAAATTCCTTTTTCCTTCAGTTTCCACGTTTTCATATTACAACTCGTATAATCTTAAATAGGAATAGCATTTGCAATACAAACAAGTGCAACAAAACAAACACTTTTTTTTAAAGAATAAATATATAAAACTGTAATCCAATAGAAAGATTGACATGTCTATTCTCATAGAATTCCTTCACTAGAATCTATTTCTTAACTACAGGTTAAACTCTGTGTAGGTACTACCTGGTGTGATTTGGGTAATGGACGCTCAGTTTAGGTATATCCTGCAGAACAGAAGCTCTGACAAACTTCTGTCATGGATACATCATCCTATAATTATAGTTAAGCTCATAAATTTCCTAGGCTTATTGTCTTATAATATCCCTAAGTGCACCATCCCATAAAAATAATACTCGGTTTGTTTACCTACAGAATTCTCAGATCCTAAATCTTTAACCATACATTTACTAATTGAGAACAAGTGCGTGCCTTGCTCATTTGACGCCTTGTTTAAAAAGTATGATTGCCAGAAGCAGGTTTACTTGTCACTTGGTAGCGACCAATGTCCTACTACAACAGACAATACATAATTCATTTAATTTCTGTAAAGCTATTCAAACTATCCAAAAGGAAATTTCCCTGATATTTATAACCGATTTTAAGCCGGAGAATTTCTAGGAAAGTCCAGGAGTGAGAAAGATCTTCATTGGTCAGAGTTCAACATTCATAAATTATATTATACAAACATACTTTTCCTCATTTTTCACCCTGAAATCATCCAGAAATGTCGCAAATAACCTCGGAAAGTGAGTAGAAAAACTTCACTATAAATGTCGTGTTTATGTGAAGGCAAAACCATGGTCTGTATTAATAGCGACATTTTTCTTACTCCAAAATACTTCCTTTAAAGAAGCTACTCCAGACAACTCGGTTCACAGAAATGGCCACTGTCAATGGCAGCCATGCCGACTCTAGTTCAACATATACATCAACGTCATTAGATCATCAGCATAACCAAATAGCCCAGCAGCTCAAACAACCAAGTTTTGAAATTGAACCTGTCCAATTACAGTTTGAATTGCACTACAAGTTACAACAATTGCTAGTATGTAATAACTTTATGTTTCTTGTACTTGATGGAATTGTATATAAGATTAACTTAAACAATCCAACTCAAGTGAACACATACCGAGTTGATACTGGGAAAGTAACTAGTGCGTGGCTCCATCCCAATGGACAACACTTGATTATTCAACTTGATTATGTGAGTTATTACTACTTGTATGAGTCATACAGTCAATTGAAACCATTGCCTAAGTTAAAAGGCATTCAATTTGATAGATTGGTATTTGCTAAAGAGGAACCAGTGTTTGTTGGTTCTGGCGAAGGTCAGGTTTACCTTGGGTTGCTTAAACCTCATAATGACTTTAGGAAACGCGATGATAAGTTTCTAAAACAAGTGTATAAGTTGGATGCAGTTTATGGAATTAGTATTGATAACCAAATTAACATAGTTGGTACTGGCAACTTGTATACCTGGGATTATTTTGATTGTACATATGGTGAATTGCTTAATACGTTCAAGACAAATCCTACAATCACTCCTATAGTCAAGGGAGAATTGTTTGAGACAAATGGGAGTGAATTTGTATTTGTCAACAGCACTGGCCAATTCTATAGCAATGACGAAAAAGTAAGGCTTTCCCTGATTGACCAATTACAACCAATAAAGAACCTCGTCTTAGCTTCACACCACCTTATTGGCTTGACCAACACGGATATACTCATATTCAACAAACTTAAACTTAATTCAATGAGACAACTACAATTAAAAGATTACATTACCGGGAAGGTTTTGGGAATAACAGCTGACTATACATCCAGCACTTATTGGATCTATACTTCCAACTCAATCTATGAATTAATTATTGAAAATGAATCAATTCTGATTTGGTATGACTACTATAAGCTAGGAAAGTTTAACGAGGCACTAGCATTGCTTGAGCAGCAAGAAAATTCATTCTTTCAAAAAGACCTAGTGTTGATTAAACAAGGATATGACTATTTAACCAAGGGTGGATTCGGGATTGACGAATATACTCCAGAATTACTTCAATTACAATTGACTGGGATTAAAATATTGGCAAAACTGACTGAACCATTTGAGAAAATATGTCTTATGTTATTGGAAAGTTCTAATCAACGTTTACTTGTGGAATATTTGTTGATTAAATTTAATATGGCAAAGAGTGAACACAATAAGATTAGAATGATTGTATTGAGTAGCTGGATAATTGAATTGCAATTAAGACTAAAGGACTCTCAATTGGAACAGTTTATACAATCTAATTACAAGTACTTTGACAAGGAAACAGTTTATGAGATTATGATTGATTTAAATTGCAAGGATAAACTAGTGGCTTACGCTGAACTTATTCAAGACTATCAATATATATTGAAGTATTACATTAACAATCAAGACTGGCTGAATTCAATAAAGACATTAGTAAAGATTTATACTGGTGATGAGTATGAATTGGTATACCAGTACTCCACTATACTACTCCTTAATTATCCAAAAGTAACCATTGAAACCTGGCTAAGATTTACCAAACTAGATTATGAAAGGTTTCTTCCTTCAATTTTGTCATATTGTAAACAAAATCACAGCACCACCAGCAACTATGCCATACAATTTCTTCAAAAAGTGATCTATGACTTACAAGGATACAAAAACAAACAATTGAATAACCATTACTTGTCATTATTACTTCAATATCCTGACACCACCAAATCAGTTATCAAGTTTATCAACTATACCAATAACTATGACACCCAGTTTATTCTTCGACTTTGTATAAACCATAAACAAATCCATCCAGCGATTGTTATACTCATTGAATTAAACTTGTATGAACAAGCATTGGATTTGGCACTCGATCATGATTTAATCGATCTAGGTGAATTTGTCTTGACCAAATATGAAGATTACATCAAGAAGAGTGAACAAGAACAACAGGAAGAAAGCACCAGTATTAAGTTGGAACTGTCCAATTACAATACTCATAAGAAGCTTGTACTTAAATTCAGCAAGCATTTAATTGATTGGGTTTATGAAGGGAAAAAAGTAGGGATAGCTGATATTGACGAATCTGACGATAAACTTAATAAGGTTCTTACGTATATTCTCGACTTGACTAATGTTGTAAGTTTGAAAGATCTTCTTCCACTATTCCCAGAAAATGTCATGATAAACAACTTTAAGCTGGAGATTATAAAATCAATGAATGAATACAATTCGAAAATTAACCAGTTAATACTTGAAATGAACGAATCGTTACAAATATCTACCAAATTAAAGCAACAGCTTCGCCAATCAGATAATGGAAAAGTTTATTCTATTATTGAGCCAGGTGAATCATGTAAATTGTGTGATCAAGTACTTATATCACGAAAGTTTATCTACTTTAGCAATTGTCATCATGGTATTCACAAGGATTGTTTGATTAGATATTACTTCAAACAAAAGAATAATTACAAGTTTAAAAAGATTTATCACAATTACCAAAAGAATGATGTCAAGCAGGAACTCGATGAATTGTTGACCCAACTGTGTGTTGTTTGCAATGAGGTTAATATTAGCTCTATTGATATTGGTTTAGTTGATGATAAGGATGAAGAGTTGGCAAAATGGGAACTATAGTTATAGTATATATGTATAAATCATGCCAAGATTATCTAGACTATGCCAAGCTTATTATAATTACTCTTCCTTAGTCAGTGAGAGATGTTCTAATAAGAGGGATTTCTCACTTTTAGCTCGCGACTAGCAGATTCGACTAGGTAATGCTCAACACATTTCCTGAGTGAGGAGCAAGTGTGAGAGTCACCGAATCTACAAACTCTCCAGGCAGTCGTTTTTTAGTGAATGATTTTGATTTTGATGGATGATATGATGACTTACCCGTTGATGAACATCAACATGATGATAGGACTCATCATAGACATCCCCACGCCACAAGAAGGTGTGTATAGACCTGGTGGTGACAGAAGGGCACAAATAAGACTCGTAGCCGAAAGGGCAGAAGAAATACTTTGTTAGAGTTGGTGATGCAATTGGAAAAAAATTGCAGAAACAATTATAAAGTTTACAGAGTTTGCAGATGCAGCTGATCAGTGAATAATCATGATGGGATATTAAATAAAAACAATCAAAACGAAATATATGATCTCAATTATGGTAAAAACATATCCATTATTGTCTTGATTAAGTAAGGTGTGACGCAAATATGATAAGTACACATCTAGGTAGAATTATTTTTGGTTCAGTTATCATACGCTGTAGTTACTCTAGTTAGCATGTTTCTTTTACATTTCATTCAAACTAAACCTATTACCCGTGCTATCTGATTTACTGAATTAATAACAATGCAAATCCTAATTAAACTTCTTCGCATGTGTCAAAAGTTGGTAGCGCGGGTTATTTATAATTACGATCAAAATTTCTTGGAAAAGGAATTCCAATTTCCTAAATGGGCCACAGTATTCCATCCCCCACAATATAGCAAATATGGAACCCAAGAAGGACAAGCCAATAATTAAGAAACGTAAATATAGTCGAGGAGGGTGTTTAGAGTGCAAACGACGGAAAATCAAGTGTGATGAAACAAAACCATGTTGCATCTATTGTGTTCGTATGAAAAAACAATGTTTATATAAAACTAATGTTCCTGCTGCAACGAATCCCAATTCCCTTTCCATTAGGTTTTATAATAGTGCCGGTGAGTTCAAATCAATGAGTAATACACCCGATGGTAGTAGTAGCCATAGCAGTGGAAATTCAGACCCTTTGATGGATCCACTTAATGATGATGCTTTGTTCTTGTCCAATGTTGATCCCAATGATCTTCAACTTTTATTTGATGATGCTACCAGTTTGATCCACGATTCCCATGATTTATTCCAATTGACAGACTTTGATCAACTTTTAAATGCTATAGCACCTAATCCTAATGGCTTAGACCAATTGAATTTCCCCAGTAGTTCATCCTCGCCCTTTCAGCAAGAAAAGGTTACCAATAAGGATCTTCTTGCTAGTACATTGAAAGAACTGACCCAGGTTGATGAAGGCTACTTGAATACATTAACACAAACCAATTTAAACTATCATATATTTCCTTATTCTGCCAATCCAACTTCCAACCCTGTAATTAGGATTCTACTTCAGTATCTGAAAGGATGCCCTTATTTGCTTTATTCTATGCTCGCATGTTCAGCCACATTCCAATATATAAAGACAAGAAATGAAGAGCATAACAAGTATCGAGAATTATACATTAGTCAAAGTTTACGATACTTGAGCGAAGCGTTCCCAGAAGGAAGCAGCCATAAACTTATGGATAACGGAACTATTATGGTTGATTTTGAGAAATTGTTACTTACGGTGTTATTACTTGCGCTGATATTCACAGCAACTACATATTTAAGAAAAGAATCAAGCAGAAGAAGTACCAATTGGAAATCACATCTTCGTCATGTTAAAGATTTACTTATGCAATATACAAAAATCACAAGAAGTCAAGGGTATATGAGTGACGGGTTGGCATTAGCGAAAACCTGGTTCTTTGCAATTGAATCCCTGGCAGAATTGAATGATCCCTTAGGAGGTACCTTAAAGTTTCACAAGAAGAACGTTGGTAGTGGTACTAATATCATAGAAATCGATTCAAAACTTGATGTATCAGATACAAGCAGATTATGGTTGGAAACGGGGTATTTTAACCGTGGATCTAATCCAGAGTATCACGATGCATTGGTTAAAATTGGAATGATAACTGATTCCAATTTACCTATTCCAAGTCAGATTAATTTATTTATTGGATTTACAATTGAGATTGTTCAAATTATAGATGAGATCACCAAATGTTTAGATTTGTTAAGAGAGAACCCCACTTATCAAGTATCAGGAAGTATGATTATTAAAATCATGTCATTAATAGATAAGGCCAGAAACAATTATTTTGTTCCAAAAGTGAATAAACAGGATTATTCAATCCCAATTGAATCAGCAGCCCATCCCGAATACACCGGAGTCGACAAGCTAACCTTGCCTTCTTCGTGTTTTGCCAAGGACGGAAACACATACTATTCATGGTATGATATGAATGAACAATTAGTCATTGATGAAATGATGTTACGTACCTTTACCACTCCAGGGTTACTTCTACTCCCTCGACACCACCCATTAATAGAAGAGTTAAAGCAGAAAATGTTGGCATCGATGTTTTTCATCAAGCGGAAACTGCCAGAGAATCAAATCACCGAGGAAATCCTTGCTGAAAGTGAAAATTTTTACTTGCCTAGCAGATTATTCACTGCCAGTGCGATCATGATTGAATCGCCTGTGGGAAGACTTAGTAGGATTCTTAACCAAGATATTGAGTTTGAGCAAATCGAACTTTATTTTACAGGATTGTTCAAATTAGGTAATGGAAGTTCAATAATGGCATTAGAAATGGTGAAGAAATTAAGAAGGGGTGACGTTGACCTTGTAGATCATCCGGAAGTAATTCCATTTTGTTAGTTTTTGTAGTTATATATGTAAGAGTAATTTATAGAGGGGAGTGATCCCAAAGTCAAGATAATGTTGTGTAGATTTATCACTGTAATGTTTATCTTTTTTTTTTTTTGCAGCATCTTACTTATACGAGCTTTCAGGCTAAGCAATGGATGTTCGGAACGAGTAGTATGGGAAGTGACGTAATGTGTACGACTGATTTGGTAGTTGCTTGTTCAAGGAAACAATAGCAACATTATTTTTGTTGTTGTTGTTGCACAAAGTCTGACACACTTCTAGACCTCCAAAATCCGCTCGTACCGCCAAAATGTCTAACAGGAATATGCAGCCCAGCTAGTGCTGCAAACCGTTATCGACTTGAAATCGATGCTTTCATGCTGAAGCCCCAACAAAGTCCAAGCCCAGCTTAGCCTCTTTAGTGCTAAATTTGATCTGAAGAAACATGAGCTTGTCAAATTGATGGCGTCGTTTACGTGCACCGCGGTAATGTAACTCTCGTATATGTCGTTTAGGCGACATGTCATATTATATTTTTTTTTTTTTTTTGCTTGCTTGTCTGAAATTTGAGACAAAACAACAACAACAAATCAATTCTACAACCAAACTTAACAACTCTTCCACTACGACAAGCAAACTAGTTTTTGTTAATCATGTCTGTTGAATCCTCGGAAGACCAAACTACTTTGGTTGAAAGCTCTACTCCACAACCTCCCAGAGGCTACCTTGCCAAGGATCAAATCGAATATGAATTCGGGGGTCCAGTAGGTGCTATTGGGATGATGGTTGGATTCCCTTTATTGATGTGGTACATGTGGTTAAGTGCACAATTCTACAACGGTAAACCGGCCTGGCCTTCAGCTGACCAATCCTGGTCTGACTTTATCACCGTTGACTTGTGGAATTTGTTTGTTGAACACGGATTACCTTCTTTTAAAGTATGGTTATTCTTTACTGTTTTCATTGTTACCCAAGCTGTTTTCTACTTGACTTTACCTGGTGTTTGGACAAAAGGTCAACCATTAACCCATTTGAACAATCGTCAATTGCCTTACTTTTGTAATGCAATTTGGAGTTTCTATACTTCCATTGTATTGCTGTTGGTATTACATTTCACTGGGTTATGGAAAATTACCTTTATTTTGGACAATTTTGGGGCCATTATGACCACAGCAATTTTCTATGGTATTTCCCTTTCCATTATCTTGTACTTGATTTGTCTTTATGTTACTGGTGATTACCATCGTATGACCGGGAACCACATCTACGATATGTTTATGGGTGCTCCATTAAACCCAAGAATTGGACAATACCTTGATCTCAAGATGTTCTTTGAAGTTAGAATCCCATGGTTTATCTTATTCTTCACTTCATTAGCCTTGTGCTTCAAACAATATGAAACCTATGGCTATGTCTCCCCACAGGCCGTGTTTGTCTTGTATGCCCATTGGCTTTATGCTAATGCCTGTGCTAAAGGTGAAGAATTGATTGTCCCAACTTGGGATATGGCTTATGAAAAGTTTGGATTCATGTTATTGTTCTGGAACATTGCTGGTGTCCCATTTACTTATTGTCACTGTACTTTGTTCTTGGCATACCATGAACCAAAAGAATATCAATGGCCAGTCTATTACAACATCTTGTTGTTTGTTGTTCTTACTGTTGCTTACTACTTCTTTGATACTGGTAACCGTCAAAAGAATAGTTTCAGAAGAACAATGGCCGGTAACACTACTCTTAGAAAGACATTCCCATATTTGCCTTACTCCGATTTGGTTAACCCACTGTATATCAAGTGCGAAAATGGTTCTGTATTATTAACTGACGGTTGGTATGTCTATGCCAGAAAGATGCATTATACTGCTGATTACATTCAAACTTTAACCTGGGCCTTAATGTGTGGATTTAGTTCACCATTCCCTTGGTTCTTCCCTGTGTTTTTCTTTATCGTGTTGGTTCATAGAGCTTATCGTGATCAAAGAAAGTGCCAAAAGAAGTACGGTAAGGATTGGGACAGATATCTTGAAAAATGTCCTTACATGTTTATTCCTTATGTTTGGTAAGGAAACGAACTGTTGGCTGCATAGAGTAAAAATATAGCATTAGGGATTATTTTATAGCATTCAAAAAGAAAACACACTTTAATATTACGCCTTGTAGTTTATTACTTCAAATATAATGACTTGAAATAGAGAACAGTAAATACTAAGTTTCAGTATATTTATTTTGTGTAGTGTAAATACTTGAGCTAATCCCTTTCAGCAATTGCCACTAATCTTTCGTCGATTTCTTCAGGGGACAAAATACGGAATCCATCCTTGCTAGCTACACCAATTTCAATATCATTCTTTCTAAATTCTGTACCAACAACATTACTCAAGGCAATGATAGAAAACTCTACAGTTTCCTTCCAATCACCGTTGATACAATCAACCTTCTTAAACTTCTTTTCTAAATAAGTAGTAGCTTCTTGTTGTTTAGGACCAGTGGCCACGGCCTTAACCCCAGTATAGTAACCCGCTGGATCACACTTAAATATTTGTGGGCCTCTTCCTTCTTCTTCATCAAACTGACATAATGTTAATGCAACCCCGAGTGGTCTCATGTATGCTCTTTGCGTATACAATTGAGATAAATTGGCCAATCTCTTGGACAATCCTTCGACGGGGATTTCGTAACCGTATTTATATCTAAATTCACTAGCTTCGGACCTGGCTCTCAATGCCTGGGCTCTGGCATCAGCAATTGACCCAGTAGCGACAAGACCAATGGATGGCGTGATTTTGAACATGTATGATACGGTGGCTGGGTCGAGTAACTTATCTGGTATTTTCTTTTGCAGAATTAATACAGCACAATCAGTACCGGTGATACCCATGGAAGTGATGTTGGACGAATTGATGGCTTTGAATGCATATTCTACCTGATAGAGTCGACCTTCGGGCGAAAAAATCGTAATGTGTCTATCGAAACCTGCTGCTGATGAGGACATTATATGTGTATGGTTGTGGCAATGTTAGATAGTTGGAATTTTGCAGGTGGCGATAATTTTGATGGTAGAAAAAACATAAAGACATTTTCAAAATGTCGCACTCAGGTTTTTTTTTGCCTCCCGACATTTTCAAAATGTCTCAATATTTACCAGCCAAGTTTGAAAAAGAAAATAATTACAAGCTGACAACTATACCAGTTAGCGATGGACACGGAAACATTTACTACGGATAAGAAGACGACGGAATATACCCCGCTCTATCAAGTAAACAAGAAAACTACCACAAATGTATCATATCATTACAACCCTGAAGTAAGTGGGTACCATTACGGAGCCTTCCACCCTATGAAACCGTTCAGACTTATGTTAACTGATCATCTCGTGATATCATATAAGCTATATGAGAAAATGGATTTGTATACACCACGAAGGGCAACTAAAGAGGAGCTACTTGAGTTTCATTCAGAAGATTATATTGATTTTTTACGAACCATCACGCCTGAAAAAACAGCAAAGCTCGCTGAAGAAACACTAGCAAAATTCAATATTGGAGATGATTGTCCTGTATTTGATGGAATGTACGATTATTCAGCGATATATGCTGGTGCCAGTCTTGATGCTACGAGCAAATTAATCTCGGGTATGTCAGATATTGCCATAAATTGGTCTGGTGGGTTACATCATGCCAAGAAATTTGAACCTAGTGGATTCTGCTATGTCAATGATATTGTGCTAAGTATAATCAATTTATTAAGAGTACATCCTCGTGTGATGTACATAGATATAGATTTACATCACGGAGATGGAGTTCAAGAAGCATTTTATACCACCGACAGAGTAATGACGGTTTCATTTCATAAATATAATGGAGAATTTTTCCCTGGAACAGGATCAGTGGATGAAATAGGATTGGGTAAAGGAAAGAATTATGCCATAAATGTACCGTTGCGTGATGGTATAGATGATGAATCCTATATACGATTGTTCAAACTGATTATTGAACCATTAATTACAAAATTCCAACCTACTTGTATTGTCCAGCAATGTGGGGCTGATTCCTTGGGCTATGATAGATTGGGATGTTTTAATTTGAATATTCGAGCCCATGGTGAATGTGTGAAGTTTGTGAAATCGTTTGGAATACCAATGTTGGTGCTTGGTGGTGGTGGGTATACCCCAAGAAATGTTTCAAGATTATGGTGTTATGAAACTTCAGTATTGAATGATGTCACTCTAGATGCAAAAATCCCGAATTATTTACCAACTTATCAATGGTTTGGTCCTGACTATTCCTTGCATCCACAATTAGAAGGAAGAATTGATAATAAGAATCTGAAGAAATATTTGGAAAGTATAACCCAAGAAGTTTTAGAACAGTTACGATATTTGAATCATGCTCCAAGTGTTCAAATGTATGAAATACCACCAGATTTGCCTGGAGCTAAAGAATAGGCTTTCTGCTATTGTCATTTAAATATGTACCCAACTTATTAGGTTTGAGACCTAAATAATCACCTGCACTAGTATCTGGCCCCACAGTTGTTAATACAATATAGAAGTATTTTTGAGCCTAAAATAAAAGTTTATGTGATTTTAATAATGTATTATTAATAGTTTTATATGGGAATAAATTAGCACATTTTATATCCTTACGTTTACTTATGAATTGCACAGGCTGTTTGTTTCTAACTTCAGCAAAGGTCGACATCTTGGCCATCCATCAAATCCAACAACGCATCACAGTATATTTGTTTGCTGCCAATCTAACCAAGTTGGATTTCTGTTTTTGTTTTTTTGTTTTGTTTTGTATTGCTTGTGGAAGTCCTATTTTCAATAGTTAATAAAGACTTACCAAAACAAAAACAAGGAATCAAACAGGGTAATTACAGCAGTCAAATCTACTATGATGAAGTGAAAGGTTTGACGGATGAATAGGATGATAGTTGTAGTGTTGACTGCTATTAACACAAACTTGACTGACTGGAACATGTTAGTAACACTACTACTGGCCAATTTATAAGAATATGGGAAATGGTCCTAGCTCTTGAATGAGACAAGCCCTGGATTGCGCTATCTTAAGTTCGTGTTTGTTATGTCAGTTTTGGCTATAACAATCCCGAAACCTAACTTAGTCAACACACGATTTAACTCGTTCAAGTGATACACCTTCTCTCATTGTCCTTCAATTCTCTTTCAGTAATATTAATGATTACAGGAAGCCCAACTATTGTTTGTTGTAACTGCAGTGTACACAGAACAGGTTGAAACCAAAGTTGGTTGCAAACGCAAGAATCCTTAGATACACTTAGTTTAAGTAGACATATAATGGCCAGCAACGACATTTTTGGTGATATAGACAATTTTATAACATACTGATGATTCATATCACTAGCATTACTAACTGATTAGTCCATTATTTGATTGATTATATATCGTTTAGTAATTATTACTAAGAGAAAAAAAAACAATAACACAAAAAATTTAATTACGCGTTTAGACTGTTCTTTTTTTATCAACACATTTCTTTCTGCAAATCAATGCCTACTATCACGCTACTGCTATACTATATATAAAATTTCCCGCACATTGATTTTACTTGTTTATTTTAGCGATATATACGGACCATGCCGCCTACTACTACAAGGCTAACAATAGACCTTGATCCCAAATCCCATAAGAAAGTTATAAATAATCAATACAAAATCGTCAAGAAAATAGGCCAGGGTCAATATGGGAAAGTCCTCCTAGGTCAGAGCACAACTAATGGTGATTACGTTGCCATTAAGACTATAAACCGAATAGATAAATCTCGGCTCCTTACCAAGAATTATGTTTCACCCATCACCAAGATCAAACGAGAAATTCAAATCATGCATGAATGTAATCATCCCAATGTTGTAAAATTGTATCAAGTAATAGATGACACCAAATTCGACAAGATCTTATTAATTTTGGAATACTGCAAGTTTGGGGAAATTGACTGGAAAAATTATAACCATTATTATGAAAAATATACCTCGAAAAGGGATCCACCATTGACCCTAAACAAAATCCTTCGTGATGTTGTTCTTGGGTTAGAATACCTTCATTTCAAACGGATAATACACCGAGATTTAAAACCGCTGAACTTATTAATTTCCAGTGATAATACCATCAAGATATCTGATTTTGGTGTTAGTGTAATATTTGAAAATGAACAAGATATGAGTGAACTTGGCAAAACCATGGGTACCCCGGCATTTTATGGTCCCGAGTTGTGCAGTTTCATAAATAACAGATATTCCATGATAAACAATTCCAACCATCAGCTTAATAAAGTTATTGACTATAGGATGGATATTTGGAGTTTAGGGGTCACTATATATGCCCTTATGTTTAATGATTTGCCATTTAGTGGTAATAATGAATTTGAAATGTGTAAGAATATCTTGACTCAAGAATTAAAGTTCCCTCGAGTACGACAATCATCAAAGTGTACCGCCAGTGATATGCAAGAATTAATTCTGTTTAAAAATTTATGCAAGTGCTTGCTTGCCAAGGATCCAAACGATCGAATGACATTGGCCCAAGTTAAACTACATCTGTTTACTACATTTGACTTGAATGATAATGAGAAATACAAATATAGAAAATTTAATAATCCTTATATCCACCAGCATAGTCAAGGATTACCTTCACGAATAAAGAAATTCTTTTCAAAACAAAAGACTACCAAACCTACGTTACCTTCAGTTCCTGCTAGTTCGATAAATGCCTCGTCTAGCTCTGTCGATAGAGCAAACATAAGCCTAGAGCATGTTGATGATTTGCTTGATTCATACCTTGATGATTCCTCATCCATGGGAAGTGTAGAGGAGGAAGATTTTGACACCACTGATATATTAGCTGAAATCCATTCGCCATCACCTATAGTTAAACCATTACCACCACAACTTGACTTGACGTCATCGGCACATTCATTCATAATTGGAGAGAGTTCGCCAAGTTCTGCATATTTCAGTCCCATGAAACGATACTTTAATAATAATAACAATAATAATAATAATAATAATAATGAATCACTGCCTGCTGTTAGTGATTCGAAACCAACTATCCTGTCATTGACTCGTGATTTTGGTGAGTTAGATTTAATACCGCCTCCATCGATGCATAAATCGACAACTCCTAAGTTAAGTCCATCGAGAAAAAACTCAATTTCTAGTAGTTCCAGTAGTTTAAATTTGAACGGATATTTAACTGCTGATGATTACAGCCCACGATCTCACTACAAACGAGGTCTGAGGGACGAAAAAAAGGAAGAACCTGAGGAGGAAGAGGAAGATACTTTAATATTTGATGAGTCTATGATTAGGAATTATAATGGGATGTCTGACTATTTAGATAATATAGATTAATAGAATATGTATTTATGTGGAAGTACCTTTAACACTCATATCATTCAACTCTTTGTTCTGTATCACCTTGAGAGCACGCAGTCAAAGGAAGGGGCGTTGTAATTAATACTCATTGTCACACAATTTTCCTTCCTGTATAATATTAAGGTTTGAGGCATGATGTTGCTTACTGTTGTTGAAAACAATACACAACCTAATGAGGAAGTTATTCTTGTAAGTTGCTTTCCATTTGTTTACATACCAGTTTATAATACCATATCGGTACAAACTGGTCACACATTATAAGTATGTAAGTGCAGATCTAGACAAATCTCCTGGGGAAAACTGGCGTCGATGATCCAGTAGGTCATGCACATACCGTGCTAAACCTAGGCAGATACTAGCAGCTTATTCCCCACATATCTTGGCGGTGATAAATGGATTATCTTGGCAGTCATTTATTGCAGCTTCATGAATGACTGGATCTGGTTTAGGGATTGCATTATTAGTGTTCGACCAAGAAAAAACGAATGTATTTCGCAGCCAATCTCGCAAAATATTACCAATTATCCCCTCCTACAATAGCCAAGAAATACAACAAAACAAAGTTCATTTCCAATGCATGATCCTAAAAATAGAGTTACGTTACAGATGACCTTTTTTTGCGGTATGGAGATGTACACCGCTTTAAGTTGGGTCCTGGAAATATAGCCGCCTTGTTGTGGGGTGTTGCGCTGTTTTTCCCCCTTCACTATTTGTTTACCTGACTACGATCAATAGCTATGAGCCGTAAGAAGTAAATAATAGAAACAAGTACCATGGTTGTATTTTTCTTTTTACCACGGCTCATTATTAAAGAAATCTAGTCTTGGCTGCCGTTTCAAGTCAGTCGTGTCTAAAAGTGATGACACCGAAACTACCCTTTTAGTTTATAATAACTAAACAATAAGAGTGACACCAATTCTTTTTTTTTTTAGTTTAAAAAAAAAAAGTTTGTTTTGTTTTGGGTGTTTATGTTTTAGGAAATTTGCAGTTTAGTTCTGATTGTTTTTTTTTAACTTATAGATTTGAAAAATTTCAGGTTATCTGAAACAGGGAGACGCAAATCATTACCATAAATAAACCCGTGATTGTTTGGTAGAACTTTTTGTTTATTCGTGTTTTCCCACTGTTTCTTCAGACTGTTGAAGCTTATACACCACAGATCACTCGTCGTTCGTTACCAGGGTATTCGATTAACCCATTATAATATTTTTTTGTCTTGTGTGTCAAAGTTTTTTCGTCTACATTCCTTTATTTGGCAGTTGGAAAGTAAAGTTGCTGTGGTTACCCTTAGGCAGGACGCACTAAATTTTTGCACATTAAAATCACTCCATTCAGAAACTTGCCGCTAAGCAGGTAATGGGGAAAGGCTAACTGGCTAACATATATTACGAAGAGCTTAGACCGTTTTTTTTTCTTTTTTTTAACAAGATTTTCCTCAGCCACATTCATTCCTTTTTAATTAATACACGTTGATTATGACGTGTACTACCACGACTTCTCCGACCATAAAACGAAATCACACACGTCCTCGTCGTTTCCCCATGCCCAGCAGTGATCTGGTATCACTTGACGACGAAGCATACGAAGAAGAGGACGATGATTACGACGATGAGGAAGATGACCATCATACATCGTCATCGCCACTTTTCAGACGACAACCATTTGCAAATTTGTCTAATTTAGTTATACCCGTGAAGAAATCACTCACTACATCTACAAAGTCATTCACAAGATCCATAAATGAACTTTCCAAACTGTTTTTGCATACTCATAAAGACGAGTCCGACCAAGAGTCAACTGAGGAAGACGACACGTTTGAAACCATCAACGTTACCCTGCCCACTCCTGCCAAACCCACAGTTCGTCGATTTCACTCCATGTGCCAGACATCGAAGGAGTTTGAGAATTACCAATTTCAGTCAGACAATTCTCATTTGAAACATACCAACATCATAACAAGCATCCTGGACACAGACTCACTTCCCAGAATAGACGCGGACCAATTGTATCATATTCTTCATGGACTGCATAAATCGGAATTCGACGAGTGTATTATTATCGATTGTAGATTTGACTATGAGTTTGAAGGTGGACATATTATAGGTGCGATCAATTTATCTACCAAGCAAGAACTTGAAACAAAGTTTCTTTCGTCAATGTCTCCAAGTAACATCAAACGTTTAATTGTGTTTCATTGTGAATTTAGCGTGTTCAGAGGCCCCATAATGGCTAGACATTTACGTAAATGCGATCGAATGGCCAATAGTGAATTATACCCTTACTTGACATATCCTGACATTGTCATTCTTGAAAGCGGATACAAGGGTTTCTTTATGAAGTATCCTTATTTATGTCACCCGCAAGGCTATGTTGAGATGAAGGATCTTAATCATGAATCAAATTGTGCTGATCAGTTACACAAGGTTAGACAAGATAGTAAATTAGTACGAGCAAAATCGTTCATTACTAATAATACGGAAATCACCAGTCCAACCAATTTACACACTCGTTCACAATCATTTACCAATACTACAACTACAGGAAAAGTCGTAAAACGACAACGATCAAATTCTAAAGTCATCTCCTCGAGACTTAGTCGGGCATCTACATTTTCATTTGAACAATCAATGTTTACTTCATCTACTTCATTATTATTATCACCTACAACCCAGCCAACGTCGCTCTTTGATGAGTTCCTTCCACCATCCACGTCATTCCGTAACACCAGACCTACATTAACTATAAACTCGTCGACATCTTCATTTTCCGACAATGGGTTCTTTTCCTCTAATGAATCCCTAACTGATGGCTACTCATCCTCGTCCTCGCCCTCGTGTGATTTCGAAAAGCCATTGCCGAAACCACCAAAAACCACACGCGTATCAAACCCGACGATTTCCTCCTTTAAGTTCCCCATCAAGAGAAATTGGCCTGTGCAACCATCATCATCTTCCGACATATCTTCGTTAATTTCGTCGCCATTGTCGATGCAGATTCTCACTCCGAATTCGTGTGAAGCCGATTCTACAGAATTGATCGATCCTATTAATGACACGCCCGTGGAGTGCACTATGCTTAAGCGATACCGTCATGGACGGTTGTCTAGTAGTGTAGGCTTGTACAGTTTTGCTGATTTGGATATAGATGAAGGTGACGAAGAGTAGACAATTGCATATAGAGTATAGTAATGAAGTTTATGGATTGAAGCGAATGTAGACCAGGCGCAGCCCTTCACTCACCTCAGTTGTAATAAATTTAAGGTGATATACATGGTGAAATTTTTGAAAAAAAAAAAAAGATTGAACTAGGACTTGCCCTAATGGGAAAGGACGATGGTGCCCCCAAACAGCTAAAACAAGTAAAGAGTAGTAGCAAAACAAATAAAGTTTGGTTTAGAATAAGGTTTTGGATAAATACGAGTTTGAAGGACGTACAAGACCTTACATGTTATGGAATTAGCCTAATGAAGAAGTGTTCTTAATATTTTCCCTATTTTGGAGATATTGGTGGTTTCAGACTTTTAGGTAGATATAACTATTATCGGGCCAAACAGTCCAATTTATATATAATTGTTTCAAAGTTTACAGGTTAGTACTAGTCCTCACATTTTTGAAACAGTTGCTTTAGTTCTATTTGCACGTGAAGATAGTTGGATCTGCAGAACCTAAACTTTGGCTTTGCAACCATTGACTAGCAACCTTATCTCGATGTTTCAGCCTTGTATTGATGTAATCACCCATAGAAGAACAGCGGATCTAAGGTTAAACTAGACTTTCTCAGTATCTACAGTTCAGTCTTAACTAAAGTCATATTCAAACAAGATATATATACTATAAAAACATAAATACACTTCTCTTAAATTCTTGATTTTGGATTTCCAATCAATTTAATAGCAGCATTATTAATGGCAATAGTACCTCTATCAACAACATGAGTTTGGAAAATAACAATTTCCCCTTCCTTCCAAGCGAAAACACGCAAGGTTTCCCCTGGGTAAACAATACCAGTAAATCTACCCTTGATTTCATCAAACATACCAAACTTGTCAATCAAGACCTTGGCGGACAACCCGTAGGTACACATACCGTGCAAGATTGGCTTAGGGAATTTGGCACCCTTGGCGAAATCAGGATCGATATGTAATGGGTTACGGTCACCACTTAATCTGTACAAAGCAGCTAAGTGTGGACTTATAGGAACATCAACTTGGTAGTCTGGTTGACGCTTTGGAGCATTGAATTGTTCAGTAGCAAAAGTACGACGTTCTCCGTAGACCTTAGTGTCACCTTGACAGTTTCTAATGAAATAAGTAGCTTCGTTGGAGTAAATGACTTCCTTGGTGTTGACATCAACAGATTGGGATCCATGAACGACAATGGTGTTGGTACCCTTTTGAGTAACAGCCAATGGGTTAAAAGTGGTTTCAATGGCACCTTCAGTTGGAGGAGGCCATTTGTGAACCTTCAAGTAGTGTTCACCATGAAGCAACATCATTGGTTGGAAATTTCTCAATAACTTGGCAAATGAATGTTGAGATTTACCTGAGTTGAAGGTAATTAAATGACCAAAAGTTGGGATAACTTGGAAATCGGAATGGTTTTCATAAACATATTTCAATTGAGTAGTGTCAGCACCAAGAGAGATGTTGTATAAGATAACATCACGGTCGTTGAATCTAAAGACTGGGTCATCTTCTTCTTCTTCTTCTTCATCCTCTTCTTCGTCATCGTCATCGTCTTCATCATCATCGTCATCACCACCAACAGCGGACAAGATAGCCATAGAAGATTCGGTAGCAGACTTTGGATTTTCAACTTGGCTAAAGTCGGTGATCTCATTCAAGTGGTCACGAACAAATTCAACAGTGGTAACATCTTCCTTACAGACAGCACCCTTAGCTCTTTGCCAACGGGTGTTACCAATCCAACCACCACCAATTTCAAAGGTTTCACCAGTGACTGGAACTTCTTCAGAACCCAAGTAAACCAACAATGGAGCAACTTGATCAGCATGGTACAAGTTCTTGTCTTCTTCTCTGAAAATAGTCAAAGTCATGGCAGTTTCAGCATGAGGAGCAACAATATTACACTTGATGTTGTTCTTGGCACCTTCAATAGCAAGAGTCTTGGTGAAACCCAAAATGGCAGCCTTGGCCAGGGAATAGTTGGCTTGACCAAAGTTACCATAAATACCAGAAGTTGAAGTAATGTTGACAATTCTTCCGTATTTTTGGTCATTGAAGTATGGCCAGGCTAATCTACACAAGTTAAAAGTACCAACAAGGTGAACTTGTTGAACATCATCCCATTCCTTTCTGGACATCTTAGCAAATGAACGATCACGTAAAATACCAGCATTGTTAACCAAGACATGAATGGTACCATACTTGTTAATAACATTGTCAATGATTTGTTGGCCTTGAGTAGCGACATCGTGTTCATCAGCATGGGCTTCACCACCAGCAGCCTTGATTTCAGCCACGGTTTGGGAAGCATCCTTGAAATCGTTAACAACAACCTTGGCACCATACTTGGCAAACCACTTAGCGTATTCCTTACCTAAACCAGCACCGGCACCAGTGATCAAGACAACTTTACCAGCAAGTGAAACTTTAGGAGCGCCAGTGGCATCGTTAGGAGGTAACTTCTTGGCTTCAGCAACCAAAGTTGGGTAATCATTCAACATGATTGGTGTTTGGTTCTTCAAGTATTCTGGCTTCTTGGAATCATTGAAGTCGATAATTTCTTGGAATCTCTTGGCGACAATTTCAGCAGTGAATGTTTGGTCTGGCTTAACCAAAATACCACCAGATCTTTCCCATCTGATTTGAGCATAGAAGCCAGCGGCAACTTCAAAGAACTTACCATTGACGTTACTAGAATCGTGGGACAAGTACAAGACTAAAGGAGCAACCTTTTCAGGACCCAACTTTTCCAAAACTGGAGGTGGCAAAATAGATTCGGTCATTCTTGATCTGGCTAATGGAGCGATGGCATTAGCGTGGATATTGTAACGGTCACCTTCCTTGGCTAAAGTTTCTGCAAAACCTAATAAACCAGACTTGGCAGCAGAATAGTTGGCTTGACCAAAGTTACCGTATAACCCAGCAGGGGAAGAAGTGTTAATAATTCTACCATACTTTTGCTTTTGGAAGTATGGCCAAGCAGCCTTGGTGACGGCATAAGCACCATTCAAGTGAACATCTAAGACCAACTTGAAGTTTGGTTCAGTCATCTTCTTGAAGGATGCATCTCTTAAAATACCAGCATTGTTAATAATGATATGAACAGTGCCAAAGTTCTTAACGGCAGTTTCAACAATTTTTTCACCGTTTAAGACATTGTTGTAATCAGCAACGGCAACACCACCGTTCTTGACAATTTCTTCAACAACAACATCGGCAGCACGGGAGTTACCACCCAGACCTTCAAGAGATCCACCTAAATCGTTGACAACAACTTTGGCACCTCTTTTGGCAAATTCAAGGGAGTAGTATTTACCTAATCCACCACCGGCACCGGTGATGATGACAACCTTGTCTTTAAAGTTCAATTGCGACATAATATTGGAGATCTATTTAACAAAAAAAAATAAATAAATAGGGCAAGTTTGGTTTGTTAAAAGAAGAATCCTGGTTTTGAAAAAGTTATGAAAAATCACAAGGATTGGGGATTGAAGGGGATATATAAATAGTGGTTGGTAGTAGAAATTTAATTGCGGGGGTTTGGGTGGGAAAGGTTAGAATTCCTTGTGATTCTGTGGGGGAGAAATGAAGCCGAGCGTTTGGCGGGTTAACTGAAAATAAAAAAAAACCTTCGGATAAAGATTGCGAAGGCACCATTGTGGCAATTCTAAGGAACCGCAGGAAAAAAAAAAAAAAAAAAACTTACCGAGGAAGTTGGAAATTACAATTTACATAGTGGAAAATACGGTCTTTAACTGCTGCATTGTATCGATACGTCACAGTCTCAGATCTAGACTTATATTTGCATCTTATGTCACAATAGTTTACAATGCTTACCCGAGGCATATTTTCAGTAGATCTGTAGATGTATACAAAAAAAGATATCAGAAAGCATTTGAAAGTATAATTTTTTTGCAGGTAATATAACCATTTGTATCTACCAGTTAGAGTATTATGGTTAAGTTTTCCATAGCAATTAGTGTGTGTGGGTGTGACATAATTACCCCACGGAGATTTGTTTCCACGGTAAATCTTTTTTTTCATCAAACAAATAGGGAAATATTGTATAATTTAGTCCGAGGATTTTCCTCTTGGTGGAGTAAAGTTGGGTAGTACTGTATATAAATTGTTCCATTGTTATTTATACACTTTCATATCCTCGTTAACACCGGGAAAACAAACCGAAGTACATACTTCTTCGATTGATCTAATTAATTTATACCTTCTTTCATTGTCCAAATTCGTTATTTCTTGCAGTTGTCATATGTCTCACAAACTTCCTCTGGAAATGTCATCGATTGCCCGTTTTGGAAAATTAACATAGATTCACAACCGATATCGGATACTAAAAGCTTCTCCCTGATCGTGAGCTAACCCTAAAGATTGGGCTAATCTCCAATAGTTTAATTCTACAAGCTTGACCTGCATGCCAGTGGTGCAACTACAATATGAACACTGGTTATAGCCTAAACTGTTAGTTGAACATTTCCAAGCTATGTATGGACAATAACCATTGTGGGCCGATACAATGTCATGTGCTTCTTAACCATCTCCATTTTATCAATACGTTAAACATCCTACCGATATTGATGTCCTGCATATAACAAAGAACACGCCTGGCCAATACAAACTACAGTACAATTTTTTTTTTCCTTAATATTCTATCAATTCCCCATAGTTAAGAAAATTTACCTTTTTATCTTTTTACAATCTTTCACATTTCAAGAAATTGGGCAAACTTCTTGGCTACTGAACTTCAACAAGGACAAGTTACAATACCAACAGCTGGTGGTCCGACAAGAATTGTCAGAAATTAAAACCTTTTCCATTTGTCACTTTTCAGTCTGTTGATCCATATACACACTAAGATACACACACACACACGCACACACATTGAATAGACATATACATGCCTGAATTCAACTTTAAATACAAGCCATTGGCATGGTACAGACTAGCCATTTACGATTTACTCCTTTGGGTTCTTTCCATTGTATTTGATTGTTTCTTTAGAGAAATCCGTCCTAGAGGTGCATTCAAAATCCCTCGTGAAGGTCCTGTTATCTTCGTTGCTGCTCCCCATCATAATCAGTTTGTTGATCCGATCTTATTACAGAACCAAGTCAAGCGTGAAGCAAACAGAAGAATCTCCTTTTTGATTGCCGCCAAGTCTTACCTGTTGAAGGTTATTGGTACTTTATCCAAATGTCAGTTGTCGATTCCTGTTGTTAGACCCCAGGATAACTTGACAAAAGGTACTGGGAGAATTTTTATTGATTTTGAGAAAGACCCATTGTTGGTTAGAGGTGAAGGTACAAAATTCACTAAGGAATGTTCCAAGAGAGGATTAATTGCATTACCACAATCATTAGGGTCTTCGGAAATTGTTGAGATTAAATCCGATACTGAATTAGTTCTTCGTAAAGAGTTTAAGTCCACTGATCAAGTCAAGAACCTTTTAACAAAGGGTTGTTCCTTTAAAAGAGCCGATAAAGTTGATCAAAAGAAGGTTTATCAATTGGTGTTTGACCATTTGAGTGATGGTAACTGTATTGGTATTTTCCCAGAGGGTGGATCCCATGATCGTCCCGATTTGTTGCCTTTGAAAGCTGGTGTTGCTGTCATGGCTCTTGGTGCAATGGAGCATAATCCTAATTGTAATGTCAAGATTGTCCCCTGTGGTATGAACTATTTCAATGCTCATAAATTCAGATCTAGAGCTGTGGTTGAATTTGGAGATCCTATTGAAATCTCTCATGATTTGGTCAAGAAGTACACTAACCCAGAGACAAACAGAGAAGCAGTGAGAGAATTATTGGATATTATCACCTCTGGTTTGAAAGCCGTGACTGTCACTTGTCCCGATTATGAAACTTTAATGTTGATTCAAGCCGGAAGAAGATTATACGCGGGAAATTTTGCTCAACAATTACCATTGCCTTTAATTGTGGAAATGAATAGACGGTTAGTTATGGGGTATGAACATTACAAGAACGAGCCAAAGGTGCAACAATTGAAGGAAAAAGTATTGGCATATAATGATATGTTGAAATCGTTCCAATTACCTGACCATCATGTTGAAAAATTGGAAGATTCCAACAAATTGCATTTGATTCCTATTTTAATTACTAGGGTGATTAAGCTTTTGATTTTGTTTGTTTTGGCATTACCTGGTGCCACTCTTTTCTCGCCAGTTTTCCTTTCCACCAAGATTATTTCCAAACGTAAAGCCAAGGAAGCTTTGGCTAATTCTGTGGTTAAGATTAAGGCTAATGATGTTATTGCAACTTGGAAGATCCTCGTGTCTATGGGTATTGCTCCAATTGTGTACAGTTTTTATGCATCTATTGGTACTTACTATTGTTCAAAGCATGGATATTTCACGTCATTTAAGTTGTTTTGGGTTTGGGTTATCCTTTATATTTCTGGGATTTTTGTTACTTACAGTGCTTTGCTTACTGGAGAACAAGGATTGGATTTGTTTAAATCAATTCGTCCGTTGTACCTTTCAATTTCCACCTCTTCAATCACGGAATTGAAAACCATGAGACATGAATTGAGTGAAGAAATCACAGAATTAGTTAACGAATTTGGACCCCAATTATTCCCTAACGATTTCAACTTGTTAGAATTGAAGGATCATTTGAAGATCAGTGATGACGTCAACTATGTTGATTCTGATGAGGAAGAAGAAATCAAGACTCAGCAATTAAGATTAAGAAGACTTACCAGAAGAAAGCAAGAACGTAAAAAGAAGAAGAATGGTCTTGATGCATTCAATAACAATTCATCAGATATCAGTGACGGATTATTGACTTCCGATAACTCCCTTTCTAATATTCCTATGTTTTCTGATTATCAATTATACAGAAACTCGTACTTGGATCTTCAAGATAATTCAACCAGTACTAGTTCAATTTATGATGATTATCGGTATGCCCAAGCTGACCAAAATTCTCCAGCTCAACATGCCGTGCATGCCAAATCTCCATTAAGTAGACCTGGATTAGATAACAGTTCATCCTCGGAACAAATTGAGTTGAATTTCGCGGGTAAGAGTTTGAGTGATAAGATTAAGAATAAGATGAGGGAAAAGAGAGAAGAGGAAAATTAAGATATTTCCCATATAGCTTTAAATAGTGAAATAGAATAACGTAAATATCACATTCTAATTGCCTTCCACGAGGGATTGCCAAGGTTAAAAGTCTAGACTTGACCACATGTTGTTCCATTCGAGAAATGCGGCTACAATTGCCAAATATGGTAGCAACCATTTCGTATTTATCACGTGATGCATAAACCAAGAAAAATATTCAATTTAAAATTTCTTTTTTTTTCTCACGTTTCATTGTATTTTTTTTTTTTGCTTAAACAAGAACTAACGCAACAGTACACTAAAACCATGGCAAGTGGAAAACCGCATCGTAGGCTTTTTTTTTACAACAGATTTCACTCCAGTGTTTTTTCTTTGTAACTTCATTTACATAATTTATATTCTATGTGATTCTATAGTTAGAGTTTCTAGTAGTTGGCCTCTTCACTTATATTAATCGTACCACCCCTTACTCAAGAAACCGACAAACGTAAGTAATACCACAAGGCTATGGCTAACTAAGGAACTTTTACACACATACACATATATACTTTACAACACAAGACACACAACACACTCACACACAAAATGTCTGACACTGAAAGTCTTCGTTCTAATACTCATCACATGCCCAAGACTGATGAAGTGTTAGACGACCATAGAAACCATTTACCTATTATCCACCCACAACAAGGCTCTAGCGACATCTACAAAGGGACCTCTGTTGCAATTACTGACTCAGAAGACGAAGAACCTGGTGTGACTATTGCACCACCACCAAAAAGAAGACCATCCAAAAAAATGCCACGCAGATCCAGTCAATCCCACGGTAACCCTCCCTCGTCCCTGCTGAAAAGCGCATATATGAACACCTTGCGTAAGGACTTTTACCTCAACGAAGAAGATTCTTCTCCTCCCATTTTAAAATCAACCCCAAGAAAGAAAACAAGAGCATATTCAAACTCTCAACAACAGCAACAGCAACAACAACAACAACAACAACAACAGCTACCACACCACTACCATGTTGATGAACCTTCTTCGTCATCTCCACCTCCAGGAATCTTGTATAAGCCAAAGAAACCACCTTTAGCCCATACTGACTCCCACGCTAAAGGTGCCCTGGATGCATTCGATAGTGATTTGGTGAGTCCCTTGACTAAATACAAAACTAATGATAGTGATGCCTCCTACACAAGAGGAGGAAGAAGACCAAGCAGATCATCCATTGACAGTGAAGCCGATTCTCATGCTTCAAGATCATCCCAGGAAACCGAAGAAGACGTCTGTTTCCCCATGCTGCGAGAACATATCAGAATCAATGGTATCGATTTCGATGAAATTGAAGAGTTTATCAAGGAAGAACGGGAATTGATTGCCCATCTGGTTATGGAACGCAATGAATCTAGAAATCATTCAATGGCTACCGGAAACGCAGCATCAATCGCACAACAACAATCATCAGCTGCATCTATGAAGTACACTCCCAAGAATATTTTGAAAAAGACACAAACTACATTAACTAAAATCAAATCTCATTGGGATCCCCTGTCTCTGTCATCTGACCCTGACCGTGAACTATACTACAATATCGATGAAAAAGATCATGGGTTTGATGATAGCTCTTCTCTGTCGGAACAAGTGCGTTTTGGTGGGGCAAGAATTACCGATGGCTCCACTAGTTCGTTGCCACAAAGATTTTCATTTTTCCATTCTGAATCCGATGAAACTGTCCATGCTGCTGATATCCCTAGTTTAGTAGCTCCAGGACAATCCGTGTGTGATTTATTCAGAAATGGGGAAGAAACTTGGTGGTTAGACTGTTCATGTCCCACTGATGCCGAAATGAAGATGCTTGCCAAGGCATTTGGAATCCATCCCTTGACTGCCGAAGATATCAGAATGCAAGAAACTAGAGAAAAAGTGGAATTATTCCGGAGTTATTACTTTGTTTGTTTCCATACATTTGAACCCGATAAGGAATCAGAAGACTATTTAGAACCAATCAATGTTTACTTGGTGGTTTTCCGAGAAGGTATATTAACATTCCATTTCTCGCCAATTAGTCATCCAGCTAGTGTGAGAAGAAGAGTGAGACAATTGCGTGATTATGTTGATGTTAGTGCTGATTGGTTGTGTTATGCCCTTATTGATGATATCACCGATGGTTTTGCACCAGTAATCACCGGCATTGAATACGAAGCGGATGCAATTGAAGATTTTGTGTTTGTAGCAAGAGACTCTGATTTCAGTAACATTTTACAAAGAATTGGTGAATCAAGAAGAAAAGTCATGACATTGATGAGATTATTATCTGGTAAAGCCGATGTTATTAAAATGTTTGCCAAGAGATGTCAAGACGAAGTACAACAAGCACAAGCTTCTTCCCAACCCCAATCGCAGGTATCACCTAATCAATCATTTTCAGGATATCCTGTGGGTTTCAACCAAGGTGGAACTGGTGGTGTTAGTTTTGGACCTGGTCCAACCCCTCTCACGCCCTCTCAACCAGCAAATACTGTCACACATACTTCCAGTGCTGGTCTCGGTAGTGGCAACAGTAATAACAATAGTGGTGTTAATATCGGTGCCGCCGCCGCCGCTGCTGCTGCTGCTACCAATACTAACAATATCAATAATGTTGCTGGTAATGCCCGTCCTAGAGCAGACATTGCTCTTTACTTGGGTGATATTCAAGATCACGTTGTCACCATGTTCCAAAACTTACTTTCATATGAAAAAATCTTTAGTAGATCCCATTCAAACTATCTTGCCCAATTGCAAGTCAAATCATTCAATGCCAATAATAAAATCACGGAAATGTTTTCTAAGGTGACATTAATTGGTACCATGTTGGTTCCATTAAACTTAATCACGGGTTTGTTCGGGATGAACGTATTGGTTCCAGGTCAAAATGCTGATAATTTAGGATGGTGGTTTGGGATCCTTGGGGTATTGATTGTGGTTATTCTTCTGCTGTTTGTATTTGCCAGATGGTGGATTGGGAAATTGAACTCAAAAATGGACGGTGGAGAAGGAGTTGTTCTTAGTGCAAGAAAATCAATAAAGAGCTTAGGATTGAGAAGAAATAGAGGTAAGGATGCCAGATCCATGGTTAGTTTTCCTAACAAATACGAATAGATGTGATAGATCTCTTTAGTTCAATTGTTTAATTTTCAAAAATGAACGATAATTTTTAATAGATTATATACTTGAAAGAGTTGACTACTTTGATTCATAAATTTCCTTAACGGAATCAATAATGGATTGCTCAAGAGAAATAAAATCAAATCCAAGAATCTTGTTTGTTTTCGAACTATTATATTTGTGGACATTCTTCTTTAACTCTTTATCCTTGGATAAATCACCTTTAGGAACTCTAGATTCCGGAAAGTTTTCATTGATAATATGAGCAATACCATCATACGTATATGGTTCACTAATCAACAACAATCTTTGACCAATAGCTTCCTCCTTTTCAAAAGCCACTATGTGAGCCTTAGCAGTATCTCTAACATCAATAAATAAATTAGCTTCCTCGGGGATCTCATCCAGAGGGGCTAATTGAGCAAGAGAATTAACCATTTAACATCTAAATAAAGTCAACGAAGCAAGCTTGGAATTGTATTGGTAATTAAACAACAGGAACTTACGAATCAACTCGGTGATTGGATTATTCGATAGATCTAGATAGGTGAGATTAAGCGAAAGGATCCAGTCATTTAAGCTTGAGATGGCATTTTCTTTCATCACTATCCTGTACAACTTGACAAGGTGGTGCAAATCAACATATAATAAGATGTCTTGAATTTGATTCTGATTCGGTGTCAAGTGCTTAAGTGATGTTGGAAGTTTGAAATATTGTAAATCATGAAGCCCACACTTAGTCATGGTTAACACTTTCAAGTTCTCACCGTACCCAAACCTAAGTTTTTCTTGATAATATATCCATAGATTGTCTGATATTTCCAAACATGTTAAACTCTGAGGAAATTTTACTTAAATTCTCAAGGTGGGTGATTTTATTACCACTGATATTTAGCGATAACAACATAGTGGGACGCCTGATTGTTTCATCGATATATTTTAAGGCATCATCGACCAAGCAATTTTCGTTGATGTTTATTTAGTATATATTCATTTGTCTCTTTTCCATAATCGATTTAACGATTTACATAATCGACATAAACAAATGTGAGGATAATAAACTACTATGGTTTCTACTTCATTGCTAGGTGTTCAAAATTCAGTTAAACTCTTCAGAAGCCTATTTATTCTATCAAAATTTTTCAATCTCACATACTATAAAACGATCACAGTTGGCTCTTCGGGACATCAAAATCGTGGATGATACATACACGATCTTAGACCCAGGCGAATCAAGTTTTGACAAGGGAACAAGAGAAACTCCCATCTAATCATTCCTATTGCCAATATTAACCCAAATTTCAGTCTTTTAACTTGGAAAAGTGATCTCGTGAAGGATGGGATGATGTATTTACTTTGGATTATTACTCAAGTGCTTTCATATCAGCCACACATTCGTTCATGAGAGGATCAAGTCGGTCAAACTGTCCAAGAATAACAAACTGTTGAAGCCAGATTATGCGAACTTACATCCCTCCAATACAACACGTATTTCATTATATTCACAACCTTTATTATGATGTTTGCTCAAAACTGCTCTAACATTATTGAAATCGGTTTCAACGTACTCAAAAAACCACTGCTTTGGACGTTAAATCAGGAAAATCATCCATAAAATAAAACATTTCAGCTAATCCAACAACTTTGATATGTTGTACTTAATAAAAGTAAACCTACCTTGGTCCTGTACTAAGGGGTAGTTACGAAATGAAAGTTACGAGAATAATAATTACGAGTAAGCAAACGAATTTTATTATTGAGGAAATGCATATTAAACGTATGCTGGTACTTAAATGTAAGAAAATCAAAGATGAAAGCAATGATGTTATTTGGGAGTTTTTGGAAGTTGGTTAATAAGGTGCAAGGAAGCTTTCTATTGTCTCGCTATGAGCAAATCCGGCAACAATATAAGTCGCTATTTCTCAGAAAATAATAATGTATTAGACTTATATATTGATCTAATCCAAAATTAACTTTATTCATCAATTATCTATGTTTTCTATATAACTTTCTACATGTCCTTTAATATTAACTAGATTGATATGTACTTGATGAGAACCCAAAATCAATACTTTCCAGAATCACTGCGAGGATCTGTCCAATTATCAAAACCCGCGTAAAAAAATTTTGTACAGGAATATCTCGAACCATTATAACCAATATACTATTTTACCAATTCTCTCACTTGAATGCAACATGATACTACGAAATCTCAAACCACTACGAAGTTCTATACTATATAAACGATTCACCATCTATTATGCACTCACACGCCAACAATTTTCAACCGTTGGGCATCTCCATACCACCGCTGCAGCCAATTGGATTGGAACAAAAAGCATTGCAGAAATTGGCCGTCCTGACAAACTTAAGGGAAGAAAATATTCCTATAATGACTGGCTTCAAACTGATCCTCTAACACAAGAGATTGTACAGTTGTGTTCCCAGAGTGAGTTGGCTAAAATCTTACAAATAATGGAAGTTGACAAAATGACCCCTGAATTAGTGGAGTATATTATTTACACAACAATGAAAGATTCTGAAAGGTTACCGAAGACTGATAATTATGATGAAGATGAACTAGACCATCCTTACTTTTTAGCCAAAAGGCTGCTTGATTTGCAAGTTCCTTATTACAGGTTCTTGTATGAGAAAATCCCATTATTGCATGAACTAGTTAAAACAGTTCCTATACCAAAATTAAACACAGATGGATCACTATTGCATTACTACATTTGGCTTTCATATCATATGAATGATTTGAATGTCTTGGAACAATTGTTTGAGAAACATTTAACTAACCTTGACATCATCTCAATTAACTATATTCTAAAGGGATTCATTATGAATTATCAAGTTGAGTTTGCAAAGTCCTTAGTTCATAAGCTTATAGTTACTTCAACCACAGTTCTTCCAAATCTGCTATTTCATTCAATTGTCCTAAATCTAAGAAAAGCTGATTGTTTGTTGGAAAACTTGAATTATGTTCTCCTTCTTTGGTCTAATTCCCCAACTTGTGAACCAATTGCTCCTAAAACTTTATATTTCTTACTTCGTGAATTCTATGAATATGGATCTGCACCTGAAATAAGAGATCTTAAACGACTCGTAAAGAAATCAGGACATGCCAAGTATCATTTAATAACTTCAATCATGCTCCAACAAGAAATTAAACAACGACAACCATATAACTTTAAGAAACATCTCACACAAGATGATTTTAATTTAATTGAGAGATTATGTCCTACTTCTAGTCATAAAGACATAGATGAGTATTATTACAGTTGGATGAGATTTATGGTAAATTATTCCAATATGAATCTGATTCAATTCATATTGAAGCAGTTATCAAGAAACTCGATACCTTTTACTACGAAATACTTTGACTCAATTCTTCAATATTATGCGAATGGCAGAGAATTTGTTCCAATGATTCAATTCATTGAATCGTCAATGGAAACAGTTTGCTATGATTTGAAATATGTGGAGCATATATTCCGGGCATTTGTAGGATGTTACAATTATCAAGCACACAATTTTGCTACACATTTGGATCATTGGATACAAAGCAAGTATAGCAATAATTTATTTCCTGATTGGCAGTTGATTAAGCTGAAGTCACAATCGACCCCCTATTATCTTCGTCATAATTTGAATCGTATAAAGTATGATTCAAAAGAGTGGGAAACATTCAAAAAGGGAGATAATAGAAGTGAAATTGAGAATCAGATTGATTTCCGTGTGAAAGACGGATTTGAAGAAGTCTACCAACGTGGGGTTAGACCAGATTTCAACTTAATCCTTCAAACTTTCCAATTCACTCCACTGTTAAACTATCGATTAGTTTTACGTGATCTCCTTTCTAAATCTCAACTATTAAACGAAAGAAATTCAAGAACTCTCGAAATTTTATCATTGCAGCATCCTTCGCTTACCAAAGAGAATTTGCTTAATTATTTTGATGCAAATAAAGACCGATTAACTTCCCACCAAAAAATCATGTTTGCAAGGATGTTAATAAACCATCATCTCTGTTCAGAAGCTCGATTTCTCTTCTCAACCATTGAGGACGATGACTTGAACGATCTTTCCAGAATGACAATATTGAATTTCGATATTCGTGGTTTAATCATTGAAAAGGACTATAACGGCATCATTGACAGACTAAATGAATTCCCAATTGACAAAATCAGTTTATCGCCCTATATAGTTCGTCAAATGATGTATCTTGAAAAAAGAATAACTGGAAAAGTAAAGAAGAAGGAAATAGATAATGAATTGCTTGTCGAAGCAGAAGTGTGCTTAAAGAGGATTAGAGGGTTTATTGGTGATTTGTCGGTTAGATTAAGGAAGGATGAAGAAGATATCCCGAAAATAATAGATAAGACATTCAAGATTTTGACCAAATGGATGTCTCATGGTAAATAGTAGTTTTAATTATTTAATTTCTTATCTTGTACAAAGCATCATTATATATAACGACAATATAAAACATGTATGACTGCAAGCTTGTCCACGTGAAGGTTGCGGAACTGTTTTCAAAAACTGTTCTCAGAAACTCATCAGCAGATAATTCATACATGTCCTGGTTAAGAAGTTTTATTGTTCAACCTATGATTTAACACTAATATTCAAGCTGTATTACCTTTTGACTTGCTATCATATTAATTTATAAAAGGTGTAACTGCTACTACAGGCTTTGCAATTTTAAGTTTTGTCTCCATAAATTTGACGGATAAAATCAGGCGATCTTTTGCGCTTAAGCAGCCTAAACAGACTAATAGTAAGCAACACATTATCGAAATGGCAAATTATGCCCATTAACATTTCTTGACAATAGCAAAACAAGAATGTGTTGTTTCCTTTCCTAATTTAATCTGTAAAAAAAAAAATAAACATGCAGAAGATCGTATGTTAAATTCAAATCTTAACCATCGCTTCATTTCCTTTTTGTGTTTGATTGAATGCATGTTTATGTACTCATATATGGATGACGTAATTTGAACCCTGTAATTTTTGACATCGTATACAAAGATATTTAGAAACTAAATACGTTGCGCTAAGTTATTTTAGCTATTATCCTAAATTTAAAGCAAGTAATTGCATAATCATAGTTGTTTGGTTGCGACACCATTTATTAATAATATTTACATGTATAATGAGCGCAAAAGTTTTAGGATACTTGTTTTATTGATCAATCTAATCGAATGATCATTATGTAAGGAACAGACGCCTCGTTCACTTACAATTCCAAATAAATGGTGGAGCTTGATGAATCAAACTGGCTTATTTGGTTTTCCTGAATTTGCTATTGCATGAGCCTACATATTTCAACACCAGCAGAAAGTGGCATGTTACAAACAAAGGCTTCCCCAGTTAACTTTTTCAACAATAGACACGCATCACTATTATTCAAAATAATTTAAATACCAAAATCAAGGATCATACCACATAAGTATTCTTTGTGCTTCTAGGTAGATAATAATATGATCTTTCCAAAATAGTTTACACTTGCTAATAGGTTGTACTAATGTTATATTCTAGACTATTTAGGTAATAAATTACCTGAAAAGCTGAGGTTATTTGTCACACGACGGTATTTATTATGTCGTCAAAATTCATCTCTAACTCAACCTTACTATTGATTACTCGTCAAAATGTGGCTGCAGCCGTGTAATAAACAACGCCAAGAACCGGTAGTAGAGTTGTTAACTGAATGTAGCTCTTGGTTCCCTTTTACCAATAAAAAAGAAAAACCTCTAAACTCGTTAAAACAAGCGAATTATCCGAAATACATCCGGAATGGTCTCGAAAATCTTGGTATCATGACGTAGGGTTTGTTTTCTTGGCCAGATGAAGCAATTATTTAAAGTATTTTTTTTTTTGCAGTTATTTTATAGAACCGTTTTTTTTTTCTTAGATCGAACTTAAAAAATATATGCAAGGGGGAAACTTTTTCTACGAATACAAAATGGAGATTGAGTAGGAAAATTAGCTTGGTAGTGGTTCAATTAAGAATAATGGCAAAATAAATAAAGTAATTACATCAAGGTAAACCTCTGGATCCAATAAATATGTAATTAAAAGTGTTACTTCTTAGCTATTAACTCTGTAGATTGACACGAAAGGTACTCTTCAGGAAAACCGGCCATATTTTCTCTGACGGATAATTTCGTCAACAACTCTAGCTATATGATTTAAATCTGCATTCATTGGTTTCTTAAAAGTGTAATCAATACCACACTGCTTATATCTCTGTATATCTCTAGTTGTTGTCAAAGTTGTTACTGCTATCACGCCCCATTGATTAAATTTTTCATTGCACCTCATGTATTGGGCCAACTCAATGCCATCCACCTCTGGCATCTCTATATCAAGAAATACAACATCAAATGTATTTCTATCTAGCAATTGTTTCACTTTGGTAGAATCCTGAATCTGATTAATCTCTGCATATGGAAATATCTTCAAGAGCTGGCGACTCAAGATTTGCAAGTTAACAATGTTATCATCAACCACAAGAAACCTATAGGGACTGAATTGTGGAATCACTACATTTTCCTCAGAAGGAAAGTAAGAGTTTATTACGGGTGGGGGAAACAAGTCTTCTGGAGTTATAGGTGAGTAGGTAGAATGTGAAGTGATGTACTGATAATCATAATTGTATGGTTGTGGAGTTGTATAATCTTCTAGCTCAGAGTCACTACTTTCATCAGACTTCTCAGATGTTATTTCGATTGATAGCTTGTGGTCTATATTAAAAGAAGCTCGCTTGGGTATTGAATTATTGTGATTTATGGGCTGTGTTGAAGATGAAATTGGGGTATCACTTGATATTAGGATCTTCTGGAAAGGGTTGAAGTATTCTGCTCCGAACATTGCGATGGAAATTATGATTGAAAATATGTTGTTGCAAAATTATTGATTGTATATTATTGAATGAGCGAAAGTATGTAAATTTCAATCGATTTTTCTACATCTAAATAAATAGCGCATTTATAGAATTCATTCCTGTATTTATATGACTACTTTCATACTAATTCTTGACCATTATGACTTTTTCTGCTCTTGAGCAAAATAATATTGATTTATTTTCCAAGGAAATGCAGGAATAAAATAAACGGAGTTGTTCCAAACAAGAAATTTTTTTTATTTTCTGTTGCGAAGAACGCTACCTTGCATTTAAAAAAGTTTCAATTTTGTGTTTCCAAGGCCGCCTTACTTTGAATAAGGGAAATAGGCAATATGACTACTAGATAATATTATCAAAGGCGATCAGATTGTCATGGTTATTATTATTATTATCATTATTGGGATATGTGACGATGCTGTAAAGTCTAACAGAACTAGCAAAATAAGTCAAGCACTAGGACCACAGAAAATGAACAAATAAATGCAAGTCTCAGTACGTCACAAAGGGGGCTTTTATTGCCCGGATGTCCAGCGGAACTGGAACAATCCGAGCGGCAAGTGTCCTGACAGCATATTGTTTTGAGAGATTATTGGATTGGTCTTGGCCATTTTGAAGGAGGAAAAATGTAATAATTTGTTTCTGGATGTAGTTCACTATGAGAGTTAGCTTCCTTTGAAATTGGTCTATTCTGAAAATGTTGAGGCATATCGGTAGTCCCGAGATGTGTAATCTGATTTCCAAGTGGTACTTCACTTGATTGATAGAATACACATGGCATATATCCACAGTGAATCAAAATAGAAATAACATTTTGATGATCTTAGGATTTGTAATTTCTGGTTCTCGAATATGATTACCCAGGGAACGAAATCATGTGTGAACCTTTAAAACAAAAGGATGAGGAGGAGGAGAGGATGATGATACCACTTATTCAGCCAATTGATATTCAAATTTTTATTCGATCTCCTAGTCATTGATTTATGGTTCATTGGTGGGCTTACTGATTTGCAGTCTTACAAATTCGAGTTAGTGTTGGTATTTGTAGAAACGTATCTACTGTCTTGTCGTGCTATGATCCATCACTAACACACGTATGTGATTATTTGAGAGAACAGATTATTCAACTTTGATATAACCTCTGCAATTAATAGTTGGTAAAATAGAATCAATATTACCATAAAATCAGAAGTCGCATTGAGGTATTGGATGCTTAACTTGTTTTGAATTAATCAAAGAAACTGTATTGGAAAGTAATTTCCATTATATGAAACTATCTTTCTCTTAGTTGTAATAAAGTGAATGGAGGAATTTCCAAGAGCGCGCATTATTGGTTACCGCAAAATTGCAAGAATTATTCATGACCATCCCAGTTTCAATTTTGGTTAACATAAATACCTTTTCTTTTTCTGGCCTGCTGGCTCCTGGACTGATTTTTACAGTCGATTTCTTTGTCTGGTCTTGAAACAATATCTTATTCTTGCTCCCGGGTAAATCATACTCCGGAATATTGGGAAATTCTATGGAAGATTGGTATTTTGATTCAATTTTTATTCAGAAACTTCCACAACAAATATGAATGGTCCTGTATAGGTTACCTTTAAAGATATAAGGTGAAAAAGAAATCATTTTCAAGAATATTAAGCATCTAACTTAGTATTGCTGATGGTTTTCTTGAATATTGCTACTAAAATATTGCCGTATGAGAATTATCAATAATCTTTTTTGAAATCTCATAGAGCTTGTTGTTAAGTCTGTTCGGTAAAATCAGTTAATTATTTAACGCAATCGGTTGGAATTTTAGCATAACCGTTTTTGAATCTGATTATCCACTGATTTATCAATTGGGAGACTAGAAGAAATTCTCAGTTCTTTCGATAAGATATTATTTTGTGTTTATAATATTCCTATTGTTTTGTGTTTAAATCATACCAAAATGGCTATCTATTGACTAGGAATGACAGTAGATCTGCATCATTGAGCTATTTTTGTTACAAAAATACTGAAATAATACCCGACTCCAGCTTCCTTTCCTAAAATAAAACGTGCGTCACAAAAAGCAAGCGATTCATTAGATTAATCATGCGATCCGGGCTTAAAAATCGGTATAATGACGTATATGTATGGAAAAATTCGGAGAAACTACATCTGTTCTTCTGCTTGGCAAATTTTAAGAGACCTAAGTAGTCATTTATTTTTTTATTATCGTTTCTTTTAAATTAGAATTTGCGAGAATTTTATTGTCTAAAATTCCTTGCAGCAAAAAAAAATAAAATAAAATAAAATAAAATAAATAGCACAAAGAGTATTTTCCCAGACCAAAACTTTTATGCAATAAACGGAGGAGGCTGCAACGTGCATTAATGTACAGAAAATCAGTAATTTGCAGCACCCAAGACATAGATCTCATATGTCACTTTATTTGCATGAAATTTATCTTTTTTTTTGGACAAGCTAAATATGTTGTCTTTAAACTTGCTACATAGCTTCAAAATCTTACGCTAACATTGTAATAAGTATTTGTTTCTTTATATTAATCCTATTGATTTTTAAACAACTCTATTTACTCTAAAACAATTTCTAAAGCTTATAAGAAAGAGTAAAAGAAAACTAAGAGAAAAGACCAAACTTTCTTTGACGGATAATCTCATCAATAATTCTAGCTATCTCACTTAAATCTGCCTTCATTGGTTTTTCAAAAGTAAAATCAATACCACAGTTCTTATAAGTGTTTAAATCTCTTACTGAAGTCAATGTTGTCACAGCAATTACTCCCCACTGGTCAAACCTCTCACTACATCTCATGTGTTGAGCCAACTCAATCCCATTCACTTCTGGCATCTCTATGTCGAGAAACACAAGATCGAATGATTTTGTGTCTAATATGGGTTTAACTTTGGTCGAATCTTGGAGCTTGGTGACTTCAGCATATGGAAAGATCTTCAAGAGTTGGCGACACAAGATTTTCAAATTAATAATGTTATCATCAACAACGAGAAATTTGTAAGGGGTGAATTGGGGGACAACCACATCTGTAGGAAAGTATGGATCCACTATGGGTGAAGAAAAAGCATCATAGTTTGTTAAAGGTAAATAACTTGTTCGTGGAGTATATGGGCAATATTCCTTATCAAATGGATCAATATTTGTATCATCTCCTGATTCGAAATCACTACCATTCTCAATATTCTCTGGCAAGGATACATCAATTGGTAAGTTCTTTTTAATAGTGAAGTAATCCGTTATGGTCTTAGAAAGAATGGGAGGGTTAGGAGAAAGTTGACCATTATTGGAAGTTGATTTGATTTTGTTGAAGGGGTTATAGTAATCAGTAGCGAACATTTCAATGAAAATATAGGTTGGAATTTGCAACTGGTAAATATGTAATAGTAGAAAAATTCTTGATAGGGTTGAAGGAATTCAATCCTATATTTATATAATCGGACTCGTTTGGTTTTCTAACGGTTGATTTCTTTCTTTTACAAAATAATATTACCCCCTATCTACACAATAACAGAAAATCTATAGAAAATATTTGCTAAAGGCGGATCTGGACTAATGCAAGTTAATAGATTATTTGCGCTTTCATGGAACTTTTAAAAAAAAAGATTTAATAAATATGCAGAATATTTTTTAAAGAGTTTGAAAATATTATTTTTTGGACTTTTTAGATTACAAAATATTATTTTTACGCCAAAGAACTATAACTTGTATACTGCTTTCAATGGTTTTTAAAACTTGCTTTGCTTTTCAAGGAGTCTACCTAGTTTATAAGAATTAAATAAAAGCGTTGTTAAATTACATCATCGGTATAATCATACGATTCTTGTTGTCCTGCGGCTAGAAGTTATAAAAAGAACTGTAGATTGATAGGGAAGAGAAAGGGTGCAAAAGGCGTTAACAAAACGCCGAGCATGCAAGGTATAGGAATTATTCAAAAAAAGGAAAAAAGATTTAAAAGAAATTCTAATAGTATAGTGAAAGAGTCAAAAACCATGGTCCATCAACGTATAGTTAAGCACTACTCAGCAATATTGAATTTTTAGAAGATTTTAGACCGAGTCCATAGGCCGATGTAGATAAATATATGTCTGTGGGGATTTTTTCAATGCAAGAGTCTATTAACAATATAATCTTGATGTTTTAGAAGCGTTTAAGTGTTTTGGAAAAAGTTAAAAGGTAAGGATAAATCTGGAGTGAGATAGACAATGCTTTCTTTTCGGTGGAAAGTAGAAATTTACGCTTCCATTAGATAGATAACAAGCAAAGTAAATTCTTTCATTTTCGTGTAAGCCATGTTTTGAAAGCGTACTCTTTGGTTCCTTGAAATATCTTCCTCTCGGTTTTCTAAGCAGTACATCAAAGCTGTAATAACTATTGTAGTTAGTTATTGGATCGGAATCTAGTATTAATTCTTTTGTTTTTCAATATATCACAGATAATTAGTGAGATTTTTGCTAGAAATTTGAGCAATGTCACTTAAAGGGATTTTGCAAGGATATAATTTGTAGTATTCCTTCATTATTTTACCAAAAACATTTGAGGGTATATTTTGCCAATAAAATGATATTTCCAACTTGGAAAGTTGAATTTCACTTCATTTCACACACAAATTCTTGAAAGCATCTCAAGTAAAATAGCAAGCAAGTATAAATATCGATATTAACACGGGTGTGAATATCCGTATCACGTGAAATAAATTTAGTGTCAAAAAAGATGCCTTTTTTATGAAATATAAATTGGAGGGTTGGCCGAGTGGTCTAAGGCGGTAGACTTAAGATCTACTGGACAGTGTCCGCGCGAGTTCGAACCTCGCATCCTTCATTATTTTTTTTATACACTCTCTTATTAAGAGTGAAAGCCTCTTTAAGTGATTAATTAAGATTTCTGAAGAATCTTAACTATGACAGGCATTATTTTAATGGCAGGGTGAATTAAAGTTTAAAGATTCTTTTCGCATGCATGAAGTTGCATGATTCGCGAAACTAGATTCGCGAAACTAGATTCGCGAAACTAGATTCTTAACTCGAAATCCTTTTTAGGAACCTATTGAAATTAATCGAATTTCCAGCAACAGCTTTTAGTCTTGGAGTTACTTGATTAGATCTAACGCTGATAGTGGTTTAATTATATTTAATTTGTGATGCTAGTGATATTGTGCGGCTGATTTCTGTTGATAATTGGTAGCATTTCACATCTGAAATCCCCTCCGCATCAAACTTTTTGGCATTTCAAACGACAATAACTGTTTGAACTTAGAATTGCTGAAAACAATTCCACTTTGAGTTTCCATTATGCCTGTACTGTTGCGGGAATGGTTTCATAAACACAAACTAAAGGCTTTCAAAACAAAACAGATTAAAAGAATCGGTAGTATAGATCAGAATGTGAGCTTAGTATGTTGCCACAAATAACCAACATTACCGTTTAAATACTAACAAACGCCTTTAGGAAGACAAACTGGAAAATGTTCTTTTATCCAAGATTGCTAATAACATCGAATGTTCTATTTGTTCAGAAATTGTGATTTCCCCAGTGACAACTTCTTGTGGACATACCTATTGTTATCTTTGTTTGACAGAATGGTTTCAACACAGAATACTTTGTCCTATGTGCAACTCAAAAATATATACCATGCCGGTTTTAAATATTCAAATGAATGATCTTTCTAATCATATGATAGATTTACTTGCCAGGTCCAGTGCAGATAAAGAAGAAGCATCCTGTCTTGTTAAACGAAGAAATGAACTGCAGAAGAAATATCAAAAAGATCTACTGCATAATCAACTTTTTGGGGGTCAATTATATTCATTAAATGAAAAGCTCACGTTTGCATACAAATTAGACCAGTTAGATAAATGGAAGCATGGCCGGGTGTTACTCTTACCCAACCCAGCTAATATCCGGGATAATGATGATAATCCCAGAGGTGCTGTGGTTGAAGCTATAGATGTTGAGAAAAAATGGGGCCATTTGATGGTATTTTTGAAGTGGATTGTGATGGCATTTGCGTTGTTCATGTGGTATACCTTAGTGATACGTTTTCCCGGGGAAGTTTTCATTATTCGGTTCATACTAGGTGCTATTCACGTTCTTTTTGACAAAATCAAAATTGCTATTTGAATGGGAATATAATTTGGTACTTGTAGTACCGTGATAGTTTCTGTAAGATCTATATATATATATAGTATTTATTGGTTATTTTTGAATCTAGTACAATATTGTAGTCAGGTCTTTATAGTGAACTTTGTCAAAAATAGAGACTTGTTAAACATTACTTCTACAGACTTTCCACGATGAATGGTTAGATTCATTCCATTAATATAACTACATTCAGTTGATCTTCCTGTTTCCTTTGGCTCCAGTTTCTAAAAAAATTGATATGCTGCGTCCATAATATCAACGTTAAGTATTGTTGCGAAAATAAAGTCAAGTCCAACATACCAGCCTACCACGATGACTAAAACAAAGAAAGCACCAAATTGTCATAAATTAGCATGTATAATATTGTACAATTATACTAAGCGATTATACTAACCTATTTTTAGGATAAAAAGCTCAGTGAAGACATCCTTGAAGATGTATTAGAGTGCCCCATCTGTGTTGAATTTATGATCATCCCCATGACAACCGGATGTGGTCACACTTATTGTTATAGTTGTATTTATCAATGGTTAAAATGTAATAAAGAATGTCCCCTTTGTCGCAAGTACATAGATGATGAGCCAACATTAGACCCTGAACTTCGAGAACTGTCTCTGGAAATTTTTGAATTGTTATTGGATATAAATGCTAACAATGAAGAAGAGACTGATTATCTCATAGAAAGAAGAGACAAGCATACTATGGTTTATGAAACTGATATTTTCAATTGCCAACTATTTGGCTATTTGTTTGACCCTAGTGCTGAATTTAGTAAATCCCCTTCTCCAGAGCTCCTGGTTTTTAATGACTCGGACCAAGCAAGTTTATAATAATTGCATATAGAAGGTTTAATCTATTTCTTTGTAGACAGTTAGATATCTGCATCAATATGACTGTAATGTGTATAGAGAATTAAAAGGCAAAAAAAAAGGCTTTACTCTTTAAGATGGACTTAGATCACAGATTATAGCTCCTTACAAGGCCATTACTCAAACACAAAGAGGTAGAGGCATTGTGATATGTGTAGTAATAACAAGTAAGCTCTAGACTATGCCGATATGTATATTGTGATTGCAGTTTCGTGGTAAATACTCACATGAGCACAAACCTACAGTGAATTTAAGTTTCTCTATGGTCGAATGGGTACATTTCACATATCAAGATGTTTATTTGCTACTAGTTTCCAAATGGAAAAAGCTGTAACGATGCATATTCTTTAATTGGACTCAGTCTAGCTGGTTGTTGAAAATGACATCTCCCAGTTGATGCAAGTTATTTATAGTACTTCCTTTACCCTACACAAATATATCTTCAGATAGGATTCAACGAAATGTATTCTTGTTATGAATCTAACCTTGAAAAACTGTTGTTTCCTTGATTTGCATGTTTTTATTTGCAAAGTTTCACATGTAAAAAGCGGCATAAATCATAGCAGATTTTTAAGTTTTTAACAGTCCCATAAAATTAACTAGACTCTCTATTCCAAAGAAGTAATTATATGAAACGCCAACCAAAGAATGAGTACCAACAGGGACGAATGGCTTAAAACTTTCTTAAGTAAGTTCTTTTTCACGCCAGTTAGTAAACATAAACTTAAGGAGGAATGATGAAAAAAAAAGAGAAATTATATTTAAACTCGACTCCTTGTTTAATACAGCTTTCATGGATTATTTTAGACAAAGAAAATGGGGAGATTTTAAGATTATATCCTTCTTTATTGGTTCGGAATACAAGGAGGACTAACACTGTAGTGAATAGAGTAAAGTAGATACTCTTAAGTAGTAACGCATGAAGACATAAATCTGGAAAGCTTCTATTCAAACCAAACATAAACCTTGAAGCTTACTCGATAACAAATTAATAGATAACTTAATACCATGGGAAATATTAGGAGATCCACACCAAGTTAGTTCAACTGTATGCCTCACCTTCTGCGCTTTGGTTTCCAAACTAATGCTTCACTTGAAAGCATCATTGTTAAATATCATTATCACTTCAACATCGCCTGGCAACTCATACTACACCTCTATTAGAATTAGACTAGTTCACTGGAAGATTTTTTAATATTTAGTTTGAAAATATCCCAGATTAAACGCGAAAACAATTCAGGTGTCTTCATTAGTGCTGTCAAGCAACCAGATAAACCACACCTACAATCCGGCTCCCTATTCTACAACATCTTGATCTTAACCGTGCTATAATAACACTTGTCATCATCAACACCAGAATACACTGAATGGGGAAATCAACTGATATCAAGTACTAATTTACCTTAGACTTGTACAGAAAATATCAAGTTATCTCCACATCCGCTAAAATCTAAAATGAATCAATCTTAAACTTTATTTGCATATGGTAGCATCGGGCATTAATAACCAGTTCAAGAGATTTAAACTAAGTTTAAACTTCCACCATAGTATTGATAATGAGGGGAAGTATTGCTATAAATAATAAGCTCATTTAAGGGGAGCAGTGGGGGGAGACTGATTCTTTTCAAGGAACTTATTCTCTCTTGTCAGCAGGAAAGCGCAATGGTCACCCGTGAAAAAGTAATGAGTATAATCATTCCCAGAAAGCTGATTCAAACCACTGACATTAAGCAAGTCCCCAGCGATTTGTTGGCTAAAGTGGTTGATCTAGAATGTCCTATATGTACGGAAATTATGATTGTTCCAGTTACTACCAAATGTCGTCATTCTTTCTGTTATCGATGCATGTACAGATGGTGTAAACTTCACCGGAGTTGTCCAACTTGCCGGTATAGTATCAAACGCCAACCTCAATTAAATGTTGCAATCAAGGATGTTGTTAGATTGGCAGTTGACTCGTTAGTTGAGACTAACTGTCGAGAATATAACAGTGCTGAACTTATTAAACTTAGAAATCATATGCTTGATGAATATAATAGTGATGTTGCCAATGGACAACTTTATGGGAATTTGTTTGAAAGACGACAATTTTTCAAGAGTCACTACTATGGATGAATGATATCCTTTTTTTGCTTATCCTACTGCACGTGTTCTTCTGTTATAGGATATTTTATTCTCTCATATGCATGTTTATACCACCTTACAATTGATTACCTCAATGTTTATATCCCACAAGTGTTTACTCGTAGTAAATGCAACAGTTTAGTACCTGCTTCTTGAAGTAGTCTAGTCAAATCATAAGATCAAGTTACCCGGAATAAATGACCGGGTTTTTTTTTCTGAAGCACGTGATTTGGATTTTTCTCTGTTTGGAAAAGCATAGAGAGGAGGAGGAGAGCACAAGTTTGAAACATAACTACCAGAGTTTTAACAACACTTGATATAATATAGTCACATTAGAAATAGTTAGAATCATGCTGCATAAGCTAGAAGACAGCAAAGTGTGGAATGAATTAGTATGTTAAGTTGTGATGTTTCCAGTGTATTAGTAGATGTACTAACAAAAAAGTTTAGGACCATTCGCTTACAAGCCATTTGCTTGCAAAAATCAACAATATCATGGAATGTCCTATATGTTCTGAAGTCATGATAATACCGGTAACGGCCGAATGTGGTCACTCGTTTTGTTATGGATGTATACACCAATGGTTTGAAACCAAATTGAATTGTCCTACCTGTCGAACAGACATTGAACATAAACCAGTGTTGAATATTCACCTTAAGGAGATATCGAAAGGTGTGGTTGATTTATTAATAGAGACCACAACTGATGAAAAGGAAAAATCACATTTGGTTAAGCTTCGTGACGAACTGACCAAGAATTATGAAACTGATAAAACAGGCAAACAACTATTTGGAAACTTGTTTAAAGGTACGACAATGTTGATAGATAACAGTGACGGAGTACCGAGATGTGGGAACTGTCATTGGGAAGCTCATGGAAATGTATGCATGCATTGTGGTACTCGATTTAGAAACGCCCGTAATTTAGTGGATGGAGATTTGGATGGGGATGACGAGGATGAAGATAGATTCGAGGATGTTAATAGTGATAATGACTATGATCTTGATGATAGTTTTATTGATGGAAGGAATATAGGTGAAATTTTTCGAGATGTGATCGAAGATTACGATAGTGAATTAGATTTGGATTACGAATCAGGAGAACCTTACCAACTTGATGCTAATGATAACTGGCATGGATTTGAAAGTGCCAGTGAAACTGGAAGTTTTGAATTAAGTGGAGTTGACGAAGATGATTTGGATTCGTCGGTGATTGATGCCTTGGATGAATTCCACCATGGAGATAGTGATAGCAATATAGAAGGAAGTCTTGGAGATGGCAGTGATAGCCACAGAGGATTCTACAGCGATAGAGAAGACGACCACAATGGAAATAGTGGATACGGTGGTGATGATGATGATGATGGTAATAATAATTTTGACGATGATGTTGAACACCATTTTGATGGTGGTAATCATGGATTCGATGATGATGATGCAAATGAAGGATACGATGAAAACGAGAGCTATGGTGAGGATAGCTACGGAGGGGATAGTGGATACGAAGATAACTGGTAAAGTAGTTATGTATAACTGTAGTTGGTTGGTTGGTTGGTTGCTAAATACCAATCACGTGAGCAAAATCACGCGATGTGTTTTTTTCTGCTTCCAACCAATTAAATTAATACTGAATTTCAATCGTAACACAACAGGAAAGAAAAAAAACTAGAGCTAAAATATAATTGCATCAAACAGTTTAGTAGAACATCTTCCAATTGAAACTACACAACGATGGATCCACAAAGAATTATCAACTTACAAAGAAGTTACCAATCTTCTAAGCTTCCTTTATACTTGAGAGGAAAGTACGCCAAACCTATGGTCTACTCCTTCATTGGTTTATTCGCCGTTACCACTGTTCACTCTTTATACTACACTGGTAGAGCCGTCGCTGGATTACACGTTGATGATTGAAGAACTAATACAAGAATAATATTACTGTGATTGACTCACATACATCATACTACATCTTTCGATTGGGCTGTATACTTTTTTCTATGTTTTAGGTCTAGTTGATTAAATATATATTACATTTTATTATGCATTTGAAAGTTATATGCTTTGTAAAAGGATGTAAACTTTACCGGATATGGCCGCTGTAGGTTGAAACTGGGTCAACCATGTCTTGAGTTTTGACCTGTTTATTGTGAGCTGGCTTGAGTATTTTATTTGTAGATGCGATAGTACAATCGCGTTATATCCTATTATATAGGATTTTATCTCGTTATTGTGTTGATTATCTAATGCTTCTAGTTGTGCCATATTGTTGGCTATAATGGGTACATCCACCTCAATTAAGTCCCATTCAACCAAGTTCATTAATAATCCCAATAGAAGTAGACATAGTGATAAAGACTCGGGGTTTGCATCTCGATAAGTTCTATCAAGAAACCCGAATATTATATGTGTCCACTTGGAGTCATATATTTCTTGGACCACCTTCTTTTCGTAGTTGGTAGTTAATACAATGAAAACCCTGATTATCCTAGAATCAAATTCGGTATTCTTATCCTGGTCAAGTCGGAGGAAAGACTCTTCAAACAATGGCGTTAATTTCTCAACATCTAATCCTATTAGCTTTGAATCTTGAAAATAAACCTCGAGTATTTCTAGTAAGTCGGTGTTATTTCGCTGGCTTGATTCAAGTAGTTCTAAAATGGCAAGAATGACTGGCCAATTAACCAAGTTCTGTTTCTGGATTTCTCTTAGGAAGCCGATATCAAAGCATGGTTCAAGATATGGTTTAGCTAGGTTTTGGTTAACTCTCAGAAATTTAGTGATTTCTATAACAGTTGACAATCCAAGTATAACTTTATCCAAAACCAGTTCAAGTTGTGCAAGGACTTCCTTGTGGTTGGTACAAACTCTATAACATACTGAAGATACCAATTTTACCACAATATCATCACTCCATCGAATCTCTTTAACTGCAAGTACTACTTTATTCAAATCAGATTGTGATATCTTTCCTTGAACCAATACCAACAATTCAAGTAGTGAACTGACTAGAACTGAGCGAGTACCAGACAACCCATCAAGAATATAATATAAGGTATTCATACCATTACTACTACTTCTCAAATCATTGACATTTAGGATTGCTTCACAATTGTCAAAATCATGGCGCGAACTGATTTCATTAGTTAATTCTTGTTTAACATGGAGCTCTACATTGTCATCAAGGAGATAAGTTCGATCACTAGCGTACGTCTTTTGTTTAGGCTGTGGTTTTGGAACTATTCGTTTTGGTTCTGGTTGTGTTGGTGTTGTTTCTTTACATATTGAATCAAAGTCGATTTCAAAGGATACTTCGTTTGTTTCGGTTTCTGATTCTTCACTAGCTGAGGATTGTTCGTTTGCAAGGATAATAACTGGTTGCTCTTCTATAGAATTGAATAGATCATCCCAAGCATTGGATCGTATGATTTTGTTTGGTTTACTTTTCTTGGTTGTAGATCTCGGAACAGACTTAGGTTTCCTCTTGACTTTAGATTTCTCCTTTGGTACTTTCTTCTCTTCTTTAGGAGGGTCTGCAATATTCAATAACGTCTGAGTCAAATTCTTCACGCTTGTATCTTTCTCAAGTGTGGTTCTAACACTGATAAACTTCTTGGGTGACTTGTTGAATGACTCACTAGGGCTAGGAATTTCATCATTGCTAAATAAGTCATCACTAAAGGAAGTAGAACTGGTTGATAGCCTTACGCGTTTATTCCTTTTCCTATTCCCATATGTAGCCATTTTGAGCGTTACCTCTGAAGTTGAATGAATCTTTGTGGTTGTAAAAGACGTGTGTTTATGTGTTTGGAAAATGATAAGGGGAAAATAAGTCATGTGATCATTATCACATGACACGCCATTTTGTTTTTAACAACAAACAAAAATTCAACGAAAATATTACACCGTCTTTAATCAGTGGATAATTATAGACAGACCAAGATGAGCAACACATTGAATGCCAATCTCAATAAGGTCAATTCGATTCTTGAACGGAAACTCCGTAGTTTCCTCCTGGGTCCTAAAAAGGGGGAAACATTTGAATTAAGAAATGGATTGGTATCCCAATATAAGCATGAGCGTAAAGACTCCATACAACGAGTAATTCAAGCCATGACTTTAGGTAAAGATGTCTCCAGTTTGTTTCCGGACGTGTTGAAGAATATCGCCACTTATGATTTACAACAAAAGAAATTGGTTTATTTATACTTGATGAATTACGCCAAGACCCATCCGGAATTGTGTATATTGGCCGTCAATACATTTGTTCAAGATACCGAAGATCCCAATCCATTGATTCGTGCCTTGGCTATTAGAACTATGGGTTGTATTAGAGTGGATAAGATGGTTGATTATATGGAAATTCCCTTGCAGAGAACTTTAAAGGATGAGAATCCATACGTGAGAAAGACTGCTGCCGTGTGTGTTGCCAAATTGTTTGATTTGAATCCTCAGATTTGTATTGAGTTTGGATTTTTAGAGCAATTACAAGAATTGATTAAAGATTCCAACCCAATGGTTGTTGTCAATGCCTTGAATGCATTGTATGAAATCAAAGATATGAATACGGATGAAAACTTGGTTGTTTTTGAAATCAATCATGAAATTATTCAAAATTTGGTATTATGTCTCAATGAATGTACTGAATGGGGTAGAATCACCATTTTAACCACCTTAAATGATTATACTACATCAGATGTAGAGCAAGTCAATCATATTATAGAAAGAGTTATTCCTCAATTACAACATGTTAACCCTTCCGTGGTTTTGAGCTCAATCAAGGTTATCTTGCATCATTTGGAAATTATTCCTAGTCAACAACAACGTGATGGTATTTTAAAGAAGTTGCTGGCTCCTCTAGTGTCATTGGTGAATTCTTCAAGCATCCCCGAAGCTCAATATGTTGGATTGAAGAACATTCGAATTATCTTGGAGAAATATCCCCAAATATTGTCCAAGGAATTAAGAATCTTCTTTTTGAAGTATTCCGATCCATTATACCTTAAATTGGAAAAGCTTGAAATTATGATTAGATTGGCTAATGAAAGTAACAGTACTATCTTACTCAGTGAATTAAAGGAGTATGCTATGGAATTCGAACCAAGCTTAGTTTCAAAAGCTATAAAATCAATTGGATCTGTGGCTATCCAATTAAGTAATTGTGTTGTTAAATCAGTTACATTGTTAAATGAGATTATTGAACAAAGAGGAGGAGATTTAATCATAAATGAGTCAATTATTGTCTTGACTAACATTTTACGAAGATACCCTAGAAAGAACGATTTCATTACATTGATTATTCCCATTATTTCCAATCATATTGAAGAATTGGACAGAAATGATTCATTATCCAGTTATATCTACTTATTGGGTGAGTATCCAAAGTATTTCTCCAATTTGCATGACAAGTTAACAAAGTTAGTAGAACAGTTCTTGTCATTTGATCCAATTTTGCAATTAAACACATTAACTACAATTGTCAAGATTAACTTACAATCTACCGGAACACAATTTTCTAGTTTATTGCAACAAGTTTTGGAAATGTCTACCAAAGAATGTGAAAATGCCGATGTTAGAGATAAGGCATATATATATTGGAGATTATTATCATCTTCATCATCAGTTGAAGTTCAAAAAAGAATTGTATTAAGTAAGATTCCAGCCATCAAGACCACCATTTCATCATTCAATCCAATTATTTTAGAAACTTTAATGAGTGAATTATCCACCTTATCTTCAGTATACCACAAACCAGCAAAGACATTTATAGATGCAAGCGCATATTCAAGAACACCAAAGACTAATGAGAAGTTAGAAGATTTGAAAACTAAAGCCAAGAAAGAAATCATTAACAATGTCAAGAATGAAAACTTGCTTGATTTCGATGATGATGGTAATGAGAATGGTGTCGGTAGTGAGGAAGGTGTCAACAGTTTACTTGATGAATTGAACGATTTGTTTATGGCTCAACCTCCTCCAACACAATCGGAAGCTCCACAACAAGGGCAATCACAAACCAATGATATTTTAAGCTTGTTTAATACCATTCCAACAACCACACCTGGAAAGCCAAGTTTTACGGGTTCTAGTACAACTACAAACACCGGTAGTACAGTCAATAATGATCTCTTGGATCTTTTCTAAATATAAATACAAATTATATATCCAGTAATAACTTTTCGATTATTTCCGATTTCAATTTCCGGATTTGTTCATCGTTTTTATTGTTTCGTTTAAAGTGTTCTTCCTTCAGATTTATTTCAAATTCCGTCAATTTCTTAATTTTGGTCTTGACTTCTTCCGAAACTTTTTCAATTGTGTCGATTTCTTGTCGTTTCAAGTCGATTTGTTTACGTAGCAACATAATTAAACTCTCTCTAGTTTGGTGTGGTCTATAAGTATTTAGTAAATGATTGATATTAATCAAAATCAAAGAAATATCCTTAACCTTACTCTCATAATTGGTAGGATCGATTGACATTATTCCAATCAACTCCAAGAAGTTGAGCAATAGTGAATCCATTAACTTATGCAATTCTTTTATTTTCGTTTCTGAAGTAATTGACTCGTCATTTTCAGCTGGGTAAAGTTGTCGCCAATTTGTAGATTTAAGACTGGGAAGTTTATCTTCAAACGACCAGATGTTCCCATAACCTCTGTAGTGAGAACCCGATGGCGGTGCTGGTGGCACAAGGAATCGTAATTCACCTGGTGGGACTTCGACTGTATTTTCACTTGGTTCTGACTTGCGTTGTTGTTCCCATTGTGCTAGCTTTGCTAGATTTTCATTAGTAAAGAATTTGACATATGGCGGTGGAGGGGGATACAATGAAGATATTAGATCTTCATTGGTATTAGACATTATGCTGCTAAAGTCACCTTGGTAGCCTTTGTTTGCTATTTTCGTTGTACATCCACAGGGGAAAAATATTTGATTTCAAATCATATCAAAATTTACAACCAAGAAACTCCACACCTTTTTATTATTGTTTCCACTATACTCTTCATTATAACGTCAGTACACTTAGTAATAGATTTATTGAAATGGCTGACGATCGTATGGATATAGATGGTAAGTTTACCTCATTATACACACTGATTTTAAAAAAAAACACACATACTAACAAATGACAGAAGTAGCACAGGAGCTGGCTGAATCCACGCCTCCTGCCACCAAATCATCATCCAAGCAAAAGTTTGAAGTTAAGAAGTGGACCGCTGTTGCATTTTGGTCATGGGGTAAGTATAATTCACCTTGATTACAATGAGCTTTGTACTAACGTATTCTAGACATGCAAATTGAAAATTGTGCAATTTGTAGAAATCACTTAATGGAGCCTTGTATTGAATGTCAACCAAACACCATTGCCAATGGCAGTGAAGAATGTATTGCTGCTTGGGGTGTGTGTAACCATGCGTTCCATTTACATTGTATTAAGAGATGGCTAAAAACTAGAAATGCTTGTCCTTTAGATAACCAAGAATGGACATATCAAAAATTTGGTACCTAGTCCTATTTGTATATTAATATACATAATGTCTACTTATAATATCTCCAACTTCTCTTGAAACTTCCTAATACCACCAATTCTAAACAGTTTGGTTTGATTTGCTCTAGACTAGTGTTGACTCCATCCTGTAGATCACCAATCATTTCTACGAAGAACACGTACTGCCAGGGTTTGACGTGAGAGGGACGCGAATTGATTGAAATCAAGTTGACTCCATTGGATTTGAATCGTACTAATACGTCACATAATGCCCCTGGGTTCTCTGAATTGTTCAAAGTGAACATAACTGAAGTGACTATATCTTCTTCTTCTTCTTCTTCTTCTTCATTTGTTCCGTGCTGAAGAGGCTTATTGTATCCCAACACCAAGAATCTGGTGGTATTACTGACATTATCCTCAATGCTTTCATACATTATCGGTAACTCATACAAGTCCGCACTCATTTTCGAGCTTATGGCTGCTGAAGTTCCATCACTTCCCTCACTCTTGACAATTTCTGCTGCTTTGGAAGTAGATCCAACATCAATCTTAACCACATCCGCCTTAACTTTTTCCAGTAAGAACTTACTAACTTGAGTCCATACTTGAGGGTGGGAATATATGGTCTTGATCAGGCCTATGTCCTTAGCATAAGTAAGGAAATTATGATGAATGCTAACAAATTGTTCGGCAACAACTTTGAATTCCGGTTCAGTGGTGTTGATAAACCAATCTCGCAACAAATCATATGTAAATACAACCTGTCCATTAGTAGAGTTCTCGAATGGTACCACAGCATAATCCACTTGTTTGGAATCTATGCATTTGAAACAATCGCTGATGGCCTTTTGAGGAAGGATAGTTACATCATTACCAAATTGTTGTATCACGGCCTGATGAGTGTTAGTAAAAACAAAAACAAAAGTGATTTGGAAGAAGTAGTACATACCTGATGGGTATAGGTTCCTTCGGGACCTAAGAATGCTACCTTGATAGTCATATGGAGTGGCCTTTTGGTACTACCTTAGTGATGAGTCAACAAACAAAAATCATAGACTGATTTTTCAATCAGATCTAACGGATATGCTCGCCCGATACCGGCAGCGATGTCTAAGACAAACTGCATTTTTCAACTTTCTCCCATTTAAAACCATTCAAACAAGAAATAGTTGAAAAAACCAGTTCCTAATATTTTAGACCAAAACAATGGGGTATGGTCTAGCTCTGCTCATTAGAAAGAGAATACAACAAGAGTGAAAGACTCAAGTCTCGCGAACTTACAATGTGTGATCGTTGGTGGCTCTATATTATAATTTGAGGCTCGGTAACGATCCACTAAAGTTGAAACAAATTCCCGGGTTAATCCCCATAAAATAACCTATAAAAACCTTTGAATCAACTAAAAAATCATGAAATATAAAATAAGTGTATTAATTAAATTAGTTATACCTTCATTTAGATTTCTTCAACAATAGTACCACGTTCAGAAACATAAATACCATCCAAGAACTTACGGATATCCTTGTTTCTAACACGACAGATTTGTTGGATATCAGCAGCGTTTTGAGAAACAGCTTCCAAGGAGTTACCGGAAACAATTAATTCATCCTTTTGAGCAGTAGAAATTTCCATGGTGACACCATCATGGATCTTAACTTGTCTGACTCTCTTTTCACCCAAGAAGTTTCTGATTTCAACAAACTTTTGACCATCAGTTTCAACAATGTTGACATTGATTGGGAAATGCGCATAGACGAATCTCATCTTGTACTTGTAACCCTTGGTAACACCGGTGATCAAGTTAGCAATCAAAGACTTGACGGTTCTTAAAGCAGCAACGTGCTTTCTGTCACCATTGTGGACAGTGATCTTAACAGCTCTGTTGTTAATCTTGTTGAAGGTAACATCAATGTGCTTTAATTCCTTGGTTAAAACACCTCTTGGACCAGTGACCTTGATGGTTCTGGCCTTGATGTCAACGGTAACACCTTCTGGAATGTCTAAGATTTGATCGGTTTGAATGTACTTCATTGTGATGACTTGATGAGGAGAAGAAAGAAGAGAAGAAGTAAAATTAATCTGAAAATTTTTTTATATCTTGCAGCTTAATGTGAAAATTTTCAGAAAAAAAAAAAGCTGAAAAGTCGTGCGAATTCCAAAATACATTTGAAAAATGCAAAAAAATGAAATTCTGATAAATACACACCATTCTGATAATTACGCTATAGAAGGCCGGGTAATGATATTAAATTTGCGTAAGAACTATTTGGTTTTTTTTTTTGCAGCTATTTGTAGTAAAAAAAAATATCTAAAGAAACATTACTCCTGCTAATCTTCCATCATGAAAGTTTAACTATTTCAGTTTTCTAGATGATATTGAGCTTGCATTTCTGTAGATTATTGTACATACGAATGTTTTGGAGGCTGATAAAGCTATGATTGCTGGTTGAAGAACATATAATTGGGGCCTTATCAACCTTGGTTTGACGAGCAAAGGTGTATGGACTAACGATTGTAATTCCTCAAACCCGGAACTATAGACTGAATAATCTTCCATAATTTCAGACACATCTCTATAATTGTAATCTGATGGACATGTGAATTATAAGTTGTCAAGATCATAGTCATAGATTTACAAACACCAACTGGTAAGACGATTTTTTAACCAAGTATACGAAATACAATTATCGCTGTTTGGCTCTTACAGCTTTAAAAATATGTCACTTATTATCTGGCTTAAAATATATGACCATCAGCTTTCGATCTATACTATTTGGATGCCAACTTAAGCAGTCTTTGTGGTTTATTTAGTTTGGGTGGTGAGTACATTGCTGGCACAAGGAAAAACTGGACTCACAGGCCAGCGAGCCACCAAATATAGGGATATCGACCCTCAAAACACGTAGCTCCAGTAGCCTATACATTTCGCAGATTTTTCAGTCTATACACTATATCGTAGGTTTCTTAGCCTAGCAAATTCCTAAGCTCTTTAACCTACCCCCCATATATTTACAGAGGTCAGTACAGAATGCGATTTTTATGAACAAAGTACACTACTGTATAATTTGTAGCATTTTGCATCTTAAACAGCTTTAATATCATTGCTTGATAGCAATATAATAGTACTAGAGTTATTCAAATGCCACTGAAAAGATAAGTGAAGAATTGAGTGATTGAAAGGATGGATGTATTCTTGTGTAGGTACATGGGAAAAGTATAAGGGTAAAAGTATCAACATCTGCTGCTGAGCCTATACTTTCGCTGCAGTAGCCTACAATGTAGGTAGTTCTACCCTAAAACATATACACTTATGGAAATAAAATGAGAGTACTAACCGAGTATATTCAAATGGAAGTCATATCAGTCACTTCATGCTCCCATTAACGCCTTGAAACGTGTAACTTTTCTTACTAAAAGGTCACTTAGTTCTCAATACACAAGTGGTAGCAATATTAAGTCTCAATTCACGTCTCTATATCATTATAGATGCAATCTCGTTGACTTCATCTTTTATATTTCTATCCGTTGAAATTGTTCTACAAATATACAGCATCGGTAGTTGATTTGATACAACAATATAATTCATGAAAACTTACACAACATTCAAAACATAATGTTCATATACTAAATAGTTATACTAAGAGATAAAATTTACTCTTCTTGTTCATCTAATGTCTTAAATTCCCACAACTTGAATCCCTTTGGATAAGTGACACCTAAGGAGATCAACTTGGAGAAAGCCTTGGAGAAATCTCTAAAGAATAATTCTTCATCGGCAGCATAAGCCTTGACATACTTTAAAAAGTTTGGTTCTTCCTTCAAGGCAATATCAGTTGGCAACATCATAAATTCACCAGACTTGACATCTTCGTATTGCTTTGGTCCATCCCACTTCTTAACTCTCCAGTCTTCCAACAAAATATTGTAGAAAGTGTTGGTGAATTGGTTGAATGATGGACCCCATGGACCCTTGTAACCGGAATTGTGTGGATGACATCTACCTAAAACGTGGGCACCTAATAAAGCAACAGATTCTTGTTCATTGAAACCTAAACGGGCAAAGTAGTTCTTGACATACTTACCATCTTGAGAAGCGTCTGGTAATAAACCGTTTGGAGGAACATTCTTACCGGAATTGTCATCGACTCTACCTGGACCCCAAGGAATCTTTGGACCACCAGCTTCTTGAACACCAGCAACACTGGCTAAAGTCCATAAATCACCTCTGGAGATCCATGGGTATTTGATTAAGAATTCTTGCAAGAAATCACGAGCATTTTGTAAACCATTGTTAGCAGGATCCAATTCTTCAGGAGCATAAATCATAGTACCACGGTATGAACCACCAGTGTTTCCGTCCTTGTTGTAAGTACCAGATGAGTGCCATCCCAATCTAACTAAAACAGCATAGAAACCAGAGTTTTCATCATATTCAGGGAATTCAGAGATCTTTTGAGCAATGTCATTGTAAACCTTTTGATAGTCATCAAACCCTTTACCGTGAGGAACGGTGGCTTGATTGACAACGGCAGAACCACCAAAGAGACCCATCAATCCACTTCTCTTTATGTTCTTGTTGTTGTTATTGTTGTTGTTGTTGTTGTTGTTGTTGTTGTTGTAACTGTTCTTCTTCTTGTAGTCATCGTACATGTAAGCCAAAGAGGCAGTGGCAGCAGCAGACCCAAGCAAGAAGTACTTGGAGAATCTAGTGGATTTGAATTGGATACGACGTTTGGTGACTCTACCAATGGTAGGACCTAATGCAATTGCAGACATGATTGATAATAACCAAAGAAATGAAAAAGAATAAAATAGAAAGAAGATATTTTTCACTAGTGGAGAAATTATGTCATTTAAATACAAGTGGATTTTATTGGTTATCATCAATTTAAGGAGCGTGAAACCGTGGAAAGTCTCAATTTGGAAAATTCGAAAAAATTCGAGGCCCCTAAGGGAAACTGTGATTTACGCTGCGGGGGAACTGGACCCAGTTCCCGCTCCATTGTGGCAGAAACTATTGTATTGTCACAACCAAATACCGCGAGTAATCGTCGGATACACCTTTGTTATTGTTCTGCACGGTTCTATGGACTCGAAATGGAACGACAATTACTACAATTTACTATCAGAGACAGAAGGATCTACATTACAGATTTGTCATCGCCACAATTGTTCTAGAATTTCTTATACCACGTAATTTTTTTTTTTTGTTTTTTTGTGGGCTGGTTATGCCGTGATGGGGAGGGGGCCTCCTCCCAATGGGCTTGTAAAAAAATAATTTAAAATTCTGACTATCTTGACATCGAAACAAAGACTGTCATCCACATTCAACCCATTTGATGTAATTACTTCGTCGAGAGTTGTTTCTTTCTACAATTAACGTATATCTACAGTAGGTTAGTGTTAGGATCCCTCGAGAACTTAAAAACTGTCGTTGTTTCCCCTCTCTGTTTACAGTAATCTTCCGCCGTGGTTTTTCTTCTGTGGGGAAAATATCCGCTCCTGAATCAGGAGATAAAAAAAAAAATTGAGTAATACAATTTTCCGGGGCCATAATTGGCTGGAATTGAAAAAGTTACTATGTACACCAACAACACACTTACACCATTCAATTAAAGCATCCAGGCTTCGTGCTATGTTTAGATTACACAAACGATTACAATTGTACTATTTTATTAACTATATTATACAAATTATCATACATCACCAGTGCTTACATATCCCAAAAGATCTAGAAGAACCACGTGAAAAATATGGACATATCGGCGATTGAGATCTGCTAAAGTTTCACAAAATTAATAGCGTGTCGCACTCGGATAGTGATCCGAAGTACTCCTGATTATGTAATGGAATTATCGTTCTAATTCTGATCTTGTGCGTCTTGGGCTAATTTTTCATCAAGCAAGTTTTCAATGACTACAGCATCAGAATATACAAATGATCCTTCTTCGTTATATGTCTTAGCATTCAAACACATTTGCTTCAACTCTCCAATAAACTCTTCAAACAGTCCAAATCTCTCTTGTTCAAGTTGTTTCTTGACTTGATTAATAGACACTGCTCTCTTAATAATTTGGTAGTAATCAGGATACAATTTCCGGGAAGGCAACTTCAAGAAAATATCAGCCAAATTATGTCCATCGGCAGGATCAGTCAATTCCATGATTTCATCAATCACAGCAAGACATTTACCGGTAAACTCGTCAACTTCACCATCAATTTGTCCATCTATTTCTCCATCTTCGTCGGAGTTTCTATTACTTTCCTCTGGTTCCGAGATATGAGGCAAGGGAGTTCTCGATCTACGCTGTCTTTTTCTTGGTGCCGCCACGGCTTCATAATCATCATCGTCTTCTTCGCCAACCTCATCATCCTTAATGTCCTCTTCTAATAATCCTTCTCTAATGGCCTTATTTCTCTTTCTCTTGGCTATACGGGCTTCCTTACGCTTGATGGCATCTTCAACGGTATCTTCATCGTCATCCATTGCCATCAACCATTGTTCTTCAGTTAACCCATCATCATACTTGACTCGTTTCTTTTCTCTCATTCTACTCAATTCTTTGGTATCTTTTTCAAAATGCTGAGAAATATCTTCGGTAAACACACTTGGCAATTCATCCTTTTCAATCAATCTAGAACCAATGCTCTTATCAGCTTTCTTTCTTTCTTCATCCATTTGATTAAACAAAACCTTTTCCGCATCGGAACGGGCCAAAATTTCATTCAATTCTTCGTCATCCAATGAATCATTTTCTTCATTGTCTTCATTAGCTTCGGCCTCCAACAATCGCTTCAAGAATGCTTCTTGTTCTTCAGCAGTAGACTTGTTATCGAATTTACCGGCCTGGATCACCTTTCCATCAATATCCAACTTCTGGTGAGCTCTTTCCAAAATGACTTCTTCCACGGAATCATTAGTGATTAATCTCAAAATACGCACTTCGTTCTTTTGTCCGATTCTATGGGCACGATCTTGTGCTTGTAAATCTTGATGTGGGTTCCAATCAGTATCAAAAATCACCACGGTATCAGCTGTTTGCAAATTCAACCCCAACCCACCGGCACGAGTCGACAATAAGAAACAGAAATAGTCGGAGTCAGGCGCATTAAACACCTTTAACATATCTTGACGGTCCTCAGCCTTGGTGGAACCATCTAATCTGAGGTACTTCATATCTCTCCATCTAAGGAAATCCTCCATGATATCCATAACTTGGGTCATTTGGAAAAACATCAATACCCTATGACCACTAGCTTTGAATTTAGGTAATACACGATCCAACAATTCAAACTTACCACTGACTCGCCAGATCAAATCGTTAGTTAATCTCAGAGAATTCAACACAGCTTCAACTTCTTCAAACACAAACGGATGGTTACAAATCTTTCTCAATTGCATAATCTTGTTGTTCAAACCTTTGATACCGCTCTTAGCTCCTCCAACATCAGCACCGACAAACAAGGCATTGTGCTTCAACATTTGTTGATACAAGACATATTGCAACCCGGACAAGTTACACTTCAACACTTTTTCAACCTTATCAGGCAAATCCTTTTCGACGTCCTTCTTCAATCTTCTCAAAAGGAACGGACGAAGAACTTTATGTAATCTTCTAATAACCAACAACGATTCTTCTTCTGTCAATTCAATCTTTTCCTGGGCACCAGTATTGGCAAACGGAGTGTTGAACCATTCGTCAAAGGATTTCACCGAGTTGAAAATACGAGGCAACACGAAGTTCAATAACGCCCACAATTCAGGTAAGTTGTTTTGCAAGGGCGTACCAGTTAAAATCAATCTATTCTTGGTCTTGTAGTATGTTCTTAAAGTTTGCGACAACTTAGAATGGGCATTTTTCATTCTGTGACCTTCATCGATAATCATATGAGAATAGTGGAACTTGCATAAAAGTGGACGCTCCCTAATGATGTATTCATAAGTGGTCAACAACACTTGGAAATTACCGACCCTGATTTCCGGTTGCATCGATCTTCTTTGCTGTTGAGATCCTTTATACACCACCAACTTCACGGATGGGGCCCATTTTTCAAATTCTAATGTCCAATTAGTGATGGTGGAAAGTGGAACAATAACCAAAAACTTCTCCTCGTGTTTCTTTTCAATAAGATATGTGACCAAGGAAATGGATTGAATGGTCTTACCCAACCCCATCTCATCGGCCAAAATACCGTTTAATTTGTTATTGTACAAGGAAACCATCCATTGTAAACCCTTAATTTGGTACTCTTTTAATTTCCCGCCAACCAAAATCAGAGGCTGTTCAGTAATGACTTCCTTGACACGATGAGCAACTTCATAATAGTCAATCTTTTCCCGCAATTCATCATTGGCATCAGAAGGTTTGGTTTCCGGGGCTGATTCAGGTGACCCGCTCTTTTCCATGGGGAATTCTTCATCTTCTTGTTGTTGAGCTCTAACTTGTTGGGCCAACGAGTCCAAGAATGTATTGGTTTGCTTTAAAAGATGGGTGATTCTGTGGTCCTTGGTTTGGTCCAATAACTTGATATAGGCTTCTTCATCGTTGGCTTTCAATGCTTGCAATCTTTGCTTGGCGGTCTTTTCCAACTTCTTGGATTCTTCCTTTTCGGTATTTTGGTGGAAATTGTTGATTTGTCTCACTAAATTATGTGATCTGTAATGGTCTCTTTGGTACTTGGCATTACCCAAGGCTAAGGAACTCTCCAAGATTTGTTCAACTTTAGAAATATGCATTTGACGTTTCAATTCTTTTTCTTCTTGTTTCTTTAACTCCTCCAATTGTATAGCTAATAATTCAGGATGACGTTGTTCAACTTTGGGTCTGACATTGAATGATCTCTTTTCCAGGAGGATTATAGGATGGTCTTTCAAGTTAGGGTGGGTGAATTTAGCTTGTTGGGATTCATGTACTAGTATATTGCGTTTTAATTGTTTTTGCTTTGTGAGTAATCGAAGGGCCTTGATTTCAATGAGTGCTTTTATTTTCAAATTATCAAGTTCAGCTTCTTCCTTATCGGTATGGTATGTACCTAAATTACTTGGTAAGTTCTCTAAATCCTTTAATCTTTGGGAAATCTTGTTATTGATGATCTTTTCCGCGTAAAAGTTACCCAAGGGAGCATAGTGGGGATCGATAGCCGAAAGTGGCAATGGGACCTTGATCCCAAGTGACTCAGCTCTGGTTTCATAGTCATTGTCAATGGTGATCAACCGCTCGATTATGGAATCGACGGAAATAGCATGTTTCTTGATTTGGTTGGAAAACTCACGTTGCAAAGGCTCGGGTAAATCAACATCTTTCGATAATAACAACAATCCAGCAATTTGCTTTTCAAACAATTTCCCGTCAAACTGATCAATTTGTTCTTGGTCCACCTCAGTACTTGCCAACTCATTCAAAAACTCTTGTTCTTCTTGAAGAAATTCATCTTGAGCCTTACTGACCTTGGCCAAAATAGCTTCAATCTGGTGTTTTTGCTTAGAATTTGGATCTTCGAATTTTAACCCGGGTGAATCCTGTCTCTTTTCAAACTCTTCTCGTAATTGCTTGGACGCATAGAGCAATTTGTAATATCTATCCAACAAGTCATTCAACTGTTCCTTGGTTTGGGGGAAGGTGTAGCCAAACAGGACCAACTCCTGGTTGTCGGATGGTGGAGCCGGTACCTGACCTGCTGGAGGAGTGACTTCTGGACCATTCCCGTTTATTGTCATTACGCCGTTCATGGTAGTGAATTTTGTTTTTCTGTCAATGGGTGGTGTTTACCTAAAGTGATAGCGTTGCAACAAAAAAATTTCAAATCGGAATTGCAATCAATCTGCAAAAAAAATAGATGTGTTGATGAGGATACAGAAACAGAGTGGTTGGATGTATGTCGTGTCGTGATCTTGTTTGAATAGTTGTCAAATGAAATTTACACTGTTGCGGGTGAATTTCGTGGTTATACAATTCCAAACAGTACAGTATAAACTTTGTGTTTATTATGAGGAAAGTGGAGTATGTTTGGTGGTTTCTCTTGGTTGATTGGTTAACCTTTAGATTGTTTGTTGATAAAGGTTTTGATTTGTTTGATGTATTGACTTGTTTAGCTCCAAAAAAAATATAAAATTGATTTGTAGAAGCTTGTGGTGGTGGTTTATCACAGAGAAAAAAATTTTATGGTGAACACCTTTTTTTTTTGTTTTTCTTTTTTTTGGTGGATTGGTAGAGACACGTACGCAATTTTACCACCGTGACTTACCAGTGTGTGTAGGTGTTGCATGGTTGGGAGAGGGATATGCAAGTGTGTGTGTGTGTTGATGGGATGTATATAGCTTGTAATTGAAAGGTCTCTGTTAGGAAATTCTCGAAGTTATATTCTTTGGTTGGGAGAAATGATTCTAATGCAGCTTTTACAACCCCATTGTCTAGATTAAAACGCGTCATTCAAAACCAATACCAAAGCAGTAGCTCTGTAATCCACATTCACTCTCTGTTATGCTTTCTTTCGGGTATATGCCGTGTTAGTTTATGATGATAGTTTAGATGTAGTTGTCAGGCAAGTATGATTTGTTTGTTTTCACCAAGGATAGAATAATCCCACTGAGAGGGGGAGAGGGGGGAGGAGGGAGCAAGAAGTATTACATACTTGTAACCACAGTAGGATATTCAGGGACATGCTGTCATAGTAACAATACCTGAGATTGTATGACATATTGATTACTTTCTTGTTCGTCAATGGTTTTGTTGTCTACGTTTGCAACCAATACCCATTAAGGAACGTGATTTTGTTAGGGCGAATCCATATATGCAGGAACCTGGTGGTTTTTCAGAAAACTTTTTTTTTTTGGAGGGGGAGGAGGGAGAACGTCATTGACGTTGTATGATTCAAGCAATTATAGACTGAGCTGTCACACACATACGGATAGACTAGTTAAACTACTTAATAAAGATTAATTATTAGTTATAATAAACATTACATAGGCATATTTCAAAACAATTATTAAGCAATGTTTAGAATTGGTGTACACAACAGGGCATTTACCAGAAGAGCCTTTGGTCAATTAAGATTTAACTCCACCAAGGCCCCAGGAGAATTCACCTGGGTTGATTACTTCCAATTGAAGAAACAAAATAGCAGATTGAATATGTTTTCTGGAGCCGTGACTGGGGTATTGGGGAGTGCTTTAACTTTAGGATATTTGGGTAATATTGAAATCGATGTGGAAAAGCCAATCTTTGGCTTTGATCCACTTATGGTTATGGGAGGTACCGTTATACTTGGGGGTCTTGTTGGGTACTTGGTTGGTCCATTCATGGGGTCTGCTGTGTTCAAGATGATGCATAGATCTAAGATGGCCCAATTTGAAGTGAGAAATAAGGAGTTTTTGCAAAGACTTCGTAGAAATAGACCAGATCCTTCTTCGCAAAGTTTCTCGAATCCAATTCCTGATTATTATGGGGAAAAGATTTATTCATTGAAGGATTATCAACAATGGTTGAGGGATTGCAATGCCTTCAGAAGAAAGGCCAAGGAGTTCCTTTAGATATGCCCAAGAGCAGAGTTATGTGAAGAATCATAGACTTGATAGTGAAAAGTTCATCTGTATATAGTGCGTATAGCATCTAAAACTAATAAAAGCAAAATTGAAGAGACATATTGGTTTTAAGTTATACTCCTATACCTTTTTGGTCGTATGGAGATAGTATATAGAAATAATAGTAGAAAAGAACACTTTCCTATTGTTTTGACATTTGTGGAACCATTGTAAGAGATTTATGTAGAATTTGCACAAAGTTTGCAGAAAACTTCTATGCGCCTCGAAATATTAGCAAATCTCAGATCGTAAAGCTATCGACCCAAGGCAAACACACACACACTCTCCACCTCCCCGCTCACCAAAGAAAAACATTTCCAAAATGGTGCCATTTGCATTGGGTAATTTGCAGCTACTCGTGTATTTTCAAAGTAATAAGAGGCAGTACGTGTCGTGTCGTGTGTGTGTGTGTGTGTGCCCGTGTGGTTAGCCGGGGTATGCTCGGAAAACCCATGCGTGATTTACGTCAAATAGAATCAATAGAAACACCAACATTGAGCATATAAATGCGGGATCGAAACCGGAGTCGACTCACCAATGAAATCGCAGGTATTCGCGGAAAAACAAAAAATCCGGAGTAAACAAAAAAAGACAGAGTTCGTGGGTTGTCCCATTGGCCAGGTATATAAACAAATACGTTCTTATATTGTAAATACAGCCAAAGTGAAGGGACTAAGAGTACATCATACATGTAGTGACTAAGTTATAACACTTTCCTGCACTTTTTTTTTGTTTGCTTCTGGCAATGCTGTACAGGGAATTAAACTTTATTTGTAAGTTCCGACCACCAACATACCGGAAAAGTTTCCGAAAATATAAAATTGCCGCAATTTCCATAGGAAAAAAAAAATTGATGCAAACGGCGGAGGTTTCACTAAGTGCCGTTGTATGCTAGCGGCAAAAAAAAAACAGAAGAGTGCCCCCGGTCTTTTTCGGATAGGCAAAATTCTTGGGGAACCCCATCACGATTTTTTCGGTGCAAATTTCGCATCGCTTGTTTCAAAACCACCGTCATGTACCACAACATTCCTGGTGTTACATTGCAATAGTAGTGTCCTCTTCTGATAACAAGGTGTAGAACATGCCCTGTAAGCAGTGTAGACTGTGTACATTTACGGCACGTTTTGTGTTGTCTGGCGAGAAACGACGCATCGAATTTTATTTGTCTCAAAATTTGTCTGTTTGATTTTTCTCCGGACCAAAAACCAACCAACAAAAATCCAGACTTTTTTTTTTCCAATTTCACTTGTTTAATTTCTACTCTTCTTTTCCTCCAATTGATCAGGATCTTTTGATTAACCCAATTGAAGAAGCCACCCTGTGCATCATTTACAACCATGCTTAAAGCCTTTAAAAGCGCTATTCCCCGCGCACAACTTTTAAGGGCCCAAACTATTAATAGAATCAACCCTTTGAGGATAAGTACCTGTCGTTTCCTCGCTACTGACAACTTCTTGCAAGGCAACAATTCCAACTATGTTGACGAAATGTACCAAGCCTGGAGACAAGACCCAGCCAGCGTCCATGCTTCTTGGAATGCCTATTTTAAAAACATCGAAAACGACAACATTCCTCCTTCGCAAGCTTTCCAAGCCCCTCCCACCATTGTCCCTACCGTGGTCGGTGGTGCTGCCGGTTTCCTTCCAAGAGACGCCCCAGCCACTGAAGACGTTGTTACTCACTTGAAGGTCCAATTGTTGGTTCGTGCTTACCAAGTCAGAGGACACCAAAAGGCCAAGATTGATCCATTGAATCTTACCTTTGGGGAAAACTATACCGTGCCAAAGGAATTGACCTTGGACTATTACGGATTCACCGAAAAGGATTTGGCCAAGGAAATCACCTTGGGTCCAGGTATCTTGCCCAGATTTGCCAATGGCGACAAGAAATCCATGACTTTGAAGGAAATCATTGACAATTGCGAAAGATTATACTGTTCTTCCTACGGTATTGAATACGTCCACATTCCATCCAAGGAAAAGTGTGACTGGTTGAGAGAACGTGTTGAAATCCCAACTCCATTCAAGTACTCTGCCGACCAAAAGAGACAAATCTTGGATCGTTTGATCTGGGCCACTTCTTTTGAAGCCTTCTTGAGCACCAAGTTCCCTAACGATAAGAGATTCGGGTTGGAAGGTGCTGAATCTACTGTTCCAGGTATGAAGTCTTTGATTGATACTTCGGTCGAATACGGGGTTGAAGATGTCGTTATTGGTATGCCCCACAGAGGTAGATTGAACATGTTGTCCAATGTTGTTCGTAAGCCTAATGAATCCATCTTTTCCGAATTCCAAGGTATTGTTGATTCTGGTGAAGGTTCCGGTGATGTCAAGTACCACTTGGGTATGAACTATGCTAGACCAACCACTTCTGGTAAATACGTCAACTTGTCCATTGTTGCCAACCCATCCCATTTAGAAGCTGAAGACGGGGTTGTCTTGGGTAAGACCAGAGCCATCCAACAATACAAGGGCGATGTCGGCCAATTCAAGAAGGCCTTGCCAGTTTTGTTGCATGGTGATTCTGCTTTCGCTGGTCAAGGTGTGGTTTATGAAACTATGGGTTTTGCCAACTTGCCAGCTTTCTCCACCGGTGGTACTGTCCATATTATCGTTAACAACCAAATTGGTTTCACCACTGATCCAAAGGCTGCCAGATCTACTTTGTATCCATCTGATATTGCCAAGTCTGTCAATGCACCAATTTTCCACGTTAATGCTGATGATGTCGAAGCCTGTACCTTTGTCTTCAACTTGGCTGCTGAATGGAGAGCTACTTTCCACTCTGATGTGATTATTGATGTTGTTGGTTACAGAAAGCACGGTCATAATGAAACTGATCAACCTGCATTTACCCAACCATTGATGTACGAAAAGATTGCTGAAAAGAAGTCGGTTATCGATTACTACACCACCAAGTTGATTGAAGAAGGTACTTTTACTGTTGAAGATATCGACGAACACAAGAAGTGGGTGTGGCAAACCTTGGAAGAACAATTCGGTAAGGCCAAGGACTACCAACCTACTTCCAGAGAATGGTTGACTACTCCATGGGAAGATTTCAAGTCTCCAACCCAATTAGCTACTGAAATTTTACCACACTTGCCAACTGCCGTGGAAGAAAACACCTTGAAGAAGATTGGTGATGCTATTTCCCAAGCTCCAGAAGGATTTGAAGTTCACAGAAATTTGAAGCGTATCTTGGGTACCAGAAAGAAGACCGTTGATTCCGGTGAAGGTATTGACTGGGCCACTGGTGAAGCTCTTGCCTACGGTTCTTTAGCCCTTGAAGGTTACCACGTTAGAGTTTCCGGTCAAGATGTTGAGAGAGGTACTTTCTCCCAACGTCATGCTGTTTTACACGACCAAAAGAGTGACCGTACTTGGACTCCATTGGCCAACTTGAGTGAAGACCAAGGTGCATTCACCATTGCCAACTCTTCCTTATCTGAATACGGTTGTTTAGGTTTTGAATATGGTTACTCCTTGACTTCCCCAGACGCATTAGTGCAATGGGAAGCTCAATTTGGTGATTTCGCCAACACCGCTCAAGTCATCATTGATCAATTCATTGCTGGTGCCGAATCCAAGTGGAAGCAAAGATCCGGGGTTGTTTTGTCCTTACCTCACGGTTATGATGGTCAAGGTCCAGAACATTCTTCTGGTAGACTCGAAAGATACTTGCAATTGTGTAACGAAGACCCTCGTTACTTCCCTAGCGAAACCAAATTGGAACGTCAACACCAAGACTGTAACATGCAAGTTGCTTACCCTACTACGCCAGCCAATCTTTTCCATCTTTTGCGTCGTCAAATGCACAGACAATTCAGAAAGCCATTGATTCTTTTTGTTTCCAAATCGTTGTTGCGTCATCCATTGGCCAGATCCAACTTGTCCGAATTCACTGGTGACTCTCACTTCCAATGGATCATTGAAGACTACCTCGGTGAAAAGTCTGATATTAAGAAGGTTGTCTTGTGCTCTGGTCAAGTTTTCGCTGCTTTGCACAAGAAGAGAGCTGGCTTGAACGATAACTCTATTGCCTTCATCAAGGTTGAACAATTGCACCCATTCCCATTCGCCCAATTGCGCGATGCCTTGAACTCGTACCCTAACGTTGAAGACTTGGTTTGGTGTCAAGAAGAACCATTGAACATGGGTTCCTGGGCCCACGTCAGTCCAAGAATGGACGTTGTTGTCCAAGAAACCATCCATAAGGACTTGAAGGTGAGATACGCTGGTAGAAACCCAAGTGCTTCCGTTGCTGCTGGTTCCAAGGCCAAGCACTTGGCTGAAGAAGAGGAATTGATAGAAGAAGCTTTCCGTTAGGTGATTTTAGAAAGGCTACGCATGTTTTCTGGATGATCTTTTTTATAATTATTCTGAAGTATATATTTTGATATTTGTTTTATTACAAAAAAAATGAATTTGTTTGATTAACTGCAAATGTAGGAATAAAATTTTTAGAGTGGGGAGGATACCAAGAGATCCTTGGAAAATTATGATCTTGCACCACCGGGCATCTAGTACGCGATCATGACTCCTGTCAAGAACTAAAAAAGGCTATACTGAAAAAGTTTCAAATAGCCGAGGTTCTTTGTAAGTCACAAATCGAACGGGACGGGACACAATGAAAAATTCTAGCGAGATCGTACCATTTAATGTACGTCCGACCCAGCCGTTATTGTTCCCAGGCGGGAGTTTACGGATATATCACGACGGGATCCTAGCAGACCCCCATGAGTCACCAGAGATACTGGGATGGACCCGGCATGCGCGCCGGTATGTCCCCGAAGAACTAGAGATAGTTTTACCGAAGGGGGACATGCCATTATTCAAACAGCCAAGGATTCTAGCGAGTTATATGTGCAATAGGGATATAATTCCGGAGGGGAATGTTCAAGTTACGAATTATGAGAAGATTGTTTGTGGTTGCGCAGTCTACGCCTGGCCTCTCTCTCCCACCCCCTCCACCCCGTTGCAGGTTGACAATTCCGATGAACCTAAACGTCTGGCTTAGTCTTGATTTACGAAATATTTTTTTTGCAATTGCCAATTGTTTGGTTTTGTCCCACATTAAAAATTCCATGTGGAAGTACTGTCACAGCCTGTATCGTATTTGTGCTACTGCATTACATTGACTAAGGAACATTCGGTGGTGATGTCACCCACGTCGTGACAGTAATAGTTGACGTAAGCGAAGATTAATGACATTACACGGAACTACATCATATTATTACGGATATAAATATTTTCTTCCCCTTTATGTCCGAAATGATCACGACAAAAAATCATGCATTGAGGGTAAAAAAATACCATTGTTTGTCTGCAGCGAAATCTGATGTTCCTTTAGTTTAGTGAGGCTGGTCCTCGGCCCTAATTCCAGATCGGGTGATGTTTTTACCTTTGAAGCATGATAGACGCAAATTTTCCATTTACAGGTAAACTATCACTGTTGGCATGTGAAGGATAATCTCCCATTCGGGGATAAGTCGCTTTTTAACTTTATATAAAAGTCCTTGACTTTCCATTAAGGCTCTTCCTTTAACCTTTTTTTCTATATACAATAATAAATAGATATACTGCAAAACTTAATTTTTACTTTATTGAATTTCTATCATGTCAAAACGAAGGAATTCGACTGACTCCGGTTGCGATGACGAATCCATCGACAACCAAACCCAAGAATCATACTTGGGATTTAATGAAGACACCAGCAGGGATGTTCAACAACTAGCCAGAACCCTCACCCAAGAATCAGCCGCATCTGTGGGCTCATCCCTGGCTGCCCTTATGAAATACTTATCCACCATAGATGAAGCTCCTGGTATCAACCCTTACCAAGAGGAAATCACTGATCCGGAACTAGACCCGGAGTCGCCCCAATTCAACGCCAAGTACTGGGTCAAGAACTTGAAGGCATTGTACTTGTCTGACCCTGACTATTTCAAGCCAAACAAATTAGGGGTAGCTTATCGGAACTTACGGGCCTATGGTGTTGCCAATGATGTTGATTACCAAACTACCGTGGCCACCGGGTTTATCAAGTTTATTGTGGATGGATTGAGGCATCTCAGAAAGGAAGACAAATCGAGATACTTTGATATTTTGAAACCTATGGATGCATTGTTGAAACCCGGGGAAATCACTGTTGTTCTAGGAAGACCCGGTGCTGGTTGTTCCACCTTGTTGAAAACCATTGCCGTCAATACCTACGGGTTCCACGTTGACAAGGAATCCAAGATTTCCTACGATGGGTTGACTCCATCAGATATTGAAAAGCATTACCGTGGTGATGTCATTTATTCTGCTGAAACTGATGATCATTTCCCTCATTTGACCGTGGGTGACACTTTGGAATTCGCAGCCAGACTTAGAACACCCCAGAATAGAGGGTTGGGCATTGACCGTGAAACCTATGCCAAACACATGGCCAATGTGTATATGGCCACTTATGGTATTTTGAAACAAAGAGACACCCCTGTAGGTTCAGAATTTGTCCGTGGTTGTTCTGGTGGTGAACGTAAGAGAGTGTCAATTGCTGAAGTTTCATTAAGTGGGGCTAATTTGCAATGTTGGGATAATGCCACTAGAGGGTTAGATGCAGCTACTGCTTTGGAATTCATTCGTGCTTTAAAGACATCTTCAACTATCTTGGACGTCACACCCATTATTGCGATCTATCAATGTTCTCAAGATGCTTATGACTTATTTGACAATGTGTCGGTGTTGTATGACGGTTACCAGATCTATTTCGGTAAGGCTGACAAAGCCAAGGAATTCTTTACCAATATGGGCTGGTTCTGCCCCGACAGACAAACCACCGCTGATTTCTTAACATCATTAACCAACCCTGCTGAAAGAATTGCCGCTCCAGGTTACGAAGGAAAACTTCCTCGAACTGCCCATGAATTTGAACAATACTGGAAAAACTCACCCGAGTACAAGCAATTAGTCACTGATATCGATCAATACTTTATTGACTGTGAAGCATTAAACACCAAACAATCCTACCATACTTCCCATGTTGCAAGACAATCCAACCACATCCCCGCCAGATCTCCTTATACTGTCTCCTTCTGGATGCAAGTGAAGTACATTATGGGGAGAAACTTCCTTAGAATGCGGGGTGATCCTTCGATTCCAATATTCACCATTTTCGTCCAGGGTATTGTGGGGTTAATCCTTTCATCGTTATTCTTCAACTTAGATCAGACCACAAATTCGATGAACTTTAGAGGAATGGCACTTTTCTTTGCCGTGTTATTCAACGCCTTTGCTTCATTGCTAGAAATAATGTCACTTTTCGAAGCCAGAAAGATTGTCGAAAAGCACAAGAAGTACGCCTTGTACCGTCCTGCAGCCGATGCCCTAGCGGGTATCATCACTGAACTTCCCGTGAAATTCTTGATGTCGCTCACGTTCAATATCACTTTCTATTTTATGATTAATCTTAGACGAGAGCCGGGCCGATTCTTCTTTTATTGGTTGATGGGTATGTGGTTGACCTTGGTTATGTCGCATCTATTCCGGTCCATTGGTGCTGTGGCTACGTCTTTAGCCCAAGCCATGACTCCTGCTGCTGTTTTGTTATTGGCTATGGTTATTTATACTGGGTTTGTCATTACTACTCGTGAAATGTTAGGATGGGCTCGATGGATCAACTATATCAATCCGGTGGGGTATGCCTTTGAATCGCTTATGGTTAATGAATTCCATGGAAGATACTTTGAATGCGCCAATTTTGTCCCTCACGGTGGTATTTACGAAAACATCCCTATGGAAAATCGGGTGTGTACCACAGTAGGTGCCCAACCAGGTGAACTTATGGTCAGTGGAACTACATTCTTAAAGTTGGCGTACAACTATGAAAACGTGCACAAGTGGAGAAACTTGGGGATATGTATCGGGTATGCTTTCTTCTTCTTGGGAATCTACATTCTGTTGACTGAGTTCAACAAAGGTGCTATGCAAAAGGGAGAAATTGCTTTGTTCTTAAGATCTGGGTTGAAACTGTTGAAAAAGAGAAAGCAATTGTTGGAGAAGACTCAGGATATCGAGAATGCCACCAATGAAAAGGTGCCACTTGCTGAAGACCTTGGTTCTAGTGATAACAAAGAAGGTGATTCTAGTGAATTGAGTGATTTGGCTACCGAGAAAGAAATCTTCTTCTGGAGAAATTTGACATATGAAATTAGAATCAAGAAGGAAGACAGAATCATCTTGGATCATGTTGATGGTTGGGTTAAACCAGGGCAAATTACCGCCTTGATGGGTGCCACTGGTGCTGGTAAGACTACACTTTTGAACTGTTTATCGGAAAGACTTACTGTTGGTGTTATTACCGATGGTGTTAGAATGGTTAATGGGCATTCATTAGATTCCTCATTCCAAAGATCAATTGGATATGTTCAACAACAAGATTTACATTTACCTGCGTCTACCGTGAGAGAAGCCTTACGATTCTCGGCATCTTTAAGACAATCTAATTCTATCCCAGACAAGGAAAAGGATGCTTATGTGGATTACATCATTGACTTATTGGAAATGGAAGAGTATGCCGATGCCATGGTTGGTGTTGCCGGTTCGGGTCTTAATGTCGAACAAAGAAAGAGATTGACTATTGGGGTTGAATTAGTTGCCAAGCCCAAATTGTTGCTTTTCCTAGATGAACCTACTTCTGGATTGGATTCCCAAACTGCCTGGTCTATTTGTAAGTTGATGAGAAAGTTGGCTGATCATGGCCAAGCTATTTTGTGTACTATTCATCAACCTTCTGCTTTGCTTTTGACCGAGTTTGACAGATTGTTGTTTTTGCAAGCTGGTGGACAAACAGTTTATTTTGGTGACTTGGGTGAAAACTGTCAGAGTTTGATTGACTACTTTGAAAAATACGGTGCTGATCCATGTCCTAAAGATGCTAATCCTGCAGAATGGATGTTGCAAGTTGTTGGAGCTGCTCCTGGTTCCCATGCCAAAGATGACTATTTCCGAGTGTGGAGAAACTCGCAAGAGTATCAAGAGGTGCAACATGAATTGGACAAGATGGAAGTTGAGTTGGCCAAATTACCACGAGTCGATGATCCTGAATCCCATTTGAAGTATGCTGCTCCTTGGTGGAAACAATACTGGTTGGTTACTATTAGAACTATTGTTCAAGACTGGAGAACTCCCAATTATATCTACTCCAAGTTGTTTTTATGTTTGGCTACTTCCTTGTTTAATGGGTTCTCATTCTTTGGTGGAAAATTGTCGCTACGTGGATTGCAAAATCAGATGTTTGCCATTTTCTTATTCTTTGTTCCGTTTAATACCATGCTTGAACAGTTGTTGCCATACTACATGAGTCAAAGAGATGTTTATGAAGTGAGAGAACGTCCAAGCCGTACATTCAGTTGGTTTGCCTTCTTTGCTGGTCAATTGAGTTCCGAGATTCCTTATCAGATTGTTGTTGGTACATTGTCATTCTTCTGTTGGTACTATCCTTCGGGTCTTTACAAGAATGCTCAACCTACTGGTCAATCAGAAGCCCGTGGTGCTATGATGTGGTTATTAATTGTTAGTTTCTACTGCTATACCACTACCATGGCCCATCTTTGTATTTCCTTCATCGAGAAACAAGAGAATGGTGCCAATTTGGCTCACTTGCTTTTCCAAATGTGTTTAATGTTCTGCGGGGTGTTGGCTGGTCCCGATCAAATGCCAGGGTTCTGGATATTCATGTATCGTGCCAATCCATTTACTTACATCACTCAGGCGATCTTGGCTGTTGGTTTAGCTAACACAAACGTGGTGTGTGCTCCTCAAGAATACGTTTCGATTAATCCTCCTGCAAACTACACCTGTGATCAGTTTATGGGTCCATATATCCTGAAGGCTGGAGGTTACGTGCTTACTGATGAGAATGGCCAATGTCAGTTCTGTCAGATGGACAGCACTAATGAGTTCTTAGCTACTGTTGGGTCGTATTTCCATCAAAGGTGGAGAAACTATGGGATTTTTGTTGCATTCATTGGTATCAATGTCATCCTTAGTATCTTCTTGTATTGGTTAGCACGAGTGCCCAAGGGGAATAGAGAACGTAAGAGCAAGAGAAAGGAGAGGATCCAGAAGTTGGTTAGTTCGTTAAAGAGGAAGTAGGAAGTGTGTTTTTTTTGTTAATAGTGTTTGTTTTAATGCATAGTTAGAATATTAGCATGTGCTTGTAGTAGTAGTAGTAGTAGTAGTGGTGGTGGTGGTGGTGGCAGTATTAGTAGTAGTAGTAGCAGCAGCAGCAGCAACAGCGGTTAAACGACCGTAACAGTCGGTCGGTGCGAGGGTATAATAGGAGTACATCACGGTATGACGGAGGTATTACTACTGAATGTTTAGTTGTTTTGCTCTCAACAGATCGGGACAACTGATGATGATACATGCATGAGACTTTACTAAGCTATATAGTTATCGAATCGATCACAAAAGCCGAAATCAGTTGATTTTGTTACCAACGCAAATCACCCGATTCCGTATGATGCATTTTTTTCCACTTGCTTTTATTTTTTTTCACATTTTTCAATCATACATTTTTTTGGTCGTTCTTGTACGATCAGGCACTCAGCTTGAAAACTACTTAAACCCAGCAAATCTTCCTCCTCTTGATCCAATTGTTCGTCTGAATCAATCAATCATCGACGACAACAACAACATCAACAAGTATGGTTACAAAAGAACAAATTCACGACTCTTCACTTCCAGTCAGGGAACGTATGGAGGCCCTTATCCGTTGGAAACAACAAGAAATCACCCTGGCCCTCGCTGCTTTAGACACCGTCACCTTCCACACCGACAAGTGGACCAGAGGTAACACCGGTGGTGGTGGTGAATCAATGGTGCTTCAAAACGGTACCACTTTCGAAAAGGGTGGTGTCAACATCTCCATCGTCCATGGGAAGTTGCCTCATGAGGCTGTCACCCGTATGAAAGCCGATCACTCCAACCTTAAGGAATCTGCCAAAGATGGCAGCGTTGATTTCTTTGCCTGTGGATTGAGTATGGTCATCCATCCAATCAACCCTCATGCCCCAACTACCCATGCCAACTACAGATATTTCGAGACTACTGATCCAGAAACCAAGGAAGTGCAAGCCTGGTGGTTTGGTGGTGGTGCCGACTTGACTCCTTCCTACTTGTACGAAGAAGATGCCAAGCATTTCCATCAACAACACAAGGACGCTTTGGACAAGTTTGACAAGGACTTGTACCCTAAGTGGAAGAAATGGTGTGACGAGTACTTTTTCATTAAGCACCGTGGAGAAACTAGAGGTGTCGGTGGTATTTTCTTTGATGATTACGATGAAAAGTCTCCTGATGAAATCTTGAAGATTGTCGAATCGGCTTTTGATGCATTCATCCCAGCCTACTGCCCCATCATTGCCAAGCGTAAGGATACTCCATACACTCCAGAACAAAAGCAATGGCAACAAATCAGAAGAGGAAGATACGTCGAATTCAATTTAGTGTTGGACAGAGGTACTCAATTCGGATTGCAAACTCCAGGATCCAGAGTTGAATCGATCTTGATGTCATTACCAGCTACTGCTGCTTGGGCTTATGATCATCATCCTGAAAAGGGTTCTGATGAAGATAAGTTGTTGGAAGTTTTGAAGAACCCTGTTGAATGGGTTTAATTTAGCCTCTCGCGAAAAGACAAAAAGAACCTGATGGGTTAACCCCCTCACCCACCCTACTGAATGGGAATATCCTCTTATGAATGCTATTTACCTCTATAACATTAACTGTATATAATGTTTAGTTTACTTGAATTTAATAAAGCTTTGATCACGTGCAAATTATCACATGACGTAAATTTGTATCTTCCTCTCTAACCCGGCTCTCTCCCCCAAAAAAACACCCTCGGCATAAGTTTAGTGGGGTTAACTATTCAACAAGTTTCTTCGTCACTCAGCAACTTTACCACTCTTCTTCTGCAAAGCTGCAATGGCCGATCTTTATAGAAAACTAGGTCCCCAGGGCCGTGCGTTACTTCAGCAGGGAGAAAACACCCTTACATTTGACGGCTCTGCAGACGTTACACCACAAGAACTCGACTTTCTAATCTATGAACTACGCACCCCCAAGCCAGATACATCGGTATCGACAGTCTTGTCGTATCTTTACAACTACATTCCATTCATCAAATACGAACATAACTTGCGGCTTATAATTTCGGCATTTTTGGATAGCCCCGTGTGTTTCCAGCGGTGTAACTTTGAAGAAAACTATTTGATTATTGAAGTGTTTAAACTCATTGCCGATAAGAAATTGCGGGTGTCCCAGCCGACATTATCTATCAAGTCCTTCTACGATATTATACAAAAGACAATCGTTCATTTCCAAGCCATGAACCCAGTCGAAAACAGTTGGAAAGTGTTGCCTATCATAGCCGGCCTCTTCCTCTCCAATGAATTACGAAATGAAATATACATCAGCAAGAACTTCTTAGAATATAAATGGTTTTTCAGAGATTGGGACTCGCAGATGATGCATGTATTTAAGCAATCATTGAGTTATTCCCTTGCCCGTATCCATTCTAATGAGGTTGTCTATTTGAGTTTGGTGAGTTTGGCCGTAGTGTATAAGAAGGACGAGGACGTACATGGGTATACCCAGGGCATTTCCGATGAATTCATCATTGATAAGCTATTCGAGTTGATGTTTACTGACAAAGGGACCTTGATCTATCGGCTCTTGTTTACGTTGGATCCAAATGATCGCAACAGCGAAGCTACCGTTCAGAAACAAGTTTTCCAAAAACCGGTGATTAAACATTTGAACAAGCTTTCATTCTTACTTGAAGCGTACTTCTCCAAGTTGACACGCGGTCCTGGCTCGGAAAAGTTGATCCTGGATAGTTTATTTAAATTGAGTCAATTCAACAAACAACTATCACATTCCACGAGTACATCCATCTTCAACGTAAAGGTAGAAGACAAGGCCAGTCCACTTGCACTTCAATTCTGGAACTTGATGAAGACATTGCTCTTTTCGGAAATTATCATCCTTCAAGGAATCCTAACCCGGTTCCTCACTTCGCGAAGGGGATTCTTTAGAACCGGTTCCCTTGAACACGAATACCGCCAGGTTTCACCCAAGATTTTGACCAACTTGTACTATGTCAACTTCATCTTATTATCAATTGGCCAAGGAGGCTTCGACAATTACAACTTTGTCTACCATCTCGCCTTGGAACTTGTCCAATCGACACCTTATTTCGAACAATTGACCAAGAGGTTAATGTACGACTACACCGAAGTCAACCCTAATCCGGAAGTGCTCAATTCCAACTATGTCATGAACTCAAAAGTCTTGTTTGTGCTTGGACTCTGGGAGAACTACCTCCAGCTGGGCAAGACCAATGAGATGTTCACTCTCGAGATCTACGACACCTGTTTGAACTTGGCCAGAGAAAAGTACAACAATGACATAATTGAAGCCAGTCATTCTGTGCTACTTTTCTACTTTTCGACTAGTAAAACTCCGCGAGTGAAGGAATGTCTTAATTATGTGCAACTACTAATTTCTCAGTTTCCAGCTACGTTATCGCCTAATCAGTTGACGATTGCGATCGAGACCGTAGGGAAGAAGATTATGTCGACTCCGTCGGGTGAGGAGTTTTTCGACTTTTTGGTGATGAAATGTGTGCAAACCAGACTGGGTGTGCCAATAAAGCCAGGACAAACTGGCGAACTGCAGGGAAGTGCTAGAACTACCCCTGACACAGTAAGGGAAGCAGCTATACTCACGTTAGTCCAACTCCTTCCTTATTTCCCGTTGTCACGATTCTTGAACTGGTTGGATGAAATATGGACGTTGGTAATAAGGAGCAATGAGCTGGAAGGGAAGTTTCTCGAAGCAAGTTTATGGAATGCCCTTGGTGCGAATCTTGATTTGAATAGAAGTGAATTGGCGATTCGATGGTGGTATAACGAAAAGAAGTTGACTCTGAAGGGTGTCTGGAATGCCAAAATTTAACTAGACAGTGTATCCAGATAGTGTATAGACAGCACATCCAAATACCCTGTATACTGTGCATTTAAATAGTCTATAGACGGTACATATTTGCATCATAATCTCTGGAGTCATTTGCAGCAACGTATTATGCATGTGCGCTACCAGACGCAAATGGCAAACCCATTTCCTGCATATTGGGAACACGATTTTTTACTACTCATCTCTTCTTCAATATAGTCACATAAATTAATCTTTGCAACAAACAGCATCAACCTTTAGCAAACCAATCATGGCCAGAAAGAAGTCTGCTGCCAAGAAGGCAAGAGAAGCCGAGCTCAAAGAAAGCACCTCGACAATCGCTCCATCTGAACCAAAACCAGAACAAAAGCCTGAGCCAAAACCAAAAGAAGAACTTTCAGAAGACGAATCCTCGTCCTCCGAAGAAGAAGACGAATTCGGAGATCTCATAACTGAAGACGTCGAATCAGGGATCAACAACGTGTTAGGTCTCCTCAAGAGCAACCCTGAGAAACTTCTTGACCCCAATGCAAAATTCTTCAACGATCCCGAGGCCGAGAATTACGAGGTGAACAAGAAGGAGAAACCTCTCTACTTGAAGGATTACCATCGTGAAAACCTTTTAGCTGGGGGATACAAGGATGAGAGCGAAACCGTTGATGGTGAAAAGTCGTACAATACTTTACAAAGGGAAGACCGTGATCAGCTCTTGATGGATATCAAGAAGGCATTTGACGACGACGAAGACGACGATGATGATGATTTTTTGCACAAAAAGGAAGCAGAAGTGAAACAAGATGATGCTCCCGTGACAAAGTTGCCTGATCCTTCTAAGGACCCGGACTCGTTCTTATCAGCCTTCCTTGACAACCAAGCGTGGATTCCTAAGAAAGGAGACAAGGTCATCAATTTGGACAAGATTGAAGCTGAGGATGAGGATGAGTTCGATAACGCCGTTGATTCGTTTGAACATGCTTATAATTTCAGATACGAAGATCCTAATGCGGCTGAGATTGTCAGTTATGCTCGTAATCAAGCAACTTTGAGACGATCAAAGACAAACTCGCGTAAGAGACAACGTGAAAAGAAACTCGAGCAAAAGGAACAGGAAGAACAAGAGATAAATGAAATGGTCAAGAAGAAAAAGACCAGCAAGTTGAATAAAGTTATGGATAGATTGAGTAAGATTAAGGAGGCTGTTGGTGATCAAGTTAGTGATGAGGTTATTGAAAAGGTGTTTGGGGATTCGTTATTACAGGAAGACTTTGACGATGCCGATTGGGATAGCAAGATGGCCGAGATCTTCAATGAGCAGTACTATGATGCTGAGAATGTCAAGCCTGAATGGGATGAGGATGATGAAATAATGGGCGAGTACTACGAGAATGAACAAGACGATGAAGAAGACAAAGAAGAAGAAGAAGAAGAAGTAGCTGAGCCCGTTAGTAAAAAATCCAAGAAGGACAAGCTCAAGGAAAAGAAATCAGCCAAGAAAGAAAAGGAATCACTTAAAGAAAAAGCCCAACAGATAATCGAAGCCAACACATTGAAAATCATTGATGAAGTCGAAGAAGAACGTGGTCGTCTGAAGAACAAGGACGAAGTCAAATTCAAATATAGAGAGGTCTCACCGGAATCATTTGGATTAACCACCAGAGATATCATCTTGGCTGATGATAAGCAGTTGAATTCATTTATTGGTATCAAGAAGTTCGCTCCTTATAGACCAAAGGAACTTAGACTCAAGGATAAACGGAAATACACCAAGAAGAAGCATTTACAAGAATGGAGAAAGGAAGTTTTCCATGACAAAAATGGCCCTAGAGTACCTGAAGAAGCCAAGGAGAATGAAATCTGGATTCCCAATGAAGATGCCATCAAGGAAACTCGTAAAGAAAAGAGAAAGCATAAACAAAAGTAGATGTGTATTCTAGTTATCTAATATAATTCTGTAAATTACTTCATTATCTTCGCCTTCAATCTTTTCTTTTTCAAATAAGTCAGGACCAAGTTCGATTAAACCAGTTTCAGCAGCATAAACGGCCCAATGACCAACCAATTCTTCCAACACTTTTGGTTCGGTCTCGGCAAGATCATGGATTTCACCAGGGTCGGCAATGATGTTAAACAATTGCCATTTCTCTGGACCAAATGGTTTAGGAATGTAAATTGCTTTATAATCACCTTTTCTAATTGCTTGTTGACCAAACAATTCCCAACCAGTGACAGTATCATCAGAATGGACTTGGCCAGACTTGTCACCCAAGTAGCTCACCCAAGATTTACCTCTTGGAATGGCAACTTCCCTGCCTTTATATTCCTTTCCTGGGTGTTGTACACCAGCCAATTCAAGAACAGTAGGTAAGATGTCCATAACTGTAGTGAACTTGTTAAGAATCTTACCATGGTTTTGTTCCAACAATGGAGGATAGTGAACGATTAAAGGACACACAATAGCCCCTTCGGTACTCCACATTTTATACATTGCATGAGGAGAAGTGGCAGCCTGTGCCCATTGGTCTCCATAGAAAACAAAAGAGTCTTTGTTACCAATGTTTTCTACCGAATTGTCATAGTGATTCTTGATGAAATTGTTGATACGTTGGTTAGTCAAGGGTAATGCCTCCATCAACATTCCTTCAGCACCGTTATCTGACATGAACAAGACGAAAGTGTTATCCAACTCTTGTTTCTTTTCTAAATGATCGATAACTCTTCCAATGTTTTCATCCAAGATCTCCACCATAGCAGCATATGTAGCCACGATCTTAGATTCCACTTCCCTTTCTTTGTCAGACAATTCGGACCATCTCTTTCTGATGGTCTTGATAGGATGTGGAGTTACTGAAGAATCAATAATACCCAACTTTGCAGCCCTGGCTAATCTAGCTCTTCTCAATTCTTCTGGACCATTATCGTATACACCTTTGTATTTTTCAATACGGTCTTGAGGAGCCTGGTATGGCCAGTGAGGAGCGGTATAAGTCAAGAACCCAAAAAATGGTTTATCCTCTGGTGTAGAATCGATAAACTCAATGGCTTTATCGGTAAATGTGGTGGTGGAATAGAAATCCTCGGGCAAGTCCTTTTCAGGGTCTAATTCCTTATCGTCTTCCACGTACAAACTGGGCAAGAAAGGAAGTTGGTTTCCTTGATCGTCGCGCAATACGCGCTTATAATGATTTCCTGCACCAGGCAACAACGTCCAAGATTTAGTGAAACCACGGTTGATTGGCCAATATTCCTTTTTTAATCCCAAGTGCCATTTTCCCGAGATGAAAGTGTGATAACCCGCATCACGTAAGATTTCAGGAAGGGCGACGACACGATCATTAAGGTATCCTTCGTATCCGGGTTTGCCTTGGAACTTCTCGGGGTGTCTACTGGCAAACTCGGCCATCTGTCCTAATCCAGCAATGTGATTGTCGGTCCCACTCAACAACATGGATCTGGTGGGTGAGCAAGCTGAAGCAGTGTGGAAGTCAGTAAGTCTGACCCCGCGGTTGAGTGCAAGTTTATGTAAGTTAGGAGTGTGGATCTCACCTCCAAATGGAGATGTGTCGGTGAATCCAAGATCATCGGCTACGATGATTAAAAAGTTTGGCTTTTTAGGAGTTGATGGAATTGTCATGTTGTTTGTGTTGATGTAACTTGACTGGGGGAGTGAAGGAAGTAGTCAGAGCAAGAGGGAGAGGGGGGGGGAGCACTTGTTATATATATATATATAAATACATTGTCTGGATATGCCACCACAGTTTGTTTTTTTTTCGCAATCATTTACAAATATTTGCAACATCGTCCTACGCAACAATAGGCGATATGGTTTATGGCTAACGGATTATAAATACCAAGACAATACAGATCTAATTCTTATAAACATATTTACGTTTCCTCGGTTGCAGTTTGAACTAAATACGGGGGTTTTACGTGAAACTTTTTAAACAATAAAAAATACGATGCCACCATAAAGTACTTCCTACATGAGTTTTACAGAGGACAGTTCTGTCATCGGAGGATGAGATCACTAAACCATTTAATGGTAGTAAAAGACCGCGTATCAGAAGCCAAGAAGCTAGATATCACGGTATATTTCAGATATGGGGGCTTGCGGGAAAGAAGTTGGAATTCGGTGCTGTGCTTCACACGACAGGACATACTTATACAATGTACAAAAGCATTTGCGGATGCCATAAAGCAGCTGCGTAGCTGGGCTGCACGACTAGACTGCATGGCTCGACTGGGAAGTGGTTCGTGTAGTGCAGGCTAGCAGAGAATAACCGCTTGGATCTCGGCTCGAGTGCAGCCGCTGCCTTGGTACACTTCCATAGAAAATTCCATAGAAAATTCCACTTGAAAAAGAAACCACGATATTATTTAGCCAAGCTGGCCCAGGAAGAATAAAACAATACATTGAATGCTTCATTAATTAGCCGGACCATGTCAAAAAGAATTTCCAAGAAAAACGTGTCGCGACGTTATATGCAGTTCCAGATCCTTTTTAGGGTTACAGACATAAAAAAATTTGAAATTTCTTTTTACGTTTTTCTCATTTGACTGCGAAATTTCGTTAAGCCCCGCTTGCCTCAACTTTAAACCTCATCGACAGACATTTTTTAAACCGCCTTTCGTCGTCGTTGTTGTTCCTGTTGTCCTCTTCCTTTTCCTTTCTTTTTATAAATATCATCTGATATCTCCCTAAAACTTATGTTAACCTGTCCTAACATTGACTCCAACGCCAGATACACCTTGATTACACACAAAAGTTAAGCACACATTTTCTGGTCCCCCCTATATTAGTTCGTACTACCACATTTTTAACACATAACAAAAAAGAAGGAAGTTTTTAAAACGAAAACACTCCACACAATACATCTGTTCCTATTCGATATATTGTTTCCAAGCTATGTCATATTCCTGTCTCTTCTGACTACTATATAATACAAGAAGAAGAAAAAGGAAGTAAGCAACACCGTTAAGTTCACCGTCAATGCAAACACACCATCATGTCTGATTCAGAAAGCACCCGTTCCAACCACGGACAACAACACCATCACCACCACCATGGCGATCACCTCCATCGTAGTGATGATGGCTTGAATGATCACAGAAATCATTTGCCTTTGGAAGTTGAAACTGCTTCCCCTCCTCCCCCTCCTGCTTCCGCTGCTTCTGCTGCTTCTGCTGCTAGAAGAGGGTCTGTCAGAACCTCGGCTTCTCCTCAAGCCAGGATTCAACAAACTGGTAACTACATGACCTCGTTGCGTAGAGACTTTTACTTGCAGGATGAAGAAGAAGAAGACTCCCCTGCTCCAGTCACCCCCATCATTGACCATCCTTCCAGAAGACCAACAATTTCTCATTCTCCCGATGACAAGAAACTTTCTCCTAGAATGACCAAGTTCAAGACCAATGACAGTGAGTATTCCGCTTATAAGAGAGAAAGAAGACAAAGCAGCGGATCCATCAACAGTGATGATTCCCATGCCTCTAGAAGTTCCCAAGAAACCGAAGAAGATGTCTGTTTCCCTATGCTGCGTGAACACATTAGAATCAACGGTATCGACTTTGACGAATTGGAAGAGTTTATCAATGAAGAAAGAGAGCACAAGGAGGACATTAGACGTCAACAGCACATCAATATCCAATCCACCATCACGAGATTGAGTGAACGTAAGTCTTCCATCAGCTCTTCTAGATCTGCCATGAAGTACACTCCAAGACACATTTTGAAGAAGACTCAAACTAACTTGGCCAAAATTAGAACCCATTTAGAAGGTCACAAGGACGATCATGTTCCTCCTCCCCCTCCTCCACACCTTGTTATCTCCTCCGCTTCGTCTTCCATGGAGGAATCTCATGAATTGAAGTTTATGGAAAAGGACGACGATGTTCATTCCGAACAAGTTAAGTTTGGCGGGGCTGCAATTGCTGATGCTGGTGCTACCCCATTTGGTTCAGATCTTCCTGATAGATTTTCATTCTTCCATTCCGAATCCGATGAAACCATCCATGCCCCAGATTTGCCAAGCTTGGTCCCTGCTGGTTCTTCTATTGCCGATTTGTTCAAAAACGGTAAAGGTACCTGGTGGTTGGATGTGACCTGTCCTACCGATGCCGAAATGAAAACCTTTGCTAAATCCTTTGGTATCCACCCTTTGACTGCCGAAGATATTAGAATGCAAGAGGCTCGTGAAAAGGTTGAGTTGTTTCGCAGTTATTACTTTGTCAGTTTCCACACATTTGAAAATGACAAGGAATCAGAAGATTACTTGGAACCCATCAATGTCTACATAGTCGTGTTTAGAGAAGGAATCCTCACTTTCCACTTTTCACCAATCACCCATGGTGCTAATGTCAGAAGAAGAGTGAGACAATTGCGTGACTATGTTGACGTTAGTGCCGATTGGTTATGTTATGCCCTTATTGATGACATCACCGATGGTTTTGCACCAGTAATCACCGGTATTGAATATGAAGCTGATTCCATTGAAGATTCCGTGTTTGTAGCAAGACAAACTGATTTCAAGACCATGTTGCAAAGAATCATGGAGGCAAGAAGAAAAGTCATGACCTTGATGAGATTGTTATCGGGTAAAGCCGATGTTATCAAGATGTTTGCCAAGAGATGTCAGGATGAAGCCATTCAACAAGACCTTTCCACCACAACAGCACCAGTCAATGCTCGTCCCCGGGCAAACATTGCCCTTTACTTGGGTGATATCCAGGATCATGTGGTTACTATGTTTCAAAATTTGCTCGCCTATGAAAAGATTTTTAGTAGATCCCATGCCAACTATCTTGCCCAATTGCAAGTGGAGTCGTTCAATTCCAACACCAAGATTAGTGAGATGTTTTCCAAGGTTACTTTGATTGGTACCATGTTGGTTCCGTTGAATTTAATCACGGGTTTGTTTGGTATGAATGTCAAGGTCCCCGGAGGTGGCGTGGAAAACTTGGGGTGGTTTTTCGGGATTGTCGGGGTCATTATCGTGTCTATTGCAGGTTCGTTCTTGTTTGCCCAATGGTGGTTGAAGAAATTGGGTAATGAAGAGGATGATATGCCTGTGATGAGTTCAAGAAGATCAATTAGAAGTTTGGGGTTGAGAAGAGGCAGGGATCGCGCCAAGTCGATTCTTAGTTTTCCTAACAAGTACGAGTAGCGTGTGTGTGTGTGTGTTTATTTATAGAGTTCTAGATTAATTGCATTGTTTGTTTGTTTTTATTGTAAGCTAGTTTACGTGAGCTTGACGTTCGTAGAATTCTGCAACTTCGGTTGAACTTGTGGCATCTTCGATTCCCTTATCGTCTCTAATTCTAAGGAAACGAGGGAATCTCAAGGAAATACCCTTTCCATACTCGGTATGAGCAGCTTTATAAATTGGACTCAACGACAAATCAGCAGTCAATACTTCGAATAATAAACTAGGTTCAAACCATACGTCAGGAGCAGCATTTGAATTGGTGGAATCATACACAAAATGTGGTCTAGGATTAGGAATCTCGGTGGGGTGTAACTTATTATACAAATTGGTTAAATCTTCATCACTGAACCCCGTTCCTATCTTACATGTGGTTTCCAACTCGCCCGAATCTTGATTATACGAAGCAAGCAAGAACCCACCGTACGTCCCGGTTCTCTTCCCCCTACCGTTATACGCGCCAATAACGACCAAGTCAAGGGAATCGCCTACACCAGCCAAATAGTCCTTCTTTAATTTAAGCCAGTTTCTCGACCGTTTTGATGGTTCGTAGAAGGACTCGGTTCCATTCAACATCTTCACCATCAATCCCTCACACGAGTCCTTGACGGACTGATCAAGGAACAATTGCAATTCGTCCAAGTTGGACGAGTCCTTTTTCGTGGCGAACTGGAATTTCCCTTCAATGGTGGTGAAGTTGTTGTACAACACCTCTCGTCTCTCTGCGAGCGATTTTGTAATTAGGGATTCCCCATTATAGTAAATCAAATCAAATGCAAAAAGACAGATGTGCACCGTGATGTCCTTTTCATTCACGTCCTTTCTCTTTCTCGTGGATAACACTTGAAAGGGGAGGATTTTATTCTGGACACGATCCCACGCTACTGCTTCACAGTCGAGAATCATCGAGTGTAATTCTTGCTGTTTACTGAATTCAGTAATGATTGAGATCAAGTCGGGATACCTTTGTGACATGTCTTCTGAGTTTCTCGAGTAGATCCTCACGCTAGCATCAGGCAAGACGTGGACTTGAGCACGTTCGCCATCGTATTTATACTCACAGGTAAATTCCTCGTGCTGGAATCTGTCCAATACTTCACCAATGGATTTGGTAGGTTTTGCCAACATGGGCTTCACGGGGATACCTGGGGTTAACCTGACATGGTCCAATAAATTGAAAACTCCATGCTCAGATGCATTCTTGATTATCACTTCATAATTGGGAATCTGCGAGAATGCTTCTCTAATTATATCCTCTGCCTTGCTCAACTCGTCCGCGTGCACTTTATGCTTCTTTTCATGATTTACGAACGCCTGTGCCAAGGCAATAAGCACAGTCTTTTCCGCCAATCCAATTCTGAGTTTCCCTTCCAACGACCTAATTAAGAATTTTGCCTCGTTAGTTTTGGGATCGCACGCCGTCAACATCTTGTTAATGATCCCGATCTTCTTCAGCTGGGAGTCCTTACCGGTGGACCTGGCAATCTGGGTCAAATTGGCAAACACGGTGTCGATGTCCAACGGTTGTGGTTTAAACATGGTAGGTTGTCCACTTCTCGATTTCTGGGCCACTAGACCCAAATCTCCAACTTCTTTATAGTCCAGCTTGATCTTGCTCGTGGCCCGGCCGTATCCTTCACTGATTGCCTTGATAAGCAATGTCTCACCGAGACCCAATTCCAAATCAGGTTCGTAGTCGGGACCTAATCGATTAATCACAAGATACACAATCTTGATAAGTTTGTCGATGGACGATGCCAGTAAGATGTCTTCAAAGAACTGGGACAAGATCAGGATGATCTTCAATCGGGAAGATTCGTTTTCAATCTTTTCCAAAATGGAAGTCAATGTGGCATAAGGGATTTTCGAAGACACCACGACTGGCTTGTCATGCTGGTGTTCTTTACTGAGTTTAATCAACTCCTGTGCTTCATCAAGTTGCGACTTTGGCTTCACAGGTTCGTCAATTTCGGGGTCGGTGTCTTCGTGAATTTCGGACTCGCCTACCTTGACGGCGGTTTCAGGGGTGATCTTGGTCCGTTTGTCGGGGGAGGCGGTGGGAGGTGGTGGGGAAAGTGGTCGTTTTTTTGTAGGGGAAGAAGGGTTTAAGTCTTTTTTCTTTGCTAAGGTTGCGCCACCACCAAAGAACCTGGCGATGGATTGTTGTTGTGGAGCCATGGTTGGGGTAGATCGATGATAGACGAGTTTATAAGAATATCCAATAGCTTGTAGGATTCGACGTCTGATCATATATATATAAATATATCAGATAATTTTACAACAAAAGTAAAAAGGAATACGCGTTGCCTTTTTTTTTTGTACGATTTTTTTTTTCGTGTTTTTCAAACTATAATACACAGTCTATATACTGACATCCCAAATACTTTGCGGACCTCTTTCTTCATATAAATCACTACCGACAAACAACTCTCTTCCATGACTACTGGAAGTAGAAAAAATTTGCTTACCGTAGATCTCCCCTCCTAAAAAGTAAACATCTTGCCATGATCCACCTTTTTCCTTGGGCTTCTTCCATTCAGGAAAGTAATCAGGATACTTGGCCATTTTAATTGAGTTTGGCACTTGGCTAATAGCTGAACCTACGTCTCCATCTACTTGTTCGTCGGTTTGTTGGTACTTCATAATGGCAGAACTAACCCCATCGCCATAGGCAGCTCCAGTAGTATGGCTATCGGGATCTCTGACTAAATAATCTTGATTTAGCTTAATCAATACTGCTTCTTTCAATCCGGGAATAGAGAAGGTCGACCCAACGAGAATTATATTATCGTAGCAGTCTTGTCTCTTGTCAATATCAGGAATAGAGTTCAAAGAAGCGTATATTTCTCGACTGATAATGTCAATCAACTTGTTGGCACCTTGGAATCTTTCCTTACCGACAGATATCTTCTCGCCGGTGACGGAATCGGTGAAATGATTAGTTTCTAATTCCTTATTTGGTTTTTCCTCCCCGTCTTCATCAGTGAGTTGGGCGACAACAGGACCATTGTCCTTAGTTACAATCTTAGCCACGTCGAATTTATCCCCTTCGTCCCCATTCTCCTGTAAATCCTGCCATGAGTAGAAGTTCCCGTCCTTTTCATTCAAAACTTCGTAAATACCCGAACACTTCAAGTCTTCCACCTGTTGCTCAGTGAAACTTGGTAAAATCCGTTTAATCTCTTCGTTCAAGGTTTTCCCACCGACATTATGCAAGAACTTCCCGGCAAACTTTATACTTTGATACCCGACAACCGGCACGATTTGAATACTTTCATAGCCAACATTGACCACGACGGAATTGGTCGAGGAGCCCGTGCCAAACGTAGATGCCAAGGACAAATCAATGATATTGAACGCAGTGAACTCCAAGGTTTCAATCACGTACTTGGTGATGTATTCTATATTAGTGGACCATCCCAAAGAAGGAACAATCAACAACAACGGAATTTGATTGATGGTCACAATTGGATGGTTGGTAATCACGCTTTGTAAAATTATCTTGAGCAAGTAATTGAACGCATCCAAGTCAATTATCCTTGACGCCTTGATTGGATGTATCTCTATATCTTGATCGGTCTGTCTCTTGGACTTGTAATCTTTGGTAGTGGCATCTTGATACACCACGGAGGGGATCTTGTATTGTGGTGGTGAGAGCGAATTTTGCAATCCAAATGAGAAGATTGTGTGTTGTGACCCGGGATGCACAATCAAGAAGTTTTCTTCTTTGTATAACGGCATAATTGAGACAGATTCAGTTGTTGTTACTACAGAATGAAGAAAAAAAAAACAACGACGAAAATGTTGCTTGTTTTCCAAAACACTTTTGGTGAAGTTGTGCGTGTGCACGACCAACCGTATACAAATAGCAGTAAATGTCAATAAATGTTAAATGCATGTAAACTATGTAAACTATATAAATAATTAAATGTATTAGTTGCCATCCTCGGCATTGGCTATAAATCGTTTGTAATTTTCCCTTGTTCTTAATACAGAATGTTTGCTCATCGTACTCAAAGACCGTTTAACCGATTCGTCGTGACTCTTTTTATGTTTCAGTTCACCAGTTTTCTCCAAATCTGCATATGAATCAACCAATCTGACTTCGTTGATGAATGGTAGTTCTTCTGCTTGCATTGGGAGTACCGGCAACACTTTCTTCTCGGGGGAGCTTGATCCAGAAGGAATACTTCTTCTATGCAATTTAAGTGGTTCGGTGTTGATTCGTTTTATGGTGGGAATTCGAGAAGTGTGGTTTGCACTCATGCCTACTAGATTCGGGGCACTCCCTCCTGTGGGATATTCACTGTGTCTACGATCATATCTGAATGGAGTCACCCTGATTTGCGACAATCTTCGGGCCTTCTTCTTCTCGTCTTCTTTTGGTTCTGGTTTAGTCTCTACCAAAGACATGGTATCTTCCTCTTCTTCTGGCACTCCTGAAAGCATATCGAAATTGGCTTGTTCTTCTTCCTCTTCCTCTTCCTCTTCTACTTCTTCTTCTTCTGTGTCTTCGTCGTCGACCATTTCTCTTGTTTCTACTTCGGTTTTGTCCTTGTCGTTGTCCTTTTTCTTCTCCTTGGTGTTTTCGTTTCCTGAATCACGAGAACTCGCATTGGCCCGGGGCGAGTCAAATTCTTGTAATTTTCCAATCACCTTGTCAAGGCCATTATTATATCCTTTTAAAAGGCCAAGTTTCTCGAAATACCAGAGGAGTATAAGCGTTCCAATGCCTGCAACAACTCCCACAACACCAAGAATTATTGCAAATATGACAAATCTGACGAGGTGCTCCCGGTATCGTACCGCTACAGCAGTGGTCGCCATCCCGAGTACATAGCTCGGGACATGGAATCGGGCAAGGTATACAGCAGTACTTTTCATCGATGAGGCGAGATTGCGTGCTTTAGTAAACACGCTTTTCTTTTCCGGTTTGGGTGTTTCTTGTTTTGTTTTTGCCTCGTCGTCCTGCGCGGGCTCGGCAGGTTTCAGTTCCAATTCCAGCGCGTCGCCCGGTGTGGTCAACACTGTATCCAATGATTTCGACGATGATCGTCTCGAAGAGAGGGATGATGTATGTGACGAGTGCGCCGTGGGCGAAAGTGATCTTTCCTTGTGTATCACGGGTGCAATGTCCTTGGTTAACTTGTGCGTTTTGATATTGAGCTTTGGTTTAGTTTTCGTTGGTGCGGGTGCAGGTGCAGGTGCTGGTGTTGATTTTGGTTTTGGTTTTGGTTTTGGTGTCGGTTCCGGTTCATCTAGCACTTTGTAGGAACACTCCATCAATTCATTCAATATGCGATCGACATGCTCGGCTTTCTCGACCGTGGATTCCGAATGAATTGATTGGGTATCGTTTTCCTTCTTTAGTCGAAACACTCCATCGGGATCTTGACGATACACCAATTTCTTTTTGCGTTTAGTTGTAGTAGTAGTCGCCATTCGTCAGTTCATCAGTAGTTTGTAAATAGTTTGGTTGTATAAGTTTTTGAAGCCAGGAGGGGAGCGTGGGTGTTCTTTTTTAAAATGGCCTATGTGGGGTAATCAGGAGAGAACGAGCCAGCGAGGACCAGGGGCACACACGAGAAAAATATTATTTATCACCTGAGTTTATTTAGGTTAAAGAGTAACGCAATTTGCAGCCCTGAATTCAAAATGTCAAAAACAAGGAGAACCTTCGCGTTAAATAGACTTTTGACAATTTGTGTAATCTCATGTTTAAACTTCAGGGTTATTGGACAAGGTTAAATTTAGTAATTTAATTTACTCTTGTGCAATGTTTTTTTTTTTTTTTAATTTTTCTTTTTCTCTTTTTGACAGTGATATTTTTTTTTGTCATGTTCACACAATGAATAAAATTTATCCTTCATTGTCGATTACATAGACAACCAGGGGATTCGAGGTTATTTTATTGATAATGATGCAGCTGGCTTTGCTTTGTGGGAGTTATTATTTCCTTTGGTAGTGGGGGTAGGACTTAGTAACGAGCAGACTTGCTGAGTTGGCATTTGCAATCATTATTGGCTGTCTTTGCCACAGGCAGAGGGCAGGCACCCGCTTGATGATGGAAAAGATACTGTAGAGTTCGGAGATACAACGGCAAAAACAGCCAACCAGACTCACGGTCATGTAGGATTTCTTAACTGATTGTGGCTCATGAATCTCTGTTTTTGATCGGCTCGTTTCGTCAAGGAATGTATTTCACGTGGTGGGGAGGGAGTTGACTAAGTTGTATAGTCATCCACAAAAATCGTACGTTGTTTTGTAATTGACTTATTAATTACAATTCCTTTATCGGAATTGCTAATCTTACGAATTAGTATCGTTTATTGCCACGGCACAGATGTTCTGCAGATTTGCATCTTTTAATTGCAGTCGCCACTGTACGAGTAGCCCTCGTGTGCCCAATCTGGATCACAAATAGTAAAAACAATACGGATCAAGATAGCCAAGATTATATTGTTTCAAGTCGCACAAAACCCACCTTGGACTGATTGACGGCTCGGCAACCGATTAGACTGAAAGCAACCCTAAACCAAACAATTTCAGATTGGTCAGATGTAAGCCTCAATCTCACTTGAATCTAGACGGAATGAACCTCGGTGGTCATTCCTATAACCCAGATTAGTTGTATTGACACTTTGGCTCAATCAAGAGCAAAAAAAAATAAAAAATTGGCAACCATTAACTTTCCTAATTGGGTTAAATTAAAACACAGGCGAACCTACTTTAAAAAAATTATTATTATTAAAAAATACAAAATGCTAAATGAGCTTACAAAACCAATCTACTTAAAAAAAAAAGCACATCGTAAAACTTGTAGTCCCCTCCTTGCAACAGAGTGCTATAAGAACCTTTCTATTATGTCTAAATTTCTTCCCAACAATTTCAAACCAAGAATATTAACCTCTGTCACATGGTCAACTATATATATCCTTGGCCCCTTAATCTTCTCGCTAATTGGATATCCTTTTGCATAATAGTAACTCGTTTCGCATGAATGGCACAAAGATTAGTATCCTCAAGTAAATGAATTAAAAACGCCTCTGAAGCCTCCTGTAATGCCATGATTGCATGTGATTGCCATCTGATCCCGTAATCCACCCCAACATGGTTCTCTGCGATTTCTTTAACTAATCTTGCAAAGGGCAACTTCCGAATTAATAAATCAGTAGATTTTTGAAACTGACGGATTTCTCGAAGGGCATTCTGGCCTCGCGGCCTATATCTTCTTCTGGCTGGCGTGGTTGTAGGTTTCTTCCTGGCTGATGTTACAGCTGTTGCTGTCCTTGCCGCAGTTGATGACGAGCCCACTACTGTCTCTGTGTGTACGGGATCTCCTGGTTGGTTTCCATATAATCCTGTTCTTCTTGCGGTAGAAGCGCCCTGGACTGCTCTTTGGGCTGCTCGTTGACGTTCTAATGCACTACTTTGATCACGCGGTTGTAGTCTGGCCATGTCTTATCTTTATGTGTTACAAAAGGGGAAAATTGTAGAAATGACGTAATCACTCTTCTATTATACTTTCTATTCAATGTGATCTGTCAATTGGTTTGTTGTGAAGATTGATCTTCCTACAAAGAGTTAGCTTTTGCGTATTTAGATTGTGGTTTTTTTTTTTTTTTTATTTCGCGCTTTTTAGCCAGCCATGTTTATGTGCAGGTGTGGTTGTGTTTTTTTTTAGTTATGCTTATATAAGACAAGACAAGACGAGACAATCGCATCTACAAGAGATTATCTATGGTATGCCAATCCGTCAGGGCATGGGGAGGAATGTACCGGGGGGACCACGGTGTTTTGTAGCAAAGAAGTGTATAAAAAAAGGTAATTCTCTACTGTAAAGTATCCTACTGTAGAGTACCCTGTTTTGAAGGGCTGTCCTGGAAAGTGCGGCTGCGAATTGGTATTCTTCGCAATGAATTATACTATTTTATATTAAGGTGACTGCGTTCAATCTGTTAGTTCTATAGCCATGTCAAGAAAAGACACTAGTATATAAATAAAAAAAAAAGCGGAGAACAGGGCCATGCTCTGACTTCTATTTGGTGGGTAGCTAGCAATAGTCATGCGAATATATGTGAGAGATTTGTCTCCCAAATTAACACTTTCCTTGTTCTCAATCAATCTTCATTTTAAATAATAGTCAACTTTGAGACAGATATGTAGCAGCAATTGCGGCCATAGTTACTTAGAGCCACAACGTTGCTGATAATTTAAGACAAAGTTTGTCAAATTTCAGTGTTGTCTTTTTTTTTTTTGTTTAGTGCGCAAAAACTCCCCATTTGGCTTGACGTAAATGGTGTGTCCCCCCTTTTCCGAATTTCAAGTTCAAGTTGAATTTTAACAATCAATTGCTACAATTTCATCTACGGCCCATTTTTTTTAACAAACTTGTTTTTCTACTTTCTTGATAATAGTTACTGAAAGCAATTGGTGATAGATAGTCTACTTGTACTTACAATTCACACTTACCAATCGATTAGCCAAACCCCACTACACTCCCTTATAGTTTCACCCCCAGTTTTTTTGTTTTTTTTTAAGCCCTTCTAGAAACCATGTCCCATTCTGCCTACCAGACCTCGGGCAAACCATTATCAGCAGAAGCGTTATACCATCAACGACTCAAGCAAGGAGTGTTCCATTCTCCTAGTGGTACCATCGTTGGTGTCAATTCCAATGCCTCCGACACTGCTGCTCTTTTGGCTGCGTCATCCGATTTGACCGTGAAACCCTCCTACGAAAGAACCATTGCTCCGGAAGCCCAGGTTGCTGCATTAGCGGCTAAGCAACAAAAGATTGAAGCATGGAAACGTGAAAAGGAAGACCCGTATGCCGATGCTGCTGCCGCAAATGCCAGAACTAGCACCATCGGTTCTACTTCAGGTGCCAGTAGCGTATACACTGGTATCCCATCCATGAATTCCACATCCGTGTACAGGGCTGCCCAACAGAATTCCTCATCCACCATGACTTCGAGAATCAACCCAGAAAAAGACATTAAAAGAAGCGGAATCCAAAGCAAGCAATCCTCGGGCTCATTAAACATTGACAAGATTTCTCAGGTCGCCAACCAAAACTCATCCAAATCGTTAAACTCAAGATTCAACCCTGATTTAGATTACAGATCAGGATTAAATGCCAATAAGGAAGGAAACCTGTTGGCAGCATCCCTGGCTGCCGCTTCCCTCAAAATGGGCGGTGGGTCCTTTACCCACCAAGCTGCCTCCCAAACCAGATCAAGCACTTTCAAAGCTAGAGACGTTGTCAATGCGACATTATTACAAGCAGCCAATAACAAGGCTAATGAAAGATTGAATTCCATCAGCGCTCAAACCCCACTCAATGTCAAGCAACAAGCGCAATTGTACGCCAAGGCACTTGCCGTAGCCCAAAAGAATTCCGATGAAAGATTGAAGCTGCACCAAGCTGGTGTTATCAACTTGGGTGGTGGTTTAACCATCACTCAAACACAATTGGACCAATTGGCATCCAGTTATGTCCAACCTATTTTGAAGGATATTGAATCCAAGGCGGATTTGAAGAGACAAGATGATTTGGAAAAAAAGCAGAAACAATTGGAATTAGAAGAAGCCCATCAAAGAGCTAAACAAGAAGAAGTTGAGGCTAAATTGAAGGAAAGGCGTGATCTTGAAGCTGCTAAGTTGAAGCGTGTTGAGGAAAATGAACAACGTAAGAAGGAGGAAGATGACAGATATGAAGAATACCAAGGCACAAGAAACCTCGAAGTTGAAGATAAAGTTGCTGAATTGAAGGCCCTTGAAGATAAATATGCCCAAGAACGCGAAGCTTTATTGGCTGAGAAACAAGCGAACCAAGATAGAATAGATGAAGAAGAAGCTGGTAAGATTGAAGCCAGAAAGACTGAGTTGGAAGAAATGCAATCTGAACGTGATGAAGAATTGAGACCAACTTTGGAAGAATTGACTGAAGCTAACGGTAAATTACAAGAAGTCACTGATGCTCGTGACGAATTAAAGAATGAATTTGAAGCTGCAGAAAAGTTGAATAAGGAATACGAAGAAAAATTGGCTGATTTGACCGCGAAATTGGATGAAACTAGAGCTGACATTGAAAAGTATTCTACTGATTTAGAAGAAGCCATTGCTAAACATGAAAATACCGATAAAGAAGTTTCTGACTTACAAGAATTACATGATAAAGAACTTGAACAACATGAAAATGAAAGTAAGGATTTGGATGAAAAGTTAGCCCAATTAGAAAAGGATAAGGAAGAACACACCACCGAAAAGGCTAATAAGAAGAAGGAAATCTTGGACGAATTGGATTTGAAGGTCAAGGATGAACGTAAAATCAATAATGAATTACCAGAACATTTGAAAAATGATATAGATGAAGATAGAATAAGGGATACTGGATCATTATTCTCAGTAGAAGAACCAGAAATTAAACATATTCCATTGGTTAAAGAACCTTCTCCAGAACCAAAGAAAGATGACATTACCGAAGCCGCTGCTGCTTCTGCTGCTGCTGCTACCCCTATTGCCCCTGTTGGACGTTCCAGCACCAATAAAAGAAAATCATTCTCCAAGAGATTAAGTTCAATTTTCAAATCCTCCAAGGACAAGTACCTGGCCCCAGTTTCATCACCCAAGAAGGCAACTCCAACCAAATCAATTGAAAAGGAAGTAACATCTACTAAAAATGAACCTCTGGCAATATCCTCAAACCAGATCAAAGAACTCAAAGATACCAGATCTGAAACCGCTGCTACTGATTTTGGTGATATCGATGATTTATCTTTGAACCAGAATGAAAACCCAGAAAAGGGACTATTCAAGGAAGATATCTAAGTTTATCTTCATGCATCATTTAATATGTCTTTTTTTTTCCCTATCCCCAGCCTGCTTTTTTTTTACTAAAACGTTTTCGACATTTTTGTTTAATTTTTCTTTTATAATGACTATTAATCTTGGTCGTTTTATTTTGTTTTTGATTGTATCTTACCAATAAATAAAAATATGTTTATAATTGCTTCTCCACTACTCTGATTTTGTATATCACTCATTTTTTTTTGCCATCTAAATTTGCAGTATTTTAAATCAATTTTTTTTTCTGTTGAAAATTTCAAATCTTCACCATAAGCAACCACCACCAAACATGACTGACCTCTTACGAACCCTCAACTTCAAACTAGCAGATGCCTCGGATGAATATAAGCAAAGAAGGAAGATCCAAATGATGCGCTTCATGGCCCTGGCCGCCATAACCATCTTTGCCCTGAGGTTCGCCTACAAAGCTACCATAACTCGACAATATGTGCCCACATTATTCCAAGGAAACCACTCACCGCCATTGAGTTACAACTTCGCCACTGATGCTGCAGTCGCCGTGGGTGCTGGTACTTTACTCTGTGGTTCTGTTTCGGGTATGTTGATCTTTGGTGGATTTTGGTGTTTGGATATAAGCAACGTTAAGGAATTTGGATGGAGAATGAAATCACTCATGGGTGGTGACCAAAAGGAAAAAGAATTGAGCGAAATGCCTATGGATGAAGAAAGTTCATATATTCAAGACAGTTTGAATGATATGTTGGAAGGAAAGTACGATTTCGATAAAATAGATGATGAGACTGATAAAAACTAGGGTCAATTGTATAATAGTAACACTTTTTTTTTCTGTATAACGCTGGATCTTTAATAAACATGTACATAGTTAAGTCTATCACTTGTAGATTACTGGAGACAACCACTAATCATTGAACCAGGATGATGAATAAAAAAAAAGTAAAAAAATGAGCGGTACGGGAATCGAACCCGTGACACCTGCTTGGAAGGCAGATATGTTAACCACTACACCAACCGCCCTATTTTTTCAAATTTTGGAAATATCAGGGTATCTATCTAGCACAGAATATGTCAGTGCTACCAGGTAATTGATTTTCGTTGAACTTATGGATAATAATATCAATATGGAGTTTAAACCATACCAATTCAGTGTATGACTTTTCTGGGACAATTTTAGTTGTCTATTTTCGTTGTAGATATGTAAATTTCAAAAAATAAAATTTTCAATATTTATTTAGGTAAATTTTTACCAAAAGCTGCAAAAATATAGCAAGTCAGAAATCCCTGGTTTCTTCGACTATTTTTAGTTAAAACTTCACATATATGATGTACGCAAACACAACTTATCAATCTAGCTTTTTTGAACCTAAAAAGAACTAAAAATGTTGGTGTAATTAAGTTTATTGATCGTATAAAACAAGGCAGGTAATACAAAGAAGTGAAAGTAAAGGCCACGCACTAAATGAGTATGGTTTAGTTTAAGATAACATGTGCTGTTATGGAAAAAAAAACTGCATGGACTGTAAAATATCCAAGTATTTATCCACACTGGATGAATTGCCTGCTATTTCTTGAAAGTTAAACTGAGAACCTAGAACACAAGCAGCCATGAACAAATCTAGATCCAAATAAACCACAAGTTACATTAGGGAAATTTACGGATCCAAAATTATCATCTGAGTATCCCATATAATTTGGTATTTTACCAAGGTAACTTGGAATTTGTTTAAAGTCCGAACTTGTTGATGTGTTCAACTAGGATATTTGCAAATAGATTCCCTCGTTTCATCAACCCCATAAAGGTGATCGAAGTTGAAGAATATACACATAATAATGTGATACTTCTTAAATTGCATTCACATATTTCGAGATAATTTGCTACTGCTGCCATGTTATTGACAACTCATAAATAGTTGGATTGTGGTTGCAAGTAGTTCAAACTAGGAACTGAGTTTTAAGCAGTAGTTACTGTACTATACGAGACTTCCAACAAACTTATATATATCGAGTACATGGTCTACACACACACACACATATATATATATATGATATTCCAACAAGAATTGAGCTGCCCTCTTTGATCCATTCACAAAGAAGCAGGAAGTTAAAATGTACAGGGTCAAGGTACGAAATATGTCGCACATTTAAATTGTGGATTTTTTCCAACCCAAATTTCAACACTCAAATCTTTGACCCGCAACAACAAACCAACAGCACTGCCCCACACAGTAACAACAACTATTCAATAGAATGCCTCGTTTAGAAGAATCTGAAATTCAAAAGTATTGGCAAATCTTCCAAGGATTAAAGCCCGTGGATAACAAAGTCACTGGTGATAAGGTGGCACCAGTGTTGAAGAATTCAAGATTAGGCGATTCACAATTGTCCAAGATTTGGGAATTAAGTGACATTGATAATGATGGGAAGTTGGATTTCGAAGAGTTCTGTATTACTATGAGATTAATTTTTGATTTGGTTAATGGATCAATTGACGATGTTCCTGCCGAGTTACCTTCTTGGTTGATTCCTTCCTCTAAGGCAGCCCTTATTCAAGCCAATAAAGCAGTTAATAGCAGCAACCTTGGTATTGATTATGATGATGACGATGAAGAGGGATTAAGAGACGATTTTGACTGGTATATTTCCCCTACTGACAAAGCCACTTATGAAACAATTTATAATTCAAATAGTGATTCCTACGGACGTATCAGATTTGAATCTTTGAATTCCTTATATGCCACATTACAAAAAGTCCCCACCAGTGATATTTCATCTGCTTGGAATTTGGTCAATCCTAAATCGTTTGAGACTATCGATAAGGATCAAACTTTGGTTTTCTTGCATATTTTAAATCAACGAGAAGCAGGCAAGAGAATACCTCGTGGTGTTCCTGCAAGTTTACGAGCAACTTTCTCCAAGGAAGTTCCAAACTACGATTTGAGTGCTCAATCCCAACCTAGACAAACTACTTCAACCCAAGCGTCAAAGAGATCCTTTGCTGAAAGTTATCTTAACAAGATTGGTCAAGGCTCTTCAATAAGAGAACGCGGAACTGATTTCTCAGCTACCGAAGGTACTGATTGGGAAGAAGTTAGATTAAGACGAGAGTTGGCTGATTTGGAAAAGTTATTAGACAAAGTCCAAACAGGAGCTAAATCTGAAGCCAAAGAAAAAGAAGACTACATATTGATAAAATATGAATATGAGCAATTATTGAAATATAAACAAGATAAATTGAACTCAGTAAAGACAAATGGCCAACAAAACGATTTATCTCAAGTTAAGAACGATATTGAAGATATTCAAACCCAAGTGAATAGCTTAGAAGAATTCTTGGCTTCAAAGAAACAAGAGTTGACACAATTGAATCAAGAAATTGAGGCGTTAAAGTAGAATTGGATTATGTGTATAAATTATACATGATATATAGAATGAAAAGATAAAAGACGACTTATACTTACTTCTTTTGTTCACCTTCCTTTTCTGGTTCAGGTTGTGGAGTTGGCAATTTAAAGGCTTCTGGGGTGAAATCCTTACCTTCACCAACAGGTTCCCAAACGGAAGCACCAACGGTGAAGTTTCTCCAAGCTTGAGTTAATTCTAATGGTTCATAAATAATTCTCTTCTTTTCTTCATCGTATCTTATTTCAGTGTACCCAGTAGTTGGGAAGTCTTTTCTTAAAGGATGACCTTCAAACCCGTAATCGGTCATAATTCTTCTTAAATCTGGGTGACCTTCGAAGAAAACCCCGAACAAATCATAGGTTTCTCTTTCGTACCAATTAGCACCTTGGAAAATTGGGACAACGGAAGGAACAGGACTAGTTTCACTAGCATAAGTCTTGACTCTGATTCTGGAATTGTGTCTGACAGATAATAAATTATAAACCACATCGAATCTGTTGGTTCTTGAAGGATAGTCAGCAGCAGTGACATCCATACATGATTTGAATTGAGCAGCAGTATGATTCTTCAAGAAGATCATAACTGGTCTAAGAGCAGATGGAGCAACGTAAATGGTCAATTCATCCTTCCAAACAGAGAATTGTTGTACGAATTTAGGTAAACATGTAATAAGATAAGTTCCGAACTTGTGTAACTCTTCAATTTGTTCCTTGTACTTTTCAGTTGGGTTAACCAATGGGACATAGTTTTCACCTACTGGCTTCTTTCTTGGCAAGTTATTTAAAAATGGCAAGTCATCAGTAGTGTTATGACGAATGGCAGTGGTTGCAAAGGATCTTGTAGCAGATGCAGTTATTAATCTTGGTGTTTGTTGGAGTGCTTTCCTTAACACTTGTGTAGATTTTGAAGATATCATGATGGAAGTTTAAATATGAAAAAAAAAATATGTATATGCTAGAATTCAATTGTTTGACTTTAGAAAGAAACTCCGATTATGAAATGTCTCTTGTTATAGTTTCTATATTCTTGAAAGTCTCGTTCAAATCCACCGTTAGCTGAAGTAAACTCAATCTCTAGTCCAGTTCCAATCACTAACTCTGTTAGTTGAAATTTTTTTTTCCCAGCCTAGAGTGCATACTGTGAAGCGATTAAAAATTCCGCAATTACAATTGGCCATAATTTTTTCGGTGTCGTGTATGTACCGATTGTCTGTAGGTGTTGTAGCAGAGAGTTTCAACAAAGAGAGATACAGTCATTCAAATACTTCAAATAACTTACTGGTTAGTCTGGTCGACTTTTAGACGGGTAGAAAAAATAATGTAACAGGTTTTCAGCGGTTTTGGAAAAGTTGTTTAGTTTATTTGGAAATTATAAAACTTTGGTTGCAAAAAAGCGGACTCAGTATAACCATTTCACTGTTAATACACCAGCTAATATGTCAAATAATCACAAAAGAATGCCACATATATTAACACTATATCTGTGAATCTGCTATATCGCAAATAGAAAAAGAATCGTGTGACACCTGATAACATTGGCATGCTATATTCCCAATTAAAATTATGAATATCATCATTTAACTTACCAGGTGAAGATCATAGATGGTTCATCGAGCAACCAACAGACCATTACTATATTTAGTATAAGTTATTGACATACAGGAATAGAACATCCAGTAGCCAAAACGTGTGAATAAAATGGAAAACTTCCTTGATTTCACTGTTGATCATGGCACAATGCACAACTAGATGTACCTATGGTGAGGTAGAGACATATGTGGTCTCTCTGTATCTAAAGGTAGTGAGGGGGTAAATATATTCTTTGTTAGTGTTTCTTTGGGTAACTATCAGAGACCTGCACATTCGGATACTTCGGTTACGCGTATCTTCAAAAAAACCTGGGGTTTTTTACTATATCGGATATTAACGTGGTTACTACAATCTAATATGTGTAACTTGCTTTGATATGGCGCAATTTTTCTTTTTTTTGTCTTTCTACTTTGGTAATCAAAAGCGCAATGGGACTCAACTCAATAGCTTTTGTCCGTTTTTGGAATTAAATACGAAACTATATCCTTAATGAGTCGATTAAAATACTATGACCCAATTACGAGCACTTGATCGACAAACCCGATTTTCCCATCGATCAAAACCACGCTGAAACAATTGTTTATAATTAAACTAAAAGTAATGGCACGAGTTTTATAACTGGATTCCAATAGTTGCATATAGCTCGACTTTGCCGGATAGCGTGACAAGTTTTTCTGGAGAATAACCGAGGCATAAGCTTGTCTACTATTTCCGTGAGGATTTGTTCTCGAAAAAATTATGCTACATTTACTAAATGAAACGTTAATGCTAACTTCTTGGCACCCAAGAACGAGCACGTTATGCAAGTAAAAAGTTAAAAGAAACGTATTTCAATTGTGTACATGTAGATATCAGCAAATAATACGTATTTTTAAAATAGAGTTTATCAAGTTCCCCTCCGAATGTTCTAGTTTATTGGTGTGTCACTTAGAACATTGCACATTAAAATCTGTCCCCGCAACTCAAAAAGTCAAATTGAGCAAGTCTCGCAATGAACTACCAAAAATAACAGCTATCATCAATGATTGAGAATAATCCTGTGGCTTTTGGTCAGTAGCAAGCACCAATACGTAGCAAAAGGTGTAATTTTGAAACCTGCAAAAAGTAATAATTCCGAAGTGGCGTCAATCCGCCTCAAACTATAAATTCTTAGCTATGGAAAATCCAACCATACATACAAACCAAGAAAACTGATAATGTTTTTTTAAACCCGATCGATTTTAGGCTTTTTTTTTTTTGAACTTTTCCTAGTCCAAAAAAAAGTCCTACCGTTTGAATTGTGATTATAATTCATTTTGTTTTCAAACACACTATCCCGTAAACAGTCAAGATTAAGTTTAAATTACCCGATCAAGCTACATCAGCAGTAATTTTTACGATTTATTTATCCCTGCAACGTTTTCAACTAGTTTAAAACCACCCCAACAAGGAAAGTTATTCCGAATCTATTCAAACTTTTTTTTTTTGACAACCAAAATTTTACAACACTTTATTACCACTTGCTATTTACTTAAGTATACTCACTTGGTTAAAACGCGATAGTTGTATTTATTGCGTATAAACAAGATGGGGGAATCTATTCCAAGTTTTGAGCCATCAAATATTTTACATCCCAGTGGAGAATCATCTGGGGAAGAAGCCTTGCCAGTCACGTCTGCCATGGATGTTGATGGACAACTGGCCACTCATCTGCAACTAATCTCAACTACTACGGGTGGTGCCGCTACAGAAAAACCAAAAAGGCAACGGAGAAGTTATAGCTGTGGTCCATGTAAACTTCTCAAGATAAAATGTGATTTGCAAATTCCTTGTTCATCATGTAGGAAATTCAAACGCATAAACCGATGTTTATTACAGCCACCACAACCACCATCCCAGGAAGAATTAGATAAGATCAAAGAACGAAAAAAGAGAAGTAATATCAAAAAATTACGATTGTCAAATGATTTTGTTCAGGCGTATAATACCGCTGGTTCAATGCCTTCGATGATAACGTCCATTCTGTCAGCTGCTATCCAGTTGGAAGCAGCTTCAGAAAAGACAACCATATCACCAGGGAAAAGACATGCTAATGTACAAATCCACAAGACAATTCCTAATATCATTAGACAATTTAATCGGTCAGAGCACAATGACCAAAAGAATCATCATCATCATAATCAATTACAGCCTCAGCCCAAAGAAACATCAGAACCTGCCATTTCCTTTATTACTTCTCAATACGGTAATAAGAATGTAGATATCAGTAAGGAAGTAAATAATGGATTAGCCAGCACAACCAGTACCCATATTGATTTGATTAATTATTTATTACAAGAAGATCACAACCGATTGCTTGAATTGACAATTGTTGAAATTAAAAGAATTAAACGATTATTGCCGAATAAATTTGCCATATTTGAGAAATTATTTGATTTATATATGAACTCAATTACGGAGATCTTAACTGATCTTCAAGATCATAATGAAATGAAACGCCAAGCAAGATTAGTTTATGAACGATTGCTTCAGGTTGACGACGAAGATCCAAAAAATTTAAGTAAAAGCATTCAATTTAGCGTTATTGAAATACGAAATTTGTCATTAATGTTTTTAATTATGGCCAATGGATTATTATTTGAAAATACCGGGCTACTGCATTTCTTACTAGAAAGAACAGCGATTTTCCATCCAAGACAAGATATAATAAATGATTGGATCAAGACTTCCAAATCACTTAAAATGAAGGTCTTGTCATATGAAACATTCACTGATTTGATTTATTTGCTTGATTGGTATTTCATTCTTAAAAACTATTATGCTTACAACAATATGATTATTGAGAATTATCTTGAATTCAATAATCTTTTGAATTATATCGTTTTAAATAACGATTTTATCGATATAATTGAAGATCCATCAAAGGAGCCTACTCCAGACCCCGAAGGAATAAGCGATCCTCAAGATTTGGCAGAAAATTCTGATCAAACCAGGTACCCAAAGACAAGAGAATTTAATCTATTAGCGAAATATTGGATACAGATTCGATGGATTGAAATTGAATTTACATTTTTCCAATTTAAAGGATCTTTATTGGTTTCCAACCAATTGAAAAACACCCTTGTACCGCATAGACGACTTGTGGCGGCATTGTATGGCAATGATATTAAAGAACCATTGCATAAATATATTTTAGATATTTGGGCATTATGTTATAAACGATCAAAATCGTCTAGAACAGTGCGTGATATAATTAAAGGATACTTGGAATTGTATAGTAGTTTCATGGGGTCACTACGTCCTGAATTGATTGAATTTTCCAATGGGTTTGATATGGATAATCCGGTAATTTCTAATAAAGAAATTGAATTATTAATCAAGAATCAAATTGTTCTTGTATTACTTATCAGATGGTTATCATTTATCAGGGTAGAATTGAACTATTTTCCTAGTTTAAGATATACCTCATATTTAACAACTATGATGAACATGTTTAATCATTTTAATTTATTAGACGATGCATGGAGGCGAAAACATGACAGCGAAGGAATAATTAGATTTATTCTCGATAATTATTCGGTTCACTATTTAAAGACATTCTTCCAAGCATTGGTTTATCAGGCGGTATTTTTAATTATACTACAAGATTTTATCAAGGATAAATCACAAAGGAAATTCAAGATTCAAGTTGATCAAATTTACAATGTAATTTTCAATCAATTTCAAATTACGTTGAACAAATTTTTGAATAGTCCCACGATTCAACTGAGGTTTCAACAGGTTGAATTTTTCAAAGTAAGCACCAACTTATTGGTGGATTTCAATCAATATTTACTTCATCAACAACAGCTTATACTTCAGAATAAGGAATCAAAGAGTATAGATGATATTACTGAATTACTTTACGATTTAAAGTCCAAAGTATCAGCACCCAATTGGGAAATTTTGATCAATTTTTATTTTGGTTCCCGAGATTTCTTTATCCAGTATATTGAAAAAGTATGGGATTTATTTGAGTTTTTGAAAATTGATACTGCGCAAGAAGAACAAGAGACGATCCCGATAACTTCCCTGATAAAACTCGATGATAAGTTGATTAATGAATATATGGGGAAATTAACTGGATTTGAATATGATGATACTATAGTGGCTGAGTATATAAAAGTTTGCGTTGATCCCCACATGGATTAAAGGGAGGGGGCGTGGGAGTTTAAATAGAGGTTTAATAATATCAATCACCCATTCCCTTCCTCTCTCTTCCCCCCTCATTTGGTTAAGGGTGAGTTTTAAAAATGAAACGCGACCTTTTCTTGGCGCAAGCCCCTTAAACCTATATAGATCTTTATTGCACCACTATAATAAAAACAAACTCTCGGATTACTGGGATGGATATTATCTCGCGTAAACCTAACTAAACTGGGATAGAGCATATACCTTAAGAAGTAACAAAGATGAAGGATTAAAATTTCCTATTTTGGCCAAATGTCAGATTATATGAAGGTAGAATATCAAAGCAAATATATGCAGGCGTTTTCAATACCTCAGATATAATTTAATACTTTCTACAGGTCATTAGGTAGGCAGTAGAGGCAGTGGAGGCAGTGGAGGCAGTAGCAGTACTGGTGGTAGTAGCAGCACTGCCCCCCCCCCTCCTCCCCTCCTCTAAACTTGATTGCCATCGCGTCCAGCAGAAAAAATAAACAGACTCACTATGAGCGTCTGAAGGCTGAGTTGGTAACGACAAGAAAAAGAAACCCTGTTCAGCACGACGGGCTATTTTTTTTTTTGGAGTAGTCACAAAGCTGTAGTTAACTTGAATTGATCTGATCTAGTTCCTTCCCTGTAAACACATCTCCTAGAGCTAGTCGAGTGTGTAACAATGTGCTTTGTCGTCATTACAGAGTAAATATTACTCGCATGATCTGGCATTGCAGCTGGAACGAGCCAATCCCCCTTTTTCTTTCTTTTTTGTTTGTCCGTCGTGGCGTATCCGGATCTGTCATCTCTTACGTAGTTGCTACAATTATTTAACTTTTTTTTTGATTACATAATCTCGTTGCTTCGCCAAATGACGTATTACTAATGTTGATCGTGGTTACTGCAATAGCTATACCTTCCCTTGACAGCTATTAATAGCTTCTTTCGTAAGGAAACATGTACCAAAGAACGATCCCATAATTCATAGGTCATGGTTTATTTTTTCTTTTTTTTTTTCTTTGCCCTGTTTTTATTTTTTTTTTTGTCATTTGCGTTTCGGTCTGAAATTTTATCCGTCATCTTTGCCAAACCGTCCGCAGAGCCTCCAGATTTTGTGGAAGATTTTATTTATCATGGCGTATATAATACACAGAGAATTTCCCTTCCTTATTCTTTCTTTGCTTTCAGTTGCTCACTATATTCAGTTCTTCTAATTTTCACTTGTTTTCCCAGTCATATTTAAAAGAATCTTATACATATAATATTAACAAAACAAGAAGACATTGTTACAACCATGCAACTATTATCCTTATTTATATTTGCATTATTATCAGTGACATCACCGATTTCGGCTGAGCAAGATGCCAGTCACTTTAAAATAGACTTTCGTATCCGTCGTGGGGATTCAAGAAAGGATATTTCCGAGTCGGCTCCCAGGATAGTCAAACGTGCTGATCCTGACGGGGCAGTAAATATGGTGATTTTAAATCAGCAAACTTTTTATTTGGCCAATTTGTCCATCGGCTCAAACAAGGATTCCGTGGGTGTTTTGGTTGATACCGGATCATCTGATTTATGGGTTATGTCTCATGACTTGAAGTGTTCAGCTAACCCTAATAGCAAGCGTGAGGCGAAGAATAAAATTGACCATTTTGGTTCCGGAACCGGTGTAGTTAACATTTTTAAGGAACAAAGTGAGAAAAGAGATGACGATAAACCACCACCAACTAAATCTAGTAATGAGAATAACAAGGCATTTGCATTTACAACTATAACTTTACTGCCTGATGGATTCCAAACTCCTTCAATTGGAGGCGGCAGTGGCGGAGCTGGTAGTGGTGCCAGCGCATGTACAGCTTTAGGGTCATTCAATACCGGCAAATCCGATACTTTTGTTAAGAATAATACTAGTCCATTTCAAATTGAGTATGCTGATGGATCTGATGCCACCGGAATTTGGGGGTTTGACAATGTCTTTATTGGTGATACTAAAGTTGCTAACTTATCGTTTGCTGTTGCCAATGAAACTTCCTCTGATGTTGGTGTGCTTGGAATTGGTCTTTCTGGATTAGAAACAACTACTCAATTTGGTTATGTGTACGAAAACTTGCCACTCAAGATGAGAAACCAAGGATTGATTAACCGTGCTCTTTTTTCAATCTACTTGGGCCAAGCTAACGACAACAAGGGCAGTATCCTTTTTGGAGCTATTGATCATGCCAAATTCTTGGGTAATTTGGTAACTCTTCCAATGCAACGTACTTACCAACAAGTTAGTGTTCCAGTTAGAATTCAAATTGGTCTTGATTCAGTGAATTTACAAGGAGTTTCAGGATCATCGTCTAGCTCATTATTATCCGATTCTACCGGCGTTGTTCTTGATACCGGTTCAACTTTGTCATATGTTTCAGCAGATGTCTTGCAAGCTCTTGGAGAAGCATTAGGAGGCACCTATAATCGTAGACTGCATGCATATATTGTTAATTGTAATCAACCAAAAGGAGCAACCCTCAATTTAGGATTTTCCAATCAAACTATCAAGGTTCCAGTCAGTGATTTACTTATCCAAGCTACTTCTAGTCAATGTTACCTTGGTGTTTTGGCCCAATCTACCGCAACTTCATACATGTTATTTGGTGATAATATTTTAAGACATGCTTATGTTGTTATGGATTTAGACGGTTTTGAAGTTTCATTAGCTCCAGTTAATTTTACCAATGATGAAGACATTGAAGTTATTAGCTCCACTGTTCCAACGACCGGTGCCACAACTACTCCTAGCAGTAGTGGTAGAGGTAGTACTGGTGGTAACAGTGGCAGCAGCGGCAGCAGTGGTGGTAGCGGTAGTAGTAGCAGTGGAGACAGTGAGACTACCAGCAGTACTGGTAAACAATCAGCTGCGCACTCCATCACTGTTAGACCATTGTACGTTATTGGTTTAACTTTGTTAATATCTTTATCCATAATGATATAAGAAGGTTTTGCAACTTTTTTTTTGCAATTCGACTATTTTTATTGTTCCACATTTAGTATAGATTTTGCAATGATCTAAAAAGAAATGATTACCTGCATATAATAAATCAAATCTAACTATAGTTACTGTAGTGTTTAAAGTAAAACGCTTCTTTTTAAAATATATAACTTGTGTGTGTGTGACTGGCATAGGATGATTCATGTGTAAACTACTACTGAGATCTGTGATCTCGCTAGTCACCAAGAATTTACGTCACACTTGCTACGTTTATGGTCATCTGATTTGTATCTTTTACAAGACCAAAAAAAAAATATTATGAAATTATATACCAATTAAGGTTTTTAATAAGGTCAGCACATTTATTGTCGAAATGAGCGATATTGACAACAAATGTGGATAAGCTATAAGCTTGTAGTCATACTCAATCATGTTTTGCCGAGCGATTAAAAGAAATGACGTCCTTCAAAAGTTCTAGAATCATGTTCCAAGGGATATATCTCTCATTTATGAGTAACATATGAGCATATTTACAGTAAATCTATAGCGCTATAACGGATACAATATACATGGGGTCATATTAACAACCACATTTAGTGAGTAGAATAGAAAGATTTGACTTCAAAAAGGTTATGAATATATTTTTGGTCACCTTACGTCACTTGCAAAAAAAAAAAAAAAGAAATAAGAAAATATAATGACAAGAAATGTTTATGATTGAGGACTTTTACGTGATCGAACCATTCAGGTTGATGATGTGGTAATCTATATATTATGGGAGTTTTCAACACTAATTTCTAACCTTTTCTTTCTTTCTGTCTATAAGCAAACTATGTTTTATTGGTTATATTGTATAATATTGTTGACGTTTCTGACATCAGTCAAGGCTGGGCTCTCCGTGAGAGATTCTGATAGTGGAGGATATGCTGTAATGGATGTTTATTTAGTTGATGATGAACTTGTCACTGACGTTCAAATTGGATCAAACAAACAACCGGTTACGCTACAAATTAGTAAAAATATTGCTGATTTGTTAGTGTCTCTTCCTAATGTCACATGTTCATCTAATCGTATAGATTATGAGCAATATCTGGTTTTTGGAGAGCTTATAGAAGCCAAGGATGTTCAAAATAATTCAAATTGTACCCAGTTTGGAACATTTGATACGTCTCAATCCACTTCATTTTATCGTGAACCTGCCGACAAGCCTTTTGTAGCTTACGAAGAAGATAACTTTGGGTTTGCTGGAATTTGGGGTCAAGATACTGTCAAATTTAATGACGAATTTTCATTGTCCAATATGACCTTCGGTGTTGCTCTTGCGTTTAATGATAGTAAAGGAATTTTGGGACTTGGCCCAACTTGGTTGGAACTTAAACCATTGATGAGAAAAAAGGAATATCCTAATTTACTTAAATTATTAGTGGCACAAAATATCACCGAGAGAAGTGTTTATCTGATATATATGGATAATCTTGAGGCTACAAACGGTACTGTTTTATTTGGGGCTGTGGATTACTCCAAATATGATTATTTGGAAACTCAACCCATAGATGCACATCTTGGTAGTCAATTGGAATTTGGATTAACTTGTAATAGAGTGCAATTTGAAAATTATCAAACTAATGTTAACAAGACTGTTACTAAGAATGCCATACCCGTACTGATGCTGTATAACTACCCACAATCAGAATTTCCAGTTAGCATACTTAAACAGCTTGTGGGATATTTAGGTGGAACTTATAATTCTTCTTCTAGCTCACAAGAGGTTTCCTGCGATTTTTTGAATGATACAGATCATTTCATTAGTTTCAAATTCGGCCTAGAACGAGATAAAATAGAGCTCCCAGTTGCAGACGTTGTCGAACAACAGGATGATAAATGTATGCTAAAAATCAATAAATCAGAGGAAAAATATCCTCTAATAACTTTTGGAATGGATATACTTAGATATCTTTATATGGTTTATGACATGGAAAGATTTGAAATTTCCATTGGTATAAGGAAATTTAATGATTCACCTGCAAATATCCTGGTCATAACTAAGAAAACTGCAAAAGGTCCATTGGATGATCAGGTTAACCGGGCTGCTTTGTCAATGGCAAGTAGTGGTTATTCCGGTGCTACTTTTGCATTTATATTACCAATTTTGATCTCTTTGTTATTTTGGTAGAGACATGTGTCAACCATAGACTAAATAAAGATTTATATAATAACGTAAGTAACGGTCATGGAAAATAAAAGTTGATCATAGTACATACTAAAGCGATTTATTGTAAATTAGGTAGATCTCGTAAGCTCATTGATTGTACTTTGCTACAAGAACTGAACCCCAGAAAACTCTTTATTGGTTCATGTTCAGATTCAACCAATTGGAAATATCGACAATTTTTTTTTTGTTGCGTCCAAACAACTATTTAACAGATCCCCAGAGATTAACAAAAGAATAGATATAGGACTAGGTCTAGACCCATACACGGAGTAGAACTATGATAAATAACAACTTGAAGAGAAGTCATGTTGTTCTTCAACAATTGAATGTGGTACGGTCAATTTCAATTAAACAATCTTCAACCAGTGGAGCAATACCACCAAATAAAACAACTACCGACCCTGGAAATATTCACGAGTCCAAAGAATTAGTTGGACATCACAGAATCTTGGAAAATGCCGAATTTAAAACATTGGGGACTCCCAAGACTGTCCTTTCTATAAATTCACCTCCTTCTGTCCCCGTCTTTGTCAGACGAGGGTCATTATTATCTATATATGGTCTTCTGGAAATATCGTCCATTGATTCAGTTAGAAGCACACTAGAGTTCCAATTATGGTGGAAAAGATTATTATATGGAGGTTATGCATCAACCTACCAAAAATTAATCTCAACTACTCCGTTTTCCATTTTGGCTAGTTCTTCATCGAGGAATTTCAGCTTGTTTTCATCAGCAAACAACAAATCTTTTATTAGTTTAAACTTGGATGGTACTAATGATTGGGCTGTGTTGAACAAAAATGCACTTCAAGTGTATACGGGGAACTCCCTCCATATAGCAATGTACCAATTACCTAGAACCATTCTGAGAGCTTTAGCTCAATCTTTGAAGATATCATCACGAACCCCAACTGGGTTATTCTCATGGAAACAAACAGGATACACTTTACTCACAGGAAGAGGACAAGTTGGTCTTGTCGGAGGAGGATCTATTTATAATATCAATCTCGAAAAAGACGAAGAAGTATTGATTAACAAAAATAATTTATTGGCCATTACTGTCAATGGTTCTCGTGATTTGCAAAATTGTATCGTTAAATATTCATTCCCATTACAGCAAGAAAAACCAATAACTAAAGAAATTGACCCATTCGTCAATTTCAAACCAACTAACCGATTCAGTGTTCAATTATACAATGCCCAACATACGATTAAAAAAGTATGGAAAACTATAAGCGAATATGTATTATGGAGAAAGAGAGACACTTTTAATTTCCTTGTGGGAAATCAAGAATTTATCAGAGTTATTGGTCCTAGAAATATATTATTGCAATCAAACATTGGCAGCACACCAGCAATCAGATCCAATTTACCATCTGGCGCAACCAGTGCAGCACCAACTCCAACTGAACAAATAATACCAACTAAAGAAAAGAGTCCAGAAGATTATTTAAGCTATGTTACCATTGAACCAGGCAAGGGAGCAGTTTTCAAAAGTACTCCTGACTTTTCCGAGACAGTAAAAGAGATTGAAACTCGTAATAAAAACTAGATTATTTAAATACATAATAGAATGAATATATTGTCATTGAAAAGAAAGAAAAAAGAATATAAGAAAGGTTCGTCATAAAATGTAAATAAACATGAGCGTCAACGGCGTAACTACGAGGTTTTCCAACTCTCGATTTTGCTAACTGAAGGTAATCTTTCGCCAGTTTCAATCGGTGGAAGTGATAAACAAGTCACCTGAATATCTGAATTTAAGATTTGTGATATCGAAGGCAATTTATTTCTCACTGTTGGTTCCGGTGGTTTTTCACAAACGAGGGTGTCGCAGTTGTTCTTCTCTTGTTGTTTATTCAAGAGATTTTCCTCGGGTGGGAAATCAGTATTGCATGAGCTTACACTCGAATTGGAATCGTTTCCAATCCCTAATGATATCCTATATTCTTCACTGTTTATATCCGTGCTTGAAATAGGATGATGTTGAGTTGAAAAATAATTAGTTCTCATGGGTGTCAGTACGAACTGATGATTCATTCTTTGCGAGCTACTTCGATCTCCACTGGTTGTATGAATAAGTACTGATTCATTCTCTACCTGCGGTCGGTGTTGAAGGAAATGTGGAGGTGCCATTGGTTGCGGAAGTACTTGTGTACCAGGAGGGTGAGGAAACCGAGAAAAATTAGGCTGTTGCTGGAATGGAATAAATGGTTGATAATGTTCTGGAGGTGTTACCACCAGAGGGTACATTATTTGTTGTGGAACTGGGGGTAGAGGAATTTGTAATGGAACATTGGAACCATGGTATTGAAATTGTGGGGCTTGACGTTCATATGAATTACCAAGCATGGGGTTCGTTGGCTGAATTGGCCGATCACATGCTAACATACTGTCATTGTTAATCATTGAAGGTGAATTGGGGATAACATGAACCAAATCATAATTTTTACCAAATCTGGAATTAGAATGATTCTGTGAATCAAGAGGAATTTGACCATGAGGAGAAATGACCGAATATTTTGACATTACTTTTGCAATGGCCTTGCCCAAGTCTCCCCAGTTGAAAACTTTCAAATCCTTTTCAATATTCCGTGGACGAGGGTTCTCCATACTCATAATCAAATTGAAGAAATCACAATCTTCTTTGTTAGACCTTGACACAGTTGTTGGTTTCAACGATTGAAGATTACGTCTGATTCTATTCTTTTCTTCAATTCCAAAACTCTGATTAACCAAGTATTCAAGTATTAAAATGATATCAACTGAAGTGGCAATATGACGATCTTTTTCTTTCCAGTATATGCACGATATTATTGGACCGGAATTATCTGAAGCTTGTGAAGTAACTGGCTGGAAACTAACTGTTTGAATGGCATTTTCAGAATCATGAAATTCAAATTTAACCAACCTTCTGCTTGATGCAAATTCTTCCCTAGTCCAATTTTGAGTCATGGTATTTAAATCATGAGAAAATCTTAAATTAACCCCCATGCTTGGATTCAATGGTCCCAGAACTTGACGGATATATCTAAGACCCAATGGCTGTTGATGTCGGGATGGGTGTACTCTGTGAGGTTTGGGATCTTGAGTATTGCATGACAATTGTTGTTGTGGGGATCGTGCAGGTAGTTGATGCAGCGAAGGATTATTTTCCAGATGCAATAATGGCAGGCCATGAAAATCATCTACATTGTCCTCTTTTCCACCTGCCTTTAGTTCTCGTTTATTTATTCTGTGATTCATATTTAGATGTTGTTGTAAACTTTTAGAAATGATATAATAAAATCTATATAACCTTTACATCTTGGTTCTGCTTACCCATGTTATTGCTAAAATGAATTTGCTAAGGAAATAACTAATCACTTCAAATAAGGAAATTTTACAACGGTATTTTCTTTTACTGATTCGGAAGTTCGCCATTCAATAATGGCCTTCGTAAATTTTGAAAGGGGTAAAAAGATTCCTTGCTCGAGAATGGTAAGACACGAATCTAAACCAGTGGAACTAGCAAGCGTTTGGACTGCGTACAGCAAGACTTAGTAAATGCATTTGTGGGCATTGCAATGTTACAGCATCAATTAAGACCCAATTAGAAAATAATTATCCATTTTCTGCATCCAACTAGCATGAATAAATTCTCTACAGTGAACAAAATGGTAGGTTGAGACCACTCGTTGGTTTATTGTTACCTAGGAATACCACCTTTTTCCGGTACATCGGGTATACTTTCCTAAAATTTCGATATGGTATATATGTCAGAAAAAGAAAGTATGACAGTCATGCATATTTAAACAATATAATGGCGCCTTCTTGGCAGCATGCATGAGATCGCTTGTGCATAATTCGATGGTAATATTAGAGCAATGATTGAAATGTTTCTTTGCATGGTTGCAAAATTTAATGGAAAAAAAATTTTTTTAAAAAAAAATTTGCGAGGCAATATGTATTGCACTTACCTATATGCCCCATGAAATGGTTTCATTTTGCTATGAATTTAGCAATTCATACATACCTGAGAACTAGAATGGTCGGTATTCAAATCCAGAGAATTTATATAGAAGGGGTCACGAGTATTTATCACGTGATAGATACCATCACACTTTGTTGGAAATCCATGTTGAAAATCCGACCTTTTCCAAACAGCACGTGATCTAGTCTGGGCAATGAATCTCACTCTCGAGGGACCAGGGTGTACAGTGAAAAGTTTTCCCTGATAGATTTCTATTTTATATTATTACTCTTATAATCAAGTCTTGGCCCAATACTTCTGTATTTGATAAGTCGGGGATAAAGGTGTAGTCGAGGTTATTCTATTAATTGTCGTAATATTGAAAAAGTCGCGTGGACACCCATTTATCAAACACACATAAACTATTGAGGTGGAAAGTAAAGAAGATACCTAGATGGTTACGTTGGGAGTCCAGAAATACAGTAACTACTCTATAACTATTTGAATCAAGTTAGCTTCTCACTCAGAAACAAGACTGAATATTGGGATCGTCATTTGAACAAAATCTTTAAAATGACCTACTTACTTACTAACACTTGTAGGTATAAATTAGAGCATATATTTACCAAGCAGTTATATGAATAGCTAATATTGAACCCAGTTAATAAGTTAGTATATCTATAATGATATTGATAATACTAACCAAAACTTCTACACCTACCAATACCACGACGATATATTCCAAATTCTCTTCATGAGAATGACCCAATTGTTCTTTCAACATTTGTAATAAATCGGAAATAACTTCTAATCTTTGGTTTAAAAGATCAACTCTCTGGTTAATTTCAAGGTATCCTCTAGTGGCTTGATAAATAGGTTCTAAATGAGGTTCAGCCCACATTAATTCAGGGGAATCCAAAACTGAACCATGTAAATTTATATTAATTCTAAGAATGAATAACTCCCCAATAGATTTCATGATTTCATCTCTTGTCATTTCAACTTTACCTGTTCGGGCAATTTGTTGCGGGATGTCTTGCGTGTCTTCGATGGTGTTATCTACCAATTCTTCAAAAAGGGAAATCTTAACGGATTGGGCTAATGCGTGGGATATAGATAATTTCAACATGTAGTTGTCGTCATCCCTAAGAGTAATGAAATCGTTGTAAATTCTAGGTTGGTATGACTTGGTGATATAATAGTTGAACTCTTCGATTTGGATATCTTCCTGGGATAACTTTTCCGTTTCAAACTTTGCTAGGTCTTCAAGGAAAGCAGCTTCTTCTTTAGTTGTGTATCCCCACATTATAACCACACCATATTCAAATACAAAGATATCGTTCTTCTTACCAATATCGATTTCACCACCTTCGTCTGCAAGTCGGATAAGCTTATGGCCTGCTTCTTCCTCTTCGCCTCTCCAATCTTTATATGTGAATGGAGTATATAAACACTCGTCAAATAACTTGGGGCTAGTATTGTGTATACGTTTCCTGTCCTTTAACCAGCGTAACAAGTCTTTCATCTTGTAGGAACCACAAGTACAGTATGCAGTGACTCTTGGTAATAAATCACGATGCAGTTTACCTAAGATTTCGGCATCTTTTCTAGCGGAAGTATCGGTGATCTTTTTCACTTGAGAATACACTCTTGCTTGTTGTGGGTCGTCAATGTCGTCATTGTTATTATTGTCATGGTCAAGGGTAGGGTCCTCTGGTAAAAGTTTAAGCTTTTGCGATGTTCTACTTGTTCTTTGTAAACCAATAGTACCTGAATTTGTTATTTTGCCAGTTGATTTGGATGTGGGTGGTGTATTCTTGGTGGGTCTCTTTGCCGGTGGTTTCTGTATACCATTGGTAGCTGTAGTTGCCATCAAGGGGTTTTCATGACTTAAATTGAGTGAATCAGTGGTTAGTAGTGGCGTGGTGTCTGAATCCTGCGACATTGTGAGTTATCTGAAGTATATATTACCGGTAAACCTGTGGAATAGTGGGTTACAATCTAAGGTTGTTGTAGGTCCAGTTTCTTTCCTGGCGTTAGTAATGCTTTGGTGGTTGTATGCAGGACGGGATTCTTTTTGTCGCTACCAAAAAAAAACTGCGATGATCTTCAATTTTTTTATTTACAACCAATTTTTACAACCAAGTTTTACAACCAAGTTTTTACAACCAACAGGTAACACGTAACCATGCCCCCAGTGAGAAAGAAGACCACTGAGTCTACTAAACGTCATACATTCTCTTCCTTTAGGGACAGAGTTGATTCCATCAAAATAGAACCAATTCGAAGTTTAACTAAGCGTCCATATGACTACACCGAAACCTCCCATTTCTTAACTACTTTAGAGCACTGGAAAGAAATCAACTTGAGCGGGAATTTTACTGAGTTTTTAGATAACGTCGAGATACACAGCCAGTCATTGCCTCAGATTATTCACCATCAGAAACTAATCTATGACTGTTTGCATGACAGCATCAAGAAGAATGACGTCTATTCTATCCAACCTTTGTTGGAACTTCTTTCCCAGTTTATTCACGATTTAGGCCCCGACTTTTTAGTGTTTTACCAGCAGACTCTAACCTTGTTAACCGACTTGGTATTACAAGTCAACCCAAACGACTTTCAAAACAATAGAAACACCTCAAACGTGTTGGAATGGGCATTCAATAGTTTGACATTTACGTTCAAGTATTTATCCAGGTATTTGACTCAAGATTTAAAACCAACATTCACTGCATTACTTCCCATCTTAAAGTTGACCAAAAAGACATACATATCAAGATTCTGTGCCGAAGCTTTGTCGTTCTTGATTAGAAAACTGAATAGCGAATCCTTGAAGGAAATCATAGAGCTTACGTTGTATGATCAAGATTTAACCGATCCCTATTGCGAAAGTTTGACCACTTTGTTCAGCGAATCAATGAAAAATACCAAGGGAACTTTCCATAGCAAATCTAGTCTCATATTTGCTACCTTGATCGAAGCAACCTTGAACCATCCTTCGGATAATTCGGCCCAACCAAAACTCATTGGGTTGATTTGTGATGTTATCTTGGATATACTTCACCACGGAACCCCTGAATCCTGTGGTAAGTTTTACGAATTAGTAACAAAGTATTTGAATGAATTGTTAACCAAAAATGCCACTACTACCGCCTCATTAACCACCAGTCAAATCTTATCCACTTTAGCATTTGCTGAATCAGGTAAGAAAATCACTAATTGGAATATTCTTCTTGAATCAGTAGACAATTTAATCTCAAAGTTACAAGGACAAGTCTTATCTTCTGAATTGCATGAATCTGTTACTTATTTGTTGGTCATTGTATTCCGTAATAGTGACGTGGGAGAAATTACCAAATACCACAAGAAATTCCTTGAGTTTATCTTCACCACTTCATATGGGTTAATATTCACACAATCAAGTACCACTATTGCTCCTAAAGTTTTAAACTTTGGTGTATTCAAATACGTTCAAGATTGGATAGATAGACTTGAATATGATACTACTCAACTACAACAACTTGCTTATTTCTTGGAAAAGCTGGATCAAGAATTTACCTTACCTGGTAGAATTGTTAGTAACATTATGGAACAACTAACTGGGGAAGATATTTATTGGAAATTACTTTTGTTGAGTCACGCCAAAGCTAGTCTCGATGAAGATACATTGTTAAAATTATTAGAGTTAACCCAGGATGATGCTGAAGTTGCAGCTCTCGTATTACAAATTGCTACTGAAAACAAGAACAAGGATTTCCAATCACAAGTATTCACGATAATAGTTGACTCGTTTGATAAGTTTTATACATCTGCAGGCTATATTAAGGCATTAACTCAGTTCGTTCAACAGTCTAAACCCCAAGATACTTCCTCAATCTTGACTACTGCATTAAAATGTTTATACCAACCAAATCATGATACCAGATCTAATGCGATTGACTTAATAATGACTATAACTGAATCACCATACTTGTCTCCTATTTCTTCAATCGAAGCGACTCCATTGACCATTGCTTCAAGTAGAGATATTATCCACAATATTAGAAACTTGGCGTTAGACTTTCAAAAGAATGTTAAACCTACCCAATTAGACAAGACAATTATAGTTAACTACTTGTTTGGTTTACTTTCAAACAAATTTCAACCATGTTGGAATGCCGTGAATGAAGCATTACCATTGATTAGTTCCAGTTGTAAGTTAGAAATTTGGAATTTAGCATATGAGTTATTGAATGTTTCTGGTGATGAACATTCAACCAATGATCAATTCCTTGTTGAAAGTGACTTGATTAATTGGCAGCCTAGAAATTCGAGATTATTCAATAATTTTGAACTGTTTGATAGAGATTATTTGTCTCCTTATAGAAGTATCAACCATTCAATTGCAGGATTACTTAACAAAGACTACTCATTCAGTTCTATCCTTAGACCTAATATCTTACAAGCATTAATGACTGTACCTAATGTTGTTGATGTAAGCAAGTTAATTCCAATCCTTATTAATCAACCAGACGAAGAAGAAGAAGTATTATGGTCATTGAAAGACAGAAACGAATTGCTTAACTTGTTCACTAAATTAAAGGATTTAAGAAAGTCCCCCCAAGCAGATGACTTACGTGAATACCTTTTGAACTTGTTATCAAGTAAGAATCTCCGTGTTCAACAATTAGCATTAGACGTTTTATTCACGTGGAATAACCCTTCAATCAACAAGTATAAGGACAATTTAAAGAACTTATTGGATGAAACTATATTCCGTGATGAATTATCTAAATTCTTGGCTAGAGATTCAAGTTCAACTATTGAAGATAAGGATTTATCTGAACTTATGCCATTTGTGGTGAGAATACTTTTCGGTAGAGTACAAGGATCTCCTAGAAGTAATAGTAAACAGGGTAAAAAGTTTGCTATTATTAATGTTTTGCCTAATTTGAAGGATGATGATATTGTTGCATTCATTCAACTTGGTGCTAATAAGATCGGTTACAAGGAATTTTTTGAAGGTGTTGTTCCTAGAGCTAGTTTAGGTTTGGAAAAGTCAATTCTTAATAAGATTAACGGTTTTGTTAATCTTTTGACTCAGGTGTACGAAACGCTAGGATCAAACTTTGCTAACGTCTTACAAACTACTATTAACCCATTGGTATACTCATTAGTGTGTGCCCAAAATAGAATTGATACTGCTTCTGAAGATGTGATTTCTGATAAGATAGCCAGAAATATTAGACTGAATGGTATGAAGTGTTTATATGAATTGTTTCAACTTTTAGGAGCTAGCTTTGACTGGTCAGAATATGTCGATGTGATTTATGCCAATTTGATATCACCAAGAATGGCCAGTTTCGCCACTGAGAATTTACAACAGCCATCGTCATTGCTTAATGTCATGACTAGCTGGATCAACAATTCAAACACCTGGATATTCTTGAATGCCGATGAGTTTACCCCTACTAAGGCCGTGCTTTCTTTGCTTGGTCACAATGCTAAAGAAGCTGTGCTAGGAAAAGTATTAGATTTTACTGTTGATGCCTTGGAAAGAAAAGACAATATGGATGAGCAATTCTTTACATTGTTGGCATTGGTAGTTGATTCTTTGTTAACTAACTTATCGAATATCATTGAGGGTATAACTAGTAAAGAAATTGGTTCTAAAGCTATAAAATCTTTGCTTTTGTTGATTTCTGGTAATTACATGGATGATCAAGAAACCAAAAGTGCATTAATTAAAGCATTAGTTGTTGCTTTGAATAATAATCAAATTGATTTGAATGACAAGGCCAACATTTTGATCTCCTTGGCTGCTTTGATTGAAAGTTATGAATGTACTGCCGAGGAGATACTTCCATTATATGAAACATGTTCTAAGTTGTTTAGAATGTTTAATGAGAGAAACTTACGTGAAACATTGGTTGGTGTGTTTATTGCTATTGGAAATAAGTTTGACAAGTTTGCTCAAGTTTCACAGTTACTTTTTGGACTTAATGCTTATTCTACATCTAGATTACAGGAACTTGATTTTGAAAAGAGATTGGAAGCATTCAGATTAATCACAGAAGAAATATACTTGGAATTGGATACTACCCAATGGTTACCTATCATTTACAACTGTTTGTACTTTATTAATGATGCTAACGAATTATCTATCAGAATCAATGCTTCATATGTGTTACGTCGTTTTATTGATTGTTATTCCGCTAAACCAGCTGCTGAAGAAGCTGCTCCATACATTCAAATCTTGAAGAATGTGATATTACCTAATTTGAAAGTGGGTATCCGTAAAGATAATGAAGACATTCAGTCAGAATACATTTCGGTGTTAGAACACCTTGTTCATTCGAACCATTATACTGAATTGCAAGACATGCAAGTCCTCACCTATGACAATTATGATGAAGCCAATTTCTTCAAAAATATTAACCATATTCAATTGCATAGACGTCAACGTGCAATTAGAAGAATGATTGAAAACGCCAGTGGGTTGTCCGAGAATAGTATTGCCCATTATATCTTGCCCATGATTGAAAGGTATGCCGTTCTGAAGGACGAAAAGTTGATGAATGTTGCCTTGGAAGCCATGGCTGCCATCAAGAGCTTAGTGGTGTTGATCAACTGGAATCAGTATAAGGCTATTCTCAAGAGATATGTTTCTAATTTGAAAGATCACGAATCGTTGAAACAGAGAGTTAATTTGATTGTGGTCGCTTCTGGTGGATTGGCCAGTTCGGTCAAGAACCAAGAAGGCAGTTTGGCACAGTCGCTTCCAAACCAAGAAGAAATTGATGATGTTATTTTAAAGGATGTTTCTCCGGCTATTTTGAAAGTGTTGAATGTTAGAGATGATGATACTATTGTTGCAAGAGCACCATTGGCTGAAGCATTGTCTAACTTTACCTTGTGTATATCTAAAGATAAGATTGATTCTGAGTTACCAAAGATCTTAACTAACACCTGTCAAGTTATGAGATCTAGATCCGAAGAATTGAGAGACGCCATTAGAAAAACATTAGGTAAGATTGCAACTACTTTAGGTCCAGACTACCTCCCATTCATTGTTAAGGAATTAAAGACGGCATTATCTAGAGGGTCACAAATTCACGTGTTGAGTTTTTCGGTTCATTACTTGTTACAATGTATTGCATCTAGTTTAATCCATGGTAGCTTAAATGAAGCTATTGATTTACTTATGGAGATTATCATGGAGGATATTTTTGGAAGTGCTGGTCAAGAAAAGGATGCTGAAGGATATACAAGCAAGATGAAGGAAGTCAAATTCAAGAAGAGTTTTGATACCGTGGAAATCATTGCTGCTAATATCAGTTTGAGCCAATTTGCTCATTTGTTAGATCCGATTAAGCTTATTCTTAAGGAACACGTATCATACAAGACCCAACTTAATCTTGATGAATTATTGAGAAGACTCAGTTTAGGATTGAATCATAATGAAGAATCATCAAACCTTGAAATCTTGCATCTTTGTTATGAAATATTCACGCTGTCTAATCCTGAAGATACCAAGAAGAAACCAGTTGAACCGACCGAACAAGAAAAGCATTTCTTGACTAATCTTGAAAGAAAGAGCAAGGTTACTCATAAGGACACTTCGATTTACCAACATACCATGGAAAAGCTTTCCCTTGAACTTTTACGTACCGCTATTTCGCGTCATGATAACTTATTAACTGTGGGTAATTTGTCTGGGTTTGTTCCATTGTTGGATGAGGCAATTAGATCTGAAAACGAAGCAGTTGTGACTAGTGCTTTAAAGATTTTGAACGCCATTGCAAGATTACCATTCTCGGAAGAACAACAGAATACCTTCAAGTCATGTGCAAGAAGATCATTGATCATAATTAAGGAATCACCATCTACCAACCTGGACTTGTGTCAAGCAGCACTCAAGCTCTTGGCTACTACCATCAGGCATACTCCAGAAATCAACCTTAAGCAATCAGCAATTAGTTATATTCTTACTAGAATCCAACCAGATTTAGAGGAACCACAAAGACAAAGTATTGCATTTAATTTCTTGAAAGCAGTTGTTTCTCAACATATTTTAATTCCAGAAATTTATGATCTTATGGACACAGTTGCGAAATTGATGATTGTTAATCATTCTCAGGAAATCAGAGCCATGTCGAGAAGCGTATATGTGCAATTTTTGATGGAATATGATCAAGGTAAAGGAAGATTAGAAAAGCAATTTAAGTACCTTGTGAATAACTTGACATATCCTACTGAAGAAGGTAGACAATCTGTTATGGAATTGGTTCATTTGATCATCTTAAAAGCAGGATCTGACTTGTTACATAAGTTAGCATCCTCATTCTTTGTGGCATTGTCGAGTGTTTTAGTTTCTGATTCTTCTGCTAAATGTCGAGAAATGGCGGGTTCTTTGATATCATCAATTTTCAAAAAGTTGGATAATGAAGGAATGGCAAATATTGAAAAGTATTGTACGGCATGGATGAAACAAAATGGTAACTCCCTTCTTAAACGTTGTGGATTTAGTGTTTATCGATTATTCGTGACTGGTTTTGGTATTGGTAAGTATGAAACCCTCGACAATATTGCTCATGAAAACATCCTTGCTGTGATAGAATCAGCCAAGAATAGCGAAGATAATGATTTACAATGGGAATTGTTATATTCTGCTCTTTCCGTGTTTAGCTCAATTGCATCAGCAATCAAGGATAAGGTACTTGAAAAGAGCTATGCTAAGATTTGGTATGCACTTATTGACGTTTTATTATTCCCTCATTCCTGGATTAGATTAATCTCATCGAGATTGATTTCTATTTTGTTATCAAACATAGACAATTTAGAGTTTGAAGTTACTAATCGTGAAATTCAAATGATTGCATTTAGGTTGATTCATCAATTGAGAGCTCCAGGTATAACTGAAGAATTGGGATTGATCACTTCAAAGAACTTAGTGCTTATCGCTATGCGTTGGGAAAGTGAAGAAACTGATTGGGAAATTGAGGATAATGAAGATGAAGAAGAGGAAACTACTTCTATCAAAGCCAATGATTACTTGCTTGGAAAGATCAGTGGTATTATTAGACAAGAAACTTTCCAATCACTCGTTGCTAAGAAGGCATGTATTAAATTAGCAGCCATGTTCATTCAATTTACATCTGAAGAAAGGTTACTTCAAGTTGCCGAAACTATCATTTCCAGTTTATACAACTTTACTGATCCAAATTATGCCTCTGATGAAGAGCTTACGGGTTTGAGTTTGGAAAGTTTGGATTTGGTCAAGGAAAAGATTGGTACTAGTGAATATACTCGTATTTACACCAAATTGAAACTGCAAGTTAATGTTAGAAGAATGGAAAGAAAAGCCAAGAGAGCACAGATGTCGGTATCAGTTCCTGAGATTGCTGCTAAACGTAAATTAAAGAAGCATGCTAGATCAAGAGAAAAGCGTAAGCATGAAAAGGATGCTAATGGGTTTTACAAAAGTAAAAAGAAGAGAGTTAACTAGTGTATATATTTAATAAACTATTCAGTTATAATTTTAGGAGTTTCTTCCTCTTCTTTGATGTCCTCCTCTTCTTGCACAGGATCAGTTTCTGGTTCATCTTTGACGATTGGAGTTGCGGCTTCTTCTACTGGGGCTGCTACTTCCTCGACAGGTTCCGGTACTTCGCTGTCTACTTCTGGTGTTTCAGTATCTAACTTCTGCCTTTTTGCTTCAGGTTCCTCCACTTCTTCCGTTCCTTGTTTCTTTTGATTATATATGGCCATTTCACGTTGATATCTGTCTCTGTCATCTTCATACAACTTGTAATAAGGTTTTCTATCTTCTTCGTTCAACAACTTCCAAGCTTCTGTCATACTCTTGCTTAAATCGTTGGTTACGCCAGGGTTCTTTTCTTCATTTTCTTGTTTAATTCGTTCCTTTTCCATTTCACAGAATATTAAATATGCATTTGTAGGACGTTTAGGTAAATCTGGATCTCTAACCTTGGCAACTTTTGGAGTTGGTGCGGATTCTGCCGACGAGGAGGCCGGTTTCCTCTTGATTTGTTTTTTGGCCAATCCATTCTTTTTGGTCAAGGTTTCATCCAAAACACTGGGGGTAGGAGGACATGCCATTTCTTCAAATCCGACAATTCCTTCCGGTAACAGAGTAGCTCTTTCTTCTAATCGTTCTAATAATATCACATATTCCAATCGTAAACGACGTATGGCTGCTTGAGTTCGGGATAAAGCCAATGTTGCAATTTCATTGCTTTCTTCAATCTCGATTACTCGCTTTTTCAATTCTTTACATTTTTGTTTGAATTTTTGTTCTAAACAAAACGTTAGTATATCAATCTATAGATTTCATGTGTAATTAACATACCCTCGCTCTCTGGTGCTGTATCTTTAGCTTGTACTTTCATTGTTGCTGCTACTGTTCAATCACCAAGACACGGTCTGGTTTAGCTTTCCTGAAAAAGATTAGTATGGCTTTTTTTCCTTGCCACTTTGCACGACCATTTTCCAATTGTGTCAAAAAGCTCTGGCAAAAAGTGGAGAAGGGATTACTAAGTAAAGTAAATTAGACGAACTCGCCAATACTATGTCGAATTTCGTGGTAACGGGTCATCCCTCTAAGCGAAAAGTATGTTAGCGAATTAACGGATGAGAAGCACATACTAACCACTCATTAGAAAGCAATTCTTGCCTGTGAAAACTGTCGAAGATTACATCGAAAATGTATTATAGATGCTGGAAGTAACATATGTTATTTATGCAAGAAGCGATCCATCGCATGTGTCTGGAATAAACCAGAAACACCACCAATAGCAGTGGATACATCACTAGAAAAGTTCCGCCAAGAAGAATCAATATATTCCACCATGATTGGAAGACGTGGGAGTAATTCTCAATTCGTGTGTTCAACTCACCCAATAGCGTCGTTGTTGAGTACCGACATGTTTCTTTGTTTTGATGGGGATAATTTCGGATTATATAACCCGTGGAGAAGTGTGCAAAACATAGATGCCCATCGAGAAATGGATCCAGAGTTACGGGAATATCTATACAAGAAAGGAGCATTTGAAATGCCACCGATTGCCGAGCAACGAGAGTTATTTCAATTGTTCTTGGACAAACTCTATCATATGTTTCCTGTGATCAATCGCAGTGATATTGAAAATATCAAGAGCCTTTCTCCATTGCTTCTTAATGCAATTTTCCTCGCCGCTACCAGATGCGATGGCAGATTGGATAGGCAAACTATACGATCACGTTCACAACAGCTATATGAACGATGTCAGTTATTAGAGTTGGCAGAATCAAACAAAATCGTATTGATTCAGTCGTATTTGTTGATGTCGATTCAAGAAGAAGGTGTTAATGGAGAATCACTTGCAAAAGAGTATGTTACTAAGGCATGTATGCTATGTGGAGATTTAGCCTTAACTAACCTTGGTGGATCCGATGGAATGTTAATGGATGAATCAAAGAGTAGAACGTACAAGAATACAGTATACAAAAAAGGAATACTCTCGCGAATCTTTTGGACAAGTTTCTGTTGTGATAGGCTAGCAGCTGCCACCAGTGGACGAGAAATGTATTATAATTACACTGATATAATCATTGACGAATTATCAATTGATGATTATGAAGCTGGACCTTCTCAAGTCAATGACTTCATGTTTCTTAAGTCCTGGTATGAAATATGTAAATTCTTGTTTCGAATTTTGGATTCTTTTTATAAACCTCCTGAACGAAGAGGTAAAGATCATAGCTTACCCCGAGATTTATTCAATTGGGAAATGAAGGTTGAATTATATTCCAGTTCATTAAGTGGACAAATCAGCCTAATGCATGCTTATGCGTGTTTGTTATATCTTCGATGTAAAATGGATCCAATTTCTTTGATTACATCAAAGAACTCTCCTTCAGATTTGATTAGTGATGATTACATTATCCTTCTCCATAAATATTCATCGGTAATTTTGTCCATTGATACTTTCTTCTTGCAAACACACATTCTTGGAGTCCATGCAATATTACATGTTATGGCATTGGCACAGCTTGAACTTCAGGCACTTCCCTCCTCCGATGAAACTGGTGAGTACCTTATCACGGTAAAACAAGAAGTGCTTGGATCATTGGAACATTTAAAGAATTATTGGTGGCTTGCAAGTTCAAGTTTAAAACTTTTACATGCATCGACTAAGAATTAGGTATTTAGAGACAGTTCAAGTAGGCAAGATTAAATTAAATATTAGATTTAGAGAAAGTTTAACAACATTGTAATACCATGTTTGGTCTGGTCAGGTCAGGTCAGGTCAGATGCCTGCCTCGTTTTGTCCTGCACATGACTATTAAAACTCCTGCCTCCCCCGCAAAACCATATAACCAAGTCTAACCCCCTGTTGTGTCAAAAATCACTTGCAATTGAGAGGAAGTAATCAATGGGTAAACTATGGCGGTCTATGTTCAAAAGAGAGGGAAAATATGATAGCTTTTCTTTAATACTGCAATTACCGGACGAAATCATTTTGGAAATAATTAATCTCCTAAATCAAGTTGATGTACTCCTGTTGATGAATGTCAATCAACGACTTTACCAGCTTGGACTTACAAAATTGTACCATTCAATCTACCTCAATGGATCACCCAATATTGTAAATATGGCAATTTCGAGTCATGTCTATGCCCTGTTTCATATCAAATACACAATTGTCAAATCGGTAGGTAAGTTTCTTAAAGAAATTACACATAATAAAAACATCCATTTAATCAGAGAAATCTTGTCAAACGGCTTGCAACCGGATGGATATGAGGTTATAGAGCTGCTACCATGGGTTAATTTCCGGTTCGAATATGATTTATGTACTCTGTCGCACCTCAATCGACTGCTAGTAACGAGCTTATCGCTCACCCCTGAGAATTACGAGTTTCTTCAAGATAGTGATGCTACTAATAATGTGAAAAAAATGACTATTCGGGATGATACTGATTTATTCGATATAATCCCGAAATTAAATTTGAAATCATTGCAGATATCTCCACTAAATCAAGAGGTGATCCTGGGGTTATCATCACAAGACATATCTAATTTACCAATCAGGGACCTATTTCTAAAGGGATGTGTAAGTAACAATTTGTTACATGAAGTAAATAACCTATTTAACCTTGAACTGATTGAAACACTAGGCATAAGTTTAACTGATGATGCTCTTTTCTCATGCTTATCACTTTATCGACTTCATAACCTCAAACATTTGTTTCTTCACAATGGAAGCTGTTGTTATAAAGCTACCAAACTTATACCACACGATAGTTTAAGATTTTTGTGTTTGCATGATAAAGACGCAAAACGATACAATTTCTTTGACTATAACAGTCTTGTGTTATTCATAGGTACTCAAGAGAAATCATTAACAAAGTTATGTTTGCTGAGTGGGGTTATTCACTATATGAGACATTCATGGATAGATAAAGTCTACAAGTGTAACCATGAGGTTTCAGATACTGATAACATACGAAACTTGCATTTAATTGACCAGATTTTGAAGGGAAATAGATTTTCTAATTTGGATACCATTATTTTAAATGGTATTTACTATTTGATCAAAAGATATGGGACAGATATAAAGATTATTACTTTATAATTAATAGGTATAAGAAAAGCTCGGTAAGAAGTTAACCACCTAAAAATTCACGGGAAAAAAAAAAAAAAAAAGAAAAAAAGGATTCGCAGCCAAGTTCGGGGATTTGCCTTTAACTACTAGCAAATCTCAAAGCTATTGTAGGACTTACTAGATTTGGTAATATACCACCTATAGACATATCCATATACAACTATTCCTTCGTTTAATAAGAATTTATATCTTAAAGAGTGTGTTCTGATGTTACTGCCTGCATGGTATTGCAAATATTACTATTTTTCTAGTTTAATTGCAAATATTACTATTTTTCTAGTTTAATTGCAAAAAAATAACAAAATTTTACGTATCATGTTTGTGTTCATGTTTATGTTAATCCAAACCTAGATATATTGTCATAAATTACCCATGAAAGAATCCACAATTAATTATGCTGAAAATCTGACCTCCATTGGTGCCCTAGGCTCAGCGGTCATGTAACGTGTATGATACCCCTAAAAGATGATTAAATCCGGAATTCTTTTTTTATCACCGAGGGTAAGTGATCTAACTGCATATAACTATTGCTCTTGCTTATGTATGACAATCCAACAATATTTCAATAGAATTCCATGATTAACTTTATCAAAGAGAGAAAGGAGTTCTTATCCAGTTACCCGATATCACTACTTAAACGGGATATGTTCAAATTACCGATATACATAGCCATATGGATTTACGCATGAGCTCTAATTCAGTTGAATAGCGTAGCCTTTACCAATACAATACATCTGACACAGAACTAGATGATCACAATGTAACGGGGATCATAACTTCTCCTCCGACCCAACATAAACTCGGACAATGAAAAGTGTGGAGTTTCATTATCAATTTTCGGTCACGCGGAATCCGGAAAATTCTGGAAAGAAAGTTTATACCAAATGGTACCTTCTAGAATATTATCTTTGATAACCTTGAGGGTTTTCTTTTTCTGACAACGATAGTCATAGGGTTACTCTATGACAGATCTGGTAAATATTTTGTGACCTTAATTTTATACCATCACTTTTTTTTGTGTTATATTTCCGTATTACTAATATAGCCTTCATCCATACAAATTTTCTCGTGTTATTTAACGTGGATTAGTATCCAATTATTTTTGACAACCCCTTATTTCACCCACAGTATTAATTATTTATTCTTTTTTAAGCATTGATTCCTACTTTATAGATACAATATGGACAATAATAGAGATATAAATGAATCCAGGGATGACCCTGACAACAATACCAATACAAGCACCAATAACAACACTGGTAACAATGACAGTAACAACACTACCACCAACACCACCAACACCACCACAAACCCTAATAGAAGTCATAGAGTAGATATGGGAATATTTGAACGGTTTATTGACGTCCTTTTAGGACCAAGAAGAAATAACTCACATTATGTTACTTGGACACAAGCTAGTCCGCCTAGATCTACACCACCGTCACGGATTTCAAATGATATATCAGAAGAACTCACCAATGAGAATATACGAAGAGAGCAAGAGGAAAATGAAAGACAAACCGCATCTACTGACCAACCAAACAATTCCTCTCCACCCGAGGTACCTCCTGCTGCTAATAGCAACCCTAATAATAATAATAATAATGCAGATACCCCACCCACTAATAATGACACTACCGATGCCGATGATCCAAATCGTGCTATTGTAATCACGGTAAATTACGTATTTTCCGATGAAAATCAACCCAATAATCCTAACAGAGCCGGTTCTCTCGTCATGTCATTACCCAACAACGCGTCAAATCGTGATCCGCGTGTCATACAAGAGTTTATTAGATTGGCCACACAATTAGCATATACTTCAATTTTGAATGGAGTTCACAACCAGAAGGGTATTACATTAAAGACATTTTCAAGTTTCCCGGGTATAAAATTACAGGAACTAGATGAAAGTAATATATGTTCGATTTGTTTTGAAGTATATGAAGCATTGCATGTTGACACGGAGGAAGATAACGAAGATGAAACGATATCTCACAAAAAGAGAAGATTACACGATCTGTCAACATTTACTACTGCAAGTTCAACAAATCTGAGGTCGGACACAGCAGATACTGAGAATAATAATAATAATAATAATAATAATAACCAACCAGTTTTCCTTGCTGAATTGACTGAGAAATTCAACCATATTCCTATCAAGATGCCCTGTGGACATATTTTCGGCAAGGATTGTTTATGTGAATGGTTAAAGGAACATACTACTTGTCCATTATGTAGGTACAAAGTCGAAGAAACCGAACAAACTCGTCCAGTACCTCCACAAACTCAAGAAGCTAGAAATTTTACCATATTTACCCTTCCAGGCGAAAACAGTCCCGTTACTAGTCCTACTAATGTAACTGTTCAAAATAATATTTCAAATACACCATCAACAGAACAAGAAACGGCCCCAGAACAACCAGTGCGTCTACCTTCACCAGTGCCAGCAACACGTCCAGCATCAACACCTCCTGCACCAACACTTCTGCCTAGAACAACTAGCCATCCACCAATTCGAAGATTACTAAGAAGTGCTGGAGGTGGATGGAGAGAGTCTACTGAACCAGTATCCGCGAATGATCCATTAAATCATGTGATTGAATATTTAACTAGACAAAGAACACTTCGAACCCCACCTTCGGAACCATTATTCCCCACTGGAATGACTAGTAGAAGAACTGCCAATGGGATTGAAACTAGACTGACTGATGACGACATTGTTGATGGTATGGAGTTAAGAAGCTTGTTTGATGATTCTCCTATCCCTCGTGATGATCTGAATAGTAATGAGTCGAGAGAAAATGAACTGGATGAATCTAGCAATAGAGATAATGAACCATCTAATGATTCTAGAGAAAACGAACATTCTCACGAGTAATGATACAGTCTTTATATAAATGTATAGATCTATTTACGAAAAGAATTTTGCATATTTAGCCTTTTCTCTATTCTTTTCTTGCTCTATTAAAGTTTCATATTTTTCAACGGCTTTGGTTATAGCAGCATCTTGAGGCAAGATTTCTTGAGCCGCTTGTAAGTCCACCAATGCTTGTTTATACTTTTTCAATTCAAGCAAACAAGAGCCTCGTCTAAAGAGAGCCTTTGATTTGTCTTGACTAGTAATGTTACTCAAATCTAACAAATAGCTCGAATAATCAATTGCTTTAGTGTAATTCTTAAGCTGCAAACAAACTAAACTTAAATTCAAGTACAATTTCTTTTTCAAGTCCAGATACTTGTCAAACCATTCAGGTTCTTGATCTTGATCAGGAATATATTCCATAACATATCGAAGACATTTTCTATACTTTAAGAACGCCTTGTACTTTTCACCAGCTTTGAAAAGTAAGGTCCCGCTTTCTTTAATCTTGACCGATGCATTGAAGACTGACTCAGAAGACTCTTTATCTATAGTTTCATCATCATCAGGGTATTCTTCGTAGACATCTCCACCAATTGTGTCATAGCATGCATTGAAAATAGGCACTTCCATACCATCATTCCACTCACCACATTCATCAATCGTGATTGGAAGTTCAGGGACATTCTCCTTGTTTGTTTTAGCACGTTCAATTTCACGTACTACAGATTTACCATGGATGACTTTTCCAAAGACCGAATGCTTACCACTGAGATGTGGTTGTGGGAATGTTGTTATGAAAAATTGTGATCCATTAGCATTAACATCACCATTATTGGCCAGGCACAATAAGAAAGGGGAATCTAATGGCTGTGAAAGGTTTTCTCCTGGGATTGGCTTATCTGTGTTTTCTCCGTATATTGTAGATATATTGGCTTGGTCGAGAAAACCTGCTTGTATGACAAAGTTCTTAATTACTCGATGAAAAGTGTTGCCTTGGTAAGTATAGGATTTTCCATTAATGTCAATGCCTTTGACTAAGTTAAAGAAATTTTCTGATGAATTTGGAGCAAGGTCAGTGAATAGTTCAACCACTATTCTTCCGATCTTGTTACTTCCTATAGAAATATCCAAGTATGCCTTGGGCCTAACTGCTTCAATTTTCATGGTGATCTAGCGATGAAGTTACTCAGTATAAAATGTCTAAAAAAAAAAAATTGAATTCTTATATTTGCTATTGGAAGCATCTGCAACCATGTTAAGATCACAATTGAAGAGACAGGTCAGAAAGTACTCTAGTACATACGACACATTAGTTTACAATGCACAACAGAACATCATCCAGTCATTAGAGGCCAATGACAGATCTTCATATCTCTTGGCACAATACATTCCTGATGTTGCCCGTAATGCATTCTTGGCTATACGAGCATTCAATCTTGAAATAAACAAGATTAGCGATGGTGGACAGAACTCGTCTTCTATTGCATCACAGGCATCCAGAGAGATGACCGGGAGATTGGGTGTTTCTACCGTTGATTTAAAGTTTAAGTTTTGGAGTGATTTGGTTTCGCGAGTGTTTATAGAAGATCCATATAGCGAGAAAGACCTTGGTGAACCAATAGCGATATTGTTGAGAGATGCATTAAGAAATGATCTTAACTTAGATGTGGATTACTTGTTGAAGTTCTTGCAGACCAGGCGTTTGTTTGTCAAGGGAGGCACATTCCAAACCGTCAATGATATTTGTAGCTATGGGGAAGGAACTTACTCACAATTGAACTACTTGACTCAGGGGTTGCTACTTTCTCCTTCGATATCACCTTCATCTATACGTCTACTTGAATGTAGCACCGATCTTCAAGCGAAAATCAGTGATATTGCTGCCCATATAGGACAAGCTACTGCCGTAGGGTCTATGATTTTAGGATTACAATATTATGCAACCAGTAGAAACCAAGTGACCATGCCAATTGACTTGATGACCAAGTTCGACTTGTCACAAGAATCCCTACTTAGATTGTGCCAAGGACATATCAAGACAAATATGGAACAAGAAGAAATCAGAGACAAGTTGAAAAATGTCGTGTATGAAACGGCAATAACCGCCAATGATCATATGCTAACGGCAAGAGACAAATTGTCCAAAACCGAACAAGAAATAAAGGAAATCTTAAGCAGCCATCCACACGACCAATTGCTATCAAGACACGGTAAAAAGTGGAGAAGAAACATCCCTGATGTTTTATTTACTCCATTCATGGTGGCTATTCCAACCACTTTGTACTTGAATAGATTAGAAAAGTACGATTTTGACGTATTTAGTCCAAAACTCCAACAAAAGGAATGGAGATTAGCTTGGACTTCGTTCAAGAACTACCATCAAAGAATTGTATAGTCTTTTGTATATAGTAAATACTTCTTTTTAACATTTAGTATATTGTCAATGCTTACTGATTTGGTAAAGGACAGGTGGAAAATATCTCAGAAAAAAAAATCCACCCCAAAAAAACACACGTAAACCAACACCAAATAAGCAACCAACTCAGGAACAAGACAACCCAACACTAATTCGCTACTAACTGCTCGTGATCCGACAATAGAAGATAAAGTTTTATAGAGTATTTACAGTTGATTACATCTTATTTGTTTTTATACTTACTTAAACCAGTGTTGACACCGCCGATCCCTGATAACCACGTATATCATAATCATGGGAGATCAATATTCACCTTCTCCGACTCCGACAAGTCTGGTAGCTACCAGAAATTTCCTTAGAAACCACAACACTACCAATTACTTTCTCCATGCAACATTTTCACATCCAGTGGTAAGCATGAATCCCATTACATTAATGATTAATGAATGTATGACAATGGCTTCAGCTATGCGGAAAATGAATAGATGGAATCAAACTGGAGTTGCTGCTATTTTAGGAGCAGGTGACATCTTTGGTGGTAACAATGACGAGGATGGTATTAGCTTGGGAATCACATCTACTATGCCAGCAACCAATCATCCCCATTCTGAAGGAGGAAGGGGAAGCAGTGGCACTCATAGATCGTTATCAGACAATCCCCTCCTTGCCTCGTTCTTGCAGTTAAAATCAATCTTAAGTGACGCTAAAGATTTAAATGATATCGACAGTTTAACTTTATTACAACCATTTTTGTTGGTGATTAAATCTTCTTCAACTTCAGGTTATGTTACTACCTTATCTTTGAATGCAATTTCAAAGTTTTTAACTTATGGAATCATATCATTGAAATCAAAGAATATTCAAAGTTGTTTGATCCAAATCATATCTTCATTAACCCATTGTCGATTTGAAGCTGCTGATCAAAATTCAGATGATGCCATTTTACTCAAGGTGTTGAGATTATTAGAAGAAATAATCGAGAGCCCAATGTCTGCATTACTCCCTGATGAAGTTGTTTCCGAAGTGGTACAAATTTCCTTATCGTTAGCTTGCAACAAGAAAAGAAGTGAAGTTTTACGAAGAGCAGCAGAAATGGCCATGGTGTCAATCACCATTAAAATATTCAGCAAATTAAAAGAAATTGAGCCAGAACCAGAATTTAACGATGATTTACAAACTAATTTTGCTGATACGAGATTGCCTGAAGATTTGATCGGTGGTACAGACATAAAGCCTTCAGAAATTAATACTCCAAGAGATCTGAATTCAGACACTGAAGCTGAAACCATCAAAGAAGAGGAAGAAGAACAGGAAGAACCCGAGAAAGATCATACTGAATCATATGGTATTGTTTGTATTAATGAATTCCTTGGCATTTTAGTTTCAATGATTTCACCATCCAATCAATATCAACATATGGAAAGCACAAGAGTTTTTGCATTATCGTTAATGAACATCATTATTGAAGTTGCAGGTTTGGAAATCCCCAAACATCCAGCATTATTAACATTAGTTTCTGATCCAATTTCAAAACACATCTTGCAAATTATAACCACTACTGATTCTCCAGCACTTTTAAAAGCATCGTTACAATTATTCACCACAGTATCAATTGTATTAGGAAGACAATTAAAACCACAATTTGAATTAACATTGTCCCTCATTTTCCAATCAATTTTACCTGAAGCTTCAAAGAAACAAAATGATAACTTCACGGGTGCAAATGTTTCCTCAAGAAATTCCCTTTCTAAAGAAATGTTAATTGAATCATTAAGTTTATTATGGACAAGATCACCAGTATTCTTCACCCATTTATTCATTGATTATGATTGTGATTTTGAAAAATCGGATTTATCTATCAAAACATTGGAATTCTTGTGTACGCTTGCATTACCAGAATCAGCATTAATCACCACCGACAACGTTCCACCGATTTGTTTAGAAGGAATCTTGTCATTTATTGCCGGTATAAACAATAGAATCAAAGCTGCTAAAGATGATATCGATTCCTTACCTTTACATGATTTGATCCAAAGTCGGAAAAAGAAGACAGCCTTTATCCACTGTACAGAAATTCTCAACCAGAAACCTCTGGAAGGTATCAAAGCATTGGCAAAAGAAGGATTTATCAAAGATGAAAATGATCTGAAGGAAATTGCTCAATTTTTCTTTTCGAAATCAGGAAGATTAAACAAGAAGATCCTTGGTGAATTCTTGGCTAAGCCTGGAAATGGTGAATTATTTGGTCATTTTATAGATTTATTTGATTTTAAAGATTTGAGAGTGGATGAAGCTTTGAGAATTTTGTTAAAGACATTCAGATTGCCTGGCGAATCACAGCAAATTGAAAGAGTTGTGGAAAGATTTGCCGAGAGGTATGTTACTTGTCAAGCAGAAACTACTGCTGATTTGCCAGTCACTCCTTCTAAAAGAGGCAGTATTCCTAATGATAATGTTGAACCGGTCAGACCCGATAGAGATTCCGTCTTTGTTTTATCATACTCCATTATCATGTTGAATACAGATTTGCACAACCCTCAGGTTAAACAACAAATGCTTTTAGAGGATTATAGAAGGAACTTACGTGGGGTTTACAATGGTAAGGATTTCCCTGAATGGTATCTTGCCAAGATTTATCTGTCTATTAAAGATCGTGAAATCATTATGCCTGAAGAACATCATGGTACTGATAAATGGTTTGATGATGCTTGGCATAATTTGGTTTCTACTCAAGATTTCAAATCTGACCAACATCAATTAGAATTTGGTGGGGTTCAACTATGTCAATTTGATAAATGTATCTTTGAGGCTATTGTGGATAAGTTAATTTCTACAATTATTAGTATTTTTAAAGAAGCTTCTGATGATCATATAATTACAAGATTGATGTCCTCCATTGATAAAATTGCCAATATCTGTTTATATTACAATTTAACTGATTCCATTGATAAATTAGTTGATTCATTGTCCGATTTGAGTTCATTGTCCAAGACTAGTTTTGTTGATATACCAACTGATGATGGTATTCGTGAAGAGATTCCAATAACAGAGATTAGAATTGAAAAGAAGAATGAAGATATTATAACAGTTAGTGAATTGGCTGTATGGTTTGGCCGGGATTTCAAAGCACAATTGTCTACTGTGGTGTTATTCAGATTAATTAAAAAGAACGATTGTAAGATTTCCCCATCTTGGTCAAAAGTTATCAACATTATCTTGAGATTGTTTGAAAATTGTTTAATCAACCCAAACTTATTTGGCGAATTCCAAAAAAAGATTAAACTTGGTCCATTACCTAAGGTCAATGCAAGATATATTATAAGAAGAACAAAACCCTTGAATAATTCAGGATTATTATCTACATTCTCATCATTCTTGAAAGGATACTCTGATAATCCACCTGAACCAACTGATCAAGAAATTGAATCTACATTGTCAACGATTGATTGTATTAAATCACTCAACATTCCGAATATTTTCTCGATAATTTCAAAGGGATCACACGAAGATATATCAATGTTTGTCAAGTTATTATTAGAATCATTTCCCGAATACAACGATAAGTCTAAACGATTCTTTGAAACTGAAGTGTTGTTCTTGTTGGAAATTTCCGTATGTTTCTGTTTATTATTGAACGACAAAGACCTTATTGACAGTGTTCTTTCAAAGATTGACATTTCCCATATTTCCAAGAAAGGGCAATTGAGGATCATCGCTTATGAGTTATTATTGATGAGGTACAGTGAAGGTACTCCAAATTTGATTGACACAGTCAAATCAATTACTAGTTTTGATAAGGAACTTATCACCAAGCAGGGAGCTCAAATTCTTCAACCTTTGTTATCTTTAGTTGATGATGATTCTTGGTGTTGTAAGACATTACTTGTAGAAGAAGAATATTGGAAGGCACTTAGATCATTTGGATCTATCCAAACTTATGCTGCGGATATTATTAGATTCCTCGAAGGAATCATCAAATCTTCAAATGATATTACTTCAGAAAACTACGTGTCAATTTTGGGTTTATTAGATGAAATATCGTCATTGGGAGCAATGGGATCGCAATTTGAACAAGAAAATGAAAACTTAGAAAATACCAACGTTGATAGTGAATACTTCCAAGAATTAGTCAAACTTTCCAAAAATTCAATTAAATTGACTTGTGATTTAGGACCAATTGTTCAAAAGAAGGAATTCAAAGACAAGGGATTATCATATTCATTACTTCAAGCATTAGCCCACCAATGTTTCAACCCATGCCGTGAGGTTAGGAAGTTCGCCGTTAAACTGCTTCAAACAGTAGCATTATCTCTTGAAATTAGTGGCGATGAAACCATTACCGCATATGGCATTTTTGAATTTGGTTTGTTCCCATTGTTAATTGAATTAACTAAACCAGAGGTATTACAAACTGATATCAATGGGTTTGCCTTAACTCAATATGACACATTTTCATTGGTAAGTCGAGTTTTCTTGAAGCATATTGATGATTTCAAAGGCAATGAGACTGAAATTGTTTGGTTAGGATTACTCGATAATTGCTTGAAATTTCACCAACTCAGTGCTAATAGCAAAACTTTATTCAGTGAATCTGGTTCGGAATTACTCAAGAATATGATTTTGGTCTTGGAAAGCAATGGTTCTTTAGGACCTGAGAAGGAAGAAGTTTGGAAAAAATCTTGGGAGGTAATTGGATCAATTTATCCTGATTTACGTAAGGAGTTACTTTCTAATGAAACTGAAGATGTGGAAGAGAAAGTAGAAAACAGCGAGGATCAAGATAAGATAGAAGGAAATAAGGAAGATCCTGAGCAAAAAGTAGTAGGGTTGGAAGAAAAAACGGAAATTTCTACTCCAGAAGTCCATACAGAGGACAGTAACTCTACTGATAACATTGTAGAACAGGATAATCAAGTATAGTTATAGTTACAAATGTATAATAGTATATCAATCTGTCGTTTAGTAGAGTCGTTTGAATAAAGTCTCACAAAATCCAAAGAAATTTTTCAGCGCGATGATCTTCAATATCTCATACTTCGATAACCAATACAACAACAACAATAATAGTAATAACATGGTTAACAACAAGACATACACAGAAAGAGCTAATGTCCACCCATCTCCAGTGGCACAACGTTTGTTCAATTTAATGGACTCCAAAAAAACCAATTTATGTGCTTCAGTTGACGTTAGAACTACTGCTGAATTCTTAGCCTTGATTGATAAATTAGGTCCATTTGTTTGTTTAGTCAAGACCCACATTGATATAATTGACGACTTCTCCTATGAAGGTACCATCAAACCATTATTGGAATTATCCAAAAAGCATAATTTCATGATCTTTGAAGATAGAAAATTTGCTGATATTGGAAACACAGTTAAGTCCCAATATACCGGTGGTGTCTACAAAATTGCCCATTGGTCAGACATCACCAATGCCCATGGTGTCACTGGTGCCGGTGTAGTTCAAGGATTGAAAGAAGGAGCCAAGGAAACTACCGATGAACCAAGAGGGTTATTAATGTTGGCAGAATTATCTTCCAAGGGTTCTTTAGCCTATGGTGAATACTCAGAAAAGACCATTGACATTGCTAAAACTGACAAGGAATTTGTCATTGGTTTCATTGCTCAAAGAGATATGGGTGGCCGTGAGGAAGGTTTTGATTGGATTGTCATGTCTCCAGGTGTTGGTTTAGATGATAAAGGTGATGGATTGGGTCAACAATATAGAACCGTAGATGAAGTCGTTTCTACTGGTACTGATATTATTATTGTGGGAAGAGGATTGTTTGGTAAAGGCAGAGATCCACAAGTTGAAGGAAAAAGATACAGAGATGCTGGTTGGAATGCTTACTTAAAGAAAACCGGCCAACTATAATTCTATATACAAAATAAATAAATATATACAAAAAAGACACACACACACTGTAACTTCATGCCTGCAAAAGCTCATACTCTTCAAAGTTATCAGCTAGTTTAGTTCTCATCATTTCGAAAACTAACAATCCTACCGAAGTTGCCGGGATAGTTGTCAATGCATTTCTAACAAACCCTTTATATCCAGCTTCAATCCATGTAACTCCCGATTTTCGTTTCATTCTCAACACCTGGTTAAATGTGTCTATATAAGAATTGTAATACAAGGTAATAAATGGCTTTGTACTGTGTTTTGATGCAGAATAAACATCTAATGCTTCCAATCTTGACAAATGAAGTTTTTGGATTTTGGAAAGCGGATATTGAACAGCCAATAAAGAACATGCTGCTGATGCACCAGCCAATAATACAAATGTAGACTTTAACAACCTTTCCAGCCTATACCTTTCCAATTTCTCCATTTTTTCATCAACTTGTTCTTCATTCCATTTAAATATCTTTTGCAACTTTCTTTTGATAATTTCTTCACTTCTATGATACCACATAATAGTTCGATGAGTTAAATCATACCCTTCAGTCTTGACAGTTTCAAAAGTTGAAAAATAAAATGCAAAACCAAAACTCTCCTTTATTAACGAAAACCCATATCCGGCAAATACACCCACCAATCCAATTTCCTTTAATTTATGTAGACCAAACACCCAAAGGTTTCTATGAGTTCCTTCCAACATCTCTGAGACAGTCAGTCTAGTATATATGGCATCAACAGGTGCAGCAGCCAATGACTGTACTGCCCCGGCGATAAATCCAGCCCTCCACGTATCAAATGGAGAATACCAATTGAACTTTGCCGGCGGAGTTTGATGCTTTTTGTTATAATGATCCAATGTTGTTAAGTATGTGGCATACAATATTAATCCTGTTGCCGAGTTGGCTATTAAAGGCGGTAAAACGTGGTCTGGGATAAATTTCCATCCTTCCTTTCTAATCACTTGGAATAACATCGCCAACGATGAATGAGTTCTAAATCGATAAGGTTTCTCCAGGAGGTTATGATGTTTATTAGCAAGAACTCTTACTTGTGCTAAGTAATCAAAACGAGATGGCCTAAATAATTTGACTGGAGTCCTCAAATATAGACCTTGAAGTTGGTAGATGATCGCTCGTATCCCTGCTGCTGACAACGAAACGGTTTGGTGGCTTCTTTTTTTGGGAGCATTCGTACCATATACATCATACTGGTCATCAAAAATGACCGAATCATTATAAATGGGTGCACCAGAGAAGATGGAGATTAGATTCGGTGCCGTGATGGATCTTGGCTTGCCATCCTTTATATTAGGTGCTTCTTTCATGTACACCAAGTTCTTTCACACTCAACACACTGTTCTTTATCTATAATTTAGAAATATTGAATGTCCGCTGGGGCAATTGGCTTCTATATCATTTGTGGTACAGATCAATAGTCGGTACGAAATCCGCCTTCGCTTTAGCTCACACATACTCCAGTAACCAAGCCAAAATCAAATTTTGCGAGGTACACGACTTCCCAGAAGGGGCTTCTGTTATCTTTTGGAGAATTGGGTTTAACATCAACAAGGCTATTTCTGGTTAAATTTCGAGTAGTGTAAGAATTGAAATCGAGTAAGAATTACTAGATTGCCCAAACATGTATATTTAAAATAGCAACATATTACTGTTCTCTATAAAGTATTATCTCACTTTGTTTAAAATATCTTCTAGCATCTTCATCAATCAACACAAGAGAAAGATATGTCCTCGTGGAAAACTTTTTATTAACATCTCTATAGGTTGGTATTAAGTCAAATCCATTCAAAAATAGTCTTATTGGAATCGTTTCCCCTTTTACTGGTGCTCCATCCATTATTTCAAATCTAACAACTGTTTCACTGTCAGTGATTTGATTGGGAGGCGCCCCGACTGTTTCCCTTCGGATAAGAGATAATTCCATATGCTTGATCTTTAATCTCACTAATAGAAAATAAATCCGTCCCACAATCACATCAGTTAGTGAAAATCGAGATTTCGAGTATTCGAATTCAATATGCAAACAATCTTCGATCCCAACATCCATTTTCACACTATGTGCCTCCTTATTCGAAGCAACAGCAGTTGAAGACGAAGATGATGATGACCCTGCTGCTGGAATAGTTGTAACTGCTGGTGTTTGTGGAGCACTATAATGGAAAACCCATAATTCCTTCTCTCTGGTAATCTCGGCAGAAGACTTTCTCAAAACAGTAACCTTAAGGTAATATCTCAATTTTGCATTTTTGCCCCTATAACTCTCATATTGCTTCTCAACATTCTTGAATTCAAAAGGATATGATTCTGGGTGAGTCAATTGAGCGGGTGCTGCCAACTCAGTTGCCAATGATAAAAACTCAGAAGACACCAATCCATCTACATTGGTATCAATTGAACCCAATAATTGAACTTTAACTCCTAAATGTTCAACCTTTCTTCCATCTCTAGTTCGAAGGGTCACTGTACCTTTAACTGATTCTCCATCTTTATAAATTGGCAACTTTTCCATCCTCCCTTGTGGTGTTTTCACATCTACATGCTTTCTTGATTCTTCATTATCTAATCTGATCTCAATATCTAACGGAGCTTTGAAAAAGATGGACATATTTGAATTGCCAAATGCTTGTATTTCCTGTAGAAATATTCGATTTTTTGCCTCGCTGTTTTTCTGGGTATTTAACTTTATAACAAATGTTGTTAGTGGTCAGGGGGGCACGGCAAATTAATCAACTCACAAGTAATGAATTAATATCAATTGTAGCTATTTGAATCAATTGCAATTATTTGACTAGATTAATTCAATTTTTACCAGTATGTATATATGAAGTAGAATATTTGGGAACCGAAAATACTCTATGATAAGAAAAGTTCTCCCAAAGGGTGGAGGAACCAGCGGTCAGGGGAGCCAAAAAAAAAAAAATCCAAAAAAACTGAAGTACACATCAAAAATACCACGCCTAGAAAGGATCAGGGAATTGCATATCCACTTGAACAAAGCTCGTCCTAATACCAACCGAAAGAGAATTACCACTTATAATTAATTTCTTTTTCTTTTTCCGAAATTCACAAAGAATAAGAAAAAAAAGGTAAACCAGACCTAAAGTCAGTGTGTTAAAATTACTACCTGGTGTATCAGTAATTAAAGCAGAGAGCATAATGTCAAACCAATTCAGTGATGAAATTGCTCCGGATATGGTGGGTCCGCATGATCCCAAGTCATCAAATAATGAACCATTAAAACATTTAGATACTGTCATTGCTTTGTACGATTTTTCTGCCACCCAACCTTCACATTTACCCTTAAATTTAGGTGATACTGTATATGTTCTATCCAAATCTAATACTGGTTGGTGGGATGGTGTTGTTATATCCCCAAATGGAGAGCTTCAAAGGGGCTGGTTCCCAAGCAATTACGGAAGATCGGTCAACTATGTTCAGCCGGTTTTGAACAAGTTGAAAAGCAACAAAGAATTGGATTCAATAACAGCAGCCAACACAGCAGCAAATGTATTGATACCCTCATTCACAAATTTGCTTCAAAAGAATTTAGGTGATTCTGAAAAGAATAGCCCGTCCAATACATCAAGAAAGAACTCAGTAGTAAGTTTTGCAAGTTCAGAAACAAGTATTCCATCGGACTCAAAGTTTCAACAACAGCAACAACAACAGCAACATCATCAACAACATGATCCACATCATCCGCAACACAGGACACTCTCGATAGCCGAGATATCAACTCCAGAGAACACACCTACATCACAATCTTTACAAGATGGATTAAATGAGAATGATGAAATAAACCCTAAAGATGTCGAGGAAGCAGAAAGGCTAGCCGAAGGGTATCGAGAGAAATACGGTAAAAGCGTTACTTGGATTCCTAAAGTAACCTCCAAAGGAGATTTTATCTTTTATTGTCAACAATTGGATATTTACTGCGAATCGCCTCCTATGTTAGTATTCAATCCCGATGACATTACTCCTAATTTTGAATATCCTTCTCCTGAAAATTTATCGGATACTTCAATTGTTCATGTTCAAGGCTCTCAGTCTGCTGCAAATGTATTGGGAGCTCGTGCAAACTCTTCAACAAGTTTTGATGCATTGAAACGTGATTCACATTCTTCCATGGCAACTCAAAGCTCCAGTTCATCTTACCACCATTTCAACAGACCATTCTTTGCAATGGATAACTTATTTTATGACCATTCTACTGATATAACCCATTGGAGTGATTTGCGCAAGGAAGCTAACAATGTTTTGGACTTCATAGCAAGATCTTTAAGAGATCAAAACAGACAATTATTCGGTACTCATTTTTCGAGGTTGAATGTATTTATTTCAACAATTTTATCCTGCTCAAGGTTGAATCAAGAGGATTTCGTTGGTACTAAGTATAGAGATTCTATAAGAAGAAAGTTAAAAAGAATAGGAACTGCATTCTCTCAAATATATGTTAACGCAGTTTTACATCTAAGGGTCTTACACAATTCCGAAGAGACTTCACAGGGCCAGCTATTTAGCTATGACATATCAACACTAAATAAATTAACTAATGTTTCACCACCAGCTGCTTCATCGGTCCAAGGAGTTTCTGAATCTGAAAATAAAGATGCTGCCCCAACTAAAACTGAACAAGGATATGAGAGTTATATGCATCAATTGAATTTTGAAATTGAAAACTTAAGATCAAATATTAATTCCTTGGTTAAGATATTTATTAAATTAAGTCGCGGTAAAAAGACCAAACGTTCAGACTATGACTCTTCTGATGCTTCAGATGAAGAAGGTGATGATCGTTTTGATGTTTTACCCCAAACTAAACCCAGATTCTTAATGGATGAGTTCAATGGTGGTAATTGGTGCAACCCATTTTTTTCAACTAACAATCCTGCATTAAACGTTAGTGGAGATGATTTAAAAAATCGGTATCATACTAAAATCATTATTGACCACCAAGCCTACGATTCTGTTTTCCAATACATGGAGGAGATGACCAAGCTAAGTGAAGAGACCTTAGAGTATCTTGATCCCAAAGTTCAAGAGATGTATTACTATAATGCTACATTGAAGAATGAGCGAAACACTCAAATCTTACGATTAGTTTACAAGTATCTTTATCATGCAAGCTCAATGATAGATTTGATCGAGTCATTTGATTTTACTGTCTTCTGTCTTATTAAGAGATACTCATCAAACGAAGGAGATTGCTTAGACCCAATGAAAGAATCATCATCTTCACTCACTACAAATACAGAGAATAATTCAGCCGAAGAAAAGGCATCAAATTCTAAGTTGACATTTGATTACCCAGTTGTCTTAGATTTCTTCTATTTGAAACAAGAATTTCATGACTTGATATTGAGGATAATAATGTCTACACAGTCATTGACATTAGAAGATCCGGAAGTGTTTAAAGGTCTTAGGGACGAAGATGCATTATTTTACAACCGAGATACCCTAAAAATTCCTACGGAAAAGGCTTCTTTATTGTTATCTAACATCCTCCTGGAGAAAATCAATAACCTCAAAGGTAATGCCATTTCCATCAATCCAGATACATTATTATCCGATTACTTATACGATGGTCTTAAATCTTGCGATGTAATGTTAACTATTATTCAACAGTTGATTGAAGAACGAGAAACTATTTTGAACTATGCCACAAGAGTGATGCATGATGATTTTGATGTACAATTGTTAGTGATGGAACGTAATAATACTATTTCTTCCGAAAAATCAGATGACCATTCATACTACAGTGGAGGTCATAAGAAAACTAACGATGTTCCGTGGTATCTTGAAGGTGATGATGAGTATGATCTATTATTGGACGTCAAAGGAAATATAAAGGGTGGAACAAAAGAGGCTCTAGTGGCACATCTAACCCATCATGACATGTTTGATAGTAACTTCAATGCTGTGTTTTTGTTAACATTTGCATCAATGATGAGTTTAGGGGAATTTATTTCACTTTTGATAGCACGTTTTAATATTGAAGCACCTGAGGGGTTGAGTTATGAAGAGTACAACACTTGGATTTCGAAAAAGCAGAATCCAATTCGATTAAGAGTAATGAACATTATGAAATTGCTAGTAGGGAAACATTGGTCTAAGTCCTACTTTAATGTTTCAATCTTGAGGAAATGGTTCAATTTTGCACAATGTGCACCGGTTCAATCGTATTCAGTAGGGAGAATGCTAACTCATGATTTACAGAAATTGTTGCAAGGAGAGCAAATATATGTCGAAAGAGAACCAGTTATTCCAGACACAAAGCCCCCAGCGCCATTAACGAGAGGACCGATATTAGGAAGAAAAATGAAATTGTTGGACATAGATTATGTTGAATTGGCTCGACAATTGACGCTTCGAGAATTCAGGCTATATTGCAAAATTACAAAGTTTGCATGTTTGGCCAAGGTATGGGGTAAGAAGTCCGGATTAAATGAAAGCATTGATGATATCACAGCATTCATTAAGGCTTCAAATCAATTAACAAATTTTGTTGCTTATATGATATTGCGAAAACAAGACGCCAAGAAGAGAGTACAAATAATTCGTTATTTCATTCAGGTTGCAGAGAAGTGCCGTCAATATAATAATTTTTCATCAATGACAGCTATTATTTCGGCGTTATACTCATCTCCTATTCACCGTTTAAAGAAGACTTGGAAGTTTGTTACTTCAGATTCTTTATCGCATCTTCAGAACATGAACAAATTGATGAACTCATCCCGTAACTTCAACGAATATCGTGACGTTTTAAAGTTTATTGGATCAGAACCCTGTGTACCATTCTTTGGTGTCTATTTATCCGATTTAACATTTGTTTACCACGGGAATCCCGACTTTTTAATTAATAGAACACGAATGATTAACTTCGCAAAGAGGGCTAAAACTTGTGAAATCGTTACTGGAATTGATCGTTTCAAAACCATTGGCTATAATTTTCAAGAAGTAAGCGAAATTCAAAAATACCTTGACTCGTGGTTTGATAAATGCCCTCCTATCGAAGAACAATATCAAATTTCCTTAAATTTGGAACCTCGAGAACAGGCTCCAAACACAACCAACACAAAAAGACACAATTAGGAATTGTATATAACCTTAATAAAACTTGTAATTGTATCCTAAATAATATTCTCGACCTAGTTTACTTCCAAACAAAACAATTAACGTTGACTGCGTAGCTGCCAAAACCAACTAGTACTTTCTTAGCTAACTATCACAATTTGTGATACGCAACATGAAACTATAGCGCTAATTAAAAACTAAATAATAACTACCACATTACATCTTATAGATCACACTACTATTATAACATGATTAATATCTCCAAAATAATCTTCAACAATCAATATAATTCAGCTAGAATCAAAATTAATCTGAACAACTATTAACTCTAGCTCATATACTTCGTACAAATTCCTAAGTATTCTAATATAGATAAGTAATCACATAATCCATTGCCCAATCTACTAAACCAAATCACATCATATCCTTCTAAAGTAATCAACACTAAATATATGCCAGCTCTCAGGCAAACCTAAGGTTCAAAACAAAAGCAAACATAATATATATAATCAATCAAACATTACAGACTATTATCTTTCACCACACATTTAATATCAAGCACCAAAAACAAAAAAATTACCAATTTTCTTACCTAATCGAAAATGACTATGATACGATAGTACATCATCATATACTAAAATATAATACCTACTAGAATAGGCTGCAAAACAAAACAAAATTAAAAAATACACTTTAAGCAATGATAAACACAATGCTACAATCATTATTCTGCACAATCTCTGTTAAACAGAAAACCATTCGCACACTACAACAACCTGATTCCCTACAACGTAAATAATAAAAATGAACACACCTAGAACAATTTTTAGGCTACATATATTGAATAGGAAAATTGAACCTTCCGTCTATATAGTTAACTTCAAAACCAACCTCCTTGTATCAACATGCTACCCTTTCAGAACATTGAATCATATAACACCACCGTCTGAGGAAAGCACTTGAACAAAAATACTTCATACATCTGCTTGGTTACACAACCGCTAATTCAAATTGATTCATACACTATTAACTTGGAATCATATTCTTCCTTACTAAAATGAGATATAAACACATTACTTCTCTCCAGTACCTTAAAACATTCATATAACTTTCCGAATGCTACTTCCTACTTGCCAAACGTGCTCCAAAATGCTTGCCATGAAGCGCTACTTAGGAACGGAATACTTGTCAGAGCGTGACTTCAACATACCTTTATCATGGTTAGAATATTAAACCAAATATTAATATAGAATCTATTTAATAACCTCATACCTGTTATTATCACTAGTACGATTAAATTATATCAACAGGATATCTACTACGATATCTCAATACTTCAAAACCGTATACAAACAAATAGTCACTTCTGCAAATTATGCTTTACTTCAGACTTATATAGCTAACCTGAATATACAACTGTGTATATTGCAGACCTTGCACTGTGGTTGTTCACAACTATTTAGGCCGAATACCAACTTATTTGCCCTTCAAAAGTTATATTTCTATCTACTATATGACAGCTCCAACTGATACCCCAATTCTCTAACATACAAATCAGCTCATGGTTTCTTAATTACGAAGTCACATATGAAACGATGCATCGGTCATAATAAAAGTGCTTCGTCGATACATGGAATAAAGTCTAATACTTGTTGAAAACATACTATATTTAATATCCTAGATAGCTCTCACTTATATAACGTAAACGTATAAAGTTAAACAAAAGTTTAACATGAAATAGTAATACAACCCCACTTGGACTCTGGCTACTAATATCGTAACTATTATTGCAGATCATGCTATTTATGTAAATGTTCCAGCAAACCATATTATAAAATAGCCTATGCAATTCACTTATTAATTATCAAAACAGCAGCTTTGGTCTCCAACAAACTATTTTATCCTGTTGAAGTAAGTACTTGATCAATACTTTTCATGAAAGGACGTCTATACTACTCTTTTCAAACCTCCAATAATTTAAAACCAAATAGTTTTAACAGCGCGATAAGGTATTCATACTGACATTATATTACCCATGCTTTTTATGGAATTATAACAATTTAATATGATATCTGCGCTATATAACACCTGTTCCTGATATTATTTTCTTAAATAAGGCAATAGAGTTAGTTAGTATGAATTCTTCTAGATCAGTTTAAAATATAGTATCTTTTCCACTACTAGTATTCCGCGGTTAGCAGCATCATTCAATACTTTAACACAAGCGTCACCAATACAATATTCGAGTATTCTCACTTTAAGGAAATATCCTGTCACTACCTAATGTAGGATCTCACATGTCTTTCTTCTACTAAGATCTAAAGCTTTCAGTGCAATAGTTCAAGTAGGTTTTCTAACTTCGTTGGTGAATGGCATACAAAAGTTACTTGTTTAGCTACAAATAGTTTGGATATTATTACTAATTGTAGGTGTGATTAGAACCGCTGTTATCGTTACAAGTTGGGAGACATGTTACATATTAGCATCGATGTATTTAATTTGTCTTCGCTTTCATTGTGGGTTTGTTTTGTCAGATTCGAGGTAATAATCTAGGTCCTTGTTTTGGATTATACTCATTACTTGAAGTTCACTACTTTGTTTCTCTACTTTCTAATTAGAGAGGAGTTCTCAGTAGAGATGCCTGGATTAAAGTAGTTTGTGTTCAGCTTTCGAGTAATAATCTCAGGCACATTCCGGAATTTAATGGATATAGAATCAGTTCATGGTTCAGTGTTTACAAAATCTAGGTTGTTAGTACACAAGTATATTGTCCATTCAAGGCTTTGAGTTTCAAATTATTGCTTAACATTCCAACATGGTGTTATTTACAATTGTTTGCTCACATCTGCTTGTGTTTTTTTGAATGGTATCAGGTTCACCAATGTTAGTTTTTGTGTATTCTGCGTTCAACTGATTTTATTGAGAGGCTGCTACATTTTTTACTTGATTAGCTCTTTTTCTTAAGTTTGCAGTATTATTCCGAAGTTACTAATTTGAATTTCCTACAAATTTGTTATTAACATTTGGTAGCGTATTACATTCAAATTGGAGACTGTGCTTAGTTAGGTTCATTGCCACCGCCATGATATAAGAAGGGGTTGTTTTCAATTTCAATTTACAAGACATTAGGACAGGAGAGAGTTCAGTATAGATGTTGGGGTGTATATAAACTTGTTACTAAGTGAACTGAAAGATTAGATTCTTAAGGTTTGAATCCCATAGATTGATCTCGTTTTACGAATCATTTGGCAAGGTTTTTGGTAGTTCTATGCTTGTTGTGGAGAGAACTTGGGTATTTAGAGCTGGTTGAGATAGTTCTAGAACCAGCTTTCAAGAAAGAGGTTATCTATTATTCGAATAAGGAAAGTGGTGCTAACACTAATGTTTAGTTCATATTCATTTTGCTTGATTTTTCTCTGGTTGCTGTTCTCAGTATCACCAGGTAATAATACTTTTATCAGACTTTATGAAAGAGCTAAGAGCTTTGAATGGATTCCTGATTGTATTATTTTATTGTGTTTGCTATCATTCAAGACTTTGGTATTTATTAAAATCGCTGTTCAATGTTTGCATTTTCGAAGAGGTAATAAAAGAAATCAGGCACTTGTTATAAGTTGTACTAGTGAGGGAATTTAGTTGAATTATTCTGATCTAACTGGTATTGTTTTGTAACTGGGTGAAGATGGAACAATTGAGTGGACTAAACTTGGAAAGTTCGCATCGATATTCTTTATAGCTTCTATTTCTCATTTGAGCGGCCGAAATGGTGTTTGAAGTAGCAAAAATCGATATAACATGGGTGGTGATTAAGATGAATGGGAAATTGTTCTCTACTTCGAAGCATGAGTCTCTGGATCAAACAATATGTACTAATTTTTCTTCATGATATCTCATTTACATGTAATTCCCGACTAGTTGCAACTATTGCTGCTAGCCACATTAAAAAACAATGGCATTATAAACCACTACACTGTGGTGTTTGAATCACAAGTTTGACACAATGATGCTTAGCAAGGCTATTATTTGCAGGTTGATATTTAATAGAAGAGTACCTTGGTTAAACCTAAGCTTCTTTGATTCTTACGTCATTTCACACTAGTTGAGCAGTAGGATCATTGTCTTTGTGAACTACTTAGACAGCTAAGTTTGAAGGATTTTATAAATTGTGATGGGTTAAACAGTTGCTGTTATGTATCGTGAAGTAACATTGCGAAGCTAAGTGACGTATAAAATTTTTGCAGCCATTCCTCTGTAACTCCGGCAACTCTTCACAGGAGTAAACATTGTTATTTCATTTTACCCTCCAATCAATCAAGTTCGCTAATTGTATGTTGGGAAGTTTGATTGCTTGATATTTACTTTGGAATATTGCTATAGGCTTGATTAAATGTTTAATACCTTGCTCTAGTTTCGGATTGAAATATTTTAGTTAGCTGGTTGCTTCAGTCCTTGGAAAAGTGGATTTCGTTTTATGTATTTTGTTTGAGTAAATCAAGAAACAAAATAAAGAAAAGGGTAATCCTATTGTAAGTACTCTCTTTTGGACCTGCCATTTTTTTATTGTTGGGTAGAGACTCTCACTTTATGTAAGACTAAAATTATTCCATGTTTTAAAGAACTTTACCTGTTGTAATGTATATTTTTAGGATCAATATCCAGTTATTATTGAAGCGCTTAGAGATATCTTGAGTAGAATAACAAAGTTCAAATTTATTATAATCAGTTCACTAAAAAAATCAGGTAAATAATTTCCCTGCCCATGCCAACCAACCAACCATATATAAAAATAAAGCTACAAACTTATATCATAGAAAAAAATGATTATTAAAAAAAAATGGGAAATCATTGTTCTCATTGGCCATTTGAGCTAACAGATGATAAAATTTCGAAGTCTGATGCATCTTCTTCGTCATCTGCCACACTGATAACGTCGTAATCTTCGTCGGAATCATTGCCTTCGGGTGTTTCGATACTTTGAATTGCATCCAAATATTCAGATCCTGCGTCTATATGCAAACTTTCTCTGGGGATCTCAGGCAATACCACCGAATGAAATGAGCCAGAAGACTCTTGTTCATCGGGACTACTCATTTCCATCTTCTCGTCAATAGATTCAGTGTTTGAAGTATGGCCCTCGGTATCCTGAGGAGAAGTAGGGGTGGATGTTTCAAAAGTAAATCTACCTGACAAACAATCAGAATCCATATCACAAAAGGCAGTGGTATGATCATTTCTCATAAGCAACTTAAATGGGTACTTTGTATGAGCGTTACTAAGGCTAATGTTAAACTTCCCAACTTTTCCAGGTGAAATACCATGATTCTTACGAATAATAATTGCGACAACAGATTTGTTGAAACAATTAACAATCTCAAACTTCAAATTTGAGCAGTCTATTGTTTTCCCTGATTTATTGGTAATAATAATTTGAGACAAAGTTCCAGACTTTGGAACTAAAGAGACAAGAACTTCGTCACCTTCACCGAGTACCAGAGACTCGTCTTCATCCTTTCCTACAACAACCACGGAACCTTCCTTCACTTTATCTAAATCTTCAGAGCTATCAGCGAGAGCCCTCTCATCATGGATGATTTCAGGAGTGTTACTCTCTGACTTTCGTTCTTCTTCGACCACATGATTAGGCAACTTTATAGCGGCAATAGTCAAGACTGAATCCGTATAATTCTGGTAATCCCCTTCTAAAACTGCATTGGATGTGGTAATTCTCAAACGAGTACCTTCAATCTTGTCTAAATCGTCGTTTAATTTGCCTAAATTGTAAAATCTTTGTTGACCTGGTTTGACGTCACTAGCATTCTTCACCATAACTGTGTCGTGTTTATCTGAGTTAAAGAATTCAAATCTTAAGGTTCCACCCTTGATCACGTCATTGGAATTATTTGTTAACATTAATGAAATGATACGTGAATTTTGAGAAGATTTCTTGGGACGAATCACAATTTGTCCTTCGCCTGTTGTAAAGATGGGAGTTACTTCACGATCAGAACTTGTAGTTGGTGTGAGACTAGCTTCAACTGGGTCTGAAGTTTCCACAATTTCGGTTTTGGCAGCTTCGATTATGCTCTTTAAAATTGCAAACTTTAATTCGTCATCTTCTGGGTCAATCTCATATGCTTTAGCATCAACAAGCTCAACTAATTGATTGTATCTTTCAGAATCTTTTACGTAATGTTCCAAATCAGCAGCAAAGTCTCCATAACAAGCTTCATTCCCAAATACCTTTTCCAAAGTTTCCTTTGTTTCCTTAGAACCATCCAAAGGAATATCTAAAATTATGTCATTCCCTCTTACGTCACAAGTTGGTCCGGTTCTAAGAGGTTCTGGACAATGAAATGGTTGATAATGAGGAGCTTGTTTGAAAAATGATGGATTGGGATCAGTAATCTTGGCCATGGCATGGGAATGTAAATGAGTTCCGTAGTCTTTCTTTTCCTTTTGCTGTTTGGCCTCGCAGGAAGCACATAAATCAAAATTTGGACAAACTAAACAACAATATCTAATCCCTCGAATAGGAACAAAGTCATTTGGATGGCATATATCACAACAAATGTTACTATGCACTGGAACGTCTTCTTCTTCTTCTTTTGGTACATCTGAAACATCAGCCTCCATAGAATCGGAGGTGACATTTGTATTGACTTCAGCAGCTGAAGTGGGCTCAGTGGTAGTTGGCTTATGTTCACTTAGTTCTCTCAACACTTGGTTATTTGCCAGTGCCAAATCATTAAAAAGTTCCTTGAAATGTTCAAAAGCGGCCTCGATTAATGCATCACCTAAACTTGCAAAATCAAGAGCACTAGTAGATCTAACCTTAGATTTGCTATTCGAAGAGTAGGTTCCAGAAGGTGAAGAATCTGTCACCAACAATCTGACATGATTCTTCACCTTTAAACTTCTAGCAAGAGATCTGAAATCATCACTGGAATCCAAGGGAATGAAATCCTTGTGCTTTTTCGATTTTCTGGTGTAAGACACAAATTGGTCATTGCTTGTTAATTCACCATTTAAAGCCTTAGATAATAGTTCAGTTAATGCTGCCTTTGTCTTAACAGAAGCAAATTGTTCTCTTCCAACATGAATGGTTCGTTCAAGTGGCGCAGCCTCTGAAGATGTTGATTCTCCTGGAACTCTATTTATAGAGATCTTGAGGGTAATTTGATGATGGTGGTTGCTCATTTCCTGGATTGTTATTCCTTTATAATATGATGGTGGCAAAAATTATAATGCAGAGGGAGTGGATAGGATATTAAAGTTTTATACCTGAGCAAAATAACAAAAACTAAAATATGGATTGACTAGTTTAGGGGGGGTGGGGATGTAAAGGTTGAAAATGAACTTGTATTCAAATCAAGAAGAAGCAGAATTAGCAAAACCAAAAGTAAATCAAGGTGGCAAACAAGAAAAATATGAAAATCACTTAATTTTTTCTGTAAGGATAGGTGATTTCATCCCTTAAATAATTTAATGTGATCATTTTTGAAAGTTGGGGAAACGATAAGAATAGGACTGCATATGATGCTTTTTTTTTGCTGTCGGGTTAATTATTGTTTCTTCCTGATATGCCGGTTGTGACGTGCTTGTGCGTAACCAGAATTTTTTCACACGCTAAGAAATTGTGTTGCAAGCAAGAGGAGTTGAGAATAAACAGATGGAAAAATATCCCAAAGCGGTTGTTTTCGATTTAGACTACACTCTATGGCCATGTTGGTGTGATACACATATCAGGGTTCCTATCAAATCTGTTTCCCCTACAGAAATAGTAGATCGTTCGGGTATGAAACTTTCCTTCTATCCTGATGTTGAATCGATTCTATTGGAACTATTTGATAATGGAATCAAAATTATAGGAGCAAGTAGAACAGCTGCTCCGGAAATTGCCAGAAAAATTTTGACACTCTTGCACATTAGAGATAAGCCAGCTATTACATATTTCCACAGTTTGCAATGGGGCCAAGGTTCCAAGATCAAACATATTCAATCTGCGGCCAAGCAACTAAACCTTTTGCAAGAATTGCAACAAGGTTATTTTGTTCTATATGATGATGAGCTACGAAACCGTGATGTTGTTTCTATTAACTGTCATTTTGCACATATTCCTGATGAGACGGTGGGTATCACTAAACAGATATTTTTAAATGAATTAAAGCTTTGGTCAAAGTTTTTGGAGCAAGTTGAAAAGCAGCAGAGTGCTGCACGTAAACAAAGACAAATACAACTAGTATGATAGATAGACTATATTATTCTAGCTAATATATAAATAGAAGTGTAATTGTACAAAATAGTAGGTGGATAAAAGCTTAGTATCAGGAACTACCAAAATACCTTTGGATAGAAATCAATAGACTAAGGATGATTTGCGTTATATTGACGTTGAAAATTACGTTGTAACTATGTAGGATTTTCCTGAATTGATTTAACAAGGGACACAAGGTTATCATGAGAAGCATTAGGGGGAGGGTTGACCTCTTTCTTAAGGACTGTTAGTAAATACTGTAGTTAATTAAAGTGTAATGAAAATTACTTATACATACCTGGCTCAACCAGCTCTTTAAATTATCATTGGACCACTCGGCTATATCCACATAACTTTGATCGTGAAGTTTGGAAGCCAGTAAATCTACTTGTGATTCGTGAAGTTCGATTGGTTCATTAGATTGTTCTTCTTCAATTTCTTCTTCCTGTACTTCTCTTTCTTGTTGCCTTTCACCGGTTATGTAGTTCCATATGCTTGTTTTCAAATGAGGAAAGGTATTCAATACTAAATAGCCTGTACCTAAGATGACAGCGCCGGCTGCCAAACTAAACTTCAAGTTCTTGGCTTTATTGACTGGTTTCTTTAACTGAAGGGACATTTCTCTAATATTATTAGGAGATGAGAATGTTGAATGTGGAAAAAGCTGATATAGATAAGATCAGGGGCTAATCGATTTGTTGAGTTGAGGATATTCGCCCATCAGAGAAAAAAAAATTGGAGTGTGACAAAATGAAATGTAACCGCGGTACGTAGATAACGAAAAAAACTGTGGAGATTGACTAATATAATGATATTTTCATTAACAAATATGGGACATTTATAGATATAAATATATATAATACACAAAGAACTAAAAATTGAGAATAAAATTAGCAGTTAACCACTACGCTTACAATTCTTGAGAAGCTTTGGTGGCCTTACCGGACTTCTTTGGTAATAAGTTTTGGTGGATGTTTGGTAAGACACCACCTTGGGCAATTGTAACGTGACCCAATAACTTGTTCAATTCTTCATCATTTCTGATGGCTAATTGTAAGTGTCTTGGGATAATTCTGGACTTCTTGTTGTCTCTAGCAGCGTTACCGGCTAATTCTAAAATTTCGGCAGATAAATATTCTAAGACAGAAGTTAAGTAAACTGGAGCACCAGAACCAATTCTTTGAGCGTAGTTACCCTTTCTCAATAATCTGTGAACTCTACCAACTGGGAAAGTTAAACCAGCCTTGGCTGATCTTGAAGTTGAGGCCTTTTCTGAAGAACCAGCTTTTCCTTTACCACCAGACATTTTATATGTGTTTGTTTTATATAGATACTAATAAAATTAATAAATCTTTAGAAAGAAAGAAAAATTTAATACAACGGCCAAAAAAAAAATTGAATAAACACGGATATACTTAACTATATATATGCCATATACTTATGTTTGTGTGCATTTTATTCTCCCCCTGGGATTCCTCATCTGGTGGCGTGTAGTGAATTGAAAGCCAAATATTTTGGTCGCGAAAAATGGTGCTCATTTTTACACACTCGAATGTGTAATTTTCAAACCGCTTTTGACTGCGTACTTTTCGGTCTGCTACAGTATTTTTCCTCCCGTTATGCGCAGCTGCGAAAACATAAACAATCCCTGGAGTCAAATTCAAAATACGTGTAATCACCTAACTATCTGTGTTTGTTCGGCATATTTATAAGCATTGGAATCCCAATATTTAGAATATTTCTATATACTTTTTTTGTTCTTTTGATCATTAGTTAATCGTTTTACATTTATACTATATTAATTCATAATGGCACCAAAAGCTGAAAAGAAACCTGCTTCCAAGGCTCCTGCTGAAAAGAAGCCTGCTGCTAAGAAGACCGCTTCCTCCGATTCTGGTAAGAAGAGAACCAAGGCTAGAAAGGAAACCTACTCCTCTTACATCTATAAGGTCTTAAAGCAAACTCATCCAGACACTGGTATTTCTCAAAAGGCTATGTCTATTATGAACTCCTTTGTCAACGATATCTTTGAAAGAATTGCTTCTGAAGCTTCTAAGTTAGCTGCTTACAACAAGAAATCTACCATTTCTGCTAGAGAAATACAAACTGCTGTTAGATTAATCTTGCCTGGTGAATTAGCTAAGCACGCTGTTTCCGAAGGTACTAGAGCTGTTACCAAGTACTCTTCTGCTTCTAACTAAGCGAAGATTAATGTTACGTGTTCTTGAATGTTTCTTCTAATTGAGCAATGCTCGTTTTGGAAGTAACTGTGTATTTTTAGGTATTCTTTAATTCGTATTTTAGTATTTTTATAATGTATATATATGTCAAAAAAACATATTTTATTTGGATTAAAATTATATTGTAGACTTAAGCATGTGGTTTATGGACTGTTACGTGGACAATATTTTGGAAAATGCTATTTTCATTCATGTAGCTTTCAGTTTGTTTCGGAATTGCAAAAAAAAAAATTTTGTAGGCAAATCAAAATTTTGAATTATTTTTTTAGGCTTATTCGAGTAGATCATTCTTTTCTTTTTACAGTGGAGTTAGTGAAAATTTTTCATGTTATGACTCCTCCATTTTACGAACAAAGTATGTCAAAGGGGAGAACCCGTGGGTATCTACAAATTTTAAACCAATGGTTGAGAATTGTATAACAATTACCTGTTGTAGATAAGGATAATCCGTGACAAGAGTGATTCTAGAACAGCAGAAAATTTCATTACATTTTTGATAAGAATTTTGTCAAATAGTTGAAAAAATATTGTCTAACACACCAAAAAAAATTTAGTTGAATGAAAGGACATGTAATTGCTTGATTGCTAAACATCAGCATGTGATAATTGCCATGTGGTTTTTCGTGATTGATGATGCCACTAACTTGAAATTGTTAGCTAATAGTACTTACGTTTACCGAGTTTCACGCATCCGCAACCGGAACAAGGTAGAAAAGAAAAAAAAAAATGACGCCGTTGCATAGTAGCGCATGCTTTTTTTGACGAAAATATTTCAAACAATGGTCACGCTTCAGATGTCAATTTCCCCAGATTTGTTCCCCCTCCATCGGAACAACTGGCCTATAATAGAGCCATTTGTTTTCGACGAATATTTTCGTGTCTTGTATAAATACCCGAGGAAATAACCATCGACATGACTGTAGAGTCAATATTTTCTTTTTCTTGTAATCAAGTCCAATCATTTTTATAAATATTTGATTTTTAAGGTTTATTATAGATCAAAGATTAACAATCTTAGAGAATTTCGGGTTAACTTATAGAGAATATTAAAGAAAAAGTTTCAAGTTTGATTTAGACTTATTGACCAAAGGCAAATTTGAATTTTGTGAATTTTCATTGAGACGTTATTTTTTTCCTAACTCAATAGCAACGTTTAGTTATTTTTGCAACTTGTTTTCCAGATTAGAGAACAATTGCTATCATTAGTTGCTATCATAAAATTAGAACAATCAACTACTTATCACCGTGTTGTGTGAACATCCACACAAGTTTGATAGAGAAGAATAACACGTTTATAAAAGTCCATCTAGATTTCTAATCTCGACCGTGGTTTTGATTATAAGTTCTTGGCTATTATTGTTTTTCTTCAGAATTTTTTTTGCAATTGGTTACCAAAAAATTTAATTGTGACATAACCGTCAGTGTTTGCAACTCAACTTAGCAACCACTACCTTCTTAGTCTGGTACAATATCTAATCAAGGAGTTTACAGGATTCGACAAACCCACCATAGGATTTGTAAGTCATCGTTGTACAGAAACATACAAATAAAACACAAACATAAAGAAAAAAAAAAGAGAATAAAGTCATGAAACTATCCAATTTCCTACTATATTCCATTGCATTTACTCAAACTGTTTCTGGTATTGTGATTCCTCAACATGTTCTTGATGGAGAACCTCCTGCCCCTATAAGGTCATCCATATTTTCACTGTTTTCGGTTCAATCCATCCTATCATTATTTAGCCCATATCAAAGTATATCAGATCTTGACTTTGAAACTTGGCTTGAGAAACAAAAGGCAGAGTCATTTCACCTGATTTTGAATAACATCGGCGGTACAAGTGAAGTGTTTGATGAAATGGAGGTATACAAGGGTGTGGTGATTGCCTCTCCTTCGAAGATCTATCCCAATTACTTTTATCAATGGACAAGAGATGCAGCTATAACAATAAAGACTTTATTATATGAATTGGAGGATCAGCTCAACACTTCTAGTTCTGAAGTTTCCAAAGATACCGGTAAGCTCGTTAATGTTATTGAAAGTTATATTGAAAATAGTTATAATTTGCAAAGGTTACCAAATCTTTCAGGTTCTTTTGAAGATGATGACAAGAGCGGATTGGGGGAACCTAAATTCCATGTTAATAATACCCCATTCAATGAAGTCTGGGGAAGACCTCAAAGGGATGGTCCAGGTTTAAGGGCAGCCACTATTATGTATTATCTTGAGATATTGAACAAGTTTGATAAGCAGGTTCAATCTGAATTTTTGAAATCAACTGGGTTCATTTACAAGAAGATTATAAAGCCTGACTTGATCTACATTATGAAGAACTGGGATTTAGAAGGGTTTGATCTTTGGGAAGAAATTAATGCTGTCCACTTTTTCACCTCAATTACTCAATTGAGGGCAATCAAGGATGGTATCTTCTGGGCTGAACATTTCCATGATGAATCATTCAAAGAAAGCTTAGTTTCTACGTTTGGTGAATTACAGGAGGCAATTGAGAATGAATTAGGGTTTAAATCGGATATGTTACCTCATATAATCGAATGCCCTTCGATCTGGAAGATTGGGAAAAGAAAAGGTTTGGATGCTGCTTCATTACTTGGATCCATACACTCCCATGAAACTTCTGAACTTAGAAGAGATGATCCGTTACCAATCCCATTTGATATTGACGATAGTTCTATTATCAATACTCTTGCTGCCATGGTTGCCGATATGAAGTTTAGATATCCAATTAATCATAACAAGATTGGTCTTTTTGGCACTGGTGTAGCATTGGGAAGATATCCTGAAGATATATATGATGGTTATTCTACTACAGAAGGTAACCCATGGTTTATTAGTACCGCTACTGCCGGAGAAATCATTTATAGGATGATTTTTAAGTTGAAATCATATCGACAGGATATAATTATTAATGCTTCTAACCGGGACTTTTTCCATCAATTTATTAACTTTGAAAACAGTGATGATGAAGGCGACGATATGGTTATTCCTTTTAATTCAGCTGCATATAATATGATGATAGCTAACTTGTTCAAGTTCTCAGATTCGTTTTTGCAAGTGGTTAAGGAACATGTTGATTCTCAAGGAAGAATGTCCGAGCAGTTTAATAAATACCATGGATATATGCAAGGTGCACGCGAATTAACTTGGAGTTATAGTGCCGTTTGGAATGCTATTAGATGGAGAGAAAAGACTTTAAAGGTTTTATAAATTTAAACGTTTGTTGTATTGTTGTGTTTGACTTTGATTATGATTGTTTATGTTAGTTTAGTATTGTGAATGTAAATATTTAACATTTCTGCAAAATCTATAAAATGAGCTTGCAGTGTAATTTCTAACTAGTGATACACTTTTATTTATCCATGTTGTTGACTGTTTCAAAAATGGTAATATTGTTAAACTTGGAATCATCAACTGAAGTATAACATTGGGGTGATCTATCCAACAATTCAGAGACTTCTTCAGTTGTTAAAACAGGCTGGTACTTCTCATCAGTAAATGTAAATTCAGGTGCTTTATCTTGAACATTTTCTTTATCACTTGAATGTTTAAAGTTGTACTTTGTCAATTCAATCAATTCTTTGACATTTAATTCCAAATCTTTGTCATCACCACCAATTAATTTCTTGAGTTTATTAAACTTAAATTCTCCCATTTGAATAATCAACTTTTCAAGAAATCTCTTTGAAGTTGACTTACTAATCAAGATTTCTTCAATTGAATCTCGAATAACAAAGCGGAAGATCTTCACTGGTTTAATTTGTCCAATTCTGTGAACTCTATCAATTGCTTGCAAATCCATTTGAGGGTTCCAATCATTATCAAAAAGGATTACTGTGTCGGCACCAGTTAAATTGATTCCTAATCCTCCTGCACGGGTAGATAATAAGAAAACAGATTCTGGAGAACCTGGTTTATTGAATTGTGAGATTTGAGATTCTCGATCAAGTTGGGAAGTTGATCCATCTAATCGACAAACTTCGATCTCCTGGAAATGAAACCAATCTTGCAAAAGATCTAATAATTTTGTAAATTGTGAAAATATTAAAATTTTATGCCCTTGTGAAATCAAGGGTTTCACCAATTGGTTTAAAGCTTGAAATTTAGCTGAGTTCGAAATAAGTGCTTCCATGAATTTTGTATCATTTTTGTTTCCTTCTTCAATTAGGAAAGGTTCATAATAAACATAAGGAGAATTACAAATGTTTCGTAATTGCATCATAAGGTTTTGTAAGGACAAGTGTCGTATGGATTTATAGATCTTTCGGTATAACGATTGTAAGATTGCGTCTTGTTTAGCTTGTTTACTTCTGGGTAAGTTTTCAAGCACTTGTTCATAAGTAATTTCATCACTACTTGTATCAATTGAAACAGAATCTTCTTCTTCAAATTCATCATCAGTATTAACTTCAATATAAGAGGTGACATGTTTACCTTCCTTATGAGTAACTTTTCCACCATATACTGCTTGTAAAAATTGATCAATTCTGTGCAAATCGTTCTTGAATAAATTCCAATGATTATATTTTATAAATTCCTTTAAATTTACCTCAATTAAACTTGCAAATAACTGGGAATTAATTGCATCATAATAAATTTTTCGTTGTAATTCAGTCAAAGGAATTTGAATCAAATACTCCTTTTTAGGTGGTAAATCCTTAATCACATCTTTCTTTAATCTTCTCAAGATGAAAGGTTTTAAAATTGTATGCAAATTCTTAATTAATGCTTCTTGGATATTGAATTTGATTAATTTCTTAGTTTCTTCATCTTCTTCATCCGTAGTTAGACTTGTCAATTCATCAAAATTAAACCATTGTTGGAATAATTCTAAATCATGAAAAATATCAGGTAAGATAAAGTTTAATAATGACCATAATTCATTAAGATTGTTTTGTAATGGTGTACCAGTTAATAATAATCTATTGCTAACGTTTAATTTCTTCAAAAACTTGATCAAAACACATTCATTGTTCTTAAGTCTATGACCTTCGTCTACGATAAGATAATTCCAATTAATTGTCGACAATTTGTTAAAATCCTTGATGGAGATCTCATATGAAGTTATTATTATATTCAATTTAGAACTCTTGCTGGTTAAGTTAATTTTGTTTCTTTCTACTTTATTTCCAGTATATTTAAGCACTTTAATCTTGGGTGCAAATCTAGAAACTTCATTATACCAATTTGACAAGGTGGAAAGCGGAACCACAATTAAGAAAGGACCAGTAATTCCCTGCTCAATTAAAAAACTAAGAAAGGCAATACATTGAACAGTTTTCCCTAACCCCATTTCATCGGCTAATATCCCATTCAATCCATTTTGATATAGAGTGACTAACCACTCCAAACCATCCAATTGGTAGTCTTTTAATGTGCACCCAGTTATAAGCTTTGGTTGGGTAGTTTTGTTCTCTGTCGTGTTTTGCTGAGATTCCTCGATTGCTTTACGCGTAGATTTGGTTGATTCAGATATGTTTGTCGACAACATGGAGACAATATCTTGTTTGGGTTTGGCAGAACCTCTAGTTCTTCTCTTCTTTCTGGGTGGTGTTTCTTCGGGCGTTGGTTGTTGCTTTGGCTGTTCTGGTTGTGGTTGCTGTTGCTGCTGGTTCTGTAAAGATGTTTGCAAGATATTATCTGCTATGATCTTTGAATAAATCTGTGATCTTTCAATAAGATTGTTTAATCTAGCAAACTTTAGATCTTTTGATAATTTATTGAACTCTTGTTGTTCTTCATGGCTGTCAATGAGTACCAGTTGTTGCTCTTGAACCAACTTCTTTAATTCACCTATACTTTCTGAATGATGAAGCTCGTCATCGCTGATTTCAATAGGTGGGCTTGTTGTCATTTTTAATGCAGTGAACCTGACTGATCTATACGAAAACACGTCTTGAAAATATAAAAGCGAAAAAAAAATTAAATTTACCAAATCGTGTCTCGTATCACGTGATCGTGAACTTGAAATTGTTTGAACCCAGAATTCCTCTGATCACCATGTTTTATGACTTCGGATAAGTGAAATTCTCAACTCAGAAAAGATAACTTCTGTTGAGCTGATGAAATTTAATATTGATCAGCTTAAGAAAACTCACCCTAGCCGCCTGTTTCTGCACTGCCTGTAAACTGTATATTCGGCGATGACTTTGTGTGATGCGCTGTATGTCACATCGCGCTTAAATGTGCATTACCCTTTCCGGAAGTGAGTCAAAAGTCAACGGCCCAACAAATTTCTTTTTCTTTTTCTTTTTGCTTATTTTTTTTTTTCTATTTTTCATGCAAAATTTTTCTTTGCAATGTAACTCCGACAAAGGCCAAGGAACAAAATCATTATCTTTGGTATGCCTGTGATCTACAAGCGGGATGTAGATCTGTGTCTTTGAAAATCGTCAAGGGGAGTAAATAGCTGTAGTAAATGTCAGGTTCATCGGAGTTGTAAACCCTTGCATATATTAGGTAAGCTCGGGGTTTAAAGTAAATAATCGCTCCGAACAATAACACGACGGGGGGATAATCGAGTATTTTTTAATGTGATAACATTAACTAGTAATTTAATTGGTGTAAAATCAATAATATTTTACAGATTAAAAGTGATGTCATTACTTCCATTTACTATGTATTTTGCATGTTATCGTTTCGGTCACCACTAACATGCAAAAAAGTGGTGAAGACCAAAAATATTCAAACCCAAATTTTTTAAGATTATAAATTCTATAATATCCCCTTTTTACGCTTTTTAGTTTTGGTTTATTTCAGTATTATACTATTAGGTTGCTCCTACATATCCGAACAATAATATCGGTTATTAAACAGTCAGTTGCGAATTAATATCGCCCGATAAGAAAGCTCCCCGCTCCCCCTTGCTATTTTTCGCAGTATTTCTTTTTTTGGCATTACTACCGATAACACACACGTTGATTCACGCACCACTTTTGTCGTCAGTTGAAACCCAGAAGTGTCTGATATACTAATCCTAAACATCCCCTTGCACTATTTATAAACTACCGTTGATTTCCTTTCGGTTTGCACCAACTTTGTGGTACAGAAAACCCAGACTTATTACTACTCCTGTTGTATCTTTCAGTACACGCTACATATCCAGCACGATTTCAACTATGGGAAAGAGAAATATTTTACAGTATCAAATGGAACACGATCATGAAACTGACTTATCTACCACGCCGTCGGAAGAGCAATTACAAGATGCCAAGAAAAGAGACGTAGCTACTCATGATAATTTCCCATTCACCTTATCAAGAGAATCCACCAAGGCCGAATTCTTGGCTAATAACCGTTATTTCGTTGACTCTATCCGTCATAACCACGGCGATTTGGTTTTTGAATTGAATGGTAAAGGTCAATCTCCACATACTTTATGGATTGGATGTTCTGATTCTCGTGCTGGTGATCAATGTTTAGCTACTTTACCAGGGGAAATCTTTGTTCATAGAAATATTGCCAATATTGTTAATGCCAATGATATCAGTAGTCAAGGTGTTATACAATTTGCCATTGAAGTCTTGAAAGTCAAGAAGATTATTGTCTGTGGTCATACCGACTGTGGTGGTATTTGGGCTTCATTATCAAGAAAGAAGATTGGTGGTGTTTTGGATCTTTGGCTTAACCCAGTGAGACATATACGGGCTGCCAATTTGCAACTTTTAAATCAATATAATGATGAGCCTAAAGAAAAAGCCAGAAAGTTGGCTGAATTGAATGTTATTGCTTCAGTTACTGCTTTAAAGAGACACCCAAGTGCTTCATTAGCATTAAAAAATGGTACTATTGAAGTTTGGGGTATGATGTATGATGTTGCTACTGGGTATATTTCGGAAATTGAAATCCCAGATGATGAATTTGAAGACTTGTTCCATGTTCATGACGACCATAATGAAGATGAATACAATCCACATTAAAATATGATAGATATATAGACCTTTTTTTTTGTATAGATTTTTGTATATAAGTATTAATAATGACTAGATTTGATTGCTCTATATTTTATCATAGAATTCATTATCACCAGTGTTGTGATCCCACTTTAAGTTGAATCTTCCTTCAGGAAGTTTATATTCTTCGACAGCTTTAATCACTTCTTCCACGGTATTGGCAACCTTAATGATTTCACCATTCTTTACGGACACAAACTGAGAATCAATTGAAGCTTGGATGAACTTCAAAAATGAATCAAAAAACCCATTGATGTTAAAAATAACAATTGGCTTGTCATGAATACTCAATTGCTGCCAAGTAACCACTTCCATCAATTCTTCTAAAGTTCCGTATCCACCAGGAAGTGCCACAAATGCATCAGCTTCTTGTCCCATTAATCTTTTTCTAGTATGCATGTCTTTAACCAAAGTAGTATGACCGTATTCTTTAGAATCAGGAATTGGAGTTAATCCATTATGATTGTCAATATTATGTTCCTCTGGCTTGACTTCTGTACGTTCACGAGAAATCAATGCTTCTGGGATGATTCCATGAACATATCCACGTTTGCTGGCACATCCATTAGCAACTGCCCCCATTAATCCAGTGGATCCACCTCCATAAACCAATCCCCATTGTTTATCAGCAAGGGCATTGCCTAATTTCTTGGCTTGATTGACAAATGAGGGATCACTACCAGAGGATGATCCACAGAATACACATAGTTTAGTTGTTGGAGTTGACATTTTGAGTTTATATTTTAGTTGGATTCAGTCGTGTGGATTCTTTCCAAGTTTATATCTTGCACAATCTTGAACTAAAAATGAGATTGATTGGGAATGTGCGTAAACAGGAGACGGAATTTCACGGTATCTCCGCGGAAGACAACCACTTTTTTTTCTTCTTCTGACTGTGCTTTTGTTTTGCCCACACCATTGTTTGTTTGATCTGGTTAGTCACTTACACATTTACACATTTACAGCAGCAAGTTCAAAATGTAATAAAATTGAAAAGCGTGCTTTTTTGATTGATATATTTTGTTTCATTACTTGATTGGTAATAAAGCCAAGAACACACGTGGTTATGAACTTTTAATTTCTTGCAACATTTTGTTAAATTTTAGCTAGTATATGCTATGAATTGTCAAATACCTGTCTACCTTTTATACTTACAACAGTTGATTAGCGTTATTGAATCACTGTACAAGAAAATCAGTATAGAACGATACTGCACTTTCACAAAACCAAACATGTTTTGATACCTTGTTCAATAATCATCATACATCACATTTGGTAGCGAATATATATATTCAACAGAGGACTATGTTGGAGCTATTCACCTTTTAACATCATATAAACTATCTCGAACATTTAAGCCATTTCATCTCAAATATATATTGAAACTTGATCTAGGTATGATTTGGTACAGAACAAGGTCAAAGTTAGATCAATTGCAAAAAACCCCGACTATATGCAGTACCAACCAGATTACGATGAGCTTCTTAAGAAAATTTAAATTTTCTATTGTATTTACACTAGATAAGTTAACCAACGCCAACTGTGAACATGTCTGACGACGAAGATTTTGATATTGCTGGAAGTCTCGGTTTAAACCAAGAAGAGGAAGAGGATTACTCTTCTTCTGATAATGAGTCCGAACAAGAAATCCAAGATGAAATTATTTCTAGTGATGAAGAAGAGCAAGCTGATGAACCACCTAAAAAGAAAACCAAACCCACTAAGAAACAAGAATCTTTCCCATCCCTTGAATTATCTGATAATGAACAAGACAGAGAAGATGCAGATGATGACTCCCAATTAAATTCATATTTCATTGCCAATAATCCTGCCACTAAAAAGGCTAAAGCTGGTTCATTTGCTTCGTTTGGTCTTTCAAAATTCTTATTAACCAATATTGCCAAGAAGGGATTCAGACAACCTACTCCGATTCAAAGAAAGACTATTCCTTTAGTTATGGAAAACCGTGATGTTGTCGGTATGGCTCGTACCGGGTCAGGTAAAACTGCGGCATTTGTTTTGCCATTAATTGAAAAATTAAAAGTGAGATCTGCTAGTGGTGTAAGAGCAATTATCTTATCACCATCCAGAGAATTAGCATTGCAAACTTATAAACAAGTTAAGGAGTTTGGTCATGGTACTAATTTACAAACAACCGTGTTAATTGGTGGTGACACTTTGGAAGAAGATTTCTCAAAGATGGTTTCCAAACCAGATATTATTGTCTGTACTCCAGGTAGATTCTTGCATTTGAAAGTGGAAATGGATTATGATTTACTGACTATTCAATATATTGTGTTCGATGAAGCTGATAGATTATTTGAAATGGGATTTGCTATCCAATTAAACGAATTATTAGCTTCTTTACCGCCCAATAGACAATCCCTTTTGTTTTCTGCAACATTACCTAGATCTTTGGTTGATTTTGCCAAGGCCGGATTGACCAATCCTGTTTTGGTTAGATTGGATGCAGAAACCAAGATTTCTGATCAATTGCAAATGGCATATTTCACCACCAAGAAGAATGAAAGAGAAGCTAATTTGTTATATATTTTACAAGAAGTTATCAAATTACCTTTAGGTAGTCCTGAGCAAATAAAGAAGTTGAAAGATATGGACAAAAGACAAGTTGAATCTGACGAAGAAAATGAAGAAGACGGAAAGAAGAAAAAATACAAGTTCAAGAAGGAAAGAATGCCAGCTGCCAATCAATTACCTTCAGAATTCTCCACCATTGTATTCGTTCCTACCAAGCATCATGTTGAATATGTCACAAGAATGTTGAGAGATGCAGGATACTTGGTATCTTATATTTATGGTACTTTGGATCAACATGCTCGTAAGAACCAATTATACCAATTTAGAATTGGGTTAACTCACATTATGGTAGTCACTGATGTTGCTGCTAGAGGTATCGATATCCCTGTTTTGGCCAACGTTATTAATTTCACCTTGCCCGGATCTTCCAAAATTTTCATTCATAGAGTTGGTAGAACTGCTAGAGCAGGTAATAAAGGTTGGGCATATTCCATTGTCAATGAAAAAGAATTACCTTATCTTTTGGATTTGGAATTGTTCTTGGGGAAGAAGATCTTGTTAACTTCCATGCATGAAACTAAATGTGAAGTGTTGAAGAGGAAACAAGGTGATGCATACGTGCCGCCCAAGGTCAACTATACTGAAAGATTAGTTCTTGGATCAATTCCCAGATTGGATTTAGAAGGCTGTCAAGAATTGTATGAGAACTTACTCAGAAATGATTATGAATTAAAAGTGTTGAGAGACGTTGCAGCCAAGGGTGAAAAGTTATACCACAGAACAAGACAAGCCGCATCTCCAGAATCTCTTAAGCGAAGTAAAGAAATCATGGAAACTGGGTCCTGGGATGAGCAACACGTCTTATTTGGACCTAATTTGGAAAAGCAAAAACAAGACTTCTTGGCAAAATTACAAAATAGAAATGTCAAAGAAACTGTGTTTGAATTTAACAAGAAAGGTAATGATAAGGATGAAAATAGTCTTGTGGAATTCATGCATAGAAGAAGACGTCAAATTGCTCCTATCCAACGTAGAGCTAAAGAGCGTCGTGAATTGTTACAAAAAGAAAGAAATGCTGGATTGACGCATGGTATTGAAGATGAAATCTTGCACGAAGAAGGTGAAACTGGATATAATGCCGATGAACAAGAATTGGAACAAGTGTTTGAAGATGCTGATAAGATAAGTTCCAAGAAGAAGACATACAGAGATCCTAACTTCTTCCTCAGTCATTATGCACCAGCTTCAGTTATTCAAGACCAACAATTATCTATCTCATCATCATTTGCTAATGATGCCCAAGCTGCTACTTTCGACTTGGATAACGATGACAAGATACAGAAGAACAAGCAAACAATGGCTTGGGATAAGAAGAAGGGTAAGTATGTCAATTCCAAATCCACGGATGTTAAATATATCATTGGAGAAAGTGGTCAAAAGATCCCTGCAACTTTCAGATCCGGTAAATTCGACGAATGGAAGAAAAAGAGAGGTGCTAATCTTACAACTGAATCCACGGGTGAAAGTGATAATAAGCGTTTCAAGCACAAGAAGGTACAAACACCTAAATTACCTGATAAGTTTAGAGATGATTATCACAAACAAAAGAAGAAGGTTGAAAAGGCTGTTGAAGGTGGTATGAAGGTCAGAGGTTATAATAAACCAGGACATCAACAAGAAATCAAATCTACTGAACAAATTAGAAAGGCTAGAATGGTTAAAGAACAAAGAAGAGCAAAGAATGCTCGTCCAAGTAGGAGAAAGTAAAATAAAAATTTCTATTTTCAATTTTATATATATATATATATATATCAATACAAGCTCCTAGTTTTTAGGAAATACCGTTTATCTTCTTCCACCACCTCTGCTATAAGGGTGATAACCTCTTGATCTTCTATGATAACCACCTCTTCCTCTGGAATTGTAGCCTGGACCAGAAGGTGGTGCCCTTTTTGGACCCTTCGGTAAGTTGAGTCTTCTTTGATCACGATGTGGGTTTTCATCTTCGTATCCACCTCTATAATCTTGATGGTTTTCTTCCATTTGATCATGGTTTTGTTCTTGAGGATCTTGATCCTCGGTTGGTTGAGTATCATTAGCTTGTTGTTGCGGATTTAATGGTTGACCAGCAGGTTGTTGATCAGCAGAAGCATCAGGAGTACCAGCAGCTGCACCACCAGCAGCCATTTGTTGATACATAAACCATTGATAATATCTCATATATTCTTGATTCATAGCTGGATTCATTTGTTGTTGATACATTTGTGCACCTCCTGCTCCATATGGAGATCCATAAGCACCAGCACCATAATAACTAGATTGTTGCTGTTGTTGACGTTGTTGCATTACATTTTGTTGATGTTGCCCTCTTGGTTCAGCACGCTTGACTTCCATGGCTCTACCTTTCAAACTCAAATATTTGTTAACAGTTACTCTATCTACTGCATCGGGCGAATCGTAAGTGATAAACCCAAACCCTCTTGATCTTCCAGTATCTTTGTCAACCATTAATTGAGCATCAATAATAGAACCATATTGAGCAAAGAAATCATAGAATTCCTTTTCGGTAACTAAAGGATCGATCCCACCAACAAAGATTTTCCCAACACGATCTTGTTCTTCTCGGGCAATAGCTCTTTTTGGATCAATCAATTTACCATCCAAGATATGGTCAACCTTGATAACTTCATCAACGGATTTTGGATCTTCAAAAGTCAAAAAACCAAAACCTCGAGATCTACCAGTGGCAGAATCTCTCATGATGGTATAATCAAGAACATTACCGTATTTGGAGAAATAATCTCTAAGACCTTCTTCAGTGGTATCCCAATTAAGACCACCAACAAACATCTTACCACTGTCTCTACCCACGTTAGATGGTTGATGTTGAACAGGTGGTGCAGCAGGAGGAGGAGGGATAGGAGGAGGAGCACCAGCAGCAGCACCAGCACCAGGAGCTGGAGGCGTACCTGAAGATGCACCTACTGGGGGAGGAGGTACTGGGGGCATGCCTGGGAATGCTTGAGGAAAAGATTGTCCAGGAATGGGTGAGACTCCTTGTTGCTGTTGCTGCTGTTGTTGTTGATAATATTGTTGATATTGTAAATATTGCTGGTATTGAGCAGGGTCCATTTGAGGTGGGATTGCAGCAGGAGCAGCAGGTGCAGGTGCAGCAGCAACAGCAGAAGAAGCTTGTTGTTGATCTCCAGTTTCTGCTGTTGCTTGTTCTGGTTGGCCTTCAGCTTGGGCTGCCTGTTGGGTTGATTCGGCAGTTGCCGGGGATTCTCCATCAGCTGTAGCACTTGTTGTGGCAGTAGTGGTATTGGAAGCTTCTTTTTCATCCGCTTTAGCCGATTCTGTAGCAACGGGTACATCATTTACTTGAGGCTTTGTAGATGTTTCATCATCATCTCCGCTAAACCAACTGTTAGTACTTGCAATTCATCATAATTTAAGTTAACACAGGGATACATACTAAAGGTCTTCAAAAAGAGCTTCGTCGTCGTCTATGTTTGACATGGCTAAGATAATCTAACTAATAAGGAGGAATTGTTTTTTTTTGTGGAGAACAAACTAAATAATACTGTTAAGACTAACTTGGCTATTCCAATTAGGGCTAAGTATGGATTTGTTTGGTATAGTTTTATTGAATGGAAATGTATACAACTAAACAAAAACTATGTATCACTTTACACAGATCTATTTGCTATTTCTTTCTTTTAGTTGCCCTTTGGTAAGATTGGTGTAGACTAATTTCAATCAATCAGTTTTCAATCTCAATTCAGGATTTTGTATAACTTTGTATCTCCCACTTACAACAGTAAACGATAGTTCAATGAAAACTATATGTCTATAATATAACAAGAAAAAGTAGTTGGTTGTCTGGGATTGAACAAAATGTTCGATATCCTCCTTTTTTTTTCGTTGAAGGATTAGTTCACTTTTTGGGATGGCGAAACGGTACACACACGACCAAATTTCACATGGGTGATTGTAGTAAACGAGACCATGGATTAACAAGTATAGTCTCTTTGTAGCCCTTAACAATTGCAATCAGTGTTGTAACAAAGATGGGTTCAATATCCCCCTCTAAGAGAGTTGGGAGCACTAGTTAAGTCTCTATTAACCATTTATCAACTATCACGTGACCAACTTTTGACTCTTAATGCCCTACGACGTCATTGGTAAATTATCCCTCCTGCTACTTGTAAAGATACAGAAACCCCTCACCACACAACTTTAAGCTGGGAAAGATTATCAAAAGAGTACTTCACCTTCTTGTAAAACTTGAGATGGGCTGAAGTTGCTGGTGATTCCTGATACTGCAAAATGCTTTTTCTGTGTGAGCCGCACGAAGGCTAATTTTTTTCTTTTTATTTTTTTTTTTTTTTTTTTTTTTCAACTGGTATCTGGTTGCTAACATAGACAGACAAGTAAGCTTAGAACAATACCAATGAAAGATTACTTGATATACTTTGCCCAAGCATATCCCAACTTCAGAACAGCTGAACTTGAATCCTTGGCCAATTTACATAATTTCAGCCTCGATTTAAGTGGTCATGACGAAAAGAACCCATTCTTGATTGTTCAATTAGAAGATGATGAACAAGCCCAAAAGATATTGGAAAGATCGATCCTTGCTAGAGGTATTTATGAATTATGGGGCCATGGTACTAACTATGAAGAATTACACCAAGATGTTCAAAAAAGATCATGTGACAAATTTGACACTTACAAGCACGATACTTTTAAATTTAACTTCGAGTCGTTCATGGGAAGTAAGAGTAATAAAGCCCGTATTGAAATTATTGAATCGTTTGGATATCTTGAATTCGAGGGAGCTATTAATTTGAAAAAGCCCCAACAGATTTATACAGTCTTAGAAGAGTATAAAGTGAATGGAATGGAAAAAGCCAACGTACCTTTAAATATTTGGTTTGGTAGACAAATTCAATTAAGTGCCAGAATGAACAATATCTTGGACAAATATGATTTAAAAAGAAGAAATTATATCGGAACAACATCATTTGATGCCGAGTTATCCTTAGTAACTTGTAACATTGCTCAGGTTCGATCTGGAAAAATCACATATGATCCATTCACAGGTACGGGATCATTCTTGGTAACAGCAGCCAATTTTGGCGCATTGCCAATGGGATCTGATATTGATGTCCGTATGCTCAAGGGAAAGAGTGCAAAGTGTAATATTCGTGAAACATTCAAACAATATGGCACCTTGGGACAATACATTGACGTATTAACTATGGATTTCACCAATAATGCATTCAGAAGTAATTTTGTGATTGATAATATAGTATGTGACCCTCCTTATGGAGTAAGAGAAGGTCTTAGAGTATGTGGGGCCAAGAACCCGGAAAAGGCAGCCGGAAGAGAAAACCATGAAATTGATGGACAAAAAGCCCATTTGAGACGTGATTTTATCCCACCTAAAAAGCCGTATGAATTGTCCAATTTATTGGATGATTTATTACTGTTTGCTGCGTCAAGATTACCAGTTGATGGAAGATTAGCATTCTGGATGCCCACTGCAAATGACGATTTTCAAGTCAATCAAATACCACAACATGAAAATTTGGAATTGCTTTATAACTTAGAGCAGGAATTCAACAAGTGGTCCAGAAGATTATTGGTTTATATCAAGAGAGACGAGTCGTACAAAGGAGAAACTAGAAATGGGTTAAAAGAGGAAAATATTAAAAACTTTAGAGAACGTTATTTCAGAGGATTCAGTGAGAAGAGCAGGTAGATACAACATGCGCATAGAAAGATTATACAGGAGACATACACACACACATATATATACATACAACAGTGTAGATATCATTAGCATAGACAATTGAATTCAATATAGACTTGTAAATGCATACCGGTTGCAAACCTTGGCGAACTTTATTATCGGCGTTGATCCAACCGTGTTATTCAACAAAACAACGGGCCAGGCGGGAAGGTACAAGGATCAAACAACCAACGGTCAACCAAAACAATCAGGCCATTATACTGCTCAACCGCAAAATGGAAAATTGCATAATTACCCTAATTGCATTTATGCTCTTACGATTCTCTTCACTGCGACATTTTTCTCCACAACATTCTGGCTTGCTTGCTTTTTTTTTTTGCAACCAGGTATGCGCTAACGAGAGTTAATTCAATCAGAATAGACTTCAGGAGTTACTCTCGTTCAATCTGAAGAAAGGAGGGAGGGGAACGTTGTTAATTGCTCCTTAATTATTGCTGAAAGTTGCATTATGCTCTTACCGGTTTCACCGTTTGAAAAGCATATTTGCTTGAACACTTGCCTATAAATAATCCTCTGGTTCCTTCCAAATTTCAACCAGTTATTCATAGTAATACTAAATAGAAACATTCACAATGGCTCCTCCAACTATGTTACAAAATGCTCAAGTAGCAACCCAATTCACTCTTTCCACCTCCGGTGAAAACACAATCAGATTAACCTCTGATGCTGAAAACAACGCCGATGTTAAGTTCGCCAACTGGGATAAGTTCAAATTTGCCCCAATTAGAGAATCCACCGTTTCTCGTGCTATGACTAGACGTTACTTTGCTGATTTGGACAAGTACACTGAATCAGATGTTGTTATTGTCGGTGCTGGTTCCGCCGGGTTATCTGCTGCTTATGTCTTGGCCAAGAACAGACCAGACTTGAAGATTGCCATTATTGAAGCTTCTGTCTCCCCAGGTGGTGGATGCTGGTTAGGTGGTCAATTATTCTCTGCTATGGTCTTGAGAAAACCAGCTAACATATTCTTGGATGAATTGGATATTGCTTATGATGATGAAGGTGACTATGTTGTTGTAAAGCACGCCGCATTATTCATGTCTACTTTAATGTCTAAAGTCTTGCAATTCCCCAATGTTAAATTATTCAATGCTACTGCCGTTGAAGATTTAATCACTCGTCGTGATGAAACCACTGGTGAATTAAGAATTGCTGGTGTTGTCACTAACTGGACTTTAGTTGCTTTAAATCACGATACCCAATCTTGTATGGATCCAAACACTATCAACTGTAACATCGTTTTGTCAACCACTGGTCACGATGGTCCATTTGGTGCTTTCTCTGCTAAGAGACTTGAATCCTTGGGTAAGGCACCTAAAGATGTCACTCAAGGTTTCAAACCACAACTGGAACAAAACACTACTGCCACCGCTCCAGCTGACGGGTTCCAATTAGGTGGTATGAGAGGTCTTGACATGAACAAGGCCGAAGATGCTATTGTTAAAGGTACCAGAGAAGTTGTTCCTGGTTTGGTTATTGCTGGTATGGAATTGGCTGAGGTTGATGGTTCAAACAGAATGGGTCCTACTTTTGGTGCCATGGCTCTTTCCGGTGTTAAGGCTGCTGAAGCTGTCTTGAACTCTATTGACCATAGACAAAAACAAAACCAAACTGGTTATGGTTCTGCTTAAAATCTTACTATATAGCTTATCTTATTATAAACACTATGGCTAGTAATTTACTATAACACCCCTTATCCTTTTCATTCCCTTCAAAATAATGTCATTAAAAGAAACTAGTAGGGGGGTTATGCCCAATTCCTAGCACACAAGTGGTAGCGCACCACAACACGCAATCTAGCAGTTCTGAAAATTTAGTTCAACATCAGACTCACTCATATTCACAACTAAATCAATTCAGCCATGGCCGACATATTAAAGTATGTAATGTACAGGAGACATATAACATTGAACTAACGTACTAACATTTGATAGACCTAAAAATACTAATCCTCGTGGGATACCGGAAGCCCCATTCATAGACAAGGTTGAGAATGTGGTCAAGAATCCCGACACTGATTTCGACATGATTATGCAAATGTTTCAACAAAGACTTCAACAATATAAATACATGGAATTATCCAAGAAGCAACAGTTAGCTGACTTGAATACCAAGATTCCTGATATTGAGAAAAACTTGGATGTCATTAAACACATTACTGAAACTAAGGAAGAAGGTGACGAGGAATTGGAAACCAATTATGAATTGAATGATACTTTGTATACTAAAGCAACTATTGATGTTGAAAAGCTAGAATCTGTGTATTTATGGCTTGGTGCCGATGTCATGCTTGAATACCCCTTGGATGAAGCTGTTCAATTGTTAGATGAACGTTTAGAAAAGAATAATGAACAATTGAAAATTGTCAAGGAAGACTTAGAGTTTTTGAAAGAGAATATAACAACCATGGAAGTGAACACTGCAAGATTGTACAACTGGGACGTTGAAAGAAGAAAGAAGTTAAAGTAGTTTAATGCTGTATATTAATTTTATAACTCTAGGTTCTAAAAGTATCAAGAAATTGACTACCTAATGGTCTAACCGGCGTTTCCGCTCTGATCTGCCTCTCACGTTGTCTCTCTTCGTCCAAAACTTCATCATTTTCTTCAGGTTCTTCATTATTGTCGAATTGGTCACGAGAGGTTTCTTCCTGAACTGGTGGAACTTCTGTAGAAAGTGATTGGTAACTTCTTCTCCTTGTAAGCCTTCTTTGTGCTCCGCCGATCCAATTGTTAATTCTTCTAAGGGGATGAGCAATGAATTGAAATATTGGGTTTGGTATAAACCATGACTTCCCACCTGGCAAGAGATCATATGTGTGCAACCTCCCTAATATCAACCCCACAGTACAAGGAACAATCGATTCAAACCCATTGTTTAGTATTAAAAGCGTGTAAAGAACATGAACGGGGAACTTGTTGGTTAAATTAAGTTCTTTGCTTGATCCAGATTCCTCAACCGGTTGACCTTCCTCATTAGTTTCAGGTTCGGTCAATAAGATCTTAAAATGATACATGAGTGGAATATATGATCCATAACTGACGTATAACGAAGAAAGCACTCCTAGTGGTCCTGGTATGATCTCATTCAAGATCGTGTCGGTATAGTGTATTTCAGAAGGATCATAGTGCAAGATAGTGCTCTTGACAAAGTAATTGGCATAATACCAAAGCAATTGTCCTATACTCATTAACAAAAGACACGCCACAGCATTATAGACGGCAAATAATACTATGATCGATAAATACTTTCTTGATCCGTAGAATCTTTCCAATACTTTGAATTGAAACCACAATAATATCGTTAATAAGAAATCGGATTCATTGACTACTGCAAGTTGATATGTTAATATTCGCCAGAATTGGGAATATTCAATTATGTACGGATCTATGGATAACTTCACGTAATGTTTCCACTGTAGTATTGAAAGGGATAATGCTAGGAATGTTGATAGTATGCATATTGTTCTGGTTATAGGGGTGTTTACAAACCCAGAAATAGGTGTTAGCTGTGCCATGGAAATGATTGATTGGTGATATCAACGGTATTATGACTTTCACATATCGGTTGCTATTTCTGGGGTGGCGGAATGCGTTATCAGGAGAGAGACCGGGAGGTACGCAAACAAGCACGTGAACGAGCGTCACGTGCAACAGTTCAAAACTAGGGTTGCATCCTCACAATCGCACTGGCCATTTTTCTTTTGTTATGCTGTCGCAAGAGTTTCCATCGCACCACAAACATTTTTTCCACCCACAATAAATTATATGAAAATTTTTTTATTTTGAGAACCTTCTTCCTTTCTTCTTCATCATCACTAAAGGTCAATAAATCACAATGGGTAGAGATCACACCACCAAGCAACACGCTAGATCCGGTCACAGAGCCGCTCCAAAGTCCGATAACGTCTACTTAAAGTTATTGGTTAAGTTGTACACCTTCTTAGCTCGTATGTAACTTTCACCAACTACCAAACAAAAATTTAGAAGATGTAATGATATCCATTAGTGATAAGGAATTCCATATCATTAAAAAAATGATTAGACAATAATCAATTTGCAAATGAAGTTTAACGACTTCTTATGGTTTCAAAGGAGTATTCTGGAATGTGTTCACCTGCTTCTACAAGACATAGAAAAGGTTCTTCCATATACGCACTTTATATGTTAGTAAAGACACTAACGAATATATAAAGAGAGGCAAGAACTGGGTAGCTTCATCGCTACAAGTATATGATCTTGGGAGCGAAGGAACAAGAGTAGTCCTTTTTGACCGAGTGTTTCGCACTCAGGTCACTTGTGCCAGTTACATTCGGTGATTCGAAACAAACTGAGGAAACCATTCTGCGAGTACTTTATTTCCACCATTCACTGGTGAATATTGTGCGTCTTCTGAGCAGAATATGGAATTTTTGTAATACTAACATACATTTTAGGTCGTACTGATGCTCCATTCAACAAGGTTATCTTAAAGTCTTTGTTCTTGTCTAAGATCAACAGACCACCAGTTTCTGTCTCCAGAATTGCCCGTGCTTTAAAGCAAAAGGGTTCTGCTGAAAAGACCATTGTCGTTGTTGGTACCGTTACCGATGACAACAGATTATTGGAATTCCCAAAGGCTACTGTTGCTGCTTTAAGATTCACCGCTGGTGCCAAGGCTACCATCTTAAAGAACGGTGGTGAAGCCATCACTTTAGATCAATTAGCTTTAAGAGCTCCAAAGGGTCAAAACACTTTGATTGTCAGAGGTCCAAGAAACGCCAGAGAAGCTGTTAGACACTTTGGTTTCGGTCCACACAAGAGAAAGGCCCCAAGAATCTTATCCAAGGGTAGAAAGTTCGAAAGAGCTAGAGGTAGAAGAAACTCCAAGGGTTTCAAGGTTTAAATTAGATAGTTTGTTTTTACAACTTTATAATTTAATACTGGGAACTATTTGGGCTGTAATTTCTTTAATTCCTTATTTCCTTAGGGTAGCTCCCGTTTATATATATAATCATGTATAATGTATAATACAATAAAAACCGGGGGAAGCTTTTTAATTTTAGTTTACGTTTTATAAATAGGTTTTTAACATGAGTGTTTTTTTTTGCAATTATAGACTTTACTATGTAATCTTGAGGTTGAATTTTGCAATAAGATGTCACACACACCACTTTCCTAATTGGGAAAGCGCCATCAGCCGCACGCCGGGTTGCTTTTGATAATGACCCTCTCTCTTTCTCTGTCTCCCCTGAGTCATGTAATTATGACCATCTTTAGCAAACTACCAGCTCCAAACTAGCAACAATTCATTACATATCGAGAACAGCGTAAATATGAAGAATAATTTATTGGATCAACCACCACCTGGCAGCATACACTTTGATGACCTCCCCATGGAAATCATTAATCAAATCATTTACTGGATTTCAGATACAGATCTAGATCTAAACCTTGATCCTGCCATACCTACCCACAGGAGCAAAAATAACAGCAGTCCCAAATATGTGTATGTGTTGAACCATGTCCGATGTACAGGTTACTATTCCACATTGGTCAGTTTGAGTTCTACCAATTCATTTCTTCGCCAGAAACTAGGTCCAATTCTATTCAAGAACATCAGTTTGATAAGGATCAATCTGATTGACTCCGTTCTTTGCAATCCTAAACGACTGGAATTCTACTCTGATAAGAAGAAATACCAACGAGAGTTTATCAAGGAGTTGTTGGAGACAAACTTCCAAGCGTGTACTACCGAAGAACTAGCAAGAACCAGTTTCAAGCTGCATATTCTAGGAGATGCGACTTATAAAAGCAGGTTTGAGTTGAAATTTGCTATGAGCAACTATGTCACCTACCTTGAATGTGATAATTCTGTATTGCGTGGCTCCACTCTTTCATTATTCCCCAATTTGAAAGCACTAAAGGTATTGGATGAAGCATCTGAAGATCCCTTGGTTGGTAATTACCAAATTGAAAACCTTGACTACTTGGCGATAAATGCACGCACATTAATGAATTGCGCCAAGATGTTGAAATTGTTGCCCAGGCTCAAACGATTGGATTTGTTATTGGACTACTGCGAGATACCCATTCATCTAGGGCTAACTAAGATAATCGACGAATTCAGAAACGCAGACAAGACCAACCTAACCGAGCTTGCATTGAATTTAAACAGCTCGTTTTCAATTGCATATGAAGACACAATCACTCTTCTCGATGTCATTTCCAACAACAGCGAGTTGACGATATTGTCTCTTCGCACCAAAAGGAGGAAATATTTTGATTACCCCAGACAAGATCAGAGCAGATGGCCGCTATACCGTAGTTACAGTGGTGACAAGTTCTTATTATTTTTGAAATCGTTGGACCATCTCATTATCGATATACCCATATTGGAAGTGTTGCGATTTCATCCTCATACTTACAACAGATGTCCGGATGCAAGTGTGGAATGGGATAAGATGCGCACTAAAACGTTAACTTTGGTGGATCAGGCGCTGATTGGTCCTCAATTCTCGACGTATTCACGAGACGGAGCTGGGGTTTTATTTCAAGCTGCGCAATTCACCGAACTCAACTTTCAGTATGGCGAAGCGCTCGAGGAAGGACATCTTCATGCATTGAAGTTGGTTTCTGATTTCGTCCAGTTCATGGTTGATTGTGGTGGTAGTGACAATAGATGCAGGGGATACGCCGGGTTGAAGAACCTAGCTATCGAGAAATGCTGGTCAGTTACCGACGACTCGATTCGAAGAGAGTATTACTGCAATATCATGTTGAAATTGAATGCCCTTGAAGATGTCACTAACCAAAGTACAAAGTACAAATTGGCTTCTGCAGCGGTGTGGAGCAGGACTCCATTCAACTCGCCAAGATATAGAATTCGTGATGTGTATGGTATAACATACAAGGAGCATAGAAATCTGTTTGATGGGGCTATTCCCGCTCGGTCGCATAGGTATGAAGCCGTTTTCCACCCCAAAGCTGACCTGGCTAACAACAACGTATTTTGGAGTATCGAGACATCGCTAGCGGACTTTGAACAGTATACAGTTCGTCAAAGAAAGTCTAGTTTATGGAATTAGCAATATATAACACTAGTAGCGTAAATTACTGGTTGCGTTTGCATTTGCATTTGCATCTGCATCTGCATCTGCATTTGCATTTGCAACTCTGGATCACGTGAGAAATGTGACTGCTATTTCTTGGGAAAAACTATGGTTGCGTGTAATTTCTATGCAGTACCGTTTTTCCAGTTAATGCGTGGTGCGCATTGTTTCTGTTACTGCGCTAACCACAGGAAAAATTAAATTTCCAAAGGGTAAAAAAAAATTTAAACAGTCCTGTTTGAATCTTTACCTTTACCGTTAATACATAGAAAACCAAAGACAAAATGCCAGGTGTTTCCGTCAGGTAAGTGAAACTCATTTGTCTTTGCAGAGATGGTGGGATAGAGAATACTGTCGTGGTGGATAGGAAGAGTTTTGTTATTTAAACCTCAACTCTTCAAGTTGTTGAAAAATTTTTTGATGGGAAGAACAGGAGAAACCATAGCACAAGCTACTTTGAAAAATGTATTAGAGGTATGACTTGATTTTCATTAATGATAGTTGACATCTAAATATTCACATTGTACCTTTGTCTATTTGAACAACAATAATTCAGTCATGAACCAGGGAAGTCCAGTAAACATGAAATCAAACAGCCAACAAGTGAAGAGGGGGAAGGGGAGAGGTCCAGCATGTCAACAACCTATCAGTATTCTATATCCATATCTCGCAAGATATCATCAAGTACCAAACAACATACTAACATTGTATTTTTATAGAGACGTTCCAGCTCAAGATTTCATTAACGCTTACGCTCAATTCTTGCAAAGACAAGGTAAATTAGAAGTCCCAGGTTACGTTGACATTGTCAAGACTTCTGCTGGTAATGAATTACCACCACAAGAAGCCGAAACTTGGTTCTACAAGAGAGCTGCTTCTGTTGCCAGACACATCTACTTGAGAAAGCAAGTCGGTGTCGGTAAGTTGAACAAGTTATACGGTGGTGCCATCAACAGAGGTTTCAGACCACACAGACACGCTGATGCTTCCGGTTCTATCAACAGAAAGGTCATGCAATCTTTACAAAAGATTGGTGTTTTGGAAATCTCTCCAAAGGGTGGTAGAAGAATCTCTGAAAATGGTCAAAGAGATTTGGACCGTATTGCTGCTCAAACCTTAGAAGATGACGAATAAATGTTTTAAACAAGCATTTCTTATTTGTATAATATAATCTTTCATGAAGCAAACCTAATACACAAAATATTTAAGTTAGTTTCCTCAAAATTTTACTTTGTAATTAAAAATGTTACTTTTTATACATTTCTATTTAACTCTAGACGCGTTCACTTATTTCAACAACCTTAGAAGCTATGTCTTCTCCAAGCTTTTCTTGGACAAGGTTTCCATCGTTTTCATCGAGGCCAATCCAAGATAATGGGGTGTTGTTTGGTAATTTCGCAATCCATTCAGTATATGCTGAGATTGAATTTCCTTCGGGCATTCTTAAAATGGAGTTGCTTTGTATGGTGTACTCGTTTTCAATTATATTAAAGTCAATTTCAAAAGCCTTTTCACTAAACAACCTGCTGGCAAGACTTTCAAAGTATGCAAAGTCGTCTTTGTCATCCACTTTACCACCATATGTGATTGTCCCAATAAGGTAACAAATAGTATCCCAAGGTATCAACTTCGGATCCACATTCGTTCTCTTCAGCAATGGAGCAAATGCTTCCTGGATCACATAGAGCCCAGTTGCAAAATCTGAATCATTTATATCATAGCTCTTCTTGAACGAAGCAGGACAATATCTCAACCTCTTAATGATAATCGAATGGTACCAAACCAATAATAGCAATACTGATTTCATTTCAACTGGCTGTTGTTCCAACAAGTTAACCGGAATGGACTTAAAAGTATCTTGAACGATTCCAGTTAATCCTAATTCTGTATCAAAATGCAAAACTCTTGATTGAGATATTAATCCCGAAGGAACATGCGAACTGGTTCCACAAGTCAAAAGCAATCTTGTATCTTTATGGAAGTTAATACTATTCAATCTCATTTCCAAATGGGATAGCCAAGCAGGTGACATTTGTATATTCTGAACAACCAACCAGTCCCCATTATTTGCAGCCTTTTGAATTTCTGAATTAGCAGCATCAACACCTTCTTTTGAACCCATAGACACAATCGTCAACTTCTTCTTCATATCCATTGCCAACTTCTCAACCTTGTACGTTGCATCAAATCCATCAGGACAAGTCAAGATAAATGTTGTAATTCCTTCTCTGGAAATCCAGTAGTTAAGCTCATATGGTGAACTATAGGGTGGGCGATCTCCACTATACAAGAATGAAGTTATTGATGAGAAAGTATTGATAATTTCAGCCTTCTTGTTACCATCACCAGCCAAAATCAAGCTCGAAAGAACCTTCAATGTAGAATTATCTTGATTATTTTCCAAAATCTTGCCAACATTGTCAGATCCAGATTCTACTCTGGCTAAACACAAACCAAAAGCATGTTTAATTGTATCCGGGAAGGTATTTGAATAAATCAGCTTCAAAACACTCAAAAATACACCCTTGAAAATCGTTCCGATATCTTCTGAATAATAAACAATACTCAACATCAATGCCAAAATTATCTTATCTTTAAGCTTCAAGGATGGTGCAACTTTTGCAAATGATTCTTCATATAGCTTCAAAACAAATCCACTTAAATTGACATCATGGTTATTTCCTAGAAGCTCAGCAAAAAGTGAAATGAATCTTGAAAGTGAAACATTGTAAAATGAACTGATACCACCAAGTAGTTCCAATACTGAATAAATGATTGATGCATGTTTTGCAACCTCTTGATACTGATTTCTTGCTTCTTCAACATTAAGGATGATCTCTTTGGCATGACTCAACTTCTCACTGATCAAACTTGATTCCGCTTTCAAAGTTTCAAGAGTTTCCACTAATTTATCATTGTCCAATATATTTCCAATAGAATCACTAAGTGAATTCAATAATTCCTCTTCAAGAGTTTGAAGACGAGCATGGTATTCCCCATTCAATGATATCAACTCTTCTCTTTGCTTTTCTATATCTGGCTTAGCTACTCTTAATGCAATATCAAGGGCCCTAGTTTCAAGACTTCCTATCGTAACGGTAAAGTTAACAATATTGGTTCGTGATGATACAAAGGCAGGAAGTTTGATATGTCCATCCTTGGTAGATAAAATCATTCTGAAATTTGGAGAAAAGTCAACCATTTGTTCTCCTAATCTAGCCATTAACCTGCCACCCTGTTTGTGAATTTCACCTCTCAAGATTGGATCCAAAATTGGATCATAGTACTGACATTCTTCAATCACAATTAATCCACCAAACCTCAATGCATTCTCCAATTGATGAATAAGGCCATCATGAAGGAAACTAGTCACTGTAACTGTCTTTGGTGAATATGATCTTACTAATATCTCCACAATACTTGAAGTTGGATCTATGATGAGTGGAGTTTGAGACCATTTCAACAATGAGAAGTTATCAATATTTAACTCATCATTAAGTAGACCACTATTGACCCATTTTAAGCTCTCATTGGCATTAGTCAAGTATTGCGAAACAGTCAATTCCTCATCGTACACAATACCGGATTTATTCAACTTATTCTTCCAAGCTTGAACCAACAATTGACGTCCTTTTTGATCATAAATACCACAATATGCTAAAAACCCAGCCACCAACAATGAATTACCAATTAATCTTTCCCTTTGATCAGCAAATCTTTTGATACTACCCTTCCATCTTTCTCTTTCATTTGTAAGACTATTCAATAATGAAAGACTTCTTTCCACTTTCTTCTCCACCGTCTTCATTTCGGTCTTGATATTCTCTGTTTCTCTAATTAGTTCACTATAATCATCCTTGTACTTCTCTATACTTTCTTCCAACTCATGAATCATTTCATCAATCACAATTAATTGAGTTTTGGTCTTTTTGGTTTGTGTTTCTAACCTTTGAACTTCTTCTCTTAATGGAGCAATGGTTTGTAATATTCTAGAGTATGTCAATTGAGCTAATACCCATTGGAGCAACGGACCACATGCTTTACTAGCTCTGTAGGCAACTTCATAAGTAAAATCTTCTCTGGAAACATACATCTCCTCCATATACTTCCTAAGTTCTGGTGTAATCTGTGTTTCATTATCAAATGAAACGATATTAGGTATAAAGTCATCTTTTCTGATAACTAATTGAACGTCTCTCCATGTAGATACCTCATAACCAAGTAAAGCACAAACTGATTCCATTGTCATCTTAACTGCGGCAGGAGGGTTTGACATACTACGAATTTCCGTCAAATATTGCTTCTTTATATTTTGTACCCCTCTTTGTGCCTCAAGAACAGCTGGTTCCACAAGCGCCAAGTCCTTCATTACTATATTTCTTCGTCTTTCAATTTCAATTTCTTGCTTTTCAAGTTCAGCTTGTGTAGCCACAGAAAATTCTTGCTTTCTCTCTGCTTCATTCTGATCAGTAAGCATCTTATTCAACATCACTTTAGCATCCTTGTCTTTGAGTTTCAATACTTCTTGCTTTCTAGCTAGTTCCGTCTTTAATTTATCTACCTTAATAACTGTTTCCCGCAACTTATCAAGACCACCACTAATGTGTCTTTGACTTTCTTCTAACTCAAATTGCTTCTTATTGAACAATGTTACAAATCCACTTATAAAGTTCAAGAAGTCACTAGGCGCTCTCCTATAAGCTAGGGTTGCCTGATAATTTGGTTCATACCTGTGAATGAAGGCAATAGCATCAACAAGAACATCTCTAAAGTTACTGATATTGATCTCAAGGAATGGTTCAAACGATGTTGGAATTGAATAGTTGGAAATATCAAGGGGAACTTGTTCAATACGGGATGCTGCAATTTCGTATAAGCATTTATTAGACCAATCACCCATCCAACTTAATACACATCTGTTAAAAAGCGCAGGCGAGGAGATGACAGCAGCACTACTACCAACATTTGTTTCACTGATGGTAAATATGACATGCAAGTTCTGTGAAACTTGCCCTCTAAACCAGTTGTACAATTCATCATCATTATCTAATAATAGCCCTTGTGAATTTGAAATTTCCAAACATAAACTCATTAATGAAGTGTACTCCTCTCCTTCGAAAAGACCTGGAATTTCTGCATTAGCCAATAATGTATTCATCCTCTCAATAAATGAAGTTTCCAATATACTAGACTCATCAATTATGAAACAAACTCTTTCTCCTCCCACACATCTCAATAAAAGTTTTCTTAAAGTATTATCAAAATCATCAATTGAATAATTACGTCGGACATTAAGTTGAACAATCTTTAAACCATTTATCCAAGCAACAAATTTAGCAAGAGTTGATTTCCCACTTGTGCTTGGTCCGACCAAAATCATATGACCTTGTGGTTGCCTAAGCACTCTATCGATTCGCAAGGCATGGTCTAACATATCTTCATGCAACACTAAATCAACTTCAGTTTCTTCTTCACTAAAAACCCTTAATCTTTCCAGTAAAAATGATTTAAGTTCATTTTCATTCACTGATCTATAATTCAATGTTAACCAATTGCTGAATAACACAGGTGCCTTAAAGCATGATTCCAAATCTACATTGAGAAAGTGAATTCCTGAGATTTGTCTAAATAGCAGCATTGTCCAATTTCTATCTTTTTCTGAGACCAATCTGTCATAAAACAACCTCAACCCTTCATGATACCACACTCTAATCAATTGCATCAAGTCTGTATATTCCATAGATTTCAATGCTTCCAATAACCCTCGGCTCCATCTTGTGAGCTCACGAGGAGAATAAATGTAATGAGGTTGCTCACTTTTTGTAAAGTGCCTCTTTGATTGTTGATAGATCTCAATACTGGCATCGGTGATAGCCTGAGAAAATCCACGTAAAACTGGAGCACACTTTAAGATAGCATAACTGAAGGTATGGTAAATTTGCTTTAAGGATGTAGTTCCTGGATAATCAACCATTATCAATGACACGTGTCGCAAGAAACGTTCACTTAACGCATTTCTTCCAGGATCTTTTGGCGAGTTACATGCACCAACAAATTGTATATTCTCAAGCGACACCCATTGTTGATCTCCAGTTCTCCAAAACCCTTTATGTTCAACCATAAGTCTTATCAATGATATTACTTGTTGGGTACCATACTTATCCATCTTTGGTAAATTGATTTCATCACAGAATACCACAACCCATTTACCAGAAACTTTTGGAGCAAGTTGTATTCCACGATTAGACTTTTTGTATTCACAAAATTGTTCTAAAGATTTCAACAACGAAATAGGAGAAGTATCTTTTGAAAAATTCAAAGATAACACATCTAATTGAGGTGATTTTCGTAATGCTTCCAACAATGTCATTGTTTTACCCGACCCTGGTGGTCCACAAAGTAACAATGGTCTATGTTCGTTCAAAATGGAATACACGAGATATTCATGCCTAACAGTATCAAGTGTTGGGACCACAGTATTTGGACTTGCTACCTGATATGGCTCAAGTTCAATTGCAAAGACAGAATTATTCCAATTCAACCATTCACATTCGGGTAGTGAAATATCATAGTCTAAGTGGACACCTTCGACAGGTTCTATATGACCAAATGTATCAAGAAGAGCAACTTCTCTGCCAAACTTTTCTTTCTCTTCATAACTAGCATCACCAGCAAAGGTCCATATAAACGAAAGTAGAACAGCCTTGTCAACATATTTCTTGATATCTATAATATCTGAATTATGCGTATAAGAATGTTTGATAAAGCGGCGTAAGTATGATCTCAAAGTAGTCTCAAATGATGTAACAGCTCGTTGGATTGAGAAATCCATGATATGGTCAATATTCTTTGCTAGATCACAAATCTTGGAAAGGAGTTGAGGGTTTAAAATTTCTGCAACTTGTTGCACAAATAAAGTCTGTAATTTTTTGCCATTATTAAGTTCTGCTATTCCTTCTTCACCAAGATGAACTGTCTCTGAATTCAAATTATGGACCAACTTGTGACAAAGTGCATCAATAGAAATCAAAGAGGAGTCAAACCATACCATTCCACATCTACTTACTGTTGCTGGTGTAGTACACTTCAAGCTATCAACTTCAAATACAATTCTCAAATTATCAGGTAATGCTAAACGCTCACCATTAGGCAATGTCAAAATTCGATTGTCATCTAAAACACTGTTAAGATTTTCAGCCCATTGGGGATCAATATCACAATCAAATACAATCCAAATTCTTTTCGATAGTTCTCCTCTTAAATTTTCTCTGATCCTTCTCAAAACACTTGTGAAGAGTCCATCAGTCCAATCTCTTGTAACTAAATCCAATTTTCCATAAATCTGTTCTTTAGAAAGCACCTTTGCATCAATTACTATAGATGTATGTTCCACATTTTCAACTTCTGACAATGCATGTAGAACCAGGTTCAAAATTGTTGATTTTCCAGATCCAGATTCACCAACCAACATAATACCATGATGGGTATTTTGTATGTCAACCACTTGCGATGCTTTAGTAATCCATCTATCGTCACATTGGATTCCAATGCTACTACAATACTTGTGAAGTTCGGCTACCAATTTAGCGTTGTCCACAGTATCTGAAGAAACACCAGCGAAGAACTTATCCTTTAAGATATTGAATAGAATTTCATCTTCTCTTACCAACTTTGGTAATATTGTTTCAATAATGCTTCGCAACACTAGTTCAGTTTCCCAGAGCTTTTGATCTTTTCCAAGCTGGTTTCTCAGATTTCTTTTGGATTGACCACATCTAATCAACATACTTTTAAGTGCCCTCAATCCGAAATCATAATGTGACTGTCTTGAAACCTTCTCGGCCAATTCCAAGTAAAATGGAACAATAACATTTGCCAAATCTCTTGAATTCTCAAATGCTTGAGAGGCAAGTAAAATCTCAACAATAATGGTGCTGTCTGGTTTTTCCATGGAGAAACTACGAAACAACTTCTTTAAATTCTCTGGTAGTTCTTGTCTTCCTACATATCCAGGATTCATAGTAACAAAAAGGCCTGTTTCTGGATCGACATTTATGCTTCTATTTGAAATTGAAATTTGACTTCCAGGGTTCTTCAAACCATGTTCAATAGTTTCAATTTGAGATGAGATTGCACTTAAACTTCCATCGTCTAGACGGTTAAATTCATCAAAACAACCCCAAATACCTACTCGACAAAGACCAAGGAATATTCGTCCCATAGATTGAAAATCAAAAGACTCATCACAACAGAATACCAAAACCATCTTACCTAAATTATGACCCAAAGCCTTAATAGATTCAGTTTTACCTGTACCAGCGGGACCAAATGGAGAACCACCTTGTTTTCTAGCTAATGCTTGTGTCATAGTTAAGAAACAATTATCAATTAATGGAGTATAAGCCAATCTTTCCACAACTCCCAAATATTCAAAGGCATAATTAAACTCTGCATTAACTTGTTTGACTTTTAACGAACTCAACAAATCACTACACTTTGTATCAAAATAGAACTTTTGACTGATATGCCAGATGGAATCACGTTCTGATTCTGATTTTGCATTCAACAAACTTGTAATGATATCCCGATGGTGAATCATTTCAATGATCAAATTCTGGATTTTCTTTCTTTCTATGTCTGAAATCTCGTAGCTAATCAACTGGGTGAGTGCATTAATCCCACTGTTAACATTTATCTGTTGATCATTCAAACTTCCCGTCTTCATAGACTCCTCTGTCAATGTTGTGAAAGTGATCTGTACTGCTAATAATGCAACCTGACCAGGAGCCGAGGTCACAAAATCCAAATAGCGACTGGAATCACCGAATTGTGATAGCAACATATGACATAAACCTAATTTGTCTTTAACAAGTTGTGCCAATGTTAATCTGGTTTCCAATTCCAATTCGTTCAACCATTCATTTAAGCGGGGGAATTTAATTAATGAGACGGGTTTGTTTAACTCCAATTTCTCCCCTTCTTCACTTTGCACAGATACAATAGATGAACTTTCGTTTGCATATTCAACACATTCAATACCAGCAAACATTTTTTTGAAATGTCTATTAATCCTGGTTATATCATTGGATCCACCAATTATCTCTAACAAATCTTCATTTCCCACAAAGTAGAACCTAGGAAATAATTCCCTCTGCTTCTCAAGGTAATCAGTCAACAATCTTCTAACTTTGGTTAAACTTTCCAAGAACTTATTCATAATTGTTTGAATATCACCAATTAAAACTATATCAATTACCAAGTTAAATTTGTAGATACGTTTCATCAAATTTTGAAGTTCATAAGTTATATTGGTAAATCTGGTCGTTTCAATCGGTAGTAAGCTCTTGATATCATTATTCGAGTTACCAAAAACACCATCCAAGTAAACCCATTGTCTTTGTACATCAATCCACGTATCTAAAATCATGAATAAATTATTTAATTTCTTTTCCAATTCACTAATTTCTCTTTCAAAACTTCCAAAATAAGGGGAATTCTTCATACTTGATAAAGCATTAATGTCATTATTGCACTGGTCAAATAGCTTATCCCAATTCTTAACTAATCGACACTTGTTTTCATAGTTGAATAGTTCAAAGGTAATTGTGGACCATTCTGTGTTTATCTTTGTTAAGTTCTCTTCAATGGTTCTTTCATTATTGGCTTGTTCCAACATTTCATTAATTACTTGCAAATTCAAACTAATATTTAAATTCCAAACATCACCAACTGTCATTTCCTCGAATAATACCTTTTCAACTCCAAGTTGGCTCAATAATATCTTCCAATGACGTTCTTTCATACATTCATTTTTCAATTCAGCTACCTTATTATGGTTCTTCAAATGATCCTTCACTAAGTTTTGAATCTCATCCACAGCAGCATACTGTCTAACATTGGTTGGTAAAGATCGCGAACTATTCAACAACTCAGCTAATTGAACATGCAACTGTCTTGGTTGTAATTCAGACCATTTCCAGTGTTTGAGTCTTTCTAAATCTTCCCATAATCCGTTCACTGAAGACCAAACTATCTTAAGATCTTTCACTTCTTGTACTCCCAAACTTAAATCATCAATATGAATTATGGCTATATCCAATAATACTGCAACATTTAAAATCGCTTTAGTATTGAGCTCCAAATTAGCAAATTGCTTTTGAAAATTCTCTAATTCAACCATAGCGAATGCCGGGCTTAAATTTCCAGTAATTGGTTTATGAGTCAGCCACTTACGATATAAGGCATGTACAGAGTCATTCAACTTGATTGCTTCAGCTTTAATTTTGGATACAATAATCTCATAATTATCATCAATCAATTTCTGCTTTCTTTGAATTAAAGTCAATACCATTGACAAATGCGATTCCAATTGTTCAACATATAACCATCCACTCGGGAATTTATACCTTTGACGAAATAAGAAATTCTGAATTTGGTTGAAGAGTTTAATTTGCTCTTCCCACTCATTAAACAACTGTTTGTTTTTCAAGTAGCTATCGATTAATACTATTAACTTGGTCGAATTCAAATTGAAATGCATAGCTTCTTCTAGCGAACCAATTGAACTAGATAAAGCCCTATTGAAAATATTTGATTCAACCAGAAACTTTTTAGCAAATTGATTCAATAACTCTTTCTGGAATTTGTCAAACATCAATGCAACTCTATTTTGAACCTTGGAGAAATTAATGATGAACAAGTTGCCAAATGATTTATCTGGATGAGGTTGGTCAAATAATTCTCTATTCTTTAAAATTTCTTTAACCTTAGGAAACCATTCACCTATTGTACTTTCAAGATTGAAAACTTTGCCCAAGTCTTGTGCGTCCTCTAGATTCAATTCCCATAAAATTTGCAAGTTTTTCCATTTGATGATATATTCATTCGCTTCAATGTACAAATCATCAATCTTGCTGAAGGTTGTAATAAGTTCTTCTCTGGTATCCTCGTCTCTGCTAATAATTCCGTTGAAATTTTTGGATATTCCTGAGATTGGTTTAACACTATGCTGGCTTTCAACAATTGAAGTGATTCCATTAACAATGCCAAATGCATTTTCTTTCCCTTGTTCTAAACTTGGAATGATAACAAAAGATTCATCATGAAATTCTAACCAATGTTGGAAGGTATCAACTTTTTGAAGATTATACTTGTCAAGCTCTAAAATTTCAATTTCCAGCTCATCGCCAGAACTAATTCCTAATGTTTCCTTATTGAAAATAAACAATTGTGTGTACAATCTTTGACTGAGAACCAGTTCAATATCTTTATTTAACAAATCCACCAACCACTCAATATTCTCAATTTCTTCCAAGGAAATACTTTGGAATTGTTCTTGAATTAACTTTATTTGACTCTCCAAATTCTTGAAATCAAAATCGCATGTTTTCAATTGGTATTTACAATCATTCATAAAATCATATAAATTTTCTAATTTCTTGGATTGGGAATTCAATTGAATAATAGATTCTTGAAACTGATTTAATTTAGCAAGTGATTGGATTTCAATTAAGTTTTCGCTTCTTGTCAATATTGGTTCATTTAACTTTTGTAACTCTATTGCTTGAGACAAATGGATCCACTCAACTGATAACACTGGCTTCAATGATTCTTTAACTTTGCCAATTTGTCCGGATAATAAAAATCCAAATGTTTGCCCATATTTCGAATTCTGCATGTTTTCAAATAATTGACAAAGTAAGTTGACATGATCTCTTAATCCAATTGCAAGTGGATGTAATTGATAAATCTTTCCATACTGCATCAACGTGGTTGAAGGCACATCAAGTCCAAGATTTGATAATTGAATTAACTGTTCATAAATTTGAAGTAACGAGTAATTAAAGTTGACAATTAAATCAAAATCATTACCGCTAGACTTTTCCACAATGTCAATTATTTTCCCCAAATTCTCAACCATTGCATGCTTTTGGCCAATTGCTACTATCCATCGATTATAAACAAGTTGTGGATTCAAACTGACAATTATCTTGTTAGTGGTTGCATCAATTTTAGTTCCTGTGGAATAGTTGTTCCAATTAATACCCAACAATGTCTTTAAATTGTTTCTATAAAATGATAATTTTGAAACTAAACTTGAGTTCCACATAATTTGACCAACAATGTCGTCTGAAGATTTTCTATCAGAATTAAAATCAATCAACTTTTGTATTTCAACATCTGCAATTGATAAAATTTTCAATTTATATTCATCATTGATCAGTACCAATAAGGAGGATGAGTGAGTAAAGAAAAACTTTGTATATATCGCCATGGCATCGACAAATGTTGATGCTTTTGCAAAGAAAAGGTTAATTCTTTTCACAATCAATGTATTTAGTTGGTTAAAAACCTCAAGATAGGATTCTTCTCTCATCTTCCAAACTAATGATCCTTGATATGAAATGTCAACCGAATTAATACTAATAATTTCCTTGTTATAAGCATCAGATAATTTCATTGATGCTTCAATTTTGTCAGAATTGGACAAGACGTTTTCTATTGATTGTAACAAATCCAAATGGTTTAATCGAAATTGATAAAGATGTTCAAGTCTGGACTTTATTTGGTCAAACCTTGTTTGGTTAATCTTTATTATTTTAAATTTCTCTTGACGTCTTCTTAACAATTCCCTTAACAAATTAATCATGTACTTAATATTGTTTTCAATTATGTCAAACAATTTATTAATATGTGAATCATACAATTGAGAAAACTTACTAAATGACAATGACATTATCGATTTCTTAGTTAATAAACCTTGGAATTTGCTAATTATATCATTCAAAATGACCTCAATCGTTTCCACTGATCTTGTCAACGGGTATGAATTCAATTTCAATTTTAGATGATTGAAAATATTGACTATAGCTAATTCAAATTTGGAGAAATCTTGTTCGTCTTCTCCAGATATGGTAATTAAGTCATTCATAGGAAGTTCCTTTAATAATGAATTGTATAACCTGGCTTGGGTTAACTTGTCACTTATACTCAGAACGTCATTTTGAAACCCTAAAGTTATATGAAATCTCTTGGCTTTATTTAGTATTTCAACTGATTTCTTGATCTCAAATGAACTCACTTGTTGGTTTAATGAAAGTAAGGCAGCTTCCATAGATTTCCAAAATTGGATCTCCTCCATTATTGATTCACTGTCCATTGGATCATGGTTAAGTCTTATTAACCCTTGAATTTGTCTAGCCCAGTTATTTACTATAGTAGTAACTTCGTTTAAGAAAGTGGTATCTTGTAATAACGATTCGAAAGTTTCATCAAAGTTACTTTGATCCAACAGTTTAATTTTAGTATGAGTTGTAATTAGTAAGTTGGGTATATGAATTCTTTGTTGCAAATGTTGTAATGATAATGATAGTTCATTAAACTTTTTCTTTGTTGTTGTAAGACTAGATTCTTCATTTGCAGATTGGGATACCAAGTTGAAAAATGGCGCCAACCCAAGATTGATAGCCAACCGCAACTTTTCAAACAGTTCGTTTGAGTTGTCTTCTGAATCTAGAACACCGTCCTCGGCAGATATGGGAAGGTTTATAATGTTCAATTGCTTTGTGAGTGGTAAGTGGGAAGTTAGCTTGTTCTTTGACTTGATTAATATGATGATAGCAGTAATGTTTTTGATTGATTCGGGTTCTTCAAGAGAATTAACGTTGATATCGTCTAATATCTTAAAACCGCCGGTGGAATGTTTGACCACATACAAAGCACCGGGGTTTAAATTAGTAATAAAAGCCTCTAAGACATCGTCAAAGTTGCTTTGAGCGTGGCTGACACTGGTGCTGCAACTATCAGAATTGTATGATATAGATATAAAATTAAGTATAAAACGAGACAATTGGTCAGGAGTTAGAGTTTCCTCTGGGGCCACCCTGGTCTCTTCTTCCATGGTCATATCACTCTTATACGATATACCCTTGAATCGAGTGGTATTGTTTAAGGGTTCATAGGGCGTAACAAGGTGTTGACATTTCTTAAACTTTTGTTTACATCAATTGATCTCGTGGTCACGTGTCGAATAAACGGTATGCAGGATTGTTTATTATTAGTTACCAAGATTTACGAGATTACATGGCATCACCATAAGCAACAACTGGAACTATGCCTCCCAGAATAGGGGTATATGAAAAACTATTCAATTTCTTGGTTGCATTACTTGGTATTACTATTTGTTATATTTAGAATTTTACAAAAACCTGGGATGTTGGTTTATGAATAGGGGGGGGTTGTGCTTTTGCTAACAAATTTAAAATTGCTGAGAAATTTGTGTAGTCCATCCAAGAACTTTAATGCCAAGGTCCAGTAAGTCGGCTATGCTTCTATTATCTACAAACTATGTAATATACAAGACTCACTTTAAGATTTTGTACTTGCCTAGACTGGAAGTTTGAAGCGGTGGGGCAATTTTTTGTTTTAGCTTGGCTGCATAACCAACCATGGGTTGCGAAACCTGACGGAGTTATAAGTTAGGCCAATATCCAAGGTAAAAGAGTAAAAAAATATATAAAGCAACAGTTTAAATTATATTACAGCTGAAATGACGGAAATTTCAATATCAAGCGAATCCAGGCTGTCAGCAGTATCCACTGGAACAGACAACAATCGCTTTAACGACCAGTCCAGCCAAGAGATCCAAGAGTTGGCAAAAACTTTTACGAATGAAACTAAATCTTCAAAAGAAAGGGATTTTGAAAAACTAAAGAGATATTTGTCCAACATGAGTCTGGTCCCAGGAATAAATCCCTTTGTAAAGGACTTGGAAGACAAACGATTAGACCCGGATTCTGAACAATTTGATGCCAAGTTTTGGATTAAAAATCTAAGACTATTGCATGATTCAGATCCAGAATATTATAAGCCTGCAAAGTTGGGAGTTGCTTATAGAAATTTAAGAGCATATGGTATAGCAAATGATGTTGACTACAGATCTACTGTTTCTAATTCACTTTGGAAATTTCTAGTTGACAGTTTCCGAAAGCTTCGTCCGCAAGATGAATCTGATTACTTTGATATCTTAAAACCAATGGACGCTCTTATATGCCCTGGGGATATTACTGTAGTATTAGGTAGACCTGGTGCTGGGTGCTCTACTTTGTTAAAGACAATTGCTGCAAATACCTATGGTTTTCATGTGGATAACAGTTCTATTATCTCATATGATGGCTTAACTCCTAAGGAAATTCAGAGTCATTTTCGTGGTGATGTAATCTATTCGGCCGAATCAGATGTCCATTTTCCTCATTTATTAGTAGGTGATACCCTCGAATTTGCAGCAAAATTACGTACTCCCACCAATAGAGGGTTAGGTGTTGATAGAGAAACCTATGCTAAACATATGGCCAGAGTATACATGGCAATGTATGGTTTGTCTCATACCCGATATACCAAAGTCGGTAATGATTTCATTAGGGGTATTTCTGGTGGAGAACGTAAACGAGTATCAATAGCGGAAGTTTCACTAAGTGGATCCAAGATTCAATGTTGGGATAATGCTACCAGGGGATTGGATGCAGCAACTGCTTTGGAATTTATTAGAGCTTTAAAGACTTCTGCCACAATCCTTGAGACGACTCCTATCATTGCTATTTACCAATGTTCCCAGAATGCATATGACTTATTTGATAAAGTTATCGTGCTATATGAAGGCTATCAGATTTTCTTTGGAAGAACAGAGGAAGCCAAGGATTATTTTGCTCGAATGGGTTGGAAATGTCCCCCAAGACAAACCACTGCTGATTTTTTAACTTCATTGACAAATCCAGCTGAAAGAGAACCATTACCAGGCTTTGAGCTCAAAGTGCCAAGAACTCCTAGTGAATTTGGAGCTTATTGGAATAACTCCCCGGAATACAAAGCACTAATGAAAGAAATTAATCAGTATCTTTTTGATTGCAAAGAACTGAAAACTAATGAAAAATATCGTGAAAATCATGCTGCTAGTCAAGCTAAATATTTGAGTTGGAGATCTCCCTACACCGTATCCTTCAACATGCAAGTAAAATACATCTTGCAGAGAAACTATCTTAGATTTAAAGGTGATCCCTCAATTGCTTTATTTCAAGTCATTGGTCAAACTTTTATGGGTGTTATTCTTGCATCTATGTTTTATAATCTACCAAGCACAACCGACTCATTTTTCCTTAGAGGCTCTGCCATGTTCTTTGGGGTTTTGTTCAATGCATTTGCATCCCTTTTGGAAATCATGTCCCTTTTTGAAGGTAGGGCTATTGTTGAAAAGCATAAGAAGTATGCCCTTTACACTCCATCGGCAGATGCATTGGCAAGTGTCGTTTCTGAATTGCCAGTAAAACTTTTGATGATCCTAGGATTTAACATCATTTACTATTTCATGATTAATTTTAGAAGAACTCCTGGAAGGTTCTTCTTCTTTTTGTTAATGAGTGCCTTGTGTACCCTAACCATGTCACATTTATTCAGAACCATTGGTGCCTTATCTACATCTTTAGCAAGTGCAATGACACCTGCGGATGTATTACTTTTGGCAATGGTGATATATGCTGGATTCATTATCCCCTCTCCCAAGATGTTAGGATGGGCAAAATGGATTCTGTACTGTAATCCAATATCCTACATTTTTGAATCCCTTATGGTGAATGAATTCCATAATCGTGAATTTGAATGTACTAATTTCATTCCTAATGGCTCTGGATTTGACAATGTTCCAATAGCTAATAGAATTTGTAATGTCGTTGGAGCACAACCTGGGGAGACTACGGTCAATGGAAGTGACTTCTTGAAAATTTCTTACAACTACACTAATGAGCATAAGTGGAGAAACTTTGGTATAGCTGTTGCATTTGCTATTTTCTTTTTGGGGTTATATGTATTTTTAACTGAATTTAATAAAGGAGAAATGCAAAAGGGAGAAATCGTCCTCTTTCTTAAGCAATCTTTAAAGAAGAAAAAACAGTGCAAAAGAGGTTCAGATATTGAAAGCAGGTCCAATGAGAAGGTTCCTTTGGAAGAAACAACCGAGGCTGAGAAAGTCGACAATGGCTCTCCAACTCTAGATATGGACTCAAAATTACCATCGAGTAAGGAAATATTCTTTTGGAGAGATTTAACATATCAAATCAAAATAAAAGACGAGAATCGAACTATTTTAGATCATGTTGATGGTTGGGTTAAGCCAGGACAAATTACCGCTTTAATGGGTGCCTCTGGTGCAGGAAAAACTACTTTATTGAATTGCTTATCTGAAAGGCTCTCTATTGGAGTCATTACTAATGGGTTAAGAATGGTTAATGGTCATTCATTGGATTCTTCATTCCAGAGGTCAATTGGGTATGTTCAACAACAAGATTTACATTTACCCAACTCTACAGTACGTGAAGCACTAACTTTTTCAGCTTATTTGAGACAATCTCGATTTATCTCCAAGAAAGAAAAGGATGGATATGTTGATTACATCATTGATCTACTTGAGATGACAGACTATGCAGATGCGTTAGTCGGTGTTGCAGGTGAAGGATTGAATGTGGAACAAAGAAAAAGGTTGACTATAGGTGTGGAGTTGGCTGCTAAACCGAAATTATTGTTATTTCTAGATGAACCTACTTCAGGATTAGATTCACAAACTGCATGGTCAATTTGTAAATTGATGAGAAAGCTAGCTGATCATGGCCAGGCTATTTTGTGTACCATCCACCAACCTTCAGCTTTATTGATGAAAGAGTTTGATCGTTTGTTATTCTTACAAGCAGGTGGTCAAACGGTGTATTTTGGTGATATTGGTGAGAATTTCAAGTGTTTGATTGATTACTTTGAAAAATATGGTGCTACTCCATGTCCTGAGGATGCAAATCCTGCTGAGTGGATGTTGGAAGTTGTTGGAGCAGCGCCTGGTTCTCATGCTTCCCAAGATTATTTCCAAGTTTGGAGGAAATCTAGAGAATACCAAGAAATTCAAGATGAGTTGAGACAAATGGAAACGGGATTAGTTAAATTACCAAGAGTAATAGATCCTGAATCAAATTTGACTTATTCGGCCCCAATTTGGAAACAATATCGAACTGTTACCAAGAGATCACTTATTCAAAGTTGGAGATCACCTAGGTATATCTATTCAAAGATATTGCTAGTCACAGCTTCGTCACTTTTCAATGGATTTTCTTTCTTCAAAGCAGACAAGACCATTCAGGGATTACAAAACCAAATGTTTGCTACTTTTATGTTCTTTATACCTTTTGAAACTTTAGTAGAGCAAATGTTACCATTTTTTGTGGAACAGCGTGATGTATTTGAAATGAGAGAAGCTCCTTCACGAACGTTCAGTTGGTTTGCATTCATTACAGCACAAATAACTTCGGAAATACCATACCAAATAATTGTAGGAACATTGGCGTTTTTCAGTTGGTACTATCCTGTTGGGCTTTATGCAAATGCTGCAGAGACCGATGAAATTCATTCCCGTGGTGTGTTGATGTGGTTATTTGTTACTGCATTCTTTGTTTATACATCAACTATGGGACAACTATGTATATCGTTTTTGGAAGTGAAAACCAATGCCGCTAACTTGGCAACTTATCTTTTCACAATGTGCATTACCTTCTGTGGTGTTTTGATTACTCCTTCTAATTTCCCTAGGTTCTGGATATTCATGTACAGGTGTAACCCAATCACTTATATTGTTCAAGGCATGTTGGCTACTGGTTTAGCTAATACAAAAGTTACCTGTTCTAGCACTGAATTATTAGCGATTGAGCCACCACCTTCCCTTAGTTGCAACAATTATTTGGGCCCATATGTTGAACTCTCTGGCGGTTACTTTAGTGCTAATCCAAACGGCGTTTGTGAATACTGTAAGATGAACATGACCAATGATTTTTTGGATACAATAAATGCTCATTTCAGTGAGAGATGGAGAAATTGGGGAATCTTTATTTCATTTATTGCTGTTAACATAGTATTGACAGTTGTATTATATTGGGTTGCTAGAGTTCCAAGAGGAAGTAAGCAAAGAAAACTCAAGTAATTGATTATACCTCTCTGCTTTATATACAGGTGTGTTTTGTATCTGAAGCGACATTTATATATTTTACTATCAATTTAACCTTTCCATTATAATGCTAATTAAGATATAAAATTATAACCTTGCATCCTCATACAAATTTTCGTAAGTGTACTTGGCTTTACGACCTTGTTTATACTCTTCCCAGCCTCTCTTTGCTTCTTCAAATGCATCATATCCCCAAAGGAAGTCTTGGAATACAGGATCAGCAAATCTGTTTGGACATCCAATTTGAGGAGGCTGAGTTAACATTTTTGCATCTCTTTGAAGCTGTTCTGCCCCATCAAGCATATGATAGATTTGTTGGCATTGGGTGGATCCCTTGACCACTTGTGTAGTTCTCCATTTACGAAGAGATTCCGTGAGTTCTAACAAATCATGGATTTGTGATTTGTCTTCTATGCGACTGAATAATCCTGTTAAAATAGCGGCATCTTCGACAGCCTGGGAAGCACCACTGGCTAAATATGGCAATGTAGCGTGTGAAGCATCCCCTAATATAATACAGTTTCCAGTTTCATGTGTCCAAGATTTCAATTCTCGGGAATTTTGTAATCTCCATTTACCAATTGAATGAATCAAGTTGAACATTGTTATCAAAGTAGGATCCCAACCAGCAAATAAATCTAATAATTCTTCCTTGGTGGCTTCCTGGACCAACACATCACGAGGTAGTGTATCTGGGCATAAAACCACGATATTACAGGTTTTACCGCCTTGTAAGAAATACACCACAACGTGCATGCGAGGACCCCACCAAAAGTTGATATCGGGCCTAGACCATAACTTTGATAATTCGGGATACTTTTTCATCTCTTCAACATGAATCAATGCACGGTATGCTAAATCCCCGGTATCATAGGCTAAATCTTCACGGCCCAAGATTAATGAACGTAAACGGGACTTTACACCATCATATCCCACTATAATATCACCAGAAAATAACCTTCCATCAGAAGTGGTGACGGTAGATGAATCGAAATCAACTTCTTCAACTCTTGCACCTAAATAAATCTCAACCCCAACTTCTTGAGCTCTATTAACAAGCGCCTTGTGATAATCAGCACGATGTACATGTAAGTAATGACCTTGGTATTGGTCAAGAGTGTAAGGAATCAAGTTTTGCTGGGAAAGAACATCACCCGTCTCCCAGCGGCGGATATTTAAGTCATGGGGGAAAATAGCATTATCTTCAACCTCCTTCAATACACCCATAGCATTCAATACTTTGATTGAAGGAGGAGGAATTTGAATACCAGCACCAACTTCTCCCAAGTGGTGTGCGGCTTCAAGAAGAAGAACTTGATGACCAGCAAGTCTAAGACCAATAGCTGCAGAAAGACCTCCTAATCCAGCACCAACGACTATGAACGTGAGTGAGATTGGTGCTTTGGGAATATTGTGTTTAGGAATTGACATGTTTTGATATGGAGGTACAACTGAAGATTTTGAGCCTGACAAACAGATCTTGAGAGAGGGGGGGGGGGGGAATTGTTTGTGTTCTTATATTGTGTACATCGGATTTAGCATTATATTGTCGCAATACCTCCGTTGTATTTTTACGTGTGTAACTGTGGGGTTTTCTTTGTTGAATGATTTGTATTTGGAAATAAAATCAATTGTTCTTGTCCGGAAAAGAACTTAGCCAGATAGATTCTTCGGGATTTTGTTTATCCGCGCTGCATTTTTCTATCGGAAATATTTTAGACAACTAAAATTTGATTTCTTGCTATTTCCGGGCACTACTCCTCACATAGAAACGTTACAAAACGTGTGTGGGGTGAGAGGGATAGAATTTCGGTACGACTGGGAACAAATGTGAGGATGTTATAATTGTTGATTGGCTTCCGAGATTCACCAAAAGCCGAAAATCGTCGGTTGCATCGGAGTGTTTTTCCGAGCCATGCGGAAATTAATAGCGGGGGTGTGCCGGATCTAGAGCTGCCACTGTAGATCTTTCCTGTGTACCAATTGCTATAATTGAAAGCAAATTGTCCTCTAATTGTAGGCAGATGGACCTATAATGGTGGGCTCCCCCACCCTATGGTGTTAGTTTTTGCTGTATGCTAGCGGTATATGCAGTATTTAGATCAAATTACGAGAGCTATTTCATTTGATCTAAAGGACTATTACGAAAGATACGGATAATACCTTTTAAATCAGATATCAGAGCACAACATTACAATACTATAAGGACCATAGTAGAAGTATTCTCTTTTCATAAAGTATGTTCAAATATTGCGTTTTGAACCAAAATAAAAAAAAAAAAACACGCAAGGACTACCCTTTAATAATAAAACAAAACATTATCTTCATAAAGACCGAGCTATACACAATTAACTATATCGATTCAACATATCGTAATCAGGTTGGATGGAATCCATGCTTTCGACATATTGAGGCATACCAGTTTCAATAGATTTCATAACTGCTTCAATACAAAGCAACGCCCTTAACGCATCTTCTCCTGTACATTTAACTTCAGTTTCCCTTCCTGTAATCAAGTTGACAAAATGTTCTAATTGCAAGTCAAATGGTTTTGGTTTCTTTCCCATATGCATATGATGAATAGGGGCAATCTTATAATCAGGTGAAGGATATGGAGTTAACATGTTGCCACCTTGTTGCATCATTTCATCTACTGACTTTTCGTGATTCATTTTCAACTGTTCACATTGGATTTCTTTTAACCAAGTTCTGCTATCATCACCGTTATTTCTCATGGTGTTGTCGACTGCATCGTCCATATCCATAGCACATTCACTTATAGACTCGAAGTTTGAGTCATTTTGGTGGTAAAGCTTCAAGTCTGGAACACTAATTGTTCCATGGGATCCAAATATACGATAAAATCCAGCAACATCATTGTTGAATGGAATCGTTGGGTTTTCACCAGTCCCTACTTCAAACAGGAATGGGGAAGTAACATTATCAGAACATACAAAAGTGCCGCAACATCCATTAGCAAATTTTAAAGTAAGTGCTGCCCCTTCATCAACTAGTTCTTGCTCAGGAGTTTGATTATCATCAAATCTATCGGTTCTTTGCTTACACAACAACTCGGCATATACCTTTTCAATTGGCCCTATCAAATATTGCAATAAATCCAAATCGTGGATTAAATTGATTAATAATGTCCCGCCTCCCTTTTCAACAGTTGATCTCCATGGTTTCTCAAGAAAATAAGAAGGTGGTTTACAAATTGTCCATGTGCCTTGAATGGCTACTAGTTTGCCAACCCTGGGCATATTTTCTTTGGTGGTGATTATGTAGGGATTAAACCGACGATGGTGTCCCACAAGAAGCTTCACTTGTTTATATTCACAATAGTTGATTAAAGTCTTGCAGTCAGTAGCATTGGATGCCAATGGTTTTTCAACTAATATGTGAATTCCTTTGCTTGCCAAATCTAACGACATTTGTAGATGCGTGTGATTTGGAGTGGCAATTATAGCTGCGTCAGGTAAAGTCTGGTTAAATTTTTCGCAGTAATCAAACAATTCTTGCAACGATTTAAACAACAAACAATTATACTTTTCTGCAACAGATGGGCCCTTAGCTGAATGGTCAACTATTGCCATTAATTTACAGTCAGATCTGGCTTGAACGTGTTCGGCATGACGTGGTCCAATTAGTCCTGCTCCAATAACAATGAAACTTATGGTAGAACCAGGTGCTTGAATATTGTGAGAAGTCTGTGAATTACATAAATTCTTTGTGTTTTCAAAATACAGAGTTACATTGCTAAATATATCATTGGAAACCATTCTATGTCTATAGTGCTACTAAGAATACAACTTGGAAAAAAGTATATTTACAACAGGGCATTTGATGAAATTTATATTTGCCACATGTCTCTAATTTCCGATAATCTCCGATAGGGAAACACAAACAAACTAACCTGAAATATGAGATCCCTCGCCAAGGGAAAGAGTGTAAGTGTTGTAACTCTTTCCTGTGTGCAGGGAAATATTTTCTTATCTTTCGCCAAATTTTGCAGTTTTTCTTATCTTTGGGATGCTCCTGCATATACCACCCTAGGGAATTTTACCACATTTGCTAACTTAGTTTGTACTTACGGTACTGCCACATGAGCAGATTAAATCTAATCATATACTGATCAGTTCATATACGCGTCTATTTTATAGTTTTTACAATGCCTCAACATCATAAAGTGTAATGTATTAAAGGAAGTTCATGGTCCAGTCCGACTCGGCCAACGCATAGCCACTTCTCTTATCTCTGAAATAATAATTTTTGCCCCTTTTCAATCTCTTCGCTCTAAATCAAAACAATTCCACGTGAAAGCCAACAATGGTGTTGCAACATCAACCTCCCCACTCTGTCACGCGGCCACAGATTAAGAACTTTCTAAACAATAGGGTAACCACGCCCCATTTCTGGAGTCCTTTGTTTTGTTTATCAATAAATCGGTATTGTTGTTTTTCCTTCTTTCATGACGTCACATTATATCTTGGCCTTCATAGTGTTGTGATCACGATCAAACAAGGTCTCGCATAAGTGATCAATAACCCCCCATCCATACCCATTGGCAAATCTTCGTCTTACTATAATATTTGTATGAGCATCAGGAGGAAGATTCACTAATACTTTCCTCCAATTCAAATTTTCGGCATGGTATTTGTTGGCGATAATCACTTGTTTTCTTCGTTTCCATTTACCATGATACCTGAAGAAATCATTAAATGATTGCTTGGTTGATGAATTTGATTCTTGTTTTGGAATATCGTTAAAATGATAGTATTTGTCATGGAAAATTACATGGTGACGCAGCTGGGGATTAATTATAAAGTTTGTCGTAGGTACAGGACAAATCAATGCACTTATTGCTGACGCAATGGCAGATGCTTTTGGAGGAACAACAATTGCTTTCTCGGGTAAACCATTTTCACTCGACACAACTGTTGTTTCTTCATCGCCCAATGAATTACCCGAAGAATCAACTGGCAGGGTATCAGGGAGAACATTTTCAAACAAATTATAATCAGTTCCTTTCGCAGAGAATTTCAAATACTTTTGCTCGCGCTTAGTTAGCTTGCTTTCATTTGAACTCACTCTCAATAACTGTTGATACAATTCTTGGGCTGCAACTATAGGCTGTTTGGCAAGCTGCCATATCTCTGCTTCCTTTTTGCTTTGCATCTGTTCTCGGGCACTTTTCTCTTCATCAGCTATATCATATTCAGGTACTTCCAGAACACTTTGTCTTGTTAAATTAGTTTCAATTGGATTCTCGGGGTCTTCCAATTCAGGGTGTTCACCTATATGTTTTGTTTTCTTTAATTCCGAAACATCGCCCAATGCTTCATAATCTAAGTACAACAATGCTGAAGTTCTTAACGGAACAATTCCATCATTAATTGCATTAGCATACACAGTCAACGATTTGAACTTACTCAAGAATATTTGCAATGGATCATCAGGTAATGTTTCCAATATTGGCTTGAATGTTTTCCTTTTGGCCTCATTCATGTATAAATCACCAAATGTAGGTATTCTTTTCAGCAATGCCAAATCACGACCCGTCTTTCCAAGCGTTCCTATATCTAGCACCCAGGATATTAAGAAGCTGACTTCATTTAGAATCCCCAATAACGGACTTGCTAACGCAATTAGATTTTGTGGTTGAATATGAATTTTTTCAAAATAGTCAGCACCTTTATGGATAAGAATGTATTTAATAGCATATAATTGCACAAGGCCTCCTAATGAATGAGCAATGAATGATATTTTGTCGATTTTATACGGTGTAGTTTCAATTAGTGAGATTATATATGTGGCAACATTGCTGCCTAACCTTTTTACACCACGTTCTGTACGTCCGGCATTGTATCTGTACCCTCGTACCAAGATATTTTCTTGCACTTTGGCTTCTAGGGTATCTTTCAAATAGAGCATATCTGCCGTGAGATTGGAAAACAACCCATGAGTAACTATTACTAAGTGAACTGGTTTCAGAGGGTCTTTTGGTTCGTTATCCCAGATATCATCCGCAGTCAACTTTTCAACCTTCAATTGGGGATTATATATCTTATGGTTAATCTTTTCCTTATTGAATTCTTCAATTTCTTCTTCAAGTGGTGGACTAAGTGGAGAACTCAAATTATCCAAAGTTTGGCTGATTTTACTACGCACTAGTCGCTTCATCAATGCTAGATCATCACCAATCATAAGATCAAACAAGATAGTAGACTTTGTAGATACAACAATCTGTGATATGATATCAATTTCCCATTGGAATACATCTCCTTCTTCAGAAGACGAAACTCGCGAGTTGTCATTCAAGAGTAAAGTTGCATTGAATGATTGATTTGGTTTGATTTGGTTGTCAAACAAGACCTCAGTGTTTGTATCCGCATCATCCGGTGTAAACTGTCTGTGTGGGTCGTAATTATAGGGAATTACATGGCAATAAAGTATGAATGGTCCTTGCAACAAATTAATTGCTCGTATACTAGATCTCTCTATATTTTTCAAACGAAGGTACACTTGTGTTTGTGAGGGATCTCGACGGGTGTAGGTTATAGTGTATCTGTTGACACCACCTATATTTAGGTTATCTCGGTCACGATACCAGGGTAGCATTCTGCCTGTGGGGTGGGGAGTGGGTTTAATCGTAAGTCTTTCCCTTAAAAAAGAAGACACCGATTTTCTACCAAGCACAAGAGAACTGCGGTTTTTTCGGCTTTACAAAAATTCACATGCGTTAAATCATAAACAAAAAACTATTGAAGCTTTACTTTGGAATACTTCTGCTTGATGGCATCAAAAACACCAAATAAGCCAAACTTTCTAAGTAATGCCAATTCAACAATGAATCTAGGCACAAAGTACATAAGATGACCCAAGAAGAAAGCCATACGACCACGGTAAATGTTCAATTTACCTCCCAACAGAGCATTTTCAAAGTCATCCACTACACCTTTAGCATAAACTTCCGGTGGAATTGGATTGTTCTTCTTTGCCATTTGTCTTCTTTGGTCAAATGCATTTTTGATACCTGGAACATTATAGAGGGAAGTTGATGGCAAGTCTCTCTTGTCTTCAATATTAGTCTTTACACCACCAGTAACAATATTTATAACCTTAACATCAAAAGGTTTCAAATCTACTCTCAATGTAGCAGCATATTGGTGAATCGCAGCTTTTGTAGCAGAATAAATTGACGAAAATGGAAATGGAACGCAACCACTAACAGACCCAGTGAATCCAATGACACCCTTGGCATTGATAACCAATGGTGCAAGTTCACGAACTACTCTTACAGGACCAAACACATTAACTTCAAAACATTGCTTCACCTGTTCATCAGTAACATCAATTGCGGGGAAAGTACATGATTGACCAGCATTGTTATACAAAAAGTCCAAGTAATCATCACCAGTTTGTTCTTGGATAAACTTCTTTGCGTTCTTGACTGAATCTAAATCACTGACATCCAATTGGAAAATGATTACTCCGTATTCATCCTTTAAAACTTGCATGGGTTCTAATCTTCTTGCCCCTGCGAATACTTTGTATCCTCTCTTGGCAAACTCAATGGCGGTGGCAAGTCCAATTCCGGACGAAGCTCCGGTGACTAAAGCAACTCTTTGACGTTCTGGCATATTATGGGCACTAGAAGAGTGTAGTGGCAACAAAAAAGAACTGTAAAACAAAATGTGTGTCAATTTTCACTTGCAAGAATGTGATTTTATGCAAAAGAAAGAAAAAAAAAATATTTGATCTAGATTCACTAAATAAATGCAACAACAATGGAGAAAGTTTTCCAATTAATAGAATCAATGTTACTTCGTTCAATGGGAATGTCTATTAATCATAACTCTTATTTAGATTGATCCAGAAAGTCGGTTATTGAAGGTATCGTCATAGTTCAAGTCGTGAATCGAGAACCATAAAGACTGTTGCAAGGTTGACACGGGATTACCCCGCCCTCTTTGACATATCTTGGATTCGCACCGAGGTATTCGCTTAAGTTAGCCGATGTCTTTAGTTTACACCTGCTCGGCAGAGATCAAGATTATATTTTGGAGAGATTATTTTTAAGCAAGTTAAGTTGTTGCCAAAACTAGCCAAGAGTGCGGCTACAAAAGTCACTCTTTCTCTCCTCATTACTATTATCCTATATTTGTGGGTTTCTATAAACAGTTATTTTAGCCAATTATATACAAGGGGTTATCTATCGCACCTACTTTTTAAACTCATCTTCAAGTACATCCTGGTCAAAATAATGCATAAACTTAACCGGTTTCGCCTGATCAGGTCTGTCAATATGCAACACGGGAACGTCATAGCAATACTTATCAAACCATTCCTGATTTTCCGGCTTCATAATATCAATAGTCTTCAAATTGATCTTGATATCACCGACATCGGGAGAAACAATTGCTTTTCGAAGAATCTCCCCTGCATTGGTACACAACATACACTTTTCCTTGGTGAAGAATGTAAGAGATACTTGTGTATTAACCAAACTTCGTGAAAAGTATCTCTTAGATGTATACATAAACTGGTTTGGAACTCTCATTTGACACTACTCCTCAACTTGAACCTAGGTCTCGAACTTTGCACTACGTTTTCTTTTTTCCAATTTTTCACGCACACCATAAAAAAAAAATTGAAAATTTAGTAGATCAAATTTATTAATGTTTTGACCACACCAAATTACTTACTTATTATCTATTGAAGTCTGTATACATCCAAAGATGAAAATTAATATAAAAAAATGATTCCGCCCAGGATCGAACTGGGGACGTTCTGCGTGTTAAGCAGATGCCATAACCAACTAGACCACGGAACCAGTAGGAAAATGTAGAGAAATGATTCCGCCCAGGATCGAACTGGGGACGTTCTGCGTGTTAAGCAGATGCCATAACCAACTAGACCACGCAACCGGTTTCTCTTGTCGGTATTTTTGGTATGTTTAGACAACTTTGTTTTTCTAAAAGCACGTGCAATACATTCTCGGATGTTCCGTCATTACCCTCGTAATTATGCGTCACGTGAAAAGAGGGTGATTCTATAAATTTCTAGTTTATATCAATTGAGCTCAATTATCAATAAAGCATGTTGCAAGGCATATACAGGTGTTTATTTAAGACTATGAGTGATTAGCATGAATCTAGTGTACGTTTTTGACGGTTGGGAGAATATATACATGTCATGGAATTTAAGTAAATTTCCACAAAAATCTGAAGAAGTCACAATGATTATATTTTGCATATCTTGTCCTCACATTGGGAATTACCAAATAAATATTCAATAAAAAGAGAAAGGATTATGGAGTTGCCATATCAATTCCTAATGTAAAGTAAAACCCCGGTTCAACCCCCCGCCCCCCACACTCGGCCAGATACAGCCTTGTAACAAACAAAGTCCGACAATCATATGCAACGGTAAGCACTCAACAAGGCAAGTCCGGGATGTTTAATGCAGGGAGGCTTGACCAAATTAAAGAAACAAGCTTAGTCAGCAAATTTAGTAAGAAGTTTAATAATAGCAAGGAATCGGGTGATTTCTTATGGATCCTGCGGGGGTTGCACTAAGCTGAAAAAATAATATTGTTAACAGACTAAGACATTGATGTGCCACCCCCGCAATTTTCGTATGCTGCTGCACCATGTAAGTCATAATTTTTGCGCAATTAATGAATGTTTATCTATTGTTCCTAATTTGGAAGATAATATTGTTAGTTACAACTCTAAAATAATGACACGTCCCCAAGCAAATAATGGTAGTATTTGAAAGGAGTTCGTTCGTTTATCTAGGTAAACTGCGGATGGACTTGCTTCACAGCTGACCTACATTGATCGGACGTATCAAACCTTGGCTCATTGTCAGTCTTTTTCATCTCTTCTTTTATAGGATATTTTGTTTTCAAGCTGGATTTAAACCGAAGCTCGGAGTTCAACGGAGATTCAATACTAATTCCGTTGCTTAAAAAAATATTTTCCGCAAGAAAACAAAAGAAAACGGACAACGCCTTTCCAGTTCAACTCCGAAGCTGGATAAGTCCAGAGAATAAGGAAGACACCAACTCCAGGTAGCAACTTTGAGAGATAAACACATGATATCCGATCAAGGACTAACCAATCGTAAAACAATTCATTGATCTCGTTTGAAAATGAATTAGAGGGTAGCCTTGTCAACAGCCTTGGGATTATTTTTTTATAATATTTTATTCTATGGAGATTTGTGGGGAAAGTCCCATATAATAATCTTATACAATCTGGTGATCGAATCTTGCTTAACCGTGAAACGAGGTTGAAATTTCCCTAAGTAGCAACCCTATCCAACCCCCCTAAAAGAAAAGGGAAGACAGAAGTTTTGTCTAAGCCGACACCAAAAAAAAAAAATCAAAACAAGAAAAAATAAAGTTTCATTGTTAAACATAATTTCATTCGGCTCTTTTTTCTTCTTTATCGTTCCCATGGCGAAACGAACCTGCCAGCCGTGGATTAAACGTGTGTGGGTCCTAGCGGCCACCTTCCAAGCATTTATGAGCCGATTTATGTCAAAGTGAAATAGTATCCCAAGAAATAATATGTAATTTCACTGTTGCCAAGATCGGTTATTTTGACATTTTTGAGGCATAACTTAGAATTTAAAACCGTCGACATCATCCAAAAAAAAAAAAAATAAAAAAAAATAAACACCGGCGATCCAAGCAAGGTCCGAAACCACCACTTTTTTTGCTTTTAGGTTTAACCTTCACCCGCTTCTTTATCATTCAAATGTACAAAATAAAAAGCCTAGGACATTGTTTTTGTTCTATTGTTTTACTTGAAATTTTAAACCCAGTTTGTCACTGTTTTTTTTTTTTTTTGACTGCGGTGCAGCAAATCTCGTAAAGTATTACAAATGAACAGGGACCTGTCGGCTCAATGGTTATACATTTCTGAAAGTGAAAATCATTAGCACATATATAAAGTGCTTATTATTCTATATATACTTGACCGAAAGAGAGCAAATACTTTTTAGCTCCGAATTCACCAATTTTTAAAATAATCGGAGTCCTTTCGGAGTGGGGGTCCTGGTGCTTGATGGACTGTTAAATTAGCCCCACTTCTAAAAAATATCTTTTTATTTTTTAATTTCTTTTGTAGTAATTTCTCTTTAACAGAAACTTTTTCACTGTTTTCATCTTCTATATAAATACCCCAAGTTATCCTCCCCGGATTTGCTGTTCTCTTAAACTTACTGTTTGTAATTCAGGATAGACTGTATTCCATATAATTAAGAAACTTGCCTTTCACTTGTTTTATATTTCATTTAGTACACCCACATACCTTAGTAATATCATATAATGGCTTCCACATCTTCGCAAAAATCAGTTAATACTTCTTTAGAAGAACATACACCTTTAGGAAAGGTCCAAATCGCCGGTGAAGGTGGTGAATATGTTATCATCAATAAGAATAAATACTACAGACATGATTTAATGGCTGCTTTCGGTGGTAACTTGAACCCTGGTGCTTCTCCATACCCAACCATCAACATTAACCCTGCTCCTCTTGGGTTATGTGGATTCGCTTTAACCACCTTTGTTTTATCTTTATACAATGCTCAAGCTATGGGTATTACCATTCCAAATGTTGTTGTTTCTCTTGCTTGTTTCTATGGTGGTGCTGCCCAATTCTTTGCTGGTTGTTTTGAATTTGTTGCTGGTAACACCTTTGGTTTCACTGCTTTAACCTCATATGGTGCTTTCTGGTTGAGTTACGCTGCTATTTTCATAGAAAGTTTTGGAATTCTTGAGGGATATGCTGATGCTGAAGAACAAATTCCAAATGCTGTTGGGTTCTTTTTAATTGGATGGGCTATCTTTACATTCATCTTGTGGTTGAACACTTTCAAGGCTACCGTTCCATTCTGTGCTTTGTTCTTCTTTTTATTCGTCACTTTCTTGTTATTGGCCGGTGGTGAATTTAGTGGACATGTTAATGTGGGTCGTGCTGGTGGTGTTTTCGGTGTCATTACTGCCTTCATCGCCTGGTGGAACGCATATGCCGGTGTGGCCACTCCTTCAAACTCATACTTGCAACCAATCTATATTCCAATGCCAGGAAACCAATTAAAGAAAGACTAAATTTCTTGACTATTTATTTCATATTTATTTCATAGTTTAATTTTAATGCAACAATGACGTTTATTTAATGTTTAGAACTTATTACTTTAATATATGCCGTATTATGACACCCTAAAACAAAGTCTTCAACTTATTCATTATATATCTTAGATGTATGTGATTCTTGCCCTCACCCCCCAGTTTTCTTGATTCAAATTGTTGCCAATTTTTTTTTGGTTGTAAGTTTTAACTGAAAATCTGCGACAGAGAAAAATTACCTTAGTTCAGCATTAGTAATAACCACCATGAAGTTTATAAATACCTTCATAGCCACCACTTTGTGGCTATCTTCATTGACTTTAGCATATTCATCGTCTAACTTAATCCAAGTATCAGATAAAGATTTTAAACAAGTTGTTATAGAGTCAGAAAAATTTACTTTTGTTGACTTTTATGCTGATTGGTGTCGCCATTGTAAGAAGTTAGCACCAACTATAGAAGAATTAGCTGACTTGTTCAAAAATTATCCTCAAGTTCAAATAGCCAAGATTAATGGGGATGCAGATGGAAAGAAAATGGGTAGGAAATATGTATATCAAGGGTATCCTACATTGTTGTTTTTCCATGGTAGTAAGGAACCAGTAGAATTCAATGGCAGTAGGGATTTGGAAAGTCTTTCCAATTTTATCCAACAATTGAGTGGTATTAGACTTAGCAGTACATCTGCCGAAGAAAAAGAAGAAGTGGATACAGTGCCTGTAGTTGAAAATAAACTTGTCAAGATTACTCCTGAAACATTTAATGACACTGTTAGCTCATATCCCTATGCTGTTGTCCTGGTTGGCGCCACATGGTGTCGATATTGTCAAGAATTGAAGCCGAATCTTGATATTTTGGCAAATACTGTTTTTGGAAGAGACAGTTCCAAATTGTTGATTGGCTATTTGGAAATAGATGAACATGAAAATGAACAAATCAGTGGCAGATATGGAGTAGAAACGCTCCCAACACTCTTATTCTTTAAGGATGGAAACTTAGATAATCCTTTGGTTTATAAAGGAGATAGAAAATTTGTATCATTAGTGGAGCAATTGAATAAGTTTACTAATTTGTCGAGAGATTCAGAGGGCAATCTAACTCCCAATGCTGGAGTGTTACCAGAAATCAGTCAATTAATAAAGGCAAACACAGATCCTGATTCGATATTGTCAATCTTTGACAAATTGGATACTCTTGTTGTAGAGGAAGAAACCAAGGGATACTATGATAAGATATTATACAGCATTTTGAAACATGAAGGTGGTTTTCTTCAAGTGGAATTAAACAGAATTAACGATATTTTGACTAAAGAGGTTGCAAAATTGGATTCCGTTACTATTGATTCATTGAACAAAAGATCCAACATACTTAGACTGCTCTTGTAACTTAGAAAGCATTTCTATTAAATATTTACTTATACACTTTTGTATATAGTAATGACGATACACATCTACCATTCGATAGGATCAAACTTTTGTACAAGTCTTACCTTGTCAGGCCAAACCTTTCCTCCACCTTCAATGCACTCGTCAATAATTGGTTTGACATTGTTTGGTTTACACAAGGCTAACCAAATATTCTTACCTTCAGATTTAAGATAAATAATAACATTTGCCGCGAATTTATGCCCACCTATATGATTGATAAATGCAACATTAACGCCACCTGGGGAAGAATCACCAAAGTCACGATAAAGGCCCAATTCCCGGAGGTAAAGATCCATTTCTTTCTTCATAATTGGCGCGGTTAAACCACATCTTTTATCTCTACTTTTATGGGAACACAAGAACACATATGCCTTGGAGGGATCAACTTGAACCTTAGGAATGGCAGTGATGATATCGGGAATAGGTTTCTTATCCACTAACATTTCAATTAACTTGTCTAAAGTAGAGTCAACCTCAGTAATAGTAATCCCCTTTACCCATATAAAATATGGCAATAAAAGAATATCTCCTTTCTTTTCTGTCATATATTCATCGTCAACGAGTAACTCGTCAGAACCTAAGGATGAACAAGTTACCTTTACATTCCCCAAGGTAGCCTTTTTAGGATTCTTGGAGTCATCAGCCCACTTTGAAACTTTGTTCAGAAGGGTACCTCTAACACCGGTAGCATCGTGTGGCCAATCCAGTTTACCAGTGGAAACAACAATATGCAAACCATATGGTTTTGTAGATTTCCATAATGATGCGCCTTCTTCAAATTTAAGTGAGCTTGGAAACTTCAGAGAACATGATTCACAGGTCTCTGAGCATTCACTTATCTTAAACCCTTGCTGTTTGATTTCCGTAGTCGGATCAGGTTTGCCCCAAAGTCTGTTTAAAATCGTCATCGGAACTTTTCGGTGAATTGAATAAAAAAATTTTTTTCTAACTTGGCAGTTTTAGATAGATTACAAAGTTAACAATTGTTGCTTACAACCTTTTGATCCTGCAAAAGAGGGTATTATATAAATATCAAGCAGAAGTTCAGGGATTGGCTGGAAAAGAGTCAGCGTGACATATTTATAAATCATGTGTTGGTCAGCGCATAATCATATATCCGCCTATTTCTTTTTTTATTTTTACGTAATCAAAATAAAAATATGCGAAATGCGGACCGATATCCGTTAGGATCCGCTGTGGCTGTGGGATAAGCTGCACACTAATGCACTTTCTTCTTGGCTACTTCCAATGTAGTCAAGCTCTACAAAATGTCCTTACGGACTTAAAAATGTGCAGGTTCTGATAACCTGCAATTAGAAATGCAAGAGCATTTGAGTATAAAACGTATCGTGTGTCTTGAAAAAAAAAGCTAGTAAAAACGAGAAAAAGAAATTACGGATTTCACGTAGATTGATCTGATTAGAAATATTGTAAATTAATTAAACTTTCTATACAAATCTGTAAATATTCCTACATATAAGGATTGGTAGCTTCAGTAAGGTAATCCCAAAGTTTATCACAAGCTTCATCCTGAATAATATCTTTTCTTGCATGACCTGGGGTTCCAAAGGAAATACTATGTGACCCATCTTTCACATCTGGAGAAAATGCAGCAAATAATTCAGTGTAAGCACCCATTCTTCTTGGATGAAAAAATAAACTGTAAAGCACCTTTTCAAAAGATGTAGCATATCTTTGTAAATCAGTGTTTAAGAAGCCAGGACATAAGGAAGAACTAATGATTTGTGAACCAGTGTTATGTTTACGAGTCCATGTTCTTGCCTGCATAATAGCACCAGCTTTGCTTTGTCCATAAATCAAACTATCGGCAGCATTTGTCTTTTCAAAATTCACATCTTCCCAGTAAAAACCACCTAAAGGTGCTAACTGATGGGCTGATGAAGAAACCCATACAATACGAGATTCACCTGGAGCATTAGTTTTTGCAGTTTTAATAAAAATAGGATCTAAAAGACGTTGAAGAAGGTGTGGACCAATAACGTTGGTACCAAACTGTAATTCATATCCTTGCTTGGTCTTGGAACCTAAAGGAGGCATCATCACACCTGCATTATGAATAATAAGATCTAACCTAGATTCCTGGGATAAGAATTTTTCAGCTGCAGGTTTAATGGTATCCAAATCACTCAAATCTATTTGAATAAAGTTGATATCCGTGTTGGAGACGTTGTATTCCTTAGCAACTTCCAACTGTATCTGTTTGATGGCTTCAAGGGTCTTTTCTTCGTTTCTCGAAAACACATACAATTTAGCCTTTGTTGAACCAGCTAATGACTTCACGGTTTCATAACCTACACCGGTATTCCCACCAGTGACAATAATAACTTTTCCTTCAAAGCTAGGGTATTGATCTTCGGTAAATTTTGGCTTACCAGGCCAAAATCCATGAAGCATTTGTTTCCAGTCTTGCCACGATTTTGAGGGAATGATTGGAGCAGACATTATTGTAGTGATATTATTATGTTGTGTTATTAAATTGTTGTAGATGTTGATAAATTATCAGAAAGTTGATGTTCCTCCTTGTCTTTATATGGTTGCGTAAATGCGGAACGGAAAATTTTGGTTGCATAAAAGCAACCGCTAGCCGTCACTTGGAGCAAAGCATTTTCTTTTACTTCATAAACAGGATAAAGTTCTAGAACAATTAAATTATTGTCTCGAATTTGTAATATATTACTAACTACAGGTGAAGTTTATTCCAGGAATTTGTTTCATGCAGAATCTGAAGTTCTTGTCTAAGATACAACTACAGTGAACAACTGAAAAACCACAAAGCAAACTACATATAATGCATGCACGCTTAATTAAGCTATAAACATGAATATTATTAAACTTACTAAGTTTATTTGATCTAGAATATCAAGCTAGAAAGTATAAGTGTTTCCAAAGTTGATTCTTATTTAACTATTTAGTTTATTTAATCAACACTTATCTTTCTTATTACATAGACTATTTTCCTCTATTTTCTGCCAACGATTGTAACTTATAAAATTTTAACAAAAAGGAAGTACATAAATGGAAATTAAGGGGTTGGCTATGATGTTGGCAGAGTTGAATTTAAAGAATATGGCTGATCCTAATGACACACTGAAAGTATAATTGGAGCCAACTAAACAGTCATTGTATTAAAGTGCTAGCTAAAACTATTTATAGACTTACATATAAGGATCAGTGACTTTATTGAGATAATTCCAAACTTTATCACAAACTTCAGGGTCAAGAAGATCTTTTCTTGCATGACCAGGAACCCCAAAAGAAATACTATGGGACCCATCTTTCACATCTGGAGAAAAAGCAGCAAACAATTCAGTGTAAGCACCCATTCTTCTTGGATGTAAAATGAACTTATACATAACCTTTTCAAATGAGGAAATGTGTCTTTGCAAATCGGTATCCAAGAAACCGGGACATATGGAGGAGCTAATTATTTGAGAGCCAGTGTTGTGTTTACGAGTCCAAGTTCTAGCTTGAATAACATTACCAGCTTTGCTTTGGCCATAAATCATCATTTGATCATTATTGGTAACTTTCATTTTTTCAAAATTGACATCGTCCCAGTGGAAACCTCCCAAAGGAGCAAATTGATGTCCCGAAGAGGCCACCCATACAATACGAGATACACCAGGAGCGTTCTTTTTGGAAGTTTCAATAAAGATAGGATCCAAGAGACGTTGAAGAAGATGAGGTCCAATAGTATTTGTGCCTAATTGTAACTCATAACCTTGTTTGGACTTGGAACCAACAGGTGGAGTCATCACACCAGCGTTATGAATGATGAGATCTAATCTTGATTCTTGAGATAAGAACTTTTGAACAGCAGGTTTGATTGTTTCTAAATCACTTAAGTCAACCTTGATAAAATGAATTTCCCGGTTGGAGATATTGTATTCTTTGGCGACTTCCAATTGAATCTGTTTGATTGCCTCGAGGGTTTTTTCTTCGCTTCTAGAAAAGATATACAATTTAGCTTTTGTTGAACCAGCCAAGGATTTAACAGTTTCATAACCTACACCGGTATTACCGCCAGTAACTATGACAACTTTCCCTTCGAAGCTAGGGTATTGACCTTCGGTAAATTTTGGCTTTCCTGGGAAAAAACCATGAATAATTTGTTTCCATTGCTCCCAACCTCTTGGTGGTACTACTGGACCGGACATTTTGTAAATTTGTTAACTAGATTGTTGATTATGTAGATGTTGAAATCAGAAAAGCCAAAAAAGGCTTTTATAGGATTGCAAAAATACGGAACGGGCTGCAAAAATTCTTCCGCTATCCGAGGCAACATTTAGTTAAAAAAATAGAAACAATTAAAACATAATAGAATTCATATATCTGAGCCGTATTGTGCTGAATGAAGATGAAATAAACAATAGCCATTGATGTTAACGCCGATCTCTCAGCCAATCAACCCCCCGGGAAGATATATATGAAATAACCTATGAATTATCTCTTGAGTCAAATAATCTAAAAGAAACCAGGACTTATGGGAAATATTACTTTACAACACGTTCATTTTTCCTTTTCTTTATTTCAAAGTTCTTCATTCTCCTTTGGATCTAACCACAGCTTTCACTCTTGTTTATGAAGAATTTTTCTTAGCAGCAGGTTGAAAGCGTTACAAAAAGGGACACGTTTGGGGTGATTATAATAGTATTTTGTGTTATTAAATTATGATAGATGTCTACAATAAGTATCACAAAAGTGGTCATATTTCCTTGTAGTCTTTGCATGGCTGCAAAAAGCGGGTCGGAAAAATAAAGTTAGCTGCAGTAGGTATCCGCTGTCCGACAAAGGGAAAGAGCAAATTGTTCCATATTCTACCTACATGAATGGAACAACGACTTACTTGCTCCAAGTTACTAGCTTCTTACTGATTTCCTGTTCAGGTTTTCTGAGGAGATAATTTAATAGAAAACTTGAAATGTGTGCGAAAGCATATTACTAAAATCAAATTTATTTCCATCTGATTTCCAGGAGCAACAGTTGCAGGGACATATGATTAACCTTAAGAATAAATGAAGCCTATATTATAATTTAGTATGTATCAAGGTTTGGTAATTATGCTGACTAAGCTGGATATTAATAGTAGGAATATTATAGAACTGAACACGCGATGGAATCACACTAAGAAATTGTTTATTAAAAAAAAAGATTACCATAAATATCTATAAAATCTTACATATAAGGATCAGTAGCCTCATCAAGGAAATTCCAGACTTTATCACAAGCATCATCTTGAAGAAGATCATCTCTTGCTTGACTTGGGATCCCAAAAGAAATACTATAAGAACCGTCTTTGACATCTGGAGAAAAAGCAGCAAACAACTCAGTATATGCACCCATTCTTCTTGGGTGCAATAACCAATTGGCAAGAAACTTTTCAAACGAGGAAACATGTCTTTGTAAATCAGTATTCAAATAACCAGGACATAAAGATGAACTTATTATTTGAGAGCCAGTATTATGTTTACGAGTCCATGTTTTAGCTTGCATAATATTACCAGCCTTACTTTGACCATACACCATCATCTCGTCTGTTTTAGAAATTTTAATTTTCTCAAAATTGAGATCGTCCCAATGGAACCCTCCTAATGGAGCTGATTGATGAGCAGAAGAAGCAACCCATACAATACGAGATACACCAGGAGCATTCTTTTTGGAAGTTTCAATAAAGATAGGATCCAAGAGACGTTGGAGTAAGTGTGGACCAATGGTATTTGTGCCTAGTTGTAACTCATAACCTTGCTTAGATTTTGAACCAACAGGTGGAGTCATCACACCAGCATTATGAATGATGAGATCTAATCTCGATTCTTGAGACAAAAACTTTTGAACAGCAGGTTTGATTGTTTCTAAATCACTTAAGTCAACCTTGATGAAATGAATTTCCCGGTTGGGGATATTGTATTCTTTGGCGACTTCCAATTGAATCTGTTTGATTGCCTCGAGGGTTTTTTCTTCGCTTCTAGAAAAGATATACAATTTAGCCTTTGTTGAACCAGCCAAGGATTTAACAGTTTCATAACCTACACCGGTATTCCCACCCGTAACTATAACAACTTTTCCTTCAAAGCTAGGGTATTGATCTTCTTTAAAAGTTGGCTTTCCTGGGAAAAAACCATGAAATAATTGTTTCCATTGTTGACAAGTTCTTGCTGGTACTACTGGAGCAGACATTTTGTTTGATGATTAACTTTTTTAGTTGTATGATTGGGATTCATGTTGTAATTGGAAAAGTTAGATCCCTAGAAGGCTTTTATAAGGCTGCAAATTGCGGAACGGACTGAGAAAATTCTTCCGCCATCCGAGGCAACATCTGATAATTTTAAACACACTAACGGAAAAAAAGAAACAAAGAAAAGATAAGCGAGACGTATTTCCGAAACGTGTGTTTTATCCTAATAACCGTCGGAGTTAGCAAAAAACTTAAGCTTTATATCCAAATCTGAGATAGCTGAATGAAAATCAGAAGAAATGTGTGCAATTTATCAGGAATAACCATTAGAGCCAAATAATCTTGAACAAAACGGACAAATTTGATGATTAGGTCATAAGAATGTACGACATTCATTATTTAATTCATTTTACCAAGCAAACCAATCATGTCATTTAGAAGACCAACTTCCAAGCTCCTTTTATAGAAAAATCACATCCGTTAGTGTGACATAATACATACGAAGCTTTAAGCTAGTACTACACCTTGAATGCTACACTCTCCCCACCTAAACTTGTCGCGTGCATTCGAAGAAAGAAGTAGTGTGTACCACAAAACTAAGGAAACCGGCCAAGCAAAATTTGATGTGAATCAAGCCGAATTTGTTGTTTACATAACAACGAGATCTTCATTTAGAGTAGAGGAAAGTTGTCATTTTAACTTAGCTAAGTAATTTCCAAAGTTTTGAGGTACAGCCCCGTGCACTGATTGCAAAAAGGGATGACCAAGGTTCAGAATTATTCCTATACAGTTTAGTCTAACTTTCTATAAATAAACCTAATCACCCCGAATATAGCCTCTGTTGCATATTCTTGTTTTCCATCTCTCTGTTTCAAGCGGCACGAAAATGATAATTCATTCCTATGTCATCGCCACTTTCGTCATTTACCAATTTCCCAACTAGGACAAACTCTGTCGTGCACGAGGATAAAATTGGTAATGCCACAAAAAAAAAACCGAGCCCACATTACTACCAAAATTTAAAAATTACATTTTAGGTGATTATTTGTTTCTATCAATAGAATGTCTACATCCAATATGATGGTATTGAATGGTCAAACAGACATGAAATTCATGAATCAATTTGATCATAAGGATCCATCACCATATTCAGTAATACCCGCTGCCAGGAGAAGCCTAGATTCACCAAGGAGTAACTTTAATAGCATTGCACCAGCTACATCATTGAGAAGCCCGAATGACATCATATCAGACCGTTCAGAGACTCCATTGGAATTTTCCAGGCGACGCACCACTTCATTTCCCATCATATCAACATATATGAAGCTGTCACAGCAAACTATTGTTGCCGCTGAGGTTGAACAACAGAACCAAGAAAAATCACCACAAGAACCAAAACAAGACAATCACACACTAGAAGAACCAACATTGGAAGAGCCAACACATGAGGAACAAGAAAAACAACCATTGCTTGCCACCCCACAGCGCTCAATATCCGGATCGGTTGCTTTATCAAGACATTCAATATCTGGTCATCGTCCCATAATGAAGCGAAACACATATCCTGCATTCAGATCACAACAAGAACTCCCAGTATTAACCAATGATGAATTACAAAGAAGAAGAGATTCAATCTTGATCAAAAGAAACTTAACCAAGAAAAGAATCGAAGATGCCAAGGAAATAGTAATTGGAAACAAGATCAGTGAAGGACACGAAAATTTCGTGATGGCATATAACATGTTGACAGGTATTCGAGTAGCAGTTTCTAGAGTTTCCGGAGTGAGAAAAAAACTTACTGATGATGATTTCAAGGCAGTCAAGAAACTATCATTTGACATATATGGAAGTGAATTAACCCCTAGTTCAAAGTATGATTTCAAATTCAAAGATTATAGTCCAGAAGTATTTCGAGATTTACGTCTGTTATTTGGAGTGGATGCTGCAGACTATTTAATGTCAATAACAGGAAAGTATATTTTATCTCAATTAAGTTCTCCCGGTAAATCTGGTTCATTCTTTTACTATTCTCGGGATTATAGGTTTATCATCAAAACTATCCATCACGCAGAACACAGGCAATTACGAAGAATACTCAAAGATTATCACCTGCATGTCAAAGAAAACCCCAATACATTAGTATCTCAAATTTATGGTCTTCATAGAATTAAAATGCCTCTTGGTAGCGGAAGACGAGTGGTTCATTTTGTTGTCATGAATAATTTATTCCCACCACATAGAGACATCCATTTGAAATATGATTTAAAGGGGTCTACACATGGCAGAATAACCAGAATTAATGCACATGAAACAGATTTATCCAAATACACTCTTAAGGATTTGAATTTCCTTGAACGGCATGAGATGATAAAATTTGGTCCAGCGAAACGTCAGGTATTTTTCAAGCAACTAGAAGCTGACGTGAAATTTCTAAAGAAGGTTAATGTTATGGATTATTCATTACTTATGGGAATTCACTATGTGAACCAAGGTAACAAAAATGGTATAAATCTTTCCATTTTTGATCCAAAATCAGGCGACAAGACAGTATTAATAAATACAAATCCTCGAGATATAGAACGGCAGGATTTACCTACTGATGTGTACCCTGGGAGGTCCAAATATGTATTTTATGGTCATGATGGTGGTATTAGAGCTACGGACGAAGAAAACAAGCCACTTGCTGAAATATACTATATGGGGATCATTGATTGTTTGACGGGATATCGTACCAAGAAGTCATTAGAAACTTTCTTTAGGTCCATGTGGAATTCGCGATCAGTTATATCTGCGGTGCCACCCAGGGAATATGGTGATAGATTTCTTGACTTTATAAAGAAGGGTACTGGCCAAGCTAAAAAGAAACAAAGCTAAAAGCAGATTTAATTGTGGGAGAAAAGGGTCGATAAATTGCAATGAAAACATTGTTGATACATAGTAACTAATGTAATTTGCATGGAATGACTCCTTCACATTCAAAATAATTTCAATTTTTATTATTTATTATACTTCCCACTGGTGGTAAGCTATATAGAAGCATATATATGGGTATTATTAATAAGCATTAGAGGAAACGAATGATTCAAGTACACTGAGCCTGAAATGTAGTTTGCTAGTTATTTGAGAATAAGACAAGGACCTAAAATCTTTAAACCACTTTCCCCCCCATGATGAATTAACTTTCTGGTGAATGTGGAAACAAGTGGATATGTCGCAAAAGTGATTAATTCTTATTTCTAACTTGGATTTACAAGAAAAAGGTCAATCCCCATTCTATTGCAATACTTTCCAAAGTACTTGGCATGAGGGAATTCCATGGGGGTAACTATAACCGGTTTTGAGCAACTTCACAATTCCGCTCCATTCCTTCTTTTGGATGTCATTTTCTGCATGAATTATGTCTATAAGTCCATATCTATTTCTAGAAATGACCCCCCCCTGAAATTGTAGATGAAAGTGGAGTCAAGTATAGCCGAGACCCAAGCCGGTTTCTTTCTGGTGTCAAGCGATTTAGTCAAAAGGGGGGTTAGGATAAACTTTGAAATTCTTGTACCACGGAGAACTTAGTCGCAACTCCCTTGTGGGGTACATATCATATAAATAAATCTGCCGAGGAGAACACTTAATTTCATCTTAAAACATGCAGGGTCCTGCGGAAGAGATGGTAAGATTCTTATCTGATCGTTAATAAATTATAACCGACTATTTCATAACACAATGCATAAGCTTGCATCCTATCGAATGACATAATGCACCTGTTATTTTGTCCTCAAAAGTAAGGAATGATTGCATCCGCGGAATCGTATGACATTATAGATTGGCGGTTTTGCAGAGTTAAAGAATACCCGAGATCACCGTTTCATTTACTTTTGCGTTATTACGTTGCTACAGTTATAACCTTAAAGGTGAAGCCGTGTAGGTTCCTGGTAAAAATAGCTTATTTTACTTTTCTTGGGTCTAGATTTCAGGTTATTTTTGTGCAAGCATTATTTTTTTCTGGAACCAGGTATCCGACGGTATTAGCTACAGCAACCATTTCAGATAATAAAAAAATTTAAGCCACTAAAGAAAACCGAGATCGAAACTAATAGGCTAATAATCGAGTTTCAGTTCTTTTTTAGTTGTCCCTTGTTTCTCTTAAATTAGCTTGCTTTTTATTATTCTCAAATTTCATTTACTAATAGAAATAGGGTAACAATATTGCATATTTTGCAGATATGAACTGAATTTGCGGAAATGCAAAAAAAAAAAAGAAATGCAAGAAATATTATTTCATCATTGGTTTTGAATTTTGGTCATTATTTTTTTCCTTTGTATTTTCCGGCTCCACACGGTGATCCAGGTATGCATATGCCTCAATGCACAGGCGGATATCTCGCGTCTGCATCGAAATTTAGATTTATGCCAGATACGAGAGTCCATGCCGGAATATGTCCGTTCTGAAATGCCACAGTAAAAATAAAATGTATACGGCACAATTTAGGCAAAGCAATTTCGTCGAAGTATCGTCTGTAAACCTTATATTGACAATAGAGGGAATACAGATAAACCAAAGGGCAGGATTGCGTAAAATGTTTAGTAGCAAAGTTGCTATCGCCTTATGGCTTTCACATTGTTGTGATTCAATAATAATACATTAATTATTATTCGTAAATTAGTATAAACCCTCCACCGTGGGTAATCTTGTACCACGAGAACAATCTTTATTTTATTTCTCGTTGTAACGAAGGCTTGCAAAATATCTGGCGTGACTCACTACTTCTAGTCGGGGATTAGATACAAAACAAAATAGAAATTGGCAATTTTGATTGTTGTCGAATTTGCACAAGTGGAAACCTTTGATCTCATGGTCAATTGTTATTGTTGAGAAAACAATATGATTGACACAATGAGGTGTTTGGCTAAGATTTTGTGACATTAAATTTAAATTAATTAACCAGTTTCACATTTTCGCCTATAAGATTGTTAATTTGTATTAATAGAATTTTGTTTAAAAATTAATTTTCGATTTCAACTGGAATCGACCTTCATACAAGAGAGCAACACAAAAAAATATGCAAGGAATAATGGACGTCTGCTTTTTTTTTCCCTTGTTTTTGGGTTGCGTGTTGAGTTCGGTGTTTTGGGGGTATTTTTTTGTTCACACCACCAGCCTGCGGGCGAATGTGTGGCTAATTAGAAATAGAAGAAAAAAAATTTTCTTCATAATCGGTTGATAGATAAGCATACGGAAATGTCAGGCCTAGAGTGGCAAGTTATCCGTGATATAAACCTTGGCATACCTATTTCAAAACTGGTGCCATTATTCTGAGCAGATTTTTTTTCACAGTAAATTTTGGTCCCCCCTTTTTTTTTGAAAAAAAAGAGATCCTCGTTTAGAGACTAAAACAGATTTATCCAGAAAAAAAAATTGACTGAAAAAATTTTGATAGAAAATAATCTGTCATCAGCCAAGTTCGCAAGGATTTCTAGTATTATATAAGCATATATTTTTTTTGGAGATGAAGATCGCAAACAATAGGGTAATCCCTTTTTAATTTCTTGTAAAAAAATAAAATGATGGGAATCAATTACATAAAAAAATACTAATCAGCAAGGTATGATATTATTTATGTGAATTTTTTTTTTACAATTTCTTTTGCTTCGAATTTTGCATGATCACCACCACCTTAAGGCGAAATAGGCTAGTTTAGTTCAGTCGAATGCGCGGGGGTAACCCCCCCGTATAAGGCCACTAAAATCACCTACATAAACATTACAATAGAACCGGATTTATCACCCTTCTAGCCCTATTGTGGTAATTTTGTTTTCAGTAACGCGGTTGCGTTGGCAATCCTCTAATAATAACTAAACAACAAAATTAATCTCGCCCCCTGTCAGTAAACAAGTGTCGCAAAACAAAAAAAAAATTAGATTGTCAGAAACGAAATTGAAGCCTAATCGCTAACTATTAAAAATTATCTCGTATAGGGGATGTTGAAATGTGTGTGTGACATTGGTTTGCTATTAGTCTAGGGGGCTAGTGAGTGGTCTCCTCCCCCTCCAATTTCTTTTTTATTTTTAGTCTCCTGGATATAGATGATTATTTTTTTTTGGTAAAAGCAGCTTTGGGGACAGAAGAATTTTTTAACCGCCCTTCTGCGTAGTTATAGTGATTATATCTTAGAAAAAGACAACGATAACAACGCACGCATTCACCTACAATATTAATGACAGAATGTCACTTGAGTGCACAAAGAGCACATTTAATTGAGCCCCTTTTACCGTGAAGGTTACACACCCCCCCAACAAATGCAACATTGATGCAACAATCAAACAGTCATTTGTTCTCCTCCAGCTTTGAGTAAATGACTTCTCCTCTAATTAAAAATAAATTATACTGAAAATAAATATTTCAAAAAGGGTACAGTTTCCGAATTGGGGGTTAAGAAAGAAAAGACTGATTAATGATTAGTCACATTTACCCGAAACCTTAATAACCAGTCATGATCATTTCAACATCCAAAACGGAAACCTTATCTCTGGACCTTATATTATGTAGTATCTACAATTGATTCAGCAAACATAGGGATCAATAAGAATTCACGCAGAAACGATCAGGTCATTTCTTAACAATATATTGTGTGTTCATTCATGTCAATTGTTTAGACTGATTTTGAAACAATTCACTTTCTTTTGTGCGCATTTTCTATGCCGGGATTCATATAAATAAGATTTATGCATAACGGGTCTTTTTACTAAGCGTGTTTCTTCATCAAATTAAACTTTATCAGGCTAAAAAGCTTAAATTGATTAAGTTTTTTTGTTGTAACGGAATTAGGAACATATATCTATTATAGCTTCTTCCATGGCTAAAGAATCCTGGCTAGTTCGGAACGGGATAACTTTTGCTATTGTTTTTTTTTGTGGTCCTCACGAATGTGCATTTACGGTGGCTTGGCCGAGATTGAAATCCAAAGGCGTGTTCCCGTAATCGATTTTTTTAGGAAGAGGTGGCGAGGGAGACGCAATTTTAATAATAATTTAAACTAGGGGATCGTGCCAAGGAAGATTTCGCAAAAACGGAAAAAAAAGCGAATGACAACCATGCATGAATTCTAAATTATCTATAGTTTATATCTGTCATACAAGTGAGCAAGCGAACTAAATCACTACTGCGTGTTAACCTAATTGAGTTTAAAGTGTGCGTAACCCCGACTTTTCCCTTTTTTTTTTTAAACAAGTCTGTGTAGCGGGTATTTCTTTTTCGTTCGCTTTTCGTTCGCTTTAGAGATTTCGGTTGCGCCGAACATCTCCAAACTAATCTTGCAGGTTTGCACAGATTTGAATTGTTTGAGCGCATCTTGATAGGTTGACATAAACTGCAGCGTGATCCCTACCACAAAGAGGAAATCAAAACAACAACAACAATAACAGGACCCAACTAACAACCGCACAAACATGGGTCTTGTATAGCCTTTACTATGTAATTATAATTACGGTTGTTGCCACGAGCAACAAATATTCCATTGTTCTGTGATCACTTTTTTTGAAAGCCCCATTTTCTTTTTTTTTTCTCTTTCTAACACATGAAATTGTGAATTGGTTAGCAAGTACGGACATTAGACAAAAAAAATAAGAGCCATGGTGTTGAAAAAGGATTTTATTTTGTATTTTGTAAAAAAAAAAAACAAAAATATTTTTTAGGAACTCAATTAATTTATTTTTTAAATCTTAATTTTCAAACCAATATTTTTTTTTTAGTTCATGAGAGTTGATTTTTTTTTTATTTTTATTTTTTATTATTTTTATTATTTTTTATTTTTTTTCGGTACCAGTTCAATTTTTGCTTAAACATAGAGTTAAATAATATAAATGAATCCTCAATTTTCCAAACTCTTTTTTTTCTTCTTTACGCCAAAAAGTAGAACATTATCTGCATATACAGCATATTTAACTTTCCCTCATCATCATTACCATCCACATCCCTAAGCAATGACACAGTTACCATCGGTGTCGGAATTAATGACATCAACCAAAGTTCCTTCACCAGAAACCACCCCAGCCCAATCCAACCACCTTCCGGCAATAGCAACAACAAATATTGATCCGGTCAATGTTTCCCCAATATCGCCTGTCCGGAAAATAACGCCGCGATCGTCGGCATCCAGTTTTTCAAATTATACATCCAGTCTACCGCCTCCAGTTCGTCGACTCACTGAATCATCAATATATAGCAGCAGTGGGAATAATAGTAGCTCCAGCAACAACAACAACAACAATAATAATAATGGCGGCAATGGAGGTGCAGTAGGTGGTGCCGGTTCATCATCTATTGTCATGGGTCAGTCAAGTTCTAGCGAAAGTTCCACTCAGGGTACGCGTTCAAGTTTTCTGACTTTGCAACCACCACCACAAATCATTCCAGGAACTACTGCTTCGTCTTATCCTCCACCTCATAGACCTATAAATAATGGTTATAATAATACCAGTCCCTTAAGCCAACAACCTCCACCCATGCCTATGCCTCCATTACAACAAGGTGGTCCAAGTCCCAATGGAAGTTTACCACCACCACCTCAACTGCATTTACTTCCACCAGGAGTAGTGGCTCAACCTGCATATCCTCATTATTACTATTATCCCCCTCCCCCTCAAATGGGACCTCCACCTCCGCAAGGGTTGGAACATTATTATTCCATGGCTCCAGGTCAAGGACAACTACCACCTCAGATTTCACCACCTCCACCAGGGGCAGCTTATATGGGCCAACCAGGTGGACCACAAGGAGGCCCACTTCCACCACAAATGTCACCACCACCACCACACTTGACTACCGGATATTATGTCTCTCCACCAGGTTACATTCCTCAGTCACTTCTTCCTCCCCATGTTGCCGCGCAATATGAGGAAAACAACGCTCTTATGAACAAGAGAAGAATCATTAAGCGTCGTACTCGTACTGGATGCTTGACCTGTCGTAAGCGAAGAATTAAGTGTGATGAACGTAAACCTACTTGTTTCAATTGCGAAAGAAGTAAGAAGTTATGTTTAGGTTATGAGAATTTGCATAATTTGCAACCAAGAAGACGTAACCGTGATACAAGTTTAGATCTTAGTGATCATGACAACAAGCCTGATAATGAGATGGTTGACGAAGATGAAGCAAATAGACGTACTACAAAAGCAGTTAGCACTTCATCAATCCCAACACCCGATGGAAGGTTGAGCGATAGAGGATCAGCTGAGTCCAATGGGGTTACATTACCGCCACCTATACCAAGTTATTATCGGCGCGAGAGTAAAGTATCAGTCCATGACTTGATCAAGTAGCATATAAAGTGTATTATTACCAATGTATCAATATGTACCTTTTTCTTTTAGAGACAAATCGTACGAGTAAAATTGTAGACCTGAATTAGTTGAAAATTTACACGATAATTTCACTGTCATAGGTTCCAATTTCACCTGGAAGCCATTGACCGAGTCGAAAGAATGTATTTGGGTTGCAATTGTAATGTTGTCCTGCAGCTCAAATAGCGCAACTCACCTCGGTAGATCGACCTGTGGCACGATGCAAGTAATATTGGTGACGTTCTCAGCCCAGAAAAAAAGAAAAAATCGCGGCAATCGCAGCGGGTGCCGGCCTAAATGCATGTGCGGAAATCAATTACCACATAGTTTAACCAAAACAAAGAACCGTAGTTCCAGTTTTACATGCAAGAAATCTGAGATTTACATGACTAAATAATTGATTTAGTCTTTCGATTAGTGGCGTTGAATTTTGTTTTATTGCTTTAAAGTGTATCTCACACTTATTGAAAAGCAAGCATATACGGGGAGCAAATATTCTAGGCGATAAGCACCAACAACATGCATTAAACGAAAAAAAGAAACTTTCAATTGAGGTAATGTGGATGCGAAGACAATGGTGTAATCTTATGCACAGATAAAAAGCTTATTTGGACAAAGATTTCTTTGTGCTATTGTCCTTTTGGAACAAGACAGATTGCCTAGCCCCCCCCCAATAAAACAAGGCGGGGGGGAGGGAGAATTCTCCTTTACTAAATTGGGGGATTTTCTCATTTTCCAACCGTGATGTTATTTTTAGCACACGGCATTAAGTATCGAACAAATAAAATCTCGTTCCTAATAAAAGTTATTATTTTGAAAATGTGTATTTCCGGCTATTGTTTATGCGAAAGATCTCAGGAACTTGTCAATTACTTTGTTCCGTTGAATTAGCAGAAATAATATGTGTAGTCCTGCCAATAATGGAAGAATAGTGGAAATGTAATTAACTTTTGACGCATAGTAATCCCATTCATGCAATGCAAGAGAACCTTCACAAAGCTTTGACTATATGTGAAATGCTTCCATGAAATGTTTGATTTTATCCTCCTGCCATTTGCTTGCTCCTTTTCAACTTCTCCCTGTAGAGAAAATACTATTGGTGGGGTACAATATATATGGCTGTTTACCTCGCCCACACCCAATTGCACAATTTTGTCCAGATAAAATTCCACTGTTGAAGAATGGATGTAAAAATGATAATAATTGAAAAGTTTTAGATAAGGAAATAAAATCGCCTTGCAGGAATAATGTATGACTTACAAATGTTGCATACATAACGGTTTAATATAATACTTCTAGCATTATAAACCTATTGGATATACTACGTATGTAGTTCCTAATCATACTATTTCAGTTATATATGGCTCTCCCATAGTTTGCTAAGAGCAGAGCAATCACGGAGGAATATCTCCGTGAGCAATATCTTTTTTTTTAGTGGGTAAATTTTTTCTAATCTGGTGCAATTCTCCCATATTTTTTTTTGTTTGTTTCTTTTAGTTTGTTTGTTTGGCCAACTGTTGAGATTTCTTTTTTTTTTTTTTCTGTTGCGCTGTTAAGGTTTTCCCAATTGTACTCTATCAGCATCATCACCTTTTCCGTTACCTTAGGTCAATAGACAACCAATAAATACGACGTAATATTTGTCCCGTATTCAAGTAATACTCAACTTTTGCACTTGTATACTTCAATAGCTACTTGTCATACACCTTTTTTTTGTACATATACTACCTGTCATTTACAACTATTCCCATATCAAACCCACAACCATTCGCTCCAACCAGCACCTAACAACAGACCAATACTTCAAACATCTTTTTTCAACCATCTAGTTAATAGTCAATATCGCATATTGTTGACTTCACCCATTCATTTAATATATTTTATTTTATTTTTTTTTGCATAGATGTCGGTAAGAGCCCGTAAGATAGCTGTCGTTGGATCCCGTTCAGTGGGAAAGTCATCCATGACTGTTCGATTCGTGGAGGACCATTTCGTGGAATCATACTACCCTACTATTGAGAATCAGTTTAGTAAAAATATCAAATACAATAATCAAGATTATGCCATTGAAATCTTGGACACTGCGGGACAGGACGAATTTAGTATTATGAATGAAAAACATCTTGTGGGAATACATGGATATTTGTTAGTATATTCCGTTACTTCCAGACAGTCATTTGAGCTTATTGAGTTTATAAGGGATAAAATTTTGAATTCGATTGGTAATGAGGATTTACCTATGATTTTAGTGGGAAATAAATGCGATTTGAACTTACAAAGACAAGTGGATACAAAAGAAGGACAACAGTTGGCTCATAAATTCAAATGTAAGTTTGTTGAAACTTCAGTCAAAGATAATGTCAATGTAAATATTGCATTCGAAGGGTTGATTGATGATATTGAAAGGATACAGAATCCAATAATCAAGAAGAATGATAAATGTATAATAATGTGAACCGAAAGAAGAAGGATTTCGAGGCATTACAGAACTAACCTCTATTTAATAGAATATAATCTGGGTTGAAAAAGTTATTTTTTTTTTAGCCACATAATACCTTAATATATAACTACTAACAAGTTCTTTTTTTTTTTTTACATCTTAAATTATAAATTGTAGGTTAGTATCAATTGGATGTGAAGAAGACAATTGGGGTTTTTGACTATACTTTGACAGTAAGATCAGTCTCATATTTTGCAATAAAGACAAATAGGATTGTTCAGGTTCCTTTTTCATGACACTTATAAAGGCGTAACTCATGGCTCCAGTAGATTGACCACCTTCCTTAGCATCAGCACTAGTTTGATCGTCTTTACAACCACTCATAGTAATAACATCAGCAGGTGAAGTCTTTGTCTTTTTAGTTTTTTCATTAGCTTCACTGGCACGATCCTTATTCATAAAGCTCTTGGCAACACCCATAATCCCCAGTATAACAGCCTTACTATCACCTTGGGTATAAGCCTTTACAGTTTCCAATAATCCTTCACCAGCCTCTTGTAATAAATTAGGTTCTTTAATAACACCTTTTGTCAGATACATATAAGGCAAATCCAAAACCGAACCCGAATGACAACTATCGAAAAGAGCAGTTAAACGGGTTCCCTTGGGTAATGGATTAACCAACAATTGATGTAAAGTATCATCGTCAATGAACCCAGCTTTTTCAAAATCCAAGGGATAAATCACTTCATCATAGCCATCTGCTTCATCGTGATCTTTATCCTCAGTTTGTCCTCCATGACCACTATAGTGAAAGAACAAAGAATCATTAGGTTGGGCATTTTTAACAAGCCATTGAATTGCATCAATGATATTCTGTCTAGTAGGAATAGCTCTAACTGACTTGCTATCATCAGTAAGCATAACCATATCGTCCTTTTTGAAACCTTGGGTAAGAAGAAATTCTTGGACATTGTGACAATCATTGATACAGCCATTAAGTTGTTGCTTAGTGCCAAGATAGTTTATTCCAATAAATAAAGCCTTCTTTTTACCATTACATTGGGAATACTGATATTGATAATCACCAACTCCAAATGATTGAGAACTGGCCGAGGGACGTGAATAACGACGGCCTCCTCCGGATGTTGGAGCATCATCACGTCTTCCTGAAGAAGGTGGTTGAGCAGGTCTGGAGTAGCCACTACTTCCTCCTTGTTGACGTCCACTTGAAGGAGGAGGACCGTCTGGTCTGGAATAGTTTCCTGCTCCACTCTCCTGTCCACCATAACCTTCTTGTCTGCCATGACTTTTTTGTCTACCATAACCTTCTTGTCTACCATAACCTTCTTGTCTTCCATAACCGCCATGACTATGTTCTTGATGACCACCACCATAACCCTCTTGTTTACCTTGTTGTCTTCCAAAACCTCCTTGAAGTTCTTCTCTTCCATAATCTTCTTGGTGGCGACCACCATAACCCTCTTGTCTACCATAACTTTCTTGTCTGCCATAGCTACCATGGCCAGCTTCTACTCTTCCATAGCCTTGTTGGTTGTCACGTTCATAACGCTCATCATATCCATGATCTCTTGCATCACGTCCTTGATTCAGACGATTGGATTGCCCAGGAAACATATCTTGTTGTAAAATAAAACAAATCACATTTGAAAAACTTGTGAAATTCCTAATTTAAACAATGAAAAAGGGGGTTTCGAATACGCGACACTTTCTCGCTTGGCAAAAGGGGGAGTCAAACCTTCGATCTCAATGCGGCTAGTTTCCAACTTGGGCATAGGTTACGTCATATTATTTTTTTTTCTGGCATTGTTCGTAACAAAGGTTGCAACCAGAACTCTTGAGAATATAGTACATTATTATTTAGACGTAGTTCATGTAATGACTGTTACTCCTCAAGCAATATCGGAATCTTCCATTTGATGATGCTCACAATATTCTTTAAACAGAGTCTATCCGGCACTAAAGTCTAGGACCAATGCCAGCTCAGTTTACTAATGAATAATTTAAGTAATCCAGCGTTGTTTCATGATAACTAACAACCGGAAACTCAAACAGGCTAATTTTCAACCATAGATCCAATGTACAACACACTGCTGATTTTTTTTTAGGTTTTCACACATCGATCTTCTATGGTAGCACGCGCAAGGTAAAGTTCACGCTACCAATCGAGAATCGGAGTTATACTGTTAATTCGGATTTAATCTATTCAATCTGAAAAAATAGTAAATATATATTTGCAGCAATCGACAATAGCGTTACTGATTCTAGTGGAGTATCTGATGACAAAAGTTTCAACCTGGACAACTTCAAACTACACTAGAGGAAGAGGTTATATCAGAGATATAAATTGTGCAACACGCCTTAACTTAAGGGAAAGAGCTTTTCTCTCTGAAGGTATCTAAGCGGCTATGGGATTTTGGTAGCAATAATTTGCTGCATTTGTGGCAGGATAAATCTCTGGAAATTCTCAGCCAGAAAACTATAAGTAAGCTGCGAAAAACTCTCTCTTTGCAACTTTTTCTTTTTAACTCTCCACTCTTCTTTTCTTCTTTTTACAAGTATACACTCCAATTAGATATCAGTTTACTTTATCTAGAAGAAGATGGGTATCATTTCGAATCTTTTCAGGCTTTTATACAAGCTGAAAGGTTTCTTTTTAAGGAAACAATTTCCCGCTGACGTCCAAACTGAAAATATTTCAAATTCAAGTTCCACCTCCAGTTCCTCCCCCAGTTCCTCCCCCAGTTCCTCCTCCAGTTCCACCTGTGTTGATTCGCACATTGACATAATCTATGTCACCAATCTCAATCCTGTTTCCCCAAAGAAGAATAACTCTTGGTCCAAAGTCAAACAATTCCCTAAATCCATGTTCTCAAAGAAAGATAAAAGTTCCAACGACCACAAAGCCAGCCTGATCAAGCCTGGTTCTATCATGGCCCAGATCAGAAGCCTTAAGTCTAAAACCAAATTTGGAAAGTTCAAAACCAAATACCACGACGATATTGACCAGATGATTAAATTACAACATGAAAACAACGTGTTAAGATTTGAAGATGAATCCAAATTGGACACCACTCAACATGCCTTCAACAAATTAAAAAACCAGTATACTGAATCCAAAGAAATGTTTGAGAAAAAAATCGAACAATTACAACAAAGCCTCAGTCAATGTCAACATGAAGTTGGTCAGTTGAGAGAAGAAAATGAAAATCTCTCCAAAAGAAGAGAAACCATCAAGATTACTCGTTCTGGAACCATTTCAAAATTGCAGAAAACCATTGCAGACCTCAGAGATCAATTAGACGAGGAAAAGGCCAAGTCAGAATATTACTTAAACTGCTTAGTTGAACAAAGAGCTCAAGCTGAAGTTGATAACGAAGAGATCAATCGTATCAAGAAGAAAATGGAAGAAACTGAGGCAAGTCTTAAAAGACTGAATGCAAGGTTGCGAACTAGTTCGCGAACCATATCAACAAGGCAAAACTAAACAAGTTGTACTTAATGACAAACAAAGCATTGTGCCACATATGAAATATATTTACCCAAGTGAAATTGGGCGAATATCCACCTGATATTATTGAATGAGTTTGTACATATTCCGAGGGTCAATTTAGATTATACTAAATCCCCTTAAATTCATCAGTATTCCCAGTCTGATTTGAATGAATATGCACACCTCCGAGGCAAAAATCCTTAACTTCAATCTTATTGAATATCAACTTGAACGTGGATAAACATTTAATGAATAAGTACCTATTCCGAGGGTCAATTTAGCACAGGCTAAATCCCCTTCACTTCGTCTTCAGAGATTCACATCTTGAGATTGAATGAATCCGTGCTTATTTTGAAGAATGTTAATATTAAATGAAATGATTGTATCCATAGACTTCCAATCCTTAAGTTCCTACTTATCATAGTAGATTGAATGAATGTGTACCTATTTCGAGGCATATTTGGTTGTAACTAAATCCCTTCACTTCTTCTTCAAATAATAAGTTTGATTTTGAATGAATTTGTACTCATTTCGAGGCACCTTGGAAGTCTATTGAACAATCCTTAAGTTTAATGTATAAATATTAAATTTCAATGTGGTTTACTAGAGTGTTGCAAGCTCAAGCTAGTATAATTCAGTCATGAGTTATTTGAATGTTGTCTAATGTTATGTGTGTTATTTTACAATTTGTTGTGTCTATTGTCTTTGGTTTTTCCATTTGGTATTGTTCTGTTATGTGTGTTTTGATTTGGTGTTTAATCTTTTGGTTATTTTGGTTATATGATGCTATTCTAAAATTGTTTGATTTTGATGTTATTGTTAATGCTAGTTTTAAACTTTAATGAATCTTCTTTCTCTCACTTATTTCAATTGTAGTGGTTCGATGTAGTTTTATTACCCTTATCTGAGACTCCAAACATATTCAAACATAATTCTAACTAGTGTTGTTTCTTGTAATATATTCAAGTATCTTCAATTAGAATGGTGCTCACGTTTATATATTATGTTACTATGAATTTACGCGCTGATATAACTTTACGTTTTCCGAAGCTATTAATTATTCACCTTCATACTAAGTAAAACAAATTGAATCATTTGATGCGACTATTGAAGAAACCAGTCAATACTGTGGGTGGCTATAAAGGGTCTAATTCACATACATTATTCACATTGTGTCTTCAGTTTACAAGAATATCTTGAATAAGCCTATGCAACTAGTAAGTAGTAATATAGCCATATCCAATTCTTGCAACCAAAACTTGCAATGGCGAAAACATCAAGAAATTCCCCAAAACTCCTCTAACAAATACCTAATACAACTAGAAATAACAAGCTGGTACTATACTTGAATGTATTTTTTTTGTCTTACCCCCTTTTGTCCCTTCTAATAAGGACAATAGGTTTACAACTAAAAATAACCTGAATCTACATGTTATTTTTTTTTTTTTTTTTCACATTCCCTCTCCCCCCTCCTATTTTGCCAGATAACAGAGAAAGGGATCGAGAAAAAAAAAAAAAAAGAAATTACCAGGTGGTGTTAATAAATATTACCATTTAAAGGTATAACATTTCCAAAGATTCCAACTTAGCCACTTTCACTTTATAAACAGCAATGACTCTCGAAATAAGGAAAAATAAAGACAAAAAGATACGAAAGAACAAGAAGTTAACTGCCGGACCTCTTTATTCGACCGATGGTATCCCTTACGATTACATTGTTATAATAGATGCTGGATCGAAGGGATCTCGTGTATTTGTCTATAATTGGTTAAACCCTGCGGCTGCTCTTAAGCATGGTGTCAATTTGAACGGCTTACCTTCTGAACGGATGCACTTGATAAAGAGATTAGCTTCGAAGGACGAAGAAAACGTGAGTGATAAAGAGGATGATAGTGACGATGAAGATGAACACGAGGAGAACGATAAAATTCTTCTTCCCAAAGTCTCCACTGGTAAGAAATGGCACAAGAAGATCACCCCCGGGATATCCTCATTTAACTCATCACCATCCAGAGTAGGCAAGCATCACTTGTCTGAGCTTTTAGCGCGTGCTGCTAAAATCGTGCCTAAATCTCAACATTACCGAACCCCAATTTTCCTTCATGCTACCGCTGGAATGAGGTTATTGACTCCAACTGAACAACAACAGCTCTTGCAGAATACTTGCAAGTACTTCCAGAATAATTCTGACTTTTATATCCCCGATTGTGCATCCCATGTCAGTGTCATTGACGGTGATTTTGAAGGTTTATATGGCTGGTTATCAATAAACTCGTTGATTGGATCGTTCGACAATCCTCAGAAACATCAGCACGGGAAAAACCATTCCACATATGGTTTGTTAGATATGGGTGGTGCTCTGACCCAAGTAGTGTTCCAACCTAATTCTACCGAAATCCAAGAACACCAGAATAACTTGTATCATATTAATTTGAATCAAGTCCCAAAAAGATTGGGCAATTTAAATTCCACATATTCGGTACCAAAAGCTCTTGATTTCGATGTTTATTCGGATTCATTCCTTGGATTTGGAATGTATCAAGCCCATTCCCGTTATTTACATTCCTTGGTAGATCGATTTAACAAGGAAAACAACATCCCTTGGGGAAGCAAAAATCGTTCACCTATAGATGACCCATGTTTACCTAAGGGGTATACTGCTCTGGAAATAATCGACGATTATTCTTATGATTTCATTGGGGTTAGCAAGTTTGAAGAATGCTTAACTAGTATTTTCCCAGTTTTGCAGAATTCTACCCATGGGGGAGTATCTACTCCTAAAGGAAACTGTAAGCAGTTTAGTGAAGCTAATGAAGTTAGTTCATGTCTTTTGAATGACTTGATTCCTGCATTTGACTTTGATGTCAACCATTTTATTGGAGTAAGTGGCTATTGGAATACTATTGAAGAACTACTTTCTACACATACCAAGAGAGGAGACAAGGATCAAAAGAGTAGTTATGACTATCAACTTATTTTTAAAGAGACTGGAAAAGTTTGTTCAGAATCTTGGTCTACTCTACTTGAATTGAATCAAAAGCGGAAATCCCCAATTAGCGAAGATGAATTATCAGAATTATGTTTCAAAACATCATGGATCCTTAACTTCTTACACTTGGGACTTGGATTCCCTCGATTTGGTATAGATGAAATTCCTAATAAAAATAATAAGGGATTTGAATCACTTCAAATGGTGGAAGAATTAGGAGGTAATTCATTTTCATGGACATTGGGAAGAGCTATGCTTTATGCCAATGATGAATATGTCCAAGCTTACAATAATTATACCAACGGTACATTGAAGAGACCTGGTTTCTTTCACAGTCCTCTGGAATATGTCTACCAATATGGTGCTGAACAAAATGGTATTTCTCCACGACCAGTATTTGTTACTCCTCGTGACCTGGAAAAGTATCACAATTATGATTATGAAAACCAGAACGAGGAAGACCTTTCCGGTAAGACCACTCATAGATGGTACGGGTTTTTCATATTCCTTGGTTTAATATTTGTTGTTGGTTGGTTCATGTTGGGTAGCATGGGACGTAAGGTTTTCTCTCAAAAGATTAAGAAAGGAATTAGGTCATTAGTTAGGCTTACTCCAGGATACAATAGCGCAAAATATGTTTCAGTTGGATCTAGTGACGATTTGGAAACTGGATATGAATTGGATGAGTTGGACAATGATTCTACTACAAACAAAAGCATTGACCAACAATTTACAATTGATAGTGATGAGGAACAAGAACAAGCCATATGATTCTAAATATAAAGCCTATATACTAACTACATATTTTTCCCCCTTTGCCCCTTTGTTCTCTAAATCTTTTAATGCATTGTCAATGATATGAAGTCCACCCTTGTAGTGCCTATACCTTACTGGTTTAATCAATCTTTTATTCAAGAAATGACTAGTAGCAGTGATAAATTGCTCTCCAAATTTCAAATCTTCATGGAATCGTTTGATAACCACTTCTTTTATTTCAACGCTTTCTGGATGTTCTTTAGGAACACCTACTATACCTGCAAATTGTGCAGGCTCTGTCGACAATGAGCTTTTAGTTTGATCAAGGATATCAAGCACGATTGTAGAAGTTTGCTTACTAACACAATCAACACCATACTTAATACCTTCTTCACCAACAATCAGCTTGATTTTGGCAACGATTTGTGCTTCAGTTAAGTGACGGTTGATGACATGGTCAGCTCCTAAACTAACCAAGTAATCCTTATGGTCCAAACTAGCAATGCTAATAACTTTCAAGCCATATAATTTTGCCAATTGTGTTAAATAAATCCCAACAACAGTAGCACCACCCCATATTAACAAGTAACCATCAGCTTGTTCCGGGATTTCACTCAATTGGAAACCAAAACTATTGTAGAATATGATACCAGCAGTAACTAGACCCACACCAATTGTAGCACCTTCCTCATATGTTAAACTCTTTGGTAATTTCCATACTAATCTTGAGTCAATAGCGGTGTATTCTTGAAAGGTACTGGTACGGTTATCACGATAACTAGTACTGCTGACAATAACATCATCACCAGCTTTAACATTCTTGACTTCTGAACCAACATGAACGACCTTACCTGAAGATTCACGTCCATTAATCCAGGGGAAATGATAAATACCAAACCCATACTTCTTTCCTTTCCAATCAATGGGGTTAAGACCTATGGCTCTGTTGTGAACAAGAATTTCATTAGGAGAGATTTCTGGGACTGGGTGTGATTGAATTGCAAGTGGTTCTTTAAGGTCTGTTACCAGAAGCACTGATTGAGATCTTGATAATATGATTGGGGCATCCTTTGATTCTGTTTCAGGTTCTTCGGATCCAACTTTTTGAATTTTCCTTAATGTTACTGGATCAAGTTCTGAGTCAGAGTCAGTTCTTTCTCTTTTACGAGATACTTCAGTGTAGGTGACCATATTGTATAAAAAAAAAAGCTTTAGCGAGAGAACTATAGAGGTGAAACGGTTATAAAAGATTTTTCACAGAGGAAATCAATTGATTTATATCCTTGGCTTAGAAACATGCACCTTCTTTGCATCGAACATTGTTCTTGAACCGTTTACTGTGGCATCTAATTAAGAAAAATTGCGAATTTTTATTTTTATTTTTTTGGCAGCCATTTATTCGCCTATGTGCGAAATAGGGATGGCTATCCGAAACAGGTGGGAGAAAAAACAATTAGTTTTGAAGTGTTCCACAATTGGGACCGCGCACGTGATTTAACGAGCTTTGTGGTTTTATTAAATTGATTGGCTAAGATAATTGTTGTGGATACTTACTAAAAATGACGCTACTATTGACACCCCCGAAACCGAACGAGTTGCACATCGCATTTCGCACTTCCATTGTTTTGCTTTTATTAGCGACGTAGTCAAACTTAAATTGATCAAGATCATCATCTTTGTGGCCCCCTGCCAGGTCTAAATTTAATGTAGGGGGGATTTCAGATGTTTTAATTGCATTAATTGTGTAAATTGCTTCCACAGCTCCAGCCGCACCTAATAAATGACCAATTGACGATTTCGTAGATGATACAGCAAGTGAATTTGGAAACAATCGTGCCATGGCATTATTTTCGGCCCGGTCTCCAATGACCGTACTAGTAGCATGCGCATTAACATAGTCTATTTCTTGTGGTGTGATCCCATTACTACGGGCAAGTGCTTGGGACATGGCATTATATGCTCCTTCACCATCTTCCCGTGGTGCAGTTATATGATGAGCATCACCGGAAATACCATACCCGGAAACTTCAGCATAAATATCCTTTTCCGTTAATCCTCTGGCCAAGGCATGATCGAGCTTTTCAAGGATAAGGATCCCGCATCCTTCACCAAGAACAAACCCGCTACGGGACTTATCGAATGGACGGCTTGCTGACGTGGGATCGTCATTAAAATCAGTAGTTACCGACCGAGCACGAGCAAACCCGGCAAGAGCAAGTGGGTGGATCGATGCTTCAGCACCTCCACAAACCATAACATCGGCATAGTCCATTTTGATGAAGTTATATGCATCCCCCACTGCTTGTAAACCAGTAGCACATGCAGTGGCAACGGAATGTAATGGTCCCTTGAGGGAATACTTGATCGAGATATTCCCCGCAGCCATATTAGTAAGAAGTTTAGGTATGAATAACGGTTGAACTTTCTTGTAACCACTGGCTGCAAATGCAACTGAGTTATCATATGCATCATGGAATGATCCAATTCCGCTCCCGACTGCAACTCCAATTCTTTTGTCATCTTCTACAGCAACGGCAGTACTGCCATTTTTCACAAGTTTGGCATCGACCAAAGCTTGCTGAGTACTGGCTATAGCATATTGACTGAACAATGCTAAACGCCTAGCTTCACCTCGGTCGAAATGCTCTTCTGCATCCCAATTACCTTCGGCCAATGATCCAGATGGTACTTTCCCAATAACTTTTGCGGGGACTTTATCCCATCCCTCATTGTAATCAGGAAGGGTCGTTGTTGATATGAGCCCAGATTGGCCCGCAATTAGTCGACTCCAATTATGAGAGAGCCCTACACCTAGAGGTGAGATAATACCCATCCCAGTGACTACTACTCTTGTACTCATGGTTTATACTTCTATTATTTGTATTTCTATAATTAGAGAAGGGAATTATTCAAGTGCGGATTTGTAACTGACAAATCTTTTTTCATCGCCTACAAGAAAATTGATTTGATTTTCCGCAATTTCCAAATCAACTTGATTTACGTTTAACAAATCAATCCAATTGGTAAAGAATGATTCATCAGAATTGTAATTGACTTTACCCCCACTAAGATTGAATTGTTTAAGAAATTCCGTTAATTTCATAACCTTGAAATTCCCCAGCTTGGAATTGGCCTTTTTATACTCTCGTTCAGCAATTGAAGACTCGGACAACATCAACTTGTAGTTTCTGAATATTGTCTCCTTTTGTTGTGGAGTAAGATTGAACGAATTTATCAGTTTATAATGTTTACTGTAAAAAGGTTGATAAAACCCGTTTTTGATTTCGGATTTGAAGTTTTGAAGGAATGCAAGATACTCAATTGTTGGGGTGGGATATATATTTACCACTTCTTCCTCTTCTTGATCTTGCTCCTCTTCGTCCTCTTGCTGCTTCAGCCATTGTCTAAAGATTTCCTCTCGTTTACTCTTTGAATCAATTGTGTAAAACTCGGGATATTTAACAAACTCTGAAATAAGTCGCTCCTCGATCAACTCCCATGGTTCAAATGGAGAAATTTTTGATTTGAATTGTTCAAGTAATGATATGAAATCTTCAGATGATGAGTTATCATCGAATGAAAGGTCTAGGTCATTTGATGCTTCGGAATCTGTTTCCGAGTCCGAATGTTGGTACTGTTCGATTGCTGTTGCTGCTAGTTGGTCTATATCAAGATCCTGTTCTGGCCTTGATACATTCTCTTCTTTTTCCTCCTCCTCATCTTCATAATCTTCTTCACTTGATGAATATCCTTGGATAATTTGTGTTTGTTCTGATTCAGGCTCATGATTTAGTTCTCTTACCTCCTTTTCTTTCTCTCCAGACACCACATCGCCTCGTTCAATGACGATTTCAACTTCCTCCGATCTCCACTCTATCTCCTCTTGATTTTCCACTACCTCATCAATCTTCAATCCCCTTGCTTTGGCAAACAACAATGCCAACTCATCGAAATTTACTCCATTCAAAAAAGTTTCCACATCGATTCCCAATGCTTGTATATCACTTAATTGCCAATATGATTTGCTGGTCTTCTCATTAAAATAGAAATGATGCCCTGTATTTGTTATAATTAGATGCCATTCTTGTAACGGAAGTTTATACACAAATTGCGGAGTCATCTTGAGCGGTTGTAAACAACAAGTCTGTATTTCCGATTACCAAAACAAAAAAAAAAAAAATAAAAAAAAAAAAGATTCCGATTGTTGCAAACGAATTAGGTAGATGTAATTACATGTACGACTATGCACTTACGGTATTCTCTCATTTCAAGTAACCAGTAGAAGTTGCGGTAATTCCGATGTGATCGGACTCTAAATCGCAAGAGCACTTGTTTCGGTCTAAAGAATTATGCATTTTTACTGATATTGCATTTTTGCTGTTTTTGGCATTTCCGGTGGGAAAAGCCAGGCTGTTAAAACGGAAATGATATACGAAGTTTTGTTTGATTTAAAAGCAATCCTTCGGTGAAATTTCACGGACAAGCCACCAAAGTCTGGACCAATAAATCACATTTCCAGCTGTGGGAAATATGGATCCAGAAACCCGGGTTCGCCAACAATTGCACATTAAAACAGATCCAGTACCTTGCCCCACTTACATCACCAAGCAATGGTAATAACGGAATTTGCAACAGGCATATAAGCAATATAAATTGAGGAAACTAATATGTGGTAACCATTCAACCATGCAAGTATTACTAAACTTAGCAATTATGCAGATTAGTAGTCTAATCAACATCCAAACGTTTGTCACTATGTGTCGTATCTAACACAAAAATGTATCATTAAGCGAAAGTCACAGTGAAAGGGTTTCAAATTGAAAAATGTATGACAAGAGAAAAGAGGGGGAGAGCAGGTAGAGGAGGGGAGAGCAAAGCCGCGGTTTCGATTCATGTACAAGCTTATGTATGGAACAATAATGAAAGGATGCACAAAAACTATGCGGCATAAATCGGGAATTCATACAGCAATAAAAAAATTATCGATATTTTTAAAGAAAGAGAAAAAGAATTATTTTTAAGAAGTCTGATCGTTGTCAGACGATTTGCGGGACTACCCGCACTACCACAGAAACTACGGCGGCGGGGTGGAAACATTTTTTTCCATATTTGAAATGAAATAGAATGAGTGTCATTTCTTTTGCGTGTGGATTCCTGCATAACTGATTTCTATTGACTTGTTGCTAATCCCCGAATCTCACTTGATTGTACACTATGCTGGTTTCAATAGAATTACAACTACTATTGCTAAAAGTTTCACTTATGGTATGTTTCTCGGCTAGATTCCTACTAGAACAATGCCACCCTTTAATCTGAATGTGACTTTGGTTTTCTTTTTTTTTTGATTTTCTATACCACCCCACTTTTATACCAACCTTCGCTTTTTTTTTGGTATTTTATTTTTTTACCCAGTGCAAATAAACGCCGCACCCCTCTTCCCCCCACCCCGGGGCAACTTACCTAAAAAATCAGACGCACCCCAAAGTCTACGAATTTTTTATTTTCCGTCATTGTATTTTTGGGAATATCGGTTTGAATTTTGAATTTGAATGTTCCGAAAATAGACTAAGGTTGGAAGAGTAGGAAAATAAAAAATATCCAATGTCAATACAGGGGATAATAAGATCAATGACGCTTGCACTATAACGTTTTAGTTGGTTCATACAAGCATATCTCTACTTATTTTACTAAAGATAGCCTGTATCTGCAGCAAAATTAGTAATATATACACAAGTACTGACTATCTTTCTGCAATCTTGACAGATTTACACTGGGTGAAATCTTCACGAAAATAACCATACGAGAAATTACAAAAAAAAGACACATCTTAAAAAATAAATTAAAATAAAACACAAAAGCATGTTAAAGTAAAGCAAACTAAATAATAATTGTGTAGTAATAATAATAATAATAATAATAATAATCATAGTAATAACCGCCCCTCCCATTTTCCGTACCACGGATTTTTTTTAAATAGAGTCAGTTAACTGACAAGCATATCCACTGACATTTTCAATCGCTTTTTCTCAGGTGTGTCAAAATCATCAAAACTTTTCTTCACTGTAGGAACCACGGGTGGTGTACTGGTTGTTGCTGGCGATATTGTCGTGGTTGTAGTTGTTGTAGCAGCAGCGGTCATCATACTTGGATTTGCAACCTGTACTGGTGGAACTGGCATTATTGAATCAGTTTTATAATTCTTGTTTGCAAATGTGATATTGAAACGATTTGTAGGGAGTTCCTCATCACTGATACTTTGACTCCGTTGTGAGTCATGTTCTCTTTTATAACTCTTCCTTATCCGACTTACAGCCAATTCACTACCTTGGTGTAAGTTTTTTGCATGCCTTAATAATAAATCTCTTCTGCTAAAGGGTCGACTACATAATCCGCATGTGAATGGTTTAAGTTTATTGTGGGTCGAAAGTGTGTGGCGAGTCAAATGCTCTTCTCTTGTGAATGCCCGCAGGCACATTTTGCAGTTGTATATTCTGGGGTTACCTCCGGCGGTTTTAGTGCCATAATTAGCGGTGTTGGCGGTAGTTAAAATTGAGGAATCAGTTGAAGATGATTCGGTTAATGGAGATCCCACAGGAGAAATTGGGGAATTGGGTGAACTCATTACTGTAGTTGTATGTCTATGTATGAAGTAGTAGTAAGATAAAACAAGCTTGTGGGGTATTAAATGTAAATTGAAGTTAAGAATTATAAACCAAATATAGAGCAATCAAATAAGAGGGGGGGGTGCCATCTATTTATATATTATATATTCCCATGCAAATACCAAACGGATATTTAGACCCAAACAAAAAAAAATATTTTTTATCGTACCTATAATAATATAAAAAAAGGAGACAATAAATTGCACAAAAGAAAGCAAAAAAGGTGGGGGTGATTAAAAATATTTTGAGTGATTAATTTTTTTTTTTTTGAAAGTTCCATTAAACCTGCTGATTTAAACTTTGTAGGGGTTTTTTTTTCTTCTTTTTCGCAACGGTGTTAGAAAAAGGTTACTGTCTTATCAATAGTGTATGTGATGGGAATTTAGCCTTTCGTACAGAGATCGGTGCCATGCTTCGGGATTTGACTAATCAGAATAGACATGATTCCTCCGACGATACAAACAAAAAATGTACCATATGTGGTGTAACTTCCAATTATCTGTATGCCCTAAGACATCCGGTTCACCGCCCTAGCTTCTAATCTTTACCAATTTTCTCACGAATGAGCCAATTTCATGTAATGTGTTTCTTCTTTTTTACTATTTTGCCATCGGGATTCGTATTAGAAATTCCAAGTCCAAAATAGAATAAAAGAAACCAAGAAAAAAAAACTTCATTAAAGGATGTTGAATCCGGGGGTGGGGAGGCAACGCGGGGTGCGGCGCCAGGGTATGAGACGAGAGAAAAATAATGACACCGTTGATCTCAATTCAAGGTATAATATTTAGTTTGATCTGTTGGTTAACACTAGCTGCTGATGTATCGTTTATATAGACACCTATTATTTGCTCGCTATCATTAGCCGCGTTTTGAGTTTTACATGTGCCTGACTCGGAGTCGGTCCACCCCGCCCTTTTTTAGCAAACGGGCACGTTAAAAAAAATAATTATGGTGAACAATAAAAGAAGAAAAACCAAGAAAAAAAAAAGAATCCACTTCATAAACCGAATAAATCTCCGAGCAGCCAATGAAATTACAAGAATTGAAAATTCCGTGAGCTTATTATTTACTATTTATGACAATGGAGTTTAATAGCAATTACCCAGATGTTTTCCGGTCTTAGGTAGGTTCTAAATAGGAGTTTAGACTCAAGGTACACCAGCATTAACTGAAACTTTCACCCTCTCTTGTGCAAAGCACTTTTCGTAATTCAAAATTCCGAGATTTGTGCATTATAATAATGCACGTGTATATCAAACGTACGCAAACAGCCATTACAATAGCTATCAAAAAGTCCATCAATTTCATGCTTGCAACCATCATCAATTGTTTCACGCTTGTAGTAGCCGAGATTGTCAATGGGATATCCGTGTGAGAAGGAATCTTTCTCGGAATGAACTTTCCTAAAAAGTTATTACGAAATATTAAGATCCCGACACAAAATTTAAAAAATAAATCGTCCGATTTCAAAATACTGTTACTTGACAGAATACTGAAGCATTGTACTCGTCTGCTTCATGATAGAATTAAAGTGAACACAATGATCTGCCTGTTTGGTTTGTGTCACAAAACTTCCCCCCTCAATTGCCTTATAGTTTGCTATAAAATCTTAGTGTGAGTTATGTTTAGTAGTTGTAAAAAAATTTTGCACCAAAATGGCCTTGGCGAAACCTCACCTTATTCCTTATTTAATATTGCAATGGTTTATACATAATTAATACCTTTAGGATTAGCGGAGACCCTACAGAACCTAAAATATAGAACATATTTGAATACAGGTAGAACTGAACTTGTGCAAAGCATAAGTTTATTTTCAAATTTAAACAGGCTGCTAATAGAATTTTTAAGGGTTTAGTTAACTTTTTCTAGTTTCTCTTAAACTGCAGAGTCCAGATTCTTTTAATAGCTACATGTCAACAAATATTAGCCTATATTCAAGAAGCCTACTCCTGCCAACTACATAGACTTGAGATAGTCATACATCTAAAAAGTAGCATAACAGCCCGGGGAAATTATACGCCTGTCAGTTTTCTTTGACCTTTGTGGTAGGACCAGTAGAGTCTGGCTTGTATCTATATTAAACATTGGTGATACAATTGTTAAGAATGAATAACATTTCCATTCGATAACCACCTACGATAATGAAATGTTACAATTACATTTGGACTGCTTTGTTACAACAACCTTAGCTTATCGAATCACGTGACGATAAGAATTTAAGAAAATGTCGTGATATAAGAAAAAGTCGTCTTTCTTATCTACAGGAAATTACTATTATATTTTGCGCGCGTTGCCCCCCTTAGAAAAGAGCGTCATTAGTCTCTCTATCTAACCGCCGTAAATTGCCACACATTGCTTTTAGTTTTCTAAGCACCTCTTCGTTACTTTTTGCTATTCAAGTTTTTAACAAGGACATAGTTTCCACCGTTAATGTCGTGAATTCATTTGTGATTTTTTTTTAAAGTTTCAAGGTTTTTTTTTTTGAATTATAAACATATGCATCAAGAGGGAAACTATGGCGTCATATAATCCGTATAGAGACGATATAGCGTCGGATAAAGATGGAATAGATTACGAACTGAATCAGCTGTTCCAACAACACCAATTAGGAATGGGCAGCCATAATGACACTTTTTTATCCCGTATTTTTGGATTGAATTCTATTTACAACCAACTTCAAGAGAATTACCAATACTACGATCCTGAATTTGACAGTACATATCAACAAACTCAACAACTTCAACAACTGATTTCAAATGATTTTCAACAACAGGAACAACCGGAAGATGAGGATGAATCATTATTGCCTTCGAAAACTGCCGTTGCTCCTTTAATAAACACCCATGAGGAGGGAAGAAATTCTACTGGACCAGGGCATAGCAATAGCTTGCTTGATTCTGAATCTGACTCTGACTTGTCATCAAGCTCAGAAAGTTATGTTCGCCCGAAGTCGAATAGAGTCAGAGTAGAACAGCAACAGGAGGAGCAACAACAACAACAACAACAACAACAAAAGGTAGATATGGAAGAACAAGGTAATTCACATAAGCTCAAGTTTAACTTACCTAACCCTAAAAGATTAATAACTGGGAGATATAACAGACAAGATGGCCCAATACTACCAACACATACTACTCCTAGTCAATTCAGGAAGCCGAAGCCAGCAGAGAATGGCCAGAAGCAAAATCAACGGAGAGCAACCTTTGTCATACCGCCGAAAGAAAGGGCACTATATCTTTGGGCGAATATAACCAACATGGACGAATTCTTGAGTGATGTATATTACTATTATTGTGGTAAAGGATTGGCCAATATTATTATTTCAAGAATCATTGACTTGTTAATCTTGGTATTTATACTTTTGTTTACTGTTTTTCTAAAGTGGGGGATAAATTATGAATATTTTGCTCAATGGAGACAGGAACAGGACAAGCATATTACCTTGAGTGATTTAATTATACCCAATTTCTTATTTAATAGGGTTCCAATACTTGCAAAATTCCTATTATTTGGATTTTTCATATATGTGTTATTGAGAGTGATTCAATTATATTTTGATTATAACTACAAATTACGAGAAATCCGTAATTTCTACCACTATTTAATTAATATCGATGATGAAGAATTAATGACTATAAATTGGAAAACTATCGTCGAAAGGTTAATGTTATTGAAGGACTATAATACATTAACATCGACTAATGATCCTCAACGGCATTACGTCAATGATTTATCCTCAAAAGTTCGTTTGAATGCTCATGATATTGCTAATAGGATCATGAGAAGAGAAAATTATATGATTGCCATGATGAATAAGGATATCTTGGATTTAACTCTTTTTGATAATAGGTTCTTTTCTATAACCCAGAATTCAATACTTACCAAGACATTGGAGTGGAATTTGAAACTTTGCATTGATAATTTCATTTATAACCAGAATGGGCAAATCAATTCGTCAATACTTAAAGACTATAATAGAAATCAATTAGCCAAGGAATTAACATCACGATTTAAATTGGCAGCCATAATAAACTTGTTATTATGTCCTTTCATTGCTATATATTTTGTTTTGTTATATTTCTATCGCTACTTCAACGAATTCAAGTCAAACCCGAGCTCATTAGTTGGATCTAGACAATATACCCCCTTTGCCCAATGGAAATTACGAGAATTTAATGAATTACCCCATTTTTTCAATAAAAGGTTGTTATTGTCGATTGGACCAGCAAATACATATATTAATCAATTTCCTAAGGGATATATTGCCATTAATGTTATGAAGTTGATTAATTTTGTATCGGGTGCATTATTGGCCATATTGGTTATCATGGGTATTTGGTATGAAGATGAATCACATTCATTTTGGGCATTTGAGTTAACTGAAGGAAGATCCCTGTTGTTTTATATTAGTATATTTGGAACAATATGGGCTGTGACTGGAAATACACCAACATCTGCTAGTGAAATCCTGCTGAATAGTGAATCCTTTGTATACGACCCCGAGGCAAGTTTAAGATATGTTTCCCAGTTTACTCATTATTTACCGAGCACATGGAATAAGAAATTACATACTATAGAAGTCAAGAATTCATTTTGCGAATTATATTCATTGAAGATTTTGATTATCTTGAATGAAATTTTCAGTATTGTGTTGACTCCATTTATATTATGGTTCAAGATTTCAGCAAATAGTGGAGCTATAATTGATTTCTTTAGAGAGTATAGTATTCATGTGGATGGGTTGGGTTACGTTTGCTATTTCGCCATGTTTAACTTTGAAGAGAAGGATAAGAATATGATGGTTAACTTGAATAAGCGTAAACCCAAAAAGCCTAAGAACAAAGGTAAACCTTCGGGTAATGAGATTGAGATGAATAAAATATCCAAGAGTGATCATGAAGAAACCTCAGATGATACTTCTGACGATGATTCTGACTTGAACTACATGCGCCAACATTACCAACAAGATGATAAGATGATTAAATCGTATATGTACTTTTTGGAAAGTTACGGAGGATCCAAACTGAATCCAAAATCGACCCCACAAATCCAAGCTAAGAGGCAAGTACCGGTTGAACCATCGCCTAGCTTTTTGTATGACCAACAAAGTATAAGCGATTCACTTTATAATATCAACTATAAGTTTGATGATAGCACGATATTACAAGATGATATTTCTAGAAGAAAAGGTGGAGTTTTAGGAATGTTGAATCAATTCTATAAACAAGATATAAGTTAATAATGTAATTCATAGTTTAATAAATTAATTGGCGAATGTATAAACTTGTTATTGTAGACTGATCTATATCTAACTTAAACAAAGACTATACAGCACACGATTCGGGGTGATCTTTATAGTACTCGATTTTTTTCCAAATCCAAAAGTTTGAAAAAGGTAAATACTTACGACAATAGTTCAGGAATTGTCTTAATCTATTGATCACAAACCTATACAGTCGAGATATCTAGAAAACAAAGTTAATAAATAGTCATTTCTAAGTGATGAAAAGAAATATTGCAAGTTGCAAAAAATACCAACAAAGATATAGGTAGCAATATGATAGATCGCACAAAGGAAAGTAAGCGGGAAGTAAGAGAGAAGCAATTGATATTTAAGCAATCATTTAGTAAAATGGCTATAGAGTGTTAGTAATTTTGTGTGAAGTAAACTAATGAATTGGTGTTAAGGTCAGGAAAATAAGGCAAAGTTTGATCTAAATGGTTTTCGATGAATTTGTTTGTATTTAAGACTTGCTTTTATTCACATGATCATAATTGACTGTTATTTGAAAGTAGTTGTAACAGAAAACAAAGAAAAGAAGCAGAAGCAAGTGATTCAAATTTAGAAAATCTGAAAGGAAAGTTGCAGCTTATTTATATTGTAAAATTTGAGGGACAAGAAATTATAGAAAAAGTTGCAGCATACAAAAACCTAATGTCTATTTCCAGTAATCCCAAATATTAATTTAGATTGATTTTGGTTGCAAAAAAAAGAGGAAATAGTCATAGTTAAAGCGATATAGAGAAAACATTGTATATTATAACTTAAAACAACAAATAGAGGAACACACAATGATAGAGGAGAGAGAAACAAAATAACTAAAGAGAAACAACTATACAAAATAAACAAAGGTATCTTCAATACAAACATCTACACATCCATGGTATTACTCTTACTCATGGAAATGTACTTTTCAAACACTGACAACTCAGCAACCGTAGCTTTGGTCCTAACATTCCTGACATAGATTCTCTTGATCCATTTATAAACTTCCGAACCAGCCAAGAATAAAATTGTAAAACCAATAGCTAACCCCCATTCCCAAGTAATTGGACCATGTAAAAATACTTTGTCGTTAATGACCGGGATGTAAACTACGGGAAATACGGAAACAAACCCACCCATGATTGACCAAAACAAGAACCGGTTTCCCCAAATATCAACCCAAAGTTGTTTATACCATGACAAATCAGATTCAGGACGCATCCGGAAGAAGGAACGACGCATGTGGATACATTCCCAAGCTAAGAGCAAAGCACACCACGTAAAAGCAGCAAATGCCCCGGAACGGCCTTGGAATACTAGTGAACAATTCTTGGAACCAGTATTACAATTATGTCCAAGATCACCATCACCTTTACCAAAGACAATGATTGCAAATATTGCTAGACAACAGGCAGCCATCCACGTTCCATACACAAACATATCCAAAATAACTTCCTTGGTGAAAATCTGGTTGTTTGGTGGTAATTCCAAAATATCTTCTTGTGCCTTTTCTTGTCCTAACCCCATGGCCGGGAAACAAGAGGTAACGACAATAATCCACAACACTTCAACTGGAGCCAAGGGAAATACAGAAAATCCATCAGAATCAATAAATACCAATCCAACCATTAAATACAAGGCTTGAGCTACATTTTCAGCCATTAACTGGAGGACGAACTTTTGAATATTAGCCGACATTCTCCGACCTTCTTCGATAGCATTCAAAATAGATGCAAAATTGTCATCGGTCAAAATGATATCCGAGGCATCTTTGGCAACATCAGAACCATTCATCCCCATAGCTATACCCACATCAGCTTTTTTCAAACTTGGAGAATCATTAACTCCGTCACCCGTCATGGCCACAAATTTGCCTCTTCTATGAAGGGCTTCAATCATTCTAACTTTGGTTTGGGGCGCACATCTGGCAATAACCAAGGGTAAAACAGGAAGAGCATCGATTTGATCATCAGTTAAATTGTCAAACTCCATTGCAGTCATAACCATAGCTTGTACGACATCTTGAGAGTAATGATACAAATTATGTGGCAAAATACCAACTTCTTGAGCAATAGCCTTGGCAGTACCTGGGTGATCTCCGGTAAGCATGTGTACATTTATACCTGCCTTGTGACATAATTGAACTGATTTGGCTGATTCTGGTCTCGGTGGGTCATAAATACCAATCAAGCCTAAGAAAGTTAAATTGCATTCAATAGTCTCTCGGTCTGAAGTATCAATCGAATCAGGAAATCTTTGCGCAAATGCTAATACTCTTAACCCTTGGGAAGATAATACATTCATATTGTCTTCAATGAGTCCAATATCTTTTTCAGTCAAAGGAACAAGCTTGCCATTGACATACCAACAAGTACAAATATTCAAAATCCTTTCCACGGCACCTTTAGTGAAAATTTGCACCTTTCCATTGCTTTCATAAACACTGGTCATTCTCTTGATGGCTGAATCAAACGGAAATTCTGTCAAATGAACCAACTCATTGCGGTTTACAACGTCCTCCCGAATCCAACCTAATCTTGTTGTTAAAACATTAATGGCGATTTCAGTTGCGTCACCATGAGCTTGCCACTCACCTTCTACCTGGTTTACACTAGCGATATTGGCTAAAGTAGCACACATTAGCCAATTGCTCAAGAATTCATTGTTGGGTAAATGGTCGGTGAAATCAACTTCTTCGTCAATTTCTTTGATATACTTAGGAGAACGATCCGAGAAAACGACTTCACCAACAGTAGGATTGAATGGCTCATTGGAATTTTGCACCGATAAAGTACCAACGCTGGGGATCCAAACTTTCTTGGCAATCATTTTACCTAAAGTTAAAGTTCCAGTTTTATCCGAGCATATATCATCAACACCACCTAATGCTTCCAAAGAATCTAACTTACGGACGATTACATGCTTGGAAACCATAACTTGAGCACCAATAGCCATAGTAATAGTCAAGACTACAACTAACGAAGAAGGAATCATAGAAAGAGCAACGCAAATGGCATAAATTGCAACATTTTTGTTAACATGCATTTTTTGCGTAGCCATAACTACAATTGCAAATACCACAGCCACCCAAAATAGGAATATGGCCAACCAAGACAATTTCCTTTGCAATGGTGTTCCAATATTCGTTCCCAAAACATTTTGAATGATATTCTTAGTTGTTTTCAAAGCAGCGATAGTGTAATTTTTCAAGGAAGGAGTGGTAACTCTAACTATTGTATGGTCATTATTCTTTAATGAATCAGCAATCTTTCCAATTTGAGTAAGTAATCCGGTAGATACGACAATACCTCGAGCTCTACCCTTCGCAACTACGGACGAACTAAAAGCCATATTCAATCTGTCACCAACAGGGACTGATTCAAGATAAATCGCTTGATGATCTTTAACCACCGGGAGAGATTCACCCGTTAGTAACGCTTCATCGGTTTCCAAATTCATACAATCAATTAATCTCAAATCCGCCGGAATAGTATCACCAACCTTAATAATAACGATATCACCAGGTACGACTTCTTCAGCATTAATATTTGATTCAACTCCATCACGCAAAACTCGAGCCAGGGGTGAACTTAACGATCTCAAAGAACCCATGGTTTTCTCAGCTTTGTATTCTTGAATAAAACCAACAAAGATGTTTACAAACACAACAAATCCAATAACACCACCAGAGATATAATCCTTAATAGCAAGAGCAATAACCAAGGAGATAATAAGAACAATCACCATAGCATTAAACACTTGGTGTGCAAAAATAGTAGCAATTGAAATTTTATCTTCTGAACCCAAGTTATTTAACCCATAATGTTGCAAATTATGTTTGACTTGCTGTTCAGTCAACCCAGTCAGTAAATCTGTATGAAATACCTCAGCAGTTTGTTCGACAGTAAGACGGAATGGTTCATCAGGGACTTTTTCATTATCAACATAAACTTTGTTGCTTAAACCCGGCGGTTTTTCACTGCCTTGAACTTCATGGCCTTGACTAATTGCTTGATCATTTTTTAAGGGAGCTGAGTTCTGAACAGAAGACTTTATTTTAACTTAATATAGGTGAGAAATTCCAAGTAAACAAAAACGATAATGGCTAGAGACAGTTTAATATGACGATATCTAGCACTATAGTGTGTGTGAGTCTTGGACGGTTATTGACCTAAATTGTAGAGATAAAAAAGGAAAGGAAAAGAAGAGAATACCAAAATGTGTAAAATTTTGTTGGAAGATACGCGGCTTCAATAAGGTGGAATTTTGTTTCTCTTTTTTTTTTCTCTTTTTTTTTCTCTCTATTTTTTTGCAACACCAACGGCTTTTTTCCTGCAGATAAACAGTTTAAGAATCGGAACATGTGGCTAAGTAACCTTGCTGTAACAGTGGTATATTGTACTGCAATCAAATAGTAAAGTTTAAGTAAACCCAAGCTATGTGTCATCGTCGCAACCAAATCTTCTTATTCATCTATTTATTACACTTTGTACCAACATGTTCATGTTGATATAAAGTACATGTAAGAAATGACCATATAGAACATTAACATTAAAATGCGCAGACGAGCTGACTCTACTAGCTTCATATAGTTACAGATGCATCAATCAAGATTACTGGTGTGATATTCAAGTATTGTACAATAGACTAGTATTACCATATTCTGGTCGAGCCGCACTAGCCTTTGAGCCGCACGATGTTTTTCTAGTAATTTTTTTTGCTCTAGCATAAAAAATCTTTATACTATGTCTACAACGAACAACCTCTTTGGATCGACTATAGTATCAACCCACTTTACAACAAAATGGCTGGTTCTCAGTTAAAGCAGCTTAAGGCTGCACTTAAAGAAAAGGGACTCATTGGTCAAACCAACACCAAATCAAAAAAATCCAAGCATAATAAAGCCGAAGTCAAACGAGATGACCGTCAGCACAAGATTGATGAAGTCCGTAATGAATTTAACAAGTTCGATACCAAGATAAACCGTACTAAACATGACGTGTCTATTATCCAGCAAGGTAAATTTGTTAAAATGGGGTCTAAGCAACATAATGAAACTTCTGCCCGTAATGGAGCTGTGTTGAAGACTATGAAGATGCAGTATAACTTAGAAAAGGGGAGACGCGGTAAGACTGGCGGGATCTTGGATAAACGTTTTGGTGAAAGTGACAAGCACTTGAGTAAAGAAGAAAAAATGCTTGCTAGATTTACCAAGGAAAGACAGAATGCCAGCAGAAAGAGAAACGCATTTTCTTTGGAAAGTGATGAAGAAGATGAAGATGACGACGAAGATGGATTCACTTTGACCCATAGTGGTCAAGCACTTTCTTTAGACGACGAACCAAGTGTGAAATACGTCGATGAAGATTATTCAGTAGAAGACGAACAAGAACAACCTGCTAGAAAGAAATCCAAGAACGAAGTCATGAAGGAAATCATTGCCAAATCTAAATTTTACAAGCAACAAAGACAAAAGGAATTTGCAAAGACACAAGATGAAATTGACGTTTTAGATGACGAGTTTGGTGACGTTATGGATGACTTAAGAAATGTTCAAACAGCTACACCTGTATTCTCTACCAAGTCTGCTGAATCGATTGAGTATGACAGTAAAGTTCGTGAGTTGACTTATGATAGAAGAGCTGTTCCTGCTGATAGAACTAAGACCCAAGAAGAGTTAATTAAAGAACATGAAGACAAATTGAAGAAATTGGAAGCTGATAGGTTGAGGAGAATGGAAGGATTTGTTGACTCTAGAGAAGCTGAAGCTGATGATTTGGATGATGAATTCTGGGCTGGTGGAAGTGACGAGGATGAAGAACAAGGATTTGCCATTAAGGAAGATGGAGGAGACGATAGCGAAAGTGAAAGTGAAGACGAACATTCTGGAAGACCAAAGACTGTCAAGACTCCACCTGTTATCATGCCTTATACTCATCATGAATTTGAACAAGAAGTTTCCCAAATTGAGCCTGCTAAACAAGCAAACCACATTAATAAAATAATTCAAGCTTATAAACCAAACTTAGCTCAAGGGAACAAGGAAAAGATGAACAATTTTGTAGGAATATTATTCCAACATGTTCTTCATCTTGCCAATCATGATCAAGAATTTCAACACATCGTGGAAATAGTCAAGAAATTAGCAGAAACATATAATGAAAAACTTGTTGGAACCATCAGAGAAGAAATCTCACACATTCAATCAAGAATATTAAAGCATCACTTGCGCAAGAGTGATTTGGTATTCTTTGTTGTTATTGGATACTTATTTTCTACATCTGATCATTATCATTTGATAGTTACACCATGCTTGATCTTGATGAATGAATTGTTAACATCAATAATATACTCTCCAAACACGAATGTTCAAACTATCGGACAAGGTATTTTCACCGTGGATGTCTTGTTGTCATACCAAAGATTTGCCAAAAGATTCGATCCAGAAGTGGTTAACTTTATTGAATACGCTATGTTGCAATTGATCCCAGAACCTAAGAAAATGACTGGTTTAGACAAGATTTTATCATCAAAGACTGAATCTAGGTTTTCCGTATCGAAAACTGAACAAATCAATACAGGAATCATTTCGATTAAACAATTGTTTAAAGAAGAAGGAGAGCTCAAATCACAGTTACTTGTTAAATTAGTTGATATAATGGATAAATTAGTATCACTTTACAAGGAAAAGTCCTGTCTTATTGAAATTCTTGACTCATTTATTCCAATTTTAAAACATCTTGTCAAGTATTTTGCAGCCAGTATACCCAACTTACTGTCAACTTTAACCAAATTCACTAAACTTCAATCGAACTTGGTTAAATCCCGTAAACCATTGACATTACAACATCATCGTGCTCTTGCCATGGCTACATTTGCACCTAAGTTTGAAGAAAACTTTAACCCAGATAAGAAGTCCTATGATGTTAATAAGGAACGTGCTGATTTGAACAAGATCAAATACCAAATCAAGATGGAAAAGAAGGCTGCCCTTAAGGATATCAGACAAGAAAACAAGTTTGTCGCAAGGGAACAAATTGCTGAAAAGAAGAGCATGTACGACGAATATCATAAGAAGATGGCCAATATTGTTAATTCGATTCTGACTATTGAAGGTGCTGAAAAGAATCAGTACGAACGTGAAAAGAAGTTAAGAAAAAATAAGTAGGAGTTGTATTTTAGAAGAGATTATGTATGTTAAAACACATTAGCATTTATTAGTTGACTGCAAAATAAGTTATTATTTGGTAGCCCCTGTCGTATTTTACTTCTTTTTTTTTTTGTAATTTGTGGAATGAGGCACCGCCGCAATTAAAACTTTCCGAAGGGGTCAGGAGGAGGGGAGGGGGCGGTGGGGAAAGGGATGCACGAGGGGCATCCATTAACTTTGCATCAACTTTCCCGATTTGAATTCTAGTTTAATTGAGTTACAATTGATAAGTAATTACTTATAATTGCTTATTATTAACACACCTACAATCATGTTACAATTAATTTAACTTCATTAAACATGAAATAAAATATATAAACGTAGTAGAATAAAACAAAAAAACTAAAACATGGTATACAACTGAAACTCATTTTTATTGTCATGGAATGGTGTGGTTAGTTAGATTATTATGCTCACTTCTCAAATTCAAGTTGTAAAACATATTAAACTCTTTTCTGTTCGAAAGAAAACATCAGACTAAAACAAAAAAAATCAACAACACCGAAAATATCACCTGGTGTAGTAATGTACAAGTATTAAATAGAAGTGAAAGTACGAAAAGCAACAACAAAGCAAAAACACTCAACTTTTTCTTCTTTTTCTTTCTTTCACTCGCTCTCTAAACTTGTGACATGGTTGGAACACCGGTTCTTCTTGCAGAAGGTCTGTTTGCTCCGAACAAACCACCTTGGAAAAGGGAAATTGCACTGAAAATTCCACTAGCTAAGAAGATAAAAGTGGAAAAGTATAAAAAGGCAACACTGGCTTGGGCCTTTCTACATCTTCCACTGGAACCTTGGGTGATTTTGTTGTTGTCAACGTAGTCTTCGTTAGAACAAGAATGGACTCTGATACCAGCGGCAATTGCGGTGGCGGCAGCAAAACAAAAGACAAAGTTCAAGAAGTCAAACACGAACAAGATAACTGGCCAGGCAAATGCATTGATGAAGTAGGCAAATACCCCATAAATGGATGAGGTTAAAAGACCAAATGCTGCAGCAAATACGGCAAAGTTAACTTGAGGGTTTTGTCCATCGACAGTGGTGGCAGATAATGACCCAGTCAAACCCAAGGCAATAACTAAAAACAAAAAGTTAACTAGCCTTAAAATAGCGTCTCCGATTGCCAACATTGTATGATTATAAGTTTGTAGGTTAATGTAAATACAGTATTAAGTGGTATATAGATACTCAATTGATTTATGTCGAAAGAAAGAAAACAATCAATTTATATGGAAATTGAAACTAACAGCAATTTTAAGTTATTTTATACAACCAAGAAATTTTGAGTGGTTTTTTTTAGGGGGGTTTTGTATGAGGATTTGTAAAAATGGATGATGATGCTTCTTTCTTATTGTTTACTTTTTGTGAATAAAGGCCTGCAGATTGGATGTTTTCGCTTTGTTTTTTTTTTCTATTATGTCATTGCCTAATTTGGGTTATATTATAGTTTAAACGGGCCAAACAACCTGCACATAGAAATGGACCAACAATGGTTAGATGAATTTAATCCATACCGAATTCCAAATGCGCCTTTGTATATGGAATTTGTTTGTTAGATAGACAGGGTTCAAGCAAAAATTGGATTGGGAAGCTTTTTCATCGGGTTTAATTCTCGGCTAGTACGGACAAAGTCACAAATTTTTTTTTTCTTTGCCATTTCAACGTTATAGAGCCATTTCATTTGCACTTGACAAAAAACAAGGTGAGGCTTTTACACATTCCTCGTTCCACATTACCCTGCGTGCTTTTGATAGTTTTGATGGCGCAGCAACATTGGTTAGATGTGCATGGCAACTAAGCTAAGCCCTTTGCTTGACAATTGCTAGCTGTGTGTAATATAATGTCTACGGCTGAAAGCAATGTGGTTGGAAAAAAAGCAATAGTCATAGCAACCGACCGGACCTTTCGGCGATAAACTAGACCTACAAATTCAAGATATTTTTTTTGTTCTAATTGCCTACAAACTAATGACCTAAACGTTTGATCTGGAGTGTTTCTCCGAACAATCGGCTAATGAAGATCTTCTATATACTTTCAACAAAATATTTCCTAACTTTATCATCTACGGCTACATCAATTGGTAGTTCTCCTGCATCGGTTTTAATTTGGGGATCGGCGCCTAGTGAAACCAACAATACGGCAACATCTCCATGACCTTCAGCTAAGGCGTGGTGCAAACTTGTCCAACCATCATTATCCTTTGCATTGATATTAACTTTTCCCTTTTCTACTAACAACTTGACTGTAGGAATTGATCCAATTGCCAGTGCCCTATGCAATGGGGTATCTCCCTTCTTATCCTTAACTTTGCACGAGGCCTTAGCTTCAACTAATTTCTTGACTATATCGTAATTATTCTTGCTAATGGCTAAATGAAGACAAGTTGTACCTTGATTAGTAGCCAAGTCCAAATCAGGCTTAGGCTCAACTGCTAAAAGTTTTTCGAAAATTTCAGGATTCCCAATTGAGGCAGTTATATGTAATGGGGTCCAGCCACTTGAATCTACCAAATCATCTATGTCTACTTGATTTTTGGATAATATGTATTCGACAATGGTTAGGTTGTTTAAGGAACATGCCCAATGCAATGGTGTTCTATTATCGTCATCAAATAAGTAAATTTCCTTGGGGAATTGATCAATTAATGACTTGGCAAGATTGGTGTTACCTGCCTTGATAGCATCATGAATTACAAATTTGTTGGTTTGTTCAGAATCGTTCATATTGAATAATTTATTGAGAAACAGTGGCAACAGCGGACTTTTCCATCCCCGGGTTTTTAAGTCATCAAAAAAAAAATATAGTTGTTTAGAACATTCGATTTCTTTTTTTTTTTGTAGTTTAACTAAATTTACAAATATTGGAGTCTAAGTATCTCACCCTGTTACTAATATATAAACCACTCGTTCAACTCGTACCACCCGTAACATAGCCTCGCACTGCTTTTCAAAATCAATGTTTATTTAAACATATATACAGAATAAGGTACAAGTTTATTAAAAAGGAAGCACATGTGCTTTAAAAGAACTAAATATGCAAAAGTTAAATCTTATGGTCTCTTTTCTTGTGACTGTTTCTGCTCCTGCTCTTCTTCGTTGTCGTCGTCGTCCTCCTCATCATCATCATCATCACTTGAATCTGAATCACTTGGAGGTTGAGTGAAATATGGAGTTGCAATTACTGTCGTTGGTATACCTGATTGGTTTGTCTCTATAATTTCATCATCCATGTCAACACTACTATCACTGCTAAACTCTTGAGGCGGCATTGCTTGAATTCCCGAATATTCTCGTTTTAAAGATTCTAAATAACTTTGATAGTCATTGGAAACATGTGAATCGCCCTGAGTTAACGGTGATATGGTTGACATATTTGTATTTGAAAATTGATGGGAAGTAACTGATTCTCGTCTGAGCTCTTCTCCCTCTGCGGTTGATGTCGGAGATAATATATTATTATAAGGAATAATCATCAAGTCGTTTTCTTGTTTGCTTGTATATAATGGTTCAGTGATATGATGTTCTGGTGTAGTGTCTTTCTCCACAATTATTTGGTGGGATACATCACTTGGGGAAGATGATGATTCTTCCACGATTGGGTTATAATTCTCATCTAATCTGGCATAGTCAATCTTGGTTGATATAAACTTAGGAGATGACATCGCCGTAGTACAATGAGCATACATGTAATCAACTTCTTCCAACTTCAACCCCTTGGTTTCATAAACAGTGAAATAAACAAATACAACTGCTAAGGCATTGAATCCTCCCCACATGAAAAAAATCTTGTTGCCAATTGCAGCAGTATGCAATCCCGTATCAATCAAGTATGGGGTGATATAGGCGAAAATAAAGTTAACTAACCAATTAGTAGCTGCTGTTATAGCCACGGCCTTTTGTCTAATGGAAATACTGTAAATATCAGAACATAATGCCCAAGTACAACCACCCCAGGAACCTGCAAAAAACAAAATGAAAACACAAGAAAATGAAACACTGAGAATTGAGTTTATTTCAGTTTGGCTGATACTCACTCCACATATGGCAATTATGAAATTTGAAACTGCCATACCGACACCTCCCCATAATAATAATTTTCTTCTACCAATTGTATCAATAAGAATAATCCCTGGAATAGTGAAAATCATATTTACAAGGTATGTTATGAACGACATGATATAAGAATTCTGAACTCCAGTATTCAAAAAGAAATTTACCCCATAGTAAAAAATAAAGTTGATTCCCGAACATTGCTGGAAAAATTGAACTCCAATACCGGTAAGCATTCTTAGTTTTTGTTTGTGTCTACCACCACCAGATCTAAAACAGTCTAGTATGGTGGTTTTTCCAAATGATAATTCATAATCATAATTGGCTTTAATTTCAACTAATTCTTCAATTAAATCGGCATCATCGGGTCTCAACCGTCGTAATTTTGATAATGCATCTAATGCTTTCTGTATATTGTTTTTTTGGACATAGTATCTTGGTGATTCTGGTAAGAATAACATCCCCGTACATAATATTAATGCCCATAAAAATTGTAACCCAATAGGGATTCTATAACTTCCAGAGTTATTCATTTTTCTTGTACCTTGGCATACGGCACTGGCTATCAATAATCCCCAGGTGATGGCCCATTGATACGTGAAAACAATGGAACCTCTAACCCATTTTGGAGAAGCTTCGGCTTGGTACAACGGTACAATAGCCGATAGTATACCGACTGATATACCTGAGATGAATCTGCCAGCAGCCAACAATGGTAACTCAGTTGATGCAATTTGTAAAACATTACCCACATTGAAAACTAATGTAGATGACAAAATAATGGAAAATTTTCTACCGTAATTATCGGAAATCAAGGGAGCAATCAATGCTCCTACAAAGGTACCTAAGGATAACATAGCCACTGTTAATGCTCTTTCGTGTGTGGTAAATGTTAGGCCATCCGAGGCAAAGTTTTCATAAACATAGGGCATTTCTAATAACCCATTAATTAATCCTGTGTCGTACCCGTAAAGGAAACCACCCATAGCTGCAACCAACCCAACTATAATAGCAGAGTTTGAAGAAGACTTCTGTCGTAGCTTACGGTGGTATTCTTCTTCTATCGTGTTGTCGTATAATATTCGCTCTAGAAATTTGAACATTGTGTAGGTTGTTATATGGTTCTAAACATGGGAGTGGGGTTTTGAATCAAAAGTAAATTAGTAAGCGAACTGAACTGGAAATGAGTGGTTTATGTACTATGTGTTGAAGTATATGCAAATGTAAAGGATATATCTAGCTGAAAGGTTTGATTACTAACTAAAATCACGTTATAAGAAATCTATTAATATTTAAAGGTTGCACTCAAAAAGAATTCTAAAATTGTGTGTTAAAAATCGTTCTCCTCGTTTTTGGGTGAACAAAAAAAAAAAAGGAAAGGAACAAAGCAAAAAGTTTTTTTTTTTTAACTAAGAAAAAAAAGGGCAAGATTTATTTTTTTGGTTTTATTTCTTTTCCTCCTATTAGTTAAAGTCACGGATCGGCAAGCTCAAGAGTCATTAAGCCTGATCTGTCCCGAGTTATTTATATGTTGCATTTTTTGTATGTAATTATTCTCGCAAGCTCTCCAGATTTACAACATTGCCCCTTGGTTCGCTTTTCTCGGTCTGTCACGAAAGTTTTCGGATGAAACCTAAGATTAAGGAATCGTACATAGCACGAAGAACTGGTTGGATTTTCCGCAGGTACCGTAGGAAATGGACTAACCGATAGAGCTCGAAGGGGGCTATGTAACTAGATAGTGTCAGCTGTACGAAATTTTGCGAATTATGAACCCTGTGTACTTGTGCTCACGCTCACGTTCGGATACAAACATTGCTATCACCTATCTCTTTCGCTAACCGCACGTCTGCTTATGATTCCCTTTTTCTGTAACTTGTTCGTTGTTTGCTAAAGTTAACTTAAAATAAATGCAAGTTATTTTCTGGATCATTGAGATTTGTTACACCATCAAAATCGGCTAGTAATTTTGTGAAATTTGACTAAAATTGATTGCAAAAAAAATATATATATATAAAAAAACTTCAAAGATAGTATATCTAGAAACCTACCAATTTAAGTCATCCCAAATTACATTTGATACCCAACTACTATAGCTTAAGATAAATAACACCATTAGGGTTATATTCATTATTTCTACTAACACATATATAGACCTACCATATGGTTACGATGTAACATTGAAGAATTCCTTGCATTTAAAATTTGATTGGCCTCACATGCAAGTTTTGGGGTATAAAAAAATACCGACAAGCTTAATCGTAGTATTTAGAAGTGAAAAGCAAACAGATCTAAAGTAAATTAAAGAGCCCTCAACATACTTTTCAAGTCACTCTATCATCTAAATAGAACAATGAATGAATCCAATTTTGGCATAGAACAAAAGTTGATTGTACATTCGTCAACTTCTAACCAATGCTTCTTCTCTTCTGGTCTTATTTTCCGACTTGAGCTGTATTTTTGATGCATCTTGGTAATTCAAACCAACACGCTACCACATAATTGTTGTGCCCTATAGCACTTTCAAACGTTTTCTTTAAATGGTTGAAGTAAAAAAAAATTAAATATACAGAAAGTGAAACACAATCATTCAAATACAATATGCACCACCCATTCGTTATTTGCTCCTTGATACCCTTTCCTTAGCGTACTAATCCACCTGATAATTTATCAGATGTTAGTTGTTTTCTTTTTATTATGCAGGATAATTATATTTTACAACAAAGGTTAAAAAAAAAAATTAAGGAATCGTGTTGTAAAAAAAATTGGTGGAGAATCACCAGACAGCAACCACACCACGACAAAAGCGGCAATCAATAGACCTCAAAATCCAAAGAAATAGCAGGGGGCCGTAAACCTAATAATAATTTCTCAGTGATGGCCAACATATTAGAGACTGTTGGGTTGAATAGCCAGGCTGATGCTACGTTAGATCAAGTGACAGCAGATGCAACGGCGACAACGAAACTGCGTCGTAGAAAAGGTATAATTGTTCAACCTGAAAATGTAAATGAGCAACTCAAAACTGATAGAAGACAACCACCAAGTTCTAATCGAACCACAAATCCATTAACTGTTTCACTAGGATTAACTCGTGATCTTGTTAAGCAAAACAAGACTACAAATTCAGTTCTTGAGTTGATTGGATTTTATATTAATCATTTTATCCTTTTAAGTTTATTCTTTGTTATATCAATTTTCAAGAATATTCAATTTGCATATAGATATATGTTTTTAAAAGTGCTTACTTTAAGCTATTATCCAAACAAATCACCACAAGTTATAAGGGAAGACGTGAATAAGTTGAGTAAGATCCCTAAGGTTGTTAGTTGTATATTGGATCTAAAGGATGACGAGGATGAAAATGGTGGTGTGTTGGGATTAACTAACCAAATCGGGGAATTAGCAGCATGGTGTATAAGTGCAGGAATTGGTCAATTAATCATATATGAGTATTCTGGAGTATTAAACCAATCAAGTGAATCATTAACAAGCTTGAGTCGATATATCTCCAAGAATTTAACTTTATATTTTGGTACTGATACTAAACCTACCTTTTCTATAACCATACCACATAAGAATTTAATAACCTTTAGTGAAGGTGCCAGCTCTACCAACAGAAAAGTTGATTTAGAAATAAGTTTAATCAGTTATGTTGATGGAAAACCCACAATTGTTGATTTGGCTAGAACCATGGGTGAATTGGCCGTAAATGGTGAATTATCACCTAAAGATATCAATGCGGAACTAATTGACGGAGAATTAACTGATTTGGTTGGACCAGAACCTGATTTATTAATTAGTTTTGCTCCTTCATTAGATTTAGAAGATTACCCACCTTGGCATATTAGATTAACCGAAATCTATTGGGAACCTGATAACAAGGAGGTTTCTTATCCAATATTTATTCGTGCTTTACAACAATTTTCAAACTGTAAAGTGAATATTGGGAAGTAAATGCATACATTAACTAACTAATTTAACTAATCTAACTTACTATTTTCACATATCTAGGTTTTTAGCTTCAAAATACAAGGTAAATTATTGGGTTAATCAATATATATTGTTCTGGTGTAGTTTCTATGCAGTACGTGTCATATTTTCTACCGGGCGCCACTTAAGTTTCACTTTGTTCAGAAAAACAAGAAAATCTGATTTCTTCGTTGTCCAAAACTCTCACCCAAAATTTTTGATTTGTTGTTTTCTTCTTTTACACACATTACAACTACAACGTTTTACAACTGCCCCCCCTCCAACCCACCACCACTTGTTCAATCAATCAATTTGAGAATTCGCAAGATCAATTGATTTAATACTTGATACCGTACCCTTTACTTGATCTAGAACAAACACCCGGAAAGTCAACAACTTTACACATTTTACACAACCGTATAAATCAATTATAGAGATTTTACTTTCTAGACCAAAACATTCATTACTTTTTTAATTTTTTTTGTCATATATCTGTAATTATACATTAAAACATCATCATGGGTTTATCATTTTCTAAATTATTCGCCAACTTATTTGGTAACAGAGAAATGAGAATTTTAATGGTTGGTTTAGATGCTGCCGGTAAGACCACCATTTTATATAAATTAAAGTTGGGTGAAATTGTTACCACAATCCCAACCATTGGTTTCAATGTTGAAACTGTTGAATATAAGAACATCTCCTTCACAGTGTGGGATGTCGGTGGACAAGATAAGATTAGACCATTATGGAGATACTACTTCCAAAACACCCAAGGTATCATTTTCGTTGTGGATTCCAACGATAGAGACCGTATTGCTGAAGCAAGAGAAGAATTACAACAAATGTTGAACGAAGATGAATTGAGAGATGCATTATTATTAGTTTTCGCTAATAAACAAGATTTACCAAATGCCATGAATGCTGCTGAAATAACTGAAAAGTTAGGTTTACACTCTATCAGACAAAGACCATGGTACATTCAAGCTACTTGTGCAACTACTGGTGATGGTTTATATGAAGGTTTAGAATGGTTGTCTACTAACTTGAAGAACTCTTCTTAATCTTGCCAACTCCACCATTTAATTCTCTAAATAGCCTCTCTTTATAACGTCGAAGTTTTTCTTTATATATATATATAGCAGTGTTCACACTGTTACCTTTTTTTATTTGTTAAATATATAAAGATATAATAATAGTATCCCATCAATTTAGAATTTGATATGGTGAATTAGTTTTATGTAGAAGTGAGCCTTGGGGGAAGAACGTTTTCCATTGTTCTCGATTCCACACAACGTTCAACTTTTCACCAAGTTTAAAAGGGAACGTATAACTTATAGTGTTTACCTGGATCAAACTCTTCCGAACTACGTATCATACTGACGAGGTTACCATTTGTGCATCCAGCAAGTTATTTACATGGAAATGACGTATGGTATACCACTCTGTCTGACAAGGTGGGCTATTTTTAGAAAATAGTAAGGAAAGATTACGCGTTAATTATACCATGAACACTTACCGCTTTCGGAAATTGCGAAAACACACAAAAAAAAATTATATGTAATTCACTACTTAATAAAATGTGGTTTATTACAGGGATAGCTTTTTGTATCATGGTATAGCGTATTGTTAATACTTCAATTGAAAAAGTCGGAAAGTTTTTAATTAAGCACGAGGGCAAGGTTATCCATACCTGCCAATGTGATTGGCAACGGAGTAGATTAGAATTAAACTTAACACTGTAAAATAGTTGACATTTGTACGTTCACAGTTAGAATGTAGTAAGCTCTCCCCCTCATTGATGGGCGTGTGTTATTATAGCATTGAAATCTTAGTTTCTTTTTGCTTGTAATAGGTGATTGGGAATGATACCACAAATAATCAATCCGTGGCTTAGACCCTTTCGTTAGGTCTAAACCCTAATTTGTTTCACGTGAGTAATTCCTGCATGTTGCATATCTTCGTTTTATTGAATATGTTTTTCTTGCCTTACTAAATCCCCATAGTGAGAAAATTACTTTTTCTACTGAGGATTTGTTCACGTGACTATCGATGCAAGCGATTTTGACAAAATACTCTAGCACTGCACAACGGACAAACAAAAAAAAAAAAACTATATAGAAAAATTTTCCAGCTGCTCTTTCTTAACCTGATAGTTCATTAATACATACAACGACAATGGTATGTTCAAACAGTAACAGGATACACCACCCGCATAGTAAGATACTATAGGATATGATATATGATAGAATAGAATAGAAAAGGAGGATTACACCTGAGTTATTGAAAGGGCAGAAACGATTTATTCAACTACATAATATCGTCAAGCAAAGACTAAGAAAGATAAATAAAGTACAAACGATAGAACCAAGTTATAGACAAGCAACTATAATAACAATCATACATACATGCTTTATTTTTCATTGTTGAAGACGATAGGCGAAGTCATAAATATTGAATCAGAACTTACATATAGTGAAATTGGTCAACATCAAATCATAACCTATTTTCATGTGGATGGATAACTTTTCTTTTAAAAGCATTATACTAACATTTATTCTAGGCTGCTGTTAAAACTTTTGAATTAAGAACCAAGTCTAAGGAACAATTAGAACAACAATTGGTTGAATTAAAGCAAGAATTGGCCACCTTAAAGGTCCAAAAGTTGCAAAGACCATCTTTACCAAAGATCCACACCGTCAGAAAGAACATTGCTCGTGTATTGACTGTTATTAACTTGACTCAAAGAGAAAATGTTAAGGCTTTCTACGCTGGTAAGAAGTACCAACCAAAGGACTTAAGAGCCAAGAAGACCAGAGCTATCAGAAGAAGATTAACTAAATTCGAAGCTAACAAGGAAACCGAAAAGGCTAGAAAGCAAAGAATTGCTTTCCCACAAAGAAAGTTCGCTATCAAGGCTTAAGAAGGTCATGTATTAATGGGTCTGTATAGTTAATAAAATTCGATAATTTTCCAAATGTCATAAATTTAATTTTATTTATTCAGTAGAGATGTGTTGTAAATGTCTCTGCAAAAGGAATCACTCGAGTGTTTATCAAATACATTGTAGTAAGATGAGTTCCTCTGTTCTCCTAATCAAGATTACTTGTCATCTCCACGATTTCTGGCTTTGAATCCCAATATCCAAGCGTTATTTCCTCTTTCCTTGTATCCTCATAAAAAGCTTAAATGATCTTTGCTTTCGCCCTATTTGCTTACCCTCAGTACACTAACATCCTTCACCATTAGGATACCAGAACGCTACCAAATCCCACTCGCTCAACTATACAAGATTGCCACAAATTACAAGATCATTTACTATAATATGTCATTCACCTATAAAATAGTGATAAAAAAAAAAGGACACTTATTGACGATTCTGTCTAGCCTTTTGCCTAAATTCGTCAATTTGTTGTTTTAATTCAACATTATCAATCACATCGTCCAAAGTTAATGGCATTCTATTAAATGGGTCAGTCAGATCACTTAATAAATGTGCCTTAATGGTAGATCTATCAATCGAAACTCTAGAACCCGGCAATATAACTGGATCCTTCATTAACGTAAACATTAACGGATCCAAAAATTCATCAGGGATTTCTCCCATTTCCATCTCTTCCATCTCTTCAAGCTTACGTTGATCTTCTGCAGCACGAGCAAAAGTGACTAATGCATTAATGGTTTTAGGCTCAACATAGGTCTTTGTAGTCAAAATATTTTCTGCTTTTTCAAAATAGGCAAGATTGAAAGAACGTTCATCCCTCGCCACAGATGCAACGAATTCCTTTTGTGACGATAAATTAACATATATCTCACATAATAAGGTCAATATTTTCTTTGGTTCAAAATTATACTTTTCTGGATTTTCAACTTTCAAGTTGGAACACTTGGGACCAACCATAATTGAAAGATTATAATTTAACATACTTGCTAGTCTGTCAATAATTTCGGCAAGCATAAAACCTTGAGGAACCTCCTTGGTGAACAATTTAAATAATTCCATGGTTTTATTGGAAAGCGACATATATGATTTGGCACGAGATTCTAATGAATCCAAGTTACCTTCAAGTTCTTCATCGGTCCCCATTGATTCATCACCAGGAGAAGTTAATCTTTTCTTAAGTTCCTGTTGAACATTATGGATTTCATTCAAAACATTAAATGTTTCATCTAAAAGATATGTAGTATCGTTCAACATTCTTGCAATAAATCTAATGAAAAAATCAACATTATTCCTGGAATAATCCTTCAATTGGAAACGATAGCTTGGATTTTTCCACAATTGTTCAAGAATAACACTAATATAATATCTACTATTGAACTTATCATAAAATTGTGAACTTGCTCCAGTCTTTTCAACCATCACATAAAAATCAAGCAACGAATACAATATATTATCAATTATAAGTTTATTATTGTTGAAGACACTAATCATGAATCCATCTCTATTAGCATTCTCAATTGGTAGTGATCCAACAAACAAAATTTCAACTAAGTTTGACTTTAAATGAGGATTACCAACTAATTCAGGGCAACGCAACAAAATAATTATAAATTCACAAAAACAAGTTAATTTATCTTGATTATCAACAAGTGGACACCCCATGAAATTTGTCAGGAATTTACAATAGTTAACAATACCCTCCACTATAAATTCTGGATAGTATTTCCAAGGTATTGGAGTTTTGGTTTTTAAATAATCGTGATCATCCAATTCAGAAACCTTCGATATTTTGAAGATTGGAATTGAGAGTTTAGACTGGGGATATGAATGTGATGGATCAATTAATCTTATAATAAAAGTTGTTGCGCCGATTATAAAATCAAATATTTCCAATTGCAAATTTCTAAAATCGAAAATTGCCTGAATTGAATGTTTAACTGATTTGAATGCTTCAATTGTCTTTTTCAATTTTGGTAATTCTTGTCTAAGGAAACTAATCATCATTGGGTTTAATCCTGGTGGAGTTTGCCCTGATTCAATTTGATCAATTCTTGATTGCACTTGTTTAATCTGTTGTTTCAATCTATCATATTTGATAAAGATCCCACCAATACCATAATGAAGATATGCTAAGGTTAGATTAAAACAATCAGAGATGAAATTGGTGTCTTGTTCTTCGTGCGAATATTGTTCTTCTACTTCTTCAATGGTAGAGTTAACTCTTGATTCTTCATCAACATCGAGAAGTCTATTCTTTCTGAAATAATCAACATCAATTTTATCGATTTTGCCAAACAAAGGATAATTTAAAAATGGAAGACTCAATTTAATCAAAATAATGGAGATATTATACATTATTCCATCGCTTGATAATTTCTTGAAATCTGCATGGGAACCTCTTCTTAAATGATTCAAGTTGATTAAATCTGCAAACCATTCAACTAAATCGGTCCTTGTTTTAACTGATCCTCGAACCAATTTATCAACAATTGTAAATAAATGTGAAATAATAACATTGTACTCATTTTGAATTGATGAATAAGTATTATGGATTTGCATAGGAGTCTGTGTGCTAACACCTTGGAAGTAATTCACAGCCATGTCTTCCAATAAGGGAGATATTCTCAATAATGGACCTAATAAAGTTTTGTGTTCGTAATCAAGACATTCCTGTTTAGGTGGTTGAAACCCGTTAACTTGTGAAAAAATAGCAGCCACAGGTTTAATTGAAACAAGTGCTTCATATACAGATAACAAATGAATGAAATTTGAACTATGACCAAGATTAGCAGTAGAAATCTTGAAACTCAAATAAGGGAATATCAAATTTGCCAATTCAAGTAAAGAGGCTTCATCTTCTTCGTTATTAATAATATCAAATAAAAATGACGAAACATCATTGAATCTGGTTACAAAGAACTCCAAAGACTTGCTTACATCATTATTTATAAACAAATCAACCACATGGAAACTTATGCCACCATAACTAACTGAAAATTTAATGACTTGGTTAAGAAATTGCACTTTTTCTTGGTACAAATGAGCCTTTAATGGGATTGTTCTCTTTATGCGGAACGCATTATGATAAGTTAAATACAAATATTCCATCAAGGATTTTGATTTAGCAGGGATACCAACTTCAGTTAAAATTTCCATAAAAATTGATTCAATGTCATCCGGGGTTATCTGTCCGTGAGGACGTTGTTGTAATTCATATGCCAAATTATATAAAAATACGAGATCACCCTTATTCTTTTCTGGATCAATGGTTGCTTGAAATATGAATTCTAATTGAGTTAATACCCACTCAGTGAACGGATCAGTAGCTGTTGTGTCTGCAATAGTATGGTCAGACAACTCTTGTTCAACAACTGGTAATTCCTTTTCGGCCGAAACAACAGGAGGGACGTGTTCTTTTGGTTGAGCTTTCCCTTGTTCCACTTTTAATTCTTGCTGTGCCTGTTGCAACTGCTGTGCTAGTTCTTGTTCCGTTTGTTGTTTCTTCTGAGCTTGTTGAGCTTCATGCTGTTGTAACTTTGCCAACCGTTTAGCTCTAATCTAAAACACAATTACATGTTAGTAACGACATTTACCATAACAATTAATCTTCCCAGTAGTACGTACTTCATCTTGACTTGCCATATTCAGTTGTATGCTGGTATATCAGAATCTATTGCCACCTAATTTGAACGTGTTGCTAAAATTTCTAGAGGCAACAATCTTAGACAACCACCCTCAAACCTCCAATGTTATATACAGGAACAACAGATATTTGCAAAGGCTAGAGGAAAAAGAAAAAGAAAGAAAAAATTACGGCTGTACATCCAATCTGACATACAACAAAAGTGTTAAGAGTAAATAATCCAACTGTCTGGTGACACGAATATATAACTAAAAGAAACTTTACATGGGTTTAGATTCAAGTAGGACGAGCTTATTTTATATTTAAACATGACTATACAGCCCAATACCCTAGCACAACATCCCAAACAGCATAAGCAACAACCCCAACGACAACAAACTAACCAAGTTGAACAGCCACATGTTATTCCAACTTCAATCCAAACGGCTTTGCTGAAACAACAGGACCGAATTTACTTGTTACATTTAGAGCAAGAGTTGATAAAGTTCATAGAGTCGGTTTCTAAGGACCTTACTGCTTCTTATGCTATTCCTGCGTCATACCTCAAAAATTCATACTATAGGTTATTATCACATCAATTATGTCAATACTATAAATTATCTCATTGGAATAATAAGGCCACAAATGAAATTACGGTTACTATGGTAGAAGGGGTCGACTATACGTTTATAAATACAAGTATTTTTGTAAGGTTGAATAAAGCTGTTGCGGAAGTCGAAGAGCAACAGCAGCAACAACAACAGCAACAGCAGCAGCAGCAGCAGCAACAACAACAACAACAGGAACAAACAGATGCAACGGAACCACCTATACAGCCTCTAATGAAACCTAAATTGATAGTTAAAAAGAAGAAGGAAGTCTCAGTTCCTACTAGTGCAACATCGGAAAATTCCGAAACATCAAGAGACAATTCATTTATTCAAGATACTGCTTCAAGCACCCCAACTTCTATAAACGAATCAGTCAATAATATTGAATCAGAAAGAGCATCAAAAGAAGCACTTTACATGAAATTACGTCAAGAAATATTTCAAAATGAAGATGATCAAGAGGAAGAGGAGGAGGAGGAAGAACAAGAAGAGGATGAAGACAGAGATATAGATAACCAATCATTTTCCAGATCCCCATTCAATAATAACAACATTTATGGGCAACAGATACCCATGCAAATGTATCCAAACGGATATTATCCGACACCAATAGTTTATCCAGGATATTCAGCATATCCTCAATATCCTCAATATGTTACCCCAATGCCTACCACTTCAAATATACCTGCAACACCACCATATCCCAACTTTCCTATGTATAACCCATCACTTGTACAACCTTCTGCACCTCTTCCATACGATAAAGAAACCGAACGAAGGCTATTGAACAATCCTTATATTATAATACCAGATAATAACCACCGACAAAAGAGTGGTCATAAGAGATATTACAAGAAAAACAATACCAATGGATATTCAAAGGGAACTAATGGACAGACGAACGCTAGGTCGTCAACCAACAACTATTAATAACTACATAGGGAAATATATACCTGTAACCTAGAGAAATCAAACGACAAAAAAAAAAAGTCGGCTAAATCTATACGCCAAGATACGCGCGTGTATAAAAAAAAAGTTGAAGGGCGGAAGATTCGTCAAACCCTAATCACTTACTCTTCTCCTTTGTACAAGCCAGTTACCAAGCTACAATGTCCGATCCAAGAGTCTCCGATGACGATTTAGTTCCTGAAGAAGTTGAGGGATACCACGTCACTGAAAAGAAAACAATTGCTGAATATACTCAACTTGACGCTGAAGATGAATCACTCGCCAAATGGAAGGCTTCATTAGGATTATCCACTGGTAAATTATACCCAGTCAAAGCTGGTGATAACAGAAAGGTTGTTGTTATTGAAATGGGATTGGAATTCCCGGGCCAACCAAATTTGAAGCCGATTAGAATTAATTTAGAAGAAAATGTTAATCAACAACTTCAATTCAACATTAAGGAAAAGTCGGTCTACCAATTGGTCATTAAGTTCAGAGTTCAACATGAAATTATAACCGGGTTGAAATATTTGCATAGTATCAAAAGAGGAGGAATTAGAGTCGAAAAGGTCGATGAACCTTTAGGAAGTTATGCTCCAAACACAGTCGATAATCCCTATTATGAAAGAAAATTTCCTGAAGTTGAAGCTCCAAGTGGTATACTCGCCAGAGGTAATTATTCAGCTGTATCCAAATTTATTGACGATGACCAGACTAGCCACTTAACTTTACCTTGGAGTTTTGCTATTACCAAGTAGAAATGGTTCTTGTTTATAAAACTAGCTATTTATAGGATGAAATGAAATAAAATGATAGTAAGAGCTACTCTCTCTGGTATTGTCCCATTGTTCCACCTTTTCCTCTATTGGCAATAGAAGGAAGCGCCAATGGGCCTGACACGCGCTTGGTTCCCAATGAACTTCCAGGTCTTCTGCTAGGTACGTAAGGTGGTGCTTTATTATTTGATGGCTTCAGAATAAGCTGAGTTCCAGTTTTCCTAAGCATTGGTTTTATTTTATCCTTTGTAAGATTTCCATATAAGCCCTTCCTGTGTGGTTGGGTCCCACCTAGTTTGTTTGTTACACTTTCATTCCCTGGTTCAAATTTCTGCTTTTTGTTTTGGGTGGTATGAATCACGTCTGATGCACTTTGAAATCCAACCTTTTTATCTGCACCATTATCACATCCATCAACAATCCCTTTTGGATTAAACGGATTAAGAATTGAGTTCATTTTCTCCTTGTATACTGTATTAAACTCATCCAAATCAAAATCTGGACATCTTTTCCCTAATATTTCATATAAGGACTTCACCTTGTCCTTTTGACGAAAGATATGAACAAGTCCCGTCTTTTTATCTTTATTCTTGATAAACTCAATGAATCGTGAAGGATCAGTGACTTGCATTCTCCAACTTTGTCTTTCTTCTTTGTCGCCATCTTCGACATACCAAGACACATATAAAAGTAATTTAGCTCTTGTTAAAGCAACGTATAAACATCTTCTTTCTTCATCTATAGCTTCTTGAGTGTTTGCTTTAATCGCCATAATTGAAGGAAGTAGTCCGTCCGATAACCCAGGAACAAATACAACCGGCCATTCCAACCCTTTAGCACCATGAATGGTAGATAATGCGACTTGACCCTTATAGTGGGCGTGTCTTGACTGTTTTTGTTCTTCAACTGCTTCATTTAATCCCATGGAGTCTATAAATTGTCCAAGAATATTCTTTGGTGGTATATCATCATCCGGAGAAGGAGGCGTGAACTCAGAAAGTAATTTTTTGATTTCATTTATGTTTTCTACTTGTGAAGGTTCCCATTCTTTAGTGAGCTCAAATTCACTAGTTATAAAATCGAATAATTCGGGAAGCTTGGTGTGATCGTCTCTCAACGCGTCTAATTTCTCCTTGGCTTGTTGAATGGTGTTTAAATACTTACTAATATTCGATTGAACTTTAGATGATAAATTTACACCACCTTGTACAGCAAATCGTAATTTCTCATATACTGAATGGTTAACGTCTAATTTTAAATATTCATCGATCTTTTCAAGAGTCTTTTCACCAATCCCTCGTTTAGGATAATTTATAGTTCTTAAAACCGCAACTCTGTCATTCTCATTGGCAATAATTCTTAAATAATCCATCATAACTGTAACTTCTTTTCTACTCCAGAAAGCCTTTCCTCGTATCATATGATAAGGTATACCATTTGAATTCAATTCAGTTTCTATTACTCTCGTTTGATAAGCAGATCTTACTAGAATGGCGATATCTTGAGGATGTATGGGTGTAGTAGGTAACGACAAAAGCGTTGTAATTTGAAGTGCTATCCATTTAGCTTCTTGATACTCAGATTTTAACTGAGCATAAATTGGAGACCCAAAGTCATTTGTATGTTGAGAAACTAGTTGTTTGGATTTACGTTCCTTTTCTTGCTTCATCACAGATTCTGAAAAGATAAGAATATCGTTGGTGCTTCTATAATTGTGATCGAGGGTAATTATTGAACATTGTTGGTTCTGGCGTTGATAATAATCAATCATCTTTTGAAAATTAATTACTTGAGCATTACGGAATGCATAAATACTTTGATCTGGATCACCAACAATGGTGACATTTGTTCCAAATTTATACATTAATTGTAACTGAATTTCATTTGTATCTTGAAATTCATCAACCAATACATGTTCAATATTGGTTAAAGGAAATTTCGATACTAATTCATGACATTTCAATAAACAATCGTCAAAATCCAACACCCTATTCTCTTGTAGTTTCAGTTGATAGTGTGAATAAAGTAGCAGTAGGCATTTATCTTTACTTGGAGATTGACTATATTGGTCTGAAGTTATTCCCTGAGATTTCAACAGTGATATTAAAGAGATTACTGGTCCAGGAATTAACACCGGCTCGAGAGAAGTCTTGCCACCTCCCTTAAATTTCTCTCCTTCTCTACCCAGAAACAATTCACGTTCTTCGGCATTTAGTTCGTTTAATATTTCCTTAACATAAAACTCCTTATCACGCTCATCTGCAATTCCAAACCCAGATAATCCCAATGGTTTCCCATATCTCATAATTAACCTAAAACATATTGAATGGAAAGTGCCAATCATTAACTTATCAAGATTCATATTATCTAGCATGGTTCTTAATCGTTCAATCATTTCATTGGCTGCCTTCTTGGTGAATGTAGTTACTATTATATTTTCCGGAGGTATCTTAGCATCAAGTAAAAGGTAAGCCACACGTGAAGTGATCACTTTTGTTTTACCTGTACCGGGTCCAGCTATGATTTGTAATTTGGAAAAGGGATGTGCTGTGACTGCCTGATGTTGATTCGTATTAAGTGTGCTGAGGAGCTGGTCTAATGTCGGATGCATCTGCAACGGCGTAGAGGTTGTCATATTGATTGTTTGTAGTTGTGACTGTCTTCTGAGGAATGTGTACGAGGTTTGAGTTCTATATATCGGCAGCTTTATTCGAAGCAACAAGATATTTAGCATAAACAAACAACTAGATCAGTCAATGTTGTGGTCTATTTCTGATGTCGATTCGCAGCTTTGGTTTTGAAACTGTTTTGGAAAATATTTAATACGCGTTGCAAATCCTACAACCAAAACTGGCAAAAAACAAACAGTACTGACAATGCCACTTTTGCTTTGGCGTACTAATCGAATCAACATAAGTGTGATCTGACTTTCATAGGACTGAACCAAGGGGGGGGGATCGGAAAAGATAATGAAGAATTTATCACTATTGCCAAATAAAAACTACATTGTTGTCTAGATTAATAGGCTAAAATAAGTGGCACATGGCGCCACAGGAAAGTATGACACACCTTTTAAGAACTTATAATTCTATATGAATACTTGAATTACACAATACTAACTTCTGCTTTCTAGTTTCACTGGTCTAATATCACTTCTAATTCTTCTGCCTTCCCATTTGGTTGTAACTTTTTTATTCGTTTGTTTTTGTTTTTTTTTCCTTCTTCTTCTATTATTGCTAATCTATATACAGTAATTTTACATCATTTTTATTTTACTACACTACTAATGATACAACTATGATCAAAGTCATAGTAACCTGGCTATGGTTCATTCATATTATTCTATGTCTTGAAAACTGGCCCACCTTATCAGATACCCTCCAAGTGGCTATCAGGTCTCAACGTGATGTTTCCATGACTGTCCCTATTGACCAAATATCCAACGCTGGTGGGTCCTTAAATTCAATGATATTTGACCAATATGGTTATACTATGGATAGTATGAGTTATGTTGACAATTTCTTAACTGTTGGTGTACAAACATTCATGGTTGATTTATATTGGAACGAATTCACACAAGTATGGCAACTTTGCCCTGCCCCTATACCAAACAATGTCACGAGTAATATCGTAGACATTAATTGGAATAACAGAAGCTATAAATGTGACACAAACATAAGTACTCAGACTTTCCTTAATCGATTTAACAACTTTATTTTGGAAACCAATACTAATTTTGAAGTGAGTTTAATCACGGTACTACTTAATTTAAAATCAATTCATTATACTAAATCGAATATGACCATAGGGTACGATCTGCTTTTTAATCATACCATCCCAGGAAATTCAACCTTGAATGCTACATTTTCAGGCCTTGGCACTTCATTATTTACTCCAGAGGTTTTGCAAACTTATAGAAATACCGTGGCCGTAGACACTACCAACATGGGGTTTTATAACCTGTCCAGTGCATTGATGCCTTCATTAAACATGGTATTGTATACTGAATTAAGGAGAATTATGTTGAATGTCGTGTCTAATGAATTGATTTCTTCTACAAGAGGATATACCATTACAGAAAATGATAAAATGGGACTTTTCTTTAATGACACACTACCCACGAGTATTAAGGCTACAAATTCTGAATCCATGACTCATTTGTGTCAAAATTTAGTGGAAAATTTCGATACAGAAAGAACAAATTTCAGATTTATTATCGATAATGACTTTGACCCTTTTACATTATCTACCGTCAGACAGTACATCCGATGTGGATTAACTCCGATTTTCAATGCTACTGCTTATAAAGTTAATCTGACACGTATACGAGATCTTGGCCAGATTTTTAATGCATTCATTCCATACCTGCTTTGGTCGTGGGCCCCATTCCAACCGGTAACACCGAATAACCAATTTACAAATTCATCATCTATGTCCAATGGTACTATTCCATATAGATGTGTTTTGCTTAATACAAATGGTTGGGAGGTGGCCAACTGTTATGATTCATACCCATTTGCGTGTCAAAACCTGTCTTCACCCCATGATTGGTATATAGACCCAAATAAGCAGAAATCATACTTTGATATAGATCATGACGATTGTCCCGAGGATTTTAAATTTAGTTTACCTCGACTGAATGGAGAAATGCTATCATTAATGAATATGACCGATACTGAAGTGTTGCCTATATGGATAGACTTGAATGATCTTACGGTGGATAATTGTTTTGTTTCGGGTGGACCATATGCCGAATGTCCTTATCTGAAAACAATTACTGCAAATACATTTGTTAAATCTATTGCTCCCAGTGTTGTAGTTGGTGTTGTTATATTGATCTTAATCTTTTTCGAGAAAGTATTTAGACTGAATCCGATACAAACCAATCGAAAAAGGTATTGGAAACGAACTCTACAAGATTATTATGAGAAGAACGACTATGAAGGTGTTCCATCATAACCGGGATTTATATATATATAACTTAATATGCAGGACATTATTATAGTGGCGATTTTCGTAGTCTCTTTTTTTTTCTTCCACCAACCGAAAAAACCCAGTTCATTGCTCTTTATTCTTCTCCAGGTTGTTGCCATTGAGAATTTAAGATACAAATATACAAATGAACGATCCAAATTGGGAAAGATTAGCCAAGCAATTTAAACGTGTTTCTCAACAAACTCGTTCTGGAGGTAGTGGTGGTAAGATGCCAAGATCCCCATTGGCAATGTTTAGTGGAATTGGGGGATTGGTGTTATTGGCTGGTGGTACCTTCCTTGTTCAAAATGCATTATTCAATGTTGATGGTGGTCAACGTGCCATTGTCTATTCCAGAGTTAATGGTGTTCAATCACAAATTTATCCTGAAGGTACCCATTTTGTAATTCCTTGGTTCCAAAGACCAATCATATTTGATGTTAGAGCCAAACCAAGAGAAATCGCTTCATTGACCGGAACCAAGGATTTACAAATGGTTAATATCACATGTAGGGTCTTGTTTAAGCCTGATATGTTTCAATTACCCACCATTTTCAGAACTTTAGGTCTGGATTATGAAGAAAAGGTATTGCCCTCTATTGTTAACGAGGTTTTAAAATCCGTTGTTGCCCAATTCAATGCTTCTCAATTAATTACACAACGTGAAAAGGTTAGTAGATTAGTCAAGGAAAACTTGATCCGTCGTGCTTCCAAGTTCAATATCTTGTTAGATGATGTTTCTTTAACATTCATGACCTTCTCTCCTGAATTCAGTGCTGCTGTTGAAGCCAAGCAAATCGCTCAACAAGATGCACAAAGAGCTGCTTTCATTGTCGATAAAGCCATTCAAGAAAAACAACAATTGGTGGTTAAGGCTATGGGTGAAGCTAAATCTGCCGAATTGATTGGTGAAGCCATTAAGAAATCCAAGGATTATGTTGAATTAAAGAGATTGGATACTGCCAAGGAAATTGCTGCGATTTTGGCTGCGTCTCCAAATAAGATCGTTTTGGATAATGACACCTTGTTATTGAACACAGTTACTGATAGTCGTAAGTAATTGTTTAACTTTTTTTATTGTAAATAGCTTATTAAACATTGATAGTCATGTAAAATATTGTAAAAAAAAATGAACTATTGTTGACGGCTTTTACCGCAAAGACAAGAACATAATCAAATCACTAGCAATATGTATTTAAAAATTCAACCTAAAAAAACGCAAAAATAGAAACCAAAATAACAACCTATATAAGCTATCTAACCCTGACAACACCATTAGAAGATAGAGTTGACAATGTTTGAACCAATAGAGGCACCAGCACCAAAAATAGCAGCATTCCCCAACTTTTTACCAAACTTCTTGGCCATATCACCACCATTATGATGGCTTTGTTGAGGTTGTTCAACCACTACCTGTTGTGGTTGTTGTTGAACAGGAGCAGGAGAGTACTGTTGAGGAGGTGGTGGATTATATTGTTGAGGAGGGTAGTAATTAGTTGAAGGAGGAGGAAATTGGGCATATCCACCATATGAAGGTTCTTGACGTGGTGGTTGCTGCTGTTGTTGTTGTGGAACAACTTGATATTGACTCTTTTCAGATTGACCACCATTGTATTCCAGTTCCGAGATAGATCTGACATAATTCGAAGGGAAGACACCAGTCTTTTCTGATCCCTTTTTATATCCCTTCCACCAATCTTCACTTAAGTGCTCTACTACAGCAATCTTGTCTCCTGCTGAGAGGGAAATATCATCAGATTCTTGGGCACGGTATTCGTAAATAGCGGTACAGTAACTAACAGGTTTGCTAGCAGGCTTGGCATTAGTTGGTGGAGCATAAGCTGGTGGTGAAGCAATACTGGTCTTTGCAAGTGAATCAGCCAATGCGGAAGTGTTGTCAACAGCTGGGGTAGAAGTTCCATTTGTTAATCTATCTACATCCCAAGCCTTACTATCTTTTTGAAACTTATCTGGGAGGGCGCTGACAAGTTTGTCATACAACCCTTCAGTAATGACTTCTGAATCACGTAAAAATTCAAGTTCGGTTCTAATAGTAGTTAAAGAACGATTAATTAAAGCAGTAGACATTGTGTGTGTTAGCTATTGAAGAAAAAGAAGATGAAACGTAGAATTTGAATTATTTATCTACGATCTGTTTATAGGAGAGGCGCAGAACTGGAAATGAATGCTCATTAAAAATTACTATATTTTTTTTTATCCCCGGCTAGCACATGCGTGGGTGGTAGTAAACAGGAATTTTTTTTTTTATACGAAGCTTAACAGATATACTATCTAATCGGACCAGAAGCCTTAGTAATTCCTTCAACCAATTCAATGAGAGAACTGCCATAGTCTCCTATTTTTCTTGACGAGTCATAGTTGGCACAAACTTCAATCAGTTTCTCCCAAAGTCTGTAAATTCTAATTGTAGAATCATTGGTTGCAACACAAATTGAACAATGATCGGGACTCATGGTTGAACTGAGGATTCGTAAATTGTAAGCAGCAGTAACTTCAACCACGGGAATCATTTGAGGATAAGAATAAACACAAAGCAATGTAGATTGATGATTATTGTTATTATTAGTGTGATTGTCATTCCTATTTCTGATCCGTCTATGTCCTCTACCACCTCCAAAACCGAAAGTCGCAACTATTTCTTTTTTATAGTGCGACCATTTCAATGACGTAATCTGACCATCAGTATAATACTCATTAAGTAATGTACCGGTGGCAGTATGCCAGAACCTAATTTTCCGGTCCTTACTTCCACCACCAGTAGCCAACAATGAAGGAGTCCATGGACAGTAACTGAGTGCTTTGATGGCAGCATTATGAGGTAAGATGAACTTCAATTCTGGTCTATAGATATCCTGAATATCCCAAATTGTGCAACAATTATCATTTGCACCCACTGCAAGTTCATCGTAGGTATTATTTAAAGCAAGTCCTAGATATTCTATTAGTTAGTAATTGCAAAAACCTAACGGTAATTTCTCGGTAGTACCTTACCACATATATGTTGCTGGTGACATTTAAAATTCTTTTCCAAAACCAAATGAATTCCATCTTGTTCCACTACCTTAAAAAAGTAAACCTCACCAAAATCATCTCCAGCAATAAAATTCATAGAGTTGGGAAACCAGATAATACAATACACGCACTTTTTATCGGTGGTAAGATATTCAGCAACAACTTCATTTTCCTTTTGATCAATTAATAATATTTTCCCACCTGCTGTAGCTACCAATATCCAATATTCTCCAGAACAAGATATCGCAGTTACTACTTCAGTATTGTCGTCAGTTTCCTGGCTCGTATCATTTGTATTTTCATAATTCACCAGAACCACTTTATTGTCAATACCCCAAAGATATGCTTTGGAACCTAATCCCACTGCTACTCTATTCGTTTTTGAGGACCAGCTAACTAGATTTGAGTAATAGTCATTTCGTAAACCAGGTGCTTGAAGGATATCAGTAGCCATTGTAGTTTTGACATTAAGTTCAGGTTTGGGTCTTTTGGTGCTACCATCATTGGACAAATCATGGAGATCGGGAAATGAGTCAAGATTTCTCTTTGGCTTCTTAGTTGGCGAAAAGGAAGGGGAATTGAATGTCAATACTTTACTTCCTTGTTTAAAATCCAATGCGGCAGCTACACTTTCTTGATGAGCATCAGCTGATGGACTTGAAGCAGGTTTGTCTAAGGGAGAAGTTGCTAATGAAAATAGTGAACTTGAAGTTCCTACCCCGCTTGTATCTGAACTGAATGAACTTGAATGGTTGTCAACCCCATTGAATAAGAAATCTTCCCGTAATGATAAACTAGCAGGTGGTGTAAGTGGGGATAAAGTCTCTGCATCTTGAATCATATAGTCACAACTATGGTATGCCTGAGAGGATGAATGTGTAGGAATGAAACGAGTACTCATTTCAGGAATCAAAGATCTGGTAGACATAGCTGAGAGTAGCTGCTGAATTGGTGGTCAACCTAGTTGAATTGTTAGCAAGAATGTAGTTGGTTATTGTATCTAGAACTAGCTTTGACTAGCTTGGTTCCTTGATAATTGGAACTTATAGCTTTGGTGGTTCATAGAACCCCCTTCTGCCAAGTGTATTTTTGCAACCAACTGTTGGTTATTTGTGATCTTTGTTAGGTGAGGTCGTGGGTGGGCAAAATCAACAACAAAAATATTTGGCATGTAAATTCAACAATCCAAACCTGCATTATACGTCATCATACAATCAGCTCAAAAAGAGCTATAAAACTTCAGTATGGCTCTACTAATCCCATCATATGTCTATATTGGCATAAAATCTGTTTGTGTTGTTTTATTTGTTACATTTTGTCTAGTTGTACGACACTTAGTGTCCACTGAAGTTCAACAGCCGTTCATTGATGAGATTTTTCATTTGAGACAATGTCAAGTATATTGCAACTACAACTTCACCCATTGGGACAATAAAATAACTACACCTCCTGGATTATACTTATTGGGATTTGTATATTCCAAATCTTTACAATTCGTCATTGGTGGAGACTGTAAAGATTACAATTTGTTGAGATCGCTCAATTTGGTTGGGGGATTGGTTGTATTTCCTTTAATATTACATAAATTCAAACAAGGCAGTGGCTCTGGATCTTCTTTTTGGACCATAAACTTAATATCACAGCCTTTGTTGTTTACTTACTACTTTTTGTTTTATACAGATGTATGGTCTGCCATTCTAATAGTCGCTTCATTAAGCTTGGTAAGTTATAAGCATAAACAGTACCCATTGATAAGTGCAGTACTAGGATTCATCAGTCTTTGGTTTAGACAAACTAATATCGTGTGGTTAGCTTTCATCTTGGCCGTTTTGGTTGACGTTAAAGTAAAAGAACGTACATTTATGAGTAGAATAAGTAAGTTTACTGTTGAGATAGTTAGAAGTTGGCTACTGGTTATTCCATTCGTGGTTAATTTCATTCTATTTGTTATATTTTTGAAGATTAACGGCGGTATTACCTTTGGAGATAAGGAGAACCACCAGATGCAATTTCATGTTGTTCAGGTCTTTTATTGTTTTGCATTTATTAACTTCTTCACCTGGCCGGTTTGGTTAACCACGCATAGAGTCAGAGACTATTTGAAGTTTATCATTGGTGGTTATTATGGCATGAATGTAGTTTTCAATGTGATCTCCATGTTTGGAATCAAGTTCATTATAGACAAGTTTACAATTGTCCATCCATTCCTTCTTGCTGATAATCGTCATTATACATTCTACATCTTTAAGAAGATACTAAGTCATAAATATAGCAGTTTTGTGACTATTCCGGTATACCATTTCAGCACCTACAACATAGTGTCGTTATTATCAAGATCCAGAAGATTATCACCAATAACTGTACTAGCTTACTTGGTCAGCATTGCATTAACGATTATTCCTTCACCTTTGTTCGAGCCGAGGTATTATATTGTTCCATTACTCGTGTTCAGGTTATATATCATGCCAAAGAAAGAATATTCTCATGTAATTGAGTTTATTTGGCTCAATGGAATCAACTTGATTACAATGTACGTATTCTTTAACTATGAATTCACATGGGACAGTGAACCAGGTAGCATACAACGAATTATTTGGTAAGTAAATACCGTTACATATAATAAAAAAAAAAGTTCTACTTATTTGGATATGTCTATTTCTTGAAGAGTATCATCGGAGTTTTCTTCATCTAGGGTAATCTCCTGGGATAATGGGCTCTTCTTTGACCCGGAAGTTTTTCGGGGTTGTGGTGGTGCAAGTGAAGAGCCTCTGGTATGTTGCTGTTGCTGTTGCTGTTTGTGTTTGGGTTTGGGTTGGGGTTTGTTCTGAGGTTGGGGATGATCTACGCTATCAATGACGGATAAGTTATTATTTATGAAACTGTCAACTGAGGTGAAGTTCTTATTAAGTGATAATATGGAAATCTTGCTGTTATTTAACTCTTCGAGCAATTGTTTGCCGGCTTCATCGTCAGAATTCTCTAGCGAACTTATCCATTTCTTAAGAGCTCGGGTTTTTAACACTTCCAAATAAGGTATTTCCAACTTCGTGTTTTTATCGATATAAACCAATTCTCCTTCGTTTCCAATAAATAAATCTCCATCATTGTTTTTGGTATTTGTTTTAAGTTCCCAATTTCCAATTTCTAAATCATTGGCAAATATTAATAGGAAATCACCCCAATTATCGGCAACTTTGAACTTGAAATCAAATTCGCGTCCAAAGAGAATAACTTGACCATAAACTCCTCGGCCTTGTGGCGGTGGTGATAAATCTATTCCAATATAATTACCCACTTCATCTGTGATTATCGGTATCCACATTGGGTGAGCGAATGTTTCATGAATTGCTCCTGGAGGAATTGATCTTTGTTTGGGTATGTGAAAATGAGACAAAGTTTCCGAACTTGAGGTTGAAGATGTTGAAGATAAAGATGTACGTCCTTCAGATTTGTATGAGTTGGTCGAGGATGATGAAACTGAAGAGGTCATATCCAAGAGGTATTCTGCCTTGTTGGTAGAACTAGCATGAGAAGTGGGCAATTTTGCTAATTCGTGATAGTTGACACTTTGTTTAATTTGAGAAATTTCACTGTTGAAGACACTGGCTATTTTTCGCCAATTTTCAGTCATGATCATAATTTCATCCAAGGACATCAACTTGAGTCCAAACATTAATCCGTAATCCCCGCCAGCGTTCAAGTTATTACTACCAAAATTGGATTGTCCGTCGGTCAATTTGTAAAATTCGGATACTGCCCGGGGTAATCTTATATTTAAATCCTTTTGGAACTCTTCAAGATCAGAATTAGTACATTTGTCCTGTAAAGAGTTTAGCATATCTGGAGAATATTTCCCAAGCCAGTTCTTAATGTGTCGCCAAGCCAACCTTGCTTCGTACACGCCTTCATTATTAGATTGCTGTGGATGTGGGGCATTCTCTGATGTAAGCAAGTTTTGGCTATCGGCATTAGAGTCTCCTGAGGTCGGTTTATTCACCCGATTGAACGATTTTCGGGGATCAAATTCGGAGTATTTGTCGTTTGTACTAAGCTCATAGACAAACTGTTGAACTTTCTCTAGAAAAGTCATTGTCAATGTACCAACTAATGTGTAAGTGCGGAGTAGGTTAAGGTGAAACAAAAGTGATTTGATCCTCGAAGTTTAAATTATTTCTTTCGGTTAAAAAAAAAAAATTTTGTAAGGGTTTCTAATTGCACAAAAGCTTATTTGGGACAGCAATTTGCGTTAGTGTGCCAATACTAATATTGTGCGGCGGTTAATGTGGTATTCTGTTATATGAATGTCCTTGATTAACAAGTCGAGCAAAACTTGAAAGTAGACGGTTTAATCCTAAGGGTTAAGTTGATACTTCCAAATTTAAATTGTTTGGTTTCTGTTTTCATTTACGCGTATTGTTTTTTTTTTTACTGTTTTTGTTCGGTTAAAAATATATATATATAAATTGCTGTCACGTGCATATCCTATCCGTATTGAGAATACAATCTATTAGCACTATCAATTCCATGCTGCAAAAAAAGCAAAACAGATAATGCATGATGCACTAACCTCGTTTCACCTTTACTGTATTTCAAGTTTTTATACTGGAATTGTCTGATAAAGCTTCGTAGGTGCGCTGATCTGGTTGGTTCACGAAAATCATAGGGCATAGTACATTCTAAATATCGCTACAATTATTTACAATATCACCCGGGCATGAAGTGCTAATTCTATTGAGGAAAAAGAACACGATAAACCGGGTATTTTATCTAGGAAGACCAAAAACAAAAGAATGAATAAATCCGTAGAAATAAACAAAAAGGGCGAATATTCCTATTGAATGACACAACTCTTTCGAGTTTAAAGATGCGAAGGAAAACCCTTCACGTCCGTCGGGAAAATCCAAATGAAATTGGGCATCAATTCAACTCTGACCAAAAAAAACAACTACCCAAATTCAGAACGAACCAGGTAATCATTCTTAGTACAAAACTCAAACACAGAACCTTCAAGCACATACATACACAGAACGTGCAGTTACTACTTGACATATTCTTAACCCTTAAAGAGCCGTAAGAGCGAGCTGAATGACTGGGATTCGTTTTTTTGGTTTTTAGGCCACTTTCCGTTGGTAATCAAATATAAAGAAGAAAAGGTTAAGCAATTTGAATTTTTTTGAGCAGCGAAAATTTTTATAGCAAGGGCATGGGCCGGGTAACCACAATTTTCATAACTGAGAAGCAGACGTCTTAATAGAGGGTTCGAAGCCCACAGAAATATACCAGGGAGATATGATACCAAGTTCAATAACAGTGATACTAATTTTTAGATTTTTATATATATAAAATACAAATGTACAAACACCAAGAAAATGAACAACACCCAAATGAATCTTAAATTTGAATATTCTCATGATTAAAAGCTCAATATTTGGACATTTCAAACGAACCGGGTACAATGAAGTCAAAACTATTAAACATAATGTGTTAAATTATAAAAATAATGTAAATAATTATACATTTTTCCTATCCTCTCCTAGATCATCATCATCTCCAAATGAGCTTCTTTTTCTTTATATAAATTACCAGTTGGAAGCAGCGGCATCTTCTTGAGCTGGAGTAGCACCAGAATCAGCCCAGTCACCTTCTTCGGTTTCACCAGTCCATTCAGTTTCAGCTTCTGGAGCTTGAACTTCTTCAGCTTCGTCAGCCTTGGCTTCTTCAGCAGCGTTTTGTTCAATTTCTTCTGGGTCTCTGTAGAAATATAAATCTGGCATAACAGACCATTCGGTGGTTCTGTCAGCAATGATACCTCTCAATCTTAAGACTTCTCTGGCCAATAACCACCAGATCAAACCAATGGAGTGTTTACCCTTGTTGTTACATGGGATAGCAACATCAACGTATTCAGATGGGGAGTCCATGTCGGTTAAAGCAATAACTGGCATGTTAACGTAAGAAGATTCCTTGATGGCTTGAGAATCGGTTCTTGGGTCGGTAACAATAACTAATCTTGGTTCCTTGAAAGAACGGGTGATATAGTTGGTGAAGTTACCTGGGGTGAATCTACCAGCAATGGCAGTGGCACCGGTGTGAGCAGCGAATTTCAAGACAGCTCTTTGACCGAAAGTTCTGGAGGAACAGACAGCAACATCAGATGGGTTTGGGACAGCAGCGATGATTCTGGCAGCTAAAACAATCTTTTCCCAAGTCTTACCGATGTTAATAATGTTAACACCATCTGGTCTGGTCTTGTAAACGTATGGCTTGTTGTGAACCTAAAGTGAATTGTTAGTATTTATGATTTAATGCGTAATAGATTGGATGACAATTAGAAATCGTTTTCAATAAGGAGAGCCATTTGTATTTTCAATAATTGAACTTAAAAACTTTTTCATGTTGTGGTTGTGATATGTTAACTGATAGTAATATTCTCATATATTCGTTCCATTCTCTTAATCTACATTGAAATGGGTTTCAGGTCATATTCGAATCATTTTCATTCCCCATGTGTAGTTATGCTCACATAATTCATTCTTATCCTTTCTTATTTTCACTTTCACTTTCTACTGGCTCCTTCCTTTTCAAACGATATTCTCTTTGTTCGATCACTCCCAATATTTGAAACATACTTGAACGTTCTTAGAACCTAAGTGGACGTTGGCGGCTAATAATAACTTAGCGTCTTCTGGAGTTAAGTCAAAGGAAGCTGGTAATGACATCTTTGGTCTTTAATTCTTACTGATGATCTATTCAAACGAAGATTCTTCTTTTGTAAGGAATAAAAAAAATTTCAACCAAAGTAAAAAGTTCTGGTTTGGTGAGGTGCACTCAACAGAAAAATTTTCAGAGTGCATACAAACAAAGTGCAGCCAAAAAAACTATAGTGAGCACTACCAAATGCTTGTGCATAATTTTTTGCCTGATAAAAGGTTTAATATGGTGCGCACTGAACAGAAAAAAAGAAAATAAGTGGTTATACACAGGAACTTCATTATTAGCTAGGGTTGCAGACCTACATTATCATTCATGCACGTGATTAGTTGGAGCTAGCTTATAAAGGTACAACTCACAATACCAAACCGGTTTGGAGTGCCAATAAATGTTTCAGATATATTACCAATGCTTCTTTAGTACATTATTAAAAAACACCCAGTCCTATTTGAGAGTAAAGCATAATTAGAGACATTATCTGAACAAAAGAAATGTAGATTTACAGCTATTTCCCAAGGAAACGACAGTAAGTGACACCCTTTTTTGTCAGATTTATTGTGTTTCTCCTTCCAAGAAGATAACCAATATTTGGATACAATTGCGATGATCATATGTTCTCGCTCCTACTTGAATCTGGCTAAATTTCTTGTTGAAAGTTTACTCACAGGGCATACTACTAATTATGCAACGCTATAAGGATTTGTACATGGCACAAATTAAATGTAAGAGTTCCTCTAGTATACCGTTTAAGTAAATAATATACTCCTTGTTACTATCTCGAATTCTAGTTTTCGAAAATGCACTGCCTGTATTTCAGATTTAAGTTGCAAACAAGATAAGAAAAACCCGCAATGTCACTATCTATTTTATTTATTTATTTATTTATTTATTTTTTGCGCGACAGATCGGATGCGCAAGTCCGGTCGGAGTTACCGTTACAGGCAAGATGAATCATGCAAAAAGAAATTTGGAGCCGTAGATGTTCGCAAGCAATAGACTTATATAAATCCTGTAGGTTCCTGTTACAACGGTAGTTCAGAGGGACATGAGGGCACATCGCCATAAAATGAGCAAGGATAATATAACTAAAGCAACCTCGGAGGTTGAAGTGATACAAGTCACTCAAGAACAAGCATATGATGCAGTACAGGAAGATGAAGGCGAACTAGATGATGATGATGAAGAAATGGTTTGGTTAAGAGAACAACAGATCCTTAATAACAAACTACCTTGGTACAAACGCCCATCTGTTCTAGCAGTAAGCACAGTTGTGTTTCTTTATATATTTTCAGCCTCCATTACTACAGCAGTTAAACAGGTTATTGTTTTTAAAATGGCTTGTAATTCGATGAAAGACGAAAATGGTATATGTGATCCGATTTCTACTCAAGTTTTGGTTAGTAATTTTAATATGTACCTAATGGTGGGTACAACAATTGTTTCCTTGTTTGCCCTGGCTAAAGTCGGTCAATTAAGTGATCTATATGGTAGACAACCATTTATTGCGGGGATAGTAATAACGACACTACTTACTAAAGTTGGTGAATTCTTAATTGCTATACATTATGATACATTGCATCTAAAGTTACTATTGGGAGCAGGAATTATTTCCGGCCTATTGGGAGGTTTGCCTAGTTTCTCTGCTTTGCTTAGTTCATATATTTCCGATGTTGTTGAACCACTGAAGAGAACCTATGCACTCGCACTAGGTACCGCGAGTTTATTCATTGGGCAATCCTTGGGCCCTATTGCTGGGAATTGGTTGCAATCTATTTTTGAGAAAGCTGATGGTGTCTCAGCCAAGTTACATACATCGTCAGTTGTTCTTCCGTCTGAACTCGTGTTGTTGCAAGTAGAGCTCGTCTTGCAAGTCTTGTTGTGTATCTATGCTGTATTTTATTTCCCTGAATCTCGAAGTAAAAGAGCCCAACATAAATCAAGGTCAAATTCAATGAATACGGATTCCCCAGCAATCAGAAATTCAAACATATTTGTCCATTCCATCCACCTGTTCATTAAATTATTTTCTCCCTTGTTAATCTTAACTTATCCTACTAGTGTGGTTAGTCCAAATCATAAACCTCATATCAAATCTTATCGATTGGTAGTGATTTTATTGATTGTATCCATGTGTATTTGTTCCACTATATTTGTTGCATTTGGTCCAATCTTAATTCAATATGGTTACTATCGATTTGATTGGGGAAGTAAAGAAATTGGATATATAATGACAATAATCTCGTCAACCCGTACAGTTATACTCATGTTATTCATTCCTTTCTTCCAAACAACAATCCTTCAGAAATGGTTAGGTTATAAGCCCTTATCAAAACAATTAGATATGATAGATTACATCATGATTGTTACAGGTTACGTGCTGGATTTCTTTGTGTTTTTAGCACTAGCATTTGCAACCACAAACAAACAAGTTATGTTTATAACTGGATTTTTCGCCTTAGGTGCTACGTCAAATCCAGCTTGTAACTCGGCATTATTAAAGTTTTATCCTGCATCCATGACTGGATTGGTGTTTGGGGCTTGTTCATTATTGAATAGTTTGCTTGCTGTGTTTGCCCCTATGCTTTTAATGTCGATTTATAACTGGTCATTAAGACAGCATATTCCTACTTTCATATTCTTGGTTTATGCCGGTGCATTCATGATGGTTATCCTTATGGTGTATATAAGTAAGCGAATCTTGCAATTAACAAGACACAGTGAAGAAAAAGAAGATGTTGTGATTGAGACTACCTAGTTCCTGGGCAAATATTTCCAAACATTTATAGTTTCTGAATATACATCAGGAAGCATCAAATAATGAAATTTCAAAAGGTAATCATATTTAATGACAATTAGTTCTCCCAGTAAGAAATTATAGATGATTGAATTACGGAAATTCTTGGTTCTTTTAAATAATTTGAAGAAATTAGTGAAGATCTCTCCATTGGTCAATGCCTTGTTTTTCATTTTAATATACGTCGTATTTGGAATATACTTGAGAAATTCAAACTTAATACCACCTTGCAATCGTTTCGAATTCTTCAATTTTAACAAAATCACAAATAATGGAGTGAAATTGATTAATATTTGGATATTCTCAAGTAAATTCACTGTCATTATAGAAACTAAATGCATTAAAAAGAACATCAAATAAAATGCAAAAACAGTAGGCAATAGCAAAATCAAAATCATAAAAATCAAAGTTCCCAATAATAATTGATCAATGAAATCAAACCCTGAAGAATTCACTTGGGTAGTACTTAGGTTATCTATTCTATTCCGTAACACATTATACTTTTTCCCTCTAAATAATTGAAATAAGGATTTAATAACTTCAAGTTGACGTTTGTAAATTTTAGTAGAACAATAGTAAAACGTGTAAATGTGATATGTTGCAACATTCATGACGTCAATCAAAAAGCTCACAAGGAATGAAACTCCACCAAAACAACAGATAATTTTAATAAATAACTTAATCCGTGTTGGCTCACTTAGTTGGAAGTTTTCCTCGACTAATTTCCAAAACCATAAAGTCCATAGATATAAGTCACCCATGAATTTCCCTAATTCATTATTCAATTTAAAACCAGCCGGGTGTTTGGAAGAAACCCAAGTGATTAACTCCATCATATCTTGGAATAAATATCGCTGTATTGATCTTCGAATCAATTCTACTATGTCATCGAAATTCTCTTCGATTAGTCCATATACTGCCTGGCCAATTAGAACATCATTGAATATTAGCCATATGGAATTATAAAGATTAATATAATTGGAATTGTTGATGTTTAAATTGCTATTAAAAATGGGTAATTTCAATCTATCAATCACCAGAGATGATTTCCCATTTTGCTCATTGTAAAGAAGATTTTTGTTGTAATAACACAAGAATTGAATAGGAAAATAATTGAATTGTTGTAATCGCAAATCCAACTGTCGGAATATCTTGGATAAAGTTACCAAACTAAACTTCCCAAATTTAAAGTTGATGATTTTGATGATTGTAATTAATAGTTTTTGAATGAATTGAGTAATGGGGATTAACAAGGAAGTAAATGCTGATTTTATCGGACGTATGACATTCAATTGTTCTGAATTGAACAAGCTCGGTAAGAAATGAGTACCTGACTCGGCTAACCACCATTTTTGAAATACCAATCTGTTTCTATATAGGTGATTGATCTTATCCAAAATCTGATCATCCGAAATAAAGAATTGGTTGTCGTCAATGTGAAGTTCAGGTTCCCACTTCTCTAATAGGGCAATGTAGTCGATCTTACCACTTGTGGTAGCTTCTTCGTCACTCTTCATCGATTCTAATAAGATTGGAGTTATGGAGAAATATTCAAGGTTTTTAAAGTTGGGTGGATCAAAAAATACAACGTATGAACTTGATGGGCTGATTATTTTAGGAATCTTGTCTGTCCTGGGATCAAATTTTATATTTAAATCGTAGGCATGGTTTGCTTGTTTGTTAGTATTGCTGAAAGTACCGATAATTTGTAAATCTCTCAACTCCTGAGGTAACTTCTCCAAATCAATCTGCTTGACCGGCAAGAAAACAATGTAAATATGATTGAATTTATAACCTAGTAGCAACAATTCATCCTTTTCGCTGTCTTTGAAATGATTCAAATATTTTCTCACATCATTGGAAAAGTATATTTGAACAGGTGAATCAGTTGATACCATTGAAACTGTCTCGTCGTAAATACTGACTGCTATTATTCAGGGTCTGATAAAAGAATGCTTGTTGTAACAATTGTTGGTGATGATAATGTAAGTATTGCTCACTCTCGCTGTCTTCGTTGTCAGATTCAGGATGCTCTGAAAAACTGGAGTCAGGTTCTGGGGTTGGTGTTAGTGTTGCTTTAAGGGTATATGAACAATCAGCTTTAGTTAAACCTGGATGCTTAGGCACGATTACTGGTTTCTCAATGAATGGGTAGGAATCAATGACTATAGTTTGAATCAATCTGCTAATTAGAAAATGAACCACGACTAAAATAACAATGATTAAGATGACTCGAAAAGTTATCAGTCGTGTGTAAGATTCAATCTGGATATATAACTCCATAAATTCCAGAAGAATTTAGAATATTCAGTTTTAAATGTGAATGTATTAAAAGTGCTGCCAAACAATTAAAGTTTGGTTGTCAAAAAAATGAGAACAGCCTTGCATGTGGGTGATTTTCTATTATGTGCGCGCTACCAGTAGACTTCAGAATCAATGTTGATAAATTATTGAGCAACATGGAAAGATTCAGACAATAGATTACTTCTACAGTGGAAAATTATGGGTAATTAGAAGGATAAATACTTGAGTTTCCAGAAATTTAGGAGTTGTTTCTTGTCTGAAGTGTGGCAACTCTGACTTTGCATACCTCCAACAGAGCAACTCCTCGTTTAACTACTGGAATACGAGTGAAAGGAACCGCTACTGCTTTGGTGGAAGCTTCACTTTGGCTTTGATATTAATAGTTTGTAGTTGAATAGTATATATAATGACTTGCTTTTGGTAATCTAAAAGAGTTGCTTACCAAGATTACACACCTTCATTTGGTTGCTGGACATTTTTGTTATTGGTCAAGTGCGACAAGGACTTTGGGGTTCAACCATTCTTTCGGGGATACAAGTCTAGAATCACCATGAAACTAGAATGAATTTCAAGTGTAAAATGTATGGTCGGGTAAATGACAGGGGTAGAATTTTAGTTTAAGTCAACGTTTGTTTATTTTGGTTCAGTTGCATAGACTCCCCAGATTGCTGCATAGATTGCAAATACTAAACCTGGACCGACAGTTATAATGCTAGCTTTAATACTAAAACAATCACAGATAACGGAAGACTAGAACTTGCCGATTGTGTATTATCGGTTGACCAAGATTGTGGTTATTGTTCCAAACACGAACTTTATTGTTTGCAAAGAAATCGCGTGCCTTGAAAACACAAAATCACCACAATCGGTTGAGTTGACAAGTAGACTTTTAGTCTAGTTCGATTGTTTTATTTACAAAGTTATGGTCGCGCGAGTATTGTTACAGAGCGATCGGGTTACACTAATCTGAGGTTTATTTTAGTTAGAATTGGAATTTGTAAATGTAAACTCGTGTAACTCCGATGTTATATCAGAATAAAGCGTTTGCCCTTATTATACACACACACGATATTGCTGACGTGTTCTTCATTAAAAGCTCCGCCTTTTGAGCCTCCCATGTGGTGGATAATAATTCAAATTGGTCATAAATAATATTCTATTTCGTAAATAATCACAGGCAGTAATTGTTAGTTCCAAAAAAGATATTTGCCAAGTTGTTCCTTTTCTCCCTTTTTACGAGACAATCGGGGGAGAGTTGCGCAAAAGTGCACGACCACAGATTGAGTGATTTTTTTTGTCAGCCTTCTCGCACATTCCCCTAAATAAATCTAACAATAAGTAAATAAATAATATAAACCCTGAAATCCCTGAAGATTTATTCACTTTTTCCTTTCCGTTGAAATATCAACAGACTTATAGACTTTTCATATCAGTAGATTTTCGACTCAAAACTTACGTCATATCCACACAGGCGTTCTTGCTAACACATAACGGATCTTTACCCAATTGTATGTATATAAAATAATTTTGTTAATGGTCATTCAAATTTCGAGAGAGCCACTCAATGTTGCCACAGGTTTAGAATTGGTAAATAAAAAAATTTTTGACGCCACGGAGTATTCAATCAGTATTGTGATAATATCAATTATTTTTCATTATCATTTGAAAAGCGTTTATTACAATTGCTTTCTAGTAAGGAATAGCTTGCTTACTCGGCCAAACTCCCTCAGGTGCTGTCTCCGCTATTTCAGAACAGCGCGCAAGCAAACAGTAAAAAAAAAAAAAAAAAATAGCCGACACCCGTGTGCCAAACCAAACAAAAGCGTGCTCATCTCTAATTTAGGTCCAGCTTATTTTGAAAACATTTTAAGATTACTAATCTTTTACTAGTCATAACAAAAGCAAAACACTCCCTTGTACATTTAAATGCGAGATACACCTTCACCGTCGTTATCACGAAGTGCTCGATCAACTGTTGCTATTGCTGGTAGTAGTAAAATTTTACTTGTGGTTTTTTCTTCCCTTTTTAAATTAGTTCATTCCCTCCCTATTTTACACGAAGTTCTCGATCATAATGATTATGCCGATGTTCGTGGAGAAAAGTCATTGACTCCAGAAGAGTTTTACCTTAATTTGGTTACTTCTATTTTCCTTGTTCTTGCCGGTGGGGTTTTTGCTGGTTTGACTTTGGGATTAATGGGTCAAGATGAAGTTTATCTTAAAGTCATTGCCACTTCTGGTGAACCAAACGAACAAAAACATGCACGTAAAGTGTTGCAACTTATTGGAAGAGGTAAGCATTGGGTTTTGGTGACCTTGTTGTTATCTAATGTCATTACTAATGAAAGTTTGCCAATTGTTTTGGATAATTGTCTTGGTGGTGGATGGCCAGCTGTTGTTGCTTCCACTGTTTCTATTGTCATCTTTGGAGAAATCATTCCACAATCTATTTGTGTAAGGTATGGACTACAAGTTGGAGCATTATTTGCTCCGTTTGTCTTGGTGTTGATGTATATCATGTATCCGGTTGCTTATCCTTGTGCCATGTTATTGGATCATATTTTAGGTGAAGATCATGGAACTGTTTATAAAAAATCTGGATTGAAAACTCTTGTCACTTTACACAAAACCATGGGTGTCGAACGTCTTAATCAAGATGAAGTTACTATTATTAGTGCTGTCTTAGATTTAAAGGAAAAACCAGTTAGTTCTATTATGACTCCAATGGATAGGGTATACACCATGAGTGCCGACACCATATTGGATGAGAAAACTGTGGAGGAAATCTTCAATGCTGGTTTCTCCCGTATTCCAATTCATTTACCTAATGAACCAAATAATTTCATTGGCATGTTATTGGTTAGGGTTTTAATCAGTTATGACCCTGAAGATGCTTTGCCTGTAGCTGCATTCCCCTTGGCTACCCTTCCTGAAACTGCATTGGACACTTCATGTCTTAACATTTTGAATTATTTCCAAGAAGGTAAATCGCATATGATTGTTGTTAGTGAACACCCTGGTGAGCCTGTTGGTGCCCGGGGTGTTTTGACATTGGAAGATGTTATTGAAGAATTAATTGGTGAAGAAATTGTTGATGAATCCGATGTTTATATTGATATTAACAAGAAGATTAAACGTAAACAACCAGGTCCATTATCGAAGAGAAACCTTACGTCCTACTTACATACCTTGTATCAAAGAAGTGCTCAAAACTCTAAAAGAAATTCCTTGGATTCATCATATCAACCAGATTTACGTGAACGATTATCCCAACCTCAAATTAATAACGTAATTCAAACAACACCTAAAGATAATGTTAAACCAAAGAACCCTGCCCAAAATCCATTAGAAACTAACAAGAAATTTGTTACTATTAAAAAACCAGTTGATCAGAATACCTTGGATAATGTAACTAAAGCAGTTTCACCAGTACCGTTTGGAAGTAGTTCTGCCACTCCTGCCCCTGCATCTACATTACAACCATCACAGGACGCATACGGTGCTGTTTATTCTACCGAAAAGGGTGCTCTTGTAGAAGCACAACGAAGATCATTTGAAGGCGAACGTTATTCACACACTCATGAAGACAAACGAGATTTACCTCATTACCACGTACCTAATATTGGTAGTCGCACCGCTAGTTCAAGTTCAGTTAAGAAGAACCCTGCAAGATTTTTACTTCCAGAAGAGCGAGAAACTGATGTTTCCGAGATTCATGAAGAAAGCCATGGTAGACAAGAACACGAGCATGGAGACCATCATGATGATCACGAACAGGATGGCATAAAACACTATCATGGAAGTCCTGATCATTCTCTAGTTTCTCCTGTGGGTATTCCAACTACTGAAACTTCATCTGCGGCGGGCTTAGCTATTCCTCAAAGTCAAGAATCAAGATCGTACCGTACTGGTGGTATAATTGAGTCAGTGGTTAATGTTCAGGGTGTTCACAAAACAATCATTGAGAATGTGAGCGATGAAGAACTTCAATATGAACAAATGTTGCATGAACGACAATTAGCCAAGAAGAACTTTTCTACAGATGACATTGATAATGCCATTCAGGATGGAGATGAGGAAAGTGAAGGGTTGTTGAATAATGGAAGAAGACATTCTTCAGGCACTAATGGGAATGGAAGAAGAATGAGTTTATGGGAGAAGATCAGAGGAGCTAGTCAATCCCCTAGTGAACATTAAGCCATTTAGAGAGAGTATTGATTGGTGATTTTACATAAACTACGTTTTTTGTATTTGTAATTATTGTTAAATAGTAATTGAAATTAATCATAACATTGATATCTTCGATAAATACTAGTAATATCATCTACCGTGCTGGCATCTTTTTCAGACGCATGTGTTCCATGTGAAAATGGAGTTAAGCCGGATTTAGTAAAAATAGAAAACGGTTGGGGCGAAGTGAAAGGGGTGCCGGCTTCCGAAAAAAACACAAACACGCAGATCGGTCATAGGCACAAATTAATTTCGTAATTGCTGTATAGAAAAGATTCAATTATTGTTTGATACAAACAATAAGGGAGGAGGGGATGGAGTGATGTTAACTCTTATAATTGCCTTTACGGTGTATATGTGTGCTATTTGCTTACTAATAATGTGATGTAATTGTGCGCTGGTAAAAGTTCCCGTGTATACCAAATTTTTCAGAAAAAGCTGACAAATTTTGTTTCAAATTAAGTGGCATGTTCTTTTATCACACTTGCTCTTTTTCCTTGATTTGCTCCTATCTACAATTGGTCCATATCAAACTATTAAAGTAAGTACTAGATTGATAAATTGGCTAAAACAACCAAGGTCTACAGTATTTATTACTTGCAACCGAAATTTGAGGTATTAATCCAAATTTAGTTTTGTCACATTTTAGCAACTCATTGTTTTTGCACACCGACTCCTGAAGTGTTCAAGCATTCATTTAGTTCGTCTACAAGACATTGGGTTAGATATACTCTGTTTATTCCATCAAGCCACGTTTCAAGTTTGATATATTCAAGAAAATCCCTGTGGCTTAAATTTGGTAATTGGCTGCCACTTCGATCCGATCCGCAATTAAAAATTAAAACTGACCGCATTTAATACAAAGAAATTTCTACAGATATATATATTTTTTTTTGATCCCTAGCAAAATTTTACTGGAGAATACAATTACCGTTATTGGTGTGCCCCACAAACAAGCAAGGGAAATTGAGGCTAAACTAAATTTTTTTTTAATTCAATTTGTCAGCACGTTTAGTTATTCTCCTATTAACAGTGAAATATAACGTATCATACCAACACCTGAACTGGTATCATCACAGGTGAATCGCGTGTAACGAACACTTGTTAAAAAATAGATTTTTTTTTTGGGGAAACACCGTGGTTTCTAAACTGTCGTCAATATGGGTGCATTCAAAGATCTTTTCAGTGGTAGTAGTTCCCGCTCAAATTCTTCAGGTTCTACACCAATAGTAGGTGAACGTCCATCCATAAGTTCCATTAATTCCACATCATCACGTAAGTCATTTTTCAAGAATAAAAGTTCCTCGTCAATCACCCCATTTCTGACACGAAGTTCGAATTCAAACCAGTGGAGTTCTAACGGTGATCAAGAAAATGAAAGAGATAGCTACAATAACTATCATGTAAAGAATCCGCTGGCCACATCTATGAAAGGAAGTACAAGTGTAAGTAGTACTTCAACCACGTCAAGTATTAAGCGACCATCGTTGCGTAGATTTATCAAAAAATTTAAACCTGGAGAACGAACCAAAAACTTAGTATCTGGTAAGCCAGATGCTTTATCAGCCAATTCCGAGTTGTTCGCCAAGTACGGAACGCCAGGAAAGCTATTAGGAACTGGAGCCAGTGGTTCTGTCAATTTATTATCTGACAAAAACGATTCTACTAAGATATACGCGGTGAAGAAATTTAGAAGTAGATTATCAGGAGAATCTCAAAGTGATTATGAGGTTAAAGTGAAGAATGAATATACTGTGGGTGATTTCGCGAAACATGAAAATATCATTACAACATATGAATTAATTAAAGACTTTTCCCACGTCACTCTGAAAAACCTTGATCCTGATTATTATATTGTCATGGAATATTGTCCATTTGATTTCTTTAACTTGGTAATGAGTGGGCTAATGGATATTAATGAAGTATATTGTTACTTTAAACAGATTTCCAATGGTGTTTGGTTTCTTCATGAGAATGGGATTGCACATCGTGATTTGAAATTGGATAATTGTGTAGTTAATCATTTGGGAATTTTAAAGTTGATTGATTTTGGATCAGCAGTTCTGTTTAGAAAACAAGTACCACAAGATTATATTGTCCAGGACGATGATGTCATGTTAAGACATGATTTTAAATTGGTTAAGGCTAAGGGTATTGTTGGATCTGATCCTTATTTATCACCAGAAGTTTTAGAGCCAGGTAACGGATATGACCCTCGAGCAGCCGATGTTTGGTCCATTGCAATTATATTCTGTTGTATGATTCTTAAACGCTTCCCCTGGAAAATCCCCAAAATGTCCGACCCTTCTTACAGATCATTCCTCGGTAACGCATTATTAAATGGTAATCATGAAGAAACTAAAATGGAACAAGATTTGAATAACTTAAGTCTTGAACAAGAAAAAATCAACGAACTGCAATTAATTAAACAAGAAAATGGACAATCAAGTCAGCGCCAACATGCAAGTGGTGAAGATAGGTTGTTACGCCTTTTACCTACAAAATCAAGACAAGTTATTAAAAATATGCTTACTATTGACCCTAAGAGAAGATATCAAATGAACCAAGTAATAGATGATGATTTTGTACAAAGTATTGCTGTCTGTTCAACGACTGAATTGGGTGAATTTGGTGGTGTTGAATTAGTTCGATCAGCGCATGGAGATCCTCATCATCTAGTCACAGAAGAAGATTTACAAAAGCTTCAAGAAGAGAAGGAAAAGATGAAGAGGTTGAAAGAGGTTGGAATAGCATGATTTTAGTGTAGAATGATATATTACCTATATACCTTCAGTTTAGTGTAGATTACATTTAGCAATGTGATGCTCTGGATGCACCATCTAGAGCTTGTGTACTAAACATTATGCCATGTGTGATGGGAACAGCAGAATCTTAATTAACGATGACGACGAAAAACGACGTATCTGCGTAGAATAAACTTTGTGGTAGAATTTATGAGTCCAAAGTGCTACCGCGGAAATATGGGGCCAGGAGTCCTTGGCCCTAGCGCGAGACAGTTTGCAATGGGGGGGTTAGAATTTCCCACGAAAAAAGACCTGGCCGGCATAACTTTATAGTTTATGCGCAGTAATAAATACACAAAATATTTCATTACAATATATACAATAACCTGAGAAAGTCCTCTCTACCGCCCTCTTATCTCAAGTGACATCCAAGGATAGATATTTAGCCCATTTATATCCTCGTGGTCCCAAGTGAAAAAAATTCACCTGAGATCGTTACCCGGAGAGAATCTTCTGTTACCATTGGGGAATGCCCTGCTGTAGCAATAATCATTCCGGATCTGTAAACATAGTGCGCGCTTCCCGACTTACTATCATAGTTCTCTCCCCATCAGATCAAAAATAGTGACAATAGAAAGGAAGAAAAAAAAAAAGACTTTCTGTCATTACTTTCTAATCAAAACAACACAATTTTTGCCATCATTGGACTGAGTGTACACACGAATCCATATCATTAGTAATGCTAGAAGATGACACTGGTGGTGGCGGGAGTACTCCTGGAAACATTCTTCCCAATTGGATTATCATAGTCTCCTTCTACTGCTCAATAATATCTGCCATGATTGTTATACTAAGTATCGTACTTCACCTTGTCAACTACAGGAAACCGTTTCAACAAAGATTAATGATCCGGATTCAATTGATTGTCCCGTTGTTTGCATTCTCTTGCTACTCAATGTTGATCAACCAACTGTCAGTATTTAACAAATATGTTCTTGAACCTATACGAGAAGTGTATGAGGCATTCGTTATTTACACATTTTTCTCCCTTTTAACAGAGTTGTTGGGAGGTGAAAGAAATATCATTATCATGACCAGTGGTAGAAGTCCTGTAAGGCATCCTGGTGTTATATTGGGAAATTGTTTGCCGCCAATGGATATTTCGGATTCCCATACTTTTTTGGCTATCAAACGAGGCATACTACAATATGTTTGGTTGAAACCGATAATAATTATCACAACATTCTTAACGCAGTTGCTTGGATGGTATAACGTAAACGATTTAAGTTTTAAATCTATTTACTTTTGGTTAACGTTGATATATAATATGAGTGTCACATTGTCTTTATATTGCTTGGCTATGTTTTGGAAAATCTTGTGGAATGATTTAAAACCGTATAAACCAGTGGGGAAGTTTCTTTGTGTTAAATTAATTATCTTTGCCTCGTATTGGCAAGGTGTGATATTGGCTATTTTAAATTTCTTTCAAGTGTTGGGAGATACAACTAACGAAGGTGATATCAGTATTGGTGTTTGTATTCAGAATGCTTTACTTTGTGTTGAATTAATTGGATTCGCTTGGGGCCATTGGGTTTCGTTTACTTATAAACCATTTACTATAAGTGAATTGCCTTATGGAAGATATCAACTAAAGTATTCACTTAAAGATTGTTTTGGATTCCGTGACTTAATAAATGATTTCAAATTGACATACTATGGCGATTACTATAAGAATTATAAACAGTTTGATTCAGTTGATGCTATGGTTGCCCATCCTGATTCTAAAGGAAGAATGAGTAGAATTCACCAAGGATTGAGGTACCATTACGATGGGAAACATAAACACTGGTTGCCTGATAATACCAATACTTTGACTGTTTCATCTCCAATAATTCAAAGTACTTCTGAGATTCATGCTTTGGATAATAGTTCGTTATACTCAAATAATACTTCCATGAGAGCAATTTATCCATCATCACCAAAACAATCACCACCAAATTCACCGGTATCGGCTGTTAAAACAATGCCACCAGAACAAACAATTGAAGAAATTATCGCCAATGATCCAGACCTTTCTGTAGTTGATTATTCACAAGAATCTTTTAATCAAGATGAAGAAATATACCAAATGGCAATAAAGCAGGTTGGGAATTATAAATTAGATCAAGTGGGGATTAAGAAGATGTTGAATTATCCTATAGTGGACGAGGTAATTGATAGTCATGTTTATGGATATAAAGTTAAAAAGCTAAGACAAAGACAAAGGCTAAGAGATCAACATCGAAGGGGAGAGAGAACGGAAATTCAAGGTGGAAGTAATGAAAGCTACCGGTATGGTAGTATTGTATAATATTATTTATGTGTATATACAGGCTATGTACAAGAAATTTAATCTTCGATCTTAAACAGATACAATGCATCAAGATCTTCTTCGGATTTTGTAGTTTGTTTCTGTTCTTTCTGTTTGGATTTGGTATCTTTCAGTTTTGTCTTTTTGGCGGCCACTTTCTCTCCACGATCATCTTCTTCTGGCTCCATAGGTTGCTTTTTCTTTTGAGCGGTTAGTCTATAAGCACATTTGGTCTCAATATCACCTTCAACAGTCCAAGTGCATGGCAATTCATCCAAAACCAGTTCAATGGTTTGTTTCACTAGCTCTCGTTTTTTTAATTCAAGATTATAATCATCTTCGTTTCTATGCATATGAGAAACATGACTGCTATCAGTATCAAATCCTCTATTACTATTAGTTTGAAATCTAACTTGTAGATTCTCTCCCTTCGACAATCGCTTTAAAATTTCGTTCTTTTTTTGATTCAACAAGTCACTTGTGTTAATACTCCATTTGCAACTAATTACTTTTTCGGCACTACGTTTCAGTAATGCCTTTTCACGACTCTGTATAGCGTACGCAGTTTTCTTAGATCCCATAGCTAATAGCTCTTGCTCTTTAATTTTGGCAAGTTTGTCCGAATAAACTTTTGTCATTTCATGAACCTTGCATAATTTAACTAAGGGGTAATTATCATCTAATTCAACACATGTGATGCCCTGCTTCGTTAAATCCATAGAGTTTACTATATCAGCAAGATGAAGAACCTCGATGGAATTCGTTTCCGGGTTAAGATATTGTACTTTAAAATCGGGGGAAATTTCTTGAACTCGTAAAACTATTGATCTTATGGCATTTTGACAAGATTCTGTGCCCAGATGAATGAAAAACTTACGAGGTCTGTTGTTATCACGATTTGACCTCTTATTGTCCGATTTGTTCCACCTTTCCTGTCTCCGTGGTATTTCTTGAGACTCAGAATGTGTTCTGAATCTATTGAACTTTTCAAACTGTGATTTTCCAGCAGATTGTCTTGGTTTATGGGAGTTGTCATCATGATTGAAATCTTTGAATAAGTTAAAACATATTGTGGAATTCTTATATGTTCGTTTAATTATATTATATGTACTTTGACGAACTAACATCTTTTGCCTGATTTGATGTAGTAGTGAAGAAGGGTTTAACTTCTAGAAAAAAAATTTTGAGTTTATATTAGAAAAATTTAAACCAAAGATCACGTGAGCAAAGCATCCCGCCGACGATAACGTGACTTTGTTCAGCAAGAATCATGGTAAGATGCAACGGGCAATCTACCAAAAGTTGAAATATCAATTTTGTAATATTAAACCCCTGGCTTTAAAACGCTATAAAAATAATGATCAACTTCGGCATAATTGTTTTGGAGTCATTTGGTACGCTTGAACTTAACAGTCGATATCAGTTGAAGCCCTTCAGTGTCAAACTGGTTGTATATATGACATGTATTTGATAGCAGCTTCAGATAAGTACATTAGAAAGAAGAAGAAAAATGCACTCACTATGTTGCTTCGAGTTAGAAATGGCTGCAACTTTCACTGTATATAGCTCTATTTTTGTACTATTATATTTTAGCTGGTTTCCCCGCTAGTGAGGGTTCCAGACAAATATTAAAGTGTCTTGCTTCATCTATCATTTTACAGATTGCTTGATATCCGATATTACCTTGTGTGCAAAACCTTGCTATGGAACTAGAATCCGATATCAAAAGAGTACAAAGAGCTATCACTGTATCACGGTGCATCTCTATTGATACTTCTTATTAAATTTACAAAAGATGCGGAACTGGATACCGCTGTTAAAATAGTACAAAAGCGTCAAACTAATTACTTAATGGTTTAACGAGCATTTCCGTTATTTGAAATTTGCCATCCATATTCAAGTATATCGGAGACATGCACCGGGTGTAAAACCGCGGAAATCTGGAAAAACTATGATATCTAAGTCCATATCAGACATTTTTTTTTTTCTGTTTATAATGACTAAAACTCTAATTCCGCAAAAAAATACGGATTAAAAATCCGAAACAAAAACAATGGTCAATGGGAATGGGCGAGCCGCGGATATATGGAAAGACACACTTCCATTTAATTGGTTTTTAGTAGTGTTCTGCCACTTTATAGATTCCATTTAGTCATAAATTGTGGATTCCCGGGATTTGACTAAATTTTTAAGTTTAGATGAGAGTTTCATGTGATGGTTTTGTTTCAGGATCGAAAAGATCACAAACTCAAACTGTAAAAATCGCCTAATCACTCTGACACATTTACGAAAGGAGAACACATCAACCTTCTCAATACAAATGACATAGTGTTGACAACTTTGCTTCAAAGGCGGACATGCATACATATTTGCTATATTTACATATACAACCGAATGATATGCTCATTTATTTTTTGGTTGTAAATTACAAAGCCGAATCATACCATCATTTCCACGTCAGGTACAACCATGGAATAATAATTTTTATGCAATGGATCTTGGCTCACTCCCCACCTGTTTCCCCGAGTTTACGCCTAAAAAATAATTTGAATGTGCTGGGGGAAATACCACAAAAAAAACTGTAAATCTTTTTTCTAATGATGGTTGATGTGTAGCAACAACAAAAAATAAATGTCTGATTTTTAAATGATGTATCGCGGAAAAAAAGGCACGTAAAAAATGCCTTGTGGAGATTACATACTTTAACTTGTGGGGGATTGGGGAGATGATGACGACCAGGTAGTATTGGGGGATGAAATTTTTGGGGGAGATCAGTTTCATGTAGCATTCTTCCGATTTGGTTCTCTTCTCAAGGCAATGACATGACATTATACAACAATATTTTGTATCTATCATCAGATCTGGATCATCAGTTAAGTCATGCTATTCAAATCCGACTACCCCGATTTGTGTTGATGCTTTGCTGGAAAAGATGGATGATGATGACTACCCGCCTCAATATTTTCCCCCACGCGTAGACCGTCCGATCTTGGCTGTGACTTATCTAAGAAAAATGTAAATAAACTAAAAAAAAAAATGTCACAAGTCGCCCGACTATAAGGCAAAGGGAAAATCTTTTGATGATCATGGATTTATTTTTTTGTTAGTCACCCCCGGAAATATGCGCGGAGTGTTTAATTTTGACGTGCTGTCTACTTTAGGTTATAGCTTACGAACTTTGTAGGTAGAGTGCACTTCTTTGAAATTGAAATGCAAATTATGTAACAATGACCCCCAGCTTATCCAAGCTTGAATCAATTGATATATTTGCAAGAATGTAACATGATAAACTTTTAGTTTGTCTGTTTACAGTCTGGGGTTAAGGAAAAAAAAAAAGATAATTCGTCAGCCCAAAAACATATTTTCTGTTCATGCAAGTGAATTTTAAGTTTAAGTTTTTCCTTATTTTTTATTACTTTTGTGTCTGCAGAAGTAGTATCATTGCAAAAAAATAATAATTAGCAAAGCACCAAAGTAAGCTAGTTTGCATTTAGTGGAAATAGGAGCGACTACCGAAATTTAGTCCTACAATGCCGTACCTAGTAGTGTTTATCAAGCAGACTTTTTCCCAAGAAAAGTGATCTTTTCCCAAAAAAACTGTAAACCTTGATAGGAAAAGATCAACTCCTCAATGTAGTAGCCATAACGTAAGTCCGCGTCAATAGGTGGATTTTTTCCAGAATTGGAACATTTCCCTTCAAGCGAGAAGTTTCTCCACTTCCATCAAATTGCAGTAAATAATTGTTGCGAACAATAGAAATTCGAAATTTCTCGCCACGATTTCCAAATATGGCTTCAATAAGAACTCGATCTGGGATGGAAGGTCGAAAAGGTTTTAGTTTCAAATATTTTTGAATCGAAGGCAAAGATTACTTAACGACGGTTTGAGGAACAACTTGGACAAACAATGCTTGTTTAAGCCTTGTGTTTGTTCAAGTTTTTTTGCTTGTATTTGCAGTAATTTTGGAATCTTCCGAGAAGCTCGAGCCAGAATAAAATCTTGGGGAAGCTTGTAACTAGTAAAAGCTTGTTATTTGTTTGAAACCTTGGCTCTTGCCCAAAATCACACGCACATTTGAGCATTATGTAAAATGTTCAACTGCAAAAACGAATGCTTATTCAATATTCGGAATTAATGTGGGAATACCCTTTTCAAAATTACAGTTTTTTTTTTATCTCAAATATCACCACGAGGCTCTGATCACTATTTCTCGCATGGGACTTTTTCCTAATCAAAAACCCCCCAATCGCGTATGCTATTAAATCTCGAAGTCGAGTTATTCCCAAATAGGCTTATCAGAGAGTTACGTTATTAAAATTTCCATTTTGGCGTGAATAGCCTTACTATAAGTGGCAATGTTCGCGGTATTCCGGGTACGAGGAAGGATTTCCTGAATAGGAAGGATTTCGCAAAAAATAAAAAAATGCGGGGGACAGTATTGGAATACTATGGCAATGCAAAAATAGGTTACGACGGGGTGATATGTCTTTAGTAATTGATCGCAAAAAGTATATTCTTTCGTAGTAATATTAGCTCTAAGCAATAATTATTAACTCAGTCTAGCAAATCACAAGCTAATGAATCCCACATAAAAAAAATAGCAATAAGTCTTGGCCTTCAATTGCTGGACCTGCTTAAATTAAAGATCGATTCATTTTTCTATGAAATCTCCAGTTTTATCATATGGCATTTGTCAAAAAAAAAAAGTCGTAACATTTTGTTAAATAGATCTTTTGCCGTGCAAAAATGCGACCGCGGGAAAGTTCCAGCGAGCAATAGAACAGTTTCACATTTTTTGGGTTTTCTCCGCGTCCGCCCGAGGTGTCCAGCAAAATTTTTCTTTTGGCCGCAAATAAAAAAAATTTAACCTAAATGGGGGCAAGGTGACAAAAAAAAAAAATCAAGCATATACGTTAAAACCTCGTAAGTTAATGAAGGGCCATGTAGATGCATTCAAAATTGTCACATTCATTTTATTTGTAATGTCTACAATTAGTGTGATAATAAATGAATAATAAACCTTTTTAATCTATGTAATTGTATATGATTGTATAGAATAAAACTATAAAATTGACCCTTTTTGTATAAAATGTTTAAAATGACCATGACCGCAATAGAAGTAAAACGTTCCTTTTTAGTAAAAACGAAGTGCCAGAAACCTAATTAACTTTTTGATTTAGTCTAGTAATATGCAATGATAGGCCCTTCCACAGTTACAATTTTTATAAACCAGCTATAAAAAAAACTGTGTCCAGGTGCTAATGTCCTTTGTTGTAGATGAAGTAAAATATGCAAAGTAATCACAAACAATCATGATCCAAGAAATCATAATCAACAGAGATACCGTTGATGATTTCTCTAGTGTTGACAATATAGTTGAATGAAACTTTCTTCTTTTGATTAACATTGTTGTCCAATAAAGATTCTGAACTTGTCTTCTTCAAGATAGGCTTCAAGTTCCAGTTATAATCTTTATCTTCTTCTTCATCGTAGTAGGAAGAACTTGTGGAAACGGTGGAATTCTTACGTAGTATTTCTTCATCACTGTAACAAGATTCAACTGAAGTGTCAGACATAAAAGAAGAAACAGACATATTGTCTTCACATGAGTATAATGTAATGTTTTGTTCTTGTCCGTGCTCTTGCTTTTCTTCATCATCTGATTCAATCTTTGGTCCAAATAACCAAGTTACATCTGAATTCTTATCCCAGTTAATCATAAAGGGATTAATTTCAGGTAACTTTTGGAAATTCTTGTATAATCTTCTCCAACAAATGTTGGATAATCTTTCGTACAAGAACATGTTATCAACTTTATATTCTCTGTTGTTGTTCATATATTTTATGAACTTTATTAAGTTGGTATTGTCATGTAAATAATGTGTGGTATTTTCTTGAGGCACGTATGCCAAATAATCTATATTTTGTTCAATCGTGGGTATCTGAGTAGATGGCCCAACTACTATATCGTCGTAATAGTACATTGGTATAAGAATTTTGTATGAATAGGTGTTTGAATAATAAATATAAGTTGGTGTAATAAAAACAGGAATATGACTTGGGCTTTAGGAATTAAACTTGGGACAAGTTGCAAGATTTATATATTTGGCATTTGGGGGAAGCAAAAAAAAAAACGAGAAATAATAATAGAAATAATAATTTTTTTTTATTATTTGAGGCTTGGTGGTGGTAGTAGCTTGACGAGGGGAGGAGATGTGTAATTTATTTTTTTGCCTTTTCTTTTTATGGCGGAAATAAAATTCTATTATGCATATGTGTAACCTGTAAATATTTTGTATATTTTTCCTTTTTTCATTTTTCCTTTTTCCCTTTTTTTTTTTTGGGTGACAATTGTTATGGTGTAGTAAAATATCACCAGACAGACATTTTTTTTGTTACTTTAAATTTTTAATGTCTGACTCATTTCTTTTCCCATTTTGTTCTTATTCCCGGTATTTGATTTTTTTGCATTTATATTATTATGTTCGGGAGAACACTGCAAATTTCACACTTGAAATATTCATATCGTAATCCCGGTGTTCCATCTTATTGTATTGAACGATAAAACTATTGTTGTTGATCGTCTAGAATAATCTATCTAATGGAAATGTTGCAATTGCAAATTTGGGGGTTTTTTTTATCAGTTTCATCTGGCCAGTTTATTCTCAAATAAATGGTACGAGATTATATCTATTATTAGAAAAGTGTAATGCGTTGTGATTGTGATCAACTTTATGCTGTTTAAAATGTATATACTTACGATTAGTAGTAATGATCCTGTGCTGTCATGTCCCTCGGTTACTCAGCTGTCAGTCAATGAAGTCAAATTTAGTGCAAGTGTTGCAATCAATAGTATGAGCCCAGAAAAAGATTACAATAATTGTCACTATAAAAAAAAATGTGACACATCTAAGTTCTGGATTTCGTAAATGGGTGCGAATTTATATACAGAGATTTGCATATACTTACAGAAGGCTGGTGCCCAAGAATACAACTATCATGATCAAATGATGTCTAAGAAATTTTTACCTTCTGATGGTATCACTAAGTTTTTCTATCATTGCAACTTCGTAGCAACCAGTAAATGCCAAGTGAAAGAGGTATTGGTCATTGCGGCAAATGCTCTGTTGTTTTTTATTGTAATACTGTAGCAGAAGTCACAATATCATCAATAAACTAATATCTGCTTGTACTTGACAATCAGCCACCTCTCAATGAATTTATTCATCAGCGGTATTTCAGATTTGGTCAATCAACTGATTATCTCACAGTTGGTTGTTTCCCCACAGTTACATTCCTTGAAAATCATTTACACTAATTCCGTAAATGGAAATCCTCAGTTCATACGCAAAAAATTCAAAGATATAACAGGTACATACAGCATAATTAGCCTTACGTCATTTATATTGATTCTACCTTCATATTCAGTGGAGTTTCTAGCATTAACGTACAGTCGTAACTAAATAAAAGAAAATCACTATCTTTTTTTTTATGTGCATGAATCGCGACCAAAACATTCGCTGATTTTTTTGCCTAGGCAGGTCATGACGCGGATTCATCTATAACATGATAGCAAAGTATTGACTTTAGTGTTATTGCTTGAATCATGCCTTATTGCACCGTATTAAAGTTAATTGGTGAAATTTATTAGTTGGACGGATCTTAATTTGCCTCAATAAGTTTAACTATGATAGCTGTCATGGTAAATTAGAATTCTGTAACATTTCATATTTCTCGGAAATGTGTATCACGGGATAGTGTTTCATTTTTTTAGTTAATCATGCGCCGGATAAACTACGAATGTATAAACCGCCTCATAAATGTAAATCAACTTTAAAAAAAAAAGTGTCGGACTAAATTTAATCATTTAACCAGTAGTATCAATGTAGGAATATGTAATTCCTTACCCCGGAGTTACATTAGTAATGCGAATGATTGAATCATGATAGGTTGGTCTTTTCTTGCGGCACCGTCAATTGCGAGTAGAAAAACGCCGAATCAATGAACAAAAAATATTGAAGAGAAAAAATATCCATTCACTACATCAAGCGAGTAGACCCGTAACACCCGTATAGCTCCATGTGATGCCAACCATCGAATGAGGTGATATGTATTTATTACACCTACTTGGAATAGTAGTAGAGATGTTTCATGATACATATGCTATTACAGTTTTTCTAGTACCTAGGTTAATGCTACCTCACGTTATATATGAAAATTCCAGCTGGTTATGAGATTATTATTTTTATCTAATACAATAAAAGACACAAAATTATTTTCTAAGATTTCAATTATATATCCTGTTGTTGCATAAAAATATTAGTTGAAAGTATGTACCTTCCTTTGTGTTCTCGGAAAAACTAAGATAATTTCCTGAAATCTAGAATAATTGTTTTTGCGAGAAGAAATTAATCTTGGGAAAAAAGTGTATCTTCGGTATACTCGGTGAAATACATGTTACGAATTAGACTATCCATCAACAATAGGTTCAATAACTTGCAATTAAAACCCTTGTCTGTGTGATGACGTGAGGCGTCAAATTTCATATTTTAGCGTCTCGCAGCGAGATCCAAACTAAAGCCCCACAATAATTAATTATCTCGACCCTGGTCTGATTATAAAACATAACATAACCTTTTGTGAAAGTTCTCGTTTGTGTTTCCTTTACCCTAACTCCTTGACTCCCCTCTTTCTTGGGTATCTCTCTTTTACTTTCAAAGACGTTTCAAATGTGGGGAAGTAAATTGGTTTCTACCTTCTCGCGCACAAAAAACTTTTTTTTTTTAGTACCAATTGCAACTATTCATAGGTACCAAAAAATAATATCTTCACAAAGGAAAAAAGAAATTTTTCCAGATTTCCATGCCCATCACTTAAGAAGCTTTGTGCATCAGACACTTTTTTTTTCTTTGTGATTGTCTTTGTCCCTTGACTGTCTTCATTTTTCCATAAATTTTAGATGGAAGCCTCTCTCCCTTTGTAACATAATTCCACCCACCCCGCAATTCAATAATTCATTCAGGTCTCACCTGATTTCAATTTATCGGTAACGATTTCATTAAGAGAATATGCCGATAAACTATTACATCACAGACACTTTTTATAAAATAGAACATCAGTTGCAACACCTATGAAAGGCTTTACATTTACAGGTTACTCGGATATGTCTAATGGAATAACTTTGGTTATAATACACGAAGCGAGGTTCGTGGTTGTGGATTCTTCAGCGTCACCAAATCGTATCTTTGCAAGTCATCCTCGCGGAATTTTTGCGTTAGCGGTCACGTCATTGACCTTTTTTTTTGGTTCGGAAAATTATCCCTATCGGGTTTTTATCGTTTGTGGAAATCATCATCCGATGGTTCAACATTTGCTCAGTCACCATTTTGTAGATCAAGTGGTTTTGACATTTTTAGTATCCTCGGTATCCATTTTCTTTCTATAATACGATTTGTATGCTAGTAAGTCCTTCGGAATAGTTTTAATTCTATACAATTGTGCCGACATGGCACAAACATAACCACACTAACTATTCGGTTTCTGGGGGGGTTGTATATTCCATTTATCTTCTATTATCACATTTAGCCGTGCATCTATCCATCTGACTATTTAACCCTCTCATCCGCTTCAAGTGGACATCTTTTGGTGCTTAAGGTCATGCTGATTTTGCATTTAATGGTAGCGCATGGGCATTTTCGCGCAACCACATTCCGCGCGACCCTGGTCAACTTTCAGATCAGAGGTTTTTTTTTCCGTTTGCCGATCCGACAAGTTTATACGAATGCATGACCCCTAGTACATAAATAGTTTTTCGCCAGAACAAAATGGAAGATCCGGTACCTTAAATGATGATTGCTTTCGGGGAAGACGTGGGGAATTGACAGCTACTGTTATCTTTTGGCTATCCGTGCATATGCGCTAATGTACTATTTTCCACAAGCGAAAACTAAACGGATTCGTTCCGAACCGTCCGTGACTACGAATTGATCGACAGCGGATTCAGTTACGATTTTGGCGGGGAGATGCTTTCGATGGAATAGATCTATTTTTTTTTTACATCCTCGGTATTATATACTGATCATTTTGTTGTATTTAGTCCAGCTTTAGTTGAAGCTAACATTGTGGCTCTGTTAATGTCACGGAATTGCGAAAAAGATTTGTTGCATTTTTTTCGTGCCAATGGTGTCAATATTTTTTTTCTTTGTAATGGAAAGGCTCCAACATTTCATTTTGTTTCTTTTGGTTACGCCATAGTTAATTCCAGTTGTCAGTGAGAGATTTCACTGCATACAAAGATCCATAGATTCATAGACGCCACTCCTTTGTCATGTCACTACCTAACAATAATTCCTTTTCCGCAACACCACCTCCAATCAGACTGACCACCCCTACTATATCATTACGATCTGCGGCATCAAATTCCAACATGCCAACTGCCGGTAGCCCCTCACAAAGTTACGATGAGCAGATATCGAATTTAAATAGTGTTTATTCCACTGTTGATTTCAAAACTATTGGTAAACATTTGGTTAACCCTGAGGACAGTTTGAAATTACAAGGTGGCGATGTCGCTAGAAGGTTATACCATCAGATGGAAAATACACCTGCGGGGGTAACATTTGTTGGCGACGAAAATGGAGGTGCTAAGAAACGGACAAGAAGTTCGTCATTTTCGACATACTTGGAGGAAACAAGACGGGGATCAACTGCAAGTGATATAAATGTCCCTGGTGGATTTAGACGCGAGTTTCTTATTAATCAGTCAATAAAGAAAAATCAAACCCCTCCAAACTTTTTAACCAGAAATTTTATCGAATTTCTTAGTATTTATGGACATTTTGCTGGTGAAGATTTCACCGATGATGACGAGGATGAAACAGATAACCTACTGGATGCATCCTATGAGGATGTGTTTGACGAAGAGTCTAGTTTATTGGGACGAGAAAGACGCGGGGGTGCAGGTTATGGTATTCATCAAATTCCAAAACCTAAATCAAAGGTAGTGAAAGCACAAGCACATGGTACAGCATCAATAGGGAAAGCATTCTTTCTTGTATTCAAATCATTGGTGGGTTCGGGGGTATTATTTTTACCACGAGCTTTCTACAATGGTGGGTTACTTTTTTCAATCATTACATTGTCATTATTCGGATTAATAACATTTTTCTGTTATATGATATTGATAGATTCAAAGAATCACCTTAAATTAACTTCGTTTGGGGAATTGGGATACAAAACTTATGGGAAACCATTGAAATTTTGCATTTTAATTTCAATTATTATGAGTCAAGTTGGGTTTGTTGCAACTTATATTTTATTCACCGCTGAAAATTTGATTTCATTTATTAAACAATATATTGTTGATACACCACCATGGATAAGTCATGCAAATATTGTTATTGCGCAATGTATAATTATGATTCCTTTGGTGTTGATTAGAAACCTTACTAAATTATCATTTGTTTCTGTTGTCTCCTCAATATTTATAATTGTTGGATTAATAATTATATTTTGGTATTCGGGATTAAATTTGTACATCAATGGTATTGGACCAAATATTACAAATTTCAACTCAACAAGTTGGACTATGTTGATTGGGGTAGCTGTGACTTCATTTGAAGGTATTGGTTTAATATTACCTATAGAATCTTCAATGAAACAGCCAGAAAAGTTTCCTATGGTATTATCTACAAGTATGGCGGTTATAACTGTTGTATTTGTGGCAATTGGTACTGTGGGGTATCTTTCATTTGGAGAAAAAATAAAGTCGATTATTATCTTGAATTTACCACAAAATAGTATTGCAGTTCAATCCATTTTAATATTGTATTCAATTGCAGTATTTTTAACCGCACCTTTACAATTATTCCCAGCCATAAAAATTGGAGAATCATTGATTTTCAGGCATAAGGGGAAAGTGGTGTCTCATCATAGTAGCAGTACCACAAGAAGAACGGAAGAAGAAGAAGAAGAAGGCAAATTGTATCACCATTCCGGGAAGTATAACCCTCAAGTTAAATGGTTAAAGAATTTATTCCGGTCAATAGCAGTGGCTACAATTTGTACATTGGCATATCTCAACTCTAATAACATTGACAAATTCGTATCATTCAATGGTTGTTTTGCATGCATACCATTGGTTTATATTTACCCACCATTGATCCATTTAAAGACAATAAAAGCAAGACTAGCAGTAAACAAGACTTTATTTAATTGGCTGGTTATTGTGTTTGATTACTTGTTAATTACCGTTGGGATTATTTTGGTAGTTTACTCAACCTACCAAATAATCTTTTTAAATTAGACATAGAATATTAATTTATTAATTACATAACACAACTGTTGGCTATTGTTTGTCCATCCCCTCTTTTTCCTTTTGATCTCCACTTGGAATATGCGAGCAGCTAAATTGTGTCGCGTTTTTTCCAACTGTCTCAATCTCTCTTGCACCTTCACCTATACCCGAGAATTCCATACCAAAACTTAAAAGAAGGTTGAGCCCGTTTTCCAGAATACTATCACCTGTTCTCTGCACATACAAACATTCCCAACAACAACATCCGCACATTGCACGTGAACACTTACTTTTGTGTGATTTACTCAATAGGCTCATTCACTTTGGATTATAAGCCTTTTATTTTACAACAAAACCATGAGTTGTCAAGTTCATTTACTACCTTCTTACCCTTATCGTTTATTACCCTAAAATTTTCTAAAATTATACTAATATTTGTCATTAGTATCTACTCCCTCCCCCCTCCTCCAAAACTTCACTAGAGCAACTACAACCGGGATTCAATTTTTTCCGCTTCAATTTTTAAACTTTTATATAATCCAGTACTTACAACGCGGTTGCCAAATCAATCACACCTAGAATATATTATTACTATTGCATGTTGTTATCTTGATCTATCCAAATGTCCAAGAACAACAAGAGGAAACTAGAAGAAGGTGATAAATCAAATCACGAGAATAGCAATCACAGTGACGACAGCCAAAATCACGACTCAAAATCAACAACAAAGAAAAGATTGAGTTGTCAACGATGTCGATCTCGTAAAGTTAAATGTGATTTTGAAACACCTTGTCATAACTGTGTCAAGGCTGGAGTTGATTGTGTTCAAACCACTGATGATATGAGAAAGAAACGACCTCCCGCAACTTATGTAAGCAAGCTAGAAGCTAAGATTGAACTGCTTACTAAGTTTATCCAACAATTTAAACAATCGGATTCTATTGAATCTAAGACTGACTTAGTCAATCATACTGATTTCGAACAACTTATGAATAAGGAACTATTGGAAAATAAAGTTAACTCATCTGGTTCATCACCAAGTGCAGTAGACGCACACCATCATGATGAAGACGAAGATCGAGCATTCTATGGTCCTACTTCAGTCTACAACGATGCATTAACCACAGGAAATTCAAAATTGTCGAAGAAAGATAGGGATAATTCGCATACAATTAACAAAATGAATAAAGATCCAGATATTTTAAACTGTGTTAAACTATTCTTTACCTGGCAGTATCCTGATCACAACATGTTTATCTTTAGAGAAGCTTTCCTTATTGATTTCTTTAATCCCAAACCCAACAATTTATATTGTTCACAAAAATTGATCCTCAGTATATGTGCTCTTGGAGCAAGAATGTCCGATGATGACAGAATATACAACAAATCAAAACAATATTATCGCGAAGCAAAAAGTCTTTTGTTGAACCAATTAAGTCAACCTTCAATTACATCCTTGCAAAGTTTTATGTTGTTGGCATTTTATGATATTTGCAGCGGTTTAAATTCTAGTGGTTGGATGTTATCTGGAAATGCCATGAGAATGGGATTTGACTTGGGGTTCCAATTAAATCCTCAGGTTTGGTTTGTTGAATCAAGTAAAAAATTGAGTAACTTAGATGTTGATATTAGATCAAGAATCTATTGGGGTTGTTTTATGGCTGATCATTTTATAAGTTTGTTATTAGGTAGGCCAGCAGTGTTGAAAATTTCCGATGCTTCCATATCCGAAACTAATGATTTACCTGATTTAGAATGGATTGATGATTTTACATATGAAGGTTATGTTAAACAACAAGTTAAGGGGTTCCATTCCCCTTCACCGCAAGTTAAAGTATCTTATATTTCTGATCCGTTAAGAAAAATCATTAACCTCATCAGTATTTCCGATAATATGCTTAATGATATTTTTTCAAAATCTGAACAAGATGAATCCAATTCGGAAGATTTGGATTTAATTTCTCGTTGGCAGAAATTAATTGAATATAATGCCCAGATTATGAAATGGAAAATGAGTTTACCTGACGATTTACAATGGAACCGAGAAAAATTAAAAGCTACTGGTGAAAATCCAACCTATTCTTGTATTAGATATTATTACTATATCCTTTTGTTATGTCTTAATCGACCATTTGTGGGTATAGAAACTGATAAACTTCCAAAAGACCACTATTTGTCCCCATTATCCATTTGTTCCAATGCAATCGATGACCTATACGAATCAATTAAAAAATTCCAATCAGTACATGGATATAGAAGAGTTTCGATATTCATTGTATATTCTTCAATTTTGTCTATTTCAATCATTTTGTTAACCAACACAAGTAAACAATTAGTCAATGAAAAGAAAGATAGATTACAATTTTTCATGGGAGTGTTATATGGCTGCTCTAAAACTTGGAAATTGGCTGAAAAATCGTACAATTTAATTAAAGAAAAATTAAGGGATCGTTATGAAACTGGGGAATTGCAAGATACTGAAAAACAGAATGCATTTACGAAAAAACAACCTAAAGCGCCCAAGCAAACAAAGCTTAAACCAGTAAATATTGGCGCCTCTATTAAGTCTGACTTACAAGCATCACAAACTTCTCCACCATCTCAGTCTACAAAAATATCAACAGTAAGATCAACATTTACTCCACCTACTGCTAATAAACAACAACCCCAACCACAAAGATCACAATATCCTTCTCAATATTTGGGCACTCCTCCTACCGGTGCTCCAGCAGCTTCAACGGGTACCTCAACCTCTGTAAGCACTGCAGCAAACACGGCCCAAATAAGCCCATCACCGATGTCTAGTACAAGTTCAATGAACCAATCATCGATAGTTGAATCAAATACAAATGTGTTGTTTGATAAAAATTTAGATTTTCTTGGTGGTCCTCCAGTGTTGATGACTTCAGATTTGTTCAATGAAGATTGGGAAGCTTTGTTTCCTGATTATATTTTCAACTCCAAGAATTGATAGAATATTTTAAAAGTACTGTATTATTTCTTAATAGATTGTTTTATGTATATAACAAATCCAATAAGTTTGGATCTTTGATAAAATCGAATGCAATGTACGTAGGTAGATAAACAAAAGACCATATGCACGGTAATTTCTCCAATTAGAGGAAAAGCTAAAAGATGTTACAAAATTATGTCAACCCAAATTGGTAGCCCCAAAAAAATCCCGTTACAAAATGTTCTAAACTTTCAAACAGGCACTACAATCGGTTCAGAATTCCTTCTTAATCATATCAACTAATTCATATGGTAAAAACTAATAGCAATGTGCGAGAGAGAGAAAAAAAAATATGATTCCGCCCAGGATCGAACTGGGGACGTTCTGCGTGTTAAGCAGATGCCATAACCAACTAGACCACGGAACCAATTTTTTGAAATTTGTTAGAGGAATGAACTCTTTAAGTCTTGCACATGAACCTTTGGATCTGTGTGAAGTTAAAGATGGAAACGTGTAAAGTAATCACACAGGATCTCGGGTTTCCCTTTCACCTTGTTCACCTAATACGAATGACATCTTTCCCCACTTATGGAATTGGGATAATGTAGATTTGGTGACGTATCGGAGCCTTATGCAGAGGAATGTAACATTATGCAGAATCATACCTTACACCTCAATGATATTGCAGATACGTGACGAATAAAGTATTAGAGTGTCATTAACTCGCAAGGTGGTTAGGAAGGCTATGGATGTGAGGCAAGACGAGAAAAAGAATATTTAAATGGTTGGATTTTCCCAGAAAGTCACTTTGGATTTGTAGAAGTGTAACTGAACTGAACTTAACTTGACTTAACTTAGTTTTAGTTTACGAATAGATAAGAGAGAGACTCGTCGTAATTCTTTTACATTATTTCGTATTATAAACTATACATATATCAAGGACCTATAGGAGAATCTAATAAAATTTTGTTCTATAATTGGGTTCTTTTGGGAACAATGTTTATACTTCTCTTTCTGACTAAAGCTAAGTTAAAGAATATATAAAAACTATATAATTTCTTCAGCAGATTGACTCCTATTTATACCAATTTCATCAATCTTCTGAACCAATAAACTTCAAATAATTTCACGAATATTGGTATCCAATAATCGTGCACCAATACTTGGAGTTTAGTTTCATTTCGGGCCTAGGACCTAATTCCATATCAACCCCACAGACCTATTTCATATCAATTGTTTCACAAAACCAACTTAGTCAATACAGATCGAAGGTCTGATATTGAACAAATTTGTTCTATATCAGGTCAATCCTGATATGAAGATAGTTAATTAGAGAAATGTTAAGGTGTTTCATATGATTATTATGGTCTGATGTTGTTAAGGTTGTTATGGAGATCCAGGTACACGAGAAAGAAGTTGTAATGGTAACCATAGGAGATGAGCAGAGACGAGTTCCGTAGTAGGTTAAGAATGAAATTGAGATACAAGAGCAATCATAACTTAGAAGTCGGATGTTTCTAAAATTCCAGAAAAGAGGACTATAAATACTTGGGAATCTTGGTAACTTCAAACTTGAAAATATATAATCTTTATCTAGTAATAAAAATAGACTCACAGAAGTAACCAGAAAATAGAACAAAATTTTGTTCTAAAATTAGGTCCTTTTTGGGAATAATGTTATACTTTATTTTCTGGCTAAAGCTAAAACTACTTTTTAATAAAAACTACAAAATGTCTTCAGCAGATTGACTCCTATTTATACCAATCTCGTCAATCTTCTGAACCCATAAAACTTCAATTAATTCCACGAGTATTAGTAAGCGATAAACGTGGTTCATTAATTAGACCTCGATTCATATCGGGCCAAGGTCCTCGAGGCGCGAGCATGCGTTGGGGCGAGGTCATCGCTCTTCCTGTCCGCCAGTCTAGACCCTGGAATCTATTACAGTTAATTAATCAGCTTTTCACAAAACCGACTGATTCAATACAGACCAAAGGTTTGATATTGAACATGAGTGTTCTCTAATCTGAGTCTGTAGGGAATAACAGATTAACTATGAGCCAATTACTTAACATGTAACAATATCAATTGGTTCAATCCTAAACTAAAGGAAACTAGACTCCGGAACAATGTATACAAACTAGAAAATAAGTTTCTGCAAATTTCCCTATTCTTTAAGAAAATCCCGTCATTCCTTGAAACTAGGGATACTTAGCCCCTTAAACCAATAAGGCCATGTATCCTTACAAGAATAGAATACTTCAGTCTCTTTGTCATTATTCAGTCACAAGCAAGCACGTCATATTTCAAAGCTCCAAACCAATACATTTCATTATGAACAATGATGCATAAAGGCGTACTCTATCCCGTAAGACGAGAGATAACTAAAACAATCCAATAATTCAAACTATAATATTAACTAATGTAAAACAATCTCACTTATTAAACCAAACTTAGAGTCATTCCACTGACTCGACTCTGTTCTATTATTAGGTTACTTCTATGTGATTTTTATTTCTAACTAAAGATAGAAAATACATAATTTTCAAGTTGAAGTTACCAAGATTCCCCAGTATTTATAGTTCTACTTTCTGGAATCTTTGAAACATACATATTCTAAGTTAATATTTTATTTTGTATGGTAATTTCATCTCTTACCTCGACATTGGAATCCTTATTGTTCACATTCCTTGATTCCCAGTCGAAACCCTCTTTCTTGCCCATGGGTTACTCTCATAACCCTGGAAATATCAAACCATAATATCAATATGACACACCATAGAGATTTATTTAATTAACAATTTTTTATATCAGACCTTTGGACTGTATAGAATTAGTTGGTTTGGTGCTAATTGTTATAAATTAATATGGTCGGATGTTATTGCGGTGACGCAAGGGTTTCCATGGTGATTCATGCGCTAGTTATTTGGTTGAATAGGAAATTGTGCAAATTGTGAATTTAGGATTCCCAAACTGGTTAAGAAAAATGTGCTCGTAGGTTGCTAGATAATAACCGAGAAATCGGATGTTTCAAAGATTCCAGAAAGTAGAACTATAAATACTTGCGAATTTTTGAAACTTTAAATTGCAAATTATATAGGAAAGAACTAGTTTTTTTTTGTTTTTTTTAACTGTGAATAAACATTGTTTTCTACTAAGGACCTAATTATACAACATTTGGAAGTGTTAAAAAATCTATAGTTTGGTTGTTTATTTGCCCCTCGAACCACCAATACTGTTATTTTGTTAAAAATGAGTACTGTTACTTCACCTGAGACTCCTGTTGCTGCTGCTGCTGCTGGTGGTGGTTTCCCCACCCAACTGATGAGGGAAGAGGAAGCATTAAATCGGGCCAATCATCTTGATAGTGATACCTTGGAAGGTTCATGTCAAAACTTTGCTAAACAACCCAAGAACGACTTGTTGGGTCCCATATTAGTATTCAAATTGGCTACAAAATTACTCGAGCTTAGACAAACCCTGTCCGTTGCTAAGTATGCTTCTGAATTTACTGGTTATAGTTCATATCTCCTGGATGGATTTTTTTCTGATACGGTGTTAAAAAATTCATTCTATAGAGGATTAAAGGTGTATGTCAGATGTTTGGTTTTCAGTGAGGTGTTTGACCCAGATTGTAGTCTTCATCAATTGATTACTAAATCCCTATTAGTTGATTATGCTATTTTCGATGATCGCTCTTTTGATGATAATTTTTGCGGTATGCTGAGTAGAACTCAATGGTCCTCCGAACCTGTTGCCATGGAAATTGACACTATTTCTGTTGGAAGGTTATCCAAGGCGGAGAGAGATTTTTTGAGAAACAACAATGGTTGTTTCCGTTGTACGAAGTTGGGCCATAAACGTTATGATTGTCCATTGGAGAACAAGCATATTGGTGGTTCTGCAACCCATAGAAGACGTGCTAATCAAAAGAAAAACTAAATAAGCTTAATTCTGGGAGATGTTAAACCAATCAACTCGGTTGCCGGTACTGCGTACGTACAAGTTCGTTGCTTCTAAGTCGTTGAATCGGAGCTAGCTTTTCTGAGTACATTTAGGAATTTTCTAGTGAATTTGGTAGAAGCTGCTGCTAGATCTCATGAAATTAGTGATACATTGGGTTATTACGAAGTTTATGTTCGGTGTCACTTGGGTCGGTTGTCACCCTAATCACGTATTTGAACTTCCTATTTCCTGGTTTTATAATCGTAAAGCTTTGGCAAACACCTTAATTGCTAATGCTATTGACTTCCTGGCGATAAATTCAAAAATTAAGTGTTGGTTGTTGTTCGATGAAGGCTGGGGCTTTGATTTAATGGGGAGATAATGTTTTATATAAGACCTTTGGATTGTATAGAACAGTGAGAGTTCTTTTTTGTATTTTATTACTTCTGGTTAATATTTCAACACATGTGACTCATAGTCGTAGTTTCCGAAATTGAAATTTTCGTTTAGGTGATAACACATGCTTAATGTTGCTACGTGCCACCATTATCTGTTGTACACTCCCTGTACCTTGATTAGTCTGGATTAAATTATAAATTTATCTCTGTAAAATCTCTTATTAGCTTATGGAAATAGAAGGTATAGTTTAATAATATAAATTATTTTCGGATCGTTGGCACCCAAATGGAAATGGTTGCAAATTTGCTACAACAACGGTAGCTACATAATTGCCAATAAAGATATTGAATAGCTGAAAGAATAAAACAGTAGCTGTAATGCATATTCCTACTCAAGAAAATGTGGGTTTATAAGTATATCCTACAAGATGGTAATAACTTGCTTTCATTATTTGTTTAGTTTTATATACAGATTATACATCATCGCCACTCCAAATAGATTCATCGACAAAGTATAACCAATAAAACCCGTTCCAACTACTGATAATTCCAACACCACAGTAGACACTGTAAATCATTAAATTAAGGAACTTGAAATTTTGTAGTATCGTATATCTTGTTTCCAATAAGTCAAGCAAACTTGTAAATGTCACAACAACAATAAATCCAAGAATATATCCGTTTATTACTCTATCCAAAATGATACCGCCTCCTCCGTATGCTTCAAACTTCTTAGGAATAGGTACTACTTTTCTCAAGTTGAAATAGAATATGATGTACCACAACAATGTGTACAACACTTTCACGAGCCATTCATTACTGGTGTAAATCAATGGGAATAGTGAACCATATCCACAGGCAACAAGTAGACTATATGGAGCAAGTAATTTTCGGTCTCTAGCTACTAATAATGTCATTGGGAAGATAACAATCAAGATTGCCTTTTCGTGTACGTGCCAACCAAACAAAAATGAGGCGTATCCACATAATGTCAATGCACCTATAAATCTTCTATAGTTTGGTTGGACAAATAAAGGTATAAGTGACATTATTTGGTAAAAAAACGTTAAAAGGAAAGTTAATTTTGGTGTAATGGTTGGAAGAATAAAGAATTCAATGTCACCAACAATACCACGAGTAGATGATTTCAATAACTCGTCATTTTCTAATAATTCAGGAACAAATTGAAATAGTCTTTGCAAAGGATATCTGGAGATTGGTATTCTCTTGTAAATTTGTATTAAAAACCTGTCAGCAAAGGAATATATTGCCCATACATTAGGAGCCCAGTATGCATGTGTAAGACCTCTACTAAATGGAAACAATCTGGATATCAAATTTGGACCCACTCCATAATATATGAATGGTAAGAAAGCTATTGTGAATACTGCAATTACAACAGATCCTAATTTCAAAAGATTTCCCCATTGAACAAAACTAATAAGATTAACGAATACATTTCTTTTCTTATTATAGTTCAATTTCAAGCAATATGCTCTAAGGAGAAAGACAAAAACAGCAGGTGCTAAGTATAAGTATATATGCTTAAAGCATAATAATACCGAAAACCAAAACCCGCACATTAAATAACGCTTTAATCTGGCACAATTGAGACAAAGTAATAAAATTCCATACATCATTCCATTGTATTGAAAATGCATATGATCAATTATAAGCAATCCTGGTGATAATGCTAGACTTCCCACTGCTACGTATGTTCTTCTTTTAGCTGGGAAATTTGGACTACTATCAATCATCCATTGAAGGGCATAAAACAAAACCAATTCACTGACAATGACTGTAAGCCTTTGAAAATAAACTGTGGGTAACCCATATTGACCTTTTTCGACTATGTCTAAACATCCATCCCTTTTAACGAAATCAGGAACCATTTGTGATAAAAACCATTCAAAATAAGCAAAAAAGGGTGGATAGTCTAAGGTCCATTGGGAAGTGTTTTCAACATACCATTTGGAAATAGGCAAGTTATGCGTTATAGCTAACCAATTTCGATGAACATCAAAGTCTGTGGAGTGATAACCAACCACTAATAGTGCCTTAAGAGTGAACGAAACAATCCAAATATTCTTGAGCGAATATGTCGACTCTCTCTTTTGGCTTATTGGTTGAACCTCTGGAAGTGGATCAGTCGTAGATAACTCTGGCTCCTTTGCGAACTTTAAGTTCAGAACAGAGGTGACCTTTGGTTTGGCCATTGGGAATAATCAAAATGCAGACAATTGAAGTAAACAACTTCAATTCAAGTTTTGGACAATCACAATATTTTTTTGGTGTTCGCGCAGGTAGACACATCACCGAAAATTAATCTTGGTGGGAAGACAATAATTTCATAGGCAAATTACATGAAATGTAAGAATGAAATTATCCACTATAACTCTTGGATTAGAAAAATCATACTTAATAGCATTTCAATTTTTTTTTTGGAATATGTAGAATGGTTTTCGTGTAGTATTAGTAAAAGGGTGATTCATGTATACTAACGTAACGGTCCTTATAACTATAATGATTATGAAGTATTCCCCACTACATTTAAATTTCAATCTAGAAGCAATTAAGTAATTAAGCAATTTTTGGGGTTACCTTTTTGAATTTTCATCTTTCATGTAGTTTTTCAAATAGTGCTTTGAATTGAACAAAATAAATGCAAGACTTGCAGTACTTTTTTTTTTGCAACCTTTTTATGCACTAGTGTTCTCACAAATTCTACGCCAAATTCTGTAGTCACATTTTGTGAGATTCGGGATCCAGAATTTATTCGAACTTGGAATATATATATATGTATAGAACTTATTGAAATTCTTCCAACTGTTCAGTTTAAGTCGAATACATATATTAAAAAAAAGAAGAAGAAAACAGTGATGGCATGGCCTTTAATAAGTTGCAAATAATCGTATTAATTATATCTCTGAGAATTACCTTATATATGTAAGTATATGCTGTAATAATTACATTTATTTGATCAACTTAAATATTATAATTGTTCAGTCTTTCCCTTTCCCCTTTGTTGAGCAAATTGATATCTTGCAATTTTTTACCAAAATTTTGCATAATTCAATAAACGTAAAAATATGGTTAAATTAGATAAGTGATATTTCTAATAGATTATAATTGACACTAGCTTACAATTTATGTATTTTAGATAAGGGTTGCTCCAATATTGATAAAATTATTAACCAAAAAAAAACTAAAAAGTTGATTTTGCCACTACGGTTATTTTAAATTTGAAAATCCAAAAAATAAATTAGGCCTGGCTAGCTCAATGGCTAGAGCGTTTGACTTTTAAGATCATTAGAACTTAAGGGGTATCAAAAGGTTGCGGGTTCGACCCCCGCGTCGGGCTTTCTTTTTTTTTATGAAAATTATTCACGCATAAAATTTGGTCTTCGAAAATTTTTTAGTTGTGTAAATAATGAACTGTCAACTTGAAGTTCCTTTCTTTTTTAATACATCTAACAAAGCCATGTCCAACGAAAAAGAAAAGAGGGTCGATGCTGATGCATCTGAATTGCTTGCTAGTCTTTCCATAGATGGAGCCAAGAAAGAAACCTCTACCAAGGAAGAAACTAAGAAAGCAACTGATGATGACAAGGCTGAAACAACCGACAAAAAGGTCGAAACTGAAAAAGAGAAACCAAAGAAGGAGGAAGAAGTAAAGATAGAAGATAAAGAAGAGAGTCCCAAAGAGTCCAATTTAATCAAGTCAAGCTATGAAGTCAAAGTTAAGTTGGCTGATTTACAAGCCGATCCTAATTCACCGTTGTATTCAGTTAAGTCATTTGAAGAATTAGGATTGTCTCCTGAGTTATTGAAAGGTTTATATGCAATGAAATTCAACAAGCCTTCCAAGATTCAAGAAAAGGCATTGCCATTGTTACTTTCCAATCCACCTGAAAACATGATTGGCCAATCTCAATCAGGTACCGGTAAAACCGGTGCATTTTCTTTAACCATGTTGTCTCGTGTTGATGAGTCCATTCCAGCAACTCAATGTATTTGTTTGGGACCAACCAGAGAATTAGCTAGACAAACATTGGAAGTTATCACCACAATGGGTAAATTCACCAAAATCACATCCCAATTGGTTGTTCCAGATTCTCTTGAAAGAGGGAAGGCAACTAACGCACATATTCTTGTTGGTACTCCTGGTATTGTTATTGATTTAATGAGAAGAAAGCTTATCAACACTTCCAAAGTCAAAGTATTTGTTTTAGATGAAGCTGATAATATGTTGGAAGCCCAAGGATTAGGTGATCAATGTCTTAGAGTTAAGAAGCAGTTGCCTAAATCATGTCAATTAGTTTTGTTTTCTGCTACTTTCCCAGATGAAGTCCGTGCATACGCTGAGAAATTTGTTCCTAATGCTAATTCCTTGGAATTGAAACATGAAGAATTAAATGTTGAAGGTATTAAACAGTTATATATGGATTGTTCCAGTGAAGAGCACAAGTTTCAGGTTTTGTGTGAGTTATACGGATTATTAACCATTGGATCTTCGATTATTTTCGTTGAAAGAAAAGCTACTGCTGATAAATTGTATATGAAGATGAAACAAGAAGGACACACGGTTTCTGTTTTACATGGTGGTTTAGAAAATGAATCCAGAGATAAATTAATTGATGACTTCCGTGAAGGTAGATCTAAAGTGTTGATCACCACTAATGTTTTGGCAAGAGGTATTGATATTGCGTCAGTTTCTATGGTTGTTAACTACGATTTACCAACCGATAAGAACGGCCAAGCTGACCCATCAACTTACTTGCACAGAATTGGAAGAACAGGTAGATTTGGTAGAGTTGGTGTCTCCATCTCTTTTGTACATGACAAGAGATCTTATGATATTTTGATGAAGATTAGAAACTATTTCGGTGGTATTGAAATGACTAGAGTTCCAACCGATGACTGGGACGAAGTTGAAAAGATTGTCAAGAAAGTCATAAAGAACTAGAGACACTACATGTTTATATAGGTTATAAAGAGCAGTTTATAAATCCTTTTACTGAAATAGAAAATTGTAATAGTATACGCGATGGGGTGTTTATTTTTTCTATTTACAAGTGAGTCGAGTGTATTAGAAGTTAGAAATAGCTTGTTTAGTTCTAGGTGGCAATCTTCTAGAGACAATTGACCAATCGATACATTCCCACAAGTTTTCCAAATATTTTTGCTTACCATAGACCCCATAATCAAGTAAGTAGTTTCTAGGGGAAGCATCAATAGCAAGGGCAGGAACAAACTTCTTGTCATGGAAAGCATGACCGTATTCAGCATCCTCTACAGAGCCTAACGATAATGGGTCAGAGGAGTCTTTAGATTCTTCCTTTTGTTGTTCTTCAGTCACTTCTTCTTGTTCTTCACTTTGTTCTTCCTCTTGTTCCATTTCTAATTGTTCTTGTGGTTTTTCTTCTCCTTTATTTTCAGCTTCTTTGTCTGACAAATATTTCTTGAATCTGCCCATTTGTCCAGATCTGTCGTCACCGTCGATGACACCTCCGTTATAAGTATTTACAAGGGCTAAGTTGTGGTAGAGGCCCTTATCTTCGTCGCTAAGGTAAGTTTTGCTCATGCTACTTTCAGCAACAAGCCAAACAACACCATCACCTTTAATTCCCATTGCTGAGTTAATTAACAAGTTTCTGAATTCTTGAACTGATCCAAAAGAATGCTCGATCCAACTAACTAACTCAGGATCCATGTTGGTTTCAATATCTTGATCACTAGGAGTTTCAAAAATCAGTTCACGATTGCTTTCTTGAATAGGAGATTCTTTACCTTCGGCCAATGTTGCAGGCTTGAGGGCGTCAAAGAAGAATTCCAAGCTATGTAAATGACTAGCATTCTTATTAATTTGGTACAAATTAGCGTTGTTCATGGTCTTGCTAATGATATGAGATAAGTCACCACGGAAATGCAAATCACCAGTAACTTGAGAAGCCTCCAAATTACGATTTAATTCATCAACTAAATGCTGTCCTCTTTCAAAGTACAATTCATTAATAGCTTTGTTAGAAAACAATCCTTCAAAAGGAGTATTGGCTTCCTTGATGGTTTCAAGGATTTTGTTTTCTGGTAATTCAAAGGTGGACAACAAACGACTTGAATTCAATAACTTAGTTGAAAGTCTTGGAACTACCCTTTTGGTGTTTGCTCTGCTCGCTATCCTGAACATATTGTCTCTCTTTGTTGCAATTTAACCTTTATACGTATATATTTCTGATTGAAAAATTTTATTCACCATTCAATTTTTTTGCTCCAAAAAAAAATAAAATCAATCACGTGATTTATATCTTTTGAATAAACTGGAACTACTTCATTACTAGGGCAACTACAAGGATCCCTCCTCCCCCTTGTTCAATGCCGTAAATTCCGAGCAACACGACCTAGATGAAGCGACAAAAAACGAGGTTATTCTACATTTAAAGCAACTAATAAAAAGCAATTACACTAACGAGTACACATAACTATAACTAAACAAACAAAGGTTTAAGAGTATTCTTAATTTCCTTTTCCTATCATTTCTTGTCTGGTTTTGGAAACCATTCCCTCTTCAACCTCCCCGAACCGCATGAACCATCTGCGCAAAGCTTAGATGGTTGTATAAATATTTCTTTGGCTATTTCCCAATGATGAAAATCAACCTTTCCTTAATTCCAATAAAGTCAGTATTTTGTACCTTATCTCAATTTTTTTTCTTCTTTCAATTTGACTCAATAAAGGATGATTTAAGCTGGGTACTTTAAACTTTCCAAGGAGGTTACCTTAAGCTGCCCAAAATATCAGCCTTGTCGACTAAAATCTTTTCCTAATTCACTGGTTCAACCCTTTTTCCTTAATCTTTGTACCAAGGATTTCTTTCTATTCAAACCACTCATTTGTTGTTCAGCTTCTTGTGCAGCTTTCTTTGGAGCAGGGGCTCCATCCACAAAAGTAGTTGATCCCAATCCAGCAGTAGTAGATCCATGAATAGGTTGAGCTTTAAGGTTCGAGTCAAAGTTAATGACAGATGGGTTTTGTTTTGCAGTGTAAATAGTTGACGATGGATCATCATGGACACGATTAGTCTTTAATCCAGCTGTCACTGGGCCATCATCTGACAAGCGACCAGTTCTCATAGTAGCGCCAGGTCGTCTAAATGTAGCATCATCACGGTCTGCATTATAGTTACCAAAGGCCAAATCCATTTGCTCATTTTTGTCAATGTTACCACCAGAACCTCCTATATAGTTATTTGGACCATCTACTGGGAAAGCCATCACTGGGGCAGCCTTGACATTCTTATTTCTGTGAGGAGCACATGCATCAAATGGACCATCATGATGGAATCCACCACCGAAGAATGCAGTGACATCCAATTTATCAATTGTGTCTAAATTCTTTGCCTTTACTGGTTCTGGAGTCTTTTTTGAAGGGGATTTCTTCCTGGATAATGATGAGCTAGCCTTAAGTGTACGAGATGATGGAGGTTGAGATTCTGGTTTTGCATCTTTTCTAGAATGGTGATGGGAACGGTGGCCCCTGGAACGTTCACGTCCATGGCCATTGGAATCAGAATGGGAACGGTGTGGTCTTGATGGAGGTGCTAAGTTGTTATCGTTAGATGAGCTCAGGGCCTTTTCTCTTCTGTATTCTCTTCTTGCAGCTTCACGACCAGCAGCTTCTTCATATGAAGGTGGTGGCAACAGGTCTGCTGGTGGTTTTGGAGGGCGTGCTGGTGGAGTATTACCACTACTGCCGCGTCTTGGTGGAGCAGGAGGTTCACGACGGTGAACGTACGAATCTGGCTCATTCAATGCCGAAGCAAACGGATTATTAGATTGCATTGTTCTATAGGTTTATTTCGTTAGTATCACGTAGTTTATCCAATGTCTATAGCCTTTCGTTAACAAAGATATCAATGAGGGTTGAATTTGAAACTGAAAAGAAACATAGCCAACAAAATTATTTTTTTGTAAAAAAGAGCAAGTCCGATAAACAAAAAAAAACTGATGCGGAATCCTGACGAACCACCACGACACCGAATGTTCCATAACTTTGTCGTTTCACATTTCTATTAATTGCTTACCATTCTAGGCTCGGTTTTTTTTTGTTGTTTAACTAGGGGATCAATGAATTTGTAGCTAGTTCAGGTGTGGACCACCGACAAGGCTAGTGCTTATGATTCTAAGCCGATGACAAAAAAAATCTAACGACATATTTTCTAAGGAACAAAATACCCCTCTTTGAAACCAAATCCAAATGTAAACACAAAAATTGATTATAGGTCAATTACGACAATATTATAAGATTAGTAGATTTTTTTTTTCAAGCTCGCTAGTTTCACAGGTTAATGGCCAAGATACTTACCAAGGAGTGTAGATTTCTTGGATCCTATATCCTACTAAGAAAACATTCCACACTGAAATATGTCGCAAATGCGCCAATTTCTGTTTGGTTGCGTATTCAATTTAGATGTAGAACCTCCAAATCCCGTCAAGTCGACCCCGGACATTCTCTTCCGCGAACTCTTCCAATCACTCAATTTGCGATTACTTCCCTTATCTATTTTTGTACAATGTTTCTAACTGGATGCGGCCACACTTTTTTTTTGGTAAGAAGGAGTATGCTTTTCTTTCCTGGTTACTGCCCCACTAATACAATTGTTTAAATAGATGATAACGAAAGACATATAAAAAACCTAAAATAAAAAGTTAATACATACCTGTTAGAATAGTGAATACTTGTATCACTATCTGCTCTTGTTGCTCTTGGGAATTGTGGTGGTCTAGGAGTTCCAGAAGTACTATTATTATGTGAAGTTAACGGGGTACCACCATTTGATTGATAAACATTTAATATATCATCATCTCTATTAATTGGAGCTTCATCTTCTTCTTCATCACTTGAAAGTGCCAACAAATCTTTATTCTTTTGAATCCAATTTTCAAAAGTAATTGAAGATTGTCCAAGTGAAGACTTCAGAGGAGAGCGGTTCTTGTTAGAATTGGATAGCAGTGAGCCACTATTCTGTGGTTGTACTGATCGTTGATCAATTTGATTTCTGAATGGGTTATTTGATGAAAACCTACGCAAAGAATCTGCGGAAGCGTAAGAATGATTTGGCTGTTGATACATTTGGTTGATATCTAGTTCAGGTCACTCTATAAATGTAATAATTCATCCAATATTTGATCGAGACAATTGCTTTTATATTTGCTTTGTTTCTTGTCACTATATGAATACTCTATCAATAGAAACCAAGGGGGGGTGTATGATGATTAATTCAGAGTTTTTTTTTTGACAACACGAAAAACAGTGGTAGAAAAAGTTTTTTTTTTTCCCAATCCAACAATTTTTTTTTTTGATTTACGTGTAGCAAGAAAAAGGACACCAAGAAAAATAAATAGAACTAAATCAATATTCTTTTAAAGTTGACAACCAGTTTCTCCTTTGTGTAAAACTACTCCGATCTCTTTTGTATTTGCGTAGTGACAATTAAATGTGAATTTCCAGAATTACAAAACAGAACAGCTTAGAATTTGTACATACACACACTGAATGTGACAGAAACACACAATTGTCTGTCAGTTTACACACTTTTACAATGAAGATTTTAATGAGATAGTTCTAGGAGAGGTCTACATAAATTTTAATCAGAGGAATTGTCTTTTAATGCGGCAATATACTCCACTATACAGCAGCGGAAGGTAAATTTATATCATATATTGCCTTTAGAGCTTTTATGATCCTATATTAAAAAAAAGTTAAATTTGCCGTCACCACTGACACCCTCCCCACACCACTAAAAATACTAGTAAGCGAGCCATTGTTTTAATCTGCCACATTTTCCATGCACCCCTTTTACTCTTTCAACATACCAAGAGTTACCCGAGTAAGTTTTTGGAAGTAGTGAACAATAGGGAGACACACAAAAGATGGTACAATGTCACCATATTCCCCCGTGGTTAATTTTTGATTCCCATGGATACGAGCCCAGGGCGGATCGTAGTGTTTTCCTTTATTATCTGTTGTCAACATGAAACATTTAGGGATCAAGGAAAGAAACTTGAATACACATGCAGTTGTATATACATATCGTTCCCAGTGTAGAATCTAGTTACCATAGAGATCCCCTTACCTGTTTGTATTGATTATTGCAAGTAATACGCGTCTTTTTCGTTATAAAATAATCTAAATATTTCCTGTTTGGGCCATCAGGGGTAATTACTTGCGGAAAAAAAAATCAGATCCCTTAATCGAAACAAAGGGGATCTCCTGTATACTAGCTTGTGATCTCAAAATAGACGATATTGGCTCCAAATTGGCCAGAGGACTCCTAGTCCACATCACAACATAAATTCAAATCCCTGCAGCACAGGGTCATACAATGGGACTAATGTTATCTAGGTGTTTTTAATTGCAACAACACATATGTTGTTCTTTCTAAATTCGGTATCAAAACCCAAAATTTTAACATCCTACAGGCCCTTTGATTTGCAAATTGATCTGGTTAGTTTGCTAGCTACCAAGTAGTACAGATATTAAGCTGTAAATTTAAATAAAAAGTCTATACAAAATAACCGAAGAAACAAGCGTAACCAATTTGAAAAACTTATAAATCAAATTTAATAAAAAAAATTGTCCCCAAAAAATGTAAATAGTAGAATGCTTCTAAAACAGGCTCCATGCCCAATCACTAGGAACTTCCCCTATCCCGGATGCCTTCCCCCTAAACCCCTCTTGCTTATTTGCACTATCAGTGTTTACTCTAAATCTGGTAGTGTTGCCAACGTACGGATTCTCCACACAAATAAACGGCAATTTCTTCAAATCATCGCGAGTTGAATTAGACAAGTATTTCCATTCCCCATCTTCTAACGACCTATTAATATCCTCCACCAACGCATTATAATCTATGTTACATTTCTTGCATACTTTAAAGGACTTGTATCCCTGAGATGGAATCTGATCAAGGTTCTTAAATACTGGAATCACAAATTGTGCCCGTGCGTCCAAGAGCGTAACCAGCTGATTATAGCTAGTTTCGTTATCTTGAACCAAACAATCTATACAGAAGATAAACCCGCAAAATCGGCAATGGTGTCGTTTGTTCGAAACATCATATATTAACGATAGCAAACTGTTACGGAATGGTTTGAAACAGGACATACAGTTCTTAGTAGTCGTATTTGATTTCCAGTGGGTATGAATGGGTTCGATATCTAATTCGACAGAGGATTCAGGAGCACTAACGGTATAAACTGTTTTAAGTGGCGGAGTTTCTATTTGCAGCCGCAGCACAGTTAATTGACTCGGTGTTTGTGATGATGATGTTGATGATTCTTCGTTTGTATAGGCTGGTCTCAATACAGCCGGTGTAAGCAATGGTTTTTTTAGTTCATAAACCTGATGTAGCGATCGAGGAGAGTTGTCTTTCAACTTGGGGAAACTTGACTGGTTTCGAAGTCGAGGCGGTTGTCGAGGTGCTGCTATAGGTGTCTTGTCATTCATTATTGCTCTTAGTTTATCCCGATTCATCTTGCGTTCGTAAATATAGTTATTTGCAGTGTATTGTTCCAATAACAACCCATCAGCTTCGTTGAGCTCACTACTCATTGGTCGCTCTTGTTTAGAAGGCAAAGAAAGCCTCCTCAAGGGTTTGGTCAAGTCGAACGTCGCAGGTTTATAATCGTTCTTTGAATTACAAGTAATCGTTTCGTTAGAACCCCCGGTGTTGCCCGAGTCAGCTGAAATGGTAGGTACAATTTCAAGCGAATTTCTCTTGGTATAGTAAGTAGTACTCATACGAGGAAACCTAATTTGGTCATTGTAGTCTACCTCAGGAGGCGGTGGTGGTGAAGGCTTTTTCTTGATGATTTGGTCTTTAGGCTCTGTTGCATATGACGAGAGAACACTTGGATCGCTAAATGATAGCGAAGATACTCTATGCTTGGGGGAATCTATTGGTCTTTTTGAAAACGAAAATGGAGGTAAGCTAGCTTCTGCTTCTTTACCTGGTGTAATTTTGGATAATGCATGAGACATAGGAGAAGTTAATGGGGTCGTTTGTGTAGTTTCGTTTGATGTTCCTGTTGATGTGGTAGCGGTGGTAGTATCTGATTTTGTCATTGCTGTCGAGTGGGATATTACAGTTCTTTGAGTCTGTGAGTCATTTGCATTGATGGAAGGATCGGAGGTATGTATATTATTGCTGGTGGCGGTGACAGACCTCAACGCAGAAGCGGCAGCAGAGGCTTTTGTACCAGACTCATGTCTGCTTACTAAGACAGGCTTTGCATAGGGCGATGAATTTAACAATTTTCCTGGAGTTAAAGTAACGGTTGAGGTATTTTTTGAAGTAGCACCGATATTATGTGTGGGGGTAATAGTGGTGTTTGTGTTCAGCGATGGAATGGGTGATAGAAGGACATTTGCATCCGCCATAATGTCTGGACTGTGACTAGCGCAAGGCTGTTTAGTTTGTTCAGATAGTAGGTAGGGGGGGGGGGGGGGGGGGGGTGTTAATAAAACTTCAGGAGGGGGAGGTTAATAATTGACACTAAATAAATGACAAAGTAATGAATTCTAATACTGAAGATAATAAATTAGCAATGTGTAGATAATGAACTCCTTTGCTAAACAGGAGATGGATCCAACCAAGAAAAAAAAAAAATAAAATGCTTAATCTTGAAATTAGCTCGTATGATCTGAGGTTAGGGGGTGGTGTGCAGCGTTTATATACAGTTTAACTAATTATTATATAAATAGAGGATATGTTCTTAGGTAATAAATTATTAAACCTAGCTATGTCTTGTTTATTTTGGAATACTATTGACATTGTCTTAGGGAGATTAAAAAAATAATAATTACTGATGTAGGAAATAATTCTGGTCTTTTCTAGCAGAAGGTACAGTCCATACAAAGGGAAATAAGCCTGGTACTTCCCACTAAGCAAATCCATCCGCCTCAAGAAATATTCTTCTTGTTGTCAGATACTTGTTTTTAGCCTTTGTGAATGCAAAAATTAATTGAGCACTTTGATAGATAAGAAACTTTATATACAGGATCATCATTGTTCTGATATGAAATGCGAATTTTTATTGGTCAAGGACTTTTTTTAGTCAAGGACTTTTTTAGTCAATTTTAAATTCAACCACAATAAACAGTAAATAATCTTTTCAGTTGCACCGAGGTTTTTCCATAAATATTGTCCTACAATAGCATTCTTAAGGAATTGTACAAGTAATTAGACTAGGAACTGAGAGGGAATTTGGCCAAAGTTTGTAAGTTAGAGCAAGAAAATATGGCATACTATTTTGCTTATGGCTTTTTTTTTTTGCAATCAAGCGTCCAGTATGCGCAGGCTCTTAAATCGTCTGATCGTCTTAAACCAACACCACGTAGCATAAAAAACATGCATATATCAAATAATGATGCTAAGGTAGTTTCCAGAATTAGGATGTAGTTAAACAGAAGAGGAGAAGGCTCTGTACTTATACCAAGCTTTCTATTTATTCATACAAACTAATCTAAGCTGAGGCACGGAGGTCCTGAAGAATAGACTTACTAACAACTTAATCGATATCGAATTTAAAAATGAAATAGCATAGGATAGCCAATGTGAATTTATAGGGCCGATAAATGCATTGTAGTCCCGAAGAGGTTAAAGAATGTTAAGTTGCAAATTTGATTTTGTTTTTCTGTTTTTAGCTTCCGATCTGATGTCCTTGCGAAAGGTATGATGTCATGACCACAAAAACCCCAGAATTGCGATGGGTTAATTCTAAATCACGCATTGTCTGAATAGGTTCTTAATGATTCTGAATTGATAAGTTTCTTCAATCAATTATACTTGAACATTTTGACTGTCAATTGAAGTTCATGTGTGGGCAATATTTTCTCGGAAGAAACTCCATATGTGTTGGAGAAGCTGGGTATCACTTCCAGTTTTTTTTATAACAAGTTCCACTCATTCTCTTATATAATGTAGGGTTTATCTCTATATTTTGCTTCCCAGGTAGTTGGGGAGGGGGCGGGGGGAGAATTCCGAAAGCGGTAAACAGAGAAACAGAAAAAAAAGAATAATACAACATAAAAAAAAGGAGGGGGTTGCTTCAACGCCATTAGTAAGTGACTAGTACGGTCTCATATAATGTAAAGTTACTAAGTTATATTGTATTAATGAACATTGGAAGTGGAAAATCGAACTAAATATAAAGCTATTAAATTTGTAACAAAATACGCCCGTGTAGTATAACTTTCAAAGATGAAATTCTTCAACCGAACCTGTGACCGTTTAATAGTTGTCACTTAATACAACGTACAAGGCATGTAAAATACCTGGGAACCAGAAGAAGATACAACAGATGATATTAATCCACAATGGAGTGGTTGTACCAACCTTCATGAAAACAGCTAAAGGAGGCAATAAAATGGCCAAGATAACACCGATAATTTTTTCAGAATCCATCTCTATTTTGTTTGCTTAACTGATATGGAAAACCTAATTTGAATAATAATTGATTGTTTTAAATTGATTAGGGATTAACTCAAACCGAAAAGGAATTCAATTGATTATATAGCAGTTGGAAAAAACAGAAGAATGAAGTGTATAACCGGAATCTTGGGAAAAGTAGATTGTGTTGGTTTTAAAAAAATGACCAAATTCGGTTCTAGGGCTTAGTTTTTCTGTCACGTTTGGGGATAAACTGTAAAAATTAGCGAAGTGCAGTTTATAATTATTTGACACTATATCCGATCTGCGGTTGGTAAGAACCCCAGAAAATCACTTCCAGTTGTTCCGAACATTGTGAGGTGTTATAGCTATCTCCGGCATGTTGACATCCCAGCTATGGCTTACTTGTGCGATTAAAAATATATTCTTTAAATTTATTTCTTACCTGATTATATCATCAAAAAAAAAATGCTTATTAATTAACGCCGACATTTATTCTGAAGGATATTGCAGCCGAAGGGTCATGATTAATCCCCACTCGGATGACTCGTTTGATTAAATATTATCTAAATTGTTGAGGATATGCTATCCTATCCAATATAAGTGTAGCATTTGTAATCCATTAGAACTCAGAACTATGCTACGATTACCTTCTCGTTCAATTCTAGGGAAATTTTGAATTGTAAAGAATTTTAGAATCTGGCAAATCTCAAATATTCAAAATAAAATTCGACAAGAATTTTGTTACACCAACTTCTGAACATTGTGGTTTAAAACTCACCTACAAACTTTTACCTAAAATGCTCTGATGTGTCAGGGGCGATGCAATAAGTATACTGCGTATTTCAATCTGAGATTTTTTGCAAAATAAGGTAAATCTATTATAGATGTAGTTATAAGTTCTAAACTGTTTTTATTATCCCCGACAAACTTACAATTTAGGTTCATACTTAAATTGATTTTCCAGTTGAGAGGATATTGTTCACATCATACCTTTGATTGAGTTGAAGATTCTCCAGATACGATACAAGAATCAAATGGTAGATAGTGATGATGCAAAAAAAAAAAATCTCCCGGGGGTGAGTCGAACACCCGATCTCAAGATTACTTTGAGGTACTCATTACAGTCTCGCGCTTTAAACCAACTAAGCTACCAGGAGCTGTTTTTGAAATTTTGCTATACATTTTAAAACTAGTCAAGACAAGATGGAGATTTTGCTAAATTCTCGTATAGTGGTTCCATATACTAAACAATACTACTATATAGTCTTTACATGTTGAGAGAAACTAGTGCTTCTGATTTTTAAGCCAAAAAAAGATAGTTTGTTCATTTTACTTAGCTTTAAAATTTTCTAAAACGTTGACCAAATTTTGAGAAAAATAAGAGATGAAATAAAGATTATCTACGTATATCATAAGTTATTTGATTTGACAATTGCTTTGTCATTTTACTAGATGAATATTGGAGGCATGAATAGTATTTGCAGATGCTCTAATGCTTATTTCGCAACTACATTTGTGCCGAGGAACTTATTTTTCACAACGAACAAAATGTTAATCTCGCGGTAAAACGCGGCACGAATTCGTGCCGCAAGATTTGCAATGTTTGAATTACTAAATCGAGATTTACGCTTGTTGGAACACTAAGGCAACTCAATCAGATAATAACTATCAAATAATTATAAAATTTTACTGAAAAAACCTCAAGAAAGTTCAGCATGATATCAATTGATTTGTAAAGAAACTCATTGTAGGAGAGATATGCTCTTGTAAATTGACACATTGTCATGTGCACAAGAGCTCCAGTTGGTTATACTCCATGTATTTTAATTTTTCGAAATTAGCGACCGCCCCGCCCCCTAAGGAAAATCGAAAGGTATTAGACACATTTCAAAACCTTGTTGGAAATGGACTTGGACCCCGCTACCAGAAAATTTCCTTTCCCATGGATAATACCACGAGGCAAAAAAAAAATCTACCGAGCATGTCAGGACGGGGGTTTACCCCACAAAACGTTTAACAAGGGTCAACAAGTATCTTCACACATTACAAGCAGTTACAGAAATAAGTTTACCGGAACACTTCGATCAAAGAGATTAGTCGAATCAAAAACCGATAGGGAGAAAATCCGAGTAAAAGTCGGTATACTATTGTATTTTTTGAACGGTGTGGGGATTACTAACTTTACTTCCTCGCTTCCCCACCCTTTGACATTTTTTTCCAAAATACTAAAAATTAATACAATATAAATAAATCGAGAATTCCTGCTCAGTCGCTTGTATGTAGTTCTTGCTTTTCTTTTTCCCTCTCCTTTTCAAATCTATTTTCTTATAGATCTTACTTTTTCAATCAAAAATGGCTGCTGCACCAAAGATTAAGCTTATCGACAAACCTAAACAAAAGGACCCTGACACTAGAGCAAAAGTTGTTCGTGGAACCATCAGCAATGTTGAACCACCTAACCCTGCTGGTGAGGTTGAAAAAGAAAGAGCTCGCACCAATTGGGATCACAAGGAGATGCATGAATTCTTGGAAGGTAACAAGGAAAAATCTGATGAAGTCTTAGGTCTTTACCGTTCAATTGAACGTGACACTACTTTGCAAACAAGTATGGAACATTATGACTATACTCAAGAAGAAGAACGTATTCTTGTCACTAAAAGAATTGAAAAGATGAGTAAATACATTGAAACTGAACCAACCAAAAAGTTCTTCAGAAGATTACAATTGATGACTGTTATTGACCCTTCCTTGGGTATTAGAATGTTGGTCAACTTGGGTTTGTTTTTGAACTGTATCAGAGGTAATGGTACCGACAAACAATATGAATTCTGGGCCAAACATAAAGAAGCTGGTAAAGTCAAGCAAATGTATGGTTGTTTTGGTATGACAGAATTAGGTCATGGTTCTAATGTGGCTGGTTGCGAAACTACTGCCACCTTTGACGAAGAAACTGACTCTTTTATTATTGACACTCCTCATATTGGTGCTACTAAATGGTGGATTGGTGGTGCTGCTTATTCAGCCACCCATACCGTTTGTTATGCTAGATTAATTGTCAAGGGGGTTGATTATGGTGTCAAGACCTTTATTGTTCCATTAAGAGACTCTTTACACAACTTATTACCAGGTATTGCTATTGGTGATATTGGTGCTAAGATGGGAAGACAAGGGGTTGACAATGGTTGGATTCAATTCACTGAAGTTAAGGTTCCAAGATTCTTTATGTTACAAAGATGGTGTAAAGTTGATCGTCGTGGTAATGTTACTTTGCCACCTTTGGAGCAATTATCTTATATTTCTCTTTTGGATGGTAGAGTTGGAATGGCCACTGATTCCTATAGAATTGGTGCTAGATTCACTACTATTGCCTTGAGATATGCTGTTGGTAGAAGACAATTCAAGAGTGAAGGTGCCAAGGAAGAAACCAAGTTAATTGACTATCCTTTACATCAAAGAAGATTATTGCCATTATTGGCATTGACTTACGTTGCTGCTGTTGGTACCTACAGGTTAGAACTTCAACAAAGTGACCTTTTGGCTAATTTAGATAAAGCTCTTGCTAACAAGGACAAATTGTTATTGAAGCAATCCATCAGCGGTACCAAATCATTATTTGTGGACTCTGGTTCCTTAAAGTCTACTTTAACTTGGTTAGCTGCTGATTTGGTCAATGAATGTAGACAAGCTTGTGGTGGACATGGTTATTCTGCTTACAATGGATTTGGTAAGACCATCAATGATTGGGCTGTTCAATGTACTTGGGAAGGTGACAATAATGTTTTAGCTATGTCTACTGGTAAGACCATAATTAAAACTGTACAACAAATTTTGAGTGGGAAGAAATTGAAGGATTCTACGTTAGAATTCCTTAACGATGCACCTGCTTTGTACAAGGCTAAGAAGGCTGTTATTAGAAAGGCTGACCACGTCGATGATATTGATCGTGTCTTGAAGGCAATTGCTTCTCTTATCGTGAAGATTTCAGTCGATTTAATTCCAATTTCAAACACTTCTTGGGATTCAATTGGTCCTCAAAGAGTGATTTTATCCAAATTGAGATGTCACTACTACATGTTGGAAACCTTCAAAGAGAAGTTGGAAAACCAAATTGGTGCCAATTCTCCACTTAGACCACAGTTGGAAAATATCATGAAATTGTACTTGGTTTCCAATATCTTGAGTCCATTCATTGATGAATTCTTGAAGAATGGTGTCATCTCTCCTGCAGTTGCTAAGTATCTCACCATTGAATATCCACAAACTTTGTGCAGTGAAGTTAGACCTTATGTGATTGGGTTAACTGATTCCTTCCAACAACCAGATAATTTTATCCATTCATTGATTGGTAAGTATAATGGTGATATATACTCAAACTATTTAGGTGCAATTAAGGACATTCATGACCCAGCCAACCATAAAGCTCCATATTCTGAGGATTTGGAGGCGATGTTGGCTAGACCTTCATTGGTTGCAAGGGAAAGACACGAAAAAACCGCTGAAGTGGGTTCAATCTTGTCCAAATAGGTTCTGTTTATGTTTAAAATTATTTATATATATATAATACAAATTATGAACATGAAAATGATCTTCTACAAGCAATTTCTTATACCCAAAATGATGTAATTTGAACAACTTAGAATTGTAAATCCGGCAATCCAAACAACCCTCTCAATAAATGTCTTTTCATTTAGTGTCCCATATGGAACTGAAGTTGTGTTATTCCCCCAATTCCAATAAATAATAATATCAACATATATACACCAGGCCAACATGAATGCCACCGTTATAGTTACAGAAATCGTGGCACTTCCTTGCGGATGACTATCTAGAATAAGGAGGTACAAATAGGGTATCGCATGAAGCCTAATCGCTAACCAAAGACTCCGCTCATAGCTCTTAACCCCTAAAAGCTTCGCTGACCAGTACCCCATTGTAACTTGGAATCCCAAGTTGCTAGCTAGCGGATAAATGTATTTCACGTTCCAATTAGAACTAGCGTTTTGACTGAGGATAATATATGTTATTGTGACCGCAAGCGACAATAACGTAAGGAATTCAAAGGCCCCACCGCCTTTCTCTAACTGTGGCCAAGTTGTTGATTCGTAAAGTGCGCTGATGCATAAACACAAGACAATTAAACTCACAAGTCCCTTCCGAGACATATTTCCAAGAGCACCATGGGATGGTAGGTTTATTTTTGGTTTCCACGGATAATTGGTATTTGGTAGATCATATGTGGGGCAAGGCAAGGAGGGGGGGGGAGATTGTTCTAATTTTTTTTTACCCCACGTCTCACCTTACTCCATTTCGGATTACACTATATCTGGACATGCGCGGCACAAAATATTGCTGCGAATTATCAATTGCATCCATCCTCAAAGTAAAACCTCTTTTACTGGAAACAAACTACACTAATATCACTTAATCAATTTTAAATTCATTATCTGAAATCACATATAAAAACATAAATATACTCATAAAAGTAGCAAACCCTTAGTGAAATTTCTTATCTAGATAAGATTTCACCAGTTTCAACAGTCTTTTCAAATCTTTCTCTTTCTTCAATAGATGGTCTATTCAACATGGCTTCTAAAGCACCAGAGTAAGGAGCCTTAGTGTTAGAAGGCTTGTTCAAGGTCTTGACAGTGCCAAAGTAGTTTTCGTAAATGTCACCATCATACTTACCAAGAACAGAGTTGACAAGCATATCAGATTGTTGGAAGGAATCAGTAAGGGCAACGACATGTGGTCTGACTTCTTTACACAATTGTGGAATTTGATTGGAGGTCAAAGCAGCCATAACACTTGGAGAAACAACATTGAAGGTCAAGAAGATACCAGCAAATCTTTCCAAAACCATAGTAGCAGCATATAATCTACCCAAAGAAACCAAGTATGGAATCAAATCCTTTTCTTCAAATCTTTCAAGTCTGACAACATATTCATTCAACAAGTAGTGGTGTGCCTTCAACTTAGACAAGGTAACTAATTCAGCACCAACATAGTCAAGCGAGTTCTTTCTAGCAGTGGTAGCAGCTTGGTGAGCCAATCTGATGATGGCAATTTCAACAGCCTTAGCGACCTTCTTGAGATCATTCAAGTCAGCAACATTGTCCAAGATAACATTTGTAGCATTAGAACCAGTATATTGCTTCAAATTGTTCAAGAAACTAGAACTTCCTTTAACAACCTTACCATCATCTTCAATAGCAAGAACGTGCTTAACCAATGGCTTACCGATGTTAACACCCAAGATATTGTTATCACCTTCCCAAGTACATTGAACAACGAAATCATTGTAAGCTTTACCGAAACCACTGTAAGCGGAGTAACCATGTCCACCACAAGCTTGTCTACATTGGTCAATAGCTTCAGCAGCTAACCAAGTACAGGTAGATTTCAAGGAACCAGAGTCGATAAATAAGGACTTCATGGCATCAATAGACTTCATAATAGCTTCATCATCATTTTGGTCAACAGCGTCATCCAAGTCAGATAAGGTTTCGTCAATAGTTTGTTCAATTCTAACTGCACCAGTAGCAAAGACGTAAGCAGCAGCCAAGTAAGGTAACAATCTCTTTTGATGTAATGGGTAGTCCAATAATTGAGTTTCAAGTGCATTTTCATCATCAGGGTCAACATTGTCACCCTTAAATTGTCTTCTACCAATGGCGTATCTCAAGGCAATAGTGGACATTCTGGCAATCATTCTGTATGAATCCAAAACCATCATAACTCTACCACCTAATAAAGCAGAGTAAGATAATTGTTCCAATGGTGGCAAGATAACCTTACCTTCTCTGGAGACTTTACAGAACTTTTGCAACATAAAGAATCTTGGAATTCTAACATTGGAGAATTGAATCCAACCGTTATCAATACCATCTCTACCCATCTTGGAACCAATATCACCAACAGAGATACCTGGCATAAGGTCGTGGTTCGAGTCTCTTAATGGAACAACAAAAGTCTTGACACCGTAATCTTCACCATCAACAATTAATCTAGCGTAACAAGTGGTGTGAGTAGCAGAATGAGCAGCACCTCCAATCCACCATTTGGTGGCACCAATATGTGGAGTGTTAATAACAAATTCATCGGTATCTTTGTCGAAAGTAGCAGTGGTTTCAAGACCCAGGACATTTGAACCGTGGGCCAATTCGGTCATACCAAAACAACCGTAAATACCCTTGATATGGGCAGTTTCCTTATCTAAAGCCCAGTATTTCAATTGCTCGTAAGTACCGTTACCTCTAACACAGGAAATAAATAAACCCAAGTTAACACCGATTCTAGTAGCAACTTGAGGGTCAAAAAGACCAATCAAAGACAATCTCTTGTTGAAAGTATCAATGGAATCACCTTCCAAATATCTGGAGACACGGTTGATCTTGACAGCAGTCAAAGCTCTTTGTTGGTCCTTGGTCAAATCATAGTAAGAGGCATCAGTAAACAAGACTGGATCTCTTTCCATTTGTTGCATCAAGGACTTCAATTCTTCAGCTCTTTCCTTAGAACCTTCCAAGAAGTAGTGCATCTTGACAGGATCAAACTTGGAGTTTGCTCTTTCATTTTGAATCAGAGTCTTTGGGTCTGGACCTTGGGATATGTTGACAGTATTTGTTGCGATAGCCATTGTAGGGAAATACTAATTTATGTTTTGGATATATAAAAAACTAGTAATGAAAGAAGAAAAGAGGAAAGCTAGAAAAATGCTTAGTGGGGAATAGCCAGGATATTTATATTTTAGTGTCCGAAATTATCACAAGTTAAATTTTTCGGGTCAATTTTTTATTTATTTCCCGCTCTGTGTCTCCCCCACAAAAAAAAGAGAGATTTGATATTTTTGGGGAGACCTAGCTACAAGCGGAATGAACGCAAAAGTTTTAGATTTCCAGAGGTGACAATCACACCTCAACTAACAGTACATGGTTGAATATAGTCTGGAAGTATTATTACTGTCCTAATGTACTTGCTAAGGCGTTAGGAGGTATATTACGCAGAGTAAGTTTGGCTTACATTATGCTGTGTTTTCGTTTTTTTTTTTTTACATGTGCTTCGAGAACGGAGAATTTAGTGGGGATATAGAGGAGGGGGAAAAGTCCCACGGAGAATAAAAAAAGTCGGAACATTTTTTTTCCACAATGTAAACGTTAGAAGCATTTTGCATCGGAAACTGACACTGACTAGTAGAAACATATGAAAAAAAATTATACATAATAGGAAATATAATTCATTATTTCATGTCATTGTACGAAATTTTGGGGAATTTAGCGTTAGGATATGCATGAGAAATTATGCCGAGGTTTGCAGTTCTGGCTACCGAGGTGCAAAAAAAAGAAAAAAAAAGTCCGGAGTTAAAGGAGCCGCACACAAAAAATACCAATATTGTTGGTTTTTGCTCGTGAAGCACGGGACAAGGTTTGTCTTCTCTTCCCCCATGTACATTTATCAGGCCATAAAATGACAAAGGACAAGCGAATCGAACCAAGATGAGCCGAATAATTACAACGAAAAAGGGGGCTGTTTGCATGTCCCAACAAAACGTGGCCCTATCAGCAGAAAGATAAAGGCAGAATCCATAAACAATTCCCAGTGAGATTCGGTATCGAACTTTTATCTACAATTATACCCATCGCGTGAACATACAGTGTAGCTTCTTATCTGTCAAATTGATGTGTTTTGCACCATTTTTGCACCATTTTTGCGTTTGTCTTTGAAAATTTTAAAGTTTGAACTATATTTGTTTCAGTTGCAACTATTCCACAAAATGGAAATGTCAAATTATGGAAATTAGCAACCTTATTTGGCTATTAAAGAAATCTCCTGATATTCCCATCTAGGCAGTTGCATTAACTTTATGTGTACATTACGTAATGTTTTTACCCCACAAATTTCCCATGAAAAAAAAAAAATCCGCCCTAGCAAATACGACTACGAAAGTTTTGTGTGTAATCTAAAGAAAGCAGCTCTCTCATGAACCACGAATAGTCACTGATACGAAGCTATTACGATTGTAGTATTCGCTACCAGTTCTAATTGGTAAGACTACAAATATGCTGTAGCTCCTAACGTCTTTCTGTAGTAAGTAAGCAAGTTTCACAAACTTAACATGTGATTTTTTTTTCCTGGTTTTGACATAGGAGATCTGTCCGCGGTCACAAGAACAACCAAAAACTATCTAAGGTATAATTTAGTTATATCGATTAAGCTGCTTTGTGTAATGATCCCATGAGAAGTTTGAGGGAAAATAAACGCTAACTATACTAAGACGATGGATTTAAAAGTTGCATAAAGTTGCTTGTAATTCCCCAACAAGTACCACGAGAAACCAATTTTCATTATTTTGTCACTTTTTTTGCAATCTGAATCTAAAAATAAAAAATTTCCTTTATTGTTTTTATACGATTGAATCTGTTACCTAAATAGTTTGACACTGTAGTATGAAGAATTGACAGCATGTCTAATTTCCTTTCACACCATAACTTAGGACGGAGTACACCAGCTGCTGGTGATCTTACGACCATACCTAATGAACTTACACTATGTCTTTAATACTATCAATTACTAGAGTGTATATAGTTTCTCAATTGTATTCACTGTCATTAATTCATAATCCCAAATCTCTACATCTTAGCAAGCATTTTTCACAAAGAATAATATTGTATTAAAATATGTACAGGAATCCCATAATTAAACTATCCCCAATAATAAACACTACAGCTTAAAGTAACTAAATGTAGCCACCTTAATAGACGTCTTATTTGCTTATAATTGTGGAACCAACATATCCATCAATGGAGATTGGATGAATAAAACACCGAGACCGAATAAGACGGCTTGAGTACCAACAATGAAGGCAGGAGTACTTTTGATCTTTTGGAAAGTGGATTCTTCCTTAGGAGGAGCTTGGGTTGGGAATCTACCAGACATGTTTATTGATTAGCTTGATTGATGTTAAGATTAAACTACTAAATTGTCCATTACCAATTTTTTTTTGACCTTCAAAAAAATTTTCCATTTTGACCCAAGTCACGTGAATAAAAGTCACGTTGTCGTGATAATCAGACAAAAAGTTTTTGGAAAATTTGTGTTGCCATCGTGTAAACATCTTCCCGTCTATCCCATCATTAATTAGAGAAATGGCATCAACATCTGTTGACGTGGAGTTAGGAGTCACTCCAGAAACAACTTATTCTATTGCAGGAAAGCAAATCAAGTTTAATGCCGAATCTGATATTGAAAAATATGTCAAGGAATTAATAGCTCAAAAGAATGTTGCAAAGATTGATTTCTCAGGAAATACCATTGGTATCGAAGCGTCCAAGGCTTTAAGTGAAGCCTTATTGGCCCACAAAGATACTATTGTTGAAGTCAACTTTTCTGATTTGTACACTGGTAGATTAAACACTGAAATTCCTCAATCTTTGGAATACTTGTTGCCAGCTTTATTGAAATTACCTAACTTGAAGTTGATTAACCTTAGTGACAATGCTTTTGGTTTACAAACTATTGATCCAATTGAAGACTACTTAGCTAAGGCTATTTCTATTGAACATTTGATCTTGTCAAACAACGGTATGGGTCCATTTGCCGGTGCCAGAATTGGTGGATCACTTTTCAAATTAGCCCAAGCTAAGAAACTTGCAGGTAAGCCTTCTTTAAAGACATTTATTTGTGGTAGAAACAGATTGGAAAACGGATCCATCAACTATTTAGCTGTTGGATTAAGAAACCATCAAGATTTAGAAGTTGTTAGATTGTATCAAAATGGTATTAGACCAGCTGGTATTTCCAAATTGATTGAAAAGGGGTTGTCTAACAACAAGAAATTGAAAGTGCTTGATCTTCAAGATAACACAATTACCACTAATGGTGCTATCAAGTTGGCCGAAACTTTATCTTCCTGGAACGATTTAGTTGAGTTAAACCTCAATGATTCTTTATTGAAGAACAAGGGCTCATTGAAGTTGGTCGAAGCTTTACATACTGGTGATGCAAAGAAGAACTTGTTGACTTTGAAGTTACAATACAATGAATTAGAAGTTGACAGTTTAAGAATTTTGGCTGATGCCATTGCATCCAAATTACCCAATTTGAAGTTTTTGGAATTGAATGGTAACAGATTCGAAGAAGACTCTGAACATATCGAAGCTATCAATGAAATATTCGAAGAAAGGGGATTCGGTGAATTAGATGAATTGGATGAATTGGAAGAACTTGACAGTGACGAAGAAGAAGAAGATGAAGATGAAGAAGAAGACACCTTGGAAGAAGATCTCGACTTGGATGCCTTAGAACAAGAGTTGGCTGGTGTCAGTCTTGAAGAAAAGGATTCCAGTGTTGACCTTATTGCTGATGAGTTATCAAAGGCTCACATTAAATAGATTTATAATATTATTGTACATTCATAGATTAGTACGAGGCTGATCAGATGGTCTAGATTCTGCGCGCAATATTTTTCTAGTATTTTTTTTTACAACACGTCTGAATCGTTTACTTCAGGTTAGGAATTAACATCCCCCCTCTCTCCCTACATGTCCAGTCTTTATAAGCTTTCAATCAAGGGTATACGTGCTTTTGAGCCTGAGAATGAAGAAACAATTCAATTTGGGTTTCCCTTGACTTTGATTTGTGGACAAAATGGAACAGGTAAGACTACCATCATTGAATGTTTAAAATATGCAACCACGGGTGATTTACCACCAAACTCCAAAGGTGGTGCTTTTGTTCACGACCCCAGTCTTTCAGGACGTTCCAACGTAAGTGGTCAGATCAAATTGGCGTTTAGAAACGTCAATGGTAAGAGCATGATCACTACTAGAACCGTGCAACTTAGCAAGAAGCAAAGCCGGGGTTCAGCAGCAGCAACGCTAACTTTCAAGACCATGGAAGGGCAATTGACATTAATTGAAAAGGGGGACAAGATAAGCATATCTACTAAGAACTCAGAATTGGATGCCCAGACTCCGATATATCTAGGTGCCTCCAGATCAATTTTGGATTATGTGATTTTCTGTCACCAGGATGAAAGTTTATGGCCCTTGAGTGAAGCATCGGTTTTGAAGAAAAGATTTGATGATATTTTTGAAGCTTCTAAGTTCACCAAGGTTTTAGATAATTTAAAGAATATCAAAAAGGAAATGGCCACCGATATCAAATTGATTGAGCAAAGTGTCCAACATTTGAAGATTGACAAGGATAGAGCACAACGTGTTCAAGACAAGTTGGTAAGCATGAACGACTCAGTAGACACGTTTACTGGAGAAATAGCCGATCTTAACATTAAGATTGAGCAAAAGGAAAAGGAAGCTGAGCAATTGTTTGTTTCCAATCAGGAATTTCAAAAGACTTTAAGTGATTATGAAAATTTATTGATGAAGAAGAAATCATTAGAAGAACAGATTGAAAGAATAAAATCAGCAATTGAACTTTTGTCTGACTCTGACGAAGAGCTAATGGACAAAAAGGACAATTTCGCGGCTATTACTGAAGAAAACAAAAACAAGATCCAAGAGTTGCAACAGACACAAGCAGTCTTGAATAGCGAATTAAAGGACAAGAGCAATGACTATAACACATTAATCAGACTTGATGGTTCTTTACGAGCCAAGAAGTCGGAATATGAAGATAATATAGAAAAGATTTCTGACTTGATAGCCACCAATGCAGAAATGTTAGGAATAGAACTTTCAGGAGAAACAAATGATGATATTACCGTTTTTGGTTCTGAAATTGACCGTAGACTCAAGTCCTTGCTTAAAGACGAAAAGAAGTTGCTTGCAGATAATAAAGCGATTGACTCAGAAAAGCAAGCTCAAGTGCAAGAGATATTGACATCAATCTCAAGAGAGGAACAACATCAAGAGTATGCTACTGCCGATTGGAACTCAAACAATTACAAACTCACAACTTTGAAGAGAAGATTTGAATCTTTGGATAATGATGAATCAGTATTGGATTCCAGAAAACGGGAACTAGCAGATGCCACCAAGAAGTTGGACGAGAAGAAAGCTTCGAACGAGATTAAAGATCTTGACGAAAAGATTGAAAAATCGAATTTCGAAATATCAAAGTTGGATATTGAATTGGAAGAATTATCAAAGAAGGTATTACTCAGTAACAAACAATCAGAGTTGAGATCAAAAGTTAACTTTTTGCAAGAAAGCATCAAAACAAAAAATGCCTCAATTGAAAAATTAATTAAATCTACAGAATATGGCTATCAAAAGTTATTAGGAAAGAAAGTTGATGTTAATTTAGGTGAAACTGTATTGAATGAAAAAATTTCAGATCTAGAGACAGCTTTGGAAGAACGTCAAAGGCTGGTGATAAAATTATCTGGAGAAGTTGAAACTAATAAGGCAATGATTGAATCTAACCGGAAAGCAGAGCTTGAGAATATAAAGAAAACGAATAATCTCAAGGAGAGAATAACGAAGGTGATTGAGGAAGAGGAAATCGACAACTACGAAAATCTTGTTGAAGAGTTAGAAGAGAACTATAGAAATGTAATGGAAGATGTAAATACGTCAGAGGTAACCAAGCATTTCAATGTAACTGCAATCTCCATTGCTGAGAAAAACAACCAATGTCTATTATGTAAGAGATCATTCGAAGCGGATTCTCTTCAAAAGTTCATAGCCGAACTTAAACTAACAGTCGATGAAAAGAAGATAAAAGCAATCCATAATCAGTCTGTCGAAATCAAGAAAGAGCTTGATGATGTGAAAGCAATCAACTTGGATATAATTAACTTACGAGAATGCCAGAAACAAATTGAAACATTCAAAAGCATTAAGAAGGAATTACAAGAAAAAGAATCTTTGTTATTGGAGCAGTTACAACAAGCAAAAGTAGAATTGCAAACTCAGCAAAGTTCCTTGGATGTTGGTCTCAACTTGAGAAGACCTATTTCAGAAATAGTCCGCTTAAATACAGAAGTGAACGATACAGAAATGCAAGTTGATGAATTATCTGAAGAACTTAATGATTTTGGAACTGTTGTTTTATCTTACAGTGAATTGCAAGCTCTCCAACAAGAAAAGAACAGCTTAATGAAGGAAGAACGTCTAAAAGTTAACAATTACACCGAATCCAAATACGTAGCCCAAAGGGAACTACAACGTTTAGAAAATAGAGTAAAAGATATCAGATTACAGATAAGTAAGCTTGAAACTTCATTATCTGAAATTAAAAACATCAAAGATTCAATTACCGAAACTGAAGCTAATCTTGAAAAACTCGAAAAGAATATCGATCAAAGTAAAATAACCTTGAATGAGTTAAATTCAATCAAGGCTGAACGTATCACAACATTGAAACAGGTTCAAGAAGAACATCACCATGCTGAAAAAATGATACATAATGACGTGGAAAAAGTTCTGAGGTTATCTTCATCATTTAAAGTTCTTCAAGAAGCTATTTTCACATTTGAAAATCATGACCTGGTTAAATTGGAAGAGAATACATCAAAGATGCAACAAGTATCAAGTGAGATTGACACGTTGAAGGACACAATCGAAGAAAATTTGAGTAGTGTAAGTGCTTTAGAAAAACAAGTTTATGAATCTTCGCGTATCGAACATAATATTATTGCAAATATTGATTATCGAGCACAACTAAGAAAACTCGAACAGGCCGAATTCGAAATCAATGGTATTGATATTGAAAACGCTCAGAACAGGAAGGAGGAATACCAAGAGAAATCGAGGAAATTAAGACAGGAAATAACCAATTTGACGTCCCAACACGCCGGTAAAATCGGAGAAGTCAAACAAATTAAAGATCAAATTAAAGGATTGCATAAAGAGCTTGAAACAGAATATAAGAACGTCAATCAAGCATACCACGAAGAATGGATTAAATTACAAACAAATATGTTGGTATCAAACGATATCCAAAATTATTCTAAAGCTCTTGACAATGCCATCATGAAATACCACAGTATTAAAATGGAAGATATCAATAGAATCTTGGGTGAATTATGGTCGCAAACTTATAAAGGTTCCGATATATCCACTATTGCTATCAAGAGTGATGTAAATTTACAAGCAAAGGGTAATCGTTCTTACAATTATCGTGTAGTCATGGTTAAGAATGCAAGTGAATTGGATATGAGAGGGAGATGTTCGGCAGGTCAAAAAGTTCTTGCTAGTATTCTTATTAGATTAGCATTGGCTGAATGTTTCGGTGCAAACTGTGGTATGATAGCCTTGGATGAACCAACAACAAACTTGGATCTGGAGAATTCTGAGTCATTAGCAGAAGCTTTGAATCATATTATAGAATATAGAAAGGCTCAACTGAACTTTCAATTAATTGTTATTACCCATGATGAAAAGTTCTTGACTCACATACGCGGTGATAGATTTACTGATCATTTCTACAGAATACAAAGAGATGAAGGAAATAAATCAAGAATATATAGTTTACCTATTGGAAGAATCCAAGATTCTTAGTGAACTGACTTTGATTATACATCATTTACATCATTTATACACTTTAACAGGGAATTGATCACTTCTACGTCATTTTCTACTTTCAATTGCGCAATTAGCTTATCTTTATTTCTCCATAAATGTTCCAAGTACCTTTCTAATTTATGTCGCTTTTGAGGGACTCTATTGACTGACCGTATTTTAACATTGACAGTAACTGTTATTGGTACTTTGCTAGAAAAGAATTCTAGTAGGGTTGGTGGTCGAAACAGAATTTGCTGAGAATCCTCCCTGACATATAAAATAGTTATGTCATAAAGATTTGAATATGGTTGAGGTTTTATATCAGCAAGGGCAGTAATAACATTGAAGAATCCAGAGAATCTGGGATAAAGTAAATGAGTGAACTGAGGAAGAAAGTATTTTTCACTTAATTGTCGTTGTAAACCTGCTCCTTCTCTGGTCCAAATGTTAACTTCTGGGAATAGAACTATCCATTGCGAGTTTTTACTTTTCAATAATCTTGAGAATACAAAATCCACCGACTTTTGGTCTATTTCCCAGTTCTCGTCACATTTCAACATATGAAGCAAGATCTTGATAGTTGGAACTCGCCAAACAAGAAACCACGAGAAGAAATTAACCACTGGTAACGTTATCTCTGATGTGGATGAAGCCATGGGATTAGAATCCCCTAATATAGATACTCTTGCAAGATAATGTATAATGAAGTAATCGGCCAATGATGTGTGATTGCTTAAAATTATTGCTGGATTTGAAACCAAAGGATCTCCAATTAACCTAAATTGAACATTATTTATCCGCTAATTATGATGTTAGTACCAATGTATAACAATAAACCAGACACATAGAAAACATACAAGTAAATAAAGGGCAACATCCCAAAAGAAGTTTCCAAAGTTTATCCTTAGCAGATTTGCTGTTTCTGGCACTAGAGCAGACAACCCCATGCAACTAATTGCAATTATTTGATAGATAAGGATTAAATATAACAAGATAGCTAAACAGCATAATCCTTTAGTCCAACTAACCAAATTTCTCAAAGATATTTCCTGTCTGATGGGAATACCCAAATGATCCAAAAGTTCCATGTTTAACCTGGTTAGTGTTTGTTCTTGGTATTAACCGCTGATGAAATCCATGAAATAATTTTTTGCAGTCAACATTTATTGATATCGTGCGGCTCAGTCTTTTTATTTTTATTTTTATTTTTTTTTTTTTTCTTTTTCCTTTTTTTTCTTTAGATTTATAAACGCATCGCACTTTAACAAATACTTTTTATTATTACAACCGATTTACATTCCACTATTGCCAGCGATGTCTCGTCTTATAGTAAAGGGTCTTCCTAAATATTACACCGAAGACAAATTAAGGGAGTATTTCTCCAAACAAGGGGATGTGACCGATGTCAAATTAATGAAAAAGAGAAATGGGGAATCAAGAAGATTTGCATTCATTGGGTATAAATCAACTGAAGATGCAGAACAAGCTGCCAGATTTTTCAATAGGTCGTTCATAGACACTGCCAGAATAGATGTTGAATTGGCCAAGACATTCTCTGATCCAAACGTCCCACTTTCGTTTAAGGAAAAGAGAAGACGTGATGAGGATAGATTGAGAATGGAAGAAGAAAGATTAATCGAACAGGAAAACAGAGCTCAAATGAAAAGACAAAAAGTCAAGGGGGTTTCAGAAATTGATGAAGAAATTTCAAAGAACCCTAAGTTAAGAGAATATATGGAGGTCATGAAACCTTCCCATCAAGTCAAATCATGGGCCAATGATTCTATTGCTGATGGTTCTGGAGGACCATCCGTGAAGGACTTGGAGGATGCCTTGAATGGAAAAAATGAAACAAAATCTACTGTTGATGAACACGAAGTTCTTCAAGTAGAAGATGCTGGTAGTGATGACGAATACACTGATTTCAACACCAACAGGAATAATGAAGAAGAAGAAGAGGAGGAAGAGCAAATGATGAGTTTAGCCGACTTGAATGACGAGCAAGGTAAAGAACAAACCCAAGAAGAAGAGAACTTGGCTGCAAATGAAGATGTGTCTGATTTGGATTGGTTGAAATCACGTAGAATACGTATAAAAGAAAACGAACAAGAAGATTCCAATAACGAACAGCAAGAACAAACAGAAGAACCATCTGAAGAACCAAAGAAACAACCAAGAATGCAAGCCCCTGTGGTTCCACAAAAATCTCCAGAAGAGCAAACAGTGGAGAAATTGCAAGAAACAGGAAGATTATTTATTAGAAATATCTTGTATGACTCCACTGAAAACGATTTCAGAAACTTATTTGAGCCTTATGGAACTCTTGAAGAAGTTCACATTGCTATAGATACAAGAACTGGAAAATCCAAAGGTTTTGTCTATGTTCAATTTGCCAATCCTGAAGATGCAGTAAGGGCATATAAATCTTTGGATAAACAGATTTTCCAAGGGAGATTGTTGCATATTTTGGCCGGTGACAAGAAGAAAGATCATAGACTAAGTGAATTTGATTTGAAGAACTTACCTTTGAAGAAACAACGTGATTTGAAAAAGAAAGCACAAGCTGCTAAAACTCAATTTAGTTGGAACTCGTTATATATGAACAATGATGCCGTTTTGGAATCTGTTGCTTCCAAATTAGGTTTAACTAAAGCACAATTAATTGACCCTCAAAGTTCAAGTTCTGCAGTCAAACAAGCCTTAGCAGAAGCCCACGTTATTGGAGATGTAAGGAAATATTTCGAAGATAGAGGAATTGATTTAACTACTTTTGACAGAAAGGAAAGAGATGATAAAATCATTCTTGTCAAAAACTTCCCATTTGGTACCACTATTGAAGAACTCGGTAACTTATTTAGTGAATACGGTCAGATAAAGAGAATGTTGATGCCTCCAGCTGGGACCATAGCAATTGTTGAATTCAGAGATGCTCCAAGTGCAAGAGCAGCTTTTGCGAAATTAGCTTACAGAAGATTCAAAACCAGTATCATTTATTTAGAAAAGGGACCAAAGGACTTATTCCTTCGTGAACCTAAGCCAGAAGAGAATATCAGTGTTCCTGAGATCGAACAATCCACTGCTGTCGAAGCTAAGGTTACCGCCCATGAAATTTTGGGTGAAGAACCTGCCAACAATGAGGATGTTATTGAGGGTCCAACCGTGGCTATATTCGTGAAGAACTTAAACTTCTCAACCACAGTAGAAGCCTTGTCTGCTTTGTTCAAACCATTACCAGGATTCGTTATTGCTACAGTAAAAACCAAACCAGACCCGAAGAAACCTGGAAATACATTAAGTATGGGGTTCGGTTTTGTTGAGTTTAAAACCAAGGAATTTGCCAATGCTGCTATCTCCAACTTGGATGGTCATATCTTGGACGGTCACAAATTACAATTGAAATTGTCACACAAGCAAGGTGGATCCAATGCTGCTGCTGCTGCCAAGAAATCCAACAAGTCTAGTAAGCTAATCATTAAGAACTTGCCATTCGAAGCTACTAGAAAGGATCTTTTGGAATTGTTCGGAGCATTTGGACAATTGAAATCTGTTAGGGTTCCAAAGAAATTCGACCTGTCTGCTCGTGGTTTTGCCTTTGTTGAATTCAATTTGATGAAGGAAGCAGAAAACGCCATGAATCAATTAGAAGGGGTCCATTTACTTGGAAGAAGATTGGTTATGCAATACGCCGAACAAGATGCCGAGGATGCCGAAGCGGAAATAGAGAAGATGACCAAGAAGGTCAAGAGACAAGTTGCCACACAAAACTTAGCTGCTGCTAGATTGGCCGGTAAGGGTAAGATTGAGTTAGAAGAGAAACCAGACGAGTTTGAAAGTTTTTAATGTTTTCGGTATAGATCATATATAGAGAAAAATACAAGAAAAAAAAAAATAAAATAAAAAAAAAATAAAAATAGACAACCAGATATTACTCTCTTACTGTAAGTACACCACGAACTTATGTTGTCTCCGTTCACAAGGCAATTCAGTACCGGTTTACGAACCAATCTCTTCTTTAGCAATGCTAACTTACTGTCAGCTAGATATGCAAAAGGTTTGCAAAAAACTATAACCCCAAGAGTACCAATACTAAAGTCAGCGTTTGGACCAAACTTCAACCGTCAATTCACCTACTTTAAGAAGACAATCATACTGCAAGTCAACGGTAATGGAATCAGAAGAAGCACTACATGGAATAACTACAATAAATACCATAATAGGTCAAATTGGGATAGATTGAAGAAACCTTTCATATTCACAGTCGCATTTTCAGTGGCAACCACTGTAGTTACTCCCTACTTATTTGACTACACACCTATGAAGTACTTCAAAAGAAATCCTAGGGCTCTTGTCTGGTCTATTGTGGCATTGAATGCTGTAGTTTTCTTAATGTGGAAGGTTCCTCTGCTCCAAAGATACACCATGCAATACGGAATCATGTTTAAAGACAACCTTCAATCAGTGTGGACAATGTTGGGCTCAGCATTTTCTCATCAAAGCTTTGGCCATATATTAGTTAACATGTTTGCCCTTCAATCGTTTGGTACTACATTATGTGCTGTCCTAGGAGTTGCCAATTTCACCATTCTTTATCTTAATTCTGCCGTGATTTCGTCGTTTGCAGCGTTAGCCATTCCAACGCTTATGCGTTCATCACTATCATTTGCCTCGTTGGGTGCATCTGGGGCAGTTTTCAGTGTGTTTGCTGCATTCTCATATCTTATCCCTAAGGCTCCAATTGCCCTTTTCTTCTTCCCAATTCCTGGAGGTGCATGGATGTTGTTTTTGGGTACGTTTGCATGGAACGTAGCTGGTGTTGTCTTACGATGGGGTGTTTACGATTACGCAGCTCACATTGGTGGAAGTTTAGTAGGCCTCGCCTACGCTTATTGGTATAATATAAAGAGAAAAGAAGAACTTCGTAGAAGACAAATAAGATGGTTTTAGTTTGTAAATAGAAATAAATTTTACTTTGTATATATAATCTATGCAAATGACACACTCTTCTTTTTCTTCTTGTCCTTGACTGGTTCATCAGCTTTTTCAGTCTCTTCTTCAGCCTTTCTTGCCTTGGCGTTCTTTCTTCTATTAGAACGGGCAAGAGATGCATTACTTCTTAATTCGCTCTTCTTTCCTTCCAACTTGTCTACCTTTTGTTGCTCTTTTCTTTCCAACTCCTTTCTCTTCAACTCTCGTATTTCTTCCAAACGTCTTGATTTTTCTAACTTACTTTCATTTACTTGATCATACTTATCGTTAATAGACTTTACCAATAGGTTCAAAGTCAAACTATCGTTATCTTCAACAAACTTCTTACCCTTCTTTCCCCTCTTGGCCTTAACACCAGGAATAATAGCCTTATTCAAAGTAGGTATGTCTAATTGATCTTCTCTATATTCTTTACCACTCTTAGCGCCATATAATCTTAACTTGGCCTGTTGCTTCTTTACCTTTTGTTTGCTCAATTTCTTTACCTTTGACTTAGGAGTTAAATTAGGTTGGTTTGCCAATAAGTTTTTGGCAGCAGAATCAGAAAACACTTCCGATTCAATGGATCGAGTCTTATTTTGACTTTTATTCCTTTTAGCTGTTTGTGATTGTCTGGGAGCCATATTTGATCTATACTAATGTAGTTAATTATTGTTTTTATACAAATCAAACAAAAAAAAATTATAGAAGAGATGCCTTAATGAGTTATGGAAAAAAATACATTTTTGAAGAAAAATTGCAAAAAAAACAAATTCCGATACCGGGAGTCGAACCCGGGTCTGCTCGGTGAAAGCGAACCGTGCTAGCCGTTACACTATATCGGATATTTCTTACTGAAAACTATTTCATTTTTAAAGAGGTCTGCTTTAGCGCATGTGACTTTTTTTATAATTAGTTTTACATGGTTTCCCCACAGAAACCAACTCAGGCTGAATCCTTCTTATTCATGTTCAACATTTATAATCAATGACTACAAGTTCAAGAAAGGCTTGGGATTTTTGATTGGCAGTGTTCCGAATAATATTCGTGCCGTTGCCGTACCGATATTGTATCCTATAGGCAAGTTTTAAATACTAAGATGTACTCCAAGTATTAGTAAATGCTCAGATATCGTTCCATATCACCTGCACGTTAGTTGGGTGGGTGAAGTTTTCAAGAATATGCAATCCAATAGCCGTGCCACCTATACTATTGTTTGCATGAAAAATTCAAATATCGGCACATGAACTTTGTATATCTTCCATTTCTTTGGAATATGATTTCAAAATATAGATCCACATAGTATATTTCTTCGTTGGACTTGGTATCATAACTAGAATTAGAAGAATACACAAAATCTAAATTATACTCACCATTATAACTGTACTCTCCATCAAAAAAAAGCCACAAGCCATGTTGTCCTCAAAATAAGAATAACACTGCGAGTCAGAATCATACTCAGAATAGGAATCTTTCTATAAGCTATATTCCTAACATGATTTTTCAACGTATTCTGGATACTCATAATTTCTGTATGCATGTAGGATTTCTCTCACATCGTTTATATTTTCAAACTTTTGATAGTTGTGTCTGCCATAGCTACGTGCCTATTCTTGACAGACATACCAGTCATAGCATATTTCAAGCACATGGTCTTCTACTACGGCATAAAAATGCATTTTTGATCATGAACTTAGGTGGCTAACTATTTGATGCTAATGATACACAAAAATAATGATTAAATATGCAAAAATATGAACAAAAAATCTTTGCAGAAAAAAATATTCGTAAATCTAGTTGCTACTAAATTCATCATTATAGTTCCAAATTGGCCAGATGAAAAGATAAAATTTAATAAAAGGGATAGAATTACAGAAAAGTCATAGATCCCCTGTGGTGACAGTAAATTAAAATTGTATATCCTGAAACAAAACTATCTGTTTAAATATCTTTCAATCTTATCTGTGCCGACATTGTTCCATTTATCTGCCTCATCATTTCCATGATGATCGCTATAACCGAGTACATGATACACATCAACTTCAGACCAATTTCTCTCATCATATATATATATATATATCATTAATGTCATCCACGAGGTCAGATTTTCTCTCGATTAAATCGGTAATTTGCAACTGGGGTGCCTTTGGCAGTGATCCTCCCCCTCGTCGTCTCTCCATTTTTTCAATCTATTTATACTCTCAGTTTATAACATAAGTGGAATCAGTATAAATTCTTGCTCTGCAAGTGTCATCTCCATTGTTTATATCGTCAAGAACTCCCTACTAGGAATATATTAATGAGTGTAATTCTGCCCGTTGGCTAGTTGACTTAGTGGGAATTTTTATTGGTATGTAATCCAGTAGCCACGTTATGGTTGTCCTTCCTACCGTAATAGACACCAGTTCCTACAGTTTGGTTTTCGTACATACCACTTCCTCGACAAATATCATCCACATAGACATATCCATAGTATATTTCCTAGTCTTAACCTGAACCTCAACCTAAACCTGTGACCATGTCACCGTCAGCCTCGTCCAAACTAGGATAATAGCATGAGTTGCCCACGTATTGTGGGAAATTATTATTTCCACTGTTGTATAAATAGTCTGTAGGGTTATTTAGGGTTTCAAACCTTCTATAGTCGTGTCCACTCTAACCATTTGATTGGTCTTAACATTCATCTCGATCATCATAATTCCCAGTGTAATTTTCATTTGCGGCTGCGTAATAGGGAATATTTGAACAAACGAAATCTTGATTATTTGGTCAAAAGAACTGTTTTAGAAATTCCCCATGCAATATATATATATATATATATATATATATATATATAAATTGAATAAAGATGGGTTGATTCAATTGACTTAGGTTATTCTAAACCCAAGATTGTCTAGGTGCTCAGAAGGACCAATATACAATAGTTCGAATAGGAATATTTATTTCTTATAGAAAGCATTTCAAATTTAAATTAAGGTTACTAAATTGTTCTAAATAGTCGAATGGGTATATATTTGTTGTAATACCTTTTTATGATGTTGCAATCACGAAATAACCAAACTGAAATTATAAGGTGGAAATAAAGCTTGTGACTGATTCTACGAGATCTGGTATTGCGTTGTTAGTGGACCCGTCTCCTAAATCATGTAGTCCCCCTTCAAGTACCTTGCTGTAAGGACTCCAGTATTGATCAGCAGTAGCCAGTTTCCAAGTATCAATTAACTTTTGTTTATCAACATATGCCGGAACAAATTGGTCGTTACCAGAATATAACACAAGGATGGGTTTGTCAACCTTACCAAATGACTCCTTGTAGTCCTCTGCAGTCAAATAAGAAGAAAAATAATCATCATCTCCTCTTTCGCTAGCTAAAGAGTAGAACCTATAAGCAGTTATAGGAGTATTGAACAGTATTTTACGGTATTTCTCGGGTAAAAGTTCTTTTTCTCTTCCTTGGGATATGTAGTTATCGTAGACATTTTGAACCAACTTTTCGAATTCCGTCACGTCACGACCATGTCTAAATGCCTCTCTGTCTGATACTGGGGCTTGTAGAATACCCCCTTGGATTTCTCCATGTTTCAGATGTTTCGATTGAGTTAAGTATTTTATTGTGTCTTGACAACCAGTTGAATGACCCATCAACACAACTTTCTTTCGATTTCCCCCTTTATCGGATCGGAAATACTTGATTGCTTGCTCTAATTGCCGAACATCGCGTTCAAGAGACGATGTACCCCAGCCTGAATAGGCCGAAGACAATAGCACTTGGACCAAACTCCATGATTCACCGTCTAGGGATTTGAATTGGGTTGACGCAGCATGTGATAGTTCTGGAAGATAAGGGACATTCAAAAGCCCGTTGCCGAGCCCACCAACAAATAAGAGTATATTAGAAGCCAATTTCCCTTCCGACGTAAATTCAAATGCAGTTAAATTGAATCCATATGTATGGACAATCCCGTATTGGGGTGTAACTGAGCTTAATGACATGGTACTAAGACGCGATCGTCTGTTTGATACTGTGATCTGTCTCAAAGGGGGCTTTTTCGCAGTCTCGCACTTTTTTAACTTAGCCCTGGGTAATTAGATAATATTGCAGGGGCACATCCAAACATCAACATTAACCTTAAACGAACATTTCCAACTCAAACATCAAGGATTACAAAGACGAAGGGTAAACATTCTACAAATCGAGTTAGGGGCCCAAAAATTCTATCCAAATTGATTCCAAATCGATCATGACGTCTCCTATGTCTAATGAATCATTCCTCCAGTGGGATGCAGCTCAGGTTTCCCGATTTATGCAATCAATTTTGCAAGCTGAAAATACAGAAATAGGCGAGGTTTTCCTTGATAATAACATAGATGGTTCCTTACTACCTTTTATCACAACCGATCATCTAAAGGAGATTGGAATAAATTCCTTACGTGCGCGGTTGGTAATCAAGAAGGCTATTAACGAATTGATTATGTCTAACCACCAGAAACACCCACCAAAGTCAATGAATGATCTTGAACATAAATTACATCATGTCAACATTAACAGTAATTATACAACAATGGAATCATTAAAGTTATCCATGGTATTGATGAAAGAGATGTTGAAAAAGCTCAATTTGGAAATGCATATAAATGGTAGTAGTTCTGTTGCAAATTTGCAAACTCAAGACGAGATAAAACGGTTGACTGATAATCATACAAGAATGAAGAATGAATTGAATCAAGTTCTTAAATTAATAAAGGATGTCAAACCTTTACCCACACCTACCCTTGATCCTGGTCCTTCTTCCAATTTGGCCGATTCTCCCGGATATTTGTCATATTTGGGAGATACGGAACACCATCATGAGCGGGGGACACTATCGACATCCGATTCAAGTGACAATTCACACCCATCACCAACAGTATCATCGATACAACGGGATTCAACAGCTGTGACTAGCCCAACTTATTCCAACAGATTCTCCCAAGGATCTGTGTTGTCTATGGGCACAGGGAAAATAGTATCACAAACAGTTCCAAAATATCCCGAACCAAAATTGTCTTCAGATTTCACTTTGCAAAAGGTAAATGTTCCTTCTAATTCTAATTCTAGTTTCCTTCCTTCTGGCACTACTAGCTCGGGTAGTACTGTTGGTAGATTGGATACTTTAAAGGGGGATAATTCATCCACATTCCGACCAAGATTGGGCAAGACTGGATCTTCGTCAGGCGCAACGACTACTTTGAACAACCCGGGACTAGTACCTAATATTCCAAGTTCTTCATTGTCAAAGCAATCATTGCAACTGAGTGGTCCAATTACTGGAAATTCGGTCCCACCAAGACCCCTGCGGCAATCGAGTTCTAGCTCCGGGAATGAGCCTCTTAAACAGTTACGGGCATCAACTGATGACTCGTGCTTAAAGATTCTTCAACATGCAATGAAACGACATCACATCCCCCAAGAAGACTGGTCCAAATACGTTTTAGTTATTTGTTATGGAGACAAGGAACGAATCTTAAAATTGGCTGAGAAACCTGTTGTTATATTTAAAGAGTTGAAAGAGTTAGGTAAACACCCTGCAATTATGCTTCGACAATTGGCGGATACTAAAGCTGAACAGGAAAGTGGTCTTTATAACGATTCAAGAATTGGATCCGATATCCCTGGAGGAATTTTATAGCATAGATAACGTATTTATTAATTATATGGCAATGTCAATAGGTCTGCAACCCTAACAATAAATGTCTACACGTGATTGCAATTTTCAATTGATTCACGTGACATGAAAACTATGCAGTACAAGCCTGTTTCTTTTTTTTTCACCGCACTTGCTTCTGGCTCACTAACCAAAGCTGCTTCGCACGGTCAGAAAGAGAAAAAAAAATTTCCAACTGGATTTAACATCAAAAGAATACTTCTTGTTTTTGCTTTATAGACCAGATAGTAGAATACATTCAATATGCCTCCAAAATTCGATCCTTCTGAAGTTAAGTTCCTTTACTTAAGAGCCGTCGGTGGTGAAGTCGGTGCTTCTTCCGCTTTAGCTCCAAAGATTGGTCCATTAGGTTTATCCCCAAAGAAGGTTGGTGAAGATATCGCCAAGGCCACCAAAGACTTCAAGGGTATTAAAGTCACTGTCCAATTGAGAATCCAAAACAGACAAGCTACTGCTTCTGTTGTTCCATCTGCTTCCTCTTTGGTTATCACTGCCTTAAAGGAACCAGTTAGAGACAGAAAGAAGGAAAAGAATGTCAAGCACTCTGGTAACATTCCATTAGAAGAAATCTATGACATTGCCAGACAAATGAGAGAAAAGTCTTTCGGTAAGACCTTAGCTTCCGTTGCCAAGGAAATCTTAGGTACTGCTCAATCTGTTGGTTGTCGTGTTAACGGTCAAAACCCACATGATATCATTGATGCCATTAACGCTGGTGAAATTGATGTTCCAGAAAATTAAAATTTTTTATGTACAAATGTGTTTTAATAGGGTTTAATTGATATTTAACGTTTCCGAAAAAAAAATTGACAAATGAAGTGTGAACTCGAATGAATGTTGGCACTATTCCTTAATCTTGAGGACGGTGTTGACCCAATTTTAGATTCATACTTGTAATTCCTCTGAAGAAGAGAATGAAATGAGAAGAAGTTGTGGATTGTTGTGTGTGTTTTATTCATTGTGATTGAAATTTTCTTAACCTCTGCATGTTTGCCAACACTCTGGTGCCATATCATCCTTTGCTATTTATAGCTTAGAATGCCATATTTGGTTCCTATTTTGGTGCAAACTAGAATATTTTTAGCTGACTACTCACCATTATACTCCTTTTTCCACTATGGGTATGATCAGGTCCATTTCATTAGCTTACATCTTAACTATCACAATGAAGAAAAAAAATAATACACTCAATACACAACAACAGAAAGGTTCAATAGTTCCCTTTCTGTCCTTCAAAGTTTCAATCTTACGTAGTATTCGTAATATTAGGTCAGCTCCCGAGGCAGCCACATATTTTTTTCGCGCTGATTTCTCACGTGCGGAATCGCTTCCCTCTCTCACACCCCCTCCTTCCCTCTTGCCGATTAAGCTTTGATTTTGGGGACGGAAAAAACAGATTCCACCAAAACAACACAACAACACTGATATCAATACAAGTGATTGACCTGTTTGTTGGCTTGAAAGTAACCATTCGCCATTCTTTAAAGTTGTATCAATCCAAGGCTTGAAACTGTGAAACAAAAATACAACCACATTACACAGAACATGTCTGATAGCATTGGTAAGTACTAAACCCCACCTTTTGCTGTAAAGTGAATTTACTAACTAGTCCACCTAGACCGAGTTTTTGTCAAGGCAATCTCAACGGTGAGAGCGTTGTCATCTCGATCCAACCATGGATCGTTACCTCGTCCTCCTGCTGAAAACAGAATTAAACTTTATGGGTTGTATAAACAAGCAACCGATGGAGATGTAGAGGGGATTATGCCTAGACCAATCGGTTTTACTCCTGAGGATGAAGGGGCAAAGAAGAAATGGGACGCATGGAAGCGAGAAGGTGGTATAAGCAAAACAGAAGCAAAGAGAAGGTATATCGCGTATTTAATAGACACAATGAGAGTTTATGCTAGTGGAACAGTTGAAGCGCGAGAATTGTTAAATGAATTAGAATATCTTTGGGATCAAATTAAAGATGTTCAAGTTAGTTCTGATGATGAAATGAGACACCATAATATTCCTTTGCCTTCCAGGTCTCCTCTGTTTATTCAAGGTGACCGATATTCTGCACATACGCCTAGTATTGCTGGAAGACCGGTAGACCAATTTCGTTCTAACTTGGAGAAAATATACTCTCATTCAAGACGCAACACTATGGTATCATTGAATGACTATATCAACCGTCAGGAGCCTGGTGCTGTTGGAGGTTCTCAGCGGTTAGGTGGTGGACCTGAAGCTGGGCCAGGTTCCGTCTATTCCATGCCTCTTGTGGACAGAGTTTCCCGGAAAGGTCCTGGAGGAAATACAAATATTAGTAATGAAGTAATTGACGATTTCAGAGCATGGCAAGGAGAGGTTAATTTGATAATAAACAAACTTACAAAAGAATTTGTTAGCAGTAGAAGAGAAGGTCGAGCAAGTAACACTCCTGAATATGATGAGCCACTTGATTCTAACGAAATCATGAAACGAAAGATAATTCATATCTTAAAAGTAATTGGAATAAATGCATTGAAAATTATAAAGAATTTCTCAATGAGTTTACTTGCCATATTGTTTGTTATTTGGTGTTTCAAAAGGAATGTAGTAGTGGAAAGAACAGTTGTTACTCAGCCTGGTAATAACAACAGGCAAAAGAAAGAATTGGTGATCAATATGGTTTTGAATACTGCTGAAAACAAGTGGTTTATTAGATTGTTAAATCTTATCAACAGTTTTGTCGGGTTTGTATAATCATGAAAAGTTGCATTAGCCATGGAAAACTATTCAAGCTACTTATTTTATAGTAAATACCACCAAAATAGTACATAGATAGTACATAGATAGACGATCTGATGTATCTTACTTTACTTTGCTCTTTGGCTGTAAAAATAATCCTCACATTTTGCGGCTCGATAATTGCTGCTCGCAGGAAAAATTTTGAGATGAGTTTCACGGTTTTTTTTTTCAGTACCAATTAAGTAAAACCTTACTTTCACTAGTATAATAGGCAGCTAAAGTTGAAAGATAGTCCAAGATGAATATTCATAGGTGTCGTTTCGTGGATTATACCCCACATACCATTACTGCCACTGCATTTTCCCATACATCATCTTTGAGCAAGCCACCATCGACTGATTTACGACTTGCAGTAGGTCGTAGTAACGGAGATATAGAAATATGGAATCCTAGATATAATTGGACTCACGAGCTTACATTACCTGGGTCCAAAGACAGATCGATCGAAGGATTATGTTGGGCTATGGAATCGGAAGATAACTCCGAATCCTTAAGATTGTTTTCCATTGGTGGATCTACATATATAACCGAGTGGGACCTCGCTACCGGAAAGCCATTAACCAATTACGACTGTAATGCCGGGATAATATGGTCTATTGATATCAGTGCTGATAACGAAAAGCTAGCAGTTGGATGTGACGATGGATCAGTTGTCATTGTCGATATTTCCGGTGGAAAGGGTTCTTTGGAATATGACCTTATTTGTCAAAGACAAGATGCTCGTGTTTTGAGTATTAAGTGGGTGGATAATAGTACTATAATAGGTGGGTGTGCTGATGGGAGAATAAGATCCTGGAGCGCACTGCAAGAAACTAAAGGACGAATCATGGCTACTATGAGAGTTGATAAATCTAAAACTGAAAGTACCTTGGTATGGAGTCTTACCATCTTACCTAATAAACGACAATTTGCCAGTGGTGATTCTACTGGATCTGTTAAGATCTGGGACTTGGACCATTATTCATTATTACAAAGTTTTAAAGTGCACGAAGCCGATGTATTGTCCTTGGTTCACGATGTCAATCAAGAAAAGTTATTCTCAGCTGGTGTTGATAGAAAAATCCATCAGTTTGACTTGACAAGCACAAAATCAACCTCGAAGTGGGTTCACAGTTTTAATAGATTATTGCATTCTAATGATATAAGATCAATGTCGATCTTTGAAAACAAGGGATATAGTTTCTTGATCAGTGGTGGGGTTGAACGAGCAATCGTAATCCAAGATGTTCAACTGTTCCATGATGGGAAATATAAAAAGTTGTTGATTAACCAACAAAAATCCAATGTTATTGTTAATGAGAACAAAAGACTTATTTTCATGTGGCAAGATCAAACAGTTAAGATTTGGAGGGCAAGTAGCGAAGATAGTGAAAAGCCTAAATTGGTTTGTAAATTGTCTTTATCCGATGATGAAAACATTACCAGCATTGACTTTAATGAAGGATCCAACTTGTTAGCTGTTTCTAAAATGACTTCAGTTACGATATTCCAATTAGAAGAATCTAAATCCAAGTTAAAAGTTCATAAAATTAGAGACGAAAACTTTGTTTCATTAGTTGAAGGGGCCAAATTAGTAAAGTTCATTTCTGCTACAAAGTTCTTGGTTTTAACTTCCGATGAAGAATTGTACAAGTTTGAAATTAACGTTGAAGAAGAAAAGATAGAGTTGGAAGATGAAATAGAATTAATTGCAAATAAGCAAGGAAAGCTACCATATGCAGCCTGTATCAAGAATTTAATTGTTACTCCAAATGGTGACAATTTAATTATTTCTAGATTCAATGGGTCCATTGAAATATATCCATTGGGTGAAGGAGAAGCTTATGTTTTAACCAAATTGTCAAATAACCCTCATTTAATTGCTTGTTCTGATAATGATAAATTGCTTGTTCTTTCTGAAGATAATAAAATTCTCGAATTCTTTATTAAGCAAGATAGCACCAGTTTATTGACTCCATGGTCAAGAAGAAATAGTGAGTTTTTACCACAACAATTCACCACTTTGGAAGACAAAGCTCAAGGCATGTTTGTCAAGGATGAAAAAGTTTGGATTTTTGGATCCACTTGGGTTGCTTATTTCGATTTAACTATGAACATTCCAATAGGTAAAGCCTACAAGAACGCCAACAATTCCAAGAAAAGAACAAGAACCGGGTTATCAATTAATGAAGACGAATTTGAAAATGATATGGAAGAATCAGTAGATATTTTAGAAACATCATTAAAACAAAGTGAAATTGACCGTCTAAGACAGCAAATACAAGATGACGAACAACAACCAAATGGATCGGCTACATCTAATAGAAAACCATTTTTCGTTACTGAAAAATATAGACCAATAATGAAGGTTGCTGATTGTGGAACAAACGAAATCATGGTTATCGAACGTCCATATTTTGCATTACCAAGTACTCCTGCTTTCAACCTACCAAAATTGAAAATCTAGATAGTTTTATTATAGATTTTGTGTATAAAAATAGTAACAGAGATTGGAATCTATCAAAAATCATAAGGATCAACCTTGGGGACAACTCGAGCTCCTTGGAAGAATACTCTTGCGGCAGCTCCACCTCCCATTAAACATTTTTGTGGATTGCCATCACCATCCTTATCTTCATCTTTCAATGACCATTCCTTTTGGTTACCAAAATGCTTAACATATTTGGTGTCATACACTTCTTTATAAGTTCTGTTTGGTTCAAAGCTCTGGATATACATACCATCTCTAGGATCTTTCATAAACTCATAAAACATAATTAAATGCCTTTGGATCTCATCGTGGATCCGGTCGCCCATACTTTGGGGCACTTCTGGTATATACAACAAATAATCAGCAAGCCCTTCAATCAATAATTGTTCAAAATAAGATCCATCCCTCCAATATCTTTTCGAATCGTCGTAGTCTCTATCATAAAAGAATACTCCTCTGTTTATTCCCGCTTCTGCCAATTCGTCAGCAATCTGTTTCCAATGGGAGTCACGAGTCACATAGTACAAATTTGCAGCAGCTGAAAGCGTGGTACCTAAATTATAAGTCCACTTCATTGTGTTTACATTGACTTCTGTATCTTGCACACCATCCATAATTAACTTGTCACTAGGATCTTGCAACACTTTTATTTGCCAGTCAATGCACTTGGCAGCAAAATCGATGTACATCTTTGCCTCTTGAGGGATAAACTTGGCAATTTGTAAACAAGCCTTGGCAACTTCGGCAGTAGTACAAGCATTCAAGTAATGGTTAGTTAAATGCCAGCACATTCCACCTTTGGTTCTAGCGTCTGGGTTGTTGTTCCAACCAGTCATTAAGAAATGAACCAATTCACGACCTTGATCTAAGTATAATTTGTTCCCTGTAACTTCATAAGCAGTGATCATACAACTTGCAACCTGCGCATCGTCATCGTAGTAAATGTCCTTATCATCCCCTGCATTTTCGGCGGCTGAATATCCACGAATTTTGGGGTTCTTGTATTTCTGGAAAATTTGAATTGCTGGATCAATCAATGGTTTCAACTCGTTGAAGAGTCTTGCTCCATCTACTACTGCCTGGACAGCAACTGCCACTGACCAAATGACAAACTTATGGTCATCATAACATCCATTACATTTCTTCTTGGCCCAGAAAGTGCGTTCGTGGTTATTGTAAAACTCTCTCCAGAACCCGCAGACGATATTGTATGCTTCCCTGTTAGGATCTCTTAATTGCGCAGCCATATGTGTGTCAGCCAAATTTTTGTGTTGCCAATTTTGGAATTGAGGTGTTGTAAAAAAAACTAAGGATCTGCTGAATACTTATAATAGACTAATAGCTATCAAGGAGGTAATCTTACCTAATATTTAGTAAAGATCTGTGGAAAGAAACAAAAATTGTGTATGGCAAAGTGGGCATCAAAGTACCTGAAATTCGCCAGCGTTTCGGTTAACCTTATTTCTTGACCCAGGGGGCGTAATGCACTGCCTCTGCTGCCTAACAAAGAAAAATAGGAGATGCACAAAACTTAAAATTGCTTCAGTATGTCACAATAAAAAAATCAGAAAATTAGTTCTAAAGCTAGCAATGTTGAAAATGTGAGCACGTTGTGAACAAAGTACAATCAAGTGAGATCTAATCTAAACTTTGAAAACAATAGGTCTATGCTACCAATTGCCAGTTGCAATTTTATTAGGTTCGTTTTACATTATGTGGTATATTGCAATCGTCCATGCAATGTAATGCTCAGGTCTAAACATAACACGTACTTTAAGATCTTGTAGGTCTACATAGAGACAATTACAATATTCATACTCAAATAAATATACATTTAATGAATTATGTTTATAAAATAGATAATTCTCTCTGATAGGACACAGTTGAATGGCATATCAGACAGATTTTAATAAGAACTGAAAGAATTATATATTCCCACCGCTTAACCTACTCAGAAGCAGTTTCTGGCTTTCTGGCAATAAACAACATCATTGGAGTGAATAACTTCTTACGACCACCTTCAACTAAGTTAACAGCAGCATCTTCCAAAGCATGGGTAACTTGTTTAGAACCTTGTGGAGCTAAACCAACCTTTTCCATCAAACCAACCAATTCGGTGAGGACAAGTCTACCAACTTTAGAGGTTCTTAAAACAGTCCAGTAGTCACCAAAAGTTTGACAGTTTTGTAATTCACCAGCTAATGGGTAGTACCATGGAATTTCGTCATTAACATCAGCCAAGTCACGTTCGTATTCAACTTCAAATCCGACATTCTTTAAGGCTTGTTCAGCAACTTCACGCTTGTACATTTTTGGAATACCATCACCAACTTCAATACCATAAGCAATCTTACGGTGTTCTTCGTTGTTTTCATCGTATTCGTCGGTCATAACCCATTCGTAAACACCGAAAACACCTCCTGGCTTTAAGACTCTGTAGATTTCAGAGTAGACACCTTCCAATACTGGAGCATGGACGGTAGCTTCAATAGCATAGACAGCATCGAAAGTTTCAGGTTCAAAGTCCATTTGCATGAAATCACCCTTGACATAAGATAACTTATGGTCTAACTTGTACTTCTTAGCATAATGGTTAGCTCTTTCGATTTGGTAATCATTGTTGTTTAAACCAACAATTTCACAATCAGTGAATCTAGTGATTTCTCTACCTGGACCACCAACACCACAACCAACATCTAAAACCTTCATGTTCTCTTGAAGGTTCATTTTGTGAGCCAAGTAGTGTTCGTGTCTAGCAGTGGCTTGTCTAAAAGCTTCACCCTTATAGTATCTAGAAAAATGGAAGGAAGAACCCCAACCGTATTCATAGAAATCGGTAACCAAGTTATAATAATGTTGGGTCAACTTGGAGTAATCACCTAATCTCTTATCTTCATCTTCCTTGGAAACACCACCATCCCAGTGCTTGAAATAACCTTCGTTAGCAACGGTAGAAGCATCCTTGGACTTGGAAAGCAAGGCAGAAATACCAGTCTTCTTATAAGATTCACCGTGCAAGGCCTTGGTGAACTGTTGATCTTTTTCGTAATTTTTTTCAGCTAATTGGATTGGAGACATATTAATAATTAATGAGTTGAATCTATAAATGTATAACCTATTAAAATAAGTGTAAAATTTCCAATTTAAAAAAAGAAACTGTCGTTTTTATAAACCATCAACTGCCAGAATTTTTTCCAACTGCAACGCGAAGTTCGGTCAATATTTTTTATGCATGTCGTTTCCGTCGTGTAGCTTGTCACGTGCCCGTCGTATAAAATTTTCATCGTAAAGAACGGTGCATTGTCTCATTTATGTGTATTTGCTACCTAGTTTTCACTTTTCTGGAACGACATTGTGATCTACTCGTTTAAAAAAGTGTGTATGTTTATATAATCAATTCTTTCGGCCGGTACTATTACTAGAACTGTATTTTGCTGGAATAGCATCTAGGAACGACCTGTACGACTTGATGAAACGCTACGACCATTGTCAAGACAATACGATTAATGTTTGTTATAAGTATATTGAATTGCCGCTTTCTTGATTCGCTAGTATTCAAGGAATACTGTTGGAGTTGCCTTGTATCAGGCAGCCTCCAATGCGGGGTGATGTAGGACTTGAAACCTATTATACTAAATTCGAGTAGAATAGCACCATTTAATTGTCGCAACTCATGCTGCGCCTTCTTTGACTGGAAGTGACAAAGCTTTAGGCTGATTCCATGTGTTGCAGGATACCAATTTCTAAATTGGTGGCATCATTTAATCATAGAAGATCCTGTTTGGGGCAAATTGAATAAATACTATTTATTGAAAATTCTAGAATTTTTTTGCAAATTTTGTTGTAAATTTATTCAGAATTCTTGTGAATTTATAGCTGCAGAGCAAAATATTCAACGGACACAAATACCACCACAACAAAATGAATCACTACAAGAACAAGTCAATTAAACGAATAGCCATTTAGACAACCCTTTTGTCTTGTGCAACTTACTTCTTGCACTTTATATACCATGTACCAATACTCCAGCAATCAGAGCATGATTTACCTCAGCCAGTTCAATTAGAGAGAGAAAGTAAAGAAATTAAAGAAATTAATTATTATAATTCTGGTATATGGTTCCAACCATAGCTTCTAGTGCCAATCTAGCAATCACAAGTAGGATTTAAATAGAAAACAGAATTGTCAAAAACTTTTCAATTGACAATGGTTATTATACTCCCAATTGTGGGGTGTGTACAAATTGGGCGGTTGGTGTAGTGGTTAACATATCTGCCTTCCAAGCAGGTGTCACGGGTTCGATTCCCGTACCGCTCATTTTTTTTTCAATATTTCACATGGTCTACCAAATATTGTGGTTGATTGGAATCGCACAAAATCAATGTAAATCAACAATGTTGACTTTTTGCGGTGTTATGTTGAAAAATATTTGTTTTTTTTTGCAGTTTAAATTTAGCCTCCGCGCACGACCAACGCGGGTTTTTGTTTTGATTTGAATCAATTTCATATTGTTCTTAAATGAGCTAGTATTAGCAGCAGCTTAGACCACCACATAAGGCAACTATGAATCAGTCAGAGAAGCCAACTCTTAAAAGTATTAAGAATATTTCAAGGACTGATGAGGTCAATAATGCAATGCGTCATGTTTTTCAGGACGCACAAATGGGGTTGTCTGGGCATCGAAAATTGGTTATTGTATTAAAGAATGTGTTTAATAAGTCAGTGGAGTTAAATCAACAAGAATATTTTGCTTTATATCTTACCAGAATTATAAATAGGATACTTTCTTTGAAGAAAGGTGAACAAGTAGCTGATAGAATTGCCAAATTTTGCGCATCATTTATTCGAAGTATTGTAGAAGATGAGATTGAAGCAAAGCAGAATAAAGAGCTGGATGAAGATAAAGAAGAGGACGATGAAGATGAAGAAAATGAATCGCCTACTACTATGTTAATCACATATTTGATCCACCACTTATTACGAGGGATTGAAGCAAAAGATAAAACTGTCCGTTATAGAGTTGTGCAGCTATTGGCATATTTGGTAAGATATATCGGAGAGATTGATAACAATACTTTTGAAGCCTTATACTCCTCATTAAACAAAAGATTGAATGATAAGGAACCAATTGTCAGACTTCAAGCTATAGTTGCAATCTCCCATTTTCAAGTATTCAATTTTGACTATACTGAAGAAGAAAGTCCGTTTGAAATTGATATTACCAATGCCCTGATCACTGAGAAAATCATACATTCAATCAGGCACGATGAAAGTGCAGAAGTAAGAAGAGCTGCCCTTTTGAACTTGAAGAAATCTCAAGCTACAATTCCCTACTTGATTGAACGTGCCCGTGATACCAATAGTATTAATAGAAGATTGGTATATTCAAGAATATCCCGTGAATTAGGACCAATGAACAATATTGACTTCAAGAATCGTGAGCTCTTATTGAAATGGGGTTTAAATGACAGAGAAGAAGCAGTTCAAGCTGCTGCTACCAAGATGCTCACAACACATTGGTATGGTTCAGTAAAGGAAGATTTGTTCGAGTTGATTGAGAACCTTCATGTTAAGGATAGTGATATTGCTGAAACTGCAATGCTCATATTCTTCAAGTCTCGAGAAGACAAGTTATCCACTATTAAGATAGATGAGGCCTACTGGAAACAGCTTTCCATTGAAAAAGCGTTTTTGATGAGAACATTCTATTGCTATTGTCAAGATCATACTTTGTTGGAGTTGGTTGACGCAAACTTTCCTGAAGCTGTTGATTTAGCTGAGACTTTGGAAAAATATCTAGAATTAAGAACGAAATTCATTGCTCTGAACAGTGAAAACATCAAAGCTTGGGAATCACATAATGAGAAATTAGAAGTGTTCAAAAATCAATTATTGCAACTTGAAAATACAATGTCAAGAATCAACTTGGAAACAGAGACACATAAGAAACATTTGGATGCTGCAGATGATAATCTTAAATTCCTTCAACTTGGTGAAACATTGATTAAGAAAAGGCAAAAGCAATTGCAAACTCATAGAGGGTCAATTGAGGATTTGATAACGGATGAAAGGACGCAAATTATTGTGGAGGAGTTGGCTGAATTTACTGAAAGTGAGTTAAAGATCAAGTTGAAAGAATTACCTCAAAATATCAGATCTCTTGAATCAGAAATATCCATGCTAACAGACAAGATCAATGAATGCCAAGCCAGATTTGAAGACGCTTCCAGAGATTATCAAAATATTTCAGAAGAACAAGTAAGTGAATTAAACAGGTTCCATGAAGAGCAAAAGGATAATTATGTCCCATTTGCAGAGAAATTGCAAGATTTGGAATTCATCATCTTGCAACTCCTCTTAATTGCCAATAAATTTGATTACGGTGACGATTTTGGAAGAAGAAAGATGTTGCAAGTAATCAGAAAACGGTTAACAGAGGATAAACTCCCAGGTGAATTGGCATCGATTGCATTGAAGGTATTGAAGAGAATCTCACTTCATGAAAAGGACTTTATTGCTATGTCTACAGAAATTATTACCGATATTAGAGATTCATATGATAACGAAGATGAACACTTTCATTCAGCAGTTTCCGACTTTGATGACGATGATGATGATGAAGAAGAAGAAGATGAAATCGAACAAGATGAAGACGAAGAGGGTAAAAAGAATGACAATACTGAAACTAGTACAAAAGAAGCCAAACAGAAGAAGAGGAACGAACCTAAACTTCCTCCTGATGACATTGTCATTCAGTGTTTAACCATGTCACAACATGTATTAGAATTGATAGAACACCCATTGGAAGACTATACTTCATTGACTTCAATTTATAGTGGTCTTGTCAATTATGCTATCAATTATAAAGAAAAGGCAACCTTGCACCTTCTAGGACTCAAATGTCTCGGGTTATTTGCTCTTATTGACCGATCAACTGCTGAAGATGCGGTGGCCACGTTATATCATTCCATGAGAAGTTCTGGTGAACAAGTTAGAATAATTGGTATGAAAGCTGTTATAGATATACTTTCTATACACGGAGTGAGTATCATTGGAACCAATATCTTCCTGTATGCTCGTTTGTTCTACAAGTCATTGACAAATTACGATATGCCTGGTTTGCAATGTGTTGTTGCAGAGGGATTGTGTAAACTTTTCCTTACTGATATCTTCCATGCTAGCAGTACAAGCAATGAAAGCGAAGAAGGAGACAATCAAGAATATGAGAGTGAAAAGCAACTATTTGAAGCATTGATTTTGACTTATTTCCATCCATTGACATCCAAGAATCAAGAGTTGGGACAAATTCTTTCATTCTGTATCCCTGTTTACGCTTTCTCCCATCCAAACCATCAAGCACGAGTTTCCAGTGTCAGTGGAGATGTGATATACAGACTCTTTAGTGACGATGAATTCACTCATCATGACCACAAACTCTCAGCCACTTCTGTCATTCCTCAGTTGATATTCTGGTGCGATCCAAACAATTTAGTTAACTTGACCCAATTCGAAATTAAGCGTCAAACTTCCCATCTTTGGCAATGCGTTTACCTATTACAAGCGCTTGAACAGGATACATCTAAGGTTGTAAAGAGGGCAATTATATCCAACTTGAGCAAGCTATATCTTACGGACAAGCTCGAATCTACGGTATTGAAGGGATTAGCAGAAGCGCTTGAAGGGACTAAACAATGTTTTGAAGAGAATGCCACTATTCCCGAATACCAATTGGATAAATTAAGTCACAAGAATTTGGATAACTTTATAGAATATGTTAACGAAACCTATGCCAAGTCGGTCGAACGAGAAGGTGAAGAGAGAGAAAAGCTGAACTTATTAAGCACAAATTCTATCTTGGGAGAATTAGAAAACGAATTAGATACTCAAAGCCAACATGATAAACTGGAGACCGAAGAAAATGTTGAAACAAATGAGGAAGAAACTAGTTTAGATACATTCAAGGAAAGCGCTGGTCACGATGAGGTTTTCGATGCCAATAAAGATGATTCTAATATTAGCAACGATGTGATACAGAACCAACAGGTGCATGAAGTACACGTGGATGATTTAGCTCAAGACACCGACAAGGAAATCAATGAAGATATATCTGATAATGAAGAATCTGTTGATGTAGAAATGCAAGATGCAGATGATCCAGTTGATGATTTGAAACGACAACAACTCGAAGAAAATTTGAGAGAAATTGATGAAATACTAGATGCTGAAGATAGTGTCGATTACAGTATCTCGATGGAAGAATAAACTATATAGTTACAGATCTATTAATCTTAAATATATTTTCCATTTCACATTCTCTTCTATATATATAAACATAAACGTCGTACACAAAAAAAATACAAATTAATAACAAACACAAATTAGTGCTTAAAGAAAATGTTTTCCTCCAATAGCTTATTCACGTCAGTAGCATTGATCACAACTCCATTTTCGGAACACTTAGCCTTACTCTTTAATTCGTGACATAATCCATCGATATCAATTTCGGTATACTTAGGATGTGCAGTTATTCTATCCCATATTTCACTACATTTTATAGTCTTTGGAGGTGCCGGTACTACAGCATCATCATCATCGTCATCCTCTTCTTGAACTTCAGGTATAGTGCTAACTTTAGGTTGTTCAGTGGTGTAGTTTCCAGTAGATACAGATGATTCTGAAGGTAATGAATGTTTGACAAAGTCGTTGAAGTTGAAATTTACATTGACTTGGTCAGTCAAAGGGTCATATTGGGACTCTTCAGTAGTCAACAACGCTATTGGGTCTAATTCATCACCGGGACTAGGATCTCCAAAAGCCAATGAAACATCAAAATTATTATCATTCAAAAAGGACAAAGGATCATTCTTTTCTGCTGCCTTAGCTATACTAGCATCCGTCTTTACATCCTTTGGACTAGGTATATTGAAATTAAAGTCTCCATTAGTAGTAAAGAATGGGTCATTAGTATAATCGTAGCTATTGGAATTTGGAGTGACTAAAGTGGAGAAAGGAGAGTTATATTGATGCAGCACAGGAACAGAAGATGTGCTTGAGTTATTTCTCTTATACTTTGGAACTGGTTGTTGTCTGGTTCCACAAGCTTCACCTAATTTTGCACAGAAGGAATCGAGTTGTTCATCAAATCCAGCAGTAAAGTCCAAATTATTATTTACATCTTTGTTCATGTTAACTGATGATTCGATTGAAGATTCTGGTGATACCAATAAATTATCATTTAAGGGTGAAGTTGATGAGGATGATCCCAGAACAAGATCCGGAACTTGTTCATCTTGTAGTATTGGTGGTTGTCGTTGTGCATTAGTTTGCGATTTTAAGTTTTCTTTAGACCATGGGAAATCAAACGAGAAATTATTGTGTGGCGATGAAACAGAAGAAGAAGTTGAGGAGTTCTGACGACCAGTTGAAATAGAACTCTTAGTAGATATTGATGAAGTGGAATCAGTATGGCGAGGTTTGGCTTGAACAGCAGGGAAAGAGTCTACCTTCGGGAAATTCAAATCGGAAAAGTCAGAATTTCCACGATACCTCAACAACTCTTTCTTCAACATATCAACTTGAGCTTTCAAGAAGTCAGCTTCAGTGGCAGCTCTTACATTGGCATCTTCTAGAACCTTGACCTTGTCTTCTAAATCCTTCATCTTACGTTCCTTACGTTCACGGTAGGCACGTTGAGCAGCACGGTTTTGGGCTGTACGCTTAGATTTGGGTTCGGTATCAATAGGCTTTCTACCAGGTTTGGTATGTAGCCTTTTATCTTCGTGTGATTCAGGGGATGGGGAGGTTTCCAAAACATCCGAAATATTTCTCTTTACGTCTGTCATTATGTGAATTTAATTAGGATTCCAAATAAAAATATTGGGATTAATAATAGTACTGATTTTTTAAAAAAGGGGGAGTCGCTAGTCTTTCTGCGCTTACTATTGGATAAAATATTAAGTCGATTCTAGTGGCAAAAGTTAGATTTGTAAAATACGCTGTTCTGAGTCTTGAGTGATGTACTTTTGAGTGGCAAGACTATATATGCTGCTTGTCTTGCTTGGAATATTTAAATTATGGATCCTTCAATATAATACGGCGTTTGAGTAGTCAACCACGATAAAGAAAGATATGACAAACCAAATTTGGAATGACAAAAATGAAATGGCTAATGTTGTTTATATATAAAGGGGAAAAATTCGCATAAATTTCCCCTACGTAATTAGTAATCAAAAATTTCTTTTTATTTTTTTTTCTTTTAAAGTGCTCAAAAAAAAATAAAGTTTCCATCGGTGAGGACACGACAGGGTTTTTCTTTGTTCTAAACAAGTTCCAAAACGTTCTACCTTGCCAGCTATAGTAAATTATATAGGGGAATTTGCGCTTTGTTGTTTCATTTTAAACACCAAGCATGTTACTCTTTCTAAACAATGTTAAATAGTTTAGTTCTTGTTTTGGTTCTGAGCTCGTGTCAGTTAAACTTCTCCACATTGAAATTTGGCCACAAATGAAAAAAGAAAGTCTATTTCTCAAAGATCAAATCACTTTAGTTAGCCGTGGGTTTCACAAAAAAACGTTACAAGGAGGGGTTTCGGAGCAATATTTCCTTAGAAAAAAATATTTAGGGACCAATATTTTCCTAGACGAATATTTTAGCTGCAATCAGTTTCTACTTCACCCCTCTCCTACAGTTGACATATCTATCTTACTTTAACCCACGTATAAGATCTCAATTTGGACAGTTTTCCGATTATTATTAAAATCGGTAACCGTTCCGAAATCCCTATTTTCTGAATTCCATATTTGCACTAACATTGGATTTATTTTGAATGAAAAGCCAAGAAAATGCGAATTCGGACTTCCCCATAAACGGTTATCAATCTTTCAGAAGTTGAATCGCGCGTCTATTCTGTACTCCCCTTACATAATTCCAAGCGTATGACGGATAAACTTACTTTGCTTAAATTGTGATTAAATAATACCAACTGGATCTAGATATAGTTAGATCTTCAAACCCCTATCACCTGTGTTCTCCCCAATTGAGCGTAAACCAGATATTTAGAAGAAGTTTCTCCGCAAAAGTAGTCTGTTGAAAATATTATTTTGCAGCGAGAATGAACTATATTCCCCCCTCCTCCTCCTTTGTTTGCCGTTTGAATTATGGCTTTTAACAATAGATAATGAATTCAGAATTCACAGCCCTGTGTAATAGAGTTTTGTAATGACTCAGCTCAGCCTGAAATATGCTTCGTGGGGGATACCGATAAGCATTCTTTTTTAAAAATAATGCAGTTTCTTTTTCTCGATTGGATTAATACTTCAGTTTAGGGAACGGGCGGAGTATAATTGGAAAATGTCTTTGTTCTAGATCGTGCAGATTGAGCGATTTAATCAATAATGGTATTGTCTGGTATTATTGATTAATGCTGCAAGGAGGGTTGCAGATACGGAAGAACAATAAGCGAGGGAAATTTACAGCAACATCCAAGTCCTTTTTGTTGGAATCTGTTTTACCTTTGAAGTTTCAGTCTGAATGAAAGAATATTAAACGACAAGTAAACCCCGCAGTGTATACGTTTGTAACAGTATTAACTAAGTAAAGCAAATTGCGTTCCGAATTTAGCTTGGCAAGCTAGCAAATAAACAATCTATAGCAACTTTCCTTTACAATTGACTTTGTTCGGAATAATTAGACTTAAGATAGACATTCATATTCTTCCTTTCTGATGAAACCTAGTTGAATCCCATTTCATTTTATAGTTGTTGCAAGTTTTTTTTCGAATGGTCGTAAAAAACTGTTAATGTATAGTTTGGTTGTCCCTGAGACAGAAATTCATAACATCTGCCAAGAACATACAGTGACGGCTCCTCTAATGTACAATTTACCATACACACACACACTCATATACATATATATATGCTTACGTACAGTTGTTCAATGACCAGAACAGTGTGTTGTTGCAAGATTTTCTTTATCGGTCTGAAATTCTTCAGACAACCACAAATTGAAATCAAAAATTGAAGTAACTCCACATCAGAATATGGTATTTTAAAACTATCCATGTTCGGTTACTGCTAAAAATAATCTTCGCAACTAATCCTCATAACTGCGTAAATGTGTACCTCAGTTGGTTCTTCTACATTGCGCTTCCCAAAATGAGGTCTGTCTCAAAGTGTTGCAAATCTCGAACTTCAGTGAGCACTCGAAAATTTCAATTTTTAAAGGCTGGAAAATTTTCCAATATATATTCTCCATTCTTCACTTGGAAATCACCATACATTCAAAATCATAACCCCTTCGCTATGTTATCCCTAGGTATGTATTAATCTATGATTATGTAATATGTTCTTCAACTAACAAACACTTTTAGATCAATTGGAGATTGCAGACAAGAATGATCCCGATTTAATTGATATAACTCAAGAGATATTCGATTCACTTCAGAGCATTCCTAATAACAAAGTGGTCAAAGCAGAACCATTCCAATTATTAGAAGGAACAAGAGCACTTGAAATACTAAACCCACGTTTGGATACTGGGTTGATAGAACTACTGGACGTTGATTATAACTTTGACTGTGCTAAACCCTTACCCGCTCAAGCTATTGTCAATATCCAAACTAAATTATTGAAGGCTCTCGTTGGATGGTTATCTTCTGACAGTTTACCGGTTACTGTATTGAGCTGTCGTTATGTGCAAACATTACTCGAAACATACCTGAATTCACAAGGTTCAGTATGGGACAGAGCTTCATTTGTCAACCCAAGATTGGCACAACAACAGAAATACGACACGACTACAATTGAATATCAATTAGTACACAAAGTTTTAAAGATTTATGTGATGGGATTGTGTAAGTTTATCGACTTTGTTCTTCATATTGCCAAAAACCTATTGTATGAAGAAGAAGATATCACTACCAGAAATATGAACTTAGATTTCTTATCAGGAATTTCACCACAATTCTTAATTCAAGAAATCAACGAAGTAATTGAATGGATCATTGTCAATGAAGTAGACCAGGCAAATGTTATAATTGCTCAATTAAAAGTGGTCAGCAACTTGATGAAAATTGAAGCTACTATACTAGCCACTCCAATTCAGTTCTTGAATAAGGATGACAATATTAGTCTCAACCTCAACTTTTATACTGAAGGAATTAGCCAAGTTGGTCAGTTGCAGAATGTGGAATACGATGAATCAGTTATTCCCGAAGGCGCATTCTCAAAATTTATCCAATTAGATATGGAAAACAAAAACATCCCATTAGAATTGAATGATGTACCATTAGATACTGCATTGACGTATATTAAAGCTATTTTTGAAACTGTGGAGAGATTTATTAGAGAAGCCAATGAAATTAATTCTATAAATCAATTACAAGATTACTTGGAATATAATATTAATTATCCAATTGATACATTTTCAGTATTTTCTCGAGGATTGTTTCAGTTATTCTTTATTCGTGATGATAAATCGATATTTGGATCTTTAGAATACAATTTGACTAATTTGTCAACCGAATTAATCGAGAATTTAGTGGGGAAAAACACAATTGTACTTAATAACCTCGAATCATCATTATCCCAACTTAAAGATTCAACAAGAAACGACTTGATGTCTCGATATGTTGGCGTGCTTCAGGATATGGAAGGGGGAATTTATCATAATCTCACTGTATTCGGATGCAATCCTTGTCGACAACAACAATTAATCTCGAAGGGATTGGTGATTTGGGATACGTTACAAGTAGGATGGGAATCATTCGAAGTGGATCTTCATCAGTCGTATGGCATAGGGGACGAGTTTGCAACTGGTGAAGTTTCAATCAGTGTTACTTCATACATCTACTACACCAAGATCAAGATGATGATGCAATTATTATTGAACGGGTTTGAACTTGAATTATATAAGCCCTTTGAAATTTACCTTATCTTATGGTATGGTGACTATTTAGCCCAAAATTTGGTTGACCATTTACAAAATCGAGTAACTCGAATCATTATTGGTAAAATCGAGCATCTTGAAACTGTTATTCCTAAGAGAATCAAGAAATTGAAAGCTGGTGTTAAGAAGGAACAATTGAAAGAATTAAATAAATACAACCACGAAGTTATATTACCCCAATTAACAGCTACACTCAACTACAATCAAGATTATTTAACAAAATCATATCAAACTTTATTAACATTGCTTCGAGCAAACATGAAGTATCTTGCTACGTTATCCAAAATTGGGTTGATTGACTTCACAAAGGGTCCCTCACATAGTTTAACATCTTTGGAACATCTTTATTACCTTAGATTAAAGCCGTGGTCCTCTATTGGTGTACCTAACTTCCCCACCTATCAAAATTACCAACAGATTATCACTGCAACTTTACCTGAACGCGATAATAGATCTACCTTGTTTAGATGTCTTGAATTATTGGCATCACTGAAGAGCGGGTTGGCCACATGCCGCAAGGAGTATGAAATCATTCTTGGCTATATCAAACGTGATACCAGGAACTTTGTTTCTAATTCTAAGGTGAATGAATGGTACCATGAATTCATCTCAAGTATTGATGTGCTTGAAGAAAACATTGGTTTGTTGAGTAAACTAATTTCCCAAAACAAAGACGACTTGCTGAAGATCAATAAGGAATACAAAATTAAAGTAGACAAAGGGGTCCATAGATATATACCAAACCTTTCTGTTGTTCCTAAATAGATAATTTGTATTCCTTTAAATCTTGTCAATTGCATTTTTCAACTTGGTTAGTTGTGTAGATATTTCTGGATTGTTGTGATGGTACACTGTTTCAACGTCTTTGTGAATGTTCTCAGTAGCCACTTTCACGGCTTGAATCGTTGCTCTGAGTTTCTGTAGGTTCTTGATCTCTGTTTTGTAATCTGGCATTGTGTATATAGGGTTGCTCGTGCCGATGTTTTGGTTTCAACTAGTGTTGTTTAGAAACATAAGTTTTTCTAGTACGCGTTTTTAGTAGAAGCCGGTTTGCTGCCAAAAACATATTGAGGGTACACTTGTAGTTGATGCAGCACAGGAAATGATCAGATTACTTTTCATTTACCATCCATATCATGATAATTGAGACTTCAAGCAGGATACTGTGTTTGGAACTACTATTATTAACTGTTCCAACCCACTTTTCATCAAAACATAGACCATTGGGAAACCTTTACATCACGTGACCTATTTTTCACCAATCACCAATCTGGATTTACTAACCAGTGAGCGAAAAAAAAACTATAGAGGCTAAATGAAATAATACAGCAAGAGAGCTTACAAAGAATATTGCTCTTCCTACACAAGACAATGTCCACATCTATCGTTCGTACTATAAAGAACATTTACCGTTCTGGTATAAAGAGAGCCGCTTGGCAAATTCAACACCACAATGATACCAAGAGTGGTTGGTTAGTTGGTGTGGATGATTTCGGTAACAAGTATTATGAAACTGATGCTCCAGAAGAAATCCATATGAGAACCAGATGGGTTGAATATAATCAATGGAACTTTGATATGTCCCAAGTTGAACCAGGTTGGCATTACTGGTTGGGTTACGGTACCAACACCCCACCTAACAGATTACCTGCAGACCAAATAGCTCCAAGAGCCTATCCACTTTCCGTACACAAACCAAACTACACCAATAAAGCAGGTGCTTATGTTCCTTACAACACTGCTAAACCTAAGTTCTCTTCTTGGGCTCCTGAAGTAAAAGAAAGAGTTTAGAGAGGGGACGGTGTTACGAGAGGTGTATGTATTTTTAGGAAGGCATTCTTTTGCATTTTGATGAGACTAGATTCAATCTAGCTTCAACAATTAATTGAGTTTGGGATAGTGTCAATGAGATATACAAAAAAGCACAAGTTATTGTGCTATTCCTAAACCAGAATAGTCAATTTTTGTTGGCACGAAATTTTTTTATATCTATATATATTTATACGTTTTACAGAATATAATCATATTTTCAAATAATTGGATGTAATTGCATTCTTGAGGCTATCTAAAAGTAGGAAAGACTAGGAATATTTGGACTAGCTTAAATAGTTGAGGTAGCACTGGATCTTGTAAGAAATTGAGCTTCATCCAAATGCGGAAATTGCGCCTCATCGATCCGAGTATAAATTTTCACTTGCAAAACTATTTAGAAGATTAAACTCAAAAAAACACCAAACATAGTTTACAATGAGCGGATCAGGAAAGTTACCCGAGTTAGCCTCAGATGCTGTATTAAAGCAATCCATTCCAGTGCCAGAAGATTTTGTTGAAGTCAAAGGTATAGACTACGGCAAGGACAATGCCTACAATATGAGAGCCAAGGACTTGATAAACTCTATGAGCACCATGGGGTTCCAAGCTTCCAACTTATCCCAAGCTTGTGATATTATTGACAAGATGAGAACATGGAGAGGTAAACACAAAAGTGAACTTGAAGAGCATCAACTTACTGGAGAATTTGATGACCAAGGATTTCAAAAGACGACAATTTTTATGGGTTACACTTCTAACTTGATTTCATCTGGATTGAGAGATACTTTAAGGTACTTGGTCCAACACAAGATGGTCAGTGCTATTGTTGCAACTGCTGGTGGTATTGAGGAAGATTTAATTAAGGTGTTAGCCCCAACTTATATGGGTGAATTCAGTTTACCAGGTAAAGGATTACGTGACCAAGGTATGAACAGAATTGGTAATTTGTTAGTTCCAAATGACAACTATTGTAAGTTTGAAGAATGGATTGTTCCAATTCTTGATACCTGTTTAGAAGAACAAGAAGCAGCCATGAAAGAATTAGGACCAGAAGGTTTAAATGCCGACTCCGCTGCTGTATGGACCCCATCTAAATTAATTGACAGATTAGGTAAGGAAATTAACGATGAAAGTTCGGTATTGTACTGGGCTCATAAGAACAAGATTCCAGTTTTCTGCCCTGCTTTGACCGATGGTTCGATTGGTGATATGTTGTTCTTCCACACGTTCAAAGCTTCTCCTCAGCAATTACGCTTAGACATTGTTGCTGATATCAGAAAGATCAACTCTATGTCGATGGCTGCATCTCAAGCAGGTATGATTATCTTGGGTGGTGGTTTAATCAAACATCACATTTGTAATGCATGTTTAATGAGAAATGGGGCTGATTATGCTGTGTATATTAACACTGGTCAAGAATTTGATGGTTCTGATGCTGGTGCTAGACCAGATGAAGCCGTCAGTTGGGGTAAAATTAAGGCTGATGCTAAATCAGTCAAGGTTTACGCTGATGTCAGTTTGGTGTTCCCATTAATTGTGGCTGCAACTTTTGCAGCTGAAAAACCAAACTAGAATTAAAGTAGAGTATTTAAAAAAAATATATATATTTCTAGATTATCAATGTTAAACGAGATTTATTGCTTGGCCTATTCTGTGGGCTGGGAATTCACCATGTTTCAAACAGCCATTTTCTTGGGAAGTGAAATTACGTCCCGATAAGGACAATGACGTTCTCCACAAAATCTTGTTTTTGTTTTTTTTCTGCTGAGCTTGCCAGTGCCACCACCACCACAGGTTCATTGTTCCATCCTCGCTCCCTCCCTCCCTCTCCCCGAGTACTGTGGCCCGATTCCGCGCACGGCCCCAGCCATTTTTCTCGCGATAAAAGGAAATTAATAATCCCCCCATATCATTCTTCTTCTTAATCTCCCCAATTACAACCATTTAACCCTCAATGTCGAATTCAAACACTTTCAACCCCGAAGCATTTCTCGAATTGGAACAGAAAATCCGCGATATGATGTTGGTCGCGGAAGAAGCCAAGCGCCGTTATCAAGAAACCGGTGAAACCGAGACTACCAGCGCTGTTGCAAAATACAGCAAAGAGTACTATGAGAAGAAAGCTGATGATTATATCAATTTCACTTACAAGAATCCTACTATCTACCACGTTGTTTCTTATTTCCATGAACAATTGAACGATGCTGGATTCAAATATGTTCTGGAAAAGGACTCTTGGGAGGATCTTACACCAGGAAGATATTTTACCACTAGAAATGGATCTTCTCTTGTCGCCTTTGTTGTTGGCCAACATTGGAAGCCAAAAAGAGGTGTTGGGATCATTGGATCTCACATTGATGCACTTACTACCGTCTTGAAGCCTAATTCCACCAAGGATAACGTTGATGGTTACGAATTGTTAGGTGTGGCTCCATATGCAGGCACCTTGGGGGAAATTTGGTGGGATAGAGATTTAGGAGTTGGAGGTAGATTATTGGTCAAGAATTCAAGTGGTAAGATTGTCCAGAAGCTTGTTGATTCTACCCCACATCCAATTGCTCATATTCCTACTTTGGCCCCCCATTTCGGTACTCCTGCCAATGGCCCATTCAACAAAGAAACACAAGCTGTTCCAGTTATTGGATTCGCAGGGGAAAGTGATGAAGAGGCTGAACCAACATCCGAAGAAAAGGAAGCTCCATTGTATGGAAAACACCCATTAAAATTATTGAGATATATTGCAGGTTTGGCCGATGTCAAAGTTTCAGATATTTTGCAATGGGACTTGCAACTTTATGATGTCCAAAAGGGCGTTAAAGGTGGTCTTAGAAAGGAATTCGTGTTTGCTCCAAGAGTCGACGACAGAGTATGTTCATTTGCAGCCTTGCATGCATTAATCGAAGCTGACGCAAGCGACTACTTAAAATCAGATGCATTTTCTCTCGTGGCTTTGGTTGATAATGAAGAAATCGGTTCTGCTACAAGGCAAGGTATTAAGGGTGGGTTAATTGAACAAGCAGTAAGTCGTATTCTCGCTACCAAGTTCTTCAATCCTGAATCATTTGATATTCAGGAACAGTTGAGAGCAACTTATGCCAACACCATTATCTTATCCAGTGATGTTAACCATTTGTTAAACCCTAACTTTAAGGAAGTTTACTTGGAACACCATAAACCAGTTCCAAATAAGGGGATCACTGTTGCTTTAGATCCTAATGGACATATGGCTACTGATTCAACTGGGTTAGCATTGATTGAAGAATTGGCAAGAAAGAATGATGATAAACTCCAATACTTTCAAATCAGAAATGATTCTAGATCGGGTGGTACTATTGGTCCTTCCATCTCGTTGCAAACTGGTGCTAGAACTATTGATTTGGGTATTCCTCAATTATCTATGCATTCCATTAGAGCTGCTCTTGGTACTAAGGATATCGGTTTAGGTATTAAATTCTTTACTGGGTTCTTTAAGAACTGGAGAGAAACCTATGACAATTTTGTTGATTTATAGTTAGCCTTTAGATATTGCAAAAAAAAAGGAGACATTTTTGGTTAGTAGCCCTAAGAACTAAAAAAAAAAACTTAAAAATAAAAAAAGTCGTCTCACAGTTACCCTTTATAGTTGTACCAAACAAACAAACACGAATTCATTTTATTCAATCACCAACGACCACAGAAGTCTGTTGTATAATTACTTCACGAATCAATTAAGTTTGATTTTAATACTTTACCAATCCAATCATTCGAAGACTAAATAGAGGACACTGATACAATTGGAATAGAACTATGGGTATGTGGTGTTTATCCTCCGCATTGAGATCACCTCAACTATCCTTGTAAATTGATGTGGTCAAAACTTTGCCTGTTCGAAGTTACTAACAATTTCAACCTATAGCACCTCCAAAGAAGATGACCCTAGAGGAGTTCTTCAAAGATGAAAGTATGTATTCCTTTTTTTGGTTCGAGCCACAATTGTTCAACCCCGGATATTCAATCAGTATTAGAATACTAACTAAGCCTATTCTAGCTTATGGAGGCTCCTGGGCAGACGCTGATGTTGACATGTCGTCAATATCAGTTCCCATTGAGAAGTACAGTTCGGGATTCGACTCATTTTCCCCACGATCAGGATCAGGCAGGGCAAGCTCGTCAAGAGGAGCAGCAGGAGGAGGAGGAGTGGCTGTTGGCCCACCATATATCGTCAAATTATTAAGTATTCCCATGACTGCAAATGACGGCTTTATTGAGGATCTATTTCAAAGCAGATATACTCCGTTTGTAAAATTTAAGATACTTGTTGATCCATCGTCTGATATCTTGGAAACCCATATTATTCGCAAGGTAGCATTTGTGGAATTGGAGTCGTCTCAAGAAATGGCCAAAGTGTTGAAATGGTATGATCTATACTACAAGGGAAACAGACGAGTTATTGTTGAGCCAGCCGATTTTGCCGATTTCCAATATTGCATTAAGTTTAACCAAGAACATGAACGAGAAATCCAAGAAATTCAAGATGAATTCTTTGCCAATAAACAGCACCGAAACCAACCCAGGCACATGGCTCTACTTGACCAGTTTGATCTAGACAGCCATGGCCATATCCATGGTCGTCGTCCATCGCGCTCACCAAACAGATACGAACCACCACTGAGATCACCATCAGGAAGATATGACGGGCATCTGAATAGATATCCTAGAAGACAATCGTTTGAAGATCTTCCACCCCGTCGCGGACTGTATCTGCAACAACCACCACTCGCTCCTTTAACACCTCATTCATCTTCAACCACCACAGAAGCAACCCCAGCATTAACTCCTAAACCTAACCCTTTTGGTGCGGCTAAACCAGTTGACACAGCTCATATTTCTACTTCGACGGCTCCTGCAAAACCTAAATCCAACCCCTTTGGAGCAGCTAAACCAGTGGATACGCTTTCCCGTCAACTTGAAATTGAAAAGAAATTGATTAATTTAAACAAAACCACCGTACAAACTTTAGGTGATGATGAAAAAGTAGATGTAGAAGGAGTGATTAAAGAATTCCACGAAAGTGCTTCACCTACTCTCAGAAGAAATTCAATAAACACTCCGCCTAGACGGGCTTCTTACAACGAAAAGAAAGTTACTATTTTAAAGAAAGACCAACTGGATGAACAACCCAAATCTGCACCAATTAAGATTGAAAAACCACCACAAGAAACGAAAGCCCAATTACCTCCCACCGAGAGACCTTCTCCTTCGGGAGGATCATATGTTCCAAATGGCACTGGGAAGTCATTGGCAGAATTATTAAGTGAGGGTGCATCCTCTGGAACTTCGACAGGAGGGAAAAACACTCCTAGAAATTCAACTCCTAAACCAGTGGTTGCAAAGCCAATTATATTAAAGAAGAAAGTTCCTACTTCTCCACAACCTGCCAAAGTTGATTTGACTATTAAGGAAGGTGAATACTTGAAACAACAAGCTGGATCACAAAAGATTGAACCTAAACAACCGTTAATACCTATGGAGATACCAATATTAGTACAACCAACACCACCACAGCAACCACAAAAACCACAAAAATCACAAAAAGTTCAAGTTGAAGAGAAGAAGGTTGTAATGGTTACTAAGAAGCTAGAAGGGTTCGAGATTACACCCGAAGAAAAACCAGCTACCAATGGAACGTCAGATCAAGGAGCTAAAACCGATGATGAAGACAGACCTGATTTTAAAAAGTTGAGTGAAATTGTCCAACGTAATGAAGAAAAGAGAAATCAGAATTTGAATAAACGTGGTGGTGGGCCACAGAGAAAGTTCCGTAACTCATTCTCTAGTGGCCGTGGTAGACTAGAAAGAAACTGGAGAGAGGGAGATTCTAGTGGGCGAGAAACAAGCGAGAGCATCAACAAGAGTGAAGAAGGCAATATCTCTAATAAGTTTCGTTCTACTCCAAGATCTACCTCTCCTACAAAACCAGAGCCAAGTAATGTTCACAAACCAAAGACAGAAGAGAAAGAAAAAGCTCCAGTTGTAATTGAAGAGAGTACCGCTAAAGAAACTATAGAATATAATACGCTTGAAAAGGTTACTTCTAACAGATCAGAAGAAGGATCGGAAACGAGAGGCAGAGGGGGATGGCGAGGACGTGGCAGAGGAAGGGGTAGAGGTAGAGGAGGATTCAGAGGCCGAGGACCGCCCCGCGGCCACAATCTCCATTATGTGAGACCTAAACCAGGTAATGAACAACTGAATAATATTAAAGCAGAAGGGTAAACTAGAAGGGGGAGGACCTAGAAAAAATAATTATGTATATTAGTAGTAGAAAGTTTGTAATTTTCCTTTTAATTTATTTAATTGCATAATCTGTATGATTATCGTGCTGGATAATGCAGGATATGCCAAATCAGGTAGTCTAAGGTTTCTTGATGCAGGTGTGCTTGTCAAAAAAATAATACTTGTTTCAAGGAGCAGCCATTACCTTACGAACATTGGATGTGAATTGAAATATACAATTTACGTAATAAATATACCTAGAAATGGGAACAAAAAAGCCGACGTTATCAAATCAAAAACACTTTTTGACAGCTTGATGTGTCTTTGTGTATAAAATCGAATGAGCAAGCTCTACAGGATCAAGTATGTGCCTGATTACAAAATACCAGTATCTCTTAATGAATTTTCCAAAATTGTTTCCTTAACTGCAGCAAACACCAATTCGATATTGGAAGTGTCAATAGCCTGAGTAACGTGAGGGTAAATATTCAAACCGGATCTGTTCAATTGATTAAATCTCCATAAGATATATTTTGCAGCCTTATTTATGTTGTTACCACCAGTATAATCGGGGAAATGTGCTTCTAAAGGTGAATATTGCAATTTCTCGGCAAATACATCAATCTTGTTTAAGAATAATACCACTGAGGTACGAGCAAACCAACGGGAATTAACAACGGAATCGAAAAGTGCAAGTGATTCTTCAAGTCTATTTTGGTTGTTTTCTTCCAATAATACTTGATCATATTCAGAAAGGGCAACACAAAAAATGATTAAGGTGACATTATCAAAACAATGGATCCACTTTTTACGTTCTGACCTTTGTCCTCCAACATCATACATGTGAATATTTAATCCATTACCCATATCGAATCTAAAATCAAAGATACCTGATGTCTTTTTACGAGTTCTTAAAACATCGGCGATGGATGGAATGTAGTCTACAGCAGCAATTCTGTCAATGTCAGACAAGAAATAACTAGTTGAGTCAATCAAGTAGAAATTTCCTTGTTGGTGAACCATAAAATGTTGCACTTCTGGTATATTGTAAATATTTTTAATTTTAGCAGCGACACTTTGATTGAAAGGAACATCGGAATCCATTGGATATTCATAATCTAAAACTTCATTCAAATCATCATAATCAAGAATGTGCTTACGATATTGGGTATTATCTGGTTCGTCCGATTTAAGTTCGACCACGGCTTGGCTTTCATTTTCTTCTTGCTCTTCCTCGATCTTCCCATTTTTATTATTGATTAACTCCGGCTCCAAATCAATGATTGCATTAATGACATTTTTAATACAATCCAAGATATTCTTGTAAACAAATGCTCTATACTCATATAATTCTTCTTGGGTATATCCATCTTGGTGTAAAATCTTCATTTGCTTGACAATAGTTGACTTACCACTTTCTCCCGATCCCAATAATAAGATCTTAATTTCTTGACTTGAATTGTTTTGTGCAGCGACATCAACGGGATTCGTGACGACAATCCCGTTTTGGTCATGTGGTTGGTGGGCAGGTGCTTTGTGTTCATGTATATGAGACAGGTCGGAAGAGGGCAATTTTGTAGATTCGTTGGATTGTCCATTAGTTGACTGGGTTTCTATTGAGGTATTTTGTTTAGGGTTGGCTATAGCTTGCCGTTGTTGTTGACGCTTGGCTTGCGTAGGTTGGGTTTTTACCGGTTTGGCAGTGGGAGGGGCTGTAGGTTTTGAAGCGCAAGATCCCATGGTGTGAATATGTTTGAATTATTAATATGGTGTGTGAGTGCTAATTGCTAGGAATATCAGGAAATTAATCTATTGATAGTATATATCTGTATAACAGATTGATTGTTAGTGCAAAGGGTTGAGTTTGCGCTTTTCTGTTTAGGAGTTTAGAAGATTGGGCGATAATTTAGACACAAGGCAGATTTGTCTGAAACCTTTAGCGGGAGTGACTTAAAAAAGAGCAAAAAAAAAAAAGAATTGACGCGGGAATCAAACCTAAAATAATATGAGGAAAAAAAAAAAGTGCCATGCAAGATTGGAGGTACGACGAAGCATGCTACTAATTCCGACCGGAAATATACTAAAATAGTCCATACGATAAAATTTGTACTTTGTTTTTGATGGGAATATATCTCATCATCTATTGCTAGCAAGACATCGTACATTAAGAGGTTAACCCCTCTTGAAAGTGGGTTGCTCTAATCACCCAACCAAGCCTCGGGGAAAATGGAAAATCTGGGTGTAACTATTTTTGCCGTATTGTTTTTATTTCTCATGCAAAGAACAATATTAGACAATGACGCAAAGCAGAAAACAAACACAGCAATTATTGAAAGGGAAGGTCGACAAGGGGATCTTGTTGTCAAAGTTTTAATTAACCTATTTAGTCAATGTAACGTTACAATAATTGTTAATACACCTATAACTTTCTATTTGACAGTTGACTCAACTGTTATATTAGGGAAGTGGTAAACAAATGTTCTGTCATCACCTAGTATTCCCTTCAGCTTCACTTGGAGCGCATGTACAACAAAAAAAAAAACACACTGGACTTTGTTATTTTTCGAAGTAAAAGGGAATCAAGACAATAATAAGACATGTTTACATAGCTATTCGCCTCAATAAAGCAACATGTATTGCTTACATTTCTATTTCTCGGCAAATGAATATGTAACAAGCGTCAGCGCAATTGGTAAGCTGGTCCATGCTTGCAATTCGCCGAGCACTTCTCGGCAGCTTCGAAGTTGTACCGTATAATGCCCCGCTGCAGCATTATGTGTATTTTCATAAAATATTATTTAGTCCAATTAGTTCTAGATTTGTTTTCGGCTTTGTAATTAAAAAAAGCTGTATTTATTAGACATGCATGTGCAAACTAGTATATACTATCTTTAGCATACTTTAACTTTCAATAACATATTCTAAACCGTCTAAAATTCTGATTTTCCTTTGTTATCTTGTGGAAAACTTAATTCACAAACGATACCACATTGTTACATTCAAAAGTCAAAAGTAAATTCTTTTTGTAAACTTTCCTCTTTGGTGGTTGTAGAATCAGGTAAAAGTTTTCCATCTTTGATATCATCACAACTCAAGTCTTGTCTTGCAGCTTTCAAGAACCAGAAGTTTCCTTCTTGTGATTCAAATTGTTGGCATTCATCCAATACAGTTTGAATGAAATAACATTGGGCGAATATAGAACCGAATTTTGATTCATAAACCTTGATGTTTACATTTGAAAGTTCTATCTTTTCCATACATTCAATTAGTTCTCTGTTGAATGCTCGTGAATATCTTTGTGTGTAGGGAAATTCAATCTCCATATTATTGCTAACTGAAGAAACCTCTGTAGGTGGTTCTGGACTGTACTTTGAAGCGTCAATCGTTAACCCACTAATTAATGGTAACAACATGGCCATGAATATCATTATAATAACCTTCATCTTGCTATAAGCTAAAAGTAGTTCCAAGTATGCTAAATGTTTTTTTTTTTGCAATCTAATTGTTGTACCACAAATATATCTAGCCAAATTTCATGCATTAAATATTTATAGTTCGAGAATTGCTACATACCTAATTAGATTGAACGCTAGTTGCAACCAGAGGAGAGACTTTATCGGTTTTATCACTGTATGTATCTCCTGGTATACTGCTGGTAATCTTTAAACTCTTGGCTGCCTTTTTAGCTGCCTCCTCTTCTTCTTGCAACCTTTTCCTCTCCTGTCTTCTTCTCTGTTTTGTTTCAAACTCATGCCATTCACCCTTAATCTCCTTCAAAAACGTCAATGGTTCCGGTTGTGGATCATCGGTAAAGTATTTATCTTGTAAAGCTTCTTCAGCTGTGGGTCTATGTCTTGGGTTCAACGCTAATAATCTTTTAGCCAATTCAAACGCATCATCAGACATTATGTGCTGATATTTATCAGCAAATTTACTAGCCACATTCACTTTAGGCTTTAACATCTCAAACCATGGCAAATGTTCAATATCAGGCCAATCTTCTAAGGTTGGTGTACCCATAACATTGAAAATTTTACACAATTGACTAACTTCATCGAAACCTTGGAAAGCAGCAATCTTGGCATATAATTCAATTAATAAACATCCCACTCCCCAAATATCAACTTCTCGTCCATAATCCGTTGTTCCTAATAATAATTCAGGAGGTCTATACCAAATAGTAATCACTCTATTGGTATAATCAGGACTTTCGCCATCATTGACAATTTTCATAGTTCTAGCCAACCCAAAATCAGCAATTTTTAATCTTCCTATATTATCCACAAGAATATTAGATCCTTTGATATCACGATGGATGATTCGTTTCTTGTGCAAATAATTCAATCCTTCCATTAATTGTTTAAATAAGAACTTCCGATGACACTCTTCCAATTTTAAATCAGGATGGGTCAATAACCCAGTTAAATCATGGTCCATGTAATCGAAAATCATGTAAGTTTGATTATGCTCAACCATCATTTCTAATAAACCCACAACATTCTCATGATCAAATGATGATAATAATTTAATTTCTCTGATGGCAGTAATTGGGAATCCTTCTCTCTCTGTTTCCAACCTTAATCGTTTCATCGCTACATACTCATCATAAGCAATGTGTTTTGCCTTGTACACTTTACCATATGTCCCTTCACCCACTTGTGAAACTCTTTGATAGACACTTGGTCCTTTGGTTTTTATGGAATATATTTGTGATCTAATCAATTTTAATTCTCGTTTAGGACCAGTTGGTAGACGTGGTCTATCACGTTCACGTTCATGCTCCCATTCACGAACATTGCCAGCTCTTTTAGGACCCTTGGGAATAGTAGGTCTGGCTGATGATGATGATGATGGTGGTGGAGGTGGTGGCGGTGGTGACTGGGATTTAAAATTGTCGTTATATTCACGTCTCTTTTTATAACTTGAAGGTCCTGATGGTAAACTTCTCTTGCTTCCTATAGTCGGTACGTCTCGATCTAAGGAAGTAGTTGTATTGGTTGAATGATTTGAAGAGGCACTGGTCGATTGTTGCCCTGATGGATCACGACCATTGTTGCTGGTTGGTATATAAGTATCACGACGATAATTATCTCGTTCTGCGTATCTTCTTGGTCCTGTAGGTTTGTAGCTATCACGTTCCTTGTGCTGATAGGTGTTTGACCTATAAGTATTTGGCGCAGGACGTTGATAGTCTCGTGAGGATCTAGGTCCCTTTGGAGGAGGTCTATATTTGTCTGACATAAATTTAACTTTGCTTTTGGGTATAGATATACTTTTAATATTAATAAATTGCAATTATATGGATGAAAGACACAACGGTATGGTTGTTTATGTCTATATTTTAATTTGCTGCTATTCTGTAGTTTTGAATATTCTCTTTGCTTCAGATTTTTCTGCTGGTTTGGGCTTTAGTTGATGTTGGGATATTATTCACCCTAGCTTTGGTAGGAAAAAAAAAAATTGTATGTAATGGCAGAAGTCAGGGTTACCCGGATGTAACAACGCCAACATACCTTTACTCCAATAAAGCAAATCACAAATGCAGACAGCAGAATTAACCTAGTTCTATGCCTGGGGAATCAACACAGTCAATGTAGAACAAGTAGCCTAAAAATATTCGAATGGTTACATAGAGATAAAGATTGAAGTGTAATCGCTACCGGTTCAAACTGAAACAGATATCCGTTCTATTTCAGTTTAAACTGGGCTATCCTAAATGAATATTCTTCCTCTGTGATAACAAAATTGAATGATTGAAGCGTGTAAGGTTAGTCTTTTGTATAACAGCAATCGCTCCACACCCTCGCGTTCATGTACTTATTCATGGTGGTTCCACTTGACTCGGCCAATCATTGTAATGATAAGTCCACTGACTTAGAATCTTTTGGAAACTATGGACTGAAATGTTAGAAGATAAATTCAACAAATTTGCAACACATGTGATGTGTTCAACATACTATCTTCTTTTCTGTACAGGTTGTCCACTTTCAGATGCAGCAATAGAAATGAAAACTGGTTTCAATAATTTCAAATGAATGTGCCTAGATGTATTTATTAACAGCAGCCAATATTCATATTCCTTTCTAAGCCTTATACTCGTTGGTATTACTTACTCTGCTTAACCAACGCCTTACAACGTTCATGTTGACAGGAGGCAACAACACTTTTTTTTTCTGTCTTCTCCCATAACGCTATTTTTTTAACCTACTCCGGGTAACATGTGGAGAATACAATTTCCACAATCATCCTATATGTAAAGAAAAACAAAACGGCTATCAGACCAAGTTTTGCCCTCCGTCTTATTTGCTCTTGCAATCCTGGATATTCAATTTCTCGCTTTCAATTTACAATTGACACAATACTATATTATTTGAGTTCCTTTTACTAGTTAGCAAATGATTAAAATGGTACGTATTTTTCATCCGATTTATGTTGCCTGATTTGATTCGATCTAACCATATCTGTCGTAGTTGGGTAAAGTGGCGCATATAGGTTTTGATGTTATTCTTCTTTCTGGTTTCCTTGCTGGTGTGAAACGATCTACTGGAATAACTCCAAATTTAGAATCAATTGAAAATAAGGATGTAAAGTATTACAGTCAGAAATACTTGGATTTGGGTGAACGAGCCTTTGATTGGAGCGTGGCATATTTGGGTTCATCCGAATATTTCACAAGAAAGTAAACGATTTTTCTTTTAGCCTAGTTCGTTTTAGTTTTGAATGTACGTGTGCATTATTTATACTAATAAACTTGTTCTTTGTAAAAACATCTATATAACAGACATGGCCCTAAAAAGTATTAAAAAAATCATTACTACAAAATAATTCCTAAATAGTAATAATACCCCAATTATGAAATCATCAATTTCCGTTCGAGAAACTGGCTTACTCGACAGTAACAGACTTGGCCAAGTTTCGAGGGAAATCAACATCAATACCTCTGTTGACAGCTAACCAGTAAGAAATCAATTGTAAAGGAATAACATTCAATAAACCTTGTAAACAATCGACAGTTTGTGGAACTTCCAAAGTAGTGTTAACCTTGTCATTAGCGACAATAGCATCTCCCTGGTTACAGATAACAATTGGTCTACCGTCTCTAGCAATAACTTGTTCGATGGCAGACATAACCTTAGGGAATAAAGAATCTCTAGTAGCAAAGGCAATAATTGGCAACTTATCGTCAACAAGAGCCAAGACACCGTGCTTCAATTCCCCAGCTAAAACACCTTCTGAATGCATGTAAGAAATTTCCTTAATCTTTAAGGCACCTTCCAAAGCAGTTGCAAATTGGTAACCTCTACCTAATAATAATAAGGACTTTTGTTCGTTAAGAGTACTGTTACACAAGTCCTTGATCTTTTCTTCCAATTTCAAAACTTCCTTGATTTGTTCAGGAATTTTTTGTAAACCTTGAATGATTTCCTTGTGTCTTGGGGTTCTGGATATGGAATCATTGGATAAAGAGAGGGCAAACATAACTAAGGCAATGTATTGCGAAGTGTAAGCCTTGGTAGAAGCAACCCCGATTTCCGGACCAGCATTAATGTGGACACCACAGTGTGTTTGTCTGGACATAGATGAACCAACAGAGTTGACAATACCAACAGTTAAAGCACCTCGTTCCAAACAGTATTGTAAAGCCAAAATAGAATCGGCGGTTTCACCAGATTGAGAAACAAAGACACAAGTATCATCTCTAAACACGGGTGACTTTCTATCCAAGAAATCTGATGCTAATTCCACAGATACTGGGATTTCAGTCAATTCTTCAAAAATGGATCTTGTGGCCAAACATGAATGGTAAGAGGTACCACAAGCAATCATAATGATTCTTCTACATCTTCTGATAGTAGTCAACCATTGTTTTAACCCACCTAAAGTGACTACGAAGTTTTCAAAATCAATTCTACCTCTCATGGTGTTGAAAGCAGAATCTGGTTGTTCAAAGATTTCCTTTTGCATAAAATGCTTGTATGGACCCTTCATAATTTCATTTAATTCCATTTCCAAGGTTTGAATTGGTCTGACTCCAGATTCACCAGCATTCTTAGACGAAGCTCTGTGGATATGTAATTCACCATCATAAATATGGGCAATATCATCATCTTCCAAAAACAAAACCTTCTTGGTATGTTGAATAACAGAGGCTGGATCAGATGAGAAAAAGAATTCAATTGGCATAGGAATGTTGTCTTCAGATAAGAAAGCACGAGATTGAGAAGTTCTCAAATCACCTGGAGCAACTGGTAACAATCCCAAGTCTTGACCATTGGCACCATGTTGAAGTAATGGAGATTCAGCATTAGATTCTGGAAATTCAACATCGACAAAATCAACCTTTAACTTCTTTTCAGTCTTAACCCCAACTAATAATGGAGAACCTTTTCTGGTACCACAAGCTTCACCTGGATAGTGAACGGATTTAACTAATAAACCATAAGAACCTTCCAATTCATATAAAACTTGCTTGGTTAACTCGTTAAAGTCAACCTCAAATCCTTCCTTAAGGTTGGAATCGTAGATATGCTTGAATAACTTGGCAATACATTCGGTATCGGTTTCGGATTCAAATTTGAATCCCTTTGACAACAACAATTTTCTCAAGGCAGCGTAATTGGTAATAATACCGTTGTGGACGACAACGAATTCACCAGTTGGATCTGATCTATGAGGGTGACAGTTTTGAACCATTGGTTGACCATGGGTAGCCCATCTAGTGTGGGCAATACCAACATGGTTATCGAAAACAAGGTTCTTGTCAAAATCCGAATCGGCAATCTTTTGCCTCAAGACCTTAACCTTACCTGGACACTTGACAATGATAGATTCTCCCTTATTGTCGCCGTCGACAGCGATACCAGCAGAGTCGTAACCTCTGTATTCTAAACGTTGAAGACCATCAAGAAGAGTGTCAATTATTTCTCCTCTACTCTTATCGACCAAGAAGTTGATATAACCGAAAATACCACTAAAGAATTGTTAGTAAAAAAAAATGATCCCACTAGAAGCCGACAGGGTTAATGTAGGGTAACATACCACATATTTGCTTTCTCCTTTATTGATTTTCAACTATATTTCTAGATAAGCTTTTAATGCCACTAAAAAAAACGGATCTGTTATTTATCTAAAGTAGATTAAGGTGAATTAAAACAGCGAAATCTTAGAAAGAAGAAAAAGAATTATTTAAATAATCAAAAAAGTGAAACGTCTAAAGGTAAATTGGAAATTTTGCACCGCCCGCCAAAAATAGTACCAAAAAAAAAAATAAGAACTAAAATAAATAAAAAAAAATTGTGCATGTTACTTCGGAACTGCATATAAATGTACGATTATGAACATTATTATTGATCCCAATATCCGGTATATTGTCAAATATGCACTTGGGTCTAAATATCTTGATGATGTCAAGGTTCTTTACATTCTTTCCTACAGTTTGTAGAGTTTTTTCTTTTGTTTCCAGTGAATGATTTGAGTAGGAATATGACTGATTCAGCATAACAATTTATTCCTTTGTCGTTGCTCGGTTAGAATTTCATCGAAATCACATTTCCTAATTAGGCTAAATGTAAATAAGCCAATGTGGCAGTTTTGTTTAAATTTCAACTTTCGATGACATTTATCTTCATTTATTTTCATTTTCATGATCTAGTTTGAAATGAAGCAAGGCTATAATTAGAAATCTAATCATCCCCAGATTTGAATAACATTATGGTGAAATGTAACAACGGGGTTACATGTACAATTTTTTTTTCTCTAGGTTACATTTGGCTGGCCACACGCGTCATTTTTTTAAAAGGCTGCCAAATTGTTTCAAAGCAGGCATTTTACCAATGAATCAGATAGCTAGTTCTAGATTTTGGTGTTTTGTAGGTGGAAATATGTCTTCCTTTGTTTTGGTTAAATCCTGGAATGTAGTAATATAGACGGGATTTGAATAAAAATGAATAAATGGTACAAACTGAACAATTCACGTGATACACTCCCACATGCTATTTTAAGAAATAAATGACTAGCGCTGATGCCCTTGGTTTAATGGAAAGGTTCAAAACAACGGACCAAGTGTGACAAATTTAATGTCACAAATGAATTAGTCTCTAACTATAAGAACAGTTGCTAAGATATTTCCTGGTTATAAAAGGAGTAAAATATTCAGTGCGTCACTTTACAACCATAAAATAAGCATAAACGCTAATACTGAAGTAATGAAGACATTTACGATTTCGGTCTCTAATATCAGGGTTTAAACCCTTTTTTGGGTGTGGCCGACACTTGCATAACGGTTATTTTCTAATGTTCGAGATTCGATTGTTTCACCCCTTGCGGCTTGCGAATGTTTTATTTTTCGACAGATCATAATGGAATTGCTATAATTAGGTATAAAATTCTAAAAATAGCAAACTTCCCATTTAACAAACCAACTTGAAACGCTAATACCACAAAATTGTTTCAGGATTGTCACAAAATCGTACAATATTTTGGAAACACTATTATATTTCATTCAAACTCATACAGATACGAGTATTAGCTGGTATTACATAAAGTACCAGGAAACAATAATCAGTTGTTCAAACCAAAAATGTCCACAGGTGAGGTAAATATATTGGTTTGCTTTCTTGGACTAATGCGACTTTATTTGTAGTTATTGTTTTGTGTTTTTGAGATAAGCCTCGTGCGGTAATTCTTTCGGCTGCACTGGTTCTCTTTTAGTCTTGATGGCCGGAGACTCTGGTCCGTTTGTTTGTTACCAAAACAAATAATTATCCATAGTTATTAGCAATCTATCTTTTGTGCGTAAACATACATTAGTCGCACCCTCTCACTTATTCAGTATCAATTTAGTGACTATGCTAAGCTGATACAATAAATCGGCTACTAGGTAGATATTACAATGTTAATTTGATAACTTAACTTAGTCTGCTATATATGAAACTGCTTTAGTTGCTAGAAATTTGAATTTCAATAGAAATATAAAACTTGCAACCCTTTTTTTATCAACCAATTGATTCTGTCAATATAATTCCTTTCTTGGTATATCATTATATATATATATATAAAGATTCATAATGTCAGAATATAGAACTTTCGGTATCTTATCCCGAAGCTAAAGTATTGTTATGTATGGTAGTTAAGTACTTAAGTTTGCATGAGAAATTCTCAATCCAAGAATCGTAAGTACAACAATGAATTCCTGAACAAATTGTTATAAATCTTTGGCTATGTAACCCTAATTAAAATAATCTTTGCAGAATTCAACAAGAGCCATGTTGGCCTAATCTATGCTACCCTTGGTTAGAACAAGTTGATTGTACGACAGTTCAGTTTTGGTCCTGCAAATCAAAAAAAAGTATCACGTGATGTAGTTCTATCTGAATTTTCATTTGTGAAGTGCAACCTTTATTATTCGATCGGAATGGGAACTACCCACAGTTGTATATCATATCTACCGCAGATGTTTGAGCTACGTGGAATGGGTTCTCGAATAGTTCCAATATCTATTAGAACCGCATTCCGCCTTCAATATATTGTACCAGTTTTCAAGCTCCGTTCATTATCTACCAAGCCACCCCCACCTCCCGGTTCATCATCCCCAGAATTCTCAAAAGTGGCACAACGAGTTAAAAATGTTCCTAAAAAGAAACTTGGAGCACAACAATTAAGAAGAGCAGATCCAAAATTTCAAAAAACAACCGCTGATATTCTTTCCCTTTTGAATGAAAATAGAGAAACCGCTTCCTTTCCTGCTGCTTCCAAAACATTAGAGAAACACTTGTCAATAGTAACCTCTGTTACTGTAGGAGAGCTGATAAATTTCAGCCAAGTGCTTTCAGCAATTCAGGGGTATGATTATGAGGTTGTTATACCCGAAGAGGTGATAAATATAGAAGATGGTCCGAAGAAACTTATGGTTTTATCGAATGGTACTCTAGTTGGTTGGAATCTTTCTGAAGATGAAATAGTTTCAACTTATGTTCCGCTTTTGGGAAATTCTATTGAATCAAAATATAACTTGTTTGAGAGTGAAGAGCTCGATTGGATTGAATTGAAAACGTTGCCAGAAAACCCCTCATATAAAGGGAACTCTTACCTCCACGGAGAAATTATGGTAATTCAAGGCTCTACTATTGAAAAAAGGTTACTTGATATGGCTGCATTTGCAGTTGGTATTTCTCGTTCTACTCGTTTGTCAGTGTTAGAAGATCAATTGGAGGAACACTTGGCTCTAACAAAACAAAATTCTGAAGTTTTGGCAATGGGAACACGTATTACTACTTCAGAACATGAGTTTTTGCAATTGGCAGGGAGATTATTCTTATTGAGAGGGAAATTAAATTTATACAGTGAATTAATTGATACTCCTGATTTGTACTGGACTGAGCCTGCTTTGGAAAAGATTTATGAATCGGTATCGAAAATTCTTGACATCAATTCAAGAATTGCAATCTTGAATAGAAAGCTAGATTATGCAACTGAAGAGCAGCGTGCTTTCCTTAGTGTATTGAACGAAAGAAAGAGTGCAAGGTTAGAGTGGATTATTATCTGGTTAATTATGGTTGAAGTATGTTTTGAAACTTTTCATTTCTATGAGAGATATTTGGATAAAAAAGAAAGCGAAGCTGACAAATAAGGCCTATTAGGTTCCCTGTACATAGAATAGTAATTTATTGAGTTTGTAATACAAAACCAAGGTGAACAGATGTAAAGAGTAACAAATTGAGCTATTGAGTATCCCCTTTACTTGTAACTTCAATCTTCGTTAAAGCTTTTTGTTGGCTTAATGAGTGGAAAGCAGGACTATAGTGATTTCGTGTGATTTTATTCTTTTAAGCATAGTTGTTGCAAGGCAAAATTTTACAATATCAACAAAACTTCGTTACCTTTCCATGTCCTTTGCTTTGGGGTGATTTAGATTGGTGCAGAATTATTTCTTTACTGAACCCAGGGCTCTAAATCTCCAGATTTTTCTAGCCATTTAACAATGGACTGCTAAACCAAGGTATTAATTACATACAATTGGTATATAGGATTATTCTTGGTCTTGATAGTACAGGCTATAGTCCATCTACTAATATAGCAGTTACAAAATCGTGTTGTGCTTGAATATATATCACAAAAAGAAATATTTAAATCAGCAGTTATATTTGACGCAGTGCATGGAAGAACATTCTTAACGCACTGTACATGATTTGAAACAGTATCAAAAACAATAACATGTATTTATAACTTGGAATCATAAATTCAACAAATAATGTGGAATAGTCACTCATATTAGTTCTTACATCTACTTCATGATAAAGAACTATTTTAGAATTTAAATTTACCTTTATATTGCGAAAAACACAGTTAACAACCTGTGCATTATTTGAAACCTTTTTTGCAATCAATATGTTACAAAGCAGTTTCATCTAATTTTAATTACTTTTTACTATGCGAACAAGAGATCTATCTGAAGTTGAATTTGACACAATACATGGAACTAGAAAATCTAAATTCTCGGTCATATGATGATGCAAACAATTATTGACAGAATCAAATTTGAAGTTATACACTTGTATTCTTAACTATTATATCTATTTCTGTCTATCATTGAAACAATGATTAAAGGCTAAATATATTACAAGTGGCGCTTATATCTTTCTCCGGTATTGGGCTCTAGCAAGTATTAAAATAGTATGGATTTGACCGGCATATGCATATAAGCTAGAATATAGTTGGAATCCCCCGAGTATTGTTTCAGAAACAAAAGCTTAATTTGGTTATATTTGATCTTGTTGCAAATAAATCATCAATTATAAAATGCTGTAAATAGACAAAGATTTCTTATTAGAAACGGTTCTCTTTTACAATTGGTCCTCAAAGCTTGTGATTGAAATTTTATATGCTGCAAATGTTTAGATTATTCTTTCTGTTGTTATTAACAAATACAATATTTGCTCAGCATCTTGACAAACGGGCAACTTTAGTTGTGACAGACTTGGAAACGAAGGTGGTAACCAGCTGTGAGCACAGACCCAGCTTCCTAACGACTGAATACGTTACTGAAATGCATACAGAAATAGTAACTACCTGTGAAGATGAACGTCCTTGTGAGCCTACTACTTCAAGTGAAGAGATTGCGATCGTTATAGTTACGCGCACATCTAATACCACTATTTGCCCACTCAAAGAGAGTGCTAGTTCTGAATCATTAATGCCAACTGAAGTCATCACTACAGAAATAGAAGACCACACTACTGCGAATGAAGAAATTATCATTATAGTTACACGGACAACTAATACCACAACATGTCCACTTACAGACACTTCTGGGATTGAAATCTGGGAAACAGAGATGCCACCAGTATTAACTACTACAGAAGTAGAAACAACCTTAGTTGAAGAAGCTACTAGTGCTGAAGGTTTATTCTACTACCCTACGACCGAAGCACCAGTCGTGGCCACGGAAGCTCCTACAACTGAACCAACAGCAAATCCTGAAGAGCCTACTACTAAACCCCCAATTCCTGTTGAAACCTCTCCAAATAGTGAAACATCTAGTGGTAGCACTATTGTGACTAAGGGAACCTCGGAAGATGTCAACCCAAATACTGAAGATAGTAATGAAAATGTTACAACTGATACTGTCCAATTCGACAACATCGTTTATTCCTACTATTTCCCAGAAAGTTCAATTATGAGCACATCGGTCATTTCTACGCCTATTCCTATTCCAAAGTTACCTACAACTACAGCTCCAGAGTCAAGGGAAAAAGTAGATACTGCCGGGGAATTTGATTCCACCACTAACATCACAGTTAGTCAGACTGTGACATTAACTGTTACAAGCGAGGATGAACCTTCATCCACCCCTACAACGGTTGTGCCATACATTTCAAAGGGTCCAGAGAATCCACCACAAGCACAACCCCCGAAAGATCCTCCACCCAAAGTACCATTTGAAGGTAAAGCTGGTTCTTATTCAGTAAGTATCTTACTTTTGGTCGCTGCTTCCTTCATTCAGATCTAAATTTGTTTTACCTTTCTAATTCGTTCTTTTTTTTTGTATTTTAACTATGTTTCCAAATATATAGTTGTTACTGTTTAAACAATTGTGTAAAAGGTATGGACACTGTTGTCTTCAGTTTGAGGGAGATCTCTTCGTGTTTCTCAAATCGGCTAAATCTGACTCTGGTACAAAAAAAAGTTGTTTTCCAGAACTTTGTGTAGGGTGACTCTTTACTGGAAAGTTGCCAATTCAACCCTGTGGTAGAAGGGACAATCTAATCCTTGAATTTATTGCATATTATAATTGTGTCTATATTTGCAGTCATTGCATGAATTGATCAAAACAGAAAAACAGAAAACAAATTTTCAACTTATTGCAACAATTTAATAGCCGAAATGTATTTACGGAAGGATTCTACGCTTCAAAAGGGCTTATCCATGGAAGTTAAGACAGGTGTTTTAGATAGTTACGGAACTATGTCGCCGGAACGCGTATTTTAACGGAGACTCGGACTTTTACGGGATTTTGAAAAATTGTACGCTACTGTGCAGGATATGTCGGAACTCAGTTTCCTATGAACGAGGCATTTCTAAATTATTCTCGCTTCAGATGCCCATGCTTAGCATTACACTAAACTGACAAACAGGTGAGGGAGAATGGGGGATTGAACTTGCCAATAACGTTCCAGTTATAAATTAGCTGATAAGAGAATAGAGACTCCAAGAAAATTTTTCAAATTCACAATGTCATAGGGGGGTATGGGGATCATAATCCGCACCATTATTAGCCTAGAATTGATCGACAAGAATAATAAAATAAGTGGAGAAGATAAGTTCTAAATTAAGTAAAAAAAACTGGACTATTGTCAGATGATTAATTATTGGCCCTTATATAGTTCGATTCTGGTTTGATTAGTGGTTCATAATGAGTCTGATAAACCAATTAAAGCAGGAGTATGCATGAAATCTGCAACCTGTATATAAATTATCGATTTTTTTTCTCACCCGATAAGGACCTAACCTGTAAACAGACTCAGATCTACCATATACAACCTGCAGTTCTCAGATTACACCGGAAAATTTGATTGGACTGATTAGGATCAATCAACAATCTGAAATAATAAAAAAAAGAAATTTTACCCTGTCATTATTATGACTTCGTTTTTATTTTTTTTTTTTGCTGCGGAACACCTTTCCTACATGCAGATGAAGACCTTTCATTGGGTAAATTTCAGGAAATGACCTCAAAAATACAGAAGAAACACATAGAAAAGTATCTGGAATTGGCTTCCATTGATTGTCCTTGTGTATGGTGTGGAGAAAAGACAGGTACCACTTGGTTGTTATAAGCCAAAACTTAAGATAGAATCGAAAAAGTTTAATTGCTAATTGCCTTTTTGCAATTCTTTTTCTTTGTAAATTGATCTATTAGTTGAATCATTTGTATAGCGGAAAAAACACTATTGTCGAGGCTTACCTTGTCCCGCTTGCCTTTGGAGTTGCTGCTTAATCGCTTATCCAACCATAACGCCCGAGCAAATGTGATTCCTTTTTTTTAATATTTTTTTTATTTTTTTTTTTTATTAATTGGCGGTTTTCGATGATTATCTTTTTCTTGTATTTTGTGATATCCCAGCTGTTCAGTCACATTTATATATAACTTAAGCCCTCTGCTACAAAAATTTCAACAGATTTCTTTTTCATAGTCTTTACTCTTTTTATTTTTGCATCCTGGTATTTTTGTATCCTGTTCTTTTTCTTACTGGTTTAGAAGATTGCACATTCACTAATATAAATTCATACATTCATAACGATTCCGCAGCAAATACCGACTTATTAATATCTCAACCACACACAGACACACAAAAACATGTCACAGGTAATAACAGAGTTTATATCTAGACGTGAGCTATTCACTCAAGATAATCAATATAACCAAAGCTATGTTCTTCTATTCACAGTAGCGAGTTCTATAATTTGGATTATGGTTCCCGGTTTAGCATTTCTTTACTCTGGTTTAGCCAGAAGAAAATCTGCATTATCTATGATTTGGATATGTATCATGTCGTCATTCATCGGAGTATTCCAATGGTACTTTTGGGGTTATTCCTTGGCATTTTCCAGCACTTCATCCAACCCATTCATTGGAGATTTACACTTTTTTGGGTTTCAAAACTTATTAGGATCAACACCATCTGAATCTGACTACCCTGAAATTGCATTTGGATTATTCCAATTACAATTCTTGTTAGTTACATTGGCCATTTTAGCTGGTGGTTGTATTGCTGAACGTGGTAGATTCTTGCCATCAATGATTTTCTTATTTTGCTGGGCCACTGTTGTCTATTGTCCTGTCGTTTATTGGATTTGGGGTGGCGGATGGGCCATGAACTATAAATCAGGTGTTTTGGATTATGCCGGGGGAGGACCAGTTGAAATTCTTTCTGGTGTTTCTGCATTTGTTTATTCGGCATTTTTAGGAAGAAGAAATGAAACCTTAATGATCAACTACCGTCCACATAATATCTCCACTATTTTCTTGGGTACCTCTTTATTATACGTCGGTTGGTTATTCTTCAATGGGTTCTCTTGTGGTAACCCAAGTTTGAAGGTTGCTTACTCCATGATGAATACTCACATCTGTGGTGCTTTTGGTGCTATTTCTTGGTGTTTGTTGGATTTCAGATTGGAAAACAAGTGGTCTATGGTTGCTGTCTGTTCTGGGTGTATTTCCGGGTTAGTTGCTGCTACTCCTTCTTCAGGGGTTATTCCACTTTGGGCATCTGTGATTTTGGGTATCACTGCCGGTATTGTTTGTAACTTGTCTACCAAGATTAAGTACTTGTGTCGTGTTGATGATTCCCTTGATGTGTTGGCGGAACACGGTATCGCTGGAGTTGTTGGATTGTTGTTTAATGCACTCTTTGGATCAGCCACCGTTATTGGTTATGATAATGTTACTGACCATGAAGGTGGATGGCTCGATCACAACTGGAAACAATTGTACATTCAAATTGCTTACATTTTAGCGGTTGCCGCATACTCGGCAGTTGTTACTGCCATTTTATGTTTTGTCATTGATAAAATCCCGGGATTGCACCTTAGAATTGATTACAATGCTGAAGAAGTTGGGGTTGATGAAGATCAAATTGGGGAATTTGCATACGATTACGTTGAAGTTAGACGTGACTTTTTGGACTGGGGTAATCCTCAAGTGAACCCAAACTTGCAAGCGCATCTGATCCATGAGGGAATGATTGACAACCAATTAGTGAGAATCATTTCTGTTAACAGACCTGAGGTTTTCAATGGCGATGCCAATTCCATTAGTAGTAACCAAGACAGTGGAAGTATAAACGAGAAGCGGGGACACGAACCGCAGGCATATTTGGCCGAACACAAGTTGCAGCAACAACGTTCACCACAAAATCAACAATTGCATCCACAAACACAACAGCACATAGAACAACAGGGTTCGGATCAAGCGCATGAACAAGTGTAGGCTTGGTATGAGTTTGGTTATTAATTTATTAATACTTCACATTTATAAAAATTTTATTTCTGTACATTTTAGTTATTTTATTATCAAAATTTAGTTTATAGTTACCAAAAAAGATTTAATATGGATTATGACGTTATAAAATGCAGTAGTAATTCAGGGGGATCGCTGTGGCTGTCTGGGAGAGGTTGTCTGAAAAGTGGAGAGAGAGAGAAGGTGAAAGAAAAAGCCGTGTTTGTGTCACGTGCGTTTTAATCACGTGTGCTATAGCTATTCCTCCGTTTGTCCTGACGCCGGTATCGCCCGCACTCTTCGATTGACTCATAAAAAACATCATGAAATTTTTTTTATTTTTTGAATCTGTTACTCACAGGTGTGCGCTGGACCGGATGATTTTTTTTTTTCCCTTCTCCATAAATTGAAAAATTTCATACCCACTAGTCACAAGAAGTTTATATAAAACCATAATATTTTTTCTTTAAACTTTTTCCATTTCTTTCTTTCTTTCTTCAGTTATTCAACCGGATCCCTTATTACTGGAATAATATCAACCTTTAGAAATGATCTCTCGTAATTTAAGGGCTAGTAAGTCTTGCCAAAGAGCAGCCATGATGGTGTTAAGATCGCAAACTAGATCCATAGCTAATACCACTTTAAGAAAAATCCCCGCTGCAGTCGGATCAGGTTCCGCTGCCGTTAGACCACAACCTTCTCCTGCTTTCAACACTGAAAATGATGGTCCTCAAATTGAACCTCATTCGCATAATAAAGCTATAAAAAGAAACCGCAAGGACCAAATTATGGACGATTCGTTTATTGGCTTAACCGGGGGGGAAATCTTCCATGAAATGATGTTGAGACATAATGTTGATACCGTGTTTGGTTACGCTGGTGGTGCGATTTTACCTGTATTTGACGCTATTTACAACTCCGACAAATTCAAGTTTGTCATGCCAAGACACGAACAAGGGGCCGGACATATGGCTGAAGGTTACGCTAGGGCTACTGGTAAACCCGGTGTTGTTGTAGTCACTTCTGGTCCTGGTGCTACCAATGTCATTACCCCAATGGCCGACGCTTTGATGGATGGTGTTCCATTGGTTGTCTTCACCGGTCAAGTTCCAACTACTGCTATTGGTACCGATGCCTTCCAAGAAGCTGACGTTATTGGTATTTCTCGTTCTTGTACTAAATGGAACGTCATGGTTAAGAATGTTGCTGAATTGCCACGAAGAATCAACGAAGCTTTTGAAATTGCCACTACCGGCAGACCAGGTCCTGTTTTGGTTGATTTACCAAAGGATGTCACTGCTGCCATCTTGAAAGAATCTATTCCAATAAATACCACTTTACCATCCAACGCTTTAAGTCAGATCACCAAGAAAGCTGTTAGTGAATTCACTTCCGAGGCCATTAGAAGATCTGCCGCTATTTTGAATAAGGCCAAGAAACCTATTCTTTATGTTGGAGCAGGTGTTTTAAACAACGAAGAAGGCCCAAGATTAGTCAAGGAATTGGCAGAAAGAGCATGCATTCCAGTCACCACCACTTTACAAGGTTTAGGTGCTTTTGATCAAAGGGATCCTAAATCTTTGGATATGTTGGGTATGCATGGTTCTGCTGCTGCCAACACCGCAATGCAACAAGCCGATTGTATTATTGCTCTTGGTGCTCGTTTCGATGATAGAGTCACTGGTAACATCGCTAAATTCGCTCCAGAAGCTAAATTGGCTGCTTTAGAACGTAGAGGTGGTATCTTACATTTTGAAATTTCTCCAAAGAATATAAACAAGGTTGTTGAAGCAACTGAAGCTATTGAAGGTGATGTCACCTCCAACTTAAAGTCATTCATTCCATTGGTACATTCAGTTGAATCAAGACCAGACTGGTTCGCCAAAGTCAACGAATGGAAGGAAAAATACCCATACTCTTACCAAGAAGAAACCCCCGGTTCCCTCATAAAACCTCAAACCTTAATCAGAGAAATCTCTAAACAAGCCCAAACTTATGATAAGGAAGTTATCGTTACCACTGGTGTTGGTCAACATCAAATGTGGGCTGCTCAACACTTCACTTGGACCAAGCCAAGAACTATGATTACTTCTGGTGGGTTAGGTACTATGGGTTTCGGTTTGCCAGCCGCTATTGGTGCTCAAGTTGGTAAACCAGATGCTATTGTCATTGATATTGATGGGGATGCTTCTTTCAACATGACTCTAATGGAATTATCCTCGGCCGTTCAAGCTGGTGCCCCAATCAAGGTTTGTGTTTTAAATAATGAAGAACAAGGTATGGTTACCCAATGGCAATCCCTTTTCTACGAACACAGATACTCTCACACCCATCAAAAGAATCCAAACTTTATGAAGTTGGCTGAAGCTATGGGTGTTCAAGGTATTAAGGTTTCTACACAAGAAGAATTGGTTTCTGGGGTTAAGGAATTCTTGGATGCCAAGGGTCCTGTTTTAATGGAAGTTATTGTTGAAAAGAAGGTTCCTGTTTTACCAATGGTTCCTGCTGGTAAGGCCCTTGATGATTTCATTTTATGGGATGCAGAAGTTGAAAAGGAACAAAATGAATTAAGAAAGCAAAGAACAGGAGGTAAATATTAGGCGATCAAAAAATCTTTCATATGAATGTTCTCGTGTTATAATTATGACAGTTGACTTTTCTATTTATCAAAAATATATATATTACATGTATTTAACGGAAGTGTAGTGTAACTAAAACTAGCATTGTTTGTTTACTATAAAGAATTAGTCATTGGGGGTATTTGATGTTTCCTGCACAAAACTTTTTGAAGTTTTCTTGCAACAAAATATAAAGCCGTAGATCTCCACTTGAAGTTAACCTACACTCTAAGGTTAGACATACAGGCTAAACAGTCATGCATTTACACGAACTCCCATATGAGGTGATTGTCAAAGTCATTCAATACTTACCTCACGATGTTCTACAAATACTCATAGACTCAAATACTTGGGTTTCTTCAATTGCATTCAAAGAGTTCTATAGAAATATGAATGTCATGGATGACCCACATCAGTTCAACAGGTCAACGTCATATGGTGGGATAGATAGACCGACAGTTGACTCTATGCCAATAGATTTTCCTACCAATTCATATTTTGCAAAGGACAAAGATATCTTTGGACCAATTTCTGAAACTGCGGTTTTCGGATCAGTATACTCTCTAGTGAGGTTCATTAACAAACATCCTGAGTTTGTACCTGATGAAATTACATTCAGAGGAATATTGTTGTTGCTTCCAGTCACCTATGAGTTCCAAGCCTTTATAGAAAAGGTTCCTAGGTTATATATAGTAGAAACTGGTAGTTTTAGCAGGGGTAAACCTGAAGCATTTCATGCACTACATAAATACCGAAGCAATATTTGCGGTGAATACTATGATGAAGTATTCAATACTGATAACATACCCTCAGAAGCACGCCATCTCCTTATTCCACGTGTTTCAATTGAAGATTTTGAGGCATTCTTCCAACAGCACACAAAGGTAAAAAGTTTGGCCGTGAAAAATTTGTTATCCTGTCTGATAGACTTATACCCTAAATCCTTAAAGTTTATTTCATTTCAAATACACGATGATACTGTATCAAAGATAGTGCTTCCTTCTACGGTCACAAATTTAAAGCTAATCCTCGGGGGGTCATACGATGGGTCATTTGATGAGTCTCGAGAACCATTGGATTTTAGTAGCTGTGAGAACTTAGAATTTCTTGAACTAAATAGTGCATGCAGTGGAAATTATTTTTTGAAGTTTAAATTGATGCTACCCTTGTATTTGCAATCCTTGAAAATAGTTGGATTTGTATTGTCTGACTTCAACAAAATATATCACGGTCTGAATTCACTTACAAGGTTGGAATTAGATGGTACTTTTGAACTCAAATTTTATCATAGTTTGTTTTATCAATCGGAACTTCCCCCAACGCTAAAAGAATTGTATATAACAAATCTGTCGATAAATGTGCAGCCCTATGGATATCAAAACTGTTTATTACCTCATCCTCTCCTTAGTGGCGAGTATACATTCAAGATCGATAGCAGCTTTTCACTTCCCGATTGTTTAGAAGTTATTCACCTCAATTGTCCATCTATAGCTATTGATTCGTCTTGGAAAATTCCAGATAGTGTAAGGGAACTAGTATTGACTCGTGTTGTTTATTTTGTTAATTTTGCTGCACTTGTTATGCCAGAAAACCTTGAAACCCTCTTTATTGAATCGATATACGGGTTGTCATTTGATAGCTATTCCGATTCCAACCGTGTTTGCTTCCCAGAGAGTCTAATGTCATTCACGTATTACGGGAAACCCATGCATAACTTGGAAACAAACCTTTTGGAATTACCTAATTTGACGAGCTTAGTGTTGGCAAGCCCGGGACTTGAAGGTTTCAATGAGCCTTTCTTAATCAATGGAGTTCCGGTTGGTTGTTCAGATTTCCAACAGTTGCAAAATTTACGCACTTTGGAGTTGAATGCAATTCCCATATTGGGTAACATTAATATGAAACTTCCAGATTCATTAATCAGGTTCAGGTGTGCAATGTCTGAAGTAAAGGGGTTTGACGAGACTTTTCAATTTCCTCGACATTTGCATGAACTCATACTAGAGCAAACTGGAATAGATCTCAATATCTTGAACAAGTTACCTCCAACCATGGAGCATTTGGAGTTGTTGAATTGTAATGCTATTATGCCCAGCAGTCTTGATATAAATGCGCCATATCTCCGATGCTTGGTGATGAATGGCAGTGGAATAGATAAGGAAACGTTTAAGCTTTTGAATCTAAAAAAGTATACCAAGTTGCAAATTGTTGGGTTCCAGAATAACAGGATCTCCGAAATTGATCTTTCGCTATTCCCACCATCGGTTACAAATGTGCTGGTTTATAAGAACCATGCCAAAATCATATATGGAGCTGACACAGATCTTCCAAACTTGTGCAACCTTGAACTTTCGGAGAATTTGGTTCAAGAACACTATGACAACATGAAGAAAAAAGAGGTTACCGACGCCAAGCTAGTGATTCCCGAGAGAATCGAATGCTTGAAGATGCGAGATTGTTCAATTACAGATACCGAGTTTGTAGTTTGGCCAAAGGAATTGGGGTTAGTTAGGTTGGATGATAATTCTATATCACTAGCCGATTTGAGCAGTTTATGCCTACGATACTCGACAACAAAGTGCTTTGGGGTATTTTTGTGTCAAAAAAATTGTTTTATGCACCAGAACTAGAACCTTACAAACAAATTGGAACCCTAAAACTGATCTAGAATAGTACACATTAAGTATATTAAAAGAGTATACAGATGCATCTTTTGCAACTAATAAATCTATTACTACTGTAGCAAAGTATTGGCTTGTAACTCATCTTTAGTGTAAAGGAAAGGGCACTCCACATTTTTGTCTATTTGCACGACTTTGTGTCAGAATAAAACATGCGATTTAATTCCCTGGTCTCTGACTCATCACCATCAACATTAAGGTTAGAAACCAAATAAGATGCATATAAGTCAATTACCGGGAGGTGCAATTCAGTATATAGTGGATTTACTACCAAGAGATATTCTTGAAAGATTACTTGAATTTGACAATTGGGTTTCCCCATACGCATTCAAAAAGTATTATGCCAGAATAAAGGTCATTGATAATCCATCCCAGTTTAACAAATCCACCTCATATACGGGAGTTGAAAGACCTGAAATTATTCCACTTCTGTCTTTTACTCCATATTTCAAGGATGAGCAAGATATCAGTGTGTTTGGATCTTTATTTTCTTTGTCCCAATTTATTAAAAAGAATCCTGAGTTTATTCCAACGGAAATTACTTTGGAAACATTGGCGTCGTTTGTTAGATTAGCTTATGAATATCAATATTTTTTAAAGCAGGTCAAAAGCATTCGTCTAATTCAACTTGAAGACCTGACACAAGAACAGGGTATTGGAGGTGCCTTGGCGCAATCATTCAAGCTTCTCCATCGTGTGTTCAACAACATTGACTGTGAAGTCTTCAAGACAGCAATACACCTCAGTCTTGATGCATTTGATATTCCTTCAAACGCAAGCCACGTTGACATTCCCTCTGGTGAACTCCAGAATTTTGAGGAATTTTTTAAACAACATTCTCAAATTGTAAGTTTAGAGGTAAGTAACTTATTGGAAGCGCCTACCGTTGTATATCCAAGTTCGTTGACCTATGTGGGATCTCTTATACCTGCTTGTGTGCCTAAACTAAAGGTTAGAATTGCTGATTCAGTGCAAGTATTATCACTCTCTGGTCGCTCCTTTGAGAAACTTGGAAATACAATTGATTTGGAAGCTTGTACGAAGTTAAAACATTTTGAATTGAGTCAGACGGTTATGTCTAAAGATTTCAGGATTATTTTAGCACCAAATTTAGAGAGTTTAAGATTGAATGATATTACTTCTAGCTATGGATTGAGCTCTTTACTTGTTGGTCAGTTGCCATTAAAAAGGATAGACCTTATTGGTTACTTTAGCATGAAATTCTACCATGACTTCTTTTATGAGTATGAATTTCCAGAAGCATTGGAGGAATTATACTTTGAAAATCTGAATCTTTTAATGGACTCGACTGAGTACTCCGATGGTGTTCTTCCCCATCCATATCTTAATGATGTATTTGATCTCCGGATTAATGAAAAAGTGAAATTTCCCAAAGGTCTTAAAATATTACATTTAAGTTGTCCCTTTACTGCTATTGACTCAACTTGGAAGATCCCTGATACGATTAAACGTTTGGTCTTGGCACATATTCTGTATATTGTTGATTTTCCTGGACTTGTCTTGCCTTCCAGTCTTGAGAATTTCTTTGTTGAGCCTATTTATGGATTAATTTCGGAAAAGACCACTAATTCTGATCTTATCAGCTTCCCTGATAGTCTTGTTTCGTTTACATACTACGGAAAGCCAGTTGAGTATTTCCAAACCAACCTTTTGGAATTACCTAATCTTAGAAATTTGGTATTTGCTAGTCACGGGCTCGAAGGTCACAGTGAACAATTTTTCATTAATGGCAACAACATCGGAAGTGTTGATTTCCAAAACTTGCACAATTTGCAATCGTTTGAATTAAACGAACTTCCTAAACTAGGTGAACTTTCAATGAATCTTCCAAAATCATTACGGAGATTCAGAATTGCCATGTCGGAAATGAATGGGTTTTCTCAGTCATTTGAATTCCCTCCGTTGGAGAGTCTTATCTTGGAGCAAATTGGAATTGATCTTGACATCCTTAACAAGTTGCCTTCATCGGTGGAGCATTTAGAGCTTTTAGAATGTAAGGCAAAGATGCCTGAACATTTAGATTTGAATTTGCCCCATTTGCGTTGTTTAGTTATGAATGATTGTAACATTGACAAAAAGACGTTTGAATTGTTAAACTTGAAGAGATTTACCAACTTGAAAGTTGTTGGGTTCCAAGATAATAAGATATCTGAAATTGATCTTGCTTTGTTCCCTCCCTCAGTCACGAATTTGCTGGTTTACAAAAATCAAGCTAAAATAATATATGGAGAAGATGTTAATCTTCCAAATTTGAGAAACCTTGAGCTTTCAGAAAATAATATGATAAAGCATTACGAAGAAGCTGATATCTCGGTAAAATCAAAATCTAAGTTTATTGTTCCCGAAGGGATTGAATGGTTGAAATTAAGAAAGTGCCTGATTTCTAATTTCGACTTTATAGTATGGCCAAAAGAATTGGGTGCAATAGCTTTGGAGATGAATCGTATACGTGATGAGAACAATTCTAACATTATAGACTTGTGTAAACGATATGCCGGGGCAAAATGTTTTGATTCGATTAGTACTACTGACATCTGCGTAAGTTCGGGGAGGACTAAGATGTTTCTAGAATATCAACAGAGGGGAATATTGAAAAATGTGGATAACTATAGTTAAAGTAAATATTATTAGTTCTTTATCATATATTTTTGAACCAAATGTATATTAGTTTAACTTTTTTAGGAAACTGTTAATCCCGGTAATACTAATTAGGAACCATTTAATACCGACAATATTGCCTTGTGCCTCTTTGGGAAAGATATAACACCGAAATCAATGCTCACACAAATTACCTAAGGAAATAACACTTAACCAATACGGTAATCCCGATAGAATATCACAGGGTGGTGGTAACTTTTTTTACCTCTGTTACAACCTGGAGATAATTCGTGATTTTTTTTTGAGGAAATAAAACCGAAGCCTGTATCCGGAGAGGATAGACGGTGTGGCTTAGATAATGTTGCAATAAGTCTGCAAATTTTATTTTTTATTTTTTTTTTTTGCCTTCATCACCATCGGGTTCCGGAAATTTTACCCTAGATATTTTGTTTTGCCGCACTTTTTTTGTCTTTCCGTACCTTTTTTTTCTTTTCCGTCCCTTTTTTGCGCAGCCGTGTTCCGCTCCGCTTCCCGTTCCGTTCAGGCCAAGAATACCTTATTTAATAGGCTGCAAAAAATCATATCTAGTATGTAGAATAACTTTTAATCATCATTAAAGACATTATGGGTCGTCCTACTATTCCATGCAAATCTGGTGCCGATTGGAAACAATTATTCCAAGGTCAGTTTCCAAGTAAACCGAAATTTACTGAGAAAAACTATCCTGATTTAGAAGGTAAAGTTGTGATTGTTACTGGTGGTAATTCTGGTGTTGGTTTTCAAACAGTTAAATTATTAGCTGGTGCAACCAAGGCTAAGATTTACATCTTCTCCAGAAATGAGAAAAAATGCATGGATGCAATAAATCAAATTAGTTATGAAGTTGCAGAGGAGTTCAAGGTGACTAAAACCAACATTCATTTCATCAAAGTTGATTTAGGTGACTTAACTACAATCAGACCAGCAGTTGAAGAATTTCTTAGAAGGGAAAAGCGATTAGATATCATAATTCATAATGCTGGGGTCATGCCTTCTGAATACAGCAAAACTGTTCAAGGTCATGAATTACAATTGGGAACAAACGTAATTGGACCACACTTGTTGCAAAGACTTTTAGATCCAATTTTAATTGCCACATCCAAAACCAATAAAACAGGTGAATCAAGAATTGTTTGGGTCTCTTCATCCATCCATATGTTTGCTCCACAAGGTGGTTTCTATTGGGAAGATTTAAACTATGAAAGTGTCAAAAGCAAGCTTTGTGCTCGTTACTACGCATTAACTTTGTACGGACAAAGTAAAGCGGGAAATATTGTTCAAGCTAGAACTTGGTCACGTAGACATGATGCTCCTAATGTCATTAGTAGTTCTATTTGCCCGGGTTATTTGAAAACCGGATTGCAAAGAGATTGTCCTACTTTTGAAAGTATGATTCTTTGGTTTTGTCTTCATCCAGCACGTTATGGTGCTTATACAGAACTTTATGCTGCTTTGTCACCAGATGTCAAAGATAGATCTCATAGCATTGCGTATGGTATTCCTAGTCATGTTAGAAAAGATTTGATGGATGATCAAGTTTGTGACAAAGTTTGGAATTTCCTTGACAAGGCTACAGATGCTTATATTTAGTCAGATTTAATTGTTTAGTTTGTTATTTGTTTTTCAATTTATACGCTATTTTCGCTAAAGTTCCGATTCATCGTAAGCTATCCGGCTGGACATTTGAGTATGACTGATTGCACTTTTAAAAAAAAATTGTCTGTTAAGTCTATTTCTGGTAAAGTAACCCAAATTATGATCACTTCCTAAACTAGCACTTTCAACTCTATAGGAACCTCTCTGCTACTATAATATAGCAAAGAAATGTTGCAAAAGAAAAAAAAGTATAAAAAAGAAAGCCCGATGCGGGGGTCGAACCCGCAACCTTTTGATGTCTAACTTAAGAGTCAAACGCTCTACCGATTGAGCTAACCAGGCTTGTTTTTTTCTGAAATTTTTTCAGATTAAAATAAATTGTGCTTTCTTCATTTACTTGAGTCACGTGGATGAATAATTCAAGATCACTATATTAAAAGATATATTCCTTACAATGTTTGGATGGCTATAAAACTGGATTAATCAAAGTATACGTTACTCTGAAATGTGGTGTAAAGTCCTTTCAATAAGTTTTGTGAGGTTTGTATTTTATCAAATTTTACAACAAATTTCCCAAATTCTCAATCAAAAGATAAAGTGTGATCCAAACAGATTCAATTTACAACAAATTGTTTTAAATCAAATAGATTCTAATTATACACTATAAATATCATATTATACAAATATTATATAACTGTCAATACCTCTGATAATACTCAGTTGGGATGACGTTGTCCCCAATTGCCCTTTTTGTCCAATAAAAGAGAAGGCGGAGGCAATGGATGAAGATTCAGCGATTGCATCAGCAGCGGTTGCGTTGGTTGAATAGGTGAAAGCAATTTATTGGGAGATGTAGTTGGTGTTCGACTAAGTCTGATTAAATCATTAATCACCCCTCGTTCTTTATTACTTAAATCTTGATCTTGTCTAATGTCTGAGTCTAATTGCATGTCAAACTTTGAAAGTGACGGGACTTTGTTTAATGAATATGATGATGGTTGTCCATAAAAGCTAGCTGATGGATTTGGTAATGGTAGTTTTGGAGGTGCAGGTGGTGGGGAAGTGGAATGTATATGATGATGAAAGTGCACCTGATCTGGAGTTGGAATCTTTGAATGATGTAAAATATCATTGCTTTTATATTTAACATATTTCAATATTTTTAAGTACTTCAAGTCTTCATCTAATTCCTCATCATCCCAATCTATTGATTTGTAGGAGTCTGGTTCTTCATCATCATCTTCATCGTCATCATCTTGGTTGTTTAATATTTCATCCTTAAACTCATCATTCATGAGTTTTCTAAATAAAATATCTTCTCTTAATTTGCGTTCAGAATTTTCCAATCCTGGTTTATAATTTATGAAAACATGCATAAACAAATCAACAGACCTATTTAATAACTCAATCGAATTTTCAGTAGGTTTATTAAACTTTAACTGGCATATCAAAAGGTAAATCATCTGCAATACAATCGATTTTTTCAAATTGATGACTGTCATAGATAATCCATTCAACATGATATTGAATGGAGATTTTGGAATTTGTTTAACATATCTTTTAGATTTAGCGGCTTTCTTATTTTTCTTTCTCTTTTTGGCAAAATCGTTAATAACAAATCCATGTTCATCAACATCTAATCCTAAGCTTTGCATTACAACCGAATTTGAAGGCTTTATAGGTTCAGCTAGCTTTTCCACTGATTTATCAAGATGACCGAATATCAATAAGAAATAACTTAATACCTCCTGGGAAATCTCGGCGATTTCTTGATAATTGTTGAAATTCAATTCCTTATCCACTATAAAGTTAAGATAATTCATAGATCTTATCAAAATATAATGGAAATTTAGTTGAATTTTAATCAATTGAGATGCGGTATGAATATCAGGTGTACCTGTAGTTTCATAATTAACCAATCCAGTAGGTGTTATACCCGAGGTTTGTGATTTTATATCATGATAAAGATCATTTTCAGTGATATTTAAATAATTTGGCAATCCCATTTCCATATGCAAGGGAACTAAACGTAATTTCTTGGTTTTCAACGATTGTCTCCAATTTGCTAAATTTTTGTCAATGGTTAAGAATTGATTATAATTATAATTTAAGTTTCCATCATTCCCATCACCATCATCTTCGTTCAAAATCCAGTCTAATCTATGGGAACTATGATGTTCACGCTTTTTCTTGTTTTGCCTTAAATATTGGTAATAGTTGGGGGAGAAAGATGATGGAATAACAATATTCATCAAATTCAAGAACTCTATACTTGGCTTTAATAAGTTGTTAAACAAGTCATCGTTATCATCTAATAAAGAAGACAACTTTTCCGGGGTCAATTGAAAATACCTATCAATAGTGACTGGATTGATTACAGTGGTATTTAAACTTGGCTTGAACCCAAATTTCAAATTAAAACACTTCAACAAAATCTTAAACACCCAAAATATCTGCACTCTTGTTCTTCTTTGTTGCTGATTTAATGATAAGTCATTAAAGAACAAATTCTTCAGATTAAGATTAATCCCCAATACACCAATGAATGCGTTTACCAATGCCGATAATATCAATGATTTTTCTTTATTGTTTGTTAACAACGAATAATACAAGAAGAGAAGGTAAGTTTGTAATTGGTTTATCGAGATATGAAATCCATTCATATAAGGCAAGAAATCATATATTGATTTTATAATTGAAGCATTTGGCTTCAGTTCATAGGGTGGATTATATTGCGGGTTTGGATGGTTTAATAGTAAGTTTAAATTAATGGTTGGGTCATTAATCATGATCATAGCGTAAATTTGGATAATTGTTAGGAGATACTGATTAACAAGATTGTAATCACTTGAATTTGATAGGTAGAATCCATTTATGGTTGCATCATCATAGGTAAACATGAACGGATACATATTGTGAAAAGCTTCGTATGAAAGCATGAATTGCTTATAATCAAAAATCGGAATGAAAATATTGTAATTTAGAAAGAATTGAATCACTTGATTGTCCATTTCCTTTTTGCTGCTAAACAAGTTTTTGAAATTGTTGATAAGTTTGATAAACAAGTCATAAACGTCAACTGGAAGTTTCTGACCAGCGGGTGCAGGTGATAACTCTGGAGTGGCATGGCTGGTATTATTACTGTGATCATCCGCAGTCAAGGGGTTGTAAATTATATCCAAATCCTTATTGTGTAGTTGATTGCTTTTGGTGTACGAAGGATTATAAAGATAGCTGTTTGGATCATTTAACAAATAGTTATGGGTGTTTGTAATTTTCAAAAAAGGTAAGTTCAAATCGATAAGCAAATGGTTAAATTGGGATTCAAAGTTTAGGTTATCATTACCAATAATTATTCCCTTATTGTCTAGGTTGAAAATTTGATCAATTGGGTTGTTAATTTGAACCGATTGGTTAGACGATTGAAATATAACTTTATCCTTTGTGGTGGTGGTAGTGGGAATGCTCGGATTGGCAGGAGTTGAAGATATTGATGTTGTGGACGAAGTTCTTGGGCCCATACTCGTGTCTGCCTCCTTTGTATGACCTAAATCTTGCAACTTATCTTGCAAATCCTTGTTAATACGTTCAAGCTCCTTTAATTTCAATTCTAAATTTTCAGTATACCCCTTGGGAAAAGCCCTTCTAGTTAGCTTATCACTTGTCTTGCATTCAAATCCAATTTTCTTGCAATTTACGCAAGGTAACTGTCCATCACATTTGATTTTCTTGATTCTACATCGATCACATGCTTGTGATACTCTGATCCCATTGGAAGTATTGATTAGTTTTAAGTTAGACGATGACTTATCTTTGCCTCTAGTATGGCTATGAGTGTCGGAGTGTGATCGCTTTGTCATGATGATTCAAATGGGTGTTTAGTGGGTAGTTTCCTCGTGGTTGTAAAAAGTCTGTATAATGAATGATCAGAAAAATCTTGCTAGGGCAAAAAAAAAGTACAAGTTGTGCAACAGTATGTAATGTTGGGTTACGACAATAAGAACAAACTGGTAGTAGTAGGAAAGTAGCACTTATTTCTATATCAAAGAAAGAAAGTGAAAAACAAAACAAATAGCTTAAAAAGAAAGCTGATTTCGGATAAGTGGAGTGTGATCTTTTTCAAAATTAAATAGCCTTACGAAATTCGGATGTTATTTCCACCCCAGATTTTTTTTTACCTTGTTCGGTTAATCCCCGAGAACTCGAAAATAATTTTTTTTTATCCCGGGGTTAGAGCTAGTTCATGTGAAAATATTGACACTTACAAGCATTAGCCACTATTCTTGGATGCTTGATTTATGTTGATAGTGACTCATCTACTTATAGAATTTTTTATTTTGTTTCAAATCTAAGTTGTAATTACTAACGGTCGTAGAAACTTACGGAGAACGTTGCTTTTGGTATTTATCCATTGTTCCTCGGATATTGGAACAGGTGCTTTTTTCTATTGAAATTTTTTTAAACACAATTCTGTCACACGCAAAATAATAATGCAAAATTATCATATCCGCCAATAGCAAATTCAAGCGGAGGCAATAGTTCAATATAAATATAAAGATTGTGGCAAGAGTTTCTGGTTGGTCATACTCTTAAAATACCTGGATTTACCTCTAACTTAATTTAGTTTATTCACAATTACCAACTTTCTTCCTCCAGAGCTACCAAATTTCATGATTAAACATTTGTAAGAATTTAGAAAGGTATTATTAATCTTGTACTTACTACTTTGCACAAATTACCTAATAATTGAAAACTAAGTAAACTCGACTAACTTAAGGCGGGTAACAGAAAAAGTAATAGCTGAAAATCCTTCTCAAAGTGTGTTCATACTTCGAGTAAAACTTCCATCTCAAGTGCTACCACAACTGTCATGAGTTGTTCCCGTAGCATTGACACCAGCGGAGTGGACGATGGAGATACCTGACTTTAAAGGATTAATAAATTACATTATAGCATATTGTGATGGAAACTGCGATGGTTTGTTATTGATATCAGTTGTATAAGCGTTTCGCAAGATTCTGCTAATCGCTGCCGTACTATTAAGTAATTAAACAGGATATCTTAGCTTCACTGGAAGTATCAACAACCACAGTAATTGCTACTATAATCAAAAGACTATCCTCTAATACCTGCCCTCCTATACCATTTCACATCTAAAGACAAAGATAATACTACAGAACTTCTTAAGGATAACTCGCAGTGATAGTAGCACTGGCATCCCGATTGCAAAAATCCAAGATAATAGTTGTAACTGAATTGGTATATTCGATTTCAGTAGCAGTAACATGTTAAACACATAATTTCCGTACAGATATTGCGTGGTGTAGGTACTTCAAGAATGTATTTCAGCACATGTAGACAACTCTCTTAATCGACTGACGTCATGAAACCCACCTTAAATTCCAAGCTAACATGGATCATGAGTGGAACGACCGGAAAAGTGTACGTCATTTTAGTTACACAAATATAAATATAAATGTGGTTTTAGCTAATTTCGTATTCGGGTTTAATTTATGAATCGCTTACTTACTAGACCTCATAGTCTGTTGCACCGAGGTAAAAATGTCTCAATTTCTTCTTATTTACTTTAAAGAGCTAAATATATCCCTTTATCAAACCAATTGAATCACCTGCAAGAACTTGCATTTTCTATACCAATTTGACATGTTTGCCGAGTGAAACGGTACAAAGTGCTTTCAAATGACACTTAGTGACCATTACGTCACGATTAAGTGGCGGTGTCAATTTCCACGTGACGTGGAAAAGAACATGCAAAAAAAAGAACACAATAGAAAAAAAGTTGTTCCCCACATCATGCTTCCTTATCGTGTCGTTCCCCACCTTTGCCATTACCAATAAGAATTTTGACAGCCTTCTCCTCACTTTGGTATAAATAGATCAAAATTCCTGATGAAAATTTTCTCTTTTTGATCTTCTTTTCTGTATTATTTTAATCATATATATATATATAGATTTACATTATTATGAAGTTCAGCTTATTTTCACACACTCCGGAAGAACAACCAGAAGAACAAACTATAGACATTACTCCAACTGAGCATACCGTCGAAGAACAGTCGGTACCAGAACCAGAACCAACACAAGAAATCGAAGAAGAGCTTCCTTCAAATCCGGCAATTTCAAAAATAATTCAACAGGAAGTGTATCATCAATCTTCAGATAATTTGGTATTATCTCTCTAAACAATTTTTTTTATGTGTACTGCTAGAGTTTTTTGGGTTATTGTTTAAGTATATCTTGGATAGTTTGTATATGTTTTTCATTTAGGTTAAACCAATCAATACTTTGATACTGTGTTAATAAATATTCGTTTTGTAAATCATTTACTACTTCAAATAGGATTTCTTGACCAAGCACAAGTCGGACTTTCTCAAGTTTGTGATTTTTGAGTAGCCATATAAACCGAGAGTATATTTTGGCTTGAAAATCAGGTATTTGGGACAAGAAGTAGAACAAGCGGATCACCGCGGTTATTCTAGTAGCGTTGTTTGTGTTTATATGAAGATTATAACTCTTGACAAATAAATCTCTGTGATTGAATTCGTGAGGAAACTGGAAGTTTGCTTGAAATAACTTTAAAAATAAATTCAAGGTCACTATTTGACATTTGACATGACGAGAATCACCAGAACTGGACAAAATTTCAAGCAAACACTGAAAATCTTCGTTGGTAGGACCATACCATAACAACTTGTCAAAGGCATCATTTAAAACCTGTTGATTCCCAGTGAATGACCCCAAGGTAAACACGACCCCTCGCCAAAATTCGCTCTGTCCCAGCTGCAACGTCTTATAAAACTGAAACAACTCACCCCAGTAGTTATCAAGTGGCGGTGTTGGAATTTCTAGCGATTCATGCAATAGTCCAAACAGGGCAAATCTAATTTTATCCATTAATTCACCCGATAATCTAATTAGCTTAAGTTTAACATTTTTGTCATGTCTATACAATTCAATATTAGCTCTCACTAGGTTAATCATTGCTGTTCTGATCTTTGAACCTACATCACCTTGAATTGTAATTGTATAATCGTCAAATAAGTCATAGAGCTTGTCAGTTAAACTTTCGCGAAAATTATCGCTTAAGTTATTAATTAAGTTTGCTCGAATATCAGCATTGACAGTAGGGTCTTTCATTACATGAACTATTTCCTTCAATTGACTTTGAGTAAAGTGTTTATAGTTGAATAAACAATTGGACAAAACGGTAGAATTCGGCAAGTGATATAAAATCAGTTCGTATGGTAACACATCAATTTGTGAGAACAACACTTGGAATGCATCGCTAAATCTATTCAAGTTGATAATCTTGAACAAATTAGTCCAATCCAAATCTGTCAAACTAATTGCGCTCGTCAAGAATTTCAAATACCCCAACGCCATATCTTGTTTATGGTCTTCGTAGTGAAAATTTTCAAATATAGTTAACCTTTCAATTGGTAGCTCGGGCAAGTCATATAAAATATGATATCGGTTATGCTTGACTAGTTGTTCAATTATGTCATCAATATTGTATTCATATCTTGGAATAAGCTCATATTGGCTATTCTGATCAATCAACTTCCTTAAATATCTTCCATCAGCGTCTTCTTCACATATAACTTTGACTAATTCGGGGACCAAAAACGACAAGTCTAATTTATCCAAAAGTAAATCAACCACTTCATAAGTAATGCCCTCAGTAAGTGTCAACTCGTTGAAGATATTCATAAACAGAATGACAAATTCGCCTCGCGATTCGCCATCCATCTTTATAAGCTTGTTATTAAATCTTCCCATAATTTCTTGAATCACGGCAATACAGCATTTTTTGATAATCAAATCGGTATCAAAGATCAATGCTTTGATTAAATCAACTAGTATAATATTGATATGTTCATCATAGTAGCATCTACATATTGACCAGATTATAAAACAGGAAGAATCACGAATTTGTTTTCCTAGTGTGATTGAAAGCCGTTTAATCTTGAAGAAAAGGCACTGATGACAAATGTTAAGAAGTTTAGTGGTATATTGTTGTGGCAATGACTTGTTGAGACAGATATATCCCACCGTGAGTAATATTGTATGATATTTTGCAATGTTAAGCTCGTTATACCTTAGGTTTAGGTCCACTATTTCATCGGGATTAGGTATTTCTAACTGACTCACTATGAAATCTATGAGTTGACACTGGTAATTCACCGCTGTATGCGATAATTCTTTAACCAAACCACTTAATCCTTTTGCCATTGAGAATCGCAACTTTGTGTCGAATTGCAGAATCATCTTATTCATTATGTCATTAATTAGATTGTTGACTATCAGGTTGACGGTAGTATACTCCCTCTGTTTAATATAGTATTTTCCTAATTTGCTTAGTATTTTAATCAGATAGACGATATTAAGTGTGGATGTGGTGCCTATGAGTAAATCATGGATAATCACATGGTAAATCATATTAATATGCTCAGCAGTTAACTGTTTTCTCTTGAGTACTTTATTAATGGTTAAAAAGTACCCTAATTTCGAGTCTTCAGTTTCAAATGGCCAATTTCTATTCATACCTTGAAAATACCCCAGTAAAAGATCACAGTCTGACCTCGTTAACAATCTAGATAGCAAAATCAGGGCAATAACCTGATTCTTTGACCCATTATTGTATTTGTTCAAAATGTGTATTGCAATATCATACAATTGTATCTGCAAATTCTCTTCAATGTCATGCAAATCAAAAGGAACAAGAACTAGATTACATAGCCATATCAAACACAAAAAGATCTCAAATTCATTGGTTAAATTCCCGGTTAGGTTAATTAGCTTCGATATAACGTATATGTCACTTGAAAAGTATAGTGTAATCTGCTTAAATCCGCGTATTTTGGCAAATGTATAGACAACTTCACCAATAGCTTGCTTGATAGACGTGTGAGGACTGCTCAAGTATAAGTTCATCAATATCTCAATAAATTCATCAAGGTTAGGATCAAGAAGTTTTGGATTTGGTTCGAATTGGTTGATTAGGTTTATAAGTTTGACAGTGACATTTCTTGGATCTGATTCGGTATGGGAGAGTTGCACTAGTTGACTGAGGTAGGACTTTATATCATTTTGCAACTGTTCATTCTTTTTAATGATTTGCTGTTCTTGTGGCGAGTCCATTGACTTGTTTGACTCGACGAGACAAGTGATATATTGTGATTTTAGACGTGATCTAGTATTATCAAAGTATTGTGATATTGATGTATGGTGATTTTCGCCCAAATGCACGACTGACTCTTGAGCCTAAAATTTTTTTTTGTTTTTTTCACCATGAATATTTGTTACAACATAGACAGGCACTAAGCTGAAACTAACACAACATACTATTCAAGATGTCCACAGCTAAGCAAATGTATTACAAAATAACTCAAGTAAGATCAGTCATAGGGATGCCCGAGAAAAAGCGCCAAATTCTCACAGCTTTAGGACTCAGAAAGCGAAATTATATCAAGTATCAAAAAGTCGACCATCGTATTGCTAACCAATTAGCTATGGTTAAAGAATTAGTTAAAGTGGAATTAACCGACAAGTGCCAAACCAGACAAGAAATTAATCAAGATAGAAAGTTTAAACCTGGATTTGAACTTGTTAAAGGTGGTGCTTTCCTGAAGTATGAGTAGATGCATAGTTCTAAATTTTACAGCATGCACTATTATTAAGAAAGCGGGACACAGTGTTTGTTGGTTCCTTGTATATATGAAGCTAGGTTATAGGTAATAATATAAAGTCATTACAAAAGTGTATGTAAATTGCGTGCAGTTCTCTGATTAAACATTCACTAGCGGGGGGTTGATCTGGTTGTACTATGTAACTTGCTGGATGTTGCCCCGTGCAAACGTGGTACACTTTCCCTACGGCATCTGTTTACTTCTTAAACTTTTACATCTCATACCCACGGCCAAATCGAGTCACAGTCCGAGACTATGGATACGATATCTGTGAAAATTCTTAGCAAGACATATCTTTGCACATGGTAGCGCTGAATTCATAAGAGAAGTCCCGAGTGTAGATAAAATAGGCTTGTACCCATAGTTTAATGCAATTGCTCCATACAGAAATACCCTTTACAATAGCAACTGGCTTAAATCTCCAAAATCTGCCACCTATGGTCTGTGTCTAAATATCACATGGTAGCACTTAAAAGTAGTAGGTATACCGATTGTGGTGATAGATCCCTGAATGCAAAGGTAAATCAACAAAAGCAATAGCTCATGAGCCTATCGTTGAATGAAAACCACTAGTCGCGGTATTTGCCATAGAATAAACAGTTTTGAGAGTATTTACATAGAGTCGTGTAGTTTGCTTCTTTCAAATTCCTCCCCTCCTTTTAAAACCACCCAATGACAGATGGCTATCTCTGATCACGTGACGGTAATTGTTAGATATTCATTGCTATACCAATGCATATGGCCGATTCTCACGGTCCATAGAATTATATAAGTAGAATTAACTTAGATTTAAATCATACCACCACCCTTTATGCAAAAACTGGAAAAAGTGGAGATTATTTGATGTTACATGCACCTTACAAAAACTACCATCGCATCAAATATGATTGGATAATTCCATGATGGTGTCCTGCACACACGCCAATCGGGAACTGAAAAAAAAAATTATAGACCCATACTGAAGTTCAATGATAAACATAAAATTCAGGAGGTATTCTACATACACATTGCGTTAGAAACTTCTCGTATACGTGCTTCAGACGTTTCAAATAAGTTAAATTATTCATAAACCGTTAAACTGTTTATAACAAACCTGGCTTCCCGCACATACTAGTATAAGCTACAGAGTAATTGAAGATGTTCCAATATATAAAGGCTAGTCAACGAAAACAAGTCACAAACTCGTTATTTTCATTAACAGGAGCAGTTTGCTTCATGTTGGTTGGAGTAAACCAAGTTATTCCATGTCCTATCGACAACGTGCATTCCAACGATTCCATAATTGATGAACGATTAAAACAACAACAGCAGCAGCAGCAGCAGCAGCAGCAGCAGCAACAACAGAAACAAAAAGATGATGGAAAGACCCGATGAGCTAGCTCAGCAATTATCATCTAACATGCATTTGATCCGGTTTCGATAATCGGATTCAGGGGAGGTTGACATAGCGGGGATGTCTGACAATTGGCATATATATACTTGTACATATTGTATATGGAAGTAATATGAAACATATTCATTGATATGACGTAAGATTTGTAGTATTTCTGGAGCTGTCCGATGTCGGGAGAACAGGTATCTTCTATGGATAAGCTTTGGGCCATATAGCACTGCATACTCTACATATCCCTTTCATGCAAAGTAAATATCGCAGCCCAAGAACGTTGAACCTTAGTGAATGAAATGCAAACCTCAATAGCAAATAGCTTTCAACTCTTATTCAACTGCTAGTTATACTATGTAGAATCTAAGGCATAATGCCTTGTTATTAATATAGCCATGTTATATGCAGGAAACCAAAGAGAAATACACCAAGGTGTTAAGTATGAGGATGCACAGTTAGCTATTACAGACCTTATTATTAACTATTCTCTACAATGACAATGTCCGGATGATTACAACCAAGGTTCCCACTGAGCTTGTGTTGTACAGCTAGTTGCAGCGGTTGCAACAAATTTCGCAGTATTTTTTTTGTTAGTGCATTTCCTATTTAGGCCAAGCCATAAACAAAAATCAAATCAAGTTATCAACTACTTTCTTCTTCTGCAACCCAGAGCAATGAATACCTTAGACTACAGATTTCCCAAGACGTATACCCCTGAAAATCATGATAAACTTCCGCTTGATGTCCAACTCAATCGAAATGTCCGCATTGACTTGCCTAAACCGAAACCAATCCAATATATAACGTTGCCTATTGCCCAAAGTGACGATCCGTTAGATGGTATACTTTCCCAATGCAAGGGCTTAATTCAAGGGTACTCCTTGGAATTACCCAAGGAGAAAAGCACCAAACGTAAAAGAGAATACGAAGAGCCAATTACACCAAAGCATGCCAGGATCACTCCGTCCACCACCCCAAAACTGTCTACCCCAGTTGCAATATTGAAACAAGCACAAAAGGGGATATCTGCCGACTATGACGATAGCGATTATGACCATTTGGCATGCCATGCTGATAATATCTTGCGTATGGCAGTGGACTCCACAATGTTGGGTTCAACGTTGGGTTCAATCACATTCGCTAATGACTCGATATACGAGAAAGGATTGGTGTTTAGCAAAGCCGTCAAGATTGATATTAATGCTGATGAATTAAATGCCGCTGTCAACGACGAGTTACTCTAAGTATATACAAGGTCTAAGTAAGTAGTTTTTGTAATAATTCAACGTCCCGTTCATCGTAGCGAGGGATATACCTTTGCGGATTGGTGTTTTCTTCTTCGCGAAAGAGCTTGTCAGGAGAATTGTTCAAGTTGTTAGTAGCCCAGTAGTTTTCTATCTCTTCTGGGGTGAGCTTGTTCCGACTAGAACAGAATTCAACTAGTTGTTCCATTGTCTCACTTTTTGGTAATAACCGGATGATAGATTCCGGCAAGTTTCCAAAATCTTTTAGATAATGATAAATGTAAAATTGCACTCCGTAATCAACATACCCATACAGGGCCGCCTTGATCATACCAATGTAGTATCCTCGACTTATTTTCTTGGAATGTCTCTTGAAATAAGTAAAGAATTCATACGCACACCGCTTGGAGCTTTCTGAATTGCCCATGGCCGTGAAGATAATCTTAAACAGGTCATAATCCAAATCACCCTTCCAATCCCGACTCACTCTCAGTAATCCATTCATGGCATTAACGAGTGCGGTGAAGTTCCCAAAAGTCATTAAATGGGCGAACAAACAATTTATAAAGAATGTACGGGTATACTTGTGAAACTTGGAGTCTAACGCATACTTCATGTGCAAATTGACAAACTCGTCCAAGGTGGACATATTGAGGAGTACGACACCTTGTTCGGCAGTGTAGATGTTCTTATTAGACTTTTTCACCATAAGCAAATTGTTAGGGTCGGTCTCTTCGCTCTCTTGCACTTTCAGCCTATAATACTCAAATCTGTGCTGAATTCCGCGATTGTATCGTTCTATATTACGATCATGGACGTTATAATTCATCAATTTAACATTGATGGCTTGCGTGATGTCATTGTAGCGAATCACTTCTCCTTTAGTGGATCTGCTGACGGCATCGTCAATCAATGTCATTATCTTCATGATGCTTTCATCGGGAATGGTTGTTTCCCTTTGATAGCAATACGCTTCAATCACTTTACATAAAAGTTCATTGGTTATTGCTCGCGAACCCTGTACTTTCTTGTGGACGTAGTGCGATTCAATAACACTTAATGTCAGTTCAATATCTCCATTGATGGAGAATACATGGAGGATCTGTGATATTAAGCCGTCAGTTAATGAGTTGAACAAGTCGGAAAACTTGTCGCCGAGGATGATTGTCTCTGGTGTGATTCTGCCATCGGGGAACTCCTTCATGATGAAATGTTTATATACAAGTTTGACACAGGGGTAGTTAGTGTATTGGAGGGAAATCTCCAAGGTATTGAGCCAGATGTTGTCAGGAATAGCGAAGTTGCTGGTGATGGCTTTCTCGAGGATAGTTTCTATTCTTTGAAAGTCTAGTTGATTAATGCAGTTTTGTAATATTGCCACTGTGGGTAACTTTTCAAGTAGTTCACCTTCGGTGTGTCCTTTGCTGAGATATTCTTGGAATAATTGGTCATAATCTTGGCTAGCCAACGTGAACTGTTTAGTATTGATCAAATTCAACAAATATGTAGTCAAGTAATCAAACACAAGCAAATTCACGTCGGTTTTATTGCAATATTCCAACCAATTCGCATTCAAATCGAGGATATTATAAATCTTGGTATTGTATCTATATGCCAATAAATAGGCTTTCGTCAAGTAGTAGTTTTTAGAATTCTCCTCGCAGAATATCCTGTATTTTGTACTCAAGGCCAGTTCGTCAATTAAATAGGCATGCAAGATTCTCAACCAACGAGGCTCTGCTGCCAATGTATCTTGAATGACTTTGATCATAGTGACGAATTCGTCGCGGGTTATAGTGGCTTCCAAGACTTTGAATATTAAGTCAGTTTGGTCCGAGCTTGGTGTGGGACTGCCTAGCTCATACATGAGTTTGGTGTAAGTTAAGTCTACTCTTGCAGTAATTTCTTCAATGGACTTTATGACTTCAGTACCATGCAATGAGGTTGTGTTTTGTCGTGGGTGGACATGCGATTTGGTAGAAGGGTGTAGTCTAGATCTGGCAAAAAATGGTTGTTTGGTTCTGGTAGTGACTGATTCTTGGTGTAATCTAGTCCTTGGTCTAAATTTATAGTTAGGTATAGTTCTGCTAGTTGATGATTGGTGAGTTTTAATTCTGTTGGATGCTGATTCGGGTGTTTTAGCTCTAGTTCTGGTTCTGGTGGTTTTTGTTAGAGGTTTTACTTGATCAGTCAGCAGTGGTGGTGGCGGTGGCGGTGGTAGTGGTATTTGTTTCGTCGGTACTGACTCAGTCGTGATTGCGCGAGATAGGATTCCTCGGAATCCATTAAATACAACACATTGTGCTATACTCTTTGGACATCTACCAATCATTGATTCATATCACCTTTTGGTTGTAAATATTCATCTTGAAAAAAAAATTTTGTAAACTAAAAAATTTAATGGCCTGGTTTTAAGCTAAAGTACCAACTATGAATAGAATAGCGAAAAGATTCTTGGCCACCTCAGCCGAATCAATACAACAGACACAATACAATGTCTTTGATAGAGGCGCAAAACTCAAGCATAGATCCCTTATACCAAGACTGAACCCTAGTTTATCCCGTAAGAAAGACTACTTGAAGGACGATGTAGCAATCAAAACCATAGAGAGATTGGGGTTTATAACTAGACCAATGGATAAGGTGTTGGATTTTGGAAGTCATAACGGAAGTTTCCTTAAGAATTTATGCATTACCGAGGATATACCTCAGCAGGGTATTGACCAGGCAGATGTGGAAATGTTGAAACAGTTGAATAAAGACAAGGAGAGCATTCGTGGCAAGATTAAGGAGTTGGTGATGTTTGATTCTTCCGAGGCGCTTCTTAATAGAGATATAGACGAGGAGTATGCCAAGGTGTTTCCGGGTAAGGTGACTCGTGTAGTTGGAGATGAAGAACGTTTCAATCATGAAGTTTTAAAAGAGAATGAATACGATGCTGTCATTTCTAATTTGAGCTTGCATTGGATCAACAATCTCCCACAAACGTTAGCAAATATAAATAAAGTTCTTAAACCAGATGGGCTCTTTATGGGTACATTATACGGAGGAGACACTTTATATGAACTCAGAACTTCGTTGCAATTAGCTGAGTTAGAAAGACGAGGAGGTATATCGCCAAGAGTCAGTCCATTAGTGAGAGTCAACGACATTGGAAATCTTCTTAATCGAGCCGGATTTGGGATGTTGACCATAGACGCGCAAGATATAGTTGTGGGTGGGTTCCCTGACATTATAAGTCTCTGTGAGGATTTACAGATCATGGGAGAACAAAATGCTGTATTATCGAGATCGGGATACTTGCCAAAAGATGTATTACTTGCTGCCAATGAGATATACAAGAGCTTGCATGGGGAAGTGCACGATGGAGAAGTAACACTTCCGGCCACTTTCAATGTTATATTTATGATTGGATGGAAAAAGAGTGAAGACCAACCCAAACCATTAGAAAGAGGAACTGGACAAGTTAACTTGAAGGATATCCTTTAGTTTTGTAAAGTGTATATAGGAAATAGAACTATAACTTAATTTTTTTTTAGCAACCAGTGTGTCGACATCTTGGCGGCGAAAAAAAAAAAGGCCATGTCGCCCGCGGAAGAAAAAGAAAATTTGGTGCCTCATTTCCGCGGTACAGGTTTGTGGCTCCCCACCCACTAGTGAGTGAGCGAGTGCTACCACCCCGCCCCACTCCGCAAACATTAGTCAACTCTTGTCGCCCCACGGCTTAAATCGCTCATTTTCACAAGACCAAAAAAAAAGAAATCATACCACGATATCCCACTCACCCACCCACCCCCGCACAAATCCTCCCCCTTCACCGCATTCACCACTTTTCTTCTTTCAACAGCAGCTTTGCATCAACAAACACTAGCACAAACACACACATTCACATTCACAGACCGCCATGTCGTATAGAAAATCCACAAAAAAACAGTTGGTCTTGCCAACATACAAGTTAGACTCCAACTTGGTGCTCCTTCCCGGGATAATGTACAATGTGACCTTCTCCCGGTTCAAAGCCGCAGCTTTACTCTACCGCTTCAAAGACCTCGTCTCAAAAGTATCCATCATCAACAACTTGCTCAACGAGTATGACTTTGACACCGCAGAAGGCGAGTCACCCACTATGATCTCCCGCGATGCCATCGAAGGCATAACCGACTTCTTTAAGGGTGAACACAAGCAAGAAGACGTCGACGAGTTTGAATGGTTGACACTCGCTATCATCCCAAACACCGACAAGATAAAGAGCCCCACCAAAATTGACAATAACGTCTATACCGTGGTGAGAATCGTGGGTATTGTCGACGATACCACCAACATCAAATTGACATTGCAGGCATTGGCTAGAGGCGTGGTGGTGCCCAAGGACACGAAAACTAACGAACTGTTGGTTGAAGTGGACTGGAATACCCTGGTTTATGATTTGTCTAAACTTGTAAAGTCATTAAAGGGCAATGCTAGTGTATTGTTCAAGTCGATTGACAAGTTCTTATCTGAATATAGACAGGCACTTAATAATGGAACAACCACCCAGAAGCTATCATTGACTAAATCGGATAAAGACAAGAACAGTCCTATTACTGATAAACAAAACGATTTGCTTACATTAAACCCACTTGCTAACGCATTATATCTCCAATTAGCAGGCTCAAAAGATTTTAGCAAGGCCTTTATCAGCTTGCAAAAATTGTATGGGACGGAAATAGACAGCAAGACATACTTGCGTCTTATAGATTTAACATGTGCTATTCTTCCATTTCCAAACTATGAACGGTTAAACTTGTTGAATAAACACAAGCTTGGTGAACGGGCAATTGAGATCAACAACATGATTGCCAGATTAACCAAGGTGTTTGACGAGTTGAGAGCTAACAATTCGTTTGTCAATCACTGGTTCCATAATGAAGCAACAAACATTCAAAAGGCCAATGTGGTTTCTAACGAGTTGAAGCTGATTAGAATCCTCTTGGAAGGAATGACTAAATCCAATAAAGAGAATGGCAGGAAAGCCAACTCTCCTGCTGTTCCCAAGAGACACCCAGATGAAGACTTTGACGAAGAGGAAGATGACGACGAGCTCAAGGCCATTACTAATTTCATCAAGAATAAATTACCTCATATCACAACCATTGCACCCGACTCCAAGAGACTTCTTGTAAAGGACTTTAAGAGAATAAAAGCAGGCAACACACCAGGGGGCAATTCTGACTTTCATGTCATTAGAAATTATTTGGAAATAGTCATGGACATCCCCTGGGACAAGTACGTTTCCAAATTCAAATCTAACCGAGACATTGATATCAAAGCCGCCAAGAAACAGTTGGATGATGACCATTATGGATTAGAACATGTCAAGAAACGGTTAATCCAATACTTGGTTGTTTTGAAGTTGTTGGGAATGAACACTAAGCAATCGCCTGCTGCTCCACCAGCTACACCAGCTCTCCCTCCAACCAGCAGCAACTCCAATGAAAGTATGCTCCAGGGGAACATTGTCATTGCTAACAATGATGAAACCTATCATGTTCGTCAGCAAGCTAAATCACAGGTGAAGCAGTCGATGACGGAAAGTAGATTGGATCAGGAATCGCTCGAAGTTTCCAAGCATAACAAGTCGCCCATTATCATGCTTGCTGGTCCACCAGGTACTGGTAAGACTTCGTTGGCCAAATCTATAGCTACCTCTCTTGGTCGAAACTTCCAAAGAATTTCGCTTGGTGGTATTAAAGATGAAAGTGAAATTCGAGGTCACAGAAGAACCTATGTTGGTGCTATGCCAGGGTTAATTATCCAAGCTCTTCGTAAAGCCAGATCAATGAACCCAGTTATCCTCTTGGATGAAATTGATAAGGTTATCGGTGGCAATAGCGGACTTAATAGGTTCAATGGTGATCCATCGGCTGCACTTTTAGAAGTGTTGGATCCAGAACAAAACAATACGTTTATTGATCACTATTTGGGATTCCCTGTTGATTTATCCCAAGTTATCTTCATATGTACAGCCAATGAACCACACAACATGACAAAGCCGTTATTGGACCGTTTGGAAATGATTGAGATTGGTGCCTACGACTACAATGAGAAGTACATTATTGGGAAGAAGTACTTGCTTCCTAGACAAGTCAAACGTAATGGGTTCCCAGTAAAAGAGTCGATGGAAGAATTTGTCAATATTTCCGAAACAACAATGAAGAAAATCATCATTGATTACACGCGCGAGTCTGGTGTACGTAATTTCGAGAGAAAGTTGGGTACGATTTGTCGATTCAAGGCTGTGGAGTACTGTGAGTGTTTGAACTCAGATACTACGTATAACCCTGTGGTGGACGAGCAAGATTTGGCTATTTATTTGGGTGTTCCTTACAACATGCCCAATTATAGTTCTGCTGAAGGGACAACCATTGGAAATTCCCGTGTTGGTGTTGTTAATGGGTTGTCGTACAATTCTGATGGTTCAGGGTCAGTGCTTGTTTTTGAAAGTATTGGGTTTGATAGAAGAGTAGGTGGTGGTTCAAGTAGCTCCGGTTCTGGAGCTACCCTCAACATGACTGGTAGGCTCGGTGAAGTTCTTTTAGAAAGTGGAAAGATTGGGTTAGTGTTTATAAAACTGATGATTTATAAAAACTTACTCAAGGGCCAAGATCAAAAGACCTTGCTTGACAAATTTAACAACTTGGATATCCACATTCACGTTCCTATGGGATCGATTTCCAAGGACGGTCCTAGTGCAGGTATAACCATGGCATTGCTGTTTTTGTCGGTGCTCCTTAATAAACCTGTCCCTTCTGAGTTCGCCATGACTGGTGAAATCACGTTACGTGGGCTAGTCCTTCCTATTGGTGGAGTTAAGGAGAAACTTATGGGTGCCCATCTCAACCCTAGTGTCACGAAGATGATTGTCCCTAGAGCAAACAGAAAGGACTTGATTGAGGAGTACAGCAGAAGCATAGAGGAAGTTGGGGAAGTCATTGATCAGAATTTAATCAATGACTTGCTCAAGGATAATGAAGAGCATGAATTCAAGATGAATCAGGTTGAAAAATTTTATTTGAACAAGTATGGTATCCAATTGTTTTATGCTCATGAATTTTACGATGTTATGAAGATTGTATGGAATGATCTGGATTTATTAAAGCAAGCTACAAGAGTCGTTGAATATCATATATAGTTAAATGGACTAATTTGATTGTATCAATCTTTTAAAAGGCAAACTGTAGTAGTAGTAGTAGTAGTAGTAGTCACATTAAGCCAGAAAATAATCGTAGAGGTCTTCCAGTATGGAAGTTGATTGTCGTTATGTTACACAGGCAGTGGTTATTAATTTCCATTGCTTGGCGTTAAGGATATATGAAAGAAAATTGTATTTTTATGTAACGAGCTATAAATATAGTGGTTTTTTTATTAAACTAGTTAAGTTGGTTATATCTAAGATAGAAAATCTTCTAGATATATATTCAACATTTATTTCAGTAGTTAAAATAGGTACTTCATCTGTAACAGTTTCTTGAGACAGAGTGAATTCAGTTGTAGACTCCGATTCATCAGTCTGGTTATTTTCATTTTCATCGGGTTTTCCAAGTACAAGTAATGCTATAGTCTTCTTTGATACCGGATTCCCCATGAAAGTCCTAAGCAGTTTGGTGGCAATGGTGGTTTCTACTTCTCTAACTATTTTGTTGGATTCTTGCAGCTCATCACTTGGTGAGAAGTAGAATAGTGTGGGTATTGCGAACAAGGAAGAAAAAACCAACACTTGCTTGCACGGATTCAGTGATTACTGGCAGGATATTAATGATCTCTGATTATTGTGCTTTTCTTTAGAATTAATATGGCTGTTCTTTGAATCTTTTTAAGCTTACCAAAAGTTTTGCAGCATTCTCAAGGAAGTTGCAAAAAAAAAATGGAACATCTTGAGAACATTGGTGTGTGCAAGTTGATTACATATCAAATGATTACTAATCTATATAATATACACTTCTATGTTCTTCTTCTCTTGGCTTGACCACCTTCGCTAGATCCTCTCTTTTTACCTTCTTTGGCAAAATAGTCCTTCTTTCTTTCTCTTTCTTTTTCCTTTCTCAATTCTTCCTTCTTGGCAATAGTCTTTAACTTTTCTCTAAACTTTTCATCCTTCTTGGTCTTTCTCTTGGTTTCCTTTTCCTTTCTCACAGTAGCAATCTTTTGCATCAAATCTCTAGCCTTCTTTTCATCACCACCTAATACAACAGCACGCTTGCTCAAATATGTCTTTTTCTTTTGTGGCTTCATTTCATGGATTTGAGATTTGAATGGTAAGTTTTCTCTGATTGATTTAGGAACCTTCAAAGCATTGAATCTACGCTCGCTACGTTCAACCTTCTTGTATGCACTATCGTTATTCATTGGTGTGGCGATGTTTGCATCAGCACGAACTTGACCGGTTAATCTCATACCCTTCCATTCATTGTGTTGACCCAATAACAAAGAAGTAACTGGATTATAGAATTTCTTCACCTTGACAGGATACCATGTTTTCAAGAAGATTGTATCGGACATTAATACCTTATCTTCAAAAGTAGCACGGAAATGACCATCTGGTTTAGATAATGCACGTTTAATTTCCCCTCGGATACCAGAAACGGTTCTGATTTGGGCCCCTTCGAATTTTGCCACTTCCAAGGCATTAGTGAACATATCCTTGACAAACGCGGTGTTTCTGAAGATCTTGTATGGGTAACCTACCAATTTCAATTTCTTGACGATTTCCACTGATGAATTCAAATCTTCAACAATACCAGTTGCAGCCACTCTAAATGCCCCTGTAGTTGATCTACTATCGACAATATTGAACCCGACAAAAGTGGTGTTTGGAGCCACGAGAGGACCATAGAATGATGCAAAACAGTATGCGTGTTCGGGAGTGTATTTCAACATTCTGTTTCTGGTACGGGAATCAGATGTGGTGTATATTGGTAATGTTTGGAATCTTCTCCATCCCAAGGATAAGATTAATGGATCTTGGGATTTAAGAATCTTCTTGTGCCATCTATGTCTTCTGATTCTGACATTCATGATTCCGAATCTGGACTCAGTAGCTAATAACCCACCTAAAACAATTGGGTATTCTGGTTGGAAATTCTCAACAAATTCACAAGGAAGGTTGTTAAATACGAGCTTGACATAGGAACCGGCACGGAACCCTTCAATCTTGAGTCTAGTGGCTTGGTCCAACTGTTCAAATTCTGCCTTGTTGATTTCCAATTGTTTGGCCATCTTGTTTTTTTGGAATTCGTACCATGTTTCAGCTTCATTGTCACCTTCAGGATCTTCTCCATATTCTTCTTCTTCAAATTGCATTTTCAACTTGGCTTTCTTGGCAGCATTGAGTTTTCTCTTTTCTTCAACGGACAAGTTTTCGTCATTGACTTCGGCGTCACTGTCTCCTTCTTTTTGTTCTTCGGCTTCAAAGTCAGCAAAATCGTCTTCGTCTTTTTCTTCGTCTTCGTCTTCGTCTTCTTGTTGTTCGGAGTCTTCTCCCTCGGCTTCTAAATCTTCAAAGTCACCGTATACCTCTTCATCATCGTCGCCTTCCTCGTCCTTCTGTTCTTCATCGTCGTTCATCTTAGGGGCAGTTAAAAGTCTAGATTTCAAAATCTTGTATCCACTTTCATACTCTTCATCACTGTCTTCAGAACTAAATCTGGCCTTCAACTCTTCCAATGAAGGATACTTTGGTCTTAAGGTATCTAAATCTTCACTAGATTCTTGTACATCCTTCTTTTGGAAGAAATCATCATCATCTTGTTCGATGTCTTCTTCCTCTTCGTCGTCATCTTCTTCTCCTTTCCATCTTTTAATGGCGTCCAATGGTGAAACGTTTGGCATGTATAACAACTTGTTGATATCCCATCTCTTTCTCCCGTTAGATCCGCGCAATCTAGATGCTGCAGCAGCATAGTCGTTTTCGTCATCAGATGATAAAATATCATCTTCGACGAATTCCAATTCGTTCTCCTTATACCTGTCATTGCCAAAATCAACTTCAACCATATCTGGTTGTTCTTCGACAACATCTTCATCGTCAGAAAGCTCATTGTCAAATTCATCATCTTCATTAAGGGCCTTGCCGTAAACACGAGCTTTACGTAAGGACTTTCTACCTGTGTTTTGCTTGACTTCATCATCATCTTCCAAATCTGACAATAATCCTCCTTCTTCTTCTTCTTCTTCGGACTCGTCATTGACATTATGTACTGCTTTTGAGCTGGAGAATAATTGTAATCCAGGACCTTCTTCAAGTCTTTCTTGCATAGTCTTGGAAACTTCTTGTAAGTCAGTGACTAATTTTTCACCTTCACCCATGTCTTCTTCATTATCTTCTCTGTTAAAACTCTCCTTTCCAATGTCGATATACACGGCATCTTTATCAACAAGAACACCACCAACATCAGACATAGGAGCATATATGATCTTTTGCTTATCCTCTAATCTCTTTCTTCTTCTAGTTGTCTTGGCCAATGGTTCACCTGCTTCTGCAGCTGCCTTTGCTCGTTCTCTTTCAAGCTCTTCCAACTTTTGCTCAAAGTATGGCGTTGGACAAGGATCAGGCAATTTCTCCACCGCTTGGACGTGATAATCACCGACACCAGCGATATGTATATGAGCGTCTTGTGAAGGTAATGGAGTACCGTGCAAATATCCGTAAATTGCTACTTTTCTGTCACACTTTGGATTATCGGCAATTAATTGCGGGTGGGTCAAGTCGGTTATTCTATCGGCTAACAAGTAAGGATGCTCGTTTCTCCATTTTAATGGACGGAATTTCATGACACTTATAAATCTCGATAAATTGAGAATTTCCCTGTCTGGGTATCTCCCGTTTATGACCCCGGAAAGATAGAACAACTTGGCACCTTGGTACACTTCGGTCCAGAATCTGTGTTTCAATCGCTTCTTTGATGTTCTTAATGTTGATTGTGACTTGAATAAATCCAAATGGGTAGCGACACCGAGAACACGGGGCATACCGTGGTGCTGGGCAATATTTAAGAATTCCATGGTTTCCATTTCCAACCCGTAATTACCGTCGATCAACAACAACACCAAATCAGCAATCTTGGCAACGTCGATCATGGAGTTCAAGTCGTTGTTACATTCAAGAAAAGTCAATCTTCTCCGTTTACCGCTGACAACAGTGATTGGACCTTTGACTTCCGTCAAACTAGTCTTGGTTAATCGTCTAATTAACGACTTGATCAAGGTGGTCTTACCAGTACCTGGGGGTCCTACGACGGCAACTATGACTGGGGGAGGATCGTCGTCTGGAGTACGGTCAACCATGGGGACATGCAACTTCTTTTCATTGACATCGTGTGTTCTACGGGCCATCCGTTCCAACTTTCTAGGTGCAGACACGGCAAACGCCTTTATGTTCTGTCCATTCTGATGGAGCTTCTTCTTTGCGGTGGTCTTATTGGATCCACCTCTATGGGCTTTGTTAGCCTGTTGTTGGCCGTCCATGAGTTGTTTGTTGATGATTAGTGTTAGAGGTAAAAGAATTTTTAAGCTTCTTTTTTAGCAGCAGCTCATCTTGAAAAAATGTATGGAGTTTCGGGCAAGTTGGTCACGTGATGTTGGTTCTCGGAAGTCGTGTGTTCTTTTTTTTCGCAATTTGTATTCGGCTTTGCATTTTTTTTTTGCAACTAGCCGCTGATGTTTTATTCTATATGAAAGATATACTACCACGAATATTGATCCTGTTTTGCTTGCTCATATTAGTTGGTCCCTGGCATGTCTCCAGCCATAGGACATGCCATCCTGGGAGAAACAATCATGGTGTTCCATTCACAGGATTCAAAATTACACGACAGTATAAAGTAACAGGAGGGATCTTGCCGGTATCCATGCATTTTCTAACCTTATCCCATTGTGATCATGGGCGGGTGGATTATCAAAATACAATAAGGACTGATTGGCTGGGTTACGTTGATTGGGAAAGGCCTTTTTGCATGTTGAAGCCGAAGCTCGGGGAGATGTTGACATTGCCGGTCCATGACACCGTCAGCGAACGGGGAAGACAGATGCAGGATAACATTGAGTTGGATACATATAGTGACATTCCCGGGTTTTTCAATGTCAAGATGAGAAAATTGAGGAATCTACTTCGAAAGAAGGTGGACATCAACATGGAGAAATTGACCAATGGCAAGTTTGTGGAGTATAGTGGCAAGAACAAGTTTTTTCATCATGAAGATCTTCTTTCGAGTGATCCACAAAGTTCACTTGAATGGGAATCTCGGAATTTAGTTTGTTATAAAATGGCAAGAAGGAAGAAATACGCCAAGAGACACATTTCATTTTATGTTCCATATACATTTGTCGGTGGACTCTTTGAATGTTTTATCCCCCCACAAATCAAACGAGAAATATTCCAAAAATATACCCTGGCGGACCTTATTCAACAGTTCGACTTCAAATGCGATCCCCAGCTTTCACGACCAATCTCTCCATTAATAGCCGAGGATTCAACCAAGAGATGGGTTGAGAATAAACTCTACAATTTGCTTAATCCAGGGATAATCCAAACCATTCCATACTTGACCACTCTGACGCCCATGGATCTTCGGTTTTCCAGCTTGGAAACGTCAGATATGTATCGAGACACATGGGCCACCAAAATCGACGTCAATGAAGACTACGTATACCGAGAAGCAGATTTACACATCATTTCTCAAGCAGTTGCAAAACTGGCTGATTTGTTAAACAAGATCATTTCTCCCATAGATTTCAATATGCTTTTGAAAGCGTACAATCGAGCCAATGAGAGGGAACATCCTGATGCTAAAAGTGTGTTAGAATACGACCCTGAGGAATTTGAAATCATGCTTAGCAAAGCTTCCTTTGATCAGAAAGTGGGATTTTGGTTGTCTTATCTAGACGAAAAGGTGTCTTCTTGGTACTTGCGAAAAATCGAACACTTCTGGGACAAGATTAATTGATAGTTAATACAGCAATTCAAAAACCAAACGTTTAATTCATCTATAAACGAGAAATAAGTCATAACGTAACTTAAACAATCTAATAATACAAAACGAAAATAATATAAGAAAACCCCAATCGAAAAATCACACAACTCTCTTTGCATCGGTAGGATCGGAATAGTCAGATGATGCTTGAGAAATGGTCTTTTTATGACCTTGTAATGCGCTTAAAATATCAGAATCAACATCTTCCCTAATTGGACTGGATTCATCTGTAGGTTTGATTTCTTCTTTATTCATACCGACACGGTTCATGAATTTTTGTTTAAGAGATCCAAATCTGGATGGTGGTGCACGCTCCTTTTCTTCCAAGTCAGGTTGAGAACTACCGGTAAGAATATCCTCATCGACAGAATCATTAGCCACATTGTTAAGTTTATACATTTCCAGTTCCCAATCAACAGAGTGATCTTGGGCAATTGCACCCAAGGCAGCCAATTCACCTTCAACGTTATTCTTTTCCGTCATGATTGGCGATCTGACAGTACGGTGCATAGAAGGCTTTCTTTGGAAGGAGAATCTGTCATCTTTAACTGGAGCAAATCTGGCATCAGGGTTCTTGGACACTAAACAGAAGACAATGAAAACCACAATCAACACCAATAAAATCAAACTGAATGCTGCATTCAAAATAAAGAAAATCCAACCCATAATTGAGGCAACCAGGGCTTGCAATCCAAACAAATCAGAAAAGAATAAAAACAAGAATGAATTTATGGTGACCACGATGGAAATCATATAGTTGACAATGTTGGTTGGCTTATTCAAGTATGGTGCGGAGTAAATCAAGTAAATAGTGTAGGCAAGATCGAAAATAAAGATTGGAAGCACAGAAACACGACCCAGGGATTGGGTGAAGGCAATGAAAATTGACTTGAGTAAGGTGTAGCCAGCAAGAACAACGCCAAAGTAATACTTCTTGGCAGTGAACATGGTGTAACTGAAACCATACTTTTGAAGAATATGGGTGTCCCCGTAAAGCAAGGCGGCTGGATTTTGATACAATTGTTGTGATTCTCTTCCTAATCTAATCACATTATAGTATGACCAAGATAATACCGCAGCCAATAAGATAATAAATAACACAGCAATAACAATCACCGCTGGGGAGTCTCGTTGGACAAATTCCCAAAGGGCAAACAATGTCAATTGAGTGAATCCAATGGCAATATAACGCAATACAGTACCTTTAATCATGTTGTTGAAATTAGTTCTGAACATACTAAATGATTTTGGATTGATCTTGTTGAATCTTCCAAGTAAAACAATAACTGATTTGGCTAAAACGAGCACAACCACAAGTAAGTATCCAATAAGCACGAAAAAGGTAAACCCAGTGACAACAATAGAGGTTGGTTCGATACCAGAGTTATAACCAATTCGCTTAATTCCTCGAAGAACAATAAGGTTCTTGTTTGATTTAAGGGCAAAATCCAAGGTTCTTTTAGTAAGGTTGGATCTAGTCATGACGTCCATAACCATAGCTTGTAAATTTCTCTTTTGCACCAAAATTTGTTGGATAATACCTTTGAAATAAGTGGTTGGGGTACCACCAGTGGCTTGAACATACCATCTAAAGATATCTTGCATAAATTGAACTCTAATTAATCCCATGGACCAGGCTAAATTTTCCGACCAAGCACTGGCAATTGGAGGAACACGTTCAACACTTTGCATAGAAACCACAACGACACTTTGGAAATAAAGAAACAACGAAACAGAGTTTGCAGAGATGTGAGATGCTGCATTGGAATTACCAAAAGTCGACAATAAAGCAGCAAGCAATAATCCAAGCCCGGCGACAACAGCAGTGGCCCACTTGACACCGGTTTGACTAATGGTCTTACCATTGGAAAAGGAAGATTGGATACAAGCTAAAGTTTCTTGGGTGTCACGGTCCTTGACCAAAACCTTGACGACAGCATCTATGTCAGGAACTTGGTAAGCAATCCCGGGGATTTGATTGGCATAGTCTTCACTTATATATTCAATAGACTCCACTTGCAAAGGACCAGGGTAAACTGGACAAAACTGTTTCCAACCAAGAGTACACATATCGATGTCCTTTTCTATAATTAGAAACCCATATGCATAAACCTGAAGATGGGCAGTGACGTAGGAACTAATGTCCGACGATAAATCAAGGGAGTAACGTAAGGACCTGTCATCCGGGTTAAAAGTAACGTTAAAGTATGAGGGTGATATCTCCGAGTTATCCAGACACTCCACCAACGATGTGGCTGAAAGCGACCGTTTAGCTAAAACTAAGGGGCTAAAAAACAGAAGCAACGCTAGGAAATGTATAACCTTATATATGGGATCAAAATGCATTGCTATTTAGAATGTACGTATCAGTTGGATATATGGAGGGGAAGGTGATGATAAGTTAGGTTGATTAGCTAGTAATAGCTAGTAGAATAGCAGATAAACGATATGAAAGTGATGGTTACGCTGATAAAAACAACCACCTTTCCAAAATAAAGAAGCAGGTTAAAGTTTTATATAATAAAGGGATATAACCAGACAACCAAACAAATTTTATTATTTGCTGTGAAAAAAAAAAAAAATTTAATAAAAATAAAAAATTAAAAAAAAAAAGAAATAAGGAAATGACATCAACGAGAAGGATTGGGTGATTCGGAGGAAACCGAAGGGCGGGGATACGTCGATAACATGATGCTACTGTATCTACATGGGCAAATTTGTAATGCTAGCTATAGAAAACCTTTTCCGAAAGATACATCACATGGGTACAGTTTATGTGTGGGTGTCTATTAATAGCAGTGAAATGAAGAGAGGGGGTGGTGAGTGGCACAGTTTGATTTTGTCTCCGTTTTTTTTTTTTCTTTAAGCTTTCATCTTACAGGTTGCGGTTTTATTTGCAATTTCCGTGGAATTTTTCTACCACGAAATAAAAAAAAAAAACAACAATGAAATTCAATTTTTTTTTCTTTAATTTTTTTATTTTCTTCGTTTCTTCTTTGTCTGTTTGTTGTCGTGGACTAGTGTGAATGTTTTGGTTACTGGTATAAACCCTTTGTTTATGCCGAGAGACCGGAGATCAAACAATCTACAAAAAACGCGAATTGATCTTGTCTGATTTCTCAGATAAACACAATCTCGTATGTGGTTACTAAGTCTCACGTGGAATTAATCTTCTCAACGTGTTAAAAATCTATTTCTCGTGCAGAGAATATCTGTCAGCACTATGCAGGTCAAATGTTTTTTATTTTATTACATCACCACTAATTTCCTCGTTATGTTCGTCGCGCCTGACCAATCTTTCCTTGAGGCGGGAATATCTCCAGTTTTCAAGAAAATACGAGTGATCTCGATAAATTAACTTGCACATATTTAGTTAGATTAAGAAATATTAGTCATTTAACTGTTCGAGGAAACGCGCTATAGCATGACTGGAATATATGCATGGAAAAGTGGTGTAATGAACATGTGCTACCAGATGCTGGTCTACGCACAAAAAAACACATGCACGTAATGTCGTGAATCTATTTAAGTTGTATCTTGCACATACCTTTAAAGGGTTATTTCCTTCTTGGAAAATTTTTGAGAGGCCAGCATCCTCGTATAGATGTATGAGACCCCTGCATCCGCTTACAGGAATTCAATTGCGTCATACATAGGATTGTAAATTTTACGTATGTAGCTATAACTATGTACATAAGGATGTGCCCCCAAAATATTATACAACCACCGTAATCATTTGATTGGTACTATGGTATTAGCTTGTAATTGCCTTGCTGATCCCAGCCGAAAAGAATTTGGTGTTCTTGATTCATTTGAAAACAGTTCTAGAACATGGAAAAGACTATATTCTGTGTCAGTCCTATATTTATAAACCCTCACGCGTCGCGTTTTTTGGCATTGCAATATAGTCTTGTTCCTGATTGTCGTTATTTTAGCTTGTTCGTAACCGTAAACATAGAAACCCCACCGCTCGCATAGAGTAGCAATCCATACGAAGCAAACCAAAAAAAAAAAAAAAAAGAAGAGAAAAAAATAAGCTTTTTTGAGATCCAAAGGAAAAACAAAATATTGTTAAATTTGATCCTTTCGTATCTTCTCCTTTCTTACTCCGCAGTTTCCATCTCTACGAATCAATGGCGGATGAACCGATAACCGAACCGTCTCCACCGCAGAACCCGGTAGAAGCTGATGGACCCACTGACGTATCGCAAATAAGCTTACCAGACTTGCTCAACGATCTATCCCTGGGCGCGAAGGATATTAACCAAATTAATATTTATCACGCTATCATTATCCTTTCCCATACTTTACACTACATAATCAAACTTCGAGAGCACCCTGACTTGTACCTTCAGTTTAGGTTACAGCAATTGAAGAAGTTGGGTATCGATGAGGATGAATTGAAGATTATTGAAACCAAGAATCAAAAACAAGCACCATTCAAAATTGACACTTCTTCGCCAATTGATAGATCAAGTACTCCACCATTGTCACCTCCTTTGAAGTTTGCCAAGTTGAATAATCGATCATTTGAAGACGATAGAGATAGCACTGAAGATGAAAAGTTCTTTGATGATAATACAACACCTAAAGGTAGTGAGTCAGACTTGACAAAACACTTGGATGAGGATAACCCCCAAAATTACGAATCATTCTACGCAGACAACATTGATGATATAACTTATAACCTTGATCATGGCGATGACGAAGATAGAATCCAATTAGCATCCTATATACCTGTGCAATCGTTGGTTGAAGAAACAGATTTGGACGTGGTTCCCTCGCCAATTACTGACATTAACCTTGAAAATATAAAAAGTCAAGTGCTCAATTCCAGTAGAAAGAGATCGCAAAACCAGCATTTACTCAAGATTTTCAATCTCGTTAAAGTCCCACCATTATCCATTGAACAGTTCTTATTAAGAATTAAACAATACTCCCCTTCAATTTCGGTCAGCTCGTATATTCATTCAGCATTCGTTATGTTCAAATTGACCGTTTTACTAGACTTGGTGCCACTCACCATGCACAATGTTTATCGATTTATCGTTGCTTCGATAAGATGTGCCACAAAAAATATCGAAGATATCTACCAAAAACAAAAGGTGTTTGCCACAGTGGTTGGGGTAAGTTTAAAGGATTTATTTCGCTTAGAAGTCGGATTCTTATACTTGTGTGATTTTAAGGTCATTATTGGAGAATTGATGTTAAATAATTTCTTGAGCCATGAGTTTTATGATCTTTGTGAATTCACGCAACAGGCTAATATTGACACGACTTAGTTTTTTCACTTTGCATATTTGGTTTCTTTGCTGCTTTCTAGACGTTGCATGTTGTATTCAGTTACAATATATTTTATGTAGTACCTAAAAATAAATTATCTTATGTACAAGGGCTTCGTGTAGTCATATTCCTGTAGTTCTTGCAGTTGCTAGGAGGATAATGGGAATGTACATTTCCATTGAAAGAAAACTTTGACTGCAAAAAATAAAAAAAATGTCTCTTTATTACACCAACAATGATCATTTGAAAATCCAGTTATACTCCCCAAATGTTACCACAACTGATAGTGCTAGACAACAAAAAATATCAAAAAAGAATGCGATTTCTGTGGATCGAACACAGGACCTTCAGATTAAACTGTGACTGAATCTCTTCAGTCTGACGCTCTCCCAACTGAGCTAAAACCGCAAACAATCGAACCCACGCCGGGAGTCGAACCCGGAATCTTTTGATTAGAAGTCAAACGCGTTAACCATTACGCTACGCAGGCTGATTTTCTTTTGAAATTTTTCAATTTTCTACCCAGCAAAGTAGTATCCACGTGATTCTTCCAAATGATTTTCGCGTGACCTGTTGGACCTAGGTACTTGGGATGGGAATAACATGGTCAGTAAAAGAGGTTCAAATCCTTTATTCTGGATAGGCTCTTGTTTTTATGTAGCAAAATGATTTTGGGTTTACTCTTGAGTTATTTATTATCAATTTTACATGATTATTGGAAACTCATTTAGAAATTTTAGAAATTGTTTATTTCGGAGTAAAATTTACAAAATATTCAAGAAAATGATGTCACCATGAATTTTCTTTTCAGTTCAGATCTATGACTCAAAGCTATTAGTCACGGACTTATGACTAACTGTACATTCAACTTGCATGAAATGGAAAGCGAGGAAACTTTAACCGACTGGATTCGTTTCTCCACGTCAAACTAGCCATTTCTTGATTGGGAATGTTTAAATTCAAAAAATAATGGTCAGGTATTACAATCCTACTTGAGGCAATTGTACAAATACAAGTTCTCAGTAGTCCCTACCAAAAATAGATAATATTTCTAAATAAAAAAAGAACGTATGAGTAATAGCAAAAAAAAACGAGACAGGAAAAGCTATTTCTCTTAACTTGCATATTTACAATTTCAGAAACTGAAACTCTCCTCCTCGAGAATTCGTGACCTTCTTTGAGCATATCTTGGAACGCGTGGCAATGTTACATATTTTCGTATCTAATCTTATTGTTTCGGCTTTGTTGTATTTTTATTGAATTTTGTTTTTTTGGTTTCCTATTCTGAAGTACATTTTTACTCCGTCAAACTGGTAAACATTTCCTGGGTGAACATTAGCAGCGATACACAGCGTTACGTGGTTTTCATATGTCGAGCAACTTATCGAACTGCGAATGAATATGTGCTTACCATTGTTTATAGTTAATGAGTAATGTTTACTTTTTTTTTTTAAAATATTTGCAGCCGCGCGCCTAGAGAGAGAAACAGAAACGTGACTCAGACCATGCCCCGTTTTTGGGTCCCACGCATATCAACCACCTCCCCCACATTCCCGATGCAGTACCATATCCTAATTCGTAACCACATTTCCTACTAGACAACCTTAAAGTGAGTCAGACTTGCTACTTGTTTTGATTTTCTGTTTTCCTATATATTAAGTTGAATTTTAACTTCTGCTATGATCCTTCGTTTGAGACCTCATAGTCAAACACGATATAATACTCATCGGTTAATGCACATGAACAACTACAGACCCCACGTTTCTTATAATAATCCAACAATACTTATCCCCTTACGATTGGATGAATTATTGCGATCAGACAATCTGAAGAAGAGCCATTTCATTAGTTTGGGCGAGGACTTTGTCCGATTATCGCTGTACCAGCGATTCCGGGAGTTACTCAGTTTTGGCGGGGGAACCTTGATAAAGACAGTTGTTTTTGACTTGTCCACGTTTTTAAAGCGGGAACAGAATAACACTGATTCACACACGTATGCCGAGTTTGCCGATTTCTTGACGTCAAATGATAAGATGTTTGAGCGGGAAGGGGGAATGACCCCTTCCAGGAGACTGATTGGGTTGAAGAACTGGGTGTTTATGATAATTGGATACTTGCTACATTCATATTCCGAGAAGGAGGCTGAGAAGTGCTTGGATCAGCTTATTAAGATCTATCTTAATTCGAGAAATGACAACTTGTTTACTGCTAGCAACCACACCACCAAGGACCTCACTGATGCTAGGGACAAGTTTATGTTGGACACTTTCAACCAGTATGTCAAGAAGGTTCCTATACGCTACAAGCTATTGTTTGGAAGAAACCCTTATAGACATGTATCCTTCCATGAAGGCTTGGACTACAAGAAGGTTTCCTTACCAGAATTACCAAGGTTACGCAACCGAGAATTATTAGTAAAGGCGTTAATGCACAAGGAATTCTATCGAATACTTTTAGACCCAAGACACGAGTTTGCCCAGACCATGGTTGCCGCAGGATACGATTTAAACCACAAGGAGTACCTGATAGTGAGAAAGCAGGTGTCGTTCTTGGACGGATTGGGAGACTTGTTTTTGGCCCACGAGACATCCAAGGTAATTTATGAATTGTATCTGGATGGGTTGCCTTTGAACAATGGGTCTTATCGCTTATTACGGACCATGCTTGCTACCAACACTTTTATGACCAAATTAGCAATTGCATATAACTTACATGTTGGTCTCGATGATCCAATAATCAACGAGCGAGTTGCCAACGAATGGATTCCATGCATTATGTTTGGTAAGGAGATGGAGAAGTCGAACCGTGTATATGAGGAGGAATTTCTCGGTGATTTCTTTGAGGCATATGTTGCGGCTTTGCTCATTGAACAGCCAGACGTGGCAAAGAGTTTCATCAAGGATATTTACAGTAGATTGTTAGAGGTGATTACCGAGACGTTACCACCAGAGTTGAGTTATCATAATTGGTCAACCAATGTTTTAGGCAGAAGTATCTATCCTAAGTCAGAACGGGTTCTTATTTGATTGATTGCTTTTTTTTGATACATTATAATTACATTGTAATTTAACCTATTATACAAATATATAAACTACTTTCTGATTAACGACATAAACAAATTCTTCTTTTTAGGAGGACTTGTCTTTGCCAGTTTCATCGTAATGAATCTCCCCGATTCGTCATCATCACTGTCACTATCACTGCTTGACCCCGAGTCACTCTCGTCATCTGAAGACGAGGATTCCTCTTCTTTGGCCACCTCAGGCTTCTTAGGAGCTTCAATCTTGGCTTGATTAACATCTTTGACTTCCGGTAATCCTCGATTTACCAAATCGCTCAAAGAGGGCAACAATGGTTTCTTCAAAGTAGTAGATGGCGTATTCACCGGTTGTGGTGTTGGTTTGGGGATATCAACAATGTGGGTTCGTTCAGGAGCAGCAACAGTAGCAGGCACCGCTTTGGGAGACTTTACTTCATCAGTCTTGAGTATTCTTGACGGTGGAGTAGGTGTTCGGACTACGGGAGACTGAGATCTTCGGATAATTGACGGTATTGAAGCTATTAATCGTGGTTTTTTGATCTTGCTGTGTTCTTCCTCCTCATCGGACCCAGAAGATGCATCATCTTCTTCATCACTCGATTCACCTGAGGATGAATCGTCCAAGGGTCTTTTGCCATTGGCAGTTATGGACCCATCCCGTTGAATTGTGTGTCCATTGAGTGAATCAGATCCGTTGCTGATCTGGAATGCAGGTGATTTGTTTGTTGTGGTGGCTCCAAAAAATTTGGCTCCGGCATAAAAACTTTGTGGTTGCACTTTTGAAACATTAGAACTATCAGTAGTAGGCTGTTGCACTGGTTTATCTGGATGTATTGGTTCGGTTACTGGAGTAGGGGTGGTACTAGGTGGCTGAGCTGGCTTCTCTTGTGAAGCAGATTGAGACAGCGGACTAGATTCAATTACTGGAGCAGATGCTGGAGCAGATACTGTTTCTGGAACAGACACAGTTACTGGGGCAGATGTAGTCACAGAAATAGGTATAGTTATTGATTCTAGCTTCTTCAAAGCAACAGGTTCACTTTCAGGACCAATAGATTTAGCCTTCACTGGTGTATTACCCATCGGCTCAGTAGCCTCTGGTGGCACAGATGCATGTTTGGTGACAGGTACCGTGCGGAAAGCAGGAGGGATACTGGCTTCATTCAGGGCCAAATTAACCACCGATGGTAATTTAACAATGAACTTTGGTGGTACGTTTTCCACCAGTGGTGTAGATGAGTTAACTGGCGTGGTGGCTTTGATGGATGTTGGGTGAAGTGAAGCTGGTGTTTCATCGGGTATGTCTTCAGTTAGATCAATGATTTCCGGCTGCTTTTCAAGGGAATCTATTTTTGGTTCATTGGAAGATTGTGACTCAGCAGCATGCTCATTTAAAGATTCGCTTGACGTATGTTGAACGGGTATTTCAGGCACTTCCTCTTGCGAGACAGTATTAGATGATTTACTCTCAGTATTGTCGTTCTCTAATCTGGGATCACTACCAGAAGCAGTTGGAGACATGCGAACTTCGGCAATTTCCGGCGGATACTGATACTCTCTTTCTTCTCTGTTCACTAAAATCAATCGTGGATCCAAAATCAACCCCCGTATATCATTCAACTCTTCATCAACGCGAGATGAAAACGTAGGCGGCATTTTCCTGAGGGTGCCGTGCTCAGCAGCAAGACTGACCAATTCAGACTCGAACCGCGTTAATCTCTCTTGAAACTGTTCTAGTTTTCCTAATGATTTGGAATCAGATGCATCGTCTTCGTCTTGGGAGGAATCTTCGTCAGCTTCTGGTTTGGGTGCAATCGCGACCAATTTTCTCACCGGCTGTGGTTTATCGATGGATTTGGTGCTTTCCTTTGGCTTTTGTTTAGGTTTTATAATAACTTGACTTACTTTTCTTGGTTTTAAAACTGGTTGAACTGGCTCTTGTTTAGCAACTTTTTTAGTAGAGCTTGCTGGTGGTTTGGTTTGCGTACATGGTTTAACTGGTTGCACCGGTTTGCTTGTAGTTGCTTTAGGCTTAGCCACAGGTGTATTAGGTAGCTTCACTGGTGGATTAGGTGATGGTTTCACTGCTGATCTCTGTCTCAGACCCAGTGCTTCACTAAGGGAAATCTTGGAAGCAGCGATACGAGCAGCCTCGCGGGCTCCAACACGTGATCCTCTATCCAAGCTCAAGTCTGGCTCAGCATCGACCATGTTGATCTGAAGGCTCTTTATGATTTCCTGCAGCGGGGCATTTTGGAATTCGCGCGGGATAGGTTTATGCACCGGTGGTGGTTTGAACTTCTTGTCAGGGACTTTCAATCCCTTTTTGAACACATTGATGATCTCCTCTCTTGGAAGAGACTGTTCCTCTGGTTTCTTGGCTGGTTTTTTCGAACTGGCGAGTAGGGTGCGTTTGGATGACGGGGCGCGAATCACCAGGTCGTCATCGGAAGTTACGATGTTGTCTGGCTGGATAGTGTTGTTGGGACGGGCAGTAGCTGGACCCAATGTGGTTCTAGCCGAGTCACCTTCAGAGTAGTCTGACGAGTCAGAGTTTGCATGTGCTGGTGGTTGACGTCCTTTCAACGGTTTGTCCAATTGCGCATGGGGCGGCATAATTAACATTCCTGAAGTTATTCTTTGACCGGCAGCCAGGGGCGAGGACGAGATTCTCTTCACTGGGATAGTTCTATCTTCGGCGGTTGGTGGTGGGGCTAATGCAACTGGGGAAGAACCTTGAAGAGGCAGCTTGGTGCCGTAGTTGTTTCTTTTTGGGAGGTGGAAACTGGTATTTTCAAGATAATCTTGAGTCCGTTTACGACTTGTTCCCACGGTGCCTATTGAGAAATCACCAGTGTTTAAGTGAAGCGGAGTAGCTTGTGCTGAAGCAAACTGAGGATAGTGGGGGTGGTGGAATGGTGTGAGCGGTTTAAATTGGTTATTAACAATAATCCGCAAAATGTCCCCGGAGGAAAAGACGTCATTGACTAAGAAATCGGGATCCAAGTCATTGTTGTTGCCATCTTGTAGTCGGTCAATGTCTAGCGGTTCGTCATTGGGGTAGAGCTTTTTGTATTTGGCCTTGATTTCTTCTCGAATGATTGCCAATTCGGCGTTAGGATCGGTCAAGTGTAGAAATCGCTTGATTACCAGAGTATTGACCTGCGCGGTGGCCACATATGTGTAATCCAACGGAATAAGCAAGACCTGTAGCTTCCACTTGCTCATTGTTACAATTGTTCTCTAGTTTTTACAAACAACAGTTAGCAAGTGTATATATTAATCGGTTAGGTTTACATTCGATGGAAACAACAAAAAAAAAAAGCCCAAAAAAAAAGACGGAATTAGAAAAAGCCGCACAAAAAGAGTATACACGCGTGCAATCCAATTTGCAAGTTTTTGGCTGCAAATCAAGACAATGTTCCATATTACAGCTTGAAGTAAGGATCTGAGTATAGCAAAGCTCGTTCTTCAGCTTGTTGCTTTCTTTTCTGGAGGATATCAGTTAGATCTAGGTCCATCTCTTGGTCGGTGTGTATGATATCATTCGCATCAGGTTTGACCCAGTTTGGACTCCAACTGATGATTTCTCCATCCATAGTTCCACAATAGTAAGTTCCCGTGAATGGTCCTGCATTCACCATAGAACAAGTTCGTCCTACATTCTTGGATCCCTTTCTCGACAATCTCGCTTCTAGCTTCCCATCAATAGTTCGAAATATAAAAATGTCACTGTTCTCCGAGGGAAACAAAAGGTACCGCGTTTCTGTCTCGATCTTGGGATTCAACATAATTGGTATTGTCTGGGGATATTTGTTTCTCGTCAACGGGCCAAAGTTGATCAACTTGTTAACAGGAGGCGCTAGCGAAGATACCATGTCCCACACTCGAACTTTATCGTCATTCCCAGTAGTATACAATTCAGTACCCGACTCGTCCCACACTAATCCATTAACGGGTCCCAGATGTGCCTTTACCGACTCCCTTGTCAAATTAGAGGAGGACGAGGAATTTTGAATATTGGTCCGCAACATATCTAAGCGACACAAACAACTATTGCTTCTTCTAATGTCCCATACTTTTACCTCCCCATCGTACCCGCCAGACGCCAATAAATGCGGATTAATAGGATGCCACTTAACGGAAAGGGTCTTGCCCTTGTGTCCCAGAAGAGTATGAGAACTCGAGGCTGACCTCAAATCCAATAGTCGAATAAACGGACTGTCACTAGCAGCAGCCACTAGCGAGTTTGTCTCGTTGCGACATATATCAATGGCGTAGATCCGGCTTTCCAAGTCGAAATCATGCACCGGTGTTAGCTCGTTGGTATCCCATATCTTGACGAAATGGTCAAACGACGCACTCACAAACATCCCCGTGTCGTACGGCCACCATTGGACAGCAGATATCCCAAACTCATGGACAGATTTCTTGGGGATAGTGGCCACGTTAGTGAATGTAGTTATGGGGTTATCATAGTCAAACTCGTCGTAGTCGGCGTTGCCCAAGGCCGCATCCACCTCATTCTCTTGACGCTGCGTATGTGTCTGCTTCAAATCCCAAAGTTTGATGGATGAATCGGCACAGCCGCTCAACAAGAACCGGTAGTCTGATTGGTCGAGGGCGAGTGAGTTGACCAGGGCATTGTGATGGCAGTTGATGGGAAATACGTTGTGTTTTGCGGTTTGGTGTAGTCGAGCATAGTAGCTTTCAGAGATTGTGGTGGCAAACGCCAACGGCGTTATGTTGCCCAATTTTCTATCCAAGAGAAGGGATTGCATTATACACCATTGCAGTGAAACCAAGCAGTTGTATGGTTTAAGATGTAAAGAGTAATACCGAGAGTATTAGTATAGCTGTCTCCTGCACACAACACCCTCGGAAAAAAAAGTGGAACGGAGAGGCAGAGACGGCGGCTCATTTTTATTGTTTGAAAATTTTTTTAGAAGTTCAAGCCAGCTTGTCTTTATCTGTAACCCTATAGCCAATTTATAGACCATGTTAGATATTAACGCATTTCTCGTTGAAAAGGGAGGAAACCCCGACAAGATCAAGGAATCGCAAAAAAAGAGAGGCGCTTCCGTTGAATTAGTCGACGAGATCATCAACGGATACACCGAATGGACCAAGATTAGATTCGACTTGGATGAACAAAACAAGAAACTCAATGCCATCCAAAAGGAAATCGGAAAGAAGTTCAAGGCCAAGGAAGACGCCAGCGAATTGGTGGCCGAAAAGGAAAAATTGGCCGCAGGCAAGAAAGACTTGATTGAAAAGGAAGCCCAAGCCGACAGCGCCTTGAGATTCAAGGTTAACCAAGTTGGTAACATCGTCCACGACTCCGTGGTTGTCTCTATGGATGAAGACAACAACGAATTGGTTAGAACCTGGATCCCAGAGGGCTACGAAGTCGCTCAAGTTGGTGCTGCTTCCGGTAAACCAGCCAAGTTATCCCACCATGAAGTCTTGTTGAGATTGGACGGTTACGACCCAGAAAGAGGGGTTAGAATTGTCGGCCACCGTGGTTACTTTTTAAGAAACTGGGGGGTTTTCTTGAACCAAGCTTTGATTAACTATGGTTTACACTTTTTGTCCTCCAACGACTATGTTCCATTGCAAGCTCCAGTTATGATGAACAAGGAAGTCATGGCCAAGACTGCCCAATTGTCCCAATTCGACGAAGAATTGTATAAAGTTTTGGATGGTGAAGATGAAAAGTATTTGATTGCCACTTCTGAACAACCAATCAGTGCCTACCACGCTGGTGAATGGTTTGAATCCCCACAAGAACAATTACCAGTCAGATATGCCGGTTACTCCTCATGTTTCCGTAGAGAAGCTGGTTCTCACGGTAAGGATGCCTGGGGTATTTTCAGAGTGCATGCTTTTGAAAAGATTGAACAATTTGTCTTGACTGAGCCAGAAAAGTCCTGGCAAGAATTTGACAGAATGATTGGTTTATCAGAACAATTCTACCAATCATTGAAGTTGCCATACCGTGTCGTTGGTATTGTTTCTGGTGAATTAAACAATGCCGCTGCTAAGAAGTACGATTTGGAAGCCTGGTTCCCATTCCAAAAAGAATACAAGGAATTGGTTTCTTGTTCCAACTGTACTGATTACCAGTCCAGAAACTTGGAAATCAGATGTGGTATCAAACAACAAAACCAAACTGAAAAGAAGTACGTCCACTGTTTGAACTCTACCTTGACTGCCACTGAAAGAACCTTGTGTTGTATTTTAGAAAACTACCAAACTGAAGATGGTTTGATTGTCCCAGAAGTTTTGAGAAAGTATATCCCAGGTGAACCTGAATTTATTGAGTTTGCCAAGGAATTACCAAAGAATTCAACTTCTAACAAGAAGAAGGATGGAAAGAAATAGATTAAATAGTAATGTAATGACTGTCAGCTAGACTTAGTCCTTCCTCTATTGCATTGCGCTGGCGAGATTACAATTTTGCAGTAAAAAAACATGCATTATAAACTACGAGAAATCTGGAACCTCTGGCTTGCATTGCATAAATAATATCACATATAATTTATACTATAAAACTGTTATACAAGTTCTAAACAGCAAAGCCAGGTCGATTCTCTCTCTCTCTCTGTTTTTTTGGATATATATATATATATAACAATCAATTATTCTACATACTGTCGACACAAGCTTCAGCACAACAACAACAAAGAATAGCAGCACAGGTACCACAGTAAGCTCCACAACATCCACTTTCCTTCTTTTGAGGAGGTTGTTGGACGTAGATTGGTTGTGGTTGTGGTTGGTAGTATTGAGGTTGTTGTTGTTGTTGGTAGTATTGGGGTTGTTGTTGATTGTACTATAAACATTGTTAGTATGAGACGAGAAAAACAGTCAAAAAAAGAAACAGAACACTGATAAAGGGGAATTAAGATTTGACAGGTGCCCCCCCCTCCCTTCCCCCGCAGCAACGCTTCAAACCATGCAAGTGAATGATAGTTGCAGCAAAACTTGTCAATGTGGCTCCACTTGTGTGCTTCTGGGACTAAGGTGGAGTTGGCTCATCGGTTTAGATAATTTCATGTGGGTGGAGAATATTTTCTTCGGCTACCCGATCCAAATGAATCTTAAACGGAGAATTTCTTGGATTAGATCAAAAGAACCCTTCCCTAACATCAATTGGCTCGTTTTAAAAGCGCAATTCCAGTGAAATATAGACACATACCATGATTGTTTACTTCGTGATGGGAATGTATCAAGGATGAAACGTGTGTGACAAGAGAAAAAAAAATGAAAAATTTGGATTCTCGGGTATTTTTATATGACGTAGCTCAGCCACCTGATAGGCAATGTAAACATCACGGAAGTTTAAAAGTGATGATGTTGATGGAATAAATAAATTATGCCAATAAATTATGTTCTATTTTTTGTTTACAAACGCCGAACCGTTTCGATTCAAGTTTACTTGCCACAGTCATATGTCTCCTTATAGCTTTTGGCTCATGGGGGGATAAATTCTAGACCCCTTGCATCGAAGAAATTTTTACTCGTAATTTAGACGCGATATAGACCCGCCGCACCGCCGTTCATCTTAAGTTATTACTCGTCATGTATGGGCACCCAGATGATAATGTTTGACCATTTCTAGTCCAACATCTACAAGATTTCGTCTATACATGAAAAATAGTTCGTTAGTTCTTCCCATTGTACAAAATATCGTCTTCATTGTCAAAACGCATGGGTTGATCTGACATTTAAATAATATTTCCTATTCCAGTAATTGCAGAATCATGCATTTACAATGGTTTAATCAACCAGGAAATGACACAGCATGGTCATTCACACCATGTGGACGACTCCTATACAACACATGCTATTTGTCTTAAGTTTTCGTTGTCATTACGGCAGTTAAAAATAATAGCAGTTCGTGCCAAGCTTTTTTTTTTTTTTACTTTGCTTCGCTTACTAAATTTGGAATATAATAATTACAATAATAATAATAATAATAATAAACTTATACAAATACTACAGTTCTATCCCCTCTGTTGCCCTTCTACAAACGACAACGCCTCCTCTTTATTAATCTCACTGATTGAACTCACCTTGTTAGCAAACATGACACCATAGAATTTATCTGCTACTTGTAACATTTCCGGTCGGAAAGTGGTGCATATAAACTGCGCATTCCGCGACAAGTTCTTGATCAAATTAGCTACCGATGTCCGGTATTGCGTGTCTAAATTAGCATCAATTTCATCAAACAAGTAAAATGGAGCAGGGTCGTAACTTTGAATAGCAAAGATAAGCGCAATAGCACATAACGACTTTTGTCCCCCAGACAACTGTTCAATTCTTTGTTGTTCATCATGTTTGGAATTGAACGACACGGAAATAGAAACACCAGTGTAATCATTAATCGAATCGCTGTCACTGCTACCTTGCATGATCAAGTGTCCTACACCAGCAGGCACAAGCTTCTCGAAAATCTCATGGAAACTCTTGGAAACTTGGTCAAAACTCTTTCGTATAGCATCACCCTTTTGTTGTTGCAAATTGGCAATCAAAGTCTCAATCGAGTTCTTAGAAGTCTCCAACTCTTGTCTTCTTGTAACCAACTCGTCTCGTTGCTTTGTAAATTGGTTATACTGCTCTAGTGCTTTCTTGTTGATATGGGAATATTTGGTTAATTCCGTGTTCACTTGATTCAATTTCGTGATTAATTCCCCAGATTCATATTTCTTGTACTTTTCAGACTGGAACGCTTCTTCAGGCAACACCCCCAACTCTCTAATCTTCTTCTGCACTTCATCTCGGGTGATAATTTTGATGGACTTTTCATTGGATACTTTTTCCAACTTCTTCTTAATCTTGTCCAATTCATTCAAGAGCGAATTTTGCTTATTATTCGCTTTCTTTAGTTCATTTTCACTATTGGTGATTTCTGATTCTAACTTAGCCAATGCTTGACCAAGTTCCAAGTGACGCGATTGGGAAGTGTCCAATTGGATCTTTAATCTTTCAAGTTCGGTTTCTCGTTCATCAATTTCTAAATCGTGATAAGTTTTTGACCCGAGTCTGATTTGGTCTTGACGCAATTGGTTCAATTTGGGCTCATAATTGTTAGTGATTTCCGATTCGAGTTTAGATATTTCTGTGTCCAATTCAGAAAACTTAGTTACGACGTCATCCAATGTCGATTCAATCTTAGGAATCTCAACCGCAAGCTTATCCTTGACAGCCAACTCCTCCTTGGAAAGCAGTTGGGTGAACTTGGAGTCCAACTCCAATTCATACTGCTTCAACCTCAAAGATAAAGATTTCTTGGTAGCCTGGGCTGATTCAAGATTATACTTCAATCTCGATAAGTCTTGGTCAAGATTATACTTTTTATTGTTGGCCTGGGATAATTGAACTTTAACCGGTTCCATAGTTTTGGAGTTCAATTCACGAACAGCTAACGTCAATTGATCTTTAACTTCAGTCAACTTAGTTTCGACTTGATTGATTTCCGTTTCAATCCTCTTGACTTCAGCACTGGCTTTCGCTAATTCGCCTTGTTTCTTTTGTTGTAACTTCAATGCGTCAATACGAGATTTTTTGAAATCACGGTAACCACCAGATAATACACCCCTAGTGTCAGCTTGATCACCATCTAATGTAATTGCATTCAACTTAAACTTACGCGCAAGATCGGCACCTTTACTCAATTCGTTCACTACGATACATCTTGCGAAAATGACCTGCATTGCCTTTTCCACCTTGATATCAAACTTCAACTTGGAAATCAATGGCAAACATTGATGCTCAGCAGAATCAGGATAACCAACGTTAATATTCTCCAATCGGTTCATGGGCATGAATGTAACTCTACCCGAATTGGAATTGTTCAATTCTTCCATAATTCTAGCAGCAGTGGCGTCAGTGTCTACGACAACGTGGAAAAGAGCATTACCTGCAATACATTCCACCGCCGTTTTGTACTTATCATTAACATTAAACAACTCAGCAACGGTACCAAAGACGTTTTCTGACAAGTTAAGTTTCTTGGTGATAGTACGCACGGCCTCTATACCTTTAGCCTGTTGACGATTCATGGTTTGATTAACCATGCTGGTTGCTACTTGTAAATCATTTTGCAAGGACGAGTGTCTTCCGGATATCGACATGTGATCACGCCAAAGCTCTTTCTTCTTATCTGACAAGTCAGTAGTCTGCGATTTTAAGCTGGTAATTGTGGTTTTCAATTCGGCAATTTGTTGGATATGGGCGGGATCATTGAGTTGAGAAGTCAACAGATCAATCTCAGTGGTTAATTCATGTAATTGTGACTCACGAGACTTGATATCGTTACTGATCAGATTAATCTCCTTTTGGTTAATTTCTAAATCACGTTTCAATTTGGATATTTCTTGAGAAAGAAATTTATCTCTGTCTGACTTGGAGTTGAACTTGGAGAATCGACTTTGCTTCGAATGTAAAGCTCGCTGCTTTGAAGTTGTTTCTTCCAACTTTTGCTTTTGCAAAGTTTCCTGCTTGTTCAACTCGATAAGTTTTGGCTTTAACAAGGCGATCTTGGTTTTATGTTTGTCAATTACTTTAGTATAATGATCAATCTGTTGTTGTAATTGATCTCCCATTTCACTTGACATCTCTTCATTATTCCGTAATTCATTAAGTTTAATTTCCTTGTCAGTAATTTGTTTCAAGAGTTGATTGAAATCCAAATCGTTTTGATCTTTATCCAATTGAGCCACTTTGAGGGAGATTTTCAACTCGTTAATACTATCTTGTAACTGAACGCATAATTTTTCTCTAGTGTCTAGTTTCTGCAAATTTTCCTTAGATTGCTCGATATACTCTTCACATTTCACCTCAATATTATCAATACTTTCATTCAATTCATTATACTCACGATCAAAGATATTATATTCCAAGATTTTCTTTTGCTTTTCTAGTTTCTGATATTGTTTCAAATCATCAGATTCCACTTGTAAATCACGCAATCTTTCTTGAACCAGGTCCAAAGTGTCATCAATCAACTTGATCTTCAAATTACTTTGTTCCATCTCCTTACTGGACTCCTTTAGTTTAGTTTCAAACACAGTAGCACCACTGACTTCTTTCAACAAGCTCAACCGTTCATGGTCCTTGGAATTGGTCAAACTGGTGATTTTCCCCTGAGGGACAATATAGTACGGATTAGATCTGGAGAATCCTGAACTTTCCAACAAATTCATCACGTCAGACCGAGTAGCGGACTTCCCATCAAGAAAATAATCATCCTTCTTAATACCAATGGTACGTCTCAACGTTACCTCACTCTTCTTACTAGGGAACCTTCCATCACTATTATCAAACACAATTTCCACATAAGCAGACATGACTGTTCCAGCACCATCATGGATCAAGTGCTGCCTATCGTCTTTGGACATATTAGTGTAGGCGTCACTCAAGACAAATCGAATTGCCATGAAGAAATTAGACTTCCCCGATCCATTACGTCCCACAACGACATTGTGATGGGGGGACACCAAGTCAATTACCGTAGGATTCTTATAGGTCTTGAACCCTTGAATTGTGATCTTCTTAATGTGCATCACTAGTGTCTGTATGAATAAGCAGATTGATTTGGAGTATTTGTTTACGCGTTGATAAATTTCTGATTTTTTTGGGGGCGACGCGTTTTGTCAAGGCAACTGGTAGCACTAGATGCAAGTGGTAGCGCGAAAGCTCCGATATAAGTTTCGGCAGCCACAGAAAAACTGCCACTGAAATTGGGGTGTGTTCTTGCTCCTGGTAAATAACAGTAGAAGTGATACATCGACAATGCTTGCAAGATAGCTCACAAGCAGATGCCCCGCCCAGTGGGTCGGTTTGATACGGAAGTGACCCTATTGAATTCAAAAGATTCAAAAACCTTTTATGGGCTGATCTCTAAGGATCTGCATCCCGCGCAGCGTTTAAGCGGCTTTTGAACCAGTTGACATTGGATGGAATTACTTCCCGTCAAATGCATCACAGTAGTAGATCAAGATAGAAGCTAGATTGACCAAGTTGAATAAGTAGAAGTGATATCGGCACTCCTAATTAAACGCCGCATAGATTGTTCACTTCTCCTGCATACTGTTTATTTGTCTCCACTTTGCTTTTTTCATATCTTTGAAATTTATCATGATCGTCATCGCCAAGAGCATCTACATCACGCCATTGAGTGAACATCTAATCCCAATAGCAAAAGTGTCCTGATATGTCATCTCGTAGTAGAGCCAAAAAGAACCAGAAAGAAGATTCCAGTTCCAGATCCACCGCATCAATCTTCAAAAACGTAACCAAGGAAGACTTTGAAGAGAAGGAGAAAGAAAAGGAACAACAGGCTGTTCCCAGCGAGTCAGTTAAAGAAGAAGAAGAAGACGACATAGCCAATGCTGCATTTCCGTTCAATTACATCTACATTGGCCAAGATTTCCTCAATGATAACTTGACCTTTCTTAAAACCGTGCAATTATTAGTCATTGGGTTCTTTATACAATTATTGTATCTTGAACGGGCCAAATTTGAGAAACTCAATGACAATCTTGGGTTGATCTTGTTTAATGCACTTGGTGTTGTATCAGCTATGATCTTGAGTCATGTTAAGGGAGCAGACAAGACCTTACCTGATTTCAATTACATCTATTGCGTTGTCTTGTTACTCTTGTACAATATTGTTCATTATTCACCCAAATGGTTTATTGCAAACATATCCTTAAACTACTTTATTGTGGACAAGTTGAATCCATTGTTTAACCTTGCTTCTTCAGTTATGTTCCACGAGATATACAAGCAGGATGAATCCTTGACTACAGTTCAATATTCCCAAATTGCATCATTCCACTTTTTGTTAAGCACCCTGTTGGATTATGTAAATAAGAAATCACTCAAGAAATCCGAAGTTCAATCCATTTGTTTGATTATCACCAACTTGTTGTTCAATTATGAATTAGTCAAAGCACAACCTTTAATTATATTTCAAAAATTGTTGATCAGTTTGGTCATTTCGGCAGCGTTGGTATACTCAGTTTACAAAGTTATTCCTGATTTACTCACAATTGCGTTATTTAGTGGTCTATTCTACTTTTTTACAACTTTCCAATTGACAAAAGTCTTGGGCTCCAACCCAGTCATTTGGTTGTACAATTACGTCAAGGACGAACCAAGGTTTGGCTTATTATTCAGCTGGTTGAGATTAGCACTAGTTGTGATCCCACTTGTGTTTTACTTGGCAGACAAGTTTAGTCTAAACGTGAAAAGAAAAATCTGGCACGTATTCGTCATTGTCGTGCTTACATTCACTCCGTCGATTTTGTTTGATCAGATTGAATTCACATTATTGAGTCTTTATGGAGTGTTGATTATTTTCATACTTGTCGAATTACTCCGATTGAACGAGATCACTCAAGTAGGTGAATTCTTGGCTGAACAATTATCTCAATTCCAAGACAGTAAAGATGTAGGTATTAACATCTCATATATTTACTTGCTTGCTGGTGTTACATTCCCCATTACCTACGACTATGTCATTAATGGTAATAATGTGACTATAGTGAGATACTTTGGATTATTGACGTTGGGAGTTGGTGACACATTTGCGTCAATAATCGGAAGAAGGTTTGGCAGTTACAAGTGGAAGGGAAGCAACAAGTCTGTACAAGGATCAGTTGCATTTGTGGTAAGTGTTTTCGCAGCCATTTATCTTATTGAATATGCATTTGCAGCAAGAGTAGACTACACCAATGTAAGAAATTGGGAGAACGTGCTAGTTGCTGTTATATTAGGAGCTGTATTGGAAGGTACGGCCGATTTGAATGATAATTTACTTGTTCCTGTATTCATTCCTATCACTTTTGAAGTGTTGAATAGATGTTATTAGGAAAGACACTTAGCTTTATCTAATTTTTCACACATACTTTTCTGAATAGACCTTTGAGACGTTCTAGAAGTCTGCAGGTTTGTAGATATCACGAGACTGTTTGGCTATGCGACTAGTGCCCCTGGTTATATCTCTTTTAATCAAAGCCCGAAAATTGTACCCTAGCCGGGGGGAAGGGGGGGGAGGGTCGGTAAAAAGATAAAACCACACCATTTTATTACACACTTGATTAGTAATCAATATCTCTAGAAGCATGTAAGTAGATGATACTATACGATAAAGGCGGATTGGTTTCTTCCATTAAATACTAAGTGCTCGGATTTAAATTGAACAGAATTTGGTAGCATCGATTTTTTCTGTTAACGCCGATGCATGGATGTTTCAGTGCTAAAGACTCTAGATTACTGAGCAGGCTACTATGAAAGTTGACGGTCAGAACCAGATCTTCCACTTTCAGTTGTACGATTAAGATGTAAGAGGTGGTAAATGTAACATCATCAGTAAAATATCTTGGTTCGGTTCGGCCCATGAAAAACGTGGAACCCGCGTTGCAGTGAGGGGCGGAGCGAGGGGTAGCCAATTTTGTACGACGGAATTGAAAAAAAAAAAAAAAATTAGATCGAATCATAATTAGTTCCAATATAATCAACTCTTTTTATTCCGTTTGGTTCCCATTCACTCGTTATAATCATGGGTACAACCGCAAGAAAACCTAAGATCCTTGCCAGACAAGAGATTATCAACCATATTACATCTGGGAAAGCCATCGTCATATACAAGAACCATGTCTTGAACTTGACCCATTGGATACACAAGCATCCTGGTGGAGACATGGCCGTGTATCACTTAATTGGCCGTGATGCTACCGATGAAATGAATGCGTATCATTGTGACGAGACGGTGAGCACATTCCTCAAGTGGAAGATCGGCGAAATTGACTATAAATGGGAAAATCTCTTGCCTCCTATCCACGGAGGAGTGTACCATAAGGTCAGTGTGGACAAAGTGGATTCCGACACCGAGTTCAACAGTTCTAGTTCTACTCTTAATGACGTCGAGGAGTTCAATGGAATTGGAAAACCCGATGGGAAAGTTGTGCCTGTTGTGCCTCAGAATGTACTTGTCACCAAGGAGAACACCGATGAGTTATTCCCTATTGTGGACGTAGAAACCATTGTTAATCCCAAGACGCTCATGGATAATTACGACAATGGCTTGACTCGTGAGGATTTAAACTCGTTACCGGCATTGGACTACGAGACTCAGCAACATTTACGCGATGAGTATAATGCATTGCATGATTTGGTTATCAGGAATGGGTTCTACCAGTGTAATTATTGGGACTATGTTCGAGAAATAATGAAGATTAGTTCGCTTATGTTGTTTTCATTTTCGTTCCTCAAGTTGAATTACCTTTTCTTGAGTGCATTTTGCATGGGGTGTGCCTGGCACCAAGCTACTTTCATAGCCCATGATGCCGGTCACGTTGCCATTACCCATAATTATCAATTTGACAATATTTTCGGAATTCTCATTGCCGATTGGTTTGGGGGGTTGAGTTTAACCTGGTGGAAGAGAAACCACAATGTTCATCATTTGATCCCAAATGACCCCGTGCATGACCCTGACATTCAACATTTACCATTCTTTGCCGTGAGTGTCAGATTATTCGACTCGATCTATTCTACATACTACAAGAAATACTTGTGGTTTGACAAGTTTGCACAAGCATTAATTCCAATTCAACACTTTATGTATTACCCTATACTTTGTTTTGGAAGATTCAACTTGTATCGTCTTTCCTGGGCCCATTTAATCAACGGGGATGGACCAAGACACGGTAAGGCTGCCTGGTTTAGATATTTCGAGTTGATGGGAATGTCGTTTTTCTTTTATTGGTTCTTCTATTTGCTTGTATTTAAGAGCATTGATGGTGGATGGAATAGATTTAACTACGTCATGGTGAGTCATATCACCACCATGTTGGTCCATGTGCAAATCACCCTTTCCCATTTCGCCATGTCTACCTCCGACCTTGGAGTCAGTGAGTCGTTTGTGTCGAGACAAGTGAGAACCACCATGGATGTGGATTGTCCCGAATGGTTTGACTTTGTCCATGGAGGTTTACAATTCCAAGCTATCCACCATTTATTCCCACGACTCCCACGTCATAATTTCAGAAGAGTCCAGCCATTGGTTATTCTGTTTTGTAAGAAAGTGGGGTTAAAGTACTCCATCTATGGGTTCGGCGAGGGGAATGGTAAGGTTATTGGGAAATTGGGTGATGTTGCTAAACAATGCAGTATATTGTTTGATGCAATCAAGAAGTACGAAGGAGACTTAGTTTAGATATGTACGTTATGATCTATGAGACCTTGTTTATCGAGAAACTTAATAAACTCTATGATTTGATCGTTCTCTACCAGCTGATCTCGCGAGATTAAATGTTTGAATAGTGAGGACTTTGAAGGAGTGTTGTGGGTTCTGTTGGAGTATAGCTTAGGGATAAGCACCGGTATGCCATTGACTGTGCGTTTATAATGAGTGAGTTCGTGACCAGCGAGAGGATTTGCTTCAATGACATGTAGATTCTTACACTTGTTGCCAAATTTGCACTTTTTGTTCTGTTGGTAAAAGCGGCAGACGGCTTTGGTACGTTTACCGGGAGCTTCTTTTGATTCAGCAGGTCGTTTCCTATCTTCCTTCTGTTGAATTTCGCTCTGTTTCTGTTCGAGCTTCTTGGCCACTACTTGTTTACTCGGCCACTTTTTCTTTCTTTCTTCGATCCATTTGGCGATGTCTTCTTCGGTCTGTAATGTTATGTTTGTTCCAGGAATGTAGATTGGTTCGTTGGGGTTGGGTTTAGCTTGCTGCTCTTCGTCAAGTATGTCTTCTGTAGGTTCTTGTACGGGTTCAGTATGTGTAGGTTGATTGGGTAAATGAGTTGGAAGTTCGTTTGGGAGATGTGTTGGTAGGTCGAACATGCTACTGTCTATTATAGTCTATAGTGTTTGATTAGTTGCAATGAGGTAGAGTGGTGTGGAAATAATTTGGTGCGATGATTTCGCGAAGCCATAAAAATAATACATTGATTTTCTATACACTGGTTTACTATACACTAAATTAAATACTCACAATGATTGCCATCATAATCGTCCCTAATTTCTGATTTATATACAACATCATAATTGTCGTTCAGAAACAAAGTCTGATGAATCAACGGTGGAGATAACCCATTTGATAATGTTCTTTCCCTAAAGTTAATCAAAATATTGGGATTGTTTACTTGCGCTAACAAAATTTCATTGACTTCAGACAAGTCCTCGCAATCAGAACACGTTTTATCAACCTTGGGAAGGGCACCAATTGGCTGCATTAGCTTTGCAAAGTTTACCTCTTCTTCGGTCTCACTATCATAATTATCAGAAACAGTTCTAAGTAACGATTTGGGTGGATTAACCACATGATTGTCAATACACTCATCCTCATCATCAGAAATAACAGCACAGCTATCATCTTCCGATTCATCTTTATACATAAACTGATTTAAAATAACAGGAGGCAACCCACTTAACCGTCTGGGTTTACTATAATATGGTTCTATTGAATCCTTTCTATGGTGGAGATGGTGACGGTGTTGGCGCACAACATCGTTTACTTCTTGCCGTGGCGCATTTTGCAACGTTGGCTGAATTATAGGCAAGTCATACGCGATTAAAGAATAATTGTTTGCATTTTTTGGTTTGATTGACGAGATGCTGGTATAATATGGTTCCTTAATCATAGAAAGTATAGTGTTCTAGTAGAAAGAAACAGCAGGCAGTATTACGTGGTTTATATGTGTGTGATTTCACCCGTTTTGATGTCTTATCTTTGAAATTGATAAGACCTTTTAGTCCGGATTAGGTATGTGCGGCTCAATAGTAACATTCACATGCTGCAGATTATCACATCATGATTACGGTGGAAACAATCAGTTATGCTTTGTAAGCTTGGTTTTTAAGTTGAATTTGTCTACAAGCTATCTGATAAGGGAAGGAAAACTTTAAGTATAAACAATGTAATTGTTTAGTCCTCCTACCTTTGAAAATATTTGAATTCGGCAAGATTGACTAGGTATTGAATAATACTTAAGATATATTGGTAGTTTAACATAAGATATGGGGATATGACGAGTATGTATATTATTACGAGTACAAGAAACTTAGCTGGGAGTATTGGCATGTACAAACTATGTCAATTTGTGGACAAATCTTTTCTACCAATATTAAAAACGGAAAAGGACCTCGAAAACAAAAAAAAATAATACTAGGCTAGGTAAACCTTGTCATTTACAAGATTCATACACCAGCCCAAATAGTATTGAAACTCAACTAGAGTTGCATGTGCTTACAGATACTATTCTGCTTTCTTAAGTTGGAGTATATTTTCCTAATTATTAATGTCATTAGCCGGATTAATAACCACCCATTAACTTGATGATCGGGTGCAAACACTCACTTCAAATACTATGTACATTTGTAACTTACTGATAATCGAATTTAAATTAGGATCAAAAAAAATACCCCCCAATGATAACTTATTGAACAACAATTACCTAGTATTAATGAAAGATTTATCTTGTTCTTCAGTCCCGTGGAACCTATCATATCCCTTTAATATAATGGTGAAAGGAGTAGTACATTTTGAAAATTGCGGAATTTTCAAAGATAAATAAGTCAAATGTACCATCAATGATTGAAATTCTGGTTTATTTTGAGGTGATAAAAGATTGTCGATAACCTGGACAGAACTACCTTCTCCATTTTACCTTTTGATATAGCACGACCTAACCAAGTTACTTGAAGGGAAGCAAAAGCAGATTTCCAATTAACTAAAATTGCGAGCAAATGCATTTTTTAATACAAACTTAACACTGTCCAGGCGAGACTTGGAGTTTTTGGAGAAACTAAGTATATCACATATATAAAAATTAACAAAAGATACTTTGCCAAATATATTAACTAAGGTACTTTGAAATACGTCCGGAGAAATATTCAAACCAAATGGTGGCACAGAAAACTGATAGAATCCATAATGGGAGTGAAAGATAATAGAACAACTATCTGTTCCATTCATCATTTCAATAAGATGAGAAGATGATAATTGTTTAATTTGACCTTTAATGAAATATAACTGCACCTAAGTATAATGAGAAAGTGGTTGTGGTTTTCAACTTGGTACAATTTTTATATTTTATATCATAAGGTGTAGTGTCAGACTTAGTGTAACAAAAAAGAAGATAGATATCGATTAATAAGATAACTAAATTACTAAACAACAGAAGATTGGACTATATTTATGTTCCAATTTAGACCAGATAACAATTACATGAACCACCAGGGATGTTTACCTGTTATACAGGTTTACTTGATTAAGCGGGTGTGAATTACACTCGATAAAAATACATATTACTCAGTTTATAGAAATAAAGTCTTCAAGTTCCTTTGTATAGCGGATCTCACATTAAACTACATTTTCTTGTAAGACTGGAGATGATCTTGGCATGGAAGTGGGGTAGATACGAGAAGTTATTGGTTGATATAATTTCTCTAGTATTCCACAATATTTTAGTACATCATCAGGGAATGCCATAGCTCTGCAATACATACTACTTGCACTCGTCTCTTGCAACCATTGTTTGATACCGGCCGAACCTGCCCCACCTCTTCACGTGATCGGAATTTGGAGCCGATATTCCTGTCCGCGCAATCAACAAAAATAAAAAAAAAGAAAATCTTAACCCTGACAAAATGACCCTTCACTATATCTTGATTTGCTACAACTAATTCATCCAATACCAAACCATGTCCGGATTCAAGAAATTTACCGACTTTTTATTTTCCAAAAAGTCATTGAAATATATGTGTACCACCCATTTCTGGGGTCCAGTTTCCAATTTTGGGATCCCTATTGCTGCCATATTAGATTTAAAGAAGGATCCAAATTTGATCAGTGGTCCAATGACTGGATCGTTGATTCTTTATAGTTTGGTGTTTATGAGATACTCTATGGCTGTGACTCCTCAAAACTACTTGTTATTTGGTTGTCATTTCGTTAATGAATTGGCTCAATTGGGTCAAGGGTTCAGATGGGTTAAATGTCATTACGTCGATGAACCAAAGCCTGCTGTTGTAGCTGCCATTGAAGACAAAGTAAATGAAGTGTCAAAGTAAATAGGTGATCGTTCATAGAAAAGGAAGAAGGAATTAACGGGTTAGTGCTAGATATATTTGCATCAAAAGTGTCATGTTGTATTATAGTTGTCTAGTTTAATCAATTATAGAGTGTTATTTTAAAGTTGAAAACAATATTGTAGAGCATATGCTAGAAGTATTAACCGTGTTGGGTCTGCGCATTGGATAGAGAAAACATCCATATAATTGTTCCGGCGTCATTCTAGGAAATAATTAGGCAGTGGTATGTAAGATCATTACAGTATGGTAAATTCTAGACTCAATCTTTTTATATCAGCCACCCTATAATGGAATCTCTAACTAAATCCATATCCGGCTTATCCGATAAAGTCTTATCGATAATCTGTGAATATCTCAGTCTAATAAATATCTCTCAATTCACATTAGTAAACCGCAGATGTTATGAAGAAGGAGATCAAAGGTTGTATCGGACCACATACATCAATAGTAGCGGTGAACCACTCTTGATATCCTCCAAAATGCTTTAGTGAATATTATTGTATATATCGCAAGCATTGCCGAGTTGGATGATTGGCATAAGATCAAGCGTAAATTCGACTTGATTTAGTTGGTCAACTACTTTCTAAATGTTCAGTATGAAGCCTTGGTATGACGAATGAGGAGATTAAAACCAGAAATTAAAGTGACCAGTGACTTTAAGTCACCGTTTGAAGAGATTGGACTGTTGGATAATAATAGACAACTAAATCTTGAAGATAGATTAATATATGTGCGTAAAGTCACCAACCATGCTATTACAAAGTTTTATTGTAGATAGATGACAACATAATAATTTACAGATGATGCCTCACAGCGACTCAATGATTTTTCATCGACATAAACGTTATGGATTGTCCAAATTAAGAACCAAGGAATTTTTCTTGAAATTAGGCTTGTGGAAACTAGATACACATATAAATAGATATCTAAATAGGAATATATTGAGGCATATCAACAGGTATCTCATGGCATATATATATATCTATAAACCCTTGAGAAGAAAATAAAGAATGTTTGTAATTGAGTGAAATAACATCACTCGAACTTAAATTCATTCCCAAAGATAAAAATGTCTAACTATATGAGCCATAGCTAATAAAATTGGCGCCTCAATTAGCCAATCTTAAACATTTTGCAATCACGATTCGCCGCATTGAAATAGATAAATTCATTAACAAGTTAAATTCATATTTCCTTGAGAACTTGTATATTATGATAAAAGTGAGCCTCACGTATCATGATGGCCCCAGTCTCTTTGATATCATCCTCAGTCAGGAAAAATCATTAACAAGGCACTACTTTGGGACTGGTGGCACCGAGAACCTCAAAGTTTATGGGAATTTGAACGGATTTATAGAAATATACATTTAGTGAAGAGAAAATCTTACAAGTTGAGAGTCCGAGAATCTCTGCAGTTCCAGATATATCCGATGCTCTCGTTAAATTGCTTACTACAAGTAACAATTTAGTACAAGACTGCGATAGGATTGTTGAGTTGCAACATACTATTCTTGAAGGCAAATAATTCTTAATTAATTGACCACAACTAGGTGGAGTAGACATAGAATGTTGGAACCCATGGTAGTCTGGTCTATTTTTGCAGCATTTCAAAGCTGATCAATTAACTACCATTAGTTAATCAAGAAGAATATAAAATATTAGCGGTAATATAAGCCAAGCTCGTTCTAGGAATACTGTCGATTATTTTTTTTAACTCATTCAGAGAAGTAGCCTTGGCCATTGTTTGATAATGGTAATGTCTTAACCGAGGCTCATCATTCAAAGTTCATAACCTTCAACTCTTACTTTACTTATCTACAGCGTATTAAAACAAACTATGAAACATCATCCCACAAACCATCATTTAAGCTTTATCAATTTCCCCAAGATTCGTCCAAGAAAATAAAACTAATGTTACAATCCTATTTAGGTAACAGTGGTAAGGTTTTTATATCGCCCCCAAAAAATCTTGCCCAACAATAGTGTTCCCAAAAAAACAAAAAAAAAGTAAAATCGTAAACTGGAATTGTGTTTGTCGTACTTTGTCAGTCCAACATGTCTGCACTTAACACCATCAAATTCTACCTCAAGTCCGTAGTATTTGGATCCGTCATTGCCGGATGTGCTATTTATGGAATATTTGCATCGCTTATATTGCGAATTATCAACAAGTTAGAATACGCTCAATTCACCGTTGCTAGAGCGTTCTATTATGGCCTTGGTACTACCCTTGGCTTAAAGATCAACATCAAGAATGAACACTACTTAAGAGGTTTACCTGCAATCTGTGTATCTAATCACCAGTCTGCATTAGATGTTTATATCTTGGGAAGAATTTTCCAACCGGGGTATACTGTCACCAGTAAATCTTCATTGAAGTATGTTCCTTTCTTAGGTTGGTTCATGTCCTTATCAGGAACTTTCTTCTTGGATAGAAAGAAGGGAGCTAAGGCCAAGGCTGTATTGGAAGGTGCATTGAATGATTTGAAGCGTGAAAAGAAGGCTTTGTTTATCTTCCCTGAAGGTACTAGGTCTGCCACCACCGAGTTAGAAATGTTACCTTTCAAAAAGGGTGCTTTCCATTTGGCTAAGGATGCTGGAATTCCAATCATTCCTGTCGTTGTTTCAAATACTTCTACCTTGTTCAGCTCTAAGAAAAAGACCTTTAGAGGTGGGGAAATCACTATTGAAGTGTTACCACCTGTTCCAACCACTGATGTCAAGACTCATGATGATGTCACTAAACTTGTCAACAAAGTTAGAGATGATATGGTGAGCACACTCAAGAGAATTGGTTATTCAAAACCAAGCGGTGGCGAAGAAGAAGATGATGATGAAGAAGTTGATTCTGATATCTCAAGCATTGATACTAAATTCGATGTGATACCTCCAGCTAAAATAATAGTAGAAGCTGATTAATTTGTTTTATATCTATTTAGACAAAATATACACAAGTAATTATTGTTAACTATTCCAAGATAACTGCTTTAGTTTTCTTTTTCGTCTTTTTAGGCTTGACAGTGATCACATCGGGCGAGCCTGTACCCGATCTGGTAGAATGAACAGATTCCACCTCAGCTTCTGTTTCTATAATCTTCTTTGTCTTTGACTTCTTTTTCTTCTTAGGTTTCTCCTCTTGAGCAGCTTCAGCTAGTTTGTTACGGTAAGATTCCAAATCAATTTCATATTCATTCTTATTCAGAACATCCAAAACATCACTAGAACTTAAATTAAAATTGTCTAAATTTGAACTGTCAATTTTCAATGCATTCTTCTTTTTCTTTGGCTTTTTCGAAGATTCCAAATCGGTCAATGGAGATGCACCTTCTACGGTTTCTTCAGATAAAATCACAACCTTTTCCTTCTTCAACTTTGACTTCTTGGACTTTTTAGTTACTGATGGGGCAGTACTCATCTCGGTATAACTCTCTGGAGTCACACTCTCCAGTTCAGTCTTTGATTTACTCTTCTTCTTGGTTTTAATAGGCTCTGGATTGATATAGTACGGGTCATCCTTCAATCTATTCATTCTTTCCTTCTTCTTTTCAAATGTCTCTTCACTAGTCAATTGAATCAATGGCTCTTCTTCAACTTCAGAAATGTATAAGTTATAACTATCATTATCTTGAACAGGATCCAATTCCAACGTGAATGGAACAGAACTAATCTCGGAATCCAAGTCGAGGTCTTCAGGAACAGCAATACTGCGTTGAGCATTACGTGAAACTGGGTTTAATTGGTACGATTTGAAAAACGATGGTAGGATTGTAGTTAATAGTATTGGCAATTTTCTAGCTTCACTCAAAGAGATCTCAGCAGGAAGTTGTGAATGTTCTTCTTGCGTTTTAACAGGTTGTTCGAGTTGTTCAGTTTGTTCAATTTCTGCAAATGGATTAGGTTCAAACTCAGGAAGAGGTGCAATTGGGGTCGATACCATTTCGTCATCAGATTCTAAATCTCCATACTCGTCCGAATCATCATCAGAGTTATCGTCTGAATCTTCTTCTTCACTTTCTTCTTCAGAGTCTTCTTCGCTCTCCTCGACTTGTGCTTCTCGCAAGAGCTTGTAGAAAGTTATATCCTTCTCCTCGGACAATTTAATCGCACTCAAGTCATCTCCAGTCATTGCTTCTAATGACAACTTCAAGAATTCCAACCAAGACAACGCCCGTTCTTGAACTTCATAATTTTGATGGGTTTCCCAGTTACTCAAGAAGCCAACCAACTTGTACAAATAATAACAAATTTCATTGTACTTATCATCGGGTAATTCACTCGAGTAAAACTTAGCATAATCGGAAACAATGCTGTTGAAGAGTTTCACTAATGCTTGGATCACCACTGCCAATACACTTGGATAACCCAATCTAACCAACTTGGCAGATATTGGAAAATTCAAGTGCACAGTCAAACCTAATGATTTATCAATATTGTTATTAACGAGTAAATTAAATAACTTGATTTTCTTGTTTAATATAACTTGAGAATCATCTTCGTCATCAGAGTCTTCAGAATCTTCTCTCAATTCATCAATGTATTCACCCATGATCCAATAGAAATCCGTGAGCAAAGACGGACAATTTTCGATAATTCTAACATCTTGAATGAATGTAATTACATTATTAAGTAAAGTAGGTCTAATTGAAGGAACCTTTGTTGCCAAGTTCTTAAATTCCTTACCTAGTTCAATTGCAATGGAATTAGAAACTTGTGGGGATATAGTAGTTGATGCAGAGGGCAATGGCAATAATGTCAAGTTGATCACATCCTTTAAAACAGCAACGTACCATTTGAAGTTGGGAATGTTTGCATAATTGTCCAAGGTTGCAATTTCAAGCAATTTCAACGTGACTTCAAGTTTAAGTTGTTGTGGGACGGTTGAATTCTCAGTGGGAATAAGTTGGGTTAATAGTAACTTGACAACTTCAGTTATATTGTCTTCGTTAACTAAGTAGTGGCATACTTGCAATGCCTTTTGTTTGATAATGATGTCAGGATCAACTAAACAATCCATGATCACTTGTGAAACTCCCTCAACTCTGTCTATGAATATCGGAAATATCTTTAAGATATTGATTAATGCGAGTAAACCCACGAATTTCAAATTTGAATCGTTGGTCTTGAAGAAAGTCATAAGTTGATCAATACAAGTCTTGGCAGTTTCACTGTCTTTGAATGATTCGGTCGACAACATTTGTCCATTGACAATACAATTAATACATTCGTAAATCAACGACGAAGCTTGAGTTCTTAACATCAAGTCCATGATTGTTGGCAAAATCTTTCTTTTCATTCTTGGTTCAACTTTGGATAAACTTTGGAAAAGTTTGAGGATACGGATAATTAACCAGTTGTTTTTGGTATCTTCGAGGATGGTGAACAACTTAGGCAAGTAATTAATAAAGATATTTGGATTCTTTTTAGATATTTCACAAATTACATTAACCGTAGCACTGATCACTGAGATATCAGGGTCGTCCAACTTGTCAATAACTCGTTGAAAGTTTAGTCTCAAACTGTCAGGATATTGAAGGAAGATCTTGTACATTGCCAATATAGCCTTTTTTCTGATATATGGTTTTGAATGGTTCAACTTCATCAACACGTCATCATTGATATCCTTAGCAAGATTAGGTGTGACAATAGTGGCTATCCCACTCAAAGCCAACCCAATTTCAATATGGTTATGCGAATTGAGATCCTTCTTGAATTGATTCGTTGCCAATATCAACAAGTCTTGTTCATTCTTGAAACTTTGGATGGCAGCCAAATATCCAATTCTCTTTTGTTGGAACTTACCTGACGACATGATTTCCAAAATGTGGAAATTGCACCAGGACATATCAAACCCGTACATTTCCAAATAGGCCAATTTCAAGATAGCCATTGCTTTGGTTTCCAAATCGGTTGTGGACAATTCAGTCTTGCATTCTTGTATGGCAACATCAAGGAATTGGGCAAGGGCTTCTGGGGATTCTTTTGAATGGGATCGGATTCCCTTGATTAAATCAGAGAGGGACTTCTCAAACAGAATCCCAAATGGCTTCAATCGAGCTAGAACTTGGGAGTTCTGTAATTGGAATGACATGTGGTGGAAGAAAGTTGGTTGTCTGGAAAGTGTCAAGTTTTGATCTTGAAAATAATTAGGGAAAAAAAAAATTGTTGTCCTTGTATTTACGTTTTCTATAAGGCAACACAATCAGCCATGCCTACAAGAGAAGATCAGGCATCTAACAGCATGTCACAACACAGTGACTTGTCAGACATACAAGAAAGTGAAGTAAACTCACAAACATCCTTAGATTCAGAAGATGAAACAAACATTCCTCCACAATCACCAGCCCCCCACAGTATACACCTGGTTGAATCATCAGAGACTGACGACTATATAGCTAGTGATGACGACTTAAGCCTAGCATTATCACGTTCATACGAGCTACATCCAAATCTAAACTTTACTGGAAGTCTATCTGATCATGCTAACTACTTCATCAACACATTAAACACAGCATTAGAATCAATTGATCTTGACAAATTCCTTGCCTTACAAGCACAAATCAGTGGCGCGTTAAACAACGAGAATCAAAAGATTCTTGAAAAGAAGGAACAAGTGGTTCACAAGTTAAAGAATCTACAAGTGCTCTTTACAAAACATTTCCATGGAACTTCCCATGAACCAAGCAAGATCGAACAAATGAAATATGATATAAAAAATCTAGAGCAGAGAATAGCAAAGCTCAAACATGGCAATTCTTCAATAATACCGTTCAAGCCGAATGATTCGGGTGTTATAAACAAATACCCTATCGAATATAATCAAGCCAAGGATAAAATATTAGAACGACAAATTGAAGAAGAAACTATCAATTTTTAGCATAAATTACCCCCATCCCGTCAATCCAACCTCCCATATAACTATAAATCCCCACAATTTTAAAATCATGACTTGGTGTTTCGACAATGGATAAATGTCCACCATTGGAATTACCGTAAATAGGTGATAATGTGCCTTTGTTGGTTTCAAATCCAATCCCATCCACCCAAGCACCATTTCTGACATGGAACTTAGCGATAACTTCGCCAGAAGGAACTAAATATTCACTATAATTTTGTTTTTCATTGCCAACCAATGCTGTTTGGTCGTCTCCTCCACTTGAATCACTCAACGTAAGGACTTCTTGGAACCTTTTCAAATAATTCCTAGGAGGAACTTTTGGAGCAGCACTAAGTTGAGAACCGCCACTCTTAAAATAGAATCGAAACCCATCTAAAGCCATACCACTGTATACCCTCACCTTATATACGGAGTCAATATTAAATCCAACATAATGCATTTCATGATCTTTGCTCTGCCCTAACAATTCACCTTTGATGCCTTCAAGTTGACCACGATTCAATCCAAAATCGCTTCTAATAATCTCACCATGTCTGGTCAAATCTTCTTTGAAATTACTTATATAGAGATCCCCGGCAGTAGTTAAGATACGAACATCATATTTATCATCAGAATCTTTTGATGCACGGCGCAATTCATTCAAGTATTCGTTGTAATTTATCTTTAATTCAGTGGGCAATCCTCGACCTCCATAAAACGGGGGAAAGAATTCTCGAGAATACCTGGCTAAATCTTTGGTGATTATTTCAACCAAGAAGATCCCACCTCTACTCTTGACAACAATTTCATCTTTGGACAATGCATACTTGGATGGTGCCGACAATCCATTGTAGTCATCGTCATTTCTTTTCGTAGTAGTATATAACTTTTCAAACTGGTCGATTGGCAACCCAAATGAATCATGATACAAAAATCTCATTAAATCAAGTCTATTCCAATGACACTCTTTATCCCATTTACCATTTGTTCCGATAACTGCACCTTTGGTATTTCTTCGAAGACACTGCAACTCCCTAGTCATGAAGCTTCTATTGAGCCAGACGTAATCACGCAACATGACTCCATCGACTTGATGAGGACATCCCAACAGATGACCAATTTCATGCATGAATGCACCAAGAGTAATATTATAACACTCCCAACTGGTGCCGCACTCATCACAATCATTAGCAACTTCGCGTTTACTTAACTGAGTGTCGTCAAGGAAACAAGGTGTGACTCTGGCAAAATTATTAGCCCATGAATGCAATCCATGAGATCCGAAAACTGCCATAGCTACTTCATCAGTTCCACCTCCAAGTGCAGCATGGGTTAAAATCAAGTCATTCTTGGTATCGTACGTTGAATCAAGGTATATGCATGCAGCTTGTACACTGGTTCCACCTTCTTTAATGTCGGGACATTGCTTGACTAAATCAATTGCGTGACTAAACGTGAAACCAGAATCGGAAGCATTTGGGTTCTGCTGGGCTTTGTTCGGATCCCTTAATTCAGCCACAGACAAAGGGGAAGTCAAGACATGAATTTTAACTTCAGCATGAGGAGTAGGCGACTTAACATTATACCCAAATATACTTTGATCATTAGTTATCTCTTCAGCAAATTGGAAACATCTATTACTAAACCCATTAATTCTCATTTCTTCTTGTGTAAATGCCTGCATCAATCTTGCTCCAACTTTCAACTTCTTAATAGCCAATTCCACAGAAGGCCTCTCTCCTGCATTCAATTTATAACCAGGCATATCAAAGCTGCCATTGGAATCTCTTCCTTTAATCAAACACAAATGCACAACCTTATTGTCAGGCAAGGGGTTAAATACCAATGTCAAACTTCTTGAATCGAGAACACGAGGGGTTCCACGGTATTCGGGAAATCCATGGCCAGCAATATACCCATTATCATAAACTTCAACTTTGAATACATTTGGTTCACCCGGTGCCACATGTATCACCGCTTTAAAATTCCCATTGTTATTGACTTCAAAATATAACGGAGGGAAGACCTTGTTATTGTTGTTTGTGAAAGAGATCAATCCCTGATCTATCCCAGTAGATGTTCTACCGCTGACAATTACTGTGGGTGATGAAACAATCTCATCATTTCTATAATTGAACGTAATTCCCATGGTTGAATAAAGAGATGAAATGTCGTGTAACTGAGGATAACTAAAGGGACAAGTGTTATAAGCCTCTGGGGAAGAAGAAATCAATCACGTGAGAAGATTCTAGATTTTCGGACTTCGCCTCAACTTTCCCACCCCGTGGTTGCAAAAAAAATACAAAAAAAACTTTGTGTACATTGTATATGCATGGAAACTTGTGTCTATTGACTAACAACAAACGATGTTTTATGACGTGATATTCTGTTGAAGACCTCCGGAAATTGAGATTAAACGATATAGCAACTTCTAATTGTTTTTATGCAGAGTTTAAAATTCCTCGTCATCAACTTATAAAATGCCGTTTACGCAGGTCCAAAAAAACACAAAAACTACACATTGTTCAAATCACACCACAGGACTACTTTCCATATCGTCAAGTCAGCATTGCAACAGGTACCAGATTAATTATTTAATTTTTTGACGTAAATTATCCCCAATTCTTCAATCCAAGCCCCCCCCCCCCGTATAACTATACATTCCCACAATCTTAAAATGAGAACCTGGTACTTCAAGTATTGATGAATTTCCTCTAGTGGAGTTACCATATATTGGTGATGCAGAACCCCGATTAGTCTCAAATACAACACCATCAATCTAACAATCATTTCTAACTTAAAATACATTTATAACCTCACCCGCAGGAACTAAAAATTCACTATAATCAGGTTTCTCATTTCCCACTAATACTGTACGCTGTCCTTCTGATGAATCACTCAATGCGAGAGCTTCTTGGGATTCTTGAACTTAATCCCCATTTGATACTTTAGTATCACAAGACTCGGAAATATCTCTAAAATAAAATCGAGCCCCATCCAAAACCATGCCACTGTATACTCTCTTACCTTATATACGGAGTCAATATTAAATCCAACATAATGCATTGCATGATCTTTGCTCTGTCCTAACAATTCACCTTTGATGACTTCAAGTTGACCATGATTCAATCCAAAATCGCTTCTAATAATCTAATCTTAGGATGAGTAATCTTTGAAATTACTTATATAGAGATCCCCGGCAGATGTTAAGATACGAACATCATATTTATCATCAGAATCTTTTGATGCACGGCGCAATTCATTCAAGTATTCGTTGTAACTTATCTTTAATTCAGTTGGAAATCCTCTACCTCCATAAAACGGGGGAAAGAATTCTCGAGAATACCTGGCTAAATCTTTGGTGATTATTTCAACCAAGAAGATCCCACCTCTGGTCTTGACAACAATTTCATCTTTGGACAATGCATACAGTAAAGGTTCTACCACTTACAAGTACAGTAGAGGCCAAGACAATCTCATTATTTATATAGTTGAACTTGATTCGTATGATCGATTTATGGCGATAATTAAGTTGTAACAGACTATAGCTATTCCCTAAACCTTATATTCATGGTATCAACATGATCACGTGAGCAAATCTGGAACTTTTTTAGACTCAGCAGGAATCTTAGCGAGGCTTCTAGGCCACCATGTAACTATAAACCAAGAATTGATGATGTTCAAATTTTGGTATTCCTAAGCGGTACATTATATCAGGCCTTGGTTCTGCATCAATAGTAAGTAACATATCAAAATACTGGTATCATAGTTGTAACCAGTTTTTTCTTTTTGGTTTTCCAATAATTCTGTATTTTTTTTAGTAACAATAGTTCAAAAATTAAATTGAACATAAAATGTTTGCGACGGGATTAGTTGACAAAGAACAGCAAAAGAGAAAGATCAAAATCGGCAGTTTGGAAAATAAATAGAAATGATGTACGATACCTTTACTGGTTTAATTTGGGAATAATTGACATAGGAACAATAAAGGTTGCCGGTCAATATTTCAGCACTAATTTCAAAACCAAACATAATTAAATCCGGATAAATTGATTGTACAACATATACTATTTGTTTATCAAAGTATCGATTCTTCTATTCCAAGCAAATGGAGCAAGGACGGAGGGATAGGGCGGTGATTATGAGAATGCCACCAATTGTTACCGGATTTAAGGCAGTTTTCGTTTAGAGTTAACTATTCAATTTTCGTAAATTGAAGATGTTATCCAATAGCACAAGAAGATGTATTGGTTCGTAACTACGGAATAGATGGTGGGGTAATCTTATATATTTTTATAAAAGCTTAGTATATCATGACTGATGGATTATCCCGGCCTTTATACCACTAATTTTCCCTCGGGAATTCCTTATTGGGAAATTTATTCCGCGCTTCCGCAATATTGAATTTGTTAGAACAATGGGAGCGCATTTTTTCCAACTTTCTAAGCCAACAACATCGTAGCGGCAAGTCTCGTATAGGCAGGAGGAATTTTGCAACAATCAGTATATTATGATTAGCGTTCTGCAATATTTAATTTAATGGGTACAGCCCTTTGGATATTTTTTATTATATCTATTACTTCATCTATTGTTTAATAATTATGATAAGCAATATTAGTCCCCTCTAACCCACCCCACACAAAACAGACATATAAATATTTTGAAGAATGCAGCATATTATTCTTTGTTTTAGCATAATTCAGTAACCATCTTTCATGTCCGATTTAGAGCAACAATATAGCATCTCTGAACCAGAGATGGTACCAGGGACCATCCAACTTATTGATGTCCTTGGTAATTTAAACGTGAAAAAGAATGAAGAATCAGGGAACATCATCCTTCAACCACAACCCACTTCAAATATCAACGACCCATTACGGTGGTCAAAGTTTAAAAAGAATTTTCAATTTTTTTTAGTATGGATATGGTGTTTTATGTTTGCCGTGACTACCAATTTCTATGGTCCTTTGTTTGATGTATGGGTTGAAGATTTAAGTTGTACCTATGACCAACTAGGTATTAGCGTTGCTATCTGTTTCATGTTTCTTGGAGTGGGAGTGTTGATTGTCCAACCCACCGCTTTGAAACTTGGGAAAAGATTCACATACTTGTCATGCACTGTTCTCGGTATAATAGGTTGTGTTCTTGGAGCTAAGGCTAATACTATTGGAAACATTTATTTATATCAAGCATTTACCGGGTTTGCTGCTGCCCCAGTTGACTCATTAGCTGAAATCACATCAACAGATATTTACTTCCAACACGAAAGATCAACAGCATTTGGGTTGGTAATTCTTGCTCTTTATGCTGGGAGTTATTTAGGACCAGTAGCTTGTGGATATGTTGTGGATGGTATTGGATGGAGATGGTGTTTCTACTTACAGATTATAATCTATGTGGTCATATTCTTTTTCTTTTTATTTACTATGGAAGAAACTTCATTTAGAAGGGACTCTGATGCTGAAGATGAGTTCGAAGAGGCTATTATTACCCAAACCAAATCACCTAAAATGCAGAATATCACCCTGATCAAGGAAGAAATCGATGAAAACTCCATTGACAACAGTTCAATTGATGAATCCATACCTAAACTAACTTATAAACAACGCATGAGAATAATTCATACTGAGTATAATGACCCCAGATCATGGCTATGTATCTTCTACCGTCCTTTCTTCTTGGTTACTTTCCCTGCAGTTATGTGGGGTGGGTTAGTCTACGGAGCTCAAATGATGTGGTTATCCTTGATCGGTAACTCCCAAAGTATAATATATGGAGCAGATCCTTATAATTTTCTGGCCAATGGAATTGGATTGACTAATTTAGGTGCATTTGGAGGGTGTGTATTTGGGATGTTGTATGGTGGTTATTTTGTAGATTGGAGTACTATCAAATTGGCAACACGTAATAACGGGATTTTAGAGCCAGAATTCAGATTATATAGTATGATTGTGCCTACTATTATCAATGCTGCCGGGTTGTTGGCATATGGGTTAGGATCAGCCTATGGAGCTCATTGGGCGATTTCCGTAGTTATAGGTCAAGGATTCTTAGGTTTTGCCATGGGATCATCAGGTTCAATTTGTTTAACATATGCTGTTGATTGCTATCATAAATTGGCCAGTGAAAGTATTGTGCTTATCTTGTTTATTAGAAACATGATTGGAATGATCTTTTGTTTTGTATTCATGCCTTGGTTGGATGGATGTGGGTTGAAGTTAACCACATGGTTAATGTTTATGTTAGCTATACTTATCAATGGAAGCTTTGTTGTTCTTGTTAAATGGGGTAAAGACCTTCGGAGATGGACTGCTCCTAGTTATGCAAAGTATTCTAATCCTAAGTTTGGAGAATTGTTTAAGTAATTTTGATCTCGTAATATATTTGATACGTTTAAACCAGTAAACTTTTCCAATAGTGTTATCCTTGGCTTGAACTAAGTTATTTCCTTCCTATAGGTACTTAAATAAAACTGTAACTGAGAAATCTTACTAACACAAATTAATTAGATTCTTTAGTGGATATAATCTTTTGAACAGTGCTCATAATCCAGCAAAGTAATCTAAGTTAAATCACATAATAAACAGCCTACATCCAGTTTAATATATCAGCAACTTTACTTGGCTTGGTATATAAATTCAATTGCTGTGAAAAATAAATTGTTATGTCAAATCTTCTTTTTCGTTTTCTAATCCAAACAAAAACATTATCTTATCTCATCATGAGCAACAACAAACGAAAAACTGAGGCATTCCTAGCTGCATCGAACCATTGGGCCCATAAAAAGAGACCTAAAGTTGAATCTTCTGAGAAAACTCAACCAAGTGTTGAAAAGAAGAGCGAGAAATGTGATGTGATTGAAATTCTGTCTGAAGAAGAAGAAGAACAAGAAGAGGAACCAGTGGAGGAAGTTAACCATCCGAAATCTCCAATTAGACTTCTCTACAATCCAAGCTACCCTGACAATGAGTTATCACAAGTCAACAAAGATGCTGTTCGAATTGCAGACTTAATTGGGTCAGAAGAGCTCATGGAGACGTATCAATTCAATTTCAGTGTTGACGTTCCGTTTTTCTTGGAATTCCTTCATCCTAGTTTCAAGAAAGAGAAAAAGAAATTAGTACTTATCACAGGAGGTCATCATTTAGAAGACCCTGAAGATAGACCAATATTTGAAGGCTACAATATCCTGGAAATAACCGCTGATATACCGAATAGGTTTGGGACTCACCACACGAAAATGATGATTAATTTCTTTAAAGGTGACACTATGGAGATTGTGATTATGTCTAGTAATATCACAAGATTGGATTTTGGAGGATTAACACAGATGTTGTGGAGATCGGGAAGATTGCTGAAAATCAAACCCAAAACGATTCCATTGGTTGGGAAGCGATTTCAAAAAGATCTCATGAATTATTTGAATAAATATAACAAGGTAGAGATTACGCAATTATCAAAAAGATTAAAACAATATGATTTTCTGTCTGTTAATGTTGAATTAATTGCCTCAGCTCCAGGAAGTTACAATCTTAGAGATGTTACAAATGAAACTGAAATTTACGGATATGGAAAACTACACCAAGCATTGAAAAGAAACTCACTATTAATAGACAACAGTATTAGCAAATTGAAATATAACATAATTGCACAAGTGTCAGCTATTTCGTATCCGTTTGCAGTTGAAACATTTCAAACAGCCGGTATTTTCTCTCATTTGCTTTGTCCATTAGTGTTTTCGAAGAAAGAAGAGTTCAAACTACTTGAACCAGGTACAAACAGTTTCAGGCAACATCAAAAGGACCACAACTACAACCCAATTATAATATTTCCAACTCCTGAGGAAGTCGCTGGTAGTAATGTTGGATTTCGTGCTGGAGGAGCCATACATTTCGACTACAATAGGAGCTTTGTACATAAGAACTACTACCAACAATGTATTAAACCGTATTTACACAAATGGAGTTCCAGAGAGACAATTACGGGAAGGGAGAAAGTAATGCCCCATGTTAAATTATACATGTGTGATAATGGTGATAATTGGTCAACTTTGAAGTGGGTATACATGGGAAGTCACAATCTCTCCAAACAAGCCTGGGGTAGTAGAAGAGGGAATAAATTTCTCAGCCTGAATCCTTCAATATATGACATATCTAGTTACGAATTAGGAGTATTGGTTTATCCAAAACCAGGGGAAACTCTTGTGCCGAATTACCTAGGTGATTCAATACCAAAATCCAAGAATATACCCATAAGGTTGCCCTTCAAATTACCACCTGTAAAGTACTTATCAACCGATTTACCATGGAGTGGTCATGTAAGCTATGGAGGTTTAGCAGACAAGTATGGGGAAACTTATAATCTTACATAGCGAATTAAAATATAGACTTTGGTTTATTACCAAGTTGGGTAGGACCAAAACCATCCTCCTCTACAATATTTGAACGCTTTCTTGGTGGTTCATCTTCTGAATCACTGTAGTCAGTATCTGCATCTGCAGAATTCTGCTTTAATGGTGTCTTGCTATGCTTCAAAGGAGACGGCTCCTTTCCATAAGTTATATACTCCTCATCATTGTTGCCACCGAAATCTGAATTTAGATCACGTTCAGGAGTTCTCCAGCCACTTGGTAAACGTATTGAGTGACGAAGGCTGCTTGTTGATGGTAATTTACTCACGGGTGTACGAATCAGTGAATTATTCTTCATTGGTGAAGCTGATGTTGATCTGCTATTTGCGATATCTCGATTCTCTATTCTTTGTATGATGTGAGATTGTAATGACATGCTCTGCCTCTTGGTTATATTGACATTGACTTGTTTTGCCTCTATGTCGGTTGCCTTATCGTCGGATGTAATTTGAATATATTGAATGGAAACATGATTGCTATTTTGTAGCTCAAATAAAATCGGATCACCAGCATTACGAAAGAACATATCAAAGTTATCTGCTGATGGTAGGGTCATATAGTTCTCATCAAATTGATCCTTTTGCGAATTGGAAGATGTGAAGAAATTAATCAAATTCAAGAAATTTTTAAAATCTCGTAATCGGAAATTGATACATTTCTTAATAGGGTCAGTCCCGGTTGTGATTAAGTTACTATCAATTAAATCTTCTAAACTAATAGTGACAGTTACTGCCATGGGTTGTTTAAGATAATCTCTATCCTTAATGATTTGCTTGGTATATCCACTAAACAGGATTTTCCCATTTTTAATATCTATTTTGAAATCTTCTGCTGAGGGAGGTACCATTTCAAGAAATTGCTTCGGTATGAGTTGATCTATCACCAAGTGATTAATCCTATTGGGACCATCAAAGCTGTCATGTGGTTGATCATATAGTTGTTTCTTATACAGTTGTACAATATGCATATTCCCACGTAGCACTGGCTGATAACTCGTTTGATATTTCTTGATAATTAGTTTCTTTGTCTTGATCTCAATGGAAAGTTTGTATCTTTGACTTATAGATGAATCTATTCTCCAATTTATCTTGAAACAGACGTATAATAATGTACTAGGTTCTATAGTTCTGAATACTGTTGCCAAATGACGAGAGTTGACAATGAATGAGTATGATGATTGGTCATCGGAATCTATATCCTCTATACCTTCCTCGTATCCTTCGGGTAGTATTCCACTAAAGTCAACGTGATATTCATTGAAAAAGCTACTTTTGAAGATTATTTCTGCATGGGATGTATTACTGTTATTGACGGCAGATATTGAGAAAGAATTCTTGGTAATGACAAACTTTATGAATTCGGAAATGGCAGATAAGGAAAGGATTGACTTTGACCACATAAGGTGGTGGGATTTTGAATCAATAATAGCGATGAATGTCATTGTTGTTGTGTTGTGAAGGTTGAGTTTTTGCAAGTATTGACCTTGGCTGTTGTGATGGTTAGTTATAAAGTTTTTTTGCGCGTGCAGATTAGGTATGTAGCAAATGCTGACAGGAACCCATCAGTAATTAAATATTTTTAACTCTAGTCATTGCTTAGCGATCCTAATGATCCATTCAAGACGAAATTGCAATCAAGCAGGATTAAAATTCCAAAAGTATCTATAGCTGGTAGATATAGAGTTTTCTTGATCACAGGCAAACATCGTACTTGCAACCAAAGTTAGTTTGGTTTTTTTTTTTTTGTAACAGAATATTATACTGTAATTACGGAAAAGTATTGTTCTATAGTTAATAGCCACCTAGTTTCATTTGTAGTATATTTTATCAGTTTCTAATGATCTTGATTAAGCTTGCATTTGTAACTGTTAAATATAGTGTACATCCATATTTATAAGGAAACAAAGCCAAATTGCAATTTTTATACATTTTTGCAAAAAGAACAAATAAATAACATGTGCAATTGTGAGAGAGAGTTGCAATTAGTTTCGATAGAGATGATAATCAAAGCCGAGAAAAACTCTACAAGTTCTTTTATCTTCTTAATGAGATCTAATGATCCAGAACCCAGTAAACATAAAGTGCTCCTGTATAATTCTGCCTCGTTAGCATTTTGCTATTTTCGATTCATGACTTTGTACTGTTGTCCCCCCACAGAACAAAGAAAAAAAAAAAATAGAAGGCGGACTTCCGAAATCTCCTCACTAATTTTCTTACAATGATATGAAATCAAAGATATACAACAACCAACCTACTTAGTAACCAACATCAATGGCGTTCTTATTACGGAAATTTTCACGCGATGATAGTGAAAAGCCCTCAGAAGAAGAGAATTTGATTACCTTGGAGGATAATGATGAAACGAAAATAACTAATGGCAAGGGGGATGACAAAAACGTGGAGCCTCCTGACATTGAAGAAACAAGCAAGAGCGGAAGCAGAATAGAATCATTCTTGAGAGGGTTGGTTCGTAGTCCTAGCAGGGAAAGCTCCATCAACTCCCATAGCAGTTGTTCACTGTCTAGTAACCTACCACCCTTAAGCAATTTAATACTTAGTGGATACAGTGCAAGTACAAGACACAAACTATTAGATTTGGAATTGGCAAATAATATCCGGAATTTGATCCCGGCACGATTTCAACTATTTGACAGTTGGGAATTAGTTTATTCAATGGAGCAGCACGGCATCTCATTAAACACGTTGTATCGACATTGTAACTTAGATTTCCAATTACGACAATTTAAAAAGAAAAAGAAAGCCGAAAAGGGGTTCGCTGATTCTATAGTGTCAAATATGGTGGTTGGTGATATATCCACTTCCAGATATCCAATAGAAGGCAAACGACCAATAGCCTACGTATTAATAATCAAAGATGAGAATAATTGCAAATTTGGAGCATATCTAAATCAGAACTTAAAACCAATGGATCAGAAACGTTATTATGGAAATGGTGAATGTTTTCTTTGGAAGTGTGAACGATATATCCCCCATGAATTTGCTTCAGATGGAACTACGAAAAAGGGTAAAGAGCAAGTCAGATTTAAAGCGTTTATGTACACTGGTATTAACGACAATATAATATACTCCAATCATGATTTCATTGCTATAGGGTCTTCAAATGGTCAAAATGGAATATACATCGACAAGTCTTTATACAAGGGGGTCAGTTACCGATGTGATACTTTTGGAAACGAAATATTAAACCTGGCTGTTTACGACGATGGTCGAATCGGTCGATTTAAAATCATGGGGCTAGAAATTTGGAGAATAGGTTCGCTTGAATAAGACGATATTCTATTTATAGGGTTGATTATGCATATCAATTAAAGTCATGACTTTTACTATACTTGCTAGCGACGCGAGTAAACTGTAGTTTCCATGTAGGGGCTACGCCTCGGAGTTTGGTTTAAGGTTTTCGTTATAGTTATGAACCACTTTGAAAGCCGTGAAAAAATAAATGTTCACAATACAACTAAATTTAGACACCGCAGTCACGATATTTTAGTGGAATTTCATTCAAAAGTCGCTTATTTTCTATGGTTGCTTGATACAAAAGCTTGGTTATCTTTTCAAAGTGTTACCGTCATTAGTTATCCGAGATGAAATTCCTTTAGAGTCTAAGTTGCTTCCTTGTTTCCTTGTTTGTAATTGAACCCAGTCCAGAAACTGTCGCGTAATTAAAAAAAAAAAAATATTGCTGCAAAAGCAAATTTGCAACAGGGATGTTTCATGATCAACCGACTAAAAAACAATCACAATCATTAAGTCAAAGAATGTTCGTGAACAAGTACAGCCACTTAAAAACTATTTATAGGTACATATTAATATGGTCACATTCACTTGAAACGAATCCCCTACAAAGATTCCTTTTTCCCATTTACCATAAATACGTCAATAATCCTATCCCAAATTCGGCTTTTTGACTAAATTCTACTAATGAGATTTCAACCAACAATGAAACTACTAGGTACGTTTACATTTACATTCGCTTTCTTGATCTCAGCAGTGACATGTTCATACGTGAACGTGCTTGAAGCCAGGGCCAAACCCTCGACTACTGTTTGTAGAACTGAAAGTGCTTTTCTTGATTGTAGTACCGAATACCAGGGAGATACTCCCACTACAGTTTGTTTGACAGTTGAACCAAAAACTATTTGTGAAACCTTAGTCATTGATAAAAAGGATAAAGCGTCTGAAGATGGAGAGAGCCGTGGTAAGCTATGGAACTTTTGGAGAAAACGACACTTTTACCAAGTACAAACAATTACTCCTGAAAATTTTGTAGAACCCTGCACTACTGCTATACTTGAATCTACACCTGCTTCTTTGCCCCCCATTGAGATACCACAAGTTACCAATGAAATTGAAGAATCCATATCAGCTCCAACGACCTCTTGCATATTTGAAGAGATTTTGAACAAACCAAATGAAATTGTCAGCAGAGATGAACAGTCTACAATCCAAACATCCAATGCTATCCACGAGGAATCTAGCTTTGAACAAGTAATTTCCGATTTAGTTAACATACCAGCTCTTATAATTGGTGGAGTTATCGGTGATGATAACTGCGCTTATTCCACTATTCCTTCTACTAAGCCAGGAGAAGCTGTTGTGACTTATGTTTCAACCGTGACAGCCACTGCAACTACAGTAATTACTATAACTAGTTGTGAAGAAACTTGTTCCAAAGCTACTGTCACCACCGGTATACACGTTGTAACTGTTACGAAGGATCAAACTGTCACTGCTTTTACCACATATTGTCCAACAACTACCGTGGTCACATATTATCTGCTTACTACTACAGTTTGCCCTGACACTACTGGTGTTGCTCCTGTCAGTTCTATTCCACTTGAAGAAACCTCTCGTCAAGAAGAAGAAATTACCACGCCGGCTGAAGAAACTACCAATGTAGTAAAAGAATCCACCACACCAATCGAAGAGTCTACCGCACCAATTGTAGAATCTACTACTCCAGTTGAAGAAACCTCCTGTCCAGAGCAAGAGACTTCTTCTACACCAATTGAAGCTTCCACCAGTGAAGTTAAAGAATCTACCATACCTGCTAAAGAATCCACCACACCAGTAGAAGCAACCACCAGCCCTGTTGAAGAAACCACTTGTGAAGAAGAAGAATCTACCACACAAATTAAAGAGTCTACCACAGTTAAAGAAAGCATCAGTTCTGTTGAAGAATTTACTACTCCAGTTGAAAAAAGCACAAGTGAAACATCAATTGCACCCGTTGAAGTATCTACCAGTGCAATAGAGGAAACTACGTGTGAAGAAGAAGAATCTACGACACCAATTGGCGAAACTTCTAGTGCGGTAAAGGAAACTACTAGCCCTGCTCATGAATCTTCTATCCCTATTGAGTCTACCACTCCAGTAAAAACCTCCAGTGAAGTTGAAATACCCAGTAGCAAAGTTGAAGAGACCACAAGCTTAGTCGTCGAGACATCTAATTCTGTAGAAGAATCATTTGTTACTACTTCCATTCCATCAAGCACTACCGAAGAAAATGTTGTAACTACTATTGAAGCTACTGAGACTAATGAAACCACTATCACTTTTGTGTCAACAAGTACAGCTACCTCCACTACTGTAATCATTGTTACTACATGTGATAGACAAACATGTTCCAAAACAACCATTACCACCGGAGTTGTTGTTATTACAACTACTAAAGATCACACCGAGACTGTTTTTACTACATTCTGTCCCACAACCACGGTAGTTACATCCTATCTGACGATTACAAGCTGTCCTGAAACTAGTATTGTTCCTACCATTGCTCCAACAGAATCTAGTAGTGAAATAGAAGAGATCAGTAGCTCAGTTCAAGAAACTACCAATGAATCAATCGCACCAGTTGAAAAAACCACCAGTGAAGAATCTACAGGTCCAGTTGAAGCTACCACCAGCCCTATAGAAGAAAGTACATGCGAGGAAGAGGAAACGACCAGTGTGGGAAATGAATCCACAGCACCAGTTCAAGAGACAACTACAGGTGTAGAATCTACCACACCAGTTGAAGCTATTACCAGTTCTGTTCAAGAAACCACCACTCCAAACGAAGAATCCACTGCACCAGCTGAACAGAAGAGTACTAGTGAAGTCAAAGAATCTACCAAACCAAATGAAGAGTCCACAAGCTTAGCCGAATCTATCTCACTGGTCCACGAAACTACTCCTGTTGAAGAAACCACATGTTCAGAAGAAGAATCTGCAAGTTCAGCTAAAGAGTCAACTAGTATAGCGGCAGAAACCAGCAGTACCAATGAAGAATCCATCAGTTCTGGTAAAACTTCTAATCTTGAATCTACTACTCCAGTTGAATCTACCAGCGAAGCAGAAGTGCCAAGTAGTACATTAGAATCTACAAGCTTGGCCATTGAAACTTCTTCTTCACCAGAAGAATCATTTATTACAACTGCAATTACATCAAGCAATAATGAAGAAACTACCATTGAGGTTACTGAAACAAATGAAACTACGATAACCTTTGTGTCAACAAGCACAGCCACTTCAACCACTGTTCTTACTGTTACAACTTGTAATCAAAAGTCATGCTCGAGAACAACCGTTACTACCGGGGTTGTTGTTATTACAACTACTAAAGATGAAACTGAGACCGTTTATACCACATTCTGTCCAACAACAACGGTAGTCACATCCTATCTGACCATAACTAGCTGTCCTGAAACAAGTGTAGCTCCTACCAGTAGTGAAGGTGAAACTACAAGTGGAATTGAGGAAACTAATTCTGTAGAAGAAACAACCACACCAGTTGAAGAAACTTCCACCCCAGCTGAACAAAGTACTAGTCCAGTTGAAGAAAGTTCTACCCCAGCTGCAGAGACTTCTAGTCCTGCAGAAGAAACATCCACACCAGCAGAACAAACCACTACTCCAGTTGAAGAAACTTCTACATTAGCTGAACAAAGCACTACCCCAGTTGAACAATCCTCTACTCCAGTTGAACAAAGTACTACCCCAGTTGAAGAAAGTTCCACCCCAGCTGAACAAAGTACTAGCCCCGTTGAACAAAGTACTAGTGCCGTTGAACAATCTACAACACCAGTTGAAGAAAGTTCTACACCAGTGGAACAAAGTAGTAGTGCTGTTGAACAAACTAGTAGCCCAGCTGAAGAAAGCACAAGTGAAACATCAATTGCACCAGTTGAAGTAAGTACCACTCCTAATGAAGAGACTACTTGTTTAGAAGAAACTTCTACACCTGTTGAACAAAGCACCAGCTCAGTGGAAGTACCAACAAGTACAATTGAGGAATTTACAAGTCCTGCTGAATATACTACTACACCAACTGAGCAATCCACAATCCAATTTGAGGGATCTACCACTGAAGTTAAACAAAGCACCACAGGAATTGAGCAAACTACAAATGAAGAGTTTACATCTACAATTCAAGAAACTACAAATGAGGTATCTAGTGCACCGGTAGCATCCACTAGTCAAAGCGAGGAAACTACAAATGAATCACCAAGTAGCACTCTTAATGGAATCTCAAGTGAAGAGACTACGATATCAGCTGTAACTAGTGTTGAGGAATTTACTAACAGTTTAGAAACTACCATTTCATCAGAAGTATCCTCTAACACAGCTGAAGAAACTAGTAGCTTGATAATTGAAAGTTCTTCCTCACCAGAAGAATCATTTATTACAACTGCAATTACATCAAGCAATAATGAAGAAACTACAGTTGAAGTTACTGAAACAAATGAAACTACGATAACCTTTGTGTCAACAAGCACAGCCACTTCAACTACTGTTCTTACTGTTACAACTTGTAATCAGAAGTCATGCTCGAGAACAACCGTTACCACCGGGGTTGTTGTTATTACAACTACTAAAGATGAAACTGAGACTGTTTATACTACATTCTGTCCAACAACAACGGTAGTCACATCCTATCTGACCATAACTAGCTGTCCTGAAACAAGTGTAGCTCCTACCAGTAGCCAAGGTGAAACTACAAGTGGAATTGAGGAAACTAATTCTGTAGAAGAAACTTCCACACCAGCTGCAGAGACTTCTAGTCCTGCAGAAGAAACAACCACACCAGTTGAGGAAACTTCCACAGTAGCTGAACAAACTACTACTCCAGCTGAACAAAGTACTACCCCAGTTGAACAATCCTCTACTCCAGCTGAAGAAACCACTAGTCAAGTTGAAGAAACCTCCACACCAGCTGAACAAAGTAGTAGTCCAGTTGAGCAAACTACTAGTCAAGTTGAAGAATCAACAATACCAGCTGAACAAAGTACTACCCCAGTTGAACAATCCTCCACTCCAGCTGAAGAAACCACTAGTCAAGTTGAAGAAACCTCCACACCAGCTGAACAAACTACTAGCCCCGTTGAACAATCTACAACACCAGCTGAACAAAGTACTAGCCCCGTTGAACAAAGTACTAGTCCAGTTGAAGAATCAACAATACCAGC